CTAGCATCTTGTGGAGTTGCGGGTCAGGCTCCAGCCACTCCAAGAATCAGAAGGATGACAAGCCCGTACACTAAACAGACTGCATCATCCATCCAGTAATAGGTATGGATAATCGAGTTCAAACATCTTCCCATATGTTGTTTCATCTCTATCTTTTGCGAAGACAGGATAAGGATGATGGCCAAAATGAATTCCGGCAAACAGCAGCAAGCAACTACAATGCGTACGGATTGGCCGGATGACCTTGAGTACCATCGACATGCATGCTTACGTTTTATGACCATCGAAAAGCATGTTGGCAGTCTGTCCTTGCGTGGCTGCCTTGCTCAGTGGCGTATCCTTGCTGCTTTTGTGACTGGCCAGCTCGAGTCATGCTCCCTGTTCGTACTGCTAAAGTACACGATCAAACTCTTCTGCCTCACATGACTCGTGATCGTTTTACGAGCAAGTTGTAAATGAGGTAAAATTACTGTGAATATCGTCATACAAAAGCTTAGCTTGATGGCCACATATTCACCCTTCTGCCATGTTTCCTTTCACTGTAGTGTATATCCTGCAATACATCTGATTACTACATTACTATCAAAAGATTATCTATGAATTCGAGATTTTGTATTCATTGACTACATTGAATTTTATGCTTAACCAGAAAGCCGATTTCTGTGATGTTGAATCCACCATCAGCATCAGGGGTTCAGCTCTCTCGTAAAACTCAAACTATACACAGTGTCATGTTTGTCCTGCCTCGCCTATCAACACTGCAAATACAATCAAAATACCAAGTTGTAGCGAGAGTCTTGGCCTATGGTGAAAACAGCGCGCCATGTTCACGCTAATAAATCACAGTGGGTGTACGGTTTTCAATCTGGAAAAGCGTCCTAGCCCTCGTATACACTATGATTGCGTTGCAGAATACTTATTAGCTTCAGCCAGCCAGCTAGAGCATCCAATATCGATCTCGAAATATGCCGACGGTAAGTGCCGGCCACCTTTCGTAATGCTTATGACAACCAGGGACTTACTTGCAGCAGTTAGTGTTCGAGGAGGTTGGAAGGAAATTCAAATCTAAAGTAGAAGGCTGATTGGGCAATCGGTCTTTCGTGCCTACAAGGGATTCTTGCTTTGCTTGAAGCGCTAGCCAGCTGCACAGCGCATATTCTATCGGCCGTGACGAAGACTTGACCATACCTACAGTAGGGTATACGACTGAGACCAATGTAGCATACGGACAATAATAACGCCTGCATTGTACAGGACGCTAAACATGCCAGCCAAGATCAGCATGAAGATAGTGTGCTAGCATATACATTCTAGTGTTATGCTTTTGTGGAATACGGGATGATATGGAAACTCGGAATTATGCGAATTTTGCCACACCGTAACTACCAACTCATTTCACACTTGTGGTTCATCATTGCTATGTCTACTACTTTAATATCAGCGTTATATATTCACGAGGCTCGTTACGAGAAACGCTGCTCGACCACTATTTGGTTCAGGGCGCCTGGGTCAACCTAGTTCCAGTCTATGCAACTACCAATTCTGGTAGTCAGTCGGAGAAGAACGTCCTCACGAGAAGCAATTAGCTTGTTATTGGCTCATCAGCATAGTTTATTTATCTCCCTCGAAAAACCCCCCTCAGGTAACGACACCGACATAGATATACGCAGGTGGTGGCCAGCGCTAATATTGGATTCAGACACTAGAAGAATCTTAAGCGGCTTGGGCCCGGAGAGAGTCGGGCACACTCATCACCACAGCGTCAACAGTACCACCGCGTGTGTAGGCTCATTCACGATCTCGCCTAGACAACTTCTGAATTCTCTCAAGTTAGACAGGACAGTGGCAGTTTCCACAACCCTGCCAAATCAACCTGATCTGCAGAGCGACCTACCTGGCTTACGGGATGTATGTAGTGTACTCATACGCGCGCGAAGTGCCTTCACACCTGCCTGTTTAGTCTATAACCGCTAGTGTTGCACTAGTGTACTACGCGCGTGTCAACATGACAATAGATTGCCCGTTTCTTACTGTGGTTGTACAGACAGGTATCGGTACAGTTTCCAGTTGAGTTGTTGGCTTGGAGCAGCAAATTCTTGCTTGTTCCAGTCAATACGCTTCCGTCAGAAGACACTCAGAGGGCTAGTGAATGAATTCAATGTCTGGCAACTTGGGCGAAAACTTGTATAGTACACAGGAATATTTGAGACTCGGTCGAATCCTTAAAGAAGGAGAACAACAGAAAGAATTAATCCCGTCTTCATAGTGGTCTCTTGAAAGTGACTATAGAATCTGGCCTTATAGTGTAGATATTTGTTCTTAGCCGCATCGAAAGGCTCTCCACCTACATTCCACGCCAGCCAAGTAACTTTGGTGTAGTGCCTTGTGACGGCTAGAAGCCTTCACGAAAAAGAGGGTGTGTGCCTGTTCCCGCCGCCGCCCCATCAAGCGACCCGTATGAGGAATGACAGCTTGGGTGAATTATAAGCTTGTTTCCTGTCTTTATAGCGACTGGAGAACAACTCCATTTCGATTTCCGCCAGAGCTCCATATCCCGTCGGGTCCACTGGAAGGGAGCACTTATGGCATGAGCTATTCGATTTTGTTTGCTGGGACTCAGCCTCTAGGAGTGTGTTAACTACTATATTCTGACAGTCACCCCGACCTCACTCCCGAGCCATTCTTAACTCTATCGTTCTCGATATGATCCATATCCGTGAATTCGAGTATTTCCCATCGAATAGATTCGAACCAATCCGAGACTACGCACCTGTTATTATTAAAGCCTCAAAGGGCAGCAGTTCTACTACAATATTCGCGATCGAAATAATGGAACGAAACGAATTATCCTCGCCCACCGATTATAACATGAGCTTACCTAGAAGGTAGGCGTTCATTACGAGACCAGGGCACTTCATGGGTAGATCGTTTAGAACGTTCTATTTGAAGACAACCTAGTACATTTCCTTTGTGTCGATTCTCATAGGAAAAAACGCCGCGAATAATATTTCCGCGACCCATTACCCGATGCCACCTCCCAGTGGTTTCACCAAGCCACTTAATTATAGCCTACGAATATATATTGTTGAATTCAGGAGTTGTGTTAGGTTAGAAAAGCACAAGCAAAATGGTTAACCGCTTCAGCGAAAATAGGATCCTGCGCTTGCCATAATACAGGCGTTGTAGCCAGAACACCAAACTAGAGACTTATTGAAAGAACTGCCACGTACCGAAACCCTTGGTCCCAAGACCTTCTATACCATATCATCTACCACCCCAGCTCGAAGAGCAAACGACCGCCTCGATTCTAATTAAAAGCACAAAACCACGAAGGATCATCGAGGAACCAAGTCTACAAAAATTCATCGGGTAGACTGACTTGTAATATCGAATTATACACCCCATCTGTGACGGGTTTTCTACAGAAGAAGTATTCATACTCCTGTGAGCAATTGTATTTTGCTTGTTACACACGTATGGCCGACATGCCGTTCGCCTATTGTTACGAATACATGGCTTGCAAAAGATGGTCCATGCGTAGACATACGAAATACACGAAAACATGAGGTTATACCGACTTCGCTGGCTATGAGCCACTGGGACTTGATGATTAACAGATGCCAGCTATATATAATGAAGTTAGCCACCAGGGCTAAGAAGGAATCTGGTGGGCAGGGACTTTTACAGTCCTAGTAGATCATTCTAGTCTGAATAGCTCTGATCCGGGCCCTGCTACCAACACCCGTTATATTGTTAAAGATATAACGAGGACAGATGACTGGAGCTTGGGACTTGATGCTATCCACAACATCATGACCTAGTAAGACTGCAAAAGTTCTTTGCCCACCAATTTCTTCTTGGCCTTGGTGGCTTGATTTGAATCTATATATAAATGGTCTGGTAGCATCGACCGCATAGATGTCGTTGGCTTGTTTCATGAAGCGAAGTCTGTATAACCTCGCTCCCAGTGTTGCCCGCGTGTCTCTAGAGATCATGAACAGCCTGCATTGGCCTTTGGAACAGCCGAAGCGCAAGGCGTACTGCTTGTTCAGCTCGTACGCGTATAATAAAAGATTATCAGGACTCATAGCCAATGGTTAGAAAACATATGTGTACTAACTTCCACATAGAATGCCGAGCACCTCTTTTGATAGTAGTGATCTAACAGTAAGGGACTTGGGCCTCCCACAACCTAATACTAAAAACTTCAATAAGTAGTTATTGGTATCATAGTATAACGAGAGCTGGAAACCAGGGCACGGAATTGAAGCTATTTAGAACATAATACTCTGCTAGGCCTGCTAAGGTCCTTGTTAGCCGCTAGATTCTTCCTTGGCCCTGGTGGCCGAATGGGATACCATATACAACTGCACGGCTTTTGCTATTCCTTCAAAGCCCGAGGTGTCCCATAGCCAATGAAGTCACTACTTCTGTAAGGTATTCGCCCGTAATCATAGGCGAACTACATGTTTAGAGGTACGAGCCTGTAACTTGTATAATAAGATTTTGAGGTCATGGTTCAACTAAACATACGCAATACACTGTTATGGCTGGTATGATCTATTTGGTCCCCCACTGGCCTTGACTCTATGTATAGTTGGACCGGGCTTCCTAACCTCCAAAATCCGCCCAAAACATCTCAGACGAGCAAGCAATGAACAACCTCACTTTCTATTACGGAATACAGATCTATGGTCCATTAGGTCAAACTGAAAATCTACACATGGTCTATCCAGACCCGTGTTCAGTGCGTATAGCATCCTATTAAACTTGTAACTCTTTTCGAAACCTGGTTTTACGTGGATTCTTGCTGCTGTTAATTTACCTACGCCAACGAATAAGTTTCTATCCTGCTCCACCACTCTAGTTGTACAGAACTCAGATTATAGGTATCCAGCCATAAAATCTGCGCAAGCTCCTCTGAGATTGGGGTAATATTGCTCAATGCAATGATTAAGCCCTGCTCTTTTAGTAAGATATTTATTTATCAAAAGGGGTTTATCGATATATACAGTCATTTAGCTTCTAGGTTATGAGTGGGGCGGACATGAGCATGCATTGACCTTGTGGCTCGGATTTTCTTTGACCGGATTAACCCAAAATTTCAATTGGTGGTGATGTAGCTGGGGAGGCTCGCGATCTAAGTTGTGTAGGCGCTGCATCTCGTCTTGGATCACGGCAGCCTACACCACACCATGGTAACGCCCGCATCCGTCCGGCCCTCAATTGGCCGGGTTGTCAATGCTACCAGAGCCTTCCACAACGCCAATGCCACAATAACGGCAGCTGCTCTGCCTAGATCGTCCTTGCAGAGATGCGCATTCTCATCAACCCCCGAATATAACAGCCGACGGCCACGTCGCGACAACAACCGCCTTCGCGGTCTCAGCAGTATCTACAGATCGGGGACACGGTTTCGGATGAACATCGACAAGTCCGAGGTTCCAAAGCCTGCTGAGTACAAGCCGAAGATCGAGGTTGACCCCAACCACGGTCTTTGGGATTTTTTCTACACCAAGGACAAGCCACTTTTGACGCCCGAGGAGACCGTAGAGCATGGGCGTGGATGGACAGTTGAGGAGTTACGGCACAAGAGCTGGGAGGATTTGCATAAGCTGTGGTGGGCGTGTGTCAAGGAACAGAACCGCCTTGCGACGGCCTGGAGGGAGTACAAGCGGCTGAAGCTTATGAACGGTGAACAAGAGGGGGAAGTACGGGTAGGAGAGGTAAGGCCTCTTCCATTTTGCCGTAATAGTGTGTTTTCGTACTAATTTGCTACCAATAGGTCCGCAGGACAATGAGAGCAATCAAGCATGCGCTGATTGAGCGATGGTATCTATGGGAGGACGCCAGGACACTGGCGGAGACGGATCCTGAGATTGACCTCAGCAATGCAAAATCCCCCTATACACCACAAGACTACTACGAATACGATAATGCGCCTGAGGATATCAACCAAGACCAACCCGCTGCACAACCAGAGTCAGGCTTCATGGCTGAAGAGCCCAGAGTAACGAAACCAGAGGATATTGAACCATCGACAATCTCGTCAAAACCTCTAGAGCCACAACAGACGTCGGCAAAACCCTGATAATCTACTGACAAGAAGAAGAAAAAGAACAAGAATCGCAACAGCAACAACGGGAAATCGGTATCTGCAAGATAACTGAAAGTGGCAGTATGCGAGTATAATCAATATGACCCAGGAGCTATGTAAATACGTGTACAATAAATTATGAACATTCATGTCGATGCAACCCGACCAGTCAAAGTACATGGAGGTCTACATGGGAGCGAGTATACGAAACCGGCCTTGAGTTACCCCAGGTAGGTAGATACTATGTACACAACACAGCATACACGTATAAACACAGTGCTAGATACCACAAACCAGAGTCTGCTTGTTGAGAAGAGATATGTAGGTACTAATACCATCTATCTAACCTAGGTACCTAATCTAAACACCGACTACACGTAGGTAGTTGAACGAAAAGGTCAAGTCTTTGGATACCTCATATCGGTAGCCGTTGGCGAACCTTGTATTTCGGGGGTGGGCAGCGCCAACGTGCAGCAGGGGGTTGCGCCAAGCCCGGCGGCAATTGGTCAGAGCTATAGGGGATCCCCAGCTACAGGCGGTGATAGGCGGTGGTTAGGCGGTGGTAGGCGGTGGTAGGCGGTGGTAAGGTGGTGTAGGTGCCGTAGGGTGCCTTATTAGTGAACGGTCTCGAGCGTCACTGCCAGCAACGAGCCCCTCACTCAATCCAGCCCGGCACGAATAGACGACGCGGCCAGCCAAACGTCCCCTTTACTCTTTACTCACCGATACTTGAAAGGAAAAGGTTTCGCGTTTGGCCTAGCGTCAACCAACTTTGCCCTGAACTTCTCCGATACCCTCGACCCTCGATACCCTCGATACCCTTGACAAGCACCCTTCCTTTTGTTCCTTTTCCTAGTCCCGCAACCACCTTAATCACCGCCCACAATGGAGGAGATCTCGCCAAAGTACGATGTCATTGTGCTGGGCACCGGTATGTTCTCGCAGCCCCGCATCCTTTTCAGATACCAGCGATGCCGCGCCCTTCTGAAGCTGTTCACGATTCTGACTTGAAGCAGGCTTGACCGAATGTATTCTTTCTGGGTATGCCCATCCTCGACCGCCGTCAACATATCATGCCTCGGCTGTTGTCTCTGACTGACCCGCTTGTCTCAAAGTGTTCTAAGTGTCAAAGGAAAGAAGGTCCTGCACATCGACCGCAACGACCACTATGGAGGGTATGTACTGATAATAGCCCTGTGATGTGCTTCCCTCTACTACTGTGACGACACGTGTGCCCAAGCTAACCTGTGCTCTCCAGAGAGGCTGCCTCCGTTAACATCGAAGCGGTACATACAATGCCCACATACCCCGGATTCAAGCCCCCCCTCCCCTGCGAGCATTAACTAACCATGTGTTCATGGGGCAGCTTTTCAAGAAGTATGGAAACTATACGCAAGGTGAAGAGCCGTGGAAAAAATATGGCCGGCCCAACGACTGGAACATTGACCTGGTTCCGAAGCTGTTGATGTCTTCGGGCCAGCTTACGAACATCTTGGTGTCTACCGACGTTACCCGCTATCTCGAATTCAAGCAGGTCGCTGGCAGTTTTGTGCAACAAGGCTCTAGCTCCAAGGCTACCGTTGCCAAGGTGCCCTCAGACGCTGGTGAAGCTCTCAAGTCTCCGCTTATGGGCATCTTTGAGAAGCGTCGCATGAAGAGCTTCATCGAATGGGTAGGCACTTTTGATATCAAGGACCCCACCACACACAAGGGTGAGTGACATCTGAAACCGCCCGAAGAGAGTCATGACATCTAACGAAGGGCTTCGTGTTGACATTGGCATGATTAGGCCTTGACATGACCAAGTGCACCATGAAGGAAGTGTACGACAAATTTGGCCTCGAGGCTGGCACCCGTGACTTCATCGGCCATGCCATGGCGTTGTACCTAGACGACAGTTATATTGACACACCAGGTCAGGCACCTGATGCCATCGACCGTATTCGCCTCTACGGAAACTCAGTAGCAAGATATGGCAAGTCGCCATATATCTATCCATTATACGGTCTAGGCGAGCTGCCGCAGGGCTTTGCTCGTTTGTCGGCCATCTACGGTGGCACGTACATGCTTAACACTTCTGTGGATGAGGTTCTGTATGAAGGGGACAAGGCCGTTGGCATCAAGGCTACTATGGGAAGCGCTGATAGTCCCGAGAAGCTGAGCTTCGAGACTAAAACAGACATGATTCTAGGCGACCCCTCCTATTTCTCGAACAAAGTCAAGGTTGTCGGTCATGTTCTAAAAGCTATTTGCATATTGAAGCACCCTCTGGCTGGTACAAACGACAGCGATTCTTGCCAGCTCATTATCCCCCAATCCCAAGTGGGTCGCAAAAATGGTGAGTGTATTTATATTGTACTGGCGGTTTGGGCTGCGAGCTGATTAGAGTTTTAAGATATCTACATTGCCTGTGTTTCATCGGCACACAACGTCTGCCCTAAGGGTTACTACATTGCCATTGTGTCGACAATCGCGGAGACAACAGCCAACCATCACCTCGAGCTGCAGCCTGGCCTAGACCGCCTCGGTAAGATCGAGGAGCAGTTTATGGTAAGCAGCAGTTCTTCTCCCGTCTCTTCAGATCGCCTGTGTGGTTGTTGGCGTGGCTAATAACTTCTAGGGTGCACCTATACCTCTTTACGAACCCATCGGCGATGGCAAGGCGGATAATATCTTTATCTCGAAGAGTTACGATGCCACATCACACTTTGAAACAACTACAGATGACGTAAAGGACATCTACCACCGTGCTACGGGCGAGGAGTTAAAGGTTGAGGGTCTTCGGGATGTTCAAATTGGTGAACAGTAGAAGGGTTGAGACGGTGAATTTGCGGGGCTACCAGATAGTGCTAGCGTGCGATGTCAGGCAACATTAGACAGGAGGATTCGAGAGAACCAAGTCGGCAAAGGCATGGCGGAGACGAGAGTGCTCCTGAATGAGCACCGGTATCAGTGTAAAAAGTGAAGACCTTGTTGATATCGATCAACTGACCCGTTAATGTGATCTTTTTCATAGACCTTGTATCGGTCAAATTGGGAGGACACCCAAGTGGAGTTGACTAAACGAACAAGGCGATTATTTTGATAGATGTGTGTGTTGTCCGATGTTGATGCTTATATTGCCAGTGAATTTGAGGGGAGATATATTTCAACCCTCTGCTAACTGCAGACGGCCTGTTTCATGTCTAGAAAATCTTCTATGATGGTGATTGTGTTGGTTTTCGATTGTGATCTCCGGTAGGATCACGCCTTTTACCGTTCTGTTCTGCTTGCCTCAGCTTTGAAAGGATTAAAACTTACTTCGCCAGTCAGTACTACGTAGATGTACTGCGTTATATACATTAGTATCACAAGTCTGCATTGCCAACGTACTTATATCCGTGACTTTAAATGCAGATATATGAGAATTATCTGGGCATTATTATCATTCAAGCATGACGACGGCACGAGAGTTGAGGAATTTACCTACATTCCCGCATACCTAGGTAGTATTAGGTAACCTTGACTGTACCTAACTATCTACTATAGGTAATAACTACTACCTACCTACCTATAGGCGATTACCTACATGCCTATGTACCTGGGTAGGCTGTAGGTTACTCAGCAGGTACATGCTAGGTATTTATGATTGGCGGCTGGGCGAGGGGTCCTCAAGCACTGGCATCAAGCTCACAAAAACCCACACTCCACCAAAAAGTTGCCCCGCGATTTGACTCACCAAGATAGCTTTACGACTTCTCACCAGCTTCAACTTGAACCTCTTCCGCCACGTGTTCTCACCCTCTCGATCGATACGCCACACACTAGAAACGGGCACTTTACAAACACATTCAAGCGTCAACTGCGCGCATGGCAAATAACGATGCAACGGTCGGTATATCCGGCCAGTTGCCCATTCGCAACAACGACCCAGATGTTGGATCCTTCGAGTAAGTGGTCATATGTCTTTTCACCGCTTCCTCGCCCGCTAATGGCTGTTGCTCTCTCCCGATAGCATAGTCGCTACATACCATCGGCTCTTGGCCGACGACCCCGAGCTCACGATGCCCATGGCCACTATCGAGGCTCTCATCGAGGCCTTGGGCGCCTCATCCGCTACCACCGTGTTCGAGACTATGAAGCTCGTCGAGGGACAGTCGGAGAGGCTACGAGAAAGCCCCCAAGTCGCAAACCCCATGGCTGTCTGCCACGGCAGCGATTTCTTCAAGCAGTACCTGGTTAGGGAGCTTAGACAGCTTCCCAGCAGCGCTGGTGCTGCTTCGAAGGATCAGCAGTTTGAGGAGATCCGCCAACACCTGCTCCGAAATGCACGTCTATTCGCTACGAGAGCTAAGGAAGCTAGAGAACAGATTGCCTCGGAGGGACGGTACGTACTCATGCTACTGACTACTAGTTCCTTAACTCTAATCAAACCATTTCTCCATGTAGCTTGTTAATTCCCGATAATTCTACTATTCTGACACACGGCGGCTCACGTGTTGTTGGCATGGTACTGGGAAGAGCCGCTGAGCGAGTTAACGGTAGCCTCCCCCGACGCTTCAGAGTCATCTATGCTATAAGCGAGAGTCGCCGGGCCGAGAGCGAAATGGCCGTTGCCACGCTGCGGGAAAAGGGCATTCGCGTCGCCACGATCCCGGAAGGTGGTGTCGCGCACATCATGCAGAATGTGAATATAGTAATTGTAGGCGCAGAGGTCATTACGGCTCAGGGTGGTATTATCAGCCGGTTAGGCACATATCAGATCGCGAAGCTCGCCAAGATTGATCGCAAACCCTTCTATGTCGCCGCCGAGCAGCACAAGCTCGGGCAGACGTTCCCGACTAGCCAGTCCAATTACGGCATCCCCGCTTTCAAGCAAGACTTACTCGATTTTCAGTCCAACAAGAGCACGAACAGCAACGTGGTAAATGGACTGACGGCCGACCAGAAGCGAGCCATTGAGGTCCAGTCTGCCAACCCTGTTGATTTCACACCGCCTGATCTCATCACAAACTTTATCTGTGATCATGGTGTCAAGTCCACTGTGGCAATGGAACATCAGGTAATCGATATGTTTGTCAGTTAGAGGACGCACGAGGCGCAAAACGATCAGATCCCAGAAGACCAATCATCAGAAGACACGCTGGATCACAGAAGGGATATTACAAAGAGCCTAGATAACTGTAAGCTGGCAAAAAGTCAAGATGGCCGAGTAGAGTTGTCACTTAGGCCGCTACGGTGCTCTTAGTCGCTAGGTAGGGCGCACATCACCTAATCCACCAATCTGATTTGACTGTCTGCTTATTCAACTACTAAGTGAACAGGCCTATATGCACCGAGAGGGAGCAAGACTATTTTTGAGGTTTGGGACGACGTCATTATTCTCCACGTTGGGGCACCATAGAGAGATTGTGTATAGACGGCACCCAGATGATATGCAACGAGATAGGACAGTAGAAGCTGCTGCTATATATCCTCGGATGAGTGGGCGAACCAGCCATAACAGTTCACGGACACCTTGAGGGGGACAAAGCTCCGAGAAGGCTAAGCAATTAGTCGTAGCATACACTATCCGTCTTCAAAATAGAGAAAAAACTGTCATGAAATGCTTTTTTTGCCCTTTGGCTTTCCTAAATACATGTGTTTTTGACCCGATCTTTCCTCGCTTGATACAGCCTTGCCCCACGCCTTAGCTTTTGGCTCGTTTCTTTGGTCGGTTGAATTGGTTGCATAGTCGGTCGGATACATGTTATTGGCTCATTGCTTGCTGTCCCGGACCAGTCGCGCAGTGACCCAGGCGTATGGGTAGTTGCGCTGGTACCAGTTGACACTGGATTTTCAAGAAATCATTAGCTAACACTTCCTTCGTTTTCTATTCCTATTTCGCAGTGATAGACGACGGGGAGAAAGATGAAGGTAGGGAAAGGTAATAAATAAATAAGATGAGCTTACAAAGACTTTCTCCCGGCAATTCTGGGGTGAGTCGCCCATGAGCCGCCAAGCACGATATTGTGCTTCTCGTCGAAGAAATCAGCTAGATTTTGTCGAACAAACTTATTGTCAGTCTCACTCTCTCGCTTTCTATTTGTCAAATTCATTCATTCCATCATCTCCCCCTCTCTCTCCGTTTGCGAGAATTGCAAGATAATAGGTGTTATGATAATGACGAGGATAGGAATATTGATGCAAGCTTACCGGTGTAGAGGGGATACAAATCCATGGGTTTGAACCCTTCGTGCTTCCTGAGCGGCGAACTGGTCCACTCCCAAGCACCACCCATCTCGGCCTGGCCCGCGAGGCGGTCGCCGCGCGCCGTTACGGGGACTGGGTGCCAGTTCTGGAAGCCGACGTTGGCGCCTGCGAGGTCGAGAAAAATATCGGATTGCATGATGGGGGGCCACGCATTGTCCCTTTCGTCTTCTTCGTCGACGAGAGACGATGTGTCAGGGGGTGATGGGGGCGTCTCTTCCACGCCGTCATTCACGAGATGTCTATCGTGTACGTCAGAGATTGGATCTCTTCTGCTTTTAATTGACTTCTACCATAAGAAAAGAAAAGATAAGGCAAGTAGACTCACCCATTTACTGCCGGTACTGTGGCGCCGAGTTTATTCTCGGCTTCCTTCTTCTTCAGGGACTCGACGTGCGTATAGATGCTCCGGGCTTCTTCGAGAGTCGGGATCCGTCCGCCCATCCACGCCGCACAGCCCGCTAGTTCGTCGTATGAGGCGAACACAGGCCAGTCAAGGGCGTACTTCAGAGGCACGAGGCCATAAACCGTCCGGACGGACTTGCCTTGCAGGAACGACGGCGGTAAGCTTGCGCCATTGGCAGTGGAATGCCCATTCGAACCGTTCGTACCCTCTACAGTCTCCGTGGACCAAGAAGCCGGGCATTTCCCTTTCTTAGTGCCATGTAGATATTGCGCATACTGATCAAAGCTGGTCAGCATGTCCGATATTTAGGTAAATTGTCATTATCCCTACCTCTTCGTTGGTTATCGGTCTTCCCTTGGCCTGGAAGCTATGAACATGCACCTGTCGTCGTGGTTTCTCATTATCCCTAGGGTCTGCGTCAGCATTTTGTTACACACGCAATATCTATCTGAGACGCCACTCCCCCACAGCTCATCACTTACCACCCAAAGTGACTATCAGATTCCAAGTCATCCTCTGGATCATCTAGACCTAAGGTGACGGTCTGCTCCGGGATGTCAAACCACTTGTTCTCAACCCTTGACAGCTTTGCGTCCCGCGCCAGGGTTTGAAAATCGGGTATCGGTATGTCAGGAGGTGGGAGTGTTTTGTCACTCTGTACCATGATGTAGAGCAGGGTCTCCATGTGCATAACCTCGTGCTCAAACCCAACCCATATAGCCCGAGCAACTTGCCTGGGGATGGTTTCAGCTCCATTGTCGTACAGGCTGCTCAGCCTAGCCCTCACCCGAGTCTGATATGCCAAGATGTCATCGAGTTGGGGCCATTCGTCGGGAATCTCCGAGTGCGCGTGACAATTCTCGGGGTTATCGACATCTGGGTCTATGCCCCTTTCGAATATCGAGTGATAATAGCGAGGTGAAGTTGGGCCTTCGTCCGTGGTCTTGGTCAGCTGGACATCTAGAAACGCCGGAGTATGGCCTAGGTAGAATATGCAGGCGTTTCGAAGCTTGATAGGCTTGTCGAGTAGCTCTTCGTTGGGCAGCATTCGACGTGTGATGGTATCCCAGACAGCCCAGAGGCTCTTCCAGTCGCTCATGAGAGGGACGCTCTCCCGAGTGTAGTCCAGCGGGTTTAGGCTGAACGACAAGGGGTTCTTGATCAGCAGATGCAAGCCTATGCACTGTTAGTCGACTCGGTTACTGGGAATGGTCCGTGGCCTGGGTACAACAAAACCCGCCCCCGCAAAATGCAACCAACAGAGAAGCACAAGGGATATTAATAGGCACATCATAAGAGGCTTGAGAGTTCGGCTCCTAGGTGGGCCGAGGTGTGACCAGAGTTGGAGCGAGTTTGTTATGGCCTGCCTATTCGCGGAAACGACGCCGACATAATGACGACGAACCCCATGCATCTCCTATCCGGGCCAAGGTAGTGTTGTGCAGGAGGATGTTGTCATGGGGGTATGAAGCGACTTACCGTAGGTTTCGTCGTCTGTCATCCATTTTTCCGCTTCCAAGACACTTGCCGATTTCCAGAGTGCGTCACAGGCTCCCTTTGAGTATTTGAAGCTTTGTTCAATCTGGATACGCTCGTGGGCCTTGACGACGCCCCCCAGGACAACCGTATCCCGCAATGGCGAATAAAACGCCTGATGGCGCCCTCCCTCACTGTCATACACATACTCCCCAACCACCCTCCAATCTCCCACTTGGAAAACAGTTTCTCCGAGGACATCATTAGCATGCTGGAGGCCATTCAAGATAAATCTAGAAGCGATTTAGGATCAGAATCTATTTTGAAAATTGACAAATGGATATCTACTTACTGATGCGTGATGCCCTCCTGGTCTATGACGTTGTCGAACGGTGGAAAGTCAGTTAAGGCCGGGTACAGGTTGCAGGTCTACTAACCGTTATATGCGTGGCTATACACACAAGCTATATTAGCTGCTGATATAACATATCCAGCGCCATGCTAGGTTGCAACGATCCGTACTTACTATACCTTCGACGGGTCCATACAAGAGTCTACCCCAATCAGCAAGCTGTCCTGTGGCTGGAGGACATCGGTAAAGCCTTGCAGGAAGAAGGCTGCATCGGACGGGGAAAAGTTTCCTGCTCAAGCCTGTAAGTACATTTTCTCCCTAGTAATGACCCCTCGAAAGGTATTACCGATGCTAGAGCCCATATGCATAATACACTTTCGTTTAGCCAAGTGCGAAGGAGACATCAACCACTCTCTGCCATCGTCATAGGTGCCTAGTAGGCCATGGCATTGGACATGCTGAAACTTGGGAACTTGGGCCAAAGTCCGGGATAACTCTTTTTCCGATAAGTCAAGTGCATAATAGTCGACATCCTTTCCCGAGTCCTCGAACGCCTGGAGTAATAGGCAAATCTTCCTCAGATTCCTAGAAAAAGCTGTCAGCAAAAGCATCTTTGTAGGCAGGAGATAGAGACATGTTGACTCACCCACTACCAAGCTCGATTAACATGGATCCGGAAGGTATGTTTCCAGCGATAGTGGCAGCATGACGTTGCAAAACCTCAATTTCGGCATTGGTCAAATAGTACTCCTCCAAATACGTGATCTAGGGCCCTGTTAGTTTACCATTGCCTCTACGACGAGGATAGAGGTTCGACCCAACCTTTTCGAAGAGCTGGAGGCCCTTCTCGTCGTAAAGTAGGAGAGTAGGGAGTTTTCGAGGCCTTTCCTGGGACTGAAAGAGCCTATGAATCTCTTCTTTGAGATCAGCCTTGGTGGTGTCCTGGCGGATATCAATAATGTCCACAAGGGGGGTCTCTGTGGCAGCCTGTCGAGGTTTGTAGGCTCCCCTTGCCGGCCTATTGGCAAACTGAGGTTCGGCGCGATCTTGGAGAAGTGAAGGCATGGCGGTAAATAGTCACGATTCTCTACACCAGATGTGTCGACAGTAGCCGCTGCAAGGCACCAAACTCATAAAAGCTACTAAATAGGACAATGTTGGAAGCCGACAGAGTTTATATATGTATGTATTACCAACGCTCTTTGTTAGACCAGGAAACGATAATAGTACTACATAGGTCACTCCACACGCATTTAAGGTGCGGAGAGACCCGGAAAAACCCATGTGTGTAGCTACATGCACACAGAAACACAGACTCCGTGGTGCTCTCGAACTTTACTAATACGCCCCCATCGTGAATCGAACAAATGATGATGTCAGCCCGGAATGGAAAGTCAGACTAGTCGGTATACTAGACCCTCTGTGTACTACCGTGATGTGCTAGGTACTAGAAGAAAAGCTAGCCTTCTACAGCTTCCCGGTCTCTGTTTTCAGTAGGTATGTACATAAGGGCGGCGGCGACGTATGTCGATATGACACCAAAGTCAGACAGGTACATGAGAACGTCGTATGTTTTTAGTCGCTAGAGAGATCGCTAGCTTAAAATGCAGAGGTGGCTGTGCTTGGGATTTGTTATACGGACCAGTGATAGGCCATCGGCCTCTGCCGGACTGACATAGAGAAGCTAACTATAAGTCTGTCGGCTTGTGGTCTGCAAGATGAGGGAGCTCGATCGATAGGTAGTAGGTGCCGAGAGCCAACATGCCGAATAAGAAGAGGAGCCAATTTGAGACAAGAATAGCCATGATTCTGCGCCATTAGCGCGCGAAGTCGGTCTCGTACAGCATAACAAGCGCCATGCTAACAGGTACGGACCGTTTTTCTTTCGCCAAGCCGGCTCGCGTTAGAGGCAAGTGACTCTATTAATCAATGCAAAAAGCTCGAAAGGCGAAGACATGAAATCATGCTGTCATAGTATGCAGCGTGCCTAGTGAGAGGGTCAATACGGCGCGGGATGTCATAATGGAGGATGATGGGTATTAGCAAATCAGGGTATCTTCTTGGCAGAATATGCAAGGAGATTGACCACGCGAAACCGCCCAAACCCCGCAAGTCTCGATGTTCCCCCTGTTCTGCCCTGTGCAGGGCTGCGGGCCACTCTAATCCCTGTCGGCCTGTTAGATGTGAGAGGCGTCGAGGGCGAGACATAACGGAAAGATGAAAAGGGCTAGGATATGCGGTTGGTTCCTGGTGCCACGAAGACACCATGCATAGGTGCCCGAGCATCAGAGGATCAGAGGAATAACAAGCAGAATAAGAAGGGAACGGAGGGGAAAGAGGAAGGTAAGAGAAGGAGAAAATAAAAGAGGTGACATTGCACATTCTCTTCGAGAACTATTCCGTGTGCCCAGACGTAGATCAGTCCATCCTCCATTTAGCATGTGTCACGAGATCTATCGTCGTGCAATGTGGGTTGAACGGGCAGAGCTGGTGTGTCAGTTGTTTTCCGTAGACGAGAGAACAGAAATGCTTCCAAGGTTAGGACATGCGGAGAGTCTCGTTCAGCCGCCTCCTACCACGTCTCTCTTCTCGTTTCGTGTCTCGTGCTCACTCACTCAATCAATACCTGTTCGGTTTCTAGCCCTTCCCCCTCCCCCCTCCCTTTCCCGATTTCCAGTTCTCAATTCCCAATACCCCAGGTCCCCAGGTCCCATCCCCAGTAATCATGTCCCGTTCCCCGGTTTAATATGGAGAAGGACTCAGAGGAGGTGTCCGTGACAGGATCGGAGAGCCACTCATATCTCTGGTCGTATCCAAATGTCGGTATGGTGGTGTAAGAATTACATAGTAAAATATCATCCGAATTTGGGCATAGCATGACATGATGTACTTGAGGCATCCACTCGGAAACAGCGGGCTACTTTCCTAGAATAGGAACCGACTCCAAACTTTGCTTAGCATTCCAGACGAGTTTTCAGCAGTGGAGGGGGAGGAGGACCTATGTCCGTAGTAGGTAGACATCTGATCTCTCTTTCTCTCTGTCTCCTTTTTTTTTTTTTTTTTTTTTGTGCTATTGGTGGTGGTCTGAGGCGGTGGTCTGGATAAGTATGGAGAGGGAGGGGTCTGGGGATGGTGTAAGAAGTTTGGGACTGAGCTTCGAGGATTTGGTGTTTGTCTGATGGGCCGTCTATGTTCCAATGGGTAATGTGAGCTGCTCTTTCCCAAAATTTATCTTCCCGCGTTACAATTGGCTCTTTCCTTCGTTTTGTTCTTTTGTATTTTTTCCCTTTCCATCTTTTTAATTCTCCGTACACCTCACTCTTTTTTTCTTCCTTTCTTTCTTTCCCTACTCTTCCTTCCCCGTGTTCCCTAATAAGCCCGTCGTCTCTACGACACTATAACGTGTCGTACATACATATCTTTCTAGCTAATGCTTTGCTACGTCACCAGGTTGTATGATCATGTGAATATTCAAGTTCTTCACCAATGAACCCCACTGTCTCCACTCTGCCCCCCACCGCACCAAGCCACAGGTCACTTGTCGCTTTACATACTTACTTAGATATCTCCATGCTTACCTACATCAAACATCAAACGATCAGGGAAACATTGGGCTTACGGATACATACCTACCTATCTCATACCTCCTACCTGGGAGCCGAGGTAGGGACTGTGTGCTTTCATAGAAATCCCCCGCGAACCTGGCTCGCCCGGGTCCCATAACTGCTTCTGATACCTACTGTTTTAGCGTTAGTCGGTAGCGAACTGCACAGCCCATTTATGCACCCATTCCCGTGCGTTCACCCAGCCACAGTCATCGAGACAGAGACAGAGACAGACAGACATTGAGGCGATATGTGGGGACTCATGTAGGTACAGATGGGTGGGCTGACCGCCAGGTACCTACATCCTACAGTCCTGCGCATAAGTACATGTATGTACTTACCTACCTACCTCAGTACAAAGTACTCTCGTAATTGTACCTACACGTATGTATGTCCCAGTTGTTCATTTCATCGGTTTCTTATTACTCCTCCGCACACCGGGCTTGCTCATGGGTGCCATTTCTTCATGGTACACCATGATGCAGATATTTGCAAAGAATGCATACTTAAAAGTAAGGACACAGTTTCAGGGAGATGACATACACTATTTTGAACTGCTGGTAGCGCACAGCCTCGTCTATGTTCATTCACTCAGCTCCAGCTTTGTTCCAGTCACCCGCTTCCCAGCCTAATTCAATCCTTCTTCATCCCGCGCTCTTCGGACGTTCCACAGCCAAGGTTCTCGTCAGCACGTCCAACCGGAAGCAGAACCGACCAGGTCTACCAGCCCTTATCTCACCTCCTTGCCGCCTGATCTTCTCCCTGCAGGTGTGATAAGCATGCAAATTCAATCAGGTGACCAACAAAAGCCTTAGGTAACTGACTTCACCATGTTAATTCGATGCCTCCACGTCCATGGAATCAATGTTACTTGAATTGGCATTGTCTTGGAACTTCGTACTTGGTCGGTCTGCACGTATGCGGCATCTATTCCCGAGCGAAGATATTCCCCCCTTCCAAATTTAGTTGAACTGCTACCCCCACGTGTTATGCGGATCGGAATCGGGATCTGGTGCGCCACAGGGAAAACCATATCCTCCCTGGCGAGCTGACAACTATCGAACCCTCACCGACGCACACGCTGAGCAGGGGGGGGAATTGCCATGCTACCCGGAGATCCGGGGTATTGTACCATGTATATAGTAAGACAGCCAAGATGCCCCTGAGAATAACAAAAATGGGGCCGGTCTAGATTTTATATGATATGACCCCCCGATGCAGCCGGTGACATCGGAATGATTACATTAACAGCTCACATGACGATTAAATTTATCTAATATCGGATATACACTAATTAAGCTTCAACCTGTTAGATCTCTAATGAACATTATATAAATAATCTTTAGATATAACATTTTCTAGCAATTGTAAACAACTTAAACTGAAATTGAAGCTATTACAATATAATAATATGTTAGAGCAGTAAATGTCCTTGGCCATCCAGCTCCTTCCAGGCCTTGGTGGCTTCACTTTTGACTCTAAACACAATTGGACTACCTGTCCTGAACGCCTAGGTCTAAGTGGTCTGTTTCATGGAGCGAGGTCTGTATAACTACACTTTTAACAATTTTCTACGTGTCTTATAAAGGTCATGAGGGGGACTTATGTGCCATATATTACACCTGTAGCTGTGTGTGTGTGTGTGTGTGTGTGCGTAATACACTTCCTGGGGCAGAATTAATTAAGTCCCGGTTAAGAATGTCTCCCTAGTCTATGCCTACCTTTGAAATTATTTTCAAACTCATTCTTTTAACCCGTTACAATAAATATGCTCAAGTTTATTATGCAGGGTTTATAAGTAGTTAAATATTTAAATATTATTTTATCTTGCCTGTTTAATAGGTTGAAGGATTGGGTTTTATTGTAAGTATCTCTTTAAATTAAAGGGCTACATGTTTTTAAGCAATGGGTTAACATATAAAGCCAAGGTTACATTACATGTCAATACTCTCATCTCGCGGAGCGTAGGCTTCCTCTATTGTGAACATGAAGCATTATTAGGTCATCAGCTGTTACACCCGTACAAGCTGTACTAGCTGAATATGGATTTCGTCTGATACTTCGGCCGTACGAAAGGCCATCGCAGGCTGTTCACGATCATTCAAATATGTGCGGACGATATTGGGCGATATTGGAAAGTGAGGCTATACAGACTTTGCTTCTTAAAACAAACCCTTAAGACCTAGGCGGTCTAGGCTAACAAACAAGTTGTATATAGAGTCGAGTCAAGCCACCAAGGCCAAGAAGGAATTAATTGGCTAAAGACTTTTATAGTCTTAGTAGATCATTATATTATGAATAGTATTAAGCTCCAAGTCTAGATCTCTACTCTTGATATACTATGTAACATATAGATTATGTCATAAAGTCCAACAAGACCAACGATTCCATCATATAGCATGTTTCAAATTTCTAATACAAATCAGAAAGGCCATGGAAATGAAGTACATCGTGTGTATTTATACTTAAGTCCTCCCAGCCCAGTAATTATTTCAATCATACTAGCGTCCTTGTCCCCAAAACGTAGTTGGAATTGCTACCAATGATACTAGAGATTAGTCATTCTCCCTGCACAGAATACACAACTATAACACACTCATTCAGCTCGAAAATGCAGAATATCTGTCTACAGTTAAGGAATCGTCTCCGGAGGTATGGAGACCTTCATAAGATAACGAATTGTTGCCTGCGTTCCTGATCATGGGCAAAGGGTACTCGAATGATTAGTCGCCAAACTTGACCTGATAACTGACTTAAAAAAAATTATGGACATCTCCTCTCATCATAACATGGCATAGAGCTGAGAGCTTGACATAAGTTCGTTTTAGAAGCCAACGGAATATCTTACAGCACACACCAAGCGAAGGTTAGGGACAGAGACCCATACCACAAACGTTCGATTCCGCATAAGGGGCATTCATACAAGGAGAGGAAACTAGAGAGAGCATAATTACCTACACATATGAACGGCTGACTCTCTATAACAAGGGCAGTAATACTGGGCTTGGAATATAGGCAATTCAGATTACAATGATCAACTAGGGCTGCATAAGTCCTTGGCCAACTAACTCCTTCTTGGCTGTTGGTGGTTTGACTTGACTCTATATACAATTGGTCTGCCAGCCCAGACCGCCTAGGTCTCTGGGGTCTGTTTCAAGAAGCGAGGTCTGTATAATCTCACTTTCCAGTATTGCCCAATATTGCCTGCATGTCTTGAAAGATCATGAACAGTCTGCAATGGTCCTTCGTACGGCCGAAGTGCAAGGCGAACTGCATATTCAGCTGGCACAGAGGTTGCACGTGTAACACTCTCTCCATTAAGTACATTGACAACACCATGGTGACATCGAGAACTTGTGAAACTTCCTGACCTTTTGTATGTGTAGGAATTGAACACACTGGTCTAAACAGCCAACAAATCAAAGCGAAAGACAAAGATCGAGCAATTGTAAGTAGATTCACAATTCTACCACCGGAGATACGATTGTTTTCTCCTTCTTAGGTGTACGTGTAGACTCTCCCTACCCTCAAAATCTCATGAATCATATCTATGTCGTGAGTCGCAGTGCTTATTCCCTAGGGTGATATCTAAACAGACCTCCGTTTGTGTAAGTCGAGGTTCAATTCAGGGCTGGAAGGGTTATAGCATGCGATGCAATCATTGCTTGATAGGAAGAAGAATGAAGAATGAATCAAAGCAAAACAAAGCGCCCTCTATGATGAGTATTCAAGAACACCCTTATCCATTTCCAATGCAATCCCAACCCCTTTTCCTAGGCTCATGCCTGTACTCCGTCCGGGTTCTCAATGCAAATAATTCATCCGCTTACAGCCTCTGTTTATTGTCTAGTTCTGGAATAGAAGACCGGCAGCATATTCGACATTACCATCTGTAGCTCGCAATGCATTTATCACTGCCTGCCGGTCGAAACCCAATGCTAATAGCTTGTCGATATCACTCTCCGGAAACGTCCGCTGAGCGGAGGCCGGGGGTGCGTGTGAGGCGGATGGTGGCGCCGCTACTGGTCGTGAGCTCGAGGAAGCAGGAGCAGCTGCGCTGGAGGGGTTACTGGGGGTAGCTGAAGTAGGCCCTGTGACAGCACCGGAGCGGGCGCCAATGGAAGTCCCCCCCGGACCAGGCACTGTAGGCTCATCATTGACAGCCTCTTCAGTTTCCTTGGGAATATCCGACTCGCCCAAGAATTCAACCTCTTCTCCCTGAATGATGAGCCTGTTCCGCGAGAGATCGATAGTGGCCTGGTGGCCCTTTAAAATGTCAAGGCCCAGCAATAGGTCCACGGCTTTGCCCTCCATCACGGTAAATGCACAATGAAGGTGCTTTGACCCAACCTGGAGAATAGTGGAGTGGACACGCCCGATAATATTGGCTGTACCAACGCCTCTAGCAACACCAGCGAACCGTCTGTCGACTAGTCGCATGATGTTACATTGCTCAGCGCAGGCTGGGGACATAATGGTAGCCTGAGCACCGGAGTCCACAAGCGCTTTTACTTTGAACCCGTTGACTTTTACGTCGATATAGAGGAGGTGCACCCGACCGAATGCTACGTAAGTCAATTAGCATAATTAAAGCGGCATTTAAATTTTTGGAACTTGGGGATTGCATACATTCTGGATTATGTTCCATTGCATTCTGTAGGTTCTCCACGACACTTTCTTGGCGAATCATCTCCTCGATCCTGGCTTGTGCATCTGGATTGAACTCGTCAGCGTTCAAAGCCTCGATTTCCCGCATACGCGCCCTTCGTGCTTGTTCCTGCTCGAGGGCACTGTTTTGGAACATCTGGGCAAAACGCTGGGGGTCCTCAAGCACGGCGGCAAGTGCAGGGTTCAACCTCTGCAGTTGTGTCCTCAGCGCAGGATCGCCTAGGACTTGCAGCCGGATGAGTTCAGGATCCTGTTGCAGAGGACTGGCCCCTGGTTGACCAGCAGCGGGCCTCCTCCTAGGCGCTTGCTCCCGATGCCCAGGATCCACGCCGGAACCTCTCATATCTCGGACATGGAGGGCAAGCATATCGCCATCAGCGATCTGAAGCTCTTGCAGGGTCTTCGTGTTGTCGGTAATTAGTTGGCCGTTGTGGTAGAGATGCTGGGCCGGGGCAGGAATGCCTTCAGCCTCGATGGAGCTCCGCAAGGCCTCTACTGTCATTTCGGGGTAGACACCGAGGGTCACGAGCCGCAATTCCTGCTCCTCCATCTCGGGGTTGTTTACGCTGAGTGTGATCTGCCTATATATGGCGAGTGTCAGCAACATATGCAAGCCCGCCCGACATGGGGACCGACTGGGGACGCTTACATCTCGACTGTTCTGTTGTGCTCGACGCAGAATGTGAGGTGTACTGAATGGAGGCGGGGGAAGGGAGGGAAGGGATAGGGTGAGGAAGGGAGGTTGGCGATGCGTCTAGGTGCGCTCCTTGAGGACAGAATGGTCAGAGAACCAGAAAGAAGCAAAAAGAGATCTGGCTTATAGATGGAACGAGGTCGTGCAGTGAGATCAGACAAGAGCGCTCGCTTGCTCGCTCGCTTTCTTTGCAATTCGACAATGCAGGCAGCAAAAGATGACACAACTTGGGTATTTCAGGATGGTGGCGGCGACGGGTTGGGTGTGTATGTGTATGTGTGTGAGTGTGCTGTTCTGGAGCAACGATCAGTGTCAGTGTCAGTGTCGGATGGCTGGTTTGTAGGTACATTATCCTTTGACAATTCCGGAAACCTGAAGCCAACCACGACATCATCTTGCCCCCACCTTCCAACACCTAGGTAGGTACCCAGTGCAGGCAGGACTGACCCTGCTGGAGTGCGGAGTACAAGGAACGGGTCCCGCTCCTGCCAGTGATCTATCCGGCTCTCCCTTGCTTCCTCCCACAGACTCCCAGCACCTGTCGCTGATTGTCACTGATTTATTACGGGCAGGTACTAGGTACTAGGTACTTGAAGTACATGTACAGTAGGTACTACCCACTACCTACTACATAGTACTAGGTTGGGTTTTATATCATGTTCCTCGATAGACACTCCGTTGATAGCTACATACGCAGGCGTCAATAGACAGGTAAATGTAGGTACCTACTTAGGCACAGTACCGTAGAACACATTACCTGTAAGTAATTAGTGTTGACTGTAGGTACTGCCTATCTAGGTAATAGATACGGTACTTGGGCGAGCATGCACAACCAGCCATATTAGGTAAGTTAAGCACCTATGTAGGTAGCCACAGCTAGCTCCACCCCACCTAACGGAGGCCCAGGCTCAGGTCCCAGATTCCAGCTCTTACATGTACATGCACATAGATAAACTGGCAAAAGCCGGATCGCATCTGCATCTCCTCTGTACGGTACCGAAACCAGTAGGCAGCCTACCTAGATACCTACCTAGTACGTAGGTGCCTACAGGTGCCGTCCCGAGTGTCCAATTATGCAAAATTGACCTGTCGCCAGGGGTTCTGGCCGGGGAACATGCATCGTGAGGTTCCTTTCCGACTGGAGTCACTAAGGCACTGACGTTCTTCGCGGTTGGAGGCTCTTTGTGTGCAACCAAGTCCTGGCTCGTATATAAGTATCAAACTACGGCTGCAGGCGACATGATCTGTATCCTGGTACGCTATACGAAGCCGCGAGTGATGCCGTCCTTCCCTGTTGCCTAATCGCGCCTCTGAGCTTGGCCCAGTAGCCATATCCAGCCAGCCGTTGTTAAGTATCGACACATGCCAGTGCTTGGGAGCATGAGTAGGGGGGGTTCAGGGTCATTGCATCGTCCCAGTGTTAATTTGAGAATATGATTTGAGATGGCCACGTGCATGCCATTCAATGTCGCCTCACTGTAAGCTACCGAATCTTGTAGACAGAAGCTTTGAGAATCTTGCTCTCATCCACGACATCCTGTTCTTCAGAGTCGATGAATCTGACGCCACCTTTCTTTCCGCTGCGACCCGACTCTCTTGCCTCTACAGCCCCCTTTCCGAGAGAGGGTTGAGCAGCCTTGGTGAAATGCATTTTGACAAACATCTTGTTTCTCATATCGACCGCCGCTTTCTCGTCTCCTTGCAACACGAAACCTCGTCTTCGCAGCGCCTCTACAAATGCTGTGACATCGGTCTCTTGGCGTTTGTCTTCGCCGCCGTCAACCTCGATAGCAAGATCCGCTTTATGGCTCTCTTCAGTGTCCACATCCTTGCCCTTACCCTTACCCTTCTTCTCCTGATTTTTCTTCCGATTACCTACGCTGTGATTCACCGGTACACTTTTGTTCTTGTTGCTCACATGGCCAAACCGGCTCTTGATCTCGGCAACCCAAAGTTCGCCTTTCCAATGCAATATCCGATAAGCCTCCTCGATGAAATCAAGCCAGTTTGTGCCCATGAGAGCGAGGCAGAAAATAACAACATCGACACTTCCATCGGCCAGGGGTAGGTGCGCAATATCGGCCTTAGTGACAAGGGGACTTGGACTTTGCAAGTCGTAACTTAGGATTTCGAGGTGCAGCTTCTTCTTCTCAGACTGGAGTGCAGTGGCAAGCTTGGCATCGCCACAGCCGAGATCTGCAATGGTACAAATGCCGTTCGTCCTCACAAGAGGGAGAGCACCGGACGATACAGCAGAGGCCACTGTGCCTGGCTTAGATTTGTGTGGATACCTTTGTCGACCTCGTAGCTTGATGTCCTCTATATAGGCATCTACCGGGTTTTCTGGCCACACATTAACCTGACGACGGAATCCTTCATGGTATTCCTGAAACATTTCTGGTGAATGCTGAAATAGCTGAAAGGCTTCATCTGAAGGCTTTGTGTAGAGAGTCTCATTGAGATGGCGGAAGCGGGCGGATATGAGCTTCTCCTTCATCGCAGCTTGCATAGGAGTAAGCTTAGGAGCCGATGGGCCAGCAGGTGCTTTGGGTTGTGATTTCGCTGATGGCGGCTGGCTCTGTTGGTCGCTGTCGTGATAATCCTTGTTGACGCCCTTTGGGCCTGTCGACTTCCTACTACTTTTCTTCTTCGCTTCGCCTGAGCCCTCTTCACCTGAAGCGCCGTGTAGTGATGTTTGGACTTGGCCATCTTGTGTGGCATGTTCATCCACAGTATGGTTTGACTCTTTCTCTCTCTGCTTCTTCAACTTTTTCTTTTCTTTTAGGGTCAGTCGCGGGGCACCATCTGGCAGCGACTTCTTGTTGTTGCTTGGGCTGTCTAATCCATCGCGATTTGTTTTGGACTTCTTGCCCTCCCTCCCTTCAATGACTTGTTCCCATAAGTCTGCGACGTTCGCTGAGGTGACATTAGCGGGAACAGCATGTCTCTTCCGCTTTTTTGAGACGTTAGTCTCTTTGGCGGGTTGAGTGGTATTATTGGCATTCTCTGCTTTGAGATTGTCTGCAGAGACAGCCCAACCAGGGACTGCAAACATGGTGAGGATATAAGTTAGGTGAGAAATCTAAGACACCAGATGCATCCTCAGCATAAATGAAAAATCAAAGCAAAGCCTTGCGCCTTCAGAAATAGATGACGCTGTTCAGTTACTTCAATGTCTTTACTACCCAAACAAGTACGTAGCCACCACGGTTCATGAGCAGAAACTTTTTGTATCGGGGTTTCATGAGGAACCCATTATCGATTTGGCGGCTCGGCCAATAGAAAGACACATCAGCCCACTAAACTGCCGGGGGTTCTAGACAGGTAGCAGACAGCCAGCATCAGGTGCTACGTACCTACCTTTAGGTAACCTTGGGTGGGTACATAGGTAGTACCAAGGTACCTCCTAATAGGTAATTACGGCGCTTCGTGTACTACCAAAGCACCTACAGGCAGAAAGGTGCTCTGAGTCCGTACCTGTTATGTACCTGTTAAATCTCTCGTCGTACAAATACATGCCCTAACGGACAATCAATGGCAATGGCTTCGTTACTTAGGTAATTAATGTTGGTATCCGACTGGGCGATACTTGCTCATGTCCACCCATGCGCGCGATAGTATCCCTCTCCATGTGAAGTATGAAATTACCAAATCAACTAGAGAAACAATGGTGCTGCTCTCCAAGGGACTTCTGCTTGCATAAGTCTTAACTTATCTGGATATATTAGTATTGATTTGAGTCGAATCATTGAGAAGGCAGATGCCTCCCGTACTTATTCCTTTAGTTTCCCACTTCAAAAGACACAGCAGCATCAGCGAGTCTTCTTTTGTCTGAATCTTCCCACCTTCCTTTCGAGCTTGGACCAAACACAACTACCACGACGAGCGCGATAAATTTCCGGAACCATCTAGAACACAGGAACAACCAGAGCCTCCGTCTGGGTGATGGAATGGGATGTTCGTGGACTCTCCGTAGTACGGTCGGGTACGGTCGGGTACGGGCATACCTGGCCAGTGCTCTGCCCCGAATGCCTCCTATCCGAATACAACCAAGCAGCGAGTAAAACAACAGCTGCTTTAGCGCCTGGCTGATTGCCTACCTAGGTATACTCTACACCTATTCACTCACCTAGTAGCCCGGATATAGCAGGATTAGGATGATGATCGTGCTCACATTGCGGGCGGCAACTTTGAACAGCAACACTGTCTCGGTCGTTGAGAATCAGATTCTTGATTTGCAAAACATAGTCTGTCTTACTGCTGGGGCTCCTTTTCATGCATGAAGCAATATAAGCCGTGTAGTTCTTTGCCAGCAACCCAGCCAAATTTTTTTTGGGCTATGGAAGAATAAGCCCTCTGAAGCGTGTTGTCCGTGACAGTGTTGGCGATTAGCAGGAGCGACATCTTGAGCTTCCTATTCTTGGACCTATGGGCTTAGTAAATTCAATTTCAAGATGCCCAATATCTCAATCTGATAGAGCATCATCCTTGAGATATTCGGTTTCTAGGGAGAAAACCTGGATACAACGCTCGAAGGCTACCCGGATGGATTCGTAATCTCTTGGGGAGTAGCCGACAGCATTGGGAGACCAAGGACTGTCTGATGGTAACAGAGCCATCCTGGGCGAAGGCTTGCTGGGGATTGTATACATACCTAAACCATTTTGTCTATTGCGTTGGGGTAGCGCTAAGTATCGCGACTAGTTGTGCGACATACAGAGCTAGAAACGCCGAACTTTGCTCCAAGTCTGCATGTCCAGAATAACCACTTCACACAACCCCGTCAAAAGCAGAGTTTGTGTAGGACAGGGCGTCTTCGGCATGCTGGCGACGAGAAACGCCCATTCTGGTCGCGGTGAAGCATTACTTGTCTGCCGAGTTTGCGTGTTGTCACCTGCCTGCCACGGATTTTGCTTCTGACGGGTTTACAGTTGTATACCTGACTGTAGTTGTGTTCGCCCATCCTTGAAGCCAATCCTACCAGTTCGCGTCTGACTGTCATCAGCATCGTTGTGACACCACAGGTCAATAAACGAGTCGGCTGGTCTCTCTTCGTCCCCACCTCTTTCATTCCCTCCCATTTCCAGCATTTGCGCATTCAAAACCCCGTGAGGACCCGGTTCGCAGGCGCCTCAATTTTTTGCGACAGTAAAGTTGCCGCACCATAGGCTAGAATCCGTTGTCCGTATGCTCGCTACTTCGACTCCTATCAATCGTGGATACCAAATTCTCGCTGTTCTTTCGCCTTGCTATCCGACTGAAAGAAATCGAACGTCTGCGAGTGTTATTCCCAGTATAACCACGGCAACATTCCGAGGCAATCAGGACGCTGCCTGGTCGCCTCCGTGCTTAGAAAGACAAAATTCATCGTTGTAAGTGTTCTGTGCAAAGATAGAGCCTGTTTTGAGGAGATATGGGGTCTATTTAAAGAGGCTCATCTGCTCCCCAGACTATGGGTGAAGTGGTTGTGTTTATCTCCAAAGTTAAAAATACCGACAGGCTGGTCACCCCAGACGAACCAAGGATTCACCACCAAGTGGTTGATCGGATCGTTTATCCCCGTCTTACGGATATCTCATCGCTACCCCACCCTTTCCCATGCTGCCAAGTTCCCAGTGTTAGGGGCGCTCTGAGACCTTATTATTCGTCAATCCCATGAGAGAGCGAGGCCTAGCCTCAAGCTCCATCTACACTATCGCCTGCATCGTCGGCTAGCCTCATGTCTCTCGTCATACCCCTGATGAGAAAACAGTGGCAACCCTGTTCTCCGCTGGCAAGCGTACCTTCCCCGGGCTTGGTCACACGTTTACTTGGGTGCTCTTAGTTCGTACATCAAGCACGCTTGTTCAGGTCCCATCGCCAACAACCAGCCTGCACCTCGTGATTCTGTCTTGGTACCCTGTGTTGAATCTTGTTCATCTTTAGTTACAGCGCAGCCAGCCTTGGGAATTCCGATTCGTTTGTTTTGCGATTTCAGCACTGCCCCTAACACTAAACAGGAAAACACCGATGTCATAGGGGCCTCTGGGTCGCTCCCGCAAGCGACTGTCTAAGTCAAGCCACACCGGCTGCCGGCGGTTATACCCACGCACTATTGGCACAAGGCTATCTTAGACTACCGACCTACAAGCGGGCTTCACACGCATGACTATCTCGAGATAGTCTGCGGCAATCTCTCCGGAGTAACTTGCTGACGTTCATTAGCATGGAGGCCTTATCATTGCCGTCAAACGGTTCGGCTGCCAACCCTCAACAGAGGCCGTCATCACCAGACGGCAATGATGAGAATGACCTTTCGCAAAAGAAGGGACCCGTTCGGAAGCGCACCAAGACCGGTTGCCTTAGTATGTCGCAATGCCCTCAACAACCATTATCGTGACTTGTGCTGAGACCCTCAAGCATGTAGGAAGCGGCGCATCAAATGCGACGAGGGAAAGCCAACGTGTAATAACTGCTTGCGATCTAAGCGACAATGTGAAGGTTACAATCAGCGAGTCATCTTTAAAGACCCTCTCGGCGCAATTGCTGGTGCCCCTTATGGTCCTATTCAGTATCCAGCACCATCGCCTCAGGCTTTGGTGAGGGAACAACAATTATCGGTTGCTCAACAAAGATCTTCGTCTCAATCCCTCCAGATCATCGCCCCAAAACCGCCAGCTGTTGGTTATCACCCGCTTGCTGCGCACCAATTCAGTCATTTCTATCCTAGTCACGTCAACCCCGTTCCACCACAACCCCCTGTAAACTTGGCCCCAAATCAATTTTTGTCACAGCCACAGCCATCTAAATACACTTTCTTTCCACCTACAACTATAGATGCCTTCTCCCAAGGCCATGGCAGGCAGGATATACCTGGGGGTAACAATCGTTATCCGCCGCAAGCCCCTCAGTCTAGTGGCTCTGAAGGGCAGGCTTCGACATCACCACAATCTCGTAAGCAGCTTAATGGAAGTGGCACCTTTGTTGGGGTTGAACCAACAGTCCCGGTGTCTGAAGAGCAACTTGAAGACTGGGATTACGAATTCTATGACGATGATGCGTCATTGGCTGAGTCGGATGACGAATTTCTACCGGCAAATTTGGACTCACAAGGCGGCCTCGATGGACCTGGCGTTGTCACTTCTCAAAGGCTTGACCATCAGTATCATATGCTTGGCACCAACACAAGAACATTTTCAACATTTGGAGCTGAAACAGTACTTGCGACCTATGATCCTTCACCTGGAAACTCTCCTCTAAATGACAAGCATATCGCCGCGGTCTTCTGGCACTTTATTAATGTGACAGGACCAAGTATGTCTATATATGAAAGACATCCGCTCGACCCTTCCAATGTCTTCCAGGGGCAGATGCCAACATCGAAGCAGCATGGATGGACTTGTAAGCAGAAAGTGCCGTTCAGTTGATTGTCTCACTAATTCGACGTAGATGCATATCCAGTCATGTCGTTTAGCCACCCTGCATTACTGCAAGCTATGCTTGCTCTTGCTAGCTTGCAAATCGCCAAACTACAGAAAATCCCGCCAACCGCATCTCTTAAACACTATCACCTGGCACTCAGGAGGGTCGCTAAAAACGTGATGCGCCCTGCAAGGCGTACGCAGACAGCTAATTTGGCAGCAACATTGATCCTTGCCTTCTATGAAGTCTGGAATTCGGATCACGATAAGTGGTGCAGTCATATGTTAGGAGCTAAGTGGATTATTAAGGAGATACCACTTTCGGAGATGACCAGGGCTATCATGGCAATCAAAATGCAGAAACGTCAGACTGAAATGGAACTAGGAATCCTTGGGGATTGCTCCTCGACAGATGACTCCGATTTTCTGTATAGAGATTGGGACCTGATAGATGTGTCGTTATTGAGCACCATCATGGGCCGCGAAGTATCTTGTGACGATCTTGGTATGCTGCCGGAAGAACTGAGTGCACATCCCAGACCGAAATACATCTACACGAATAAAGACATGGAAAGATATGAGCAGCTCAGCGACCTGTTTTGGTGGTACTGTAAGATGGACGTCTATCAAAGTATCCTGGGAGGAACTCGTCCATTGTGAGTCCCTCATTTACCTGATATAGCCGTGTTGAGGCTTACCATGCCAGCTTGGAATACAACACTTGGATGCAATGTCCACCGAGGTCCCCGATCGGGAGACTTGACGCCATGTAAGTCCTTGAGACGTCGAGAAGAAAGTCTGGATTCCGCACAACTGACAAGCTTTAGATATGGGACTTACGACCATTTGATTCTTCTTTTAGGCCGCCTAGTCAATTTTGTATCTCGCGATCTGTCGCGAAAGCGAGCGGCACTGGAACGAAGTGGATCTAGTGGTCCACGGCCGCCTCCAGGCATGTTTTCGGGTATGATGCCGGCTTCAGAAAAAGTGACGCCGCCCATGGGCTTCACCCCTCCGCCCGAAGATTCTTCTTCTCCGCCGAGGACTACTTCCAGGTACCGCACGGCTGATGATCTCGACACTAGAACTGTTGAGGCTGTTCGTGAATGGGAGCAGATCGCTCTGGCTTTTGATGAGATCAGAAAACACTTTGGACCCGATTTCGAGCCTCTGGGAGCTGATATATATCCATCACAACCTACACCATTTGGACCAGCCACCCACTACCGGACATATTCAATTGCTGGGATCTGGATGAACTATTACATGGGCCTCATTGTCCTCCACCGAGCCCACCCAAAGATGCCACCTGTTGCCATGCTTGCTGCCGGCATGTCTGCTAACACTACCATGCCCTGGGCATTCAAACTCAGCCGCATCGCCGCGGGTTTAGAAGAAAACATCACACGTTTGACGGTGGTCAGCACCTTGATGGGTGGCGCATTGATCGAATCAGCATTCCCACTTTTCGTGGTTGGTGTACAAGTAAGTTAACACCTTGGATGTTTGTTCTTGCTTGTAACGTAATATAAATTTGGTTGGGTCCTATTTGCGGACTCTAAGGTCGAATGCGCGTGCCGTTCATCATTCGCTAATTTCATTCTGTTTCGTGTCTTATAGCTCCAAGACGAGGCACAACGGCATTGGCTAATCCGCCGCCTGCGCGACATTGCTCGCCTAACGGGGTGGCAATCCGCCCACCAAATTGCCGACGGCTGCGAGTCGGCGTGGTCTAAGGCGGCACAGCTTGGTCGCGGACCCCCGTATAGACCCCCTCCCGATCCCGGATTTGAGGAAGACGCGAAAGAAGTAAGAGACCGACATAAGGCCAAGGGACGACAAGCACCCAGTCTTAGACCAGATGTCGCGCCACCAGGTATGTCCTGGGTCTGGGGCAATCCGCGCCGGCTCGACCGACGTATTTTGGAGGAGGATGGGACGGCAATTGGAAGCGCACGAGACGGAATGGCCACGGACAATAAAAAGATTGTACTCGCGAAGGGCGAAAAGGCCTTCTATGCCATGGGCTTGCTTAGCGTCGAACAAGACTTCGAAAAATTAGATCTGGATTCCGGAGATCGAGAGAAATAACTAGAGCTCTGAGGTGTAAGATTTTTTTTAAAGATTTATTCTTTCTTTCAAGTTGGGAAAAGGGAGGTTTCCTTCAGATTATCGTTACGTTCTTTTTTTTTTATTTCACTATCAAGTACGACACAAACCGGATCCGATTGAAAGGTTGGGTAGATAGTAGGTTTTATTTAGATACGCTGTCAGCATTTCGAACGAGGGATGAAAAGCGGCTGGGTTTTACCAAGTTCCGTTGCAAATCAGGCGGCAGAGTCCCCTGCGTGGTACGTTTATGACACATGGTTGTGAACGCTTATCATCAGATGAGTCTAGAAATGCTTTCATGTTGACTTGGCTTGTCCGCAATAAGCAAGTAGAAACCTCTATTTGCCTTCCTTCTACTAACCTGATGCTCTTCTAGCCGGACCCTAGAACAATATTACTGTTCTCTAGTCCTTTTAGTTTGCAGGTAGCCGCTCAACAACCGCAGCCATCTCCTCATCCGTGTATATTCTGAAGCCCTTTTCTTTAGTGACACTTGCCAGTTGTACGTTCTTGGCATCTAGCTTTTCCTCCATTACTTGCTTCAAGGTCTTGAGTACGAGCATCTCAGCGTCTGCAATTGTGAGGGACTGTTGGCAGATGTAAGCAGACAGTTCATACACACAGCAGCGAAGGCACACTAGATTATTGGTCGATTTCGGACCACTTACCTTATGATACTCGTTCTGGAGCTCCGCCTGGGCACCCTCGCTTCCTGAGCCAATAGCTTTGGCGTCGTACCGGTAGAAAGTGCCACTCGGCTCAGCGTGGTAGAGCTGAGGGCCATCCTCATCGTAGCCCGCGATGAGCAGAGCGACACCAAATGGACGACTCATGATACTCTCCTCTCCATCAGCACTCTCGCCGAAGCGTAAGGCCAGGTCGCAGATGGCCTGGGTGCAGCTCTCGACACGTAGGTTCTCGTTGTAGTTGAAGGCATGCGACTGACACTCGACGCGGGCGTGTTCAACCATGCTGCGCGCATCCGCCTGCAGCCCCGACATAGCGCATCCAATATGCCGGTCGATCTCAACAATCTTCTCGACGGATGACGTCTCAAGGAGTGTCGACGTCACCCGCTTCTCTACGCCTAGCACTACGCCCTCCGATGTTGCTACTCCTATCGCTGTCGAGCCGAGCTTGATCGCCTCGAGTGAGTATTCGACCTGGAACAAACGACCCTCAGGTGAGAACGTGCTGCGCACGGTGGCACGGTTAGTAAGGGAGTCGATGGGCAGTTGGCGTAAATGTGCCGGGAGGGCTAACTTCGCACGTACTTGATACCACGATCTATTGAAATGACGTTAGAAGACTAAAAGAACAAGAGCCCGCAGCACAAAGCCGTGCTAAGCAGGAATGTACAGCTGCTTACCATATTCGGATCTTGCCATAAACATCTTGACGGTGTTGGGGGGGTTATTGACAGAGAGGGAAAGAGGAAAAGTTCTGGAGTGTAAATCGAGCTGAGTTCGAGAGTGTCCACTCGATTTTGAATCTACGTAGTAGATGAGAGAATAGTTGGTGAGCTAGGAAGCTTGATCGGTTTGCAGTGTTGATATTTTGAGGTAGATGGAAGCTCCAATACAAAGCTCAAGGCTGCGACGACGTTTACGAAGCTCGACCTGTTTGTAGCCCCGTTGACGTTGCATGGGGGCTGTCTACTCCGTACCAGTGGTCTTAAAGGGTACCTAGGTGCGTGAGCTAGGCGTACTTGTAGGTACCTACTTCCGCCTAGGGTATCTCCTTAGGCCTTCAAGTACCTTTGAGATTGATGCCAGGGAGGGTGTGTGGCCCCAGCTGTAGTGAGCTACACACCACGTTAGGTACTCATGTGGGTACCCATAGGTACCTACCTAGGTACGTAGTAGATGGGTGATTGCCCCTCCTTACACCCCCTGCTTCTACCTACCGGAGGTATGTACCTGGGTACCTAGGTAGGTACTTGCACTATGTAATATGCCCATTAAGAATCCCAGTCGCCTTTTAACTGCTTCAACGCGTGCGGCGCGTTATCGTTAATTGCGTTGTCGCCATCTTCTACCAGAACAGCTCACGGCAATTTGAAATATATAGTTCCAAATGTCGCCAGCCCGCCGCTGTTGCCATAATGTCATCGAGACCCTCCAATTATGCAGAGAGGCGCACCAATAGCACCGCCGAAAGTAATGGCAATCAGAGGCCGCGCGCTGCTGCCGCCTCGTCGGCCCAGCCAGCAGCCGATTCACGAACCGGCCGTTCACCGCATACGAGCTTCACCAATACGGCTCACAAGAGATCCGCGTCTGGCAATCCACGACCTGGTAGTCGAATAGTGGACGAGCGAAGGACTGAGCGCATGACCGTAACAACAAGAGAAAAGCTCATAACTCGGACAATGAGTACTGAAAGACGCCCCAAAGAGACAGCCCAGCCAGAGAGGGAGAGATGGAGGTCGAAGGAGGGCTCTAAACCGCGACAGACTGAGACGAAGCACAGGGAGTCAAGGCCAGATCCTCCGACGAGTGAGGCTACCGCATCTTGCTATACCTAGGGCAACTAGCTAACCATATGCGCACCTCGTAGCTTGGGACCCTATAGCAACCCTCGTGCCGCATTCCACAGCGCCTCTCGCGATTCGAATATCAGCAGCACCCTTAGCTTCGGAGGCACCAATAACACAACAGCCCCAGCCCATTCATGAGCTATCTTTGGAGGTGCAAGAAGCGGTTATGGTAGAGGATTTGCTCTTCGTTTTCATGGGTTATGAGGGGCAATATATTCGCTACTCTTATGGTTATAATCCCTCTGATGAAAGAGATCGACTACAAGGACCAACTTTTAAGATCTTGCCGGGCCTCGATCCCAGTCTACAAGACCTCGCCTTATCTATGCTTCAAATGGCTACCCACCACTCAGCTCTCGAGATGTTTGTCAACGTGCAGAGTCGACAAGAATTTGGTGTCGTTAACCATGCTCTATGTGCCGCAATCCGGAGATTCTTAAATGATTACCTTGTCATGATCGCTCAACTCGAGACTCAGTTCTTAACAAATGAAACCTTTACTTTACACCTACTTCACGTTCATACTCTTCCTACCAGCCAAATGATGTCTCAACTTTATGCCTTGGCCTCCGACCTCCTTAAAAGAAATGCACTCTTAGATGACGAGAGTGAAGAAGAGTCAGAAGGTGCTGAAGACTATGACAATATTATAGAAAATCTCAAGCGAGGTGGCGATCTTGTGCCGGGAAATATGACCGGGAAGAAAATATGCAAGGGGGGTGTAGTTATCGACTTGATAACGAAAAGGCTTGAATCCATGTCTGGCGACCCAGCTGCCAGGTCCTTGCTCACTTCCCTCTTGCGAGATGCAAGTCGGCCGTACATGGCTATGCTCAATGAATGGCTTCATCACGGTGAGATCAAAGATCCACATTCTGAGTTCCTGATCAAGGAGCAGAAGAGTATGCGACGCGACATGCTGGAACAAGATTACACGGATGATTATTGGGAGAGGAGGTACATGATACAGAAGCACAATATTCCACCCCAACTTGAAGGCGTCAAAGATAAGGTTCTGCTTGCTGGCAAATATCTCAACGTCGTGCGAGAGTGCGGTGGGGTAGATATCAGCAAAGTGACTCGAGACCTACCCACCTCATTTGACGACCCCAGGTTCCTCGACAACGTCAATAACGCTTACGCCTATGCAAATCAGTCGCTCATGGAGCTCCTAATAACCACGCATGCGCTTCCAGCAAGGTTACGTTCTTTAAAACACTACTTTTTCCTAGACCCGTCCGATTACTTCACGTACTTCATGGAGTTGAGTGCGTCAGAGCTGCGCAAGCCTCCGAAATCTGTCAACACTGTCAAGTTGCAGTCGCTTCTGGATCTCGTTCTTCACCAACCAGGAAGTATAGTCTATCTAGATCCATTCAAGGAGGATGTTCACGTTGAAATGAATGAAGTCAGTCTTATCAAAATGTTGCAGAGGGTTGTAAATATTACTGGAATTGAGCCAGGAGAGTCGTTACAGCCTGCCAGCAACCAGCCCATTGAAAATGATAAGAATGCGGTGGGATTTACGTCACTACAGCTAGACTACAAGGTGCCTTTCCCCGTATCTTTAGTCATCAGCCGAAAGACTGTCTGGCGATACCAAGCGCTTTTTCGCCATCTGCTATCACTGAAATATCTCGAATCCCAGTTATCTACAGCATGGCAAACCCACAACACCGGCATCGTGTGGAGTCATAAGTCCTCCTCCAGGAAATTAGAGGTTTGGAAAAGGCGGGTATGGACATTGAGGGCGCGGATGGTTGTGTTCGTGCAACAAGTGCTGTACTTCTGCACCCTGGAAGTCATCGAGCCCAATTGGCATTCTCTTATGTCAAGGTTGAAAGCCAAAGATGGTAGCTCAGATGGCTCGGGAAAGCCAGACCGAACAGTAGACGAACTCATGCAAGATCATGTGGATTTCTTGGACACTTGCCTCAAAGGCTGCATGCTAACGAATGGCAAGTTAATAAAGGTACGGCTCTTCATCAGCCTCATTGCTACGTTCCATTCGCTAACTATCTTTAGATCCACTCAAAGCTCATGCAAACCTGTACCTATTTTGCACGCTACACCCATTGGTTGTCTCAGCAATTAGGGGAAGCTGATTCGGATCTTGTTGGCCCCTTCAAGCCGCCTAATATGTCAGCCAAACAGTGGGCGCGGTTCCAAGCCGCAAAAGATCAGAGGTCGGCTAATGACAGCTCGTTAAATGGCCAAGTTCAAGATGAAGAAGGTCGGATTAGCAATTTGTTTGAGATCCTCAAAAAGTGGGAGACCAACTTTAGCCGCCACTTACAGATCCTATTGGATGCCCTGAACCACTATGCGGCGACCGAGACAGTAGTGCTTCTAAGTCTTTGTGCTAGATTAGCCACTGCGAACCAGGGAACCGAATATGCCGGGCTACGCTCTGAAGAGGACGGCGCTTCCTGAGGAGGAATATTGGTGACTCAATCTCGGTATGTCAGTTGTGCAAGTAGGTGAAGTGCTGTAAAGCTGATTGTACCGATATCTACGGGGGCTCTGTATAGAGAAGTCCTGTCAAGCAAACTAAACACCACACTATACCACGATCAAATTTTGATGCTTGGGAGAAGCACAATCAACTAACCTTACTTATTTTGGTGCTACAACTTGCGTAACCTCGAGGGTGTGAAGGCCTTCATGTACGCGTGGTTTCAGACTCAGTGCTGAAGATGTGGCAGAAATGTTGTCTTCGAACACTGAACTGATACCAGAGTCGACGTACAACTTTGCAGAGTGAAGATATTCTTTTATTCCCATAATGCTCTAAACCTACGCCTTTCCCATGCAATGCTGCTTATTGGCTGATAGCTCATTTCTTGGCACTCAAGATGGGTTACAGTTCAAGTTACCTAGTCATACAACATGTATCATACAGACTTCGTAGTGCTCTTCGCTTTCATGAAATCGTTGACCAGCAAGGGTGTGCTTGGTGTCACCGTTTGTGGGTTCTATGCTCTCAACATAGCGCACTCCGTAGGTGAGAGCCGCCGCCACATTGTAAGCCCGTAAAAAAAGGTTACGTGCAGGGTAGCGCTACCTTTATCTTCAGCGGGTATGCTGGGGGCTCTCTACGCGGACACAACCTCCTTCACGACGCGGGCAAGCTCAGCCTTCTCGACATCCTTGCCATCCAGCGGCCCACCAGGGGCCAGAAGCGTCTTCATGATGTCGCCCATCTTCGCTTTCTCGTCACCGAGCCCGGCAACGACATCCCGCACGACGACCCGGAGCTGGTCGCTAGACAGCTCCTCCACGCCGCTGTCGGCCATATACTCATTCAGCACCGCAATCTGCGCTTCTTCCTTGGCAACCAGATCATCGCGACCCGCGGCCGCAAACTCATCTCGGGCGTCGGCGCACCCTCGAGCCTGCTTGCGGAGCAGGCCTACCAAGGCGGCGTCGGTCGTGATGGGGGACGACGTCTTCGATGCGTTGAGTGTCGAGGATAATGCGGCGCGCAAGACGGAGAGTCGCGCTGCATCCTTGGCGCGCATTGCAGTCTTCAAGTCCGCCTTGAGCTTCTGTAGCAGAGGAGGCGCCGGCGCGTCGCTGTAGCTGCGGAAAGATGCGAGAGAGGGTATGCGAGAGGGTAGTCGGCTGGCCTGAGGGCGCAGCAGGCCTGTCGCTATTCTCGTGCTTGGTCGGAGGGACATTGTGAGGGTGAAAGGTAGGTAGGGAGGGAGGGGGAAAGGGGTCGGGGTTGCCGGCCTGATATCTCGCTAGATTGTCGGTGCGTTGGGCACAAAGGGCTTGGACCAGGGTGGACGTTGGGTTCTTGCAGATAGCCTAACCCGCGACAGTTTTGGATGATGACAATTTGAAGGTCGAAGCTTGAAGCGTCGGTAGTTCGAACTCCAAACACAGCAGGTCGTTGTTAATTTTAAGATGGGATCCTGGTGCTTGAATTGGCCAATCAACAGGCTTGGCCGCGGTTGGCAGCCATCTGGCGGTTCTCGGCTACAGGGACCTTCTTTGTTTCCCTAAGGGGTCATGTCGGCAAATTGTATTGGCTCAGGCTTGCTTCGTTCTTCTCTTCACACTACGGTACTGGGAATTAAAAGAACTGCATATCATGCTGGGATTAGTTGGTTTAATCTAACTAGCTTAACAGTAACTACCTACATACCTAGGTATCTTTGGGGGATACATATGGAGGAAATGTCTCGTTTAAGAGCTTAACAATTCGTTGTCTAGTGTACATATGAGTAGAGGTGTCTCTATACGGAGTACGTATGTGTACATAGTTAGGTAGTTACAGGTATGTACTACATCATACATGTAGTACAGATATCGAGCCAAGTACATGCATACATACATACCTATGTACCTATATATGTATGGATATATATACATATGTATGTAATGTACCTACTTCAGCATCTATCGAGATGTACTCCCTACATACCTAGGTAGTACATACATACCTACAATGTACATACATATGTAGTTTGTAGTAGTCTTCCTGGGGACGACATCATTAGGCAGTCACGCTGAATCATCCACGTGCAACCATGTAAAGAGCATCTGTCAAGTCTGTATTAGCCGGTTCGGGTTGCCTCGCTGGAGTTTGATTCGCCGGCAACCTGAATGCCATCGTCTTGGCACAAGGCTTGTTTGGGCATCATCGATGCGCCATCTGCCATCCACAGCCAGAGTTGGCATTGCATCGCTGGATCAGTATCGTCTATTGCTGGCCAATCGCGCCCGGAACTGCAATCTCCAGCATCAGTTCGAGAGGAAGTCGGGGTAGCCGGAAAGACCAGCACCGTATCACTTGCAGCCATAGTCTCCCCTAATTCACCAACATACCAAGAGAGGCTCGTCGGTAGTGTCACGATGCCTAACGTCGAAATAAAGAATAAAAATGGGCTAGGAAGATCACCTGATCAGAACCAACAGCGACAAGCTGGCTTCACAACAAGGGTCGGAATGCAAAGTTGTATTTCCGCGGCTGGCCCACATGCACCCAGACAAGCCTCCCTCCGTAACTGGTACCACGATCCGCGGCCACGCTGCTCAGGATGGGTAATTTTCGACCTCTACTCTTCTCTGGGGTTGCCTTGACGGCTATCTTGGGTTACACGGCCAGCCTCGAAGCACTACCCGAAAAGACTGAGAGCTGCCATCTTGGACTCCTTGTCCGCTGCCTGATTGGTCATATGGAGTAGTAGTCAAGGAACAGCCAAGTCCAGTGAGGGCACCACCGCCCTTCCAGTGGCCGAGAAGCCCACTGCGAACCACTGCCACATCATCCGTGTACAGAAACCCTGTAGGGGGCCATAGATAGCTGCGTGAGAGCAAGTGAGCAACCTAGTCGTGGAGTCCATCAGAGTGATCCCACCACTAAGAACGGAGCGTCCAGGTCCCGACCGACTGACAGTCTTGCGCAAATGGATAGTCCCAACCTTCTCTACACTGTCAAGTCCCTATAGGGGAGCCCGCTCGGTCTTGGATAACGGCGGCCCAGTCAGCTGGCATGGGTTCTATGAATGGTCACATCGTGGGAGGAGTTCAGCAATAATTAATGCTTCTGATTCGTTACCCTGCCCTCGGGACTGTTAATTCAAGTCTGGCAGAAACCTTAAGCCAACCTCATCCCCTCCTTTCTCTGATCGTATTCTATACCAATTCATTGTTCACCCGAAAACTGCTTGTTGTGTCGTGTTCTCAAGCTTCACCCCAATTCACTTCAGCTGTGCCTTTTGGTAGCATACTGGGCCAATGGATTCTGCTGATTGCGTGCATCACTTAAGGGGTCTGTTCCTTACGGCCCAGCGCGTATACCGCGGACTCGCTTACGAGAACACGCGCCATTAGCAATATACACTCCTCCGTACCGGAGGCCCGGACATATGAATCAAGCGACAAATGGGCAACAGCACAGTGTGATGCTCCTTGGATGTAACCAGTCGAAATTCCAAATTGCATTCTCGAATGTGGCCTATCTTCGGGGTTTCTTACCCACGCAGACATATCTTCAACCAAACCATTAGAAACATCGCAGCAATGGACACCATTCAGGAAAGACAGCACTCACAAAGGGAAGTATGGCTAGGAAGACGTAGCGACTGTCAGCCTAGTCCATATTCAAAACAGAATAGGATGCTGGGAGCAATGAGATTTATACCTTAAGCGCTGGGTTGGCAGCTTCCGCTCTCGCCTTTGCCACCAAAACGTGAAATTCAGTAATTGACATACTAAGGTCGCTGTTAATGTCACCCGTTATCTCAGCATTCAGTTGACGAGAGCTTACCTAAGATAGTGGGTGAAAGGGTATATCGCTTGGGACGACAACAACATTCGGATATTTTCCTGGTTTGCGGCTCCAATATCATACTCTCTTTGATCTGCAAGAGCCAATTTAGCCAATACCAAGGTTTGCCTTACGACTGCGTTCCTTACTATCCGACCAGGCACACATTGGCAGTGGGATCATGCGCTCATCTACGTCCGTGAAGCCAGCGTGTCTAAGCCAGCTTCCAAGCCGGCGAGGAGCCCTCGGGTTCTTGCACTGCTCCATCGCAAAGAGATAGGTCTGCGACCACTGCCGAAGAGCCGAGTCTACAAACAACGTATAAGCTCGATCCCATGGGTGCCACACGTTTGTGCGACACTTACTATCCGTTAGAGCACCATTATCTGACTGCGCATTAAAATCAATTTCAACCATTTGAACCCAGCCGCCCGGGCGAAGGCACCGGAGTATATCGCGGATATATTCGGTCCATCGCTCGCTGTTGATTCCGCCTGCTACCAGCCTGCTGTTGATGAGATCGAAATGGTTCGAAGGAAATTGAAGTCTGTTTTCTATGTCAGACCCTTTCATGTTTGGTTGGGTCAGACCTTACGACATATTGAGATCGTCGATGTCGAGGTATAGATTCTCTAAGCCTTCCTCGGGGTTGTGGTGGTGCGGCGTTATATCGATACCTCGGACCTAGTTCCCGATATCAGCGAACAAAGACCTAGTATAATTCAACTGCTTTGCTTTACAGCCTCGCCCGGTCTGTTGCTTTGATTGCCGTTTCCCTCCTCTTCTAATTTTGCATGCAGAGACACTGTGGTGTTTCCACAAGCAGTGTTGTTGCAGAGCCTTCCTCGCACAGCCGGAACCAAGTAGGCGGAAAGGTGTCGCCGGATTTGCCCGGAATTTGCACACAGAACAAATAACTACCCAAGACGAGAACGATATCAGCAACAAAATTTTTGATCTGCGCACCTCGCATCTAGAGTGCTCCCAGGCTACTTGGAGAGCCCACTTCGTAGAAGTCAGTATTGTACTCGATAAGGAAAGTTACGGTGTACGGTCTACCAGTGTCCCAGTATGAGGATGAACCTGCCAAGGTATCTGGATACGAGGAAGAGCAGCTCGGAGGAAAATCAAGAGAGTATTGATGACAAAGTGAGCACCTCACCTCTCCTGTCCCAAATCCGCAATCAAGGACGCGTCTCGGTGAGTCAAGAGGCGGGAAAATGAGTCTATTGTCGAACATCATAGTCAAGACGCCATGTTGGATCCGCAATCGAAGGGTTTCATCCTGAGTAACCCACACATTAGCATTGCACTCCACTCTCTATTACATTCTGGAGATGAGTAGGGCATGACGCACCTCGTCAACGGGAACGAAATAGGTGTTGTTGTCGATGGCATATCGCTGAAATGATCGGTTGTGAAGAACAAACGTTTCTTGGACCTCATCGCTAAGCTCCACGGTGTCGGCTTGACTGTCGACTTGTCAGCAGGTCAACAAGGGCCCCGGACTAAGGGCAATTACTCGGCCATGTTTTGAACAACCGTGTCTCTCTAGACAATGGTATGTGTGTCTCTTGCTGTCTTCTTCTCTTTTCAATATCGAGGCAATTTTTCCACTTGTTGCTTGCTTGCTAAGTGCGGTGGAGGTCGTCACTGTCGCACATAGAACCTCTTGAGAGCTTGACCGAAATCCCCTAATAGGCTTACCCGACCTAGATCTTAATTACCTCAGCCCATGAACCACCAGCATGGGTTCCCAAATTGATTCTACTATTCTGCTCTCCCCGAGCTGTAACTAGTATCCGCGAGTTGCAGGATTAATGTGCTACGGCCTTAGACTTATGTGGAGCTAATGGGTATTATGACCTGTTCGACAACCACTGCATGATAGTCACCCACACGCATCACCTCGGACCCCACGAGGTTATTAGTACCGCTGCCGATCGGGCACCGCATCTATTTTCACAGATTTCTGATTCCTTTATAATAAGACCTTAGCCTTGTTAACGTTGCTGCGAGTCAATCCATAGCATGCATAAGAACCCGCAACAAGATGCTGGGGGTATACCATCGCGCAGATTAACCTGGTTCCACTAGCTAGGAGAGGGAAAAGATGACATTGAGAGGCACCACGTCTCACTACAGGTTGCCCGCATTGACTGTACGCCTCTCTGGCGGTAGACAGGCCTGGTCGAAGCTACAGACACAGCATTTGACATTATTGGGTAGTAATGGCTTTGTTGTGTGGCCTGATAGGGTCCAGGGCCACTCGTAAAGGCCAGAGTAACGTCCATACTACCTAATAGAACTAGCATGGTCTACTTCTTTTCCCCTGTTTTCTAGACACACACATTCCTTGTTGCCCACTCGTCCCTCGCAGCTGCAGGTTGCGGTTCAACCGGCTAACGCGTACCCTTGACCAGATGACCAAGAGCGGAGGAAGTTCGAAGTTTGGGGAGGGTTTGTCGGTAAATGAGGCCAGGCCTTACGGGGAAACATAAGAGCTCTTGAGTGCCGAAGACAAACGCTGATCTCGACACTGTGAGCTATCATCCGCCAAATGACCCGAGTGGCGCACAACAGCGGTGCTCAAGGATCCCAAGCCAATGGATCAGCCGGGTAGCTAACGCCTTTCGTACATGGCATAGAATATTAATTCACTGCCCAGACACTTGGGTCCAGCGAGACGGGGTCAGTCAATGTACCGATGGGATTGTCTATGCTCCCACAACTGGTAACGCATGGGTATGTTGTTCCCTGTTGCGACGCTTGAACTTCCTGGCAACCTGGATACTCGAAAACGATTTGGCATAGCCATAGAAGAGCTAGGGAATGACATATGGACATAACGAGATGTGTGGTCTAACGCTATAGAGTTGTGATATACAACCTTCTTCCCGTCTTGCTAGCTGCTGGCTAGTCTCAAGTAGACATTTTCCCTAGGCCGCTTTGTGGGCCGCCGTGACGGTAAGTGAGGAGAGGGAGCACAACCGTTTAGCTGTTCATCTAACTCTGCTGTATCGGAGGGGAAGCTCGGGAGTTACAAGACACCGGATCAGCTTCCTCATAACGCTATCGATTATACATTACAAGGCGTCTAGGTAGTCCGACCGGGCATTATGTCGAGGGTGTATGCAAGAAGAGAGCAAAAAGGAACAGCCACCATGTTTCGTAACGGGTGCCCCCTTTGCGATTAGCGGACTGCCAGGTCATTGCTGCCTCATCTCACCGCTACACGCCCTTCAAAAAAGTTTCTTACCCATCAACCATCATGGGTCCAGCGAGTCGGTTTCATGCAGAGCCTAGGAATCTACATAGTAAACAAAAGCCTTTAGCTCAATCGCCTAACCCCCTGTCAACACCACCACAATAGGTACAGTAGTAGCCTCAGGGAGAAACAAGCTATCACTACTCCGTATAGTACCCGCATAGCACGGCATCATCGATACTTCCCTTCGTTGTTCCCCATCCCACGAGACCAGTGCGAATTGTCAAATAGAGCAGGCCGGCCATGGTGGAGTTTGCGCTTCGCCTAGACACGCCACGCGCGTGGAGAGGGCGGTATCAAGGGCTGCAGCACTTCGACAACGCAACTCACCTGTCTCTTGACCAAGAATCATATACTTTTACTACAGCGAATGATATTGTATGGAGCTTAAACTTTACACGCCATTGCAGTATCATCAGTATCATCTAGCATCATGAGGGCAAAGGTTCATGGAGCTCTTCAAACTCGTATATATAGGTGCATGAACCTAGTTATTAACATGTGCTCGCATGCTGGTGTTGCTAATGAGCGCTCCTGGTGTAAAGGAATCATACATAGCGTATCTGCCCGCAAATGTGAACGCCCCCAGGCTTGTTGGTCTACCCATAGAAGGTTAGAATCTCTATGGTCTCAACCCCTGTCTGGGAGGTCCGAAGAACGACTCCGCTTCGCCGCCTTTGACACAAGTAGGCCATGCTCAAGATGGTTAACCAGTTGGCTTTAGAGTCCCTTGACGCACGCAATTTTCCCTGCCGGGCCCCCACAAGATCAGACCGACGAGAAATTACCTGCCGGGAATGTCCCAAAGTGCTGGGAACTTGTGTGTCAGCCAAACAATCGGCTGCGGCCCGGTTAAGTAGTCATAGTAACAACAATGGACCACATAGTTAGAAGCTGCCGAAACAAGCGGGCCACAGACTACGGCGACGAGGCAGACGAAGTGGGATCGTACTGTACGACTTGCTCTACTCTCGCGAGCTCAATGCAAACACGTATATGTATATGCCGTCTAATGTACCAAACATAGGAACATGGCGATATGGGACGCGGATGGTATCGCGACATAGGTAGCTGGTATCAGCATGGCTCCCTAGACTAGCCTACAAGGAGACTCCTTCTCATCCTTCGACATGTCTTACTTTATTTTAGTGAGCATGCATTAGCGTGTACCAGAGCATCGGGTCAGACAGCTTGGTAGCTTTGTGGGCATGCGTACCCATACCCAAGTTAATGCTGCTGACTCGCAACGTTTGCCAGGAACAGGAACGATATCAGCTCCTTCGGTGTCGAGCGTGTGTTTGTTTGCTGTGCCCCTATGGACAAACGTCAGCACGGGGTTACCGCAGCCGGCTGGGGATTGCCTCAGATGTCTGATCCCGAAGAAAGTGTCCAACAGTCACGGAATGCGCCGCGTCCTTCTGGCCTGTCAACACTTGGCACATCCTCGTTCACGTGGACTAGGCACCGCTGCAGCAGCCAGTGTGAAACGATAATACGAAATACAATGGGAATGGGGTGATTCGCGCTCCTGTTGTAGTCTACTCAGTACTGTAAGGTGACACGATGAGTCCAAGCAGCGTTTGCCCACCGCATACTGTATGCTACAGTACGTTTGCTACTCGAGGGATGACGAGCGATTGATTACGGTCATATTGCTACTGCGCTACATACCACAGCGGATCCCACAGCTCCGCGCCGCCTAGCAATTTGATTAGTAGGTTAAGCCCGAGAATCCCGAGCATGTCTGGCACTCAGGCCCAGTCGAATCATTTAGCCCACTTTGGCTGAATTAACCCGAGTGTCTGGCTCCCCCTCGAAACGCCTTGGTTTCACTGGATCCACGAACCTGGCGCAAGGAATCGCCAGCGTTTGGGCGATGAGCGGGATTCGTCCCGGCCCAGCTGCTGCAAGCCACCTTCCAATGCACTGTACCCCCTTGAGGGGTACGGCAGGAAACGCGTAGTGTACATACTTATACATATCTACCCACGGCTTATAGGCATACCACGCCGGTTTTTCTCTCGTTGTCTAGTCTTTGTCGCACAGGCACGTCGATACTAGGTACTACGAGGGCTTACCAACGATGAGAGCGAAGATCAGGAGCAAACGTGGCCGGCATAGCGGAAGCTATCCGACATCTTACCTCAGCTTGAATATTGAGGCCTTAGTAGTTCACATAGAGCTACACAGTAGTTAAGGTTTGGCAAAGCACTTGACCGGTGTGACCGAGACCGTTCGCTCCAGTTTGTCCCAGCTAGAGCGCGCCGCTGTCAAACAGGCGGCCCACGGCGCAGCGAGGGCGACAGCATGTGTTACACCCAACATACATATGCACATCCAAAAGCCACTGCAACCACAAACCTGGCCCCGTATCGGTTCTGACGTGTCATCCTACGAAAAGTGTTCCAAGCGTCATCTACCACGGTGCCGCTACCGATCGCCCAATACCGTGGCTCTGGAATGGATTCAAGCGGCAAGCTTGTGGCGCGACGCAGTAGCACAGCAGTCTCCGGCGAATAGTGTGCCTCACTTGTCAATAAGCAAACTTTCCAGCAGCCGTAGCGAAGCTGCCATTCGCTTCCTATTCATCTTCGAATTCAAGGGAGGCCTATATCTTACATCAGCACGGGAAGCACGCTCCAATGGGGTATGGGTGGCGTGTTATGAATGGCCTCAGTTCCGCCTCCAAGTAACGGGATCAGGTCCCTCTCGCAGGGTGATTTGACTCACCCGTAAGCAAATAGATGCCCCTGGCATTGCAATGCTGTGTGCCATATGAGATCGCCATAGTAGTCATGGCCACTACCGAGAACATGGGATGATGGAGCGCCACGGCAACCCAACACCGCGCCATAGGCGGCATACTCTCAAGTGACTTGGAGTTTTGCTGTAAAGGATGCGTTGAAGACTACTTACATAAAGTGCACACCCGAGGACATATCGCTAACCGACACTGATGAAGGCAACTCGAACCCTAAGCATTAACTATCCCAACGGTGTAGTCTGGCCGAAAGAAGGGGTTGGATAAGTGAGCACCAGTCGCTGTTCCAGCCTCCACCTGAATCACCACAGTCATCATGGCCAGTGGGTCAGCCAGTCTTGCTAGGGGTATATTCCAATGTAATTGTTGCTTTCCAACCCCGCCGCCTCCCTGAGAATTCGATACGTGAATGCCTGCCCTTGGCTTCCATCGTTTGCAACACGCAGCTCTAGTCGGATTTTACGTGGTAACATTGCGACGTTGCCGCGCAGCTGGATACTCAGTTACTGTACCCGGTAGGATGTACGAAGTAGCGTAGGGACAGACAATACGCATGTTATGTGTAATGCTTTCTTCTCTGCACGACTCCTGCACGAGCATAGGCATCTACCTACCGACCAACCCTACCTACTACTACCTACATGCTGCAGTAGTAGCATCTATGCCTAAAATCTGTAGGTGCACGGTATTTATGCATGGGCTACTGTACATGCATCTGCTCTACTGCTCTGTCGGGATACCGAGGAGAGAGAATGAGGCGGGGAACAAGAAGTCCCAGACGGGGTCCCGTACAAGTCTCCATATCACGAACCTATCCAGTGTGAGACATGCGGGCAGGAACGCAGCTAGACATAAAGAAACAGACAGACGGAGGGACCAGAGGGGACGCACACGCGCATGCACTGTAGACATTTGCAAAGTTAGATGTGTAGCGTTGCATCCAAGATATGCATGTCTTAGACAGATTGAAGAATGCTTGATAACATTCACACCCGGCAAAGCTAACTAACCCAGCCAGCCAGCCAACCAATCACCACCGGTTCGCCAACCCCGTCTGATGCAACATGAACTCACGCTCTCCTGCTCTTCATCCACAAAAAGAAACTCCTGAGTACTATGTAGAGACAGACAAGCATGAGGGGATTGACGTTCAACATTCCCTACCTAACCTAGCAACCTGCCTAGCCAGATAGCTCGGTTAGACAGATAGTGTACGAAAATCAAGAGAACAAGCATCTCGACCTGCGGCTGGCGGGACGAACTAGGCAAAAGAGGGGGTGAGGGGGTTGAGGAAGAGGGGAGAACCAGGAAAAGAGAGAGAGAGTTGCGGGTCGGCCCGTTTTATGTCTGCTTGTCTATCTATCTACCTATCTCTGTCTAGCCTGTCCGTCCGTCTGTCAATCTGGACTGGTCTAATTCCGGCCTGGGTCTTGTTTTGGCGGCAAGGTGAATGAATGATTCATCCATGGCTAAATGAACATAGGACTAACCTACATATAACCTCCCTAGCGTACACTATCCAAAATAGGACATAGGTGCATATTTACACGTCCATATCCCAATACCACATGGCATTATATGACCTTTTCTTGCTCTCAACCCAGTCCTACTACTACCATTTTTCTATACGGCTGGCACAGTTTCGTATTCCTCCCTCTTCCAGTCCTTCTGTGTAACCCCCTCTTTCCGCCAAGACTTGATCTTTCTCCTCTGTGGACTTTTTATAATACGCTACCTACACTTTAATATCGCTTTCGTGAGCACATCGGAATACGCCGAATATAGTGAGTGGGTAGGGAAGATAGTTAGTGTGATGTAGAAGGGAAAAAAAAAAAAAAACCTCAGTGCCGGAACTTTTGCAATACGCGCTAACCAGCCCGAGCCCTTTTGTTCTTCTTCTTGTTGTTTTTATTTCTCAACTTGCATGCGGTGCTAGCGTGCTCTCGGGGAGAGCTCGGGTAACGTGGAAGTGAGGCGTATATTATAAGGGTATGAAGCATAATACCTACGATTACTATACATGTATTATGTACTGTATGTACTATAGGTAGTACCTACCACTAGCTATAACAAAATTGGGAAAAGAAAAAAGAAAATGAAAGGGAATAATGGTATCCGAGATCAATGAAGTAAGGGCGACACGATTTCTGCACGATGTCTTAGAAGTACTCACTCGCCAAACGAGGTAGATTGGTATGTCAGGCTATCGTAATCGAGGATTTCTTGGCTCGCGTAGACGAACTCAACCTGCCCTCCTAAACTAGTAAGTAGTCAGGTCCAACTTGGCCCAGCTCCAGTTACAGCTCTCGTTGTATGAACAGAGAGGCCCAACTCTCGGACCTCTAAGTATTCTCAAACCTCGACGTCTTTGTAAGTATCTACTTACGGTAGTATAAGCGCGAATCATGATGACTTGCCTATACCAGGGGTTGTTCCTCCGGAACTATTATCCGTCTTAAGCTCTTTTGAGCTGATATCTCATCTTACTAACCATTTGACTAATCTCATACATATATGTTAGCTTAGATAACATTCTACACGTGTAAAACCAGAGCGCCTAAGCTCTGTGTCTTTCCTTACTATACTTACGAAAACCCTTCCTTTGTAACTGAGACCACGTACGTACTCATGACCTCATTCCCCGATAGACCGGTACTGAGGAGGCTATTCGGCCGAGACAGTCAAGCAGGGAACCGTGCAGATAATTTCAGTGTGCATGTTATTCCCAAATCTATATTATATGTAAGAACAGTACTGCTCTGGTAACCTCAATGCTATTATTAGATCGCCCTAAACACATAGTATAAACTAGATTGAGACTACCTGCTAACCGGTGAGCCAGCGTAATTAGTAAGGCAAGTTAAAAAAGTACTGGTAGGATTCGAGTTTCACTCTTCACATATAGAATATGTACCTGTAAGACTAACCACTGGACTAATTATCATTTTCTGCCTGTACTGCAAAAAGAAATACTGTGTGGACGGTATACTTGTCTCATGTTCCTTTTGCAAATTAGGCAGGCCCAATAGCTAGGTACGCTAACAGGGATATGGACATGATGGATTTTGATCGCTAGATTCATTACTCTCTTTCTGATAAGTGACAGGTAATATATCATAATATCTGCCCTGCGCATGGCTGCGCCCCGAAGCCCGGGGATAACCTTGTTCTATTTTCTTTGTCTCTGTCCCCTTACCCACCCAATGTTCCACCACCACCGAAAGAACGGCTCCGATTTACGGGCGGGCTCGTTCAGGGATGTCATATTACACGAGGAGCAAAGATTTGCCTAATTCACCACCTAGAAAGATAGGAAGAGGTGGAATACTATACAAGTGATTTGGCTTATCAAAGGTCTCGTTGTAAAGTGCAGTATGTTCATTGGGTGGTATTACAGACCATATATTAACCCGAAATTCGCCAACAACTAGTATTGTACAAGAAGAGGTAGAACAAGTTTTCTCTTTCCTCTAGCAAGACCACAAGGAAAACCCTTCAATGCATAAACCACATCTATGTATGACCTGCTTGAAAGAATCCTAAAGAAGTAAGCGGCTGGCTCCTCTATTGCTCTTGTTGTGTGTACATATTCACCGATGCAATGCCCAGTGTAAGTGTATCTATTGACCCCTTGCGCCGTCGCCCAAAGCAAAAACCAAAAAAGTGCGATCTCGTGTCGTAACGACTGAAAACCGTAGCATTAGAATCATGCCCAAAAACAGTAGTCTAACACCAACTAAAAACTGGATTCCTAGCTTTGACCGCCTCTAGCCGCTCGACTATAACTTTACGCCTGTGGCCATCCATACCTTCGGCAGCTGCATACCCGAGATCACCTTCTGCATCATCTTCGGCAGCTTGCTCGACGTTATTTGGAGGGCCATACATCTGTTGCGCAATGGTGTTGCTATGTCTACGCGCTCCTGTGAAGGGACGATGCCGATATTTGTAATTCGAGTTTGCCACAATCTCGGACCTTGCGGGGCCTTGGTAGCTCGGTCTCTGCCCAGAAGCCGAGCCATTCTCTTCTGACTCTGGTGATTGCGCCCTCGGACTTGTGGCTAGATCGAACCGACCATGGTGTGGAAGGGGGGCAGAAAGGCCGAGCAAGTCTTCACTGCGCCTAATAGGTTGGGAAGACGAGTTAGCTGCACCAATATCCATTTCTTCATGTATGACATCGCGGCGACCCATATCGGCCTTCCGGCGCACCTCGGAAGAAGTCATCCGCATCGGCACGGCCACAGGAACGTCGACCAGGTCATCCCATACGCAGACCCTTGCTCGGCGAGTGAGCTCTAGTGGCCCGTGATCTGGCGTTTTCAGTGTCTCAACAACGTTCCAAGCCTGCCCTTTCATGACAGCCATTTGCCGAGAAAACATTTTTTCCTGAAAGTCGGGGTCAATCTGGAAGACTTTTCGTAGTTCATGCGACGTTTGGCTCCACCATGTTGTAGATGTTAATAGAGGGAGAAAATGATCCCGGGTCTTCTGTGAGAATGGTCGCCCAATGAGATCAACAGGCAAGAAAAGCCAGCCAAAAGGAAAACTATCAGTCGGGTTAGTATGATTCACTTTATGATCAGCGTAATGGAAGGGAATCATACCTTCGCCAAGCGTCTGGATGCTTCCATGGCCACGACAACGAGTTATCAATGGCCCCAATAGACATTTTGGGGGTTCGTGCATTCGTAGAATCACCTGCGTTCATGGGCTTTTGTACCCTGTAGGGACGCGATTGTGAATTAGCTGACTGCGTTCGTTGCGTTAAGTCAACTGGCCTGGCCGCTGGTTCACGCTCTTCCTCGTTTGAGAGATCCATGCTAAGCTGCGGTGGTTCCGAAACTATCGTGGCTTCTTGAGTATCCCAATCTACCTTCACCATCCAATTGTCCAAGCCCCGATCTGTATTTCGCATTATGTAGTCTAATATGACCAGTTTCTCAAGTTCCTCTCTGAACGATTGCTTTAAGGTCTCTGTCCACATGAAATTATCTGGCCCCAGGGGCCGCTGCTCGCGAGCGCTGTGCTCCTCGTCGCTTTCGTACTCATCATAAGGCGCTTGGCTGGATGGTCGACAGTTTGCAGTCCATCTCTTCCGCCTATTCCGATGTGTATCATTGGAGCGAAGACCAGACCAGTACTGGTCGGGCCATGGGTGTTCCCTCAGAAAAATGTTGGCATCTTTGAAGCCTTTCAGGAAGACCTGAAAGCTACCCGGTTTGGCGGGGAAGGGCTTCCTTTTTCTATAAAAGCTCCGCCGATCCCAGTACGGGTAGTGGAAAGACTTGGATGATAGCCAGACCACGTCCGTGTACGGGACCATGTGGGTACGAAGTTGGCAATCTAATGTGTACGCTGCTGCCTCACTGACGTAGGAAAGGTTGGGAATAAGACTGCCGATGAGTTAATATGAGATCTGAATATCCCGTAGATTCATGAGGTAACCTACCAAGATCTCCCAAAGAAACAAGGGAACAGGTTCCGATGAATCCACTTATTCCACTTGGGATTTCCGGCTGCGTAAGGCTCCTCATCCTTTGGCTTAAAAACACCCACGATCTTACCGTCCGTGTTCCGCGCGAAGTAACTACCAGAGCTCCCCTGGGTGATCATGCTAGGATGCATGCCCTGATTGATAGCAGTCCTGACGCTGTTGACTACCTGGTCGAACTCCACCTTGGACATAGCTGGCGCAGGCATCATGGCAAGTGTCTCAGGAGTGGCGGGCCGAACGCCGGCGGGAGGCTGGAAAACAGTGTAATGTATGTCGGGACGCTCCTCCTCGCCGAGTTGTTTTCCCTTTGCCCTTTTGAATTTGGATGCAATTTCGTCGGCCCATCGCTCCAGCCGTGCGTTTATAGCTTTTAGATCAACACCCGAGTTACTCCTATGCCGTCTCGGAAGATTCTTTTGTTGAGCCAAAGGTTTGGGAGAGGTCATGCCAGAGTGCGGTCTTGGCTGAGTGTTGGACGTGAAGCGAGGGGCAGATTGGGGTTGGAGGGAGGCAGAGCTCTGGGCCAGGAACTCGTCATCGTCGTCGGACTCGTCGCTGAAGCGGTCGGCCTGGGCTAGGCGTTCATAGCCTGTGGTGGCAGGCCGGCTTCGTGGCATTGTAGCAGCTGGGCGGGCGTATAATTCGACAAAATTGGACAAAAGGCGATAGTGGGAAAAAAAGATTGGGCAATAATCGTAGGAGGGATTATGTCATGCTGGCAAGAGAGCGTCGATCTTGTCAGTGAATAACGGCGAAAGGGGCTACTACCGGTGGGTAGCCACGCTTCCTCGCCTTTTCTTTAGACAGATGGGTAGTCAGGAGATAGCAGTTTGGCTTTAAAGAATGACGATGAATGAGAGGTTCAGCAGCAAAGCGAGATCCTTGGCTGATGTTTACATAAGTTGAAAATAACGATGTGAAACTAGATGTGATGGTGATCTTGGTTATGGTATGTCGATATCTTAGGTATGAGGTAATCTAACCTAAGAGGTACTACAGTGTGGCACAGTACGGAACATACAGTACCGGTAGTATACCGGTAGTACCTAGATAATTGCCTGCTGAGGTTAGGTACCTACAGTAGGTACATACACTCTTACAGCACCTACGGTACCTTCAGAGTTACTTAAGTGCACGCGTTTGTGCTACTTACACGTACAGTAGATAGGTACATATGTATATATACTTTAATAGTTTCCCGATTGTTTAGGCTGCTTGGTATGTTCTGGTACGTAAAGGATGGCGTAAACACTTTACCAGGTGCGGCTAAACCATTTCTTAGGTAGAAGGTTAGGCATCGTGAAGGTACTCGAGACCTATACGTGTAGGTAGAGTCGGCTCAGCTCCCCGCCGGTTGTCATTGGTACTACTACCTAGTCTAGGTAGTAGTGTTTCCCCAGCCCTGTCCCAGTTAGCCCCGGCTTCTATCTACTTACTAAATTTATCTGGATATATGAATCCAGTTCGTCTAATCTTCAACTCAATGTAGCGGTCGTCAGTATTATACAATTCATTGGACGGTAGGGGTAATGTAGGAGCAGACAGACAGACAGACAGACAGCTTAAGATGAACCATAATTATTCAGTAGAAACAGATAAGGTAGACACAGACACAGGCTCTGGCACCGGCGTTGGTTAGGTATTTGCATTATAGGTAGGTATGGAACGCGAAGTAGCTATCCAAAGTCGTCGACAGGCCTAATTGCCAGGAGCTATGATAAAGTTCATGGAGGAAATCTCTCTCTCTCTCTCTCTCTCTTCTTCTTCTTCTTCTTCTTCTTCGCAATGCACCCACAGACTAAGTGGGCAAATACCTTGTCCATTACAAGTAGGGAAACCGGATATTGACCGCACGGATAGGTTAGGTTATCGCATACAGTCGGAACTCGTAGCTTGGCGACGTCCTTTCGAGCAGGTTCGCGGCATCGTCAAACGATATTCTGTATACCGAACTTCAACCACGTGTACATGATACAGAGCAAAGCTGAATCTGCTGTTGTCACGCGATCTCGTACATCAATGCCCGCCGTTTCCCAGATGGAATGGGCTTAACGTCGTGCAGAACCACAGCAGAACCAGATTGAAACCATGCAGCCCCAACGTGCGCCGCGGTCTTGGCACGACCACACCCTCCAATTCTCAGCTCTCTATCATTCGACGCAATTAATCACATACAAACATACATGTACACAGCTTCACCATACCAGAAAGCCTACCCCAAGCCAAGACGGGGAGAGAGGGGGGAGGGGGGAACCAGGGCGAGCTAGCGGAAGGAAGCCTGGCTCCAACATCAGCCATCATCCTGCACTATACGTTGGAATGTAGATTGCTTGAATCATTGACTCTCCTATAAAACTCTCCGCACCCCTACAGAGTTTCGCCCCGTCGGCAAACAGAGTTCACCTACGTCAACTAGTCCGCGAGCAACACACCTGACCTGGCCAATCGCATATGGGCCCCCTACGACGAGAGGTCATCGATCCCGGGGCCCCCTCATGCTACGAGCTGGCCCCGACCGCCTAGAGATCATCAGAAGAGTGTCGATCACTGCCTGTGGTTCTTGACATTTGGGAGAACCGTCCGGGACAACCACCACTCGATTGCGAATCTAAGGGCGAAGCTGTTCCCCCAATGAAGGATTGCTTTGAACCCCTTCTCTATCCAGCTCTTTAAAGGAGGAATCCTTCTCCCTTTAGTCTCACTCTCCCGTGCAAAATAAGCTCTATTGCATTCCAAACTTACTTCGTACCAACGCTTTATTCTGGGAAAGGTAGATTTCACAGAGCTAGACGGGGAGACTTAAATGGTGGTGGCTTCCCACTATGTGCCGCTGATCTGTCTGTCGTCGTCACAGACATACGTCCTAAAGACCTACCTGCCCTGCTTGATTGTCCATGGGATTACGGAGCCATATATGGCCGTTACCTAAGAACCATTCGAAATAGCTCTCTATCATCTTCTCGTCTTTCAACAACTCGTGGCTAAACCAGTCATCTAGCCACGCCCGATTCAAGAATGGCGGTCCCTCCCGGAGTGGTGACAGAGGCTCTCCTCGACATAACCATAACCTCGCTGTCGCCAGAACCCGAGTTCCAGCGCGGCCGCAAGCGGCGCCGGGATTTCTTCGATGTGAATCCGCGCACGACGATCCCCTCAACGGAGTCGGCGACCTTCCGTGGGCGCTGCCGCTACCGCAGCAGCTCACGATACCTAGACATGTCGTCACGGCCGACCTCACAACACCGGCACGGGGCTGTTCTCACTGTAGGCGCCACCAACGCTCGCGAGCGGAACGCCTCAGCATCTCCTTCGCCCTCGCGCCGCAAGATGATCCGCCTCACAGAGCTGGCCGGGCACCGCCGTCCGCGGAGTATGTCGCCCTCGCGGTCTCGCTCTCCGTGTGCGAGTCTCAGATCGGGTGCGGCGTTGCTCCCAGCGCCCCAGCAGCGCAGACGACACAGGACGCAGAGTAGGAGCCGTGTTCATAGGGCCCTACCGGTGGGGCTCGAGATGATGTCGTGCAGTGAAGACGGTAGGGTCACTACGGCTGTGGAAACCGTCGTGCTCCCCGTCACGACATACGGGTTGGCGATGCCGGTGGGCGAAGTACGCGCGGAAAGCGACGAGCGTCGTGAATAACGGCGTTAGTGGGCTCGCTTGAGCGGCAAGCAAAACATATCTTAAAGCTCTCTCTTTCGGACTGGACACAATTGAAAGTAATGCTGAAACAAGGTTTGTAAAGTCTGCTTGGAAGTGAAAAGGGATCTACGATATACCAGATTTCCATTTACGCCGTCCAGTATAGGAAGTACTAGAGTAGCGGCTACGCTGGGCCCGTGTGAGAACATGGCATAGGTGTTTGACAGTCATGTCGAAAAGCATATGATACTGGGTCAAGGGCAACAGGTTGGAATTGTGTTAGTTTAATGTACAATATTCACTTTGTATTAGGCTATTGTCAGAGGGCGCTGAGTAAAGAGAATTTTCGATGCAGGCATGGTTATTTGATCAAGACAGTTAAGAAGTTCACTTCTTACTAATATATTGACAGGAACTTTGTGCCCGACCCTTGATGTCTCATGATGGCCTTATCTCTGTGTATATACCATATCCTGATCGATTCTATCCATCCTTTCTAGTTCTGGCAACCCACCAGCCCACCGTCGATAAAGTTCTGCTTCGTCCTTCTTATGGTGCGATGTATTTGGCGGATGATGTCTTTGGCAAAACCGTATTCCCTTGTCAGATTAAAGCACAGTTGCTGGCAACCCCATAATGATGATTAGGGCAACGCAAAGAATCGGCAGAGCGACATTGTCAGGCGCAATACCGGGAGCATCGCGAATCTTAAGCCCTGCCACAGTACCGGCGGTGAGGTTGCGGCCAGCCTCGACAACAGCAATAGCACTCGAGTTTCCGCACTCCTGATTGAGTGCCACATTGAACATGAGATCCATTAGCTTTGGGGCTTCGGCGTCGAGGATAGCCGCTGCGGGGAAGGTGCCCAGCGACGATGATCGTAGAAATGCAGCACGGAGCGTAGAGTTTGTCGCAATATTTGACAGATTGGCGATTCGACTGTAGTCTGCACAGGACACGGGTAGGCTAGCAGGGATCGCAGGCGTCTCAGCTGGGCTTTGTCGTGGAGCAATAGCAGTTCTCACACGGACTGCTGCTGCACTAGCAAACGAGACATGGAAGAGCGAGAGTGAGAGGAGAAGAACCAGCGAGGCAATCGGGTTGAAGGACGCTTTACGGGCCATTGTGACGGTCACGTTCCGTGTCGTCGTTTATTTTGCTAATTCCTAATTCTCTTTGCTCCTTTGCCTTCCTCTCGGTCTGGGCCTAATGTTCCAAGGAAGTAACGGCACGAGGAAATGAACGGAGTCGGTATTATAAGGGGGGAAATGTGGCCGGCCACGGTAAATAATATAAAGAAGCAAATGATAGAATGTAAAAAAGAATGCACCAGCGAAGGGCGAAAGGAAATGACAGACTGAGCTGGTGACCAAGGGCAAAGTAGAAGAGAAGGGGAAGAAGACCAGAACCAGCAAGTAGGTAAGGAAGATAGAATCAAGAGAAGAGCTTACTTAACCCACACGGCATCGTTCATCCTATGTGCTCACCTACCTGCCAGAAGACGGAGAGCGAGGTTTCCAGAGTAAGGGCTCAGTTGAGGCTCATGTTTCGGATGCCTGGCTACTACGCCTGATCCGTGTTCCGAGCAGTGATGTATAGCTGCGATACCACATTTGGTGTTGTTCTGAAGCAGCGATCAGACAAGCTGCGGACCCCCTGGTTGCATGCCTCAGACCACCTACCCCTGTCTAGCCGCCCGCACCCAAGTTCGCGCTTCGCGATGCCCATGCTGTTTGAGAAACCGCCTCCTGGTTTTTTGCTTTCATAAAGGTAGATGAGAGAACTATTGAAATAGAGACTGCCGTCGCTCGACGAAGGATTCCAGCACTCTTGTCTCAGGTGCCCGTGTACCTATTAAAATAAGATTGTTTCCAACTAGGTAGCGAACAACAGGTCGGTCACGTGACTATGGCCCTTCCCTGATAAGATCCAATATTATCAGCAGTCCTCTACTTCATATGCTACTCTACCTAGTAGGACTGCCTTGGAGCTATAGCACTCTGCATGCAGCTCTGTACAGCTGCATTTGCAGTTTCTGAGTAGGAGATGAGCCAAGGTCCTTGACATGAAAAAGATGGATTTTGTCGTAAGCTTGGGCTTGTATTCGCCGCCTAAGGGTCATTCTCTTTCAGGGCAACGGCAAGGATTTGAGGGGTTTTGTTTCGGGAACACTCGGGGAACGAGATGCTCAAGCAGTCCAGACAAAAGGCGCAGACTTGACATGTGACGCCTGTTTTCCCGGCATCAAACATTTTCTGACAGAGCGAACTACCTATTGGGTGTATCGGATGCATTCTGTGTGTATGGAGTCTCCATAAACATGCCTACCTACTGTACTGTACGTTAGTACGTGGTGGTAAGAAAATTTGTAAGAATATTGGTAGGAGATATGACGGATAGAAAGCCTCTCGTCAAGCAGGGGTGTTGACTAGATATGAACCCCCCAACCTGAACGGTGAAGTGCAGAAAGATTAACAGCTAAGATGCCTGAGTGCCTGTATGTATTATGTATCAGTGAGTAGCATCTTTTCTACAGGCCCGGCATCTTCACCACAGCACAAAGAGCGTCAAGGCCACACCAGGAAATACTAATATCGGCACGTACATGGCATAGTTTAGTTAATACTGGTAGCAGGAAGAAAGATGGAGTGCATGAGCTCTCTGCCTGGATCTGCGGGGCACGTGGCCTTGCACTGGCCATATCAAGTAAGAGAGCTGAGGATATGCGCAGGTCAGCAGACCAGCAAAGATACCCACAAAGATGCCCATCGAAGAGCAGAAACGAGGTAGCAGCTATGAGTAGGTACTGCTTGGCAGAGGACCTAGAAACATACATTGTATATAGGCAGATATGTACTTAGATGAGTCGAGGAGGTAGAAGCAAGCTTTCGGTGCAGCTCTCCCTCCCTAAGCTGTGTAAGGGCTCTCAAGGCAAGGGAAGGGAAGCTGTACGCACCTATTATGATCCCTGGGTACATATATAACACATAGTACTATGTACACACTCTGTACCACCTCTGCTTAATGCTCAGCAACATGCAACGACTCCTACCGAGTACTATCTAGGTTGGCTGGTACAAACCTACATACACTTCAATATGGAAACATCTTCCAAGTTTAAAGTCCCGGAGTTGTATCTTTCCTAGCATGTACTCTCAGCACTGCACGCTAGCCTCTCTTGTGTGGGTGTGCATCTCCTGGGTCTGCCTGGTACATACGAATACCGTAGCGTACTGCCCTGGTCTCTGGTCCCCTCCTGGGCGCATCTTGCGGCAACGGGGGGGCTCGGGGGGCTGCGGGCGGGTCATCAAAACCGGGATCCTGTCGGCAAGCCTATCAACGCCGCCGATATGCGATATGGGGAACCATGGCGATGATGATAGTGTGCGTGTGTGTGTGCTGTATGCGCGTACGACATAGTAGTAAGTAGATAGCACTCACTTTCGACCAAGGAGGAGCCTGGTCCTATACTTATATGTACCTCAAAACCTACCTGAGTAAGTAGGTACGAACAAGCTACATAGTACCTACCAACAATATTTAGGTGCTTGGAAACCTGGAAAGTATAAGTGAACTCCAGGTCTAAATTACAATGATATCAATTGTAGCTTACTTGCCTAGGTAGGTATATATATGTAGGTATTACGTGTGACTTTGCTTAAACACATACATTTAGGTGATATTTCAAATCGGACTTACTTACACATAATAGGTAGTACAATATGTACGTGGGTAAGTAGTAGCAATAGATGCTGTACTTGACTGCAATTAGCTAGGTACCGGCCTCTACCAGCCATTCCGATGTCTCGGACCAGGTAAGGCAAGGTTCTAGAAGAAAACCTCAAGCTAAAACGCCCAGAGTGGCCGCCGTATGTACCGCTCCGTACCTCGCTCTGTAACTCCCGACAGATTGTACTTGAATAGGCATGCAGTGTACTGTTGTCGGCACTGGTGATATCAAGTGGCATGGCGGCGGAATATCTACACAGCAGGCTTCATTCCAGGCTTCATTCACCCCTCCTCCATCTTTATCTCCTCCATCCCCCGTTCTCAACCCCAATCCAGCAAAGAGCCCGAATCCCTCTTCTGCAACTAAAATGCCCTCGTGACTCGGGATGTGAGTCGTCCTCCTAACGCCAGCACGCACGACCTGGCCGTCCAGCTTTTCCTCTCCTACGTTCTTCGCCCTGCCCGCCTACCGAGACAGCTATATTTCTTCACGTGCCTTTCCCCTCCACCTGCGGCACCTTGCGGCGCCAGCCCGTATATCCTCAACAGCGCGCAGACTAGCAGTGGTCCTGTAAGGTGCGCCTCGACCTCAGCCTTACATAGGCAGGCTGTCCGCACTCGACCGCCCGCCCTCTGCCCTCTGCCCTCTGCCCTCTGCCTGTTGCAGTCGGCCCTCCACCTCTTTCACGTCTAACCCGACTGACTGCACTTGTACGCCACTAGCAATCAACTCAACATCGCCCGCTCTTTGTCTTGCTATTGCCGACTCGCACCCTTTCGACTCTATTTCCTCCATCGCCCGGCAAAGATCTCCAGTTCTGCTGCACATATGTGCGTCTTGTCCCTTCCACGCGCCTTTCCAGCCTTTGGCATGAAAGCTGCTGCGCAGGATTTTTGGACATAGACGCCATCTACATGGTGTCACCTCTGCGAGTATCCACTCTTTGTTGTCTTGTGACAGGATACCACCGAGACTTGTACCATGGCTTCATATCCGCATTCTCATGGTATTTATACGCTCCCCTTCCTGTTCTCACCAGAATTCGCAGCGCCTCCCTCATGACTAATTGCGCATCTGATTGTCCATAAAACTTCCCCTACCAACGTTCATACCTTTATGTATAATTATGTTCTACGGATACTGACACCCCCCTCCGCTATAAACAGGCCCTGTGCGCAACGGAGATTCGAATAACACGCCCGGCAGAGAAGCTCCCTCTTATAATGCTGCTGCTCTCCTCAACCCGCGTGCCTTTAACGGCTTAAACGGCGTAGTCACTCCCAATAATGGCATACAAACTCCTTTCTTCAACGCCTCCGGCACCTCGACTCCGGTTGAGTATAGCTTCGACAGTCCCAGCAGCAAGTTTTCAGATCTGCCGATGCACCACGCCCCAAACCCGTTGACCCCGCCAAACGGATTCGGCAGCATGATTGAGCGCATGAATAATGTAGAGCACCGTACGTTTGCGGCTCCTCAGAATAAGCGCCGCAGGTTAGAAGTTGGCGACGGGCCTGATATGAAGCCCAGCTTCGGAGCTGGTGGAAGTGGTATCATTAGCCGACATATTATGGAAAAGAGAGCGGAACCCAAACATTCTGCGAGCACCCCAATCGAAACGGTAGACCTGACTAGCGGAAGTACGTCATATCTGCCTGAAGCCACGCGCACATTACTAATCTGTCTATAGACGAGGATGGCGACATTGTCGAGATACAATCGCCGACAGAGGAGGAAGTTTGCTACGGCATGGTCCAAGACGCCAGACTAAATTGCCATACTGTACCTGCCCCGAAGCCCGGTGCAATTACCATGATGGGGGCAACCCACTGGCCCCTGGTCAAAATCATACTAAAGAGAAGACACGGAGATGAAACTCAGATGATATATGCCTACGACTACACAAAGACGATCGTTGGTTTGGTAGATCCAAATACCTCTGCAGGTCTGGCTCCATTACTCGATACGCCACGCTTGCAGATCAGAACCAAATGTGGGATTAACTCTAGACGTAAAGAAGCTGGAGAAGAAGTCGGTATGGCAACTTCGAAGAGCTATAGCTTGAACATGGTGCTTTACGGACCGCGCAAGGCTGCTTCGACCGTCGGCAAATATTTATCACAGAAAGGTGTCTGGCTCAGGAAGCCATTCGTGTATGACAATGGCATTCGGTATGAGAACCCTCAGGAGATTGAAGGACCTAGGCCTCCCCCACCCCCGGCTCTGAGGCAGCAACCTGCCTACCCACCGCCTCCACAGATGGTTCGGAGTGTTGAAGAGATCCGCTCCGAGGTTATGGGTGTTTTCGATTCACTCACTAAAAGTGAAGACCTCCCATTGATGGAGCCACATCCTAGAGTACAAACAGAATTACTTCGACATCAGAAACAAGGGCTTTATTTCATGACCTTAAAAGAACAGCCGCGTCAGTTTGCACCTAACGGGAAGACACCTGATTCATTTTGGCAACTACAACAGGGCCAACATGGACAGAGGATATATCGCAATGTCATTACCGGCCAAACACATGATAAGATGCCATCTGAGACCTTTGGCGGCATTCTGGCTGACATGATGGGGCTGGGCAAGACACTCAGCATTTTATCACTTGTTGCTACTACGCTCGATGATGCTCATGATTGGTCGAGGAAAGAACCTATTCAACCGCAAGCCCCGCCGCCTAAAAAGAAGGGAGAGTCATCGCGACCGTTTCATGTGCCAGCTCCACCTCCTCTTCAGCTAACACCTCTCAAGCAGAACGGAAAAGCCACACTTCTAGTCTGTCCCCTGAGCACGATAAACAATTGGGAAGAGCAGATCAAATTCCACATAAAACCGGGCGAATTGAAATATTATGTTTACCATGGCTCCAATCGCATCAAAGACGCAAGCCTGCTCGCTGATTATGACATGGTGTTGACCACATACGGATCTGTGGCTAGCGAAGTGACCGCCCGTACTAAGGGGAAGCCTGGACCCTGGCCGCTCGAGGAAATTGGATGGTTTCGTATCGTGCTCGACGAAGCCCATATGATTCGGGAGCAAGCAACTCTGCAATTCAAAGCTATTTGTCGATTACAGGCCAGTCGAAGATGGGCTGTTACGGGTACACCGGTTCAAAACAAACTGGATGATCTTGCCGCTCTTTTAGCTTTCTTGCGACTAAAGCCGTTTGACGAGAAGGGCAAATTCACTCAATATATTACGGCTCCATTCAAGTTATGTGACCCCGAAATCGTGCCTAAACTTCGAGTTCTCGTCGACAGCGTCACGCTAAGGCGCCTTAAAGACAAAATAGATCTACCCGAAAGGACCGACCATCTCGTAAGACTTGATTTCTCTCCGAACGAGCGCAAACTTTATCAGCTATTCGAGCAGAATGCTCAAGATAAGGTGCAAGTTTTGGCTGCGGGCAGAGAGAAAATGGTTGGAGGGAAAGTGTATATCCATATTTTGCAGTCTATTTTGAGACTTCGGTTGATTTGTGCTCACGGAAGAGACCTTTTGAATGATTCAGATCTTGAAATCGTACAGGGCATGACAGCCGACTCGGCCATCGACATCGACAGTGACGACGAAGACACCAAGCCTGTGATAGCCGAATCTAGATGCTACGAGGCGTTTGCTCTCATGGAAGAAACGAATAATGATCTTTGCATCTCATGCAAGCGAAGAATTGGCTCCAATGATGCGGTTGATATTGCATCGGAGAAGGAAGAGGAAGATATCATTGGTCATATGACCGCCTGTTTTCACCTCCTCTGTCCTAATTGCGTTAAAGCTTGGAGACGAGAAATCGACGGCAAGGACTCAGGGAACTGTTTGTTCTGTTCTTCATACATTCGTTATCAATGTAACGAAATCCGCAAGAGCAAACTTCAGATTGAGCACGAAGGTCATCATCCCACCAAAAGAGAGATTAAGGATCGCTCAAAAGAGGGATATACTGGGTATTCTGGACCACACACCAAGACAGCTGCCTTAGTCCAAGACTTGCTTGAATCGGAGGCCCAGAGCAAAGCCAAACCTGACGAACGTCCTTTCAAATCAGTCGTGTTCTCGGCTTGGACATCTCACCTAGATCTTATTGAGATCGCACTTGAAAAAGTAGGAATTCGTTACACTCGTCTAGACGGCAAGATGAGCCGCCCAGCCCGAAGCGCTGCTATGACTGCCTTCCGAGAAGATGATTCTGTTCACGTTATACTCGTGTCTATTTCTGCTGGTGGTCTTGGCCTTAATCTTGTGACTGGGAATACTGTCTATATGATGGAACCTCAGTACAATCCTGCCGCAGAAGCTCAAGCTATTGACCGCGTGCACCGTCTCGGTCAGAAACGACCTGTCCGCACTGTTCGGTATATCATGCGAAATAGTATTGAGGAAAAGATGCTTGCTCTTCAAGAGAAGAAGATGAAGCTGGCGAGTCTAAGTATGGACAGGAACCGCGTCATGGATAAAGCCGAAGCCGCAAAACAAAAGCTCATGGATTTGCGCGATCTATTCAAATAAGTCGCCTCCAGTCGCTTTCCATCGATCGCCACCAAATTTTTCATTGTCTCCCCGCCTCATGCGGTATTGCGTGGTTTGATTTTCCCAAGAGGTGCATTGCGTTGGTGTTCTTATGGTATAACGCGGAATGATGGGGTTTATTTATTTTATTTTCCCTAAGGCGTCTAGTGTGCTGCAGCCCGGTCTCATGAGTTTTTACATGACTAACGACGTAGAAATATTTCCCAATGGTCTAGAGACAAGGCAGACCAAAGGTGGTGGGCAGCTCATATGAAGAATTCCGTTCTTCTAGGATGGACTTGACTGATCTGAACTAGTTTTGACTGTTGCAATCCACAGAAGACACGGACTCGTCTCAATTCGATGGAGCAACACTATGACTAGATCTGGTATATCTGAATTTTTGGGCCTTGTCCTTCAGGATTCCTACGTATTCTTACCTAGAAACTAGACAACATGGCTGATCGGAACATTCTATTACGACCTATTAACGAACACCACAATGCACGAAGTCCGCTCTATCATCGTCGTCTCTTTACACCCTTGGCATATTGCTAATTGCTTCATGCTTTAGCTGAGACGGTGCATCCCCTCTTATAGATAGTAGATCTAGATAGATCCAAATATAGGTTAATGGGATAATGTGTGGACAACTTACTCTTGTCTTTCCCTGCCTTGACGTGATTCTCTCTGAAACGGTCAACTTGAGTGATATATCCATAAAGATTGGTTTTACCACTTCGCTGTCTGTAGGCCCAATAGAATGCCAGACCAGCTCATTAAAAATCAAAATAATATGTTTTCCCCCCCTCTAACTTATAGAAAGGGACTGACTGCACGGCACGATGGCCTCCTAGAGCAAGTATCATAACACATTGTTCTTGACACGCCATAACAAAACTACAAGACTTTTAAACAGAGAAAGATTATCTCTGCAGGTAACCAACCCCACGCTCGGTCTGCAGTTATAGGACCCGTTCACCTCTATCATCTACTAGCATAGTTCCTACACTGTATACATCATTAAAATCTATATACGTTGCCCTTATAATGCAATTTAATGGTTTCCAAATCTGACGAATGCAAGAAGATCACGATTGGAAGTATGTAGATAGATAGGTATCTTAAGATGTAGGAAGGTTACGAGGGGCTATTACCAGAAGACATCATTTTGGCCATATGCTAACTGTATCTTCAAATGATACTGAGTGGCAACAGCCCGATAAGCAGATTGAGCATGGGGTCAGGTCGTCAATCGTAAAAATAGCTCTACTCTTCTAAAACTAGGCTTGAATCATGGCATACCAATGATATGATGTATAGGCACATTTAACATATAGAATGAGTTCAACAAAGTTATGATTTAAAACTCTTTGTGTAGCTAAGTGTGATTTGATCCTCGTTTAAAAATCGTCAAGTCTCATAACAAACTCCTTTTTTGACCGTAAAGTCTCCCAATAACGCCACGTATGAACTCATCCATCGGTGCTTCTTCTACGCTCCATCATAAAAGCGGCGCCATCAATGGTGGTATATGTACAAAGCATCATCCGCTCATCAATGCTCGTCAAAGTTGGCTAATGGCCTTTCCCAAGTGAAGGAATACCTCTGCTTTTTAGACGACATGTGAAAGGTTGTGCCCAAATTATCCCAATTATTCATTGTGAGAATAAGTTTATAAAAGACTGCCCCAGAGGATTAATCAAGCAGCATCAGCGCTGGCAGTTGGTTGTATGACCTTAGTGACTTGATCACCAGCACGAACAATGCGCTTACCGGCGGAGTCGAATAGCATACCGACATCCTTGTTCTCGGACTGAGCACGCTTCCAGATCTCCACTTCACAGCCACCCCGAAGAACACCTACGCGCATAGTAGAAAGAAGGTTGTGAGCAGCGTTTGAGTGGAGATAGACACCACCATTGAAGATCGCCGTAGCATCTTTGCCAATAGCGGACGAGATGAGCGCTTTACCACCAGGATGATCCTTGATAAAGTCTGTAACGTCGTGAATGACACCAGCAATGGAAACAAGGGCCCTGCCGTTCTTCGACTCAGCCACAAAATCGTCCCAGCTGATGACAGGAAGCTGCTCGAGTGGTGTACCCCAGTCCAAAGTAGCTCGCTTTTGATCAAGCTTCTTCTGTAGTTGCTGGACACGGCCCTTCTCAATCTCGTTCTGGCGGAAGGTTTTCAAGTCGTAAGCCAAGCCAAGCTGTTTCATTGTCCAGATGAACCATTTTGTTGGGTCATACTGATACCACTCAATCGCGTTGCGATGATCACTGGGGAACTCATGGTGGAACTGACAGGATATTAGCTTCATGTCAACATAGAAAGAACGGGTTTGTAACGATAATTATAGTAAGACTTACATTGTGATATCCCTCACCAAGTGTGATTAAAGCTGTGAAAACGTGGTCTCGGGGAGAGTTGCGGTCGTCAAAGGGCTGGTCTCCAAGCCAGTGGGCAAGTGAGTTGACACAGAACGTAGCTTGTTGAACAACTGCAAAGCCTGTTAGTAGCTGATCAAGTCATACAAGGGAAAAAAAAAAAAAAAAAAAAAAGTCTGAAGTTTGCTTACAAAAGATTCTAAGAATTCCTGCGTAGATAAATCCACCCGCCCAGTCACCCCAGCCAAGTCCACAGACAACAGTTGGGAAGATCAGGGACATGATCAAAACACACTTGAGGTCTATAACCGGTCAGTAATCAGGTAGATGTGGCGAGTTTTGGATGGGAAGGCTCACAGTTCTTGTGTTGCCAAACAACAACAGGGTCATCATTGAGGTCTGAAATATCCGTTCGTCCCATACGCTTGGGGTTCTGCTTCATAACCATCCAACCAATGTGAGAGTAAAGCAGACCTTTGCGGACGCTGTAAGGATCCTTCTCGGTACTGGAATCATGTATTAGTTTGGCTTGACAGGACCCCGACCGCCACTGAAAGAAACTGCTTACTCGGTATATCTGTGATGAGCGCGATGTCCATGAGACCACCATCTAGCACTACCTTCCACGCTAGCAGCTCCCATAGCAGCCAAGAAGATCTTCAGAGGTAGTCTTGCTTTGAATGAACTATGTGCCCATAACCTATGGTACCCTGCTGTAATACCCAACCCAGACCCAAAGTAAAAGAGAACCGTGAAGACGGCTGTTCTGTATGTGAGTGGTGTGAAGTAGGCGCCCACACAGCCCATAAGAGGGACTATGATGATAAAGTAGGTATTCAACCAATTGACGTGCTTGTACCAGTTGCCCCATGTTATGGGTAATTCGGTGATGTGAGGCTTTTTCGAATCAAACTTGTTGTTGGATCTCAGTGGCTTGTAATCCTGAGTGCCGTCGGAGAAAGCCTCAGCAGCAGCAACGCTGTTCTGAGCTGTGCTGGGAGACGCCATGGCGGGCGGTGGTGCGGACAACGCCGAGTATGGGAACACGCCCTCGAACTGTGTTCTGTCGGCGTCCTTGTTAGTTCGTCAAGGAGCGGGGAGAGAGGAGAGAGGTCAAAGGTGAAGATGAGGAGCGGATGAAGAGGCGACAGGCTAGGGACGGTATTTATTCGATGATATATGGGGATTGGGAAATGGTGGGTAGAGAAGTAGTGCAAGTGTGATGGGCAAGATGTACATCGACAGTAGTGTGCTGTAGGTACGGTACCTACTACTGTATGTAGGGATTCGGCTGGTGGAATACCAAATGTTGGCCCGTTGTCTACCACGCTATGGGGCGTAGATGTAGAGTAGCGGCGAGTAGGCAACCGAGAGAAAGAGAGGACCCTCTGGACAGGATCTGGACAGGAGAAGACACCAATGGCACTACCGGTATCAAGAGGACCACACTAAGCCGGTACGTTTCTTCTGGGTGGTCCTTGTGGTGGCGGGGGAGAGGCGAGACGAGACAAGGATAAGACGCAAGACAGGAATGTAGGTACGGGATGATCGAAGGGTAGGTGGGTAGGTGTAGGTATCTACTTACACTATGCACTGATTACAGCTTTAGGTAGGGTTGGTCCTAAATATGGAATCAAAGTCTGGAAGCGGAGCCGGGTTATGTGTGCTGTCGTTATGTAAGTAGGTAGGCAGACTCGACTCTACATCCAATACACGATTCTGACACGATACACGCTTGACCTGGGCGCGTGTTATCAATCGAGGATGGATTGGGGGGGAAAAGGAGGTCAGGACCGCTGCTCAGCTGCTACCTTGTCTCAATATGACGGTGTATGAGGAGGCAGGTGCTAAGAATATATATGTGGTAGGCAGGCTTTTGCAATTGACAATCGAATTCTCAGATGAGACCGAGGCTTGTCAAACTGTTTTTTTTTTGTTTTTTTCCCGATGTCTTCCTACAACCTACATGTGCTGTAAGTACTAACTTGAATTGGTACTACTACTTGTATTTACTGTCTGCCTGGATCAAGCAACAGTCGACCGTTTGAGGACCAAACTTTGTTGATATCCGCGAGTACATTGTGGAGTACATTGTAGAGGGAGCTTGGTACAGTCTTGGACACTGTCTCAAGTGTCGCTAGGCGATGCTGCAACAGGCGTGATAGCACCACTGATACATGGATATAATACAGTATGGCAGGATCAATCACTGTGCTGGAGTTCTGCTGGAGTTTGGCCTCAGTCTGGTCAGCCTGGGCCTTGTCTGTACTCCCTGCCATTCCCCCTGCGGTTGCAGATCTGAAATTTGTTGAATTGTTGGGGGAAAAGGGTCCAATGTGGCGGTAGCACCGGCAAGGGAAACAGCCAGTCAGAGACTCAAACAATGCATGGGCCTTTCCCTTTTTGGATGCTGCAACGCTACCCCACCACCGACCATGATCCGATAACTATAGGTACCTCTCTAGGTAGTACCTACATACTACTAGTGTGCTATAATGTAGGGAGGTACCTATGTTGGTACCTACCTAGGTATGGGCAGGTGGCCTTACGTGTAAGTACATACTTATGGCAGCCCAGCTCTGCTCAACTACAGTAACCAACTTTAAAGGTTCTGACCAAGATTCTATCCAAGGTTCAGCCAGCTCATTCAAGATTCGATGAGACAGTCATTACATGCCCAATATAGGTAAACCGGTTGAATCGACTCATGATTAGGCTATCATCATCTAGTTCAACATTAGTTGTGCCTCATACTTACCTACTTGTTGAACATTTTTGTACTCAAGTAAATAGGTAAGGACATACCTACAAAGTATATAATGTCTATGGGTAGGTATTTGGTGTACCTACCTAGACACACAGCTTGGTGGTACTCTATGCCATTCATTCACCTAACCCAGATTACACCGCACGTACTTACATAAGCCTGATTGGAGGAAAGGAAGCTATATTTACATGTACATCACTGCCATGATGGCTGCCGACCACACCTTGCCATCCTGCGTAGCTTGGTGGTATGGGTTAAGTTAAGAAGAATGACTAGGAAGAATAGCCAACGGTCAGCCAAACCGTGTAGATAAAATCTGATACCTAATGGTTGAGGTACATACGTAAGCAAGCGAGGCAAAAGCGGCCGGCTATTGCTTCCGAGCTACCTACCTATGTGGTGCTCGGTGAAGTAGGTAGTGGGCACATGTACATGTCGCATGTGTACCTAGCTGAGTACATACATACATCATTGGATGTAAGTACCTTCCAGGTGTGCCCCAACAAAATAGATTCCCGTAGTGGAGCTTACTTAGAATACCCGGAAATGGGGTTTTCAACCAACTAGAGTAGCCGGGTCGACTCTGAGCCCCACTGCCGATCGCTACCAACGTGCCTCGGAATTCGCCTCCCAGCCTTCTAGAATCGTGCAAGATTCTTCATGTGGCACGGAACGGCGTGGCAAGGCTTTGGTTGTACAGAGTCGTACTTGTCAAGGTTATCCTGTCTGCTGTCCTGTAAGTATGAGTAGGGAAGTAGGTATGTATTAGTACTAAGCGTCCGTATTATCGGCGGTTGCCGGTGTTAAAACATATGACATTTTGAGCAGCTATGAAGAAACTCCTGACTGACAGCAAAGTTTGCGTTTCGTTGGCTTGTAAGCCGGGGGCGGGGGGGTTCTCATTATAGTTACTGTAAAGAATCAATCCATTGCTTGCAGTCGGTCTTGCTATCACCAAGCGGGCTGATAATTGTGAAACCCAAAATGTGCAATCAGATTCAATAGAATCGCTTACCTACTTAGTAACACATTTATAGTATATTAAGGCCAGTGATTGTAAATTGCGGGTTCTGTTAAATTAAGGTAAGTATATTTCACAGCTTCCCTTCCTGATGTTACTGTTATCCATCCATTTCCACCAACGCTGTTATATTTATGACAAGTGATACTACAGCTACTAACCGATTATCAAAGAACGGGATCTTAACGGACTATTATTTCCGCGTAGCCAGAGTGCAAATCTTGTTTGGTAGAACTGCGTGTCTTAACCCCCCTCTCCCTCCCCCCAAAAGGTGAAGGTTTCAGGCAATACATATAATAGCATAAGCATATAATTACCATTGGTATAATCGGTATCCGTTTGCTGTAGCCCAGTATCTTAAACATAACAGGAGAGCAATTAGATTGTTCCTTCATTGAAGTTAGAAATTAAGGGTTCATGATGGATAGACGGTGTATGATGCGTTCATCCAGCCATATGAACGCCGTAGTACCATAATCACATGATCGATAGAACCGTTGGTGGCAGTTATAGAACGGTAAACTTTCTACTATACCCTTGAAAGGAAGAGTTAGAGAATGATCCTTTAAGATTCAGCAATCTCAATTGAGCTTGGTGCATAAGGTTTCGCTGTACAATTCATGCATATTATGTAACCCACGGTTTCGTCGTGAAAAGCTTTACAAAACTACCTACATATAGTAAGTAATGATTAAGGGCTTATAGGCTCTACGATCTATCAACATACCTCTTTAATCATGCCGCCTCTAAGCTGAGATTCAGATATCCTACCTCCTAACCCTCCGCAATAGTCTACGCTTTTCAGTATCAAACGACAGCAGGAAACTACCATGGACTGTTATTAACAGATCCTGTGTGAACCTTTTCCTGCTTTGGGGCTCGTCAGATATGTTCCTTGGTTTGGAGTCCAAGAATGGAGCGACATGCATTGCTACGCATCGTTCAAGATGTACGTGCTGTTACACGCATACACGCTGAATATGAGGTTCGCCTTGCACTCCGGCCGTACGAAGGACCATTGCAGGCTATTCATGATATTTCAAGACATGCAGGCAATATTGGGCAATATTGGAAAGTGAGGTTATACAGACTTCGCTTCTTGAAACAGACCCCAAAGACCTAGGCGGTCTGGGCTGGCAGACCAGTTGTATATAGAGTCAAGTCAAGCCACCAACAGCCAAGAAGGAGTTGGTTGGCCAAGGACTTATGCAGCCCTAGTTGATCATTGTAATCTGAATTGCCTAGATTCCAAGCCCAGTATTACTGCCCTTGTTATTATATGTTCTCTTCAGTCCATATCTGTCAGCAGACTTCGTGCTTGTTACATCTACTCCTACCATGGGGTCTCTTTCGTGACTATATCGTGTCTGTCGATTGATCTCACGGCAAACAGTACATAGCTTATTGTAAATGTAGTCAGTTGTCGTGCACCCGATGCGCACTTGATCGCAGCGGGTGCTGTCTTTTATAGGATGCTTCCTTTGGCCTCTAGTTTGTGTCGTACTGCCACCGCCTACATTGTTTCCCGAAAGAATCACGGATCTTGACGTAGTTCTCCTTAAATCAAATAGAGCGATAAAACTCAATACAGCATCGACACAAACGCGCAATTATCCTAGATTGAGACGCTGAAGAGAAAGGTGATGCACTATGTGTGGTCCACTGGCAGACGCTTGATTATCAAATCAACATTAAAGACTGAATTATACTTACTAATCCACGATCCTGTTAAGGTAGACGTATGCCTGGCTAGTCTTGCGCTGCAATCTTTCAGTCTCTAGTGACATCGTTTTCATCTTATTTAACACAGCTGAAACCAAAGGCATTTTGAGCAAAGTCTTATCGAGGCTGAAAACAAATATACCGTAACTACATATATAAAGGAAAGTGAGATTAATACCACCTTGGTGTGTTTGCTTACGATATGACTTGGAGTTGAAGCTATTCAGAATAATTACATCAATTTGATAGAGCTACAACGATCCTTGCCCACTAGATTCCTTCTTGGCCGAGGTGACTGAATTGGACCTATATACAACTGGCACGGCCTTTGCTACGTCCTCTGCTAATATTCAAAGAGGAGATATCTCATTGCCTTTAAAGTCCGTATAACCTCATATTCTCGTGTTATTTCCGTATATCTTATATATTCTTTGCGAGGCATACGTCGGTAATCGTAAGCAATTAGCATGTAAGGACGTACGCGCGCTCACCGAGACTTTTCCGTATGCAATTTCATAATGCCAAGGTCACTTTAAATTAGTATTCAGGCTTTTTAGGTTCACTTAACAACAACGAAACTGCATCTTAGCATAAAGGCGCTCATAATGTAATACAAGAAGTGAGCATGTAAAGATTCAACTGTATATCATGACGAGCTTGATGGATCATCTCGAGGCTGGCGAGATGAATCGTTGCCTATGCGAAGTAGGGAGAAACGATGCCGTTAACTCTTCGGCAGGATTGACCGTCATGTTGGTGTGCCTTGTGCTGGACAACAACTTCGGACAGTTATGAGAAGACCTGGAAGACAACTGCTAAGTTAGATATATGTTTACACTACAATCTCTGGACCACTAACTAAGGTCTACATCCCACTCAGCTGTATTGTGTAAATGACAATGGCCCTGTCTTTACATGTAGACAAGAAATGACGGTTCTACAGGCTAAATTTATAGGGTGTAACAGCTTCGGTGATAACGTATCGCCGACCCATCTATAGCAACTCATATGACCGATTATAATACTTGATCATTATCTGGATAAAAAGTTTGGACTACTCTATTATCTAATAGAATGAGCTTGTAGTAAGGAAAACTAGGTTGTAAGGAAAAATCTTACACTTTCATTTTTAAGCCATCGAATCTGTCGGAAACGAATAGATAGTATACATATATGTAATCACTTTTACTTAGAGCTACAACTTGCTAGCGTACGTGAAGTACATCGACATGCATTCCGGGGTCCAGATGTCAGCTCAATACAACCCTAAGAAATAGAAGGAAGCATTATTTTACAATTCAAACTATAAACAAGAGACGACAATAAGATAATATTGAATAGCTACGGGACAATAATGCTGCGATTGAGTCACAACTGATATTTAGTCACCATTACACCAAGATATGACTAGGATTAGTAGAAATTGGAAGGTACCCAGATAACATCGAAAACCGTGGAGGCGTGAAGTGTACCTAGGGTAATTTGGTCTGGCAGCTGCTGACTGCCGGAGCTGAGCCGGCCCCGACATTGGTGCGCAGAACTCTGTATACAAAGGTACAAAAACCCCCAATGCATTAGATAATCTGCACCCGAAGCTAAGCTCTGGCTCGATATCGCTGCCGTCATTTGTACAGACCCGTCAGTCGACCAAGGGCATGCAAGCAGTCGCTGCCATTCCTCACTGTTCACCAACCCTACAGGCCTGTAATTTCATACTTGGATTAAGAATATATTGTCTTTTGCTGTCGGCCTACTATCGACATATCTCTCTTGCGACCGAGTGCTTCTCTTAGCACACAGAGTCTTCGTCCCACGCCCTCTCTCCGACTTTCGCCCCTTGCCTGACAACTTTTCCTGTGGACGCCCCTACAATGTTGTGCCGCCAACATCTGTCACGGCGCGCGGCCGTAAGGACATCGCCTTGTTTCACCCTCACACCACGGTTAATCCGCCCTACGAGACTATATTCTATTAATGCTCGAGATAGGCCGAGCGGAATCCAGGTCGGCTGTCTGCGGCCTTCAATACCTGCCCGGCCTACACCTGTATCCACACCCACGTTTTCCACCTCAGCAGCGAGACGGAAAGAGAAGCAAGACGGCCCTTCCGATGACTCAACTAAACCTTTGGTTGATGAAGACGCCAACACAGCCGCCGAGGAAAAGTCGGAGCACCGGGAGAAAGACTTGAGCGAGACGAAAAGCTCTACTACAGAGCCGCCTTCCCCCAGCAATAACAAAGGCGAGGGTGACTCTCAGGATAGCAAGGCGGGAAGTGCAGCTGGAGGTTCCTCTGGATCTGGCAACGATGCTCCTGGTGATGGCGGTCGGAAACCTAGCCAAAGGCAAACAAACAGAGCCCTGCAAAAACCTGAGATCCCCGAAATATATCCCCAGGTCATGGCGATCCCTATAGCAAAACGACCTCTTTTCCCTGGATTTTATAAGGCCATTACCATCAAAGACCCCAACGTTTGCAACGCCATACAGGAAATGATGAAGAGAGGCCAACCTTATATCGGCGCATTCTTGTTCAAAGATGAGAACGCTGATGAGGATGTGATACGAGACCCAGCAGATGTATACGAGACTGGAGTGTTCGCCCAGATCACGAGCGCCTTCCCTTTAACTGGAGAGAAGAGTGGCTTGACGGCCATACTCTATCCACACCGCAGGATCAAGATGTCATCGCTAATCCACCCCTTCACCCCAGAACCAAGAAAGGCCGAAACTGAGCCGGCAGATGTACCAGATCCGATACCTCCCAAGCTGGAAGATGAAGCCTCTCATGAGATGAAGGGCGATGTGGTTGCGAGCTTTGAAGAGGGCGCTGTGGTGAATAAGTCCGACACGGCCACTGAGATATATGAGCCAATATCATTCTTGCGCAAATATCCTGTCACTTTGGCAAATGTGGACAATCTGGTGGAAGAACCATTTGACCCCAAGAGCCCAGTGGTACGAGCCGTGACCAATGAGATTGTCAATGTATTCAAAGAGGTGGCGACGATGAACAGCCTCTTCCGAGACCAGATATCAACTTTTTCCACTAGCCAATCAACAGGAAATGTTACTGCGGAGCCCGCTAAGCTTGCTGATTTCGCTGCAGCTGTGTCAGCTGGAGAGCCTGCTGAATTGCAAGAGGTCCTTGCCAGCTTGAATGTTGAGGATCGGATGCATAAGGCTTTGGTCGTGCTGAAGAAGGAGCTCATGAACGCACAGTTGCAATCGAAAATTACGAAAGATGTTGAACAGAAGATTACAAAGCGGCAACGAGAGTACTGGTTATTGGAGCAGATGAAGGGAATCCGCCGAGAATTAGGTATCGAATCTGATGGCAAGGATAAACTTGTTGAAAAATTCAAGGAGAAGGCCGACAAACTCGCTATGCCAGAGGCCATTCGCAAAGTATTTGATGACGAAATTAATAAGTTGGCCCACTTGGAAACTGCAGCCTCCGAGTTTAATGTCACACGGAACTATCTAGATTGGCTGACACAGATACCATGGGGTCAAAGGAGTGCCGAAAACTTTGACATCCAGCATGCCATGAGCGTTCTAGACGAGGATCACTATGGTTTGAAAGATGTAAAAGATCGGATTCTGGAATTCATTGCAGTTGGCAAATTGTTAGGTACCGTCGAGGGCAAGATTTTGTGCTTCGTTGGACCCCCCGGCGTTGGCAAAACTAGCATTGGCAAGTCAATTGCCAGAGCCTTGAACCGACAATACTACAGGTTTAGTGTTGGAGGTCTTACGGATGTGGCAGAAGTCAAAGGTCACCGCCGCACCTATGTTGGTGCTCTACCAGGACGAGTCATCCAAGCTCTCAAGAAATGCCAAACGGAGAACCCCCTGATTTTGATTGATGAAGTCGACAAAATTGGACGGGGTTACCAAGGAGACCCATCATCGGCGCTTCTAGAATTGCTGGATCCAGAACAGAATAATTCCTTCTTGGATCACTATATGGATGTTCCCGTCGACCTCTCCAAGGTCCTATTTGTTTGCACAGCTAATATGACTGATACGATACCCCGACCTTTGCTTGACCGTATGGAGGTCATTAGATTATCTGGTTATGTCTCCGATGAAAAGAAAGCAATTGCAGATCGATACCTGTCCCCAGCAGCCAAAGAACTCGCTGGTCTAAAGGATGTGAATGTCTCACTTTCGGATCAGGCTATCGAAGAATTGATTAAGTCATACTGCAGAGAATCAGGTGTTCGGAATCTCAAGAAGCAAATTGAGAAGGTTTACCGAAAATCAGCCTTGAAGATTGTACAAGACCTTGGCGAAGAAGTATTGCCAGAAGCCGAAGCACTGACAGAAGACGGCAAAGCAGCCATGGCAGAATCAGAGAAAGTGAACGAGACCAAAGAGCCCACTTCCCCGGAGGCAACAGAAAAGGAAACTACAGAGAAACCACGGGTTGCTCTCAAAGTGCCTGACTCGGTTAATATTGTGATTGACAAGGAGAACTTGAAGGATTATGTTGGCCCACCAATATTTACTTCAGATCGCCTTTATGATATTACACCTCCTGGTGTCGCTATGGGCCTTGCTTGGACCCAGTTAGGTGGCTCTGCTATGTATATTGAGTCTATCCTCCAGTCGGCTTTGCGTCCTAGTAGTAGCTCCGGCCTGGAGATTACTGGCAATCTCAAGACAGTCATGAAGGAATCGTCTACGATAGCCTACTCCTTTGCCAAGGCCTATATGGTCAAAGAATTCGCCAACAATCATTTCTTTGATAAGGCTAAGATCCACTTGCATGTACCAGAAGGGGCTGTGCAGAAAGATGGCCCGTCCGCCGGCGTTACTATGGCCACATCTCTTCTATCTCTAGCATTAGATAGCCCCGTGGATCCCACCGTTGCCATGACTGGCGAGCTGACACTGACGGGCAAGGTTCTGAGGATAGGTGGTTTGAGGGAGAAGACTGTGGCTGCACGTCGCGCTGGGTGCAAAATGATCATTTTCCCGGAAGACAATATGTCTGATTGGCTAGAGCTTCCTGAGGTATGTTTCACCCACGTGACCATATGTGTCCAGAGCACTATATCAGGATAATGCTAACATTCTTCGTAGAATATCAAAGAGGGCATTGAAGGTCGCCCTGCAAGCTGGTATAGCGAGATTTTCGATGTTGTGTTCCCTAACCTCGATAAGGAAAAAGCGAACACCTGCAGAATTTGCGAATGGAAAAAAGAAAATCAATCTTCCAGTAGCAAAAGTGACAAGAACGACTGAAAGTACTCGAACGAGTGCTGAGGCAAATGAAAGGGGACCACTGATCCCATGTGTACCATTACCCTGTTCCCTGAGATCGGGCACCAACGACAAGATACGTATGAGAATATGGTATATACTGTATATTACATGACACTTTACGTACGGTTTATACTTGTACAAGAAGCGAGAAAGAGGCAAATCTCAGCATTTCTGGGGCGTTCAGGTGGCCTTTTGCATTACATACATATCATAGCACAACGAACTAACCAACTAAAATTCATATCAAAAGCGAATTGGTGAGAGAATCATGAAGAGCGAATTGAAGAAAATCCTTGTTTAGTTAATGCATGAAACCCAAAAATTTAGTGTATCTAATCGAGCAATGAACAACTCTCATCTCTATAACTACCTAGGGAGCTTCATAATATGTGCCGTGCATTTAATAGATGGTACTTACCTAGCTTGTACTGTTAAATGGCGGGGAGAAGCTAAGAGACTACCTAGCTTCCTTGATACATTGTCTATCTTCATGTATATATGTGTGTGATTCGTGGTTCACTACCGCCTATCCCCAAGAGTAATGATTTCCTATCCAGTTTTGTGGCATCAATGATGCGCTTGCCTTGTCTTGGAGAGCACGACGGCGATACCGGCGACTTTTGGGTTGGGGAAGGGGGCTTTCCTGTCCGTTTTCTGCTACGTGCAGAAATCCATGGGTTGTATAGAGCCCTTGTATAGAGCCGAGTCGGACTTGAGACATGTCTTGGAGTACCATGAAGCAGCCTGGGATTGACATAGGGTTTCCGGTTTTCGGGCCTGCCGGGGTTGAGCGAAAGCAAATTGGTTGCTTTCAGCATGTCAGCTCGTGTTTTTTTCCCTCTCTCAGTATGTTAGTTGTGTATCATGATTTGATGTTGTGAATTGATCCGTCGGCGATAGTTACAGCAACTTGCGGGGGAATCCATCCGGATCCGACAGATAGCCGACGGACAACCGATGTATGTTTGAGGGGCACAGCCTGCTTGTTATGGGGGGTCTCATGAGTTTCAATGTAGCCTCCGACGATATCGGTCTTTTTCGAGTTTGGCTTTGTGGTTGGCAACCTGGCAACTAACGCGGGGATAGCAATGTATGAAACTACACTACTGTAGAATCATGTCTTGACAGGAGGACCGTACATATCTACTCCATAAGACCCTTTGACAGGCAAGATCGATGGTGCCGGGGAACCAGGAAATACTCATGATGTCAGACCATTCTCGCAGGGGTAAGCCTGTCGGTTTCTCTCTTTTCCATTCATGATGCAGGACAGACATTAGGCTAGTGTGCGCAAAAGCGCATCGACAATGTTTGGGATAACACTACTGCAACTACTGCAACCATCCACGTGGGATAGGGTAGATGAAGAAGTTATCATCTTGTATTTCACTATTTTGGCTCGATAATAAGGCCGTCTTGCCCAGCTTCACCTCCTCGAGAACGAGGGACACAAGTTAATGTATATAGTTAGAACGAGGTGGTATTGGCATCCGCATTGGCATGGGTAAGGTGCATCTCCCTGCTCGTTCTCACTGGTGGGAGCCAGGACACCACAGCCTCGCTTTTCTAGCACATGGTACGATATTGCAGTGGATGGAGGGGGGGAGTTGGAACTTTTCTTCTCTCCTCCTTCTTTCTTGCTCTCCTCCTCATTCTATTCTGGAATTAGTTTAAGGGGCGTAGTCGAGAAAGTCAGTCGATGCCAATGATGGCAACCAATGATAACATCAACATATATGTATGGCTGCCCAATAGCTAACTGTCCAAGAAAGAAACGCCTTTTTGGCTCCCTTCGCCAGGAAGAGCGTCGGCTGGCCTACGCTAGACAGCTCATAAAAGGCTATCTCGATCAGGAATCCCGCTGTAGATAGTGGTCAATGTGAGTGTCTGTGGCTGAGCTCACTTCGTGTATACTATCTACGTACCTTCACTCAAGCGCTTACCTACTCAAAGGCGATGTGACTTGGCCTGGCCCAATCGGTCGATTTCACAACATATGTACCTAATCAGTGACGATGATTCTTGTTGGGTATCAACTAGCAGCCGTCTGCTAGTATAGGCTGTAGGTAAGATATAGCTATATATGTTAATACTAGCTAAGACACCTGGTTATACTGAATAGTCCAGTCGTGACGTCGTAGGTGGGAGTGAGTACACCTTATCGGGACATCCTTGCATGACGACGACCTTACGAGATGCACTATTGGGAAGGGGGGCGGGAACGACGGCGATGCCGTTGCAGTCCACATACCGTTCTCACTCCTTACTGCCTCGCTTTTCGTCTCGTTTGCTTTTTCTGGTCGGGTGTCTCGCGGAAATGCCCTCTCCATGTGCCGGTGGTCAGTCAGCCTCGTTACAAGCCCGGCTTCCGCACTTACATGCATCTTGCGTGCATTGCTGACCTGGGGGTGCGTGATACCTGCATATTGAAGTGCCTAGGTACACGCATACCGTGTTGTCGTCGCTGCCAACCGCCGTTCAGGCTTTAGATCAAGAGGCACGCTTTATTAGTCAGACCTAGCTCCACGTCATCCTGCACATATCTGCTTCACGCAGTAGTGCTGTTAGTGTGCTTCACCGTAGGTAGTATGCATACGGGCGGGCATGCTGTAGTGTCCTACGTGTCGGTTTGTCCACATGACCTAGACTAATCGTCCTGGTAGTACATGGTATGAGCACCAATCAGTCTGTCGATGCCTTCTCACCACTACTATCATCTACACGCGAAGTAGTACCGGTATGTGCCGTTTGTTCTAGTACTCTTCGGTACCGATCTCACATGGCACGTTACCAGGTCGGCGGTCCGGTCGTACTAGTCCACGACATTCGATTTATCTTCAAAATGAGCTTAATTGTTGTTATACACAACACCGTCTACGCTAGCAACTACAGGGCCTACAGTAGCTAAGAGCGGCGAGCTTGTCGCACTTGGAAGATCCTTGGAGGGAAAGACGGGAGCTAAACGAGTCATCTCGACGACATGGCCCGTTCCTGAGGCCGTCTCTGTAGATCCCTCTATTCCCACTTCCCCTCGTCGAACCCGGTGATGGAGAAAGCATGCGAGGTCGAGGATCTCCAGAGACTGTCTGGCTTGGTACCATCATCGTGATGGGTACCTATATGTGTATAAGATTTCCTCAATTGACCGGGTGGGGTCGGAAGAAGAAAAGGATGATGCTAGTTGGGGACGTTGATGAGTTGTCCCTCACCCTCGTCGCATTAGCTTGCCGTTCCTGGCCGCGGATTGCTCTGGGGCTTGAGGGAGGGGGTACTTGACTCTTTCACGATGCTACAGACCGGAGAAGGTAGCATCCTCTGAGACACACGTTGCAGATCGATGATCGATTGAACAAGCAAAAGACCAACAACTTGGGATGCGAAACAGAGTATGAGACCTATCTTTGGTCTTGAATCAACTGGAGAATGACACGGACGGGCAGATGCGCCCAATATGTATAGAGTGAGGTATTAATGGGCTTAAACCCGCTGTAAAACAACCCCTCATCACACAGGTTATCTGGGATCTGCCTTGTCTGAGACTATCTGCATACTACGGAGTACTAGGTAAGTGTAACTATTTTTTTTTTTTGTACAACGCATACACTACCTCATATACTAGTAAGAAGAGAAAAAAAAAAAAAAAAAAACACCGAGCCGTCGGGGCGAGTCTGAGCGAACTATTTAGGTCTGATGTTGAGGCCCGATCACCTTGACGCCCCTCCAATTCGAGAACCTTGCTCTATGTAAGTACATAGCGTTCAATCATTGTCGAATAGGAACCAGCGTCAACCCCCCGCACCCGGACGACGATAATCCATGGAATGGAGCCTGTTGTCCTTGAAAGGCAGAGAGTAAGAGAATTTTTTTTTTTATATACTTCGTATACACACACACACATATATATATATATATATGAAAAAATAGAATTCGGTACTCGTAACGTTCTACATCATCCTTTGACTAACTGACTATTACATGTAAGTCAACGTTGGACTGCGTGTCATGCGATTGGCGTCGTTGCTTATCTATTGAATTGGTACCCAATACCTGCGGGAGGCTGGTACCACTATGCCGTTGGTTGCTCTTTTACGTATTGTATCCCACGGATATCGAGTGAGTGGACGTATGTTGCGTTGAAAAGAATCACTGACGCCATATGGTGCGCGCAGTCTTGATTAAGTAGACACCCAAGTTCACATACCGCTCTTTATCATTCAGTCAGTTGAATGTAGGTAGTCCTGCTTAACATACCGGTAGTAGTGACATGTACCACTTTGTATAAGCGAGTCGACCTTTTCTTCTGATTTTCTCCTCTTTTCTCCTCCTCTCCTCCTCTCCTCTCGACTCCCCCGAGTCCCCCACGGGCCCCTGATGCGGGCAGCGTTGCCGAGAGCCACTAACACAGAGACGGGATTCGTGCCTGGTGCATCATCCATGCAGGCTGGTTGTCTTGCTTGGTGCGTCTGGTCTGGCCGATGCTCTCTATTCGCCCAACGCCTGAACAGAACTGACCTAAGAAACTACTATGTAATCCAATGCGACTCTTTCTGTCGACTATACACTACTAAGCAGTATAGTACTTGCAGCGGTACTGGTCAGATACTGGTGTACCCAAGTAAGCACCCAGCAAGCAGTGGTGGTGTTGCGTGGTATCACTCTCACCGTCCCTACTATACATGTCCTACCGATGCTACAGCACACCAACTGTATCTGCTACCACGATCTCGGGCTTGGTCTACTAGGTACATATGTAGTTGTACGAACGGTAATATACATCTGCACATACACACATATACCTATACATACACATATACAAGTACTCCAGGCTGTGTTCGCGCGCATCAGCTCCGGTAACCATAGAGTACCTCTCTCTGGTCTCTCCATTCTCTCCATTTTCCTTAGTACCTCTGGTACCTCTAGATGTCTCTCCGGGCGTGATGACATCGGATGGACTGACTGGGGGGTTTCGTTCGCGGTTTCGTTCGCGGGTTCGTTCGTGGGTAGGCGACTTGGCTTTGGAGGCGGGGGCTCTCCAGGGTGGGCTGTTGTGACCTCAGGTTTCTTTGACCGATGCGGTTATACTAAACCTCGTAGCGCGTCCATCCCATCTCGTCCCATCCCATTCTTGTGCACTTTTCCCCCCGTTCCTAAATCCCTCCTGCATACCTATCGTCCTCGTGCTCTGCTCTGCAGCCTCTGCTCTGTTTTGCTCTGCCCTGCCCTGCCCTGCCCTGTCATGCCTTGCTCGTGTTGAGGACCATCGCCGTGGTACTAATCACATATCCACGGTATAGTGCCTGGTAATAGGTAGCGCCTTTTCAAGCCTCTTCTCGGATGCGGGAGTAGAAGTCACACCTCTCAGTTTAGGTCTCGTCCGTCGTCCGTCGTCCGCCAACGCACCGCATCACATCGCCCGCCCGCCCCGTTCAACCCCCCCATCCAGTCCATCGCCAGTTTACCAATAGCAACAGCGAAGCCTCACTCGCTCCGCATTCTGCTTCTGCTCTCCTTCCTCTTTTCACCGTCATTCTCCTTCCTGCCTTCGTTCTCCTCCTAGTCCTAACCCTTAACCCACCGCTGATTTTATTTTATTTTATTTTATTTTTTCTTATTTTCCATCCCCCCCCCCGCCCACGCCCATTATTTCTATTTTCGTGTTTATCTTTACTTAGTATTACTGGTTTTTCATGCTTAGTCTCTCGATATGCACGTCTAAGCAGCTAATATTCAGCCCAATCCCACCAACATCCAATCTGTTCTCCCTATACCGTTGCCAGTCCGCCTACTTCATACGTGGTTGGACCGCGCAATCGTAGAAACTGCACTTTGCTATTACTTCCCCTCACCCGACTACAGGTGCGAGGGGTGTCTATGCCCAAGCCAGTCAGATATTGACCCCGTTGGTCTTGGGGCCACCACTACCTCAAGCCCTGGCCACGACAGACGTGTTTCGCATCGCACTCCATTTGAGCCTGTCGCCCTGCCTTGATCCAGTTCACCGTGCGTCTGCGTGGCTACGTAGTCGACGGTGCGGGCCTAGCAAAACCATAACAACCACGCAACAGCGGCGGCACCCTGTCTTATACATGCTTCTTTGGCTTGTTCTTTTCTTCTTCGTATGACACACCGACTAATTCACTGGACACGTCTCTACAATTTGGAGTCCACAGTACCATTCTACATTAGGAGGCTGTCACCATGGCCGCACCGATAGACACCTCACGCCCTTTGTCTCCGGACAGCAATCGCATCGCCACCTTCTGGAAGACGCTGTTCGGTAAGGGCCAAAGGGGCCACTCCCCGCCCGCACCTTGCTCCGAGCCAGGGCTGTCGCGAGACTCGTCGGTAAGCTCAACCTTCAACCGAAGGGTCTTGCGAAAAGTCGTTCCCGGCCTGCCTAGGGCTAAGACGTTCAGGAGACAACAGTCCGAGGATAGGAATAAACTAGAGGCCATATTTCCTACTCAGGCTGAACGAAGGGCCGTATCAGTCGATAGACGCATGCATCTTCAACATAGCGCCTCTTATTCTAGTCAACTTTTACCCCACGCGAGCGCTCCCGACCTTTTTGATGATACTGGACTGTCTGCTGGCAAAAATGTCACTGTCCCACAGACCAACTCGGTTTCTCAAACTCCTATTGAAGAAAAACAATTCTTCAGCTTCAACGGTCTTGACATTCCTAGTATAGTTAGAGATGATGACTATGCACACGACCAAGTACATGCCTACCCTGAGAATATCTCTATTACCGATGCACACTCTATCAACACAGCCCAGTACGACGCTATGATACACGATGAACTAGAACATAAGTGGATCTTGAATCTGAGCATGCATTTCCGAGATAAGTCTAAAAGGGAGAAATTCTTCGTCACCTATCGAGAGAAGGACTCGATCTGGAGGCGAGTAACTATCTCCCTTGACTATCGAAATGCCCCTAGCGATTCGCTGGAGAAGGAACTTTCTACGATCAAATATCAACGAGAAAAAAGTGCTAAAATCTATGAGGCCATTCGTGAAAGTCTGCAGGACATTCAATTCTATGATACCGTGACAAACCTCAAGCTCCAGACCGCTGATGGCAGACTGCATGTCCATGTGGTGGAAGACGTTAACGTGGGTTAAATCTTCGCCAGTGCATTCTGTCCTAGAAACTGACCTTACCAAACCAGGAAATCGTCCAATTCCCAACTGTGCGCATGGTCCAGCATATGGGCTGTCGGCGTGTTCGTGAGAGTGAACTTGAATTTGACTCGCACATGTCTGGCTTTGTCTACAAGGTTAGATGTAATGGGCACACATTCATCAAGAAAGAGATCCCGGGCCCGGATACTATAGACGAGTTTCTCTATGAGGTGAATGCTCTTCACTCACTGCGATTCTCCCGAAGCATTATCGAGTTCTATGGTGTAGTTGTCGATGACGCCGACCAAGTCGTCAAGGGACTTCTCATCAGCTATGCCGAGAAAGGGGCACTCATTGATGTCATCTACGACTCTCAAGAACGTGGTGACCATGAGCTACCTTGGGTTGCTCGAGAGAAATGGGCAAGGCAGATTGTCCAAGGACTCTCGGATATCCACGAAACCGGCTTTGTGCAGGGTGATTTCACTCTTTCCAACATTGTTATTGATAGCTTCGGCAATGCGAAAATAATCGATATCAACAGAAGAGGCTGCCCAGTTGGCTGGGAGCCTCCAGAGGCAACCCCACTAATCGACAGCAACCAGCGAATTTCGATGTATATTGGTGTCAAGTCCGACCTCTACCAACTTGGAATGGTGCTATGGGCGTTGGCGGCGCTCGAGGACGAACCCGAGGCGCATCCTCGACCCCTGTATTTGAGGCCCGAGTTAGATGTGCCCTCTTGGTATCGTGAGATAGTGGATATTTGCCTACACGAGAACCCACGTGTCCGAATGCAGGCTACCACATTACTCACTAAGTTTCCCGAGATAGCTTACGACGATGCTCATGAAGAACGGGGCTTGCCATCGAGCTCTGTGCACAACGGTGCACCGTTCGAGCGCTATGTAGCGGACAAACATTACGCCCCTCCAGTTATCAGGAACGTGGAGCCTCAAAGCAGTAGACCCTGTTCCTCCGATAGTGGTTCACAGGCGACCTCGCCGAGCTTCTCAGATGAACCATCGTACCCACCACGTGGCCGATCTCCACCCAGCCCTTTGCCGGCTCATCATGATTTATATAGCCCGCCCTATATTCGCGGAAATGCGAACTGGCCGGGAGTCCATGACATCACAGCTGTGGATGACGATCCCGCTGTGGACGAAGCAATAGTTGGGAGACAGAGAGATCTTGAAGACATGACTAGTTTTGCGAAAATGACGGAAGAACTCGACCAAATGCAAGAAGACCTCCGCGCTGGGGCTGTTCTGGAAGATGAACAGACTCAAAAGACGCCGGGCGGTAATAGCCCAGCAGAAGATAGTTCGTCAAAACAAGTTGTTGTCGAGCCAAATGTGGTGGCTGGTAGTCAAGACGAGAATGCTATGTCACTAAACGAGGATGAGTCCAATGTCTCTAGGCCCGCATCTGACATAACGCCGGATGAAAGTTCAGACGATACACCAATCGCGGAAGCGCTGCAACGTGATCAGATTCCTGTAGCAGAAGGATCGTTGGAGGAGGCAACAGACTCTGAAGAATCAGCCACAGATGATGACGATTCTGATGTTGAATACTCCACAGCAGATGAGCAACCTGCAGCGACAATAACATCAAATACCAAAGATAAAACAATGTCCACCAGAGTACGAGAACCACGCGAAATGGGGTCTCAAACCAACCTATCAGATTCATACGACGATACAGATGATGAAACAGAAGACACGTCACCAACGCGACCCACGGAAGCAAACTTAATGAATAGATCTGGCTTGGCTCCTCAGAAGGATTCATCGCCATTAGAATCTCAAGGGGAACGGAGCCGGCACGGGTGCTCAGGGTCATATCCAAGTGCCTCTGCTACAGAGGCTGCGCGGAACGCCGAAATTACCGCCTGACAAGAGCGGAGGCGTCGACCCGCTGCCTGGGCGACCTACCCCTGTTGTATAACGAGGATTCTGTGGTGGTGAGTTCAGTATGGGGGGCACAGGCTCACGTTTTTCTTTTTGTCATGACATCCCGTAAACAGCCGATGGATAGGGCCAACAGCACTTCCTCGGTTGTTATGATATCCATGAACTAATCTTAGTGTGCATTTACGAGACTGGGGGTCGGTAGCATCGTTTGTACAATCTATTCCATCTAGATACCTCTGGCCTAGCAGTAGCACATAGCTGAACTTGATAACATGAAACGACACTGAATAAAACTAGATAACGAATGAGATGACACATACTAAACCGATAAATGCCTCCTGAGCGCTAATGTTATACTCTGATTACGGGATGGGATATTGAGTACTCTGACCTCTATTATTCAGTCTAGCAATTCTATGATGAGAATAATACCGAGAATTTGATTCATTTAGATCTGAATTGGCTGAAATACGTAGTTGGTGACTGATGATAGACGCCATTGTATCCTAAGTGTTGTTCGGTTATACGCACACGCACATTGAATATGTACATATATAAGTGAGCATATCGAACCAATAACGTACCGAGCTCAAGTCAAGTATTTACTCTACGAAACAGGGCGATTCTACAAAACACGGGAAATGATTTCCTGACTTTGGTTTCTGCTAAGCAGACCCATCTAAATTTACGCCTAAGGGTTACAAAACGACATTGCCTGCCTGGGCTGGGCAATTAGGAAATTCCCACGGCAACCAGCTTTCACTACCACGTCGGGCACATCCGCTATCTATTATCATACGACCTAAATTAAAGAAGAAGGTGATTAGTGGGCAGTATCATAAGCCTTTCTATTTTTAATCATTCTCACATCAACGAAACTGAAGGTAAGGGGTATTAATAGAGAACGACTGTGACCTGTTTGTTCCTCAAAGTACAACTCTAGACTTTAGGGTCACAAGGGAGAAATAGAAAAACAACACCTGAAATCTGAAGTAGAGTTGGGTGTGATGCCTTCTTTTGCCAGAGAAGCGAGCGCCTATTGCAGCATGTCTGAGGAAAAGAGTCTAAGCCAATTTTTACTGATTGAGAGTGGCCGTAACCCGCTGCGAGTGTACCGACACGTGCGACGTGAATTATAAGAGTTTGAGAAAGTTATATAGTATTCATTCCTCTAGTAATAGAGCGGAAGGTTAGAAAAACTGCCTCGGTGTTAGGAAAGCAGGGGCGCGACATAACCGGTTCACCTTGTGCGGGCCTGTAGCAACAATGGAAAGCTATATGCCATGGTATTTTAAGCATTATGATGCGCTTGAGAGACGCATTTGTCCTTGCTTTTGTTGGTGTCTTTATCGTCGGGCTGTTTTTGTTCCTGTTGCTCGACAGCCCCTGGCTGAAGATGTATCTTAGTTGCTGCTACAGCATCTTCCGAGTCATCTATACCCCTGAGGGGGTTGTAGTTGATCCAGGGCTGACGGGCACTGATTGGGATAGTCTCAGGCTCTATCGTGGTGAGTGGATTATCCTGATGAGCCCATATCTTCACAGTCTCATCAACCAACAGCCCGGGTGTCTCAAGACCCGACGGCTTTTTGCTGGACCTAAGCTTCAACAACTTTGCCTTGTCGCTCTCGGCTACAACTGCCATAGCCTCGTTGATATGCCTCATGATATCATCGAGTTGCGCCACGGGGGAAGGGTTGACTGGGGGTGCTGTCTTAGTCTCTAAGCAGAGGGTGCAGTTTTTTTCAGCGGGCAATGCTCTTGGTCCTTTATTACATTTCCAGTATCCGCCTAGCCTTCTTTGCTTCTCGTGGCGCCAACCGTTATTCGGTTCGTGCCAATTCTTGTCCCAGCTGTTCTCCTTTACGATTATGCCCCCTGCAAAATTCCGATATTAGTGTTGATGAATATCGCAGGTATGTGAAGGGCATGGGCCAAGGATACAGTGGGCAATATGTGCGAGACCAGAACCGGCCTAAGGGAAAAAAAAGAAAGGGGCGGCGGGTGCCGAAAACCTTGTGGGATGTTCCAATGCACTGAGAACGACTTACCTTCACTAGGATGGTTCTTCTTGTATTCTATTTGACTTTTGGCTGACTCTAGTCGGCTAATGTGATTGAGAAGATTGACGTAACACTCCTTAACTGTACGGCCTTGCAACTCAATATGTCTTTGGGCTATAGCAATAGGAAACCAATCGGGTATGAGGACCTTGAATGGCTTGTCCGGCCAGGGCGTGGTCGTTTCAACCATCACTGATAACTTTTGGTCCGGCTCTGGCGGTGGTAACGGCAGGGTTGGCGGTATTTTTGACCTACCGCTGTCCGGCTCTATCGATTTCATTCTTTCATATGAGGATTTGTCAGGGATGGATTGACAGCGTTGGTTCCAGCTTGAAATCGAGGGGCAAGAACCATCTGAGCCAAGTAGGCGTTCAACTTTCGATAAAGAGCTTTTCGTTTCTACTGGCGGCGCCGCAGACAGACGACGCTGGCTAGATGCCGTCTGCTCATGGTTGTCAATGCTGTCAAAAGCCGCCATCCCCTTTTCAATGTCTTTAATATATTGTCGCTCTGCCGGAGCAATCTTCTCCCGTTCTTTGGTCATTACCTTTCTGATTTGTACCAGCTTCATTCGGGCATCTGTACGAATCCTAGGTGTAGAACCATGGTCGGCTATATGCTGTTGGATTCGTTGCTCCTTCAATAGGCTCTCATAGAGAGGCGTATATCGAAGCTGAATCCTCTCAGCGTTCTTCTGTTCTATCCAGCTTTGAAAGTCACGCGATTGATCTAGGAACTGGTCGGTGGGATTGAATGATGGCCCTCTCAGAGGAGGCGGGGGCGCTCGTGTGTCAAACTTTGTGGGGATGATGGGAGGGTACGCATGCCATCTGGGGTAATATGGCTCAAAAATTTCGCAAGCAGTAATGTCGATAGCCCTCGGAGGAGGCGTGCTTGTAATAGAAGAGTTTGATGTCGGCAACGTAGAGCCAGAGCCTACTTGAGTGCCGTTGGAGTGGCTGTTGGAATTGGTACATGGTGTGTGGCTGGCATCTTGGGTTCTACAGGTAGGGTTTGCCGCGATGGGTATCGCTGATGCGACATTGAACCGCACTCGGCGCGTCTTTGAAGAAGCAGAAGAGGAAGTACGGAGCGCAGACTCAGGCCATAACGACGGTGAAGGGCCAGTAGCTGTAAGAATCACACTATCGTCCGGGCGTCTCATCTCAGGGCCCATGGAACTAGTGACTCGTGATCCCGACAAAGAAGACGGCATTCTCAAGTTTTTCTTGTTGAGTGGATTTCAGGATCAGTACTACAGCTTCGACTTGAAGGACCGTTGGGCTGGTGATCCTAGACCTACGTTCGAAGATAGGGGAGGGTGACAGCGTGCTTGAGAGGCTGCTATCAGCAAGATTGCAGGTGCAGGTGGACTTGATTTCTGTAGGGTGTCATGGGGGAGTCTTTGAATTTGCGAAGAGGGCAAATCGAACGAATTCGGGGATTCAGGTTTGAGAAGTTGGGTTGAAAGTACTCATTGTCTCTTGTCGAGTTTCCGGGAGGGGAGGAACGAGTCGAGTCGAGTCGCGTCGACAGATGATGAGATTAGGAAGGAGGGACTGCGCAACCAGTTCCACGGAAACCGCAAAACATGAATACATAAATACAAAAATACTTGAGAACACACGGGAATAGTAACACAAACACCTCGCGACACGCTCTGTGCTCATCGCCGCCGTGGCGGAACAATTTGACGAACAATATCGCTGCTTAGCGGTGGTGTTTGCTACGCTGCACCCACCTCTACCCGTCCCTTGATTGATCCATTTACCAATCACCATTTACCATTTACCATTTGCTATTTACCATGTACCATTGACCATTCAGTCTAACTATGCCATCAGTGGCCCGACCGCGACCTGCTCTCGGAGCCTCATAGCTTTTTCCTGCTCTCGTAATGAGGCTTGTTTCTGTACCCTTCGCCTATCTGCCTCGAGCATTGCGAATCGACCTCGCGCCCCGTGCCGCACTTTGGTGATCATATCCGCTGCTTTGCCTTTGCTGAGGTCTGTCACCTTGAGCTGTTCATTTTCCCCGCGTAACTTGTTGAGCATTTTAAGTTGCCCGTCCGTCGGCGGCCCTTTACGCCAATTCATGTGTCTCGAAATGAGCATATGGGGATATTTCTCAGAGGCGTATTTATCAGCGCCGTGTACGGCATCGACGAACGTGGCAGCTCGAAGGAGTTCTCGAGGCGCTGCAAAAGGTGACTTAGATACTCCTTTTGGCAAGGCACGGATTTCGAAAGCAATAAATTGGGCTTGAGCTGGGTCTTGGTCTGATGTTTCTCTCTCGATCCCCTCGAGTCTGATGTATGTCCCTTGCGGACCAGAGAGTATATATCGATGAGGTCCAACTTGGACCCAGGCATTGTTGCTAATGGATCGAATGTGTTGCTCGCCGCTCGAATCCGCGATAAGATCTAATACTGAGTCATACTCTGTGAAAGTGACATTGCCATCAATTTGTGCACCGGGTTCGGTTTGATTCGCTCCTAATACAACCTGGTCTCTTATCTTCTCCGCTTCCTTGCCCTCTTTCAGGCTCTTCATAGCATCTACGGAGGCTTCCTTGACCAGTTCAGATGGGTCTAAACCAAAAAGCGTTGGGGTAGTTACGATACCACCCGCAAGGCTAGACACCATATCAATGATATGGCAATTCTTTTTACCAGGATGCAGTCTCATTCCTCTGCCAATCATCTGCACCAAAAGGTTACGAGAGCGCGTTGGCCTCCCCAGCACGACGCAGTCGATGTTGGGAATGTCGGTACCTTCAGTGAAAACGCCGCAGTTTACGAGGACGGGGAATTCGCCTTTCTTGAAAGCTTCCAAGCGATCGCTCCGATCAGTCTTGGGCGTGTCCCCTGTCACATACCTGGCATCAATGCCATACTGTCGAAAGGTTCTTGTCAGGCCAGCGACATGAGCAAGGTCTACGCAGAAAACTAGTGTAGATTTTCTATTGCCGGCCCTTGCTAGCCAACTGCGAACGGTAATCTGGTTGATCTGATCTGTATTGACAACTTTGGAGAGCTCGCCGGGCTGGAAATCCCCGTTCGCGCCATTTTTCACCCTGGATATGTCTGCAGTGGATTCAACAGTTGTGAAAAGTACGTCAGATAGCCACTTCTCTCCTATCATGTCGACATAGTCCTTGTGATATACAATCTCATCTATGGCGGCGCCAAGTCGAAGCCCATCGAAGCGGGAGAAAGTGGCAGAAACACCGACGAGAAACGGGGACTCTTTCTTTTTCTGATCAAGGCCGAAATGCTCCAATGTGTGTAAGTAGCCCGGCGCCACAATATGATGAGCTTCATCTACAAGTACGAGCTTGAAAAGCTTGGGGTCAAACTTGCTGATTCGATCTCCAGATGTGATACTTTGGATGCTGGCGATAGTGATATCTGCCTGACCAGAAGCATGCATATTCCCCATTTCAATCTCGACGGTTTTCCCGGGATAAGCGTTGCTGCAATGCCGCGCCGCCTGTTCGACGAGCTCTCTTCGATGAGCCAGGATCAGCGTTCTTGTCGCATACTTGGAGCTGGGCTTGATGCGATCGATCAATTGAGTAAAAACTACAGTTTTCCCGGCTCCCGTCGCTAGCGATATACCAATCCGCTTGTGACCACTTTGCAAAGATGAAAGCACAGATTGGATGCATTCCTCCTGGTACTCACGGAGGCGCACTGGTTGGGGCGTGGGCTGTTGTGAACCTCTCGTAGGCGAGGCAAAAAGCCTCATCCGTGACAGCCCCGTGGGCCTCAATAGAGTGGACGGTCTTGCCGTCAATGCCCATCGCGACAGAAGCCGGGACATGGCACTTTATGCTTGTTGCATTGACTAGGTACTATAAGCAGTGGTGAGTCGATTTCGGATGATGAGTGTATTGAGATTTCAGCACTGATTGGAATATGCTGGTATTTAGCATACAGTATATTTCTGTAATGGGACTTATCTTACAACCAAGGTAATAGCCACTCTCACATAATTTAATCTTGCGAGCCAACCATACAAGCGAGGCTCGTAGATAAATCACTGGACCTTTATACTCTCAGCGTATCTATCTCATCTGCTCAGGAAAATTTGATATCTTAAAGTTAATACCTATTTCCCACCTGTGGAAGCAACCGGGAAAAATTCCATCGATGGAGTACATGTGTACTTGCGACTTTAGCGGGATATCACCCCTGCCAGCCCTAGCCTTGATTAGGTACCTACCATTCTTCTAAATACCCGGGTACCTAAACTTAGGCAAGTTTTCTACGTGAGTTGCCATCTGGAGCTCATCATTGCCCGAACTCTTTACTCGAGCGTCCGACCTTCCTTTGAGCAAGTCCTATAAATGGAACTTGTTGAAGCCATTTGCTCAGGAAAACGATACCGTCTTTGCTGCATGTCCCTGTTGGCTAAACTGAGACATCCAGTGTGAGTGAAGTTCTTCATGCAACTGAGAACTTCACTGACAATATGGTATAAATGCATAAACTTCGTATACATGCATTGCCCCAAAAGACGAAGATATAGGCAGAGGTCATGGACATAGACTCAGACGAGGAGATCATCAGATCGTCTAGACGAGAAAGTCCGCTCGTGAATAAGAAGCGACAGGCGGAAACCTTGATTGCGCGCGGGGCTCTGCCATCGCTCAAGCGCAGAAAAGGTGACTTTAACGCTGCCTACCTCAGCCTGCTCAACCAAGACATCCAAGATGCGGCGTCGGGGCTCATCAAGAATGAAGAAGAACACTACGACTCCGATTCCGAGTCAGCTCCAACACAGATCGGGGCGGTAGTGTGGAGTGGCGCGGAGAAGAACGCCTTCTTCGCAGCCGTGAGCCGGCTTGGGAGGGACGACGTGGCGCGCATAGCCGTACGAATCGGGACCAAGAGCGAACTCGAGGTGCAACAGTACCTGGTCTTTCTCGATGCAGCTAAGCGGCCTCCGCGTGGCAGTGAGGGGAAGGCAGGAGCTCCTCCTCAGCCCGCCTCTCTGCAACCCGTTGGTATCCCTGCCGCGGTGGAGATCGGCGCCGAGTGCGCCGCCTCGCTGGAGGCTGTTGCCGATGCACTGGCCCTGCGCCAGGAGGCACACGAAGAGGAAGTCGAGAGGGAGCGCTGGGGCGCGCGGTGGCTGATCACTAGCCCGCTCGCGACGATTCTAGAAATGACGCTTCGCAGGCATAATGAGCGGCAGGGACGGGATGAACAAGTGCAAGACTCTGAAATAACAATGGCAAATCGAAGGGAATGGGACGACCAACCACGCCTAAAGAAACAATTACGCATAAAGAGAGAACAAGAAGGAGAGGATGATGTGGAGGAGGGGGAGTGGGACAGAAGCTTGGAGGAAATGCCGTTTCTCCAGCTTTTCCATGTTGAGAATTGGCTTCAGCTGTCAGACCGGTTGTTCATGAACTCGACTATTGCTGACGGCAATTGGCGCGCCGTGGCCGAGGAAGACAAGCTACCCGCGATTCAAGCCACGGCGCTCGCAGACTTCCACGCGCTGGCGCTGAGTGTCACCAGACGCTTGATATTTGCGGCCGCGTATGTAGCGGAGTCCCGTACCCGGACGAGGAGCCTTGACGATGCTCGAAGGAACCTGCGCCCGCGGATCCGAGATGAGGATGTGAGAGCGGCGGTGTCATCTCTGGGCATGCGACACAACGCTAAGGAGTTCTGGGCACGTTGCGCGAGGAGACTGCAGTTGAACGTTGTGGATGATGGAATCGAAGAAGATGATGACGACCACGACGAAGATAGGGAAGGCCAGGACAACGATGACGGCGAAGAAGACCTGGACATAGACGAGCAGATGAGCACTGCTGATGCCAGCGATATAAATACAGACGATGCTGGACAAGAGGAGGAAGGAAGCGAAGAAGATGAAGACTACGATATCATGAGCTACGACGCAGTCGAAGCTGCGCTCGGCTTCCAGACAGTTGGCATCGACAGTGGTATAAACAGCTGTCCCGGAAGCCATGAAACTGATGATGTTTTCCCTTCCCCGAGAGACCCATCCAGCTCTTCCTCCTACGAGTCCGACCCTCGTGAAGATGAAGATGAAGATGACGAGGACTACATACAGGAAGTAAAAGAACAAGCAGACGACGACGGGCTAAATTTAGAGTCTATCGACAGAGACGTAGAAGAAGCCATGGCATCCACCGGGTCCCAGCACTATCCCGATAGCATAGCAGCCATGAGATCTCGCATCCGCGCCGAGCACAGACTAGAACGAGACGCCGAGTATCTGGACATCAAGACTAGCGTAGACGCCGAGGCACTACTATGGGCTATACTTCGTGGTGAAACTGACATGAGAAAGAAGTAAGAGACGAGGTCTTAAGTTCTGCGTATGACAGCATGAAAGCTGTGAAGATGAAGGCACGAAGAGGATGAACTATATATCTGTATAGTGACAGGCTCGAAGGGATCGCACTAGGGAAACAACAGTAGTAGTTCATCTGTAGGCACTGTGGATTGAGTCCATGAAAGTCTGCAATACGTAATTTCGTTGTGATAAACTTCAGACATTGTTAAGTTATGTCCTGTTGGTAGCTATCACTTTTATTCGCTAAATCTTCGTCGCTTCGAGCGAGTAACCGATTGTTGTGCACCGGCAATAATGGTGGTACATTTATTGAATGACACTACTTCTGATAAACATGGGAGAAAACAATGTACTGTGCCAAAGGCCCGAGATGAAACGCCGTATTAGAAACATGAGCAGTTTAAATGTATGAATCACAAAGCCAGACCTTGTCCCTTAAAGATATCCCATTGATTCGCCACCTGCACCCGACCGCGCATTCGCCTCTGCCGCATATTGGTAATACAGATGCCTCCAGGCTCCCTAGGCTTCGTAGCTTTTGATAGCTCCATCGCTACTCAGAGGCTGAACAGCACCCGCAGCTGGAGCGGACATGAATGTCAGACTGGTGCCATTCATTTCGGTACTCTTCAAGTCACCTCCAGAGTTCGACCCATTCTGGGCCTCGCGAACCCGTCTCTTGAATGCTAAGCGATCAAGGAATAGCTGCTGCCTGCCCCGCTCAAGCTCACGTCGCTCAGCTTGGAGAATACTCTCCATCTCATCGAAATATTTGAGCTTCAATTCCATCTTCTGGAGGGTAACATTGACTGCGGCGGACAGTAGACGAGTCATTTCTCGTTCTTCATGAGATGCTAGCCCTCCGGCTCTCGCTCCCATAGCTGCTAGCGGTATGGTCGCAAGGGTATTGGTAGTTGTGGTGGTGGTGGTAGTAGTGGTAGTAGTGGTTTCTTGCTGAATATCGATCTCCATTGAATCTCCTTCTTTCTCTTTGCCTTTTCCATTTACCTTTGTCGCATCGCCACCTTCGATCCGTTTACGCAGTCCCTGTTGAAGCTCCTCAACAGATTTCTTTGCGGCCGCTGCAGTTGATTTTGGATCGGCAAGACTAGCGAGGAAGGCAATGACGGACATAACTGGATTATCAGTCTGGCTGAAAGGAAGGAAGCCACCATGGCTTCCCAGCATAGGCATACCTATCGGAGCTCGGACGGGAGCTTCTGACTCAAGGTATTTGTCTTCGATATCTAATTGAAGGAATTGCAAGACGCATTCTTCTCTGGTCCGGGTTCCAACATGTTCGGCAATTTCAGACCAATCGTCATCATATTGCTCAAGCCCTTCAAGAAGTCGGAGAATCTCAGCATCGCTCCATGGAGCATCGCGTTCGAGAACAGTAGAGTAAGCTTTGTTTTCCACTCGAACAAATTGGTTGTTTGTTTGGTTGCTCGGTATGCGCCCCTCCAAATAACATGTCGAGCAGACGTCATGCTTAGTCTTGTCCGCAGCCTTCGCCTCGGGAAGGTGGTAATAAAGACGCGTACAGTCAATGCCGCAAGTTTGACAAAAGACCTTCGCAATGGGGCCCTTCAGACCATCATCGGTACCGTTAGTGGCTGATTCGCCGTTAGGTTTGTTCTCGGTTTTGGTGACTTTTGTGCCTTTCGCATTAGCTTCATAGATGTTGCGGCCGATCTCGAGGTTTCGTTCACCAGCAGCAGTGGCGGCCGCATGAGCTTTTTGGTCCGTGTCAGAATTTTTCTTGCCTTCCAGTAGAATCGGATCTGCTGCAGGCTGCCAAGGCTGAAGTCCACGAGGAGTGTCACAGATGACCTTGAAGTGCCCGGTGAAGGGGGGACCGACTTGGGAAGGACGCTGATCCGCGTCGACCTGTATGTTGTGAGTATATGACTAGAGATGCACGACAGCAGATAGTACCTGGTAGTTGATCAAGCCCCATTGCTCTAGAAAGGCATGCACACGCATTATGGCGCATACATCACCAGCTAGGTTACGTCGGCACGCAGTGACTGTCAAGTATTCCACGGGGTTTAACCGGTAAGTGTTGATCATAAAGTCGCGATAATCCTTATAGACATGGGGTGTCTTGCTTCGATTCCTGCTGTTGAAGAACTCAGGCAAGGCCTTGCGCTCTATGTTATTGATGTCGTTCATGTCGAACCATGTGCTGTAACTTGGGAGTACAATGGCGTGGGTTTGAGATATCAAGTGTTCTCTAGCAGCATTCTCAATGCTTTCTTTCGATTTGGCCTCTTGTGCTGCACCGTCTGCGCCTGGTGCGCCGTCTTCACCATCCTTGGCTGCTTGTTCCTTATCCTTGGACGCAGCGGAAGCATCGCCCATCTCCTCGTCTTCTTTAGCTAGAGTGGATTCAGCAGGTGGTGCTGGAGGCGCATCGAGGGGATTATCTGAGGTACCCGTAGGTGCAGGAGTAGTGCTGTCTTGCTTAATAACAGGGTCGGTTGATGGGCCCTCGGACATCTGAATATCTAATGGGCGCATGAGCATCCAAATTCCACAGGTCGCATTAGCTCAGATGACATCTCATACTCACCATCAGGCTGGCCAGGCGCAGAAGCTGCATCAGCTTGCTGATGTGGTTGCGCTAAATTCGGATTGCTGCCAGGGGAAGCTCCATTGGCTGGAGGGCCGTAGCTGGCCTGCTCTTCCATCTTCGCTGTTGGCGTTGAAGCTTAGATTGGATTCAAGCACGGCGAGAAGGCAGGGGTACCCAAGGCGAAGAGGTATTCCAAAGTTCAGAATTAAGAATACGTGAAGGCGCGGTGTCGCAGCTACCAGAATTCTATCTGCGGCGAGTCATGGAGATGTAGAATAGCTGTAAAGAAAATCGCAACCTTTCTAGGTTATCGTTGATAGATGAATGTTCGGACCAAGAGACGATATAGGCGATGATGAGGCTGGATCGATCGCGTATCTGGTTGGAGAAATAATTTCGGCGCGACTGGAGAAGATGGACAACAGTACTGTAGGTAGGTAGTGACTTCCCTCCACTTACAGGCTACGGTTGGCGTCTGTCTGGTGGGCACGTTAGGTGGGTAAGACGCTAGGGCAGGTGAGCTGGGGGACTTGTTTAGTACCTAAGTTAGGGTAGGTAAGTACCTAAGTAGGTACCTAGGGACAGAATAGGCAAGCGCGTAGGTACCTACCTCATGGAGATGGCTTTGTCAGCCACACGTTGCACCACGAGCTAGAATTTGCAACTGTGGCTTAGATCATAGTACATAGTACATGCTATACTTACTTAATGTACCTATACCTCTTACTAATACTATGTATGCACCGACCAAGAAAAGTAGGTAGCTACCTCCTAACCTAAAGTTAGCTAGCGTATCATCTCAAAATACCCAACTCGCCAACCTACTACCTAGGTAGGTATGTACATAGGTATGTATGTACCGTGTGGTCCTTACTGTATATATACAAAATCCAAACTGTATACTTAGCCTCGGTATCCCGCCAGCCATAGCCGAACGCGGGCCGTCGACAACCGCAGGTATGGTGTTGGTGGTAGATAATCGATTTGCACTGGGTGAAATAAGTAGATGAATCTCGACCTTCGAGATCTGTTATTTTCGGAGGCAAGCACATGATACCCTATACTCCAGCCATTCGCGACACAAGATGTTTCCAGCTGCTAGAAGATTAGCCCTTCGCGGCGTCACCTCCTTACCGCGATCTACCTCTGCCCTGGCCGGCCCATTCAGTCAATCCGCCTTCCAGAGGTTGCTGTCGTCATTGGCCATCCTTGAACAGCGCGAGGGCCAGCTGAACCACGGATCGTTAAGCGCAATCACTGCTGCCAAGAAAATTGGAGGCTCGGTGCACGGCTTCGTGGCCGGCAGCAGCATCAAGTCAGTTGCAGAGGAAGCTGCCAAAGTGGAGGGTGTCGAGAAGATTATTGCCGTGGACAATGCTGCTTACGACAAGGTAGGTACCTACCAACCAACTAGAGGGTGCGGGGAACCAATTTGTATTAGACTTACGCTCATCTGTCTGCTCGTTAGGGCCTCCCAGAGAACTTTGCTTCTTTGGTTGTCGAGAATATCAAGAAGGGAGGCTATACCCACGTCATCGCGGGGCACACAGCATTCGGGAAGAGCCTGATGCCTCGTGTTGCCGCATTGCTCGATTCACAACAGATCTCCGATATCACCGCTATCGAGAGCGAAAACACGTTTGTGCGACCCATATACGCTGGAAACGCCATTGCGACTGTCGAGTCCTCCGATTCCGTTAAAATTATAACTATCCGAGGCACTGCCTTCCCCGCCGCCGAGATACAAGGCGGCTCAGCCGCTGTCGAGGATGGTGTTGACCCCAAGTCAGAAGCTACGTCGGAATGGGTTTCAGAAGATTTGGCCAAATCGGACCGCCCAGATTTAGCAACTGCTGGCAAGGTAGTTTCTGGTGGGCGGGGTCTCAAGTCTAAAGAAGACTTTGACAAAATTATGCAACCGTTTGCTGACTCGATTGGGGCCGCCATTGGTGCCTCGCGTGCTGCTGTCGACAGCGGATATGCAGACAACAGTTTACAAGTCGGCCAAACCGGTAAGGTTGTCGCACCACAGCTATATATGGCTGTGGGCATCTCTGGCGCAATTCAGCATCTTGCTGGCATGAAGGATAGCAAAGTCATTGCGGCCATTAACAAAGACCCCGATGCGCCGATATTCCAGGTAGCTGACGTAGGGTTGGTGGGTGATTTATTTGAAAAGGTACCGGAGCTGACAGAGAAATTAAAGAGCTCATAAGTCAAACATATAATATACTTGTAACACTGGCCCGTCAGGGCCTGATTATATGATGAATTGCTTGGCTTCATTCTTAGTGACTAGCGAGCAGCAGCCAACATGTCGTCTGCGCTCGTGAATTTTTCTCTTTCCTTACCGGTCAGCAGGCCGCGTTCTCTCTCTGCTTTGTCTATCTTCTTCCAGTCATCCCAATGAATGACTCGGCATTTGGCCTTGTCAACCTCGGCACGTAACCCTTCCCAACCATGAGTCTCACTAGAATTGAGGAATGGGTGCCCGGCATACCAGTCAGCAGCAATGGCACCGGCAGTACTGAACGCGTCTTCCATTGTGGATGCGATGACGCCCGTAGGGCCCCTCTTCACCCATCCAGCGCAGTATACCCCAGGTAATTTACTCTTCCCACCAGACATCAGTGAGCCATTTTCATCACCTTGTAAGACGCTACCAAACCCGTCATTCCCAATCACGCCTTTCCTATCATCGAAAGGTATTCCTGCCTCAGTAAAGCCGGGCAGGGCAACCGACTTATAACCAATGGAGCGAAATACTGCCGACGATGGAATTTCTAGCTTTTCACCCAGAGTTTGGACGCTGGAATCTTGCTCGAAAGGTGACGAAAGTGAGGTTCGTTCGAACACTGTACTCTGCACCCTACCGTCTGGTGTGCCGCTGAACGCGGTAGGTGATAGACAAAAATCGAGTGACCATGACTTATTCGAATGCTCTAGCCGACTCGTTGAGCCTTTGACTAGAACCTCCATAAGCCGCCGCCGAGCTCGAGGTAACTTCGACAGTTCATCTGGTAAAAGACTCATGTCGACTGGATGGAACGCAACAGAGTGCAGTTTCATCAGCTCTCGCACCTCTTTGATAGTAAAAGCTGCCTGTAGGAACGATTAAGGATACTAGTCAGAAAAGGAGGATTGACTTAATGAGACACACCTGCATTGGGCCCCTTCGCCCGACTATATGCACTCGCTTGATGCGGCTTTTGGATAGGGTTTCTATAGCAGACTCGGTGATGTCTGACTTCCGCAACACATCTACGTTCTCTAGCAACATCCTCGCAACGTCGAGCGCAACATTGCCCTGACCAATGATAACTGCCTCTTCGCCCTGCGTGAGGTCTGGAGCCAAGTCAGCATATTCAGGCAGGCCGTTGTACCAGCCGACGAACTCCCGCGCCGAGTAGATACCCCGCAGCTCAGACTCGTTGGGAATTCCTAGCTTCTTGTCTTTTGAGGCACCGTATGCGAACACTACGGCGTCGTAGTGGCGCATTATAGATACTAGAGGAATTGTGCATCCTTGGAAATGGTTGCCCTGGTTGCCAATCGCCACATTGCCAATGAAGGTGAAGTTCGGCGAGCTGGCGACCTCGTCAAACTTGTCTTGGCAGTTCTAGGGGTAGCAGCTTAGTGTAAGTTGATGCGAATGTACAAAACGTATCATACCTTCACTTCGGGATGGTCAGGGGCGACACCAAAGCGGACCAGCCCAAAAGGCACGGGTAACGCTTCGAACATGTCTACCTTGGCCTGTGGGATCTTGGACATGACTCTGTACGCTGTATAGAACCCGGCCGGGCCGGAGCCAACCACAGCCATTCGAAATGGCTGGTCATTGCGGCCCGTGGTATACAAGCGACGAGATGGGGTGATGCTGCTGGCTCGGCGCAAGCAGGTGCTACAAAGCCATGGTTTGGGTTTCGCAAGGGATGCCATAGCGTTTAGAATGAAACGAGATGGAAATCAGAAACTCAATGCCGGATTTCAGCTAATCCCAGAATCTTGACTCATCCATCCAACTGCTCGGTACTTGCTTAAGCATTGACTTAGATGAGCTTGTTTGCTGGGGCTCTACAAATGTACTTGCTTAAGAATGCATACTTAGGTAGTGCATAGTATGAATACAAGTGTGTCACAGCCCCCGCACTGTATTGGTATCACCACTGCTTCACTGCTCTGCATTTTTGGAAATCAGTCTCAAACGCCATAAACTAAGTATGCAACATTTTCACGGAGGTAGAGCAAGGTTCGGCGACACCACCCTAGGCAAAGCAGCACTTCTCCATTCTCGAGCCGACATTTCCGATGGGGCTCAAGAAGTGACAAGGTGCTGGATTTGGAGTCTTATAATTAGCACGGTACCTGCATACACCTACTAGGTACCTAGATTAGATACGTACCCATGTAGCACAGCGTTGCCATGGAGATTGAGCTCAGCCCGATTCGGCAACATGTCTACATCGTCCGCGTGGACTGATGTGCGCCACTGCTGCGAACGCTGCCGTCATCATTGAAAGACCTTTTCCCCCAACTTGAATTAAATATATACCTACTGGCGTGTAAGGCGCAAGTCAAACAGCCCATTCCATCACCCTACCCCTCCCTCTTCTCCTCCCCGTATCTTGCGCCTGTATCTTGCGAGAAGCATCCACCCTCGCTGGAACAGGTCGTTCGCAACCATGGGGGCTCAGCAACCTTACATGTACGACTCGGGTCGCCGAGATTCGCGTTTGCCAGAGAAAGAGTTTGACCCAAAGGCTGTCACGAGGGCGAGCTGGCAAGAAAAGCCTAAAAAGGCCAAGAAGGAAGGGCCCCTCGTGTCGTTTGGCCGACATCCTGAGTATGTTTTTGTTGTTTTCACCATCTTCACTTAGTTGTAGTACGGTCTCGATGACCTGTAGCTGATGTCTTATTTGATGCAGTGCGCATGCGGTTCCTACTGGTCGTACTTACAATTTCCAGCCTATGAGTGATACTGCAAAGTGGTGGATAAGATGGACGAGATACTTTCAACTATTTCTACGTGCCTTGGAACTAATCGCCGGCGCTGGACTCCTCACGCTCATGATTCTCATTACAGACGTTATGCCTCTGGTGGCTTGGATCTTGCGCATTGCGGTATGCTCTTATTTCTATCTTGCCCATTACATATCTTCGTAAACTGGGTCTAACTTCGACTATAGCCTGGTGTTATCGTTCTTTGTTGCGCATATGCCATCCTGCATCTGGCTAAACCAGCACGAGCGCGGCCACCCGCCTCCTCGGCCGCGTACCAGGTGTTCGCTGCTACCACCGACTTAGCTATCTCGGCTTTCTATGCCTTTGGCGCAATTACGGTGCCGAAGGAGAGCGGTAGCTGGGACACTCTCCTAGCAGATAAAGACCTTCTGCCAATCTTCATCAAGTCTGAGAACTACACTCTTCTTGCTGGTATCGGTCTCCATGCGGTGTCACTTGGCATATCCATTTACTTGGCCGTCATGTTCAGACGTATTGCCAATATGCCGCCTGATATGAATCCTCTAGAGAGTAATCTTACATCTCGCACAAAACACAAGCGCAATAAGTCGTCAGTGGCAAGTAGCTATACTTCTATGTCGGAGAGTAGTAAGCGCCTGTCAACGCCTCTTGAAGACCATCGCCGCTCTGGAGCACCCTACGAGGACTTATCTCGGCCGCCAAGTATCCCTTTCATGAACACGCGTACCGGGTCACGGGACTCATTCAGTTCTTCGAAACGTGACTCTCGCGTCGACCTACCCAGCCGGCAATATCAAATAACACCAGGCAATTCCCCGCGCAACTCACCTCGCAACAGCACCATCTCCGTCGCTGACCAAAGGCGCCAGTCAAATACTCGATTGGCACAACGTGGCAACTACATGGAGATCCCATTACACGAGACAGGCACCCCATCTTCTTCGCGGCCTGGCAGCTCCATGAACTCGCAGCCGATCAACGCCTCGCCAACGCGGGTGGCAAGGTTCACAGAAGCATGGTATGCTTCAGAATCACTCGTCAATCGCACACAGCAGCGCCAGCGCGCCATGAACGCAGGGGAGCGGACAGCAGCGGAGAGGTCCAAGGCATACGAGGCCCTAAACCAACGATACACAGGAGACAACGAATCAGATTCGGAACAGGAAAATGTGATGGGTCCCGAATACATCTCAGATTCCGAGGACGACGATGGCCCGATCAATATCACCGGCAACATGCATCCTAACCCGCTGCGGTTGAATCCCCATCGAAAGGGACCTATCGAGCTGCACGATTCGCCCACCGCGCAACCCGTGCTTACAGAAATGAGCTCCAACAGACGCAGCGTAAGCGGTAGCCAGGACATCGTAGACGCGCAATCAGGCCCAGTCCCAGCGCGCCGACCGACGATCTGGAACCGTATCAGGGGCAACAGAAACTCGTCGATCCAAGCCGACAACCAGTTCTACTCAAAACCGTACGGCGAACTGAAGAGCGCCACACCGCCTATCCCGTACGGTGGAGATACATATAATGGAGATAACAACAGGCCCATAGGTGTAGAAGGGCGCCAAATTTCCTCTGGAAACGACTATGATTTGAGTAGTGCTTCGAATCTGGGATATCGCCGTAAAGTCAGTGGGATAGCGGCTGAAGAGGGCAGAGCAGGTCCGACTTCGAGGTACTCGCGATACAGCGCGTTGAACGAATAAACTGAGCGCGGCCGTAAGAGAAGTGGATTGGAGGAGTGTGTGCGATATCAGTGTGTTCTTTTGCATTTTACGATTCCCAATAGGCTGGTTTTCATGTTTTGGCGTTTTGTGTGTATATTGGTGCATTCGATGATATTGGACTTGGACATGGGTTTGGATAGGTGGGTGAATATGTTGAAAGATAGGGTGCGCGCGCAGCATGCATGCATATTACACGTTCAGCAGCACAGAGGCACCGTCGTCTATTAACGAGGGCGAGTAAGTTTGAGTTTAACAGTACAGACAGAGAGAGTCTGAAAGGAAAAAAGGACTTCCCGACGCTAGGAATCGAACCCAGGCTTCCCACCCCCGAAGGCACGGTTTCGCGCCGCTTAACAGCGGACTACGTCGTGTGTCAAAGGGCGTGCTACCACTACACCACGTCAGGCTTCACCAGCAAGCAACATTGCCAGCGATTATGTTTGCAGTGGCATCCAGAGGCATATCGGACGTTACGTATTTATTCCCACGGACGATGGGAGAAGGAGGAAATGGGCTAATTACGCTTGCTAGAAGCCTCTAAATCCAAATAAAGTAGTAGTAGTAGTCTATAAGTATATATAAGTGGTTGAATTCGTCATGGTCACATTCTCCCGGACCCCAATCAAACCATCCGTCTATCTGATGCGTCTAATGCCTTTCTTTCCCCTTCCATGCTTGCTTCCACCACTCTATGTATATATATATTATACCTCTTTCGCGACAGCGCAATAGCTGAGAATCAATATGCACTAGTCAGCCAGTGACAAACAGCCTCTCTTCTGCTACTACGCCTTCTTCTCCTTGCTATAGAAGACCCAGAAGATGGTGATGGAGAGCTTCAAGGCGGCGACAAGCCACAAGCTGTTCTGCACGAGGCCGGTAACCTTGGAGATGAAGCCACCAGCGATGGCGCCGACGAGGGTGAGCGTGAAGGCGACGGCGCGCTTGTTGCGCTTGGGGTTCTGCGCGAAGGGCGCGAAGATGTTAGGGTCGCTGACAAGGTCACACAGCAGCGTCGTGATGACGACGGTGGGCACCTCGGCGACGCCTAGGCCACGACTGTTCACGATCTGGCCGGCCGCCTGGAATGAGAGCAACGCGATGGGCGCCAGCTCCGCGAAGTCGACGTCGTTGGGGTCCCGCCTCGACGGGTACCGCCCATCGATCAACCCGCCCTGGATGATGCCGGCGGCGAGCGCCACGAAGACGGTCTGGATCAAGAACGATAGGACCACCGTGCGCCGCTGCCGGCCGCGCCCTATCAGGGCATGGAACCGCGAGAACGAGACGCAGCCTATAATGAAGGAGCCGATAGATGTCACTAGATTTCACGGCGTTAGGATTTCGCTCGTTTCATAAACTCATCGTTGCTCTCTTTCTTTTTGTCTCATCGCTTGCTTTCTACTATACTCCTCTAGAGCGGAATGAGGTTTGCTTACAAGAGCGAGCCCAACCATAAGGCCTATTGTTCTGCCCCGATGTACCCAGGGCTACGAAAACAGTATTTCCTAGCGTGTACGTTAGTTGTCATTTCTTTAATCAATTTCCAGATACTGCTGTGGTAGATAGGCCACTTACCAGTTTGCATAGATACGAAAGTGCCGTACGCTGGAGAAGAAGGGTTGTTAGTCAGCCTCGCCTTACATTTGATCCCTGAAATTACCTTCGCCCCTATTTATGGCCTCTGTCTCCAAAAATCGGGATTTCCGGTTCACTCACCATTATAAAGAGTGCCATCAGTGAGACCAGTGGCAAAACAGCAGACGAGAAGAGGAGCCCAGACGAACCGTGGGTCGAGATCTTCCGAAAATCTGCTGAGGAAACTGCGCTTAGGTTCAAGTTCGTTCAGCTGGTCAGTTGAGCTGCTGTCGTTGCCCGACATGGGCTTTGCGCCTTTTTCCTCGTCCAGCATTGTGTCGCGCTGTATCGAGCCGGGTTGTGTAATAAAAACAAAAAGAGGAAGAAATTGAGAGGCGATAAATGAATAATGCGTGTGCGATATACGTGATAATTAGTGACGATTGGAAGATATCTACAGTACGGCTGACGGGAAATATTACTGGACAGCGAACCCTGTTTGGTTTTTGGAGTCCTTTTTTTCTGTCCCTTTTTTTTTTTTTTTTAGTTCAGAAAGCCAGATGGATGCGCCCAGCCGGAATGAAATAAGGCGGCTGATGGGAAAGTTGCGTGATCGACGCCAGGAAGAGGCTAGCTAAGAAGCCAAGGCCACCCGAGGACAAGCGTCAAGGATTAACTTACTATTCTGTACTTGGAAGTAAGTGAAGTTACTATAACTCACGAACAACGATATAATCTAATAGTGTCACCTCGGAGGATAGGCGAATGTGACAAATTGTCCCACATGCAAGCAAGCTGTAGGCCTGTACGTTATGTGTATGTATGTCGGTTGTTGCTTGGGCATGTGCGTCCAAATGCCGCACCGTGAGGACGAACACAAACAGCTTGATGCGCTCGCTGCACGTCCCGCACGGTATATCACAAACAGCTGAACCTTGCCAGACTCACGACATATCCGAATCCTGGGCATGCACGTATTAGCGGTATTAGCCGATGTTTCTGCCCTAGTCGCGGCCTCGAGGTCCCGCACCGGCGCCCCCAGCGAACATACGGGCCGTTATGTAGGGTGAGACGAGATGAGAAAAGAGGGCCTTCCCAAGCCCTTGTCCACTGCCCGAGAGCGGATCGGACCTGTTGAACCTGTTCTGTAAGTGCTCTGGGGAGGCAGCGGTGGCTCAGCTTGGGCAGCGATCATGAGCGGGATATCCACCAGTTCTGAGATTAGGTCGAGTTCCAAGATTGTGCTAGGCCTTGTCACGAACTACTTGTCATGCTACTGTTTGACAAGAGAGGATCCCTCCTGTCTGTCCTAGGCCATCGCCACTCCTTCGCACCCTCCTCGCAGCAAGCTCCGTGCGCTCCGGTTGAAGTCACTTCACGTCAGATCCCTTATCACGAATGCCGTGCCTTACACTGCACTACACCCTAGCGGCCCGCTAGCCCGACCCCCGATCCGGCGCGCCGAGACCACGCCGAGATCTTTAGGACTCTGGTTATTCGCGCTTGGCTGCAGCAATGCTTCTGATGATTATCTCAAGGCGGGACAACTTCGGCGGCCCTGCTTGATAAAGCTGGCTTGGCCCTGTGCGACACCTTCGTTGCGTCCACCGGGGAGAATGCACAGAACGGCAGGCGCCCGAGGTCATCGTGACGATGATCACCGCATGCCCAGCTTACTGTCTAGGAACAAGGGTATATTCCCAAAACATATCGGAGCGCACAATGGGGAACCATGTTCTGCCGGCTGCTCAGCGGGTTGGCCTACGGTTATATCCTAGTAACCTAAGCAAACTCGATACAACCAACCAGACAATATTACAACGAGACCGCTGGGAACTGTAACCACACACGCTAAGCGAGGGGAGCAGTGTCGCCAGCTCTGCTGAGATGTCGATCCGTAAGGATACCAGACTAGTATACGCACGTAATTATGTCATCGGGACACTAGCGATTGTCTCCATTATTTGGTTGATGGGTTAACTATATTTACTCGCATCAGCTCATCGATTGTCAGGCGATATTGTTGCTGTTTTACCCATTGGCAGGGGAGAAACAGCATGTGATCAGACCTATGTGCTCTGTCTCATCTGAGGCGAAGGAGGGGGGGGAGAGATTATAGTATGTACATCGATGAACCATATCTGTACTACCAGCCGGTATGGTAAGAGGTGCGGTCTTTTGTTTATCACCGCATCTTACTCCCTGATACAGCTCCCAGCCCTCGATGCCAGCCACTTGATCCTAAAAGAGAAACCATGGCTAGATACAACCCGGCAATTATGTTGTATGCCCAGCTTGCCAAGCTAGACAATGTCGGGTCACTCCCGCTGATGACAAGGTTCACGATGGAATGCACCTAATACGAGTATTTCACTATGTGCATCAATTACAAAGAACCAAGGATAGACGAGAAGGTTGTCTCTATCCAAGCCTCTTGGCTAGTCTTGGGTGTTTGCGTGTCAGTTATGACAGCGGATATGATATGCACAGCTCGCTCAGCCAAGACGCTAAGGGATGTATGTACGTTTAAGGGCAGCGGGTTGTGAAACAAGTTTGATGTTAGCAAAAATCTTTTGGACGGCCTGGAGGAAAGGTCCCGCGCAATCTTGGACGGTTCATGCGACCTCTCACCTCGCCTTCGCAAATTTCGTGCAAACGATTCGTTCGTGTCAAGTGGCAGAAGGCTGCTGACAGGCGAAGGATCAGTCTGACTCCATGAACTACCATGAGACCCTGGGGCGCTCCATTCGGGGATAACCTCAGCCTTACCCAGGCAACTAGAAGAAAAAGCTTAGTAACAAGATGCGAACTAGGCTGGCATTTATAAAGAATCTCATAAGAAGGTCCTATTGTAACAAGTCACTAGAGTCTAACGAGCCGCGTCAGAAGGCCCGTACTAAGAAAGCCAGCGTGTTATCGCTTGCCTTTCTTCACATGCCTGCATGCCGGTCAGTTAGGTCGTATAGGCAGCCGCTTCATGAGATTGAAAGTCCCCGCAGACTTAATTCTAATGGACCTACAGCTACTCCGGCTTGGCTGTGATGGCACCTTGCGGTCAATTTGCGGATTTTTGGTCCGGAACTAAGGATCAAGAATGAGTTTGTCCGAAAGGGCCAAGAAACGACAAGCAGGGTTGCCTACACAATGCCAAATCATGATGCGTGCGACAAGCTTACAAGATATGCGCATATGGTCACGCGGTTTCGGCTGGAAAGATAAGGTACAAATGATCTCATCAGAAATCATCTCGCGAGATCTGATGGCGGCGCTGTGGTGGCGATATCGATGGTTGGGAAGCTGGACCTAGAACAATCGATTTATGTGAAAGCCTATGTCGAGCGTCTATCAAGCTTCAGTCTTGCAGTACAACATGGTGCTCAGCCACCCCCGGATAGATCCGCTGCGATGCGACTTGGCCACAAACTCATCCATATATCCTACTTTAATGGTAGCATCCAGGGTAGTATCCAAGCTTACCCGGGGTGTCCATGTGCGTTGGTATGCGTTCACTAGCCTGGGTTCTGGTCATTCCTTGCAAACAACGTCTGGTCAGTCTACTAACTAATTTATAAGTAGTTTTTACGATTCATAGATGAATCGCCTCAAACAAACTGCCAGTGTAGAACTTACGGAAACATGTCCAAGAAGAAAGAAAACAAATATCACGGTGGGGCTCACATACTTACTGTTTCTATCAATAGTTTACATGATAGCCTGGGGGCGAATGGACGAGAAAAACAGCCTACGATATGTCAACTGGGCTTACGCTTCAGCAACCGACTATCAAGGTGGACCGCTGATCAGTTCACCAATTATGATCCTCCTAGTGTTTCTCAACAAGTTACGGGAGCTTGGAAATTTGGTAAATCACCTTGGCATGCCGTATCGGTCTGCTGGATCGCGTAGTCCGAATACCTATGCGCCAAGTCGAATGGTTCATTACAACCGAAAATTACAGTAAGAAGGAGATGTCTGTTCGAAGGGGGGAGCTATGGAACTGGTTGCTCGGCAGTCCACATTCTCCAATTCTATCAGAAACACTGAAAAAGAAACTCGAAGAGTTGAATATAAATAAGGTCGATTCTCGGACCCAGGAGCAACAAATACTATATTCCCATCCCTCACCAGCACACTTCTCTGATTCTTCTCCAGACTTTTGTCTTCTTGCCCCATCAGAATCCACAATGGCTCCCTCCGCTATCTCCACAGACCCAGTCTCTCAGCTCGAGAGCGAGTCTGTTGTGCTGATTCAAGCCGCAACTTCAGATGTCAAGTCCAATCCACACTTTGAGCCATCCAAACCTTCCATTGAACCAGTCACCACCGAGATCAAATCTGAAGACTCGACAGAGACTTCTTCAGAGGTTGATGGTTTCATAGACACACCCCCCTCGGGACTTGTTGACAAGAAGGCCGAGGACACAAAAGCTCAAACCACTAAATGGCTATCACTCAACGAAGTCGTTCCCAGCGTTAGCGAGCCCCTTTCCGGTGCTAAGAAGCTACGAAAGATGCTTTTTGAAACCGATGAACTCATTATCTGCCCTGGTGTTTACGATGGTCTATCAGCCCGAACGGCCATCGAGCTTGGATTTAACGCCATGTACATGGTACGTAACAGAAACCCTTCATTGCATGGCTCCCATGTTGTCAAACGTTTCCTCTACCGAAATTTCAGCTAATGCTTATCTTTACCCTAGACTGGTGCAGGTACCACAGCCTCCCGTCTTGGACAGCCAGACTTGGCCATTGCCCAGCTGCACGAGATGCGGGAAAATGCCGAGATGATTGCCAACCTTGACCCCTTTGGCCCTCCCCTGATTGCCGATATGGATACTGGTTACGGAGGTGAGAATCAACCCCTTACAATAAACATACATCTTAAATCTATATCACAAGATCCTTCACTTCATTCTTATTACAATGGGACTAACGCGTTATCTCCTTAGGTCCCATCATGGCCGCTCGTACTGTCGAGCAATACATCCGTTCTGGTGTAGCAGGCGCTCACCTTGAAGACCAAGTGCTGATGAAGCGCTGCGGTCACCTCGGTGGAAAGAAAGTTGTCCCTATCGACGAGTACATTGCTCGTATTCGGGCCGCCCACGGTGCCCGCGTCCGTCTCCAGTCCGACTTCGTCTTGATTGCCCGCACCGATGCTCTCCAGACCCTCGGCTACGACGAGTGCATTCGCCGTCTGCGCATGGCTCGTGACGAGGGTGCCGACGTCGGTCTCCTCGAGGGCTTCTCCTCCAAGGAGCAAGCCGCTCAGGCCGTCAAGGACCTTGCTCCCTGGCCTCTCCTGCTCAACTCCGTCGAGAACGGCAAGAGCCCGCTTATCACCGTCGACGAGGCCCGGAAGATGGGCTTCCGTATCATGATCTTCAGCTTCGCCACCATCTCCCCCGCCTATATCGCCATCCGTGAGACCCTCATGCGCCTGAAGACCCAAGGCATTGTCGGCACGCCCTCACATATCACCCCCATCAAGCTATTCGAGGTATGCGGCCTCAAACACAGCATGGCTGTCGACATGAACGCCGGTGGAGCCTCTTTCGCCGGAGACTTATAGGATTCCCTCACAGGGAATGGTTGATGATGACATGAGTATTTTGTTTTACAGTGTAGATATTGAGAACTTGGAATTGTTTTTTTGGGCTTTTGTGAGCCCCAAGCATTGATGGGTATGGATAAGTCTTTGTTGTTTTGATGATGCATTGGAGACAAGACTCTAAGCGTTTGATTTTCTTCATGCTTTTCTTTAGGTTTGACGAATGGTTGAGCCATTTGCCATAGGATATATGTATGTACGTCTGGATTTATTTATTCCCAGTTGCATTAACTAGTACTGCAATAACGTATACACCTCAGCTTTCCGGCCGTGAGGATTATACAAATGCCCCTTTTCTGTTTTATTGTCCCCATTCAGTTGTGATGATTAGTCTTGAAGAATCTGTGAATTTGTGCAAATAATTTGAACACTGCAAATCAGGCTTAAGCACTGATGTTCTATAGGCTTTTTTTATACTCTCTTTCTCTCTCTTTTTCTTTTGTGAGAGAGAGAGAGAGAGAGATGATGATGATGATGATGAATAAGCTGGAAATAAAGCAGCCAATAATAGCGCTTCGTGAGGTAACCGCTGTACCTAGCCAGATAACTTGAGACAGAGGATATAGCGTTGTTTGAGCCATGGAATACACCCTTATATAATGCAAACTATATATATATTATATTACTTAGGTTAATAGCCTTTGAAATACACTTAGCTGTCTTTCTGGCAACTTGCATAACTAACAACATATTAATGCTTGGCTTTGATGTGTTGGTTTACTAATAGCTGCACAGCTGACTAGGGCGCTTCATCCCTGCTACTCATCATAAGGTTATCCTATTGGACAATAATCCCATGTAGTGGATAGCATTGCTGCCTGCCTCCTGTTTTCCCTCTTCTCTCTTTTATAACACACTCGCTGCCGCATCAGCCCGGCCTATTTCAATGACAGAAAAAAAGAAAGAAAGAAAGCAAGTCCACGCTATTATACCATTTCAAACTTCGTTTCTAGCACTGAGAAAACACGATGGATGATTCCAAGATACAACGCCCTACTGTGACATCTCTCCAAGATTTGGAGTTAATGGAAGCCCTAGACTCAAAGACACACGAGTTGAAATACGTCATGTTCTATCATATCACCTCTGATGGCGATCTTTACTATGGGCAGATTTACAACAAAAAAATGAAGGACATCACTCTTGCTGACTACATCTCAGCATTAGAGCATGTTAGCGACGAGGAGGTCTACCCTCTAGTCCCTGAAGGTATTACGCTCAAAATTGCGCCTGATTACTGGGATGACACTACGGCATTCATCAAGCGGCCGGGATTGACCTGTTACAAAACCATGAAAGGAACCGAATTTATCCCACAACAAATCCTGCAAGAGACCCTTATCATGGAGCAGCTTTCCAAGGCACCCCACCCCAACATTATCACATACATTGGCTGTCAAGTAAAGAATGGTTGTCGGATTACAGCGATAGTCTTAGAGCGCCTTGATCAGACGCTTGCCCAATTGGCCCAGACACCCACCTTCCACCAGCTTGACCATGATGCAGTTTTCAAAGCTATTGAATCGGCTATCCATCATATTCACTCTCTAGGTTTGGCCCATAACGATATAAATCCACATAATATCATGTTCAAGAATGGGAAGGCTGTGCTAATCGACTTTGGATCTTGCCAACCATTTGGGAAGACTCTCCAATCGCTTGGAACGCCGGGCTGGTTTGAGGAGAGTTTCTATACATCCGAGGCGAAACATGATGAATACTCCCTTAAGAAGCTGAAGCAATGGCTTCAAAAGCCGGAATAACTGTAGATGGAGGGTTCTACAGCTACATTGAATCTTGCTACTAAAGTAGTGTGGAGTGTAAGGAGGAAGACCGAGAGAGGTTAGCCAGCAATTTGGTTACTAGATTTTAGGATTTGTTGCTGTTATGAACTTATCTAGGTGTTCTAGCCTTTATAATCTGTTTTTCTGTTATATTATAGAGATAGTGTGGGTTCCAGAACATTCTAAGTATCGTCGTAGGTAGCTATACCCGACTCGCATTTAAGTGGCTCGGCTATTGCTGCTGTGGCGTTGTAGTAAGCCTATACAGGCAATAGCTATATTCTTGAGACGAATGCATTGAACTCTTCTTTGATTAATTATAGCTAGAGGACACGGGCAGGCATTCAAGTTGTAGTCTTAAGCACAGCATATGTATCTATTAGGCAGTACGACGAGACACGCTATACAATTAGGAGGAAAAGGAAGGATATAATTTCTCTACTATGTAAAAACGATGCATAAACATATTCTTGAGTAATGGAACCTGGTCGAATGGCGCTTCGCTTGGCATATGCGGGCGCAATTATCAACGCCCACCAACGCTAGCAATATTCACTTTGAATGACTTAGTTATGCCACAGCTATATGAGGGTTTCAAACTGCCCGGCTCACCTTCCAAAGCTCTACAGTATTCAATTATTCGATGTTGGCCATGATGGACACGGTCCGTCGCGTTGAGGAGTCCTCGTTGGGCGGCGCCTCCGTAGTCGGCGACACGACCCAGTTCGTGATTGTAAGGGTCTACAATAAGCATAAGTATATGTAGAAGGCAGTTTATACAGGTGATAGCTGTCTACCGGCGCGTACGTGTTGTACCCGGTATGGCTTTGCTTCCGAGTACCTGCCCCCGTCCATGGTTCCTGGACGTGTATTACGTCCACTTTCGCTTCCCAGCACATGCTAAGTAGCCCGATCATAGGCCCTGGCGATTTCTTCGCATTTGCCCATACCACCTTAAGTTTCTCCTTCTTGTGCTGGCTGCGGTGTCTTCTCGTTGGGGAGCTACACAGCTATAGACCAGAGGAATACGTACCAACGGAGCATGGCAGAGCAGAGTCGGTCCGGAGAACATAGTAGGCTTCGAAGACCTTGATAGTCCCCTATGTTTCCCTATGATCCGGGGTTTAAGCTTCGAAGTGGCATTGGGGAATGTATACGAAAGTCTTTCGGACGAGATAGAAATGGGAAACGACGGGAGTGTATTGGTTGCTCTGATCAATCGTGGTCAGCCCCTGCCTGAGTCTGCCGAGGACTACTACTCTGATTCCGACTAGGGCTACTGGTGGGGAACAAGTTGGGCTTAGGAAGCGGCAGATCGATGTTGTGCTTAAGGATTTAGCATAAGGATACAGCGTGTTGTGTGTACAAATATTTCGGGTGTAAGATGCATGTGGAAGTAACTATTAATTACGTATCGGGAGTTAGGGCATCATCGAACCCCCTATTCGCATGCCCTCCCAGGTCATCATAACTCGTCGCGTTTGAACTAGGTGATGATAAACAGAGCGATATATGTTAGATTTCTATTTGTCTCATTTGCTTACATATGTGCATACGTAGAGCTGTGCTGTCTAGTGATACATAGGTATATTATTAGGTAGGTGAGTAATGAGACATCCAGGCTCCCTTCAGCTATATCTAACGCTATCCGCTAATCAGAAAGTACTTGTGGTCTATCTACCTAGAATATCTAGCAGGGTAAAACCCAATCTGGGATATTCGACTAGTAAAATACACATTGCGGCGCTCATATCTCGCTTTGTTCAATGGGTGACCTCGCAATACATCTTTGTCGATGTGGGGAGAGTGAGAAACATATGATAAACCAGATTCACAGCGGTGAGATTTGGACGCGGCTATTTTGACGGATACCGTGAGCGGTTTCAACACACCAACTCAAAAAAAAAAAAAAAAAAAAGGGGGGGGGGGGGGAATCATTGCGCGAGATTGCGACAGCCTTACTCATGCTAACTATGTGGTAGAGTCCAAGTCTTCGCACTGCTCTGGGCGAGGCTTGAAGACTAGGTTTGGGCCATCGTGATCCGCTCCTAGGACGTCGTGTATCTGAAACTGATCATACGCATCCCAAGGATTCTTACCCCCTTGGCCACACCCCAAGCTCCCTTTTTTTCCTGGAGCTCGCTCAAAATCGAAGTACCACAAAATCTTAGCAATCGTGAGACTTGCTTCCATATACGCCATGCTTTTACCCGCACAACTGCGGTCTCCTAGGCCAAACACAACGTGAGCTCGGCGCATCTGGGCACGTGACTTCCTTCTCTCTGCAGTCTGTTCTGTATCCCCATCAGTGGGCACTAGCCAACGCTCGGGACGAAAAGTGAAAGGTTCGTCAAAGTACTCTGGATTGTGCATAATAGCCCAGAGATGGACTCCGACTTCAGTGCCTGGCGGTATAATGTGCCCATCAACAACAAATGGCTTGTCTGTAGCAACTACTTCAGGCTCTCGCCACAAAGGACTCGGTGCGGGAGGCGTCATCCGCAAAGACTCGTCAATAACAGCCCGTAAATAAGTACAAGAAGAGAGTATAGGACCAGGCTGGATGTCCCGTCCTGACGAGAAGGCCTTGCGGATTTCAGACGCAAGACGGGCATATACATCTGGATGCCATGACAAATGGAATAAGGAACCACATATTGCCGTTGCAACAGTTGAGCCACCAGCTAATACAAAAAATATAGCTTCTCCCCACAACTCAAGAGGATGTAGACCTCCATCACCTGTAACAGCGGCATAGAAATCGGGCTTTGAATCGACTAGCTGTGATGTTCGCTCAGCAATCAGCTTTGCTACCGCTTGGGTAAAAACGGCAACTTTCTTTTTCCCCCAACCACCTAGCAATAGGAGCGAGGTGACCAAGAGATGGCCATGTGTAATACACATTGTTAAGGTATATACCATTAAACATGGTTTCAGGAATCAAACGATTAGTAGCTTCAGTTTGCGTTTTTAACGCATAACCGAAAGCCATGTGCCCAACTATATCGATTCCAAGTCTGTTGCAAGCAGTAGTCATATTTACCGCATTGGAGGGATGATTGGACTGTAGAAGCTGCTGTAGGAATATATCGATCTGGCTGCTCATGATCGGGTGAAAAGCTCTCAACGATCGGTCAGAAACCACTTGCCCGATAATCTTCCGTTTACGTTGATGCTCATTAAGCAAATCGCAAGGGTCCCGGGCCACCCCACCACCCACCTAACACCACTTAATTGAAGCCGTATTTTTTAACGAAAACGATCGCGATCGCTGTTTTTAAGCGGTTATAGCTGTAATACAGTCTTTAAGCTCCGAAATATCCTTTTAAATAATCTTTAACAGGTTTTTTAAGGTTTTAAGCACTTTATAATCGTTTATCTTATCTTTATAAATCCTTTTATTATATACCTTATATTTAATCCTTTATACGTTTAATATCTTTATAAATTTATACCCGGGCGTTATTTTTACCTTTTTTTTTTTTAGTTTAATTAATTTCTTAACTTTAAATTAAAGGTATTAAACCTTTACTTTAAAAGTTACAATTTTATTAATTTAAAGGTTTAATGCCTTTAAGGCCTTTTAAGCAATTAACCTTTATATTAATATATTAAACGTATAATAGTTTATAGTAAATTTTTAATAACTTTATTAAAGATTTTAACTTATTAAAGGCATTATTATAATATATTTAAGGTTAAATATTAAAAAGTTTAATATTTTAAGTTTATTTTTTATTATAAAGGCTTTATATTTAACTTTTAAAATACCCTTTCTTTTTAATATTATATATTTTAAAAATAATAATTTAATTTAATCCTATAAAAATATTTTAGCAGTTACGGAAGGTCGCCCTGTAGGGTTGGGTCCCCCACTAACCTTCCGGCCTATATAGCCCACTATTGGAATGCTAAGATCCAACCTTAGTATTCTATGTCCCTTTTAGGGGCTTGGCCCAGTGGGTGGGGCTGCGGATTACTAAGTTGTAACATTAGCTATTTTTTATATATTTTTAACCTATTTAAATATTAAAATATTAATCTTTATAAATTATAATACTTTTAATATATTTTTTTAAAAGGTTTAATATTTAAACTAATTAAAGGGTATTTATAAAGGTAATTATAAAGCTATTTTTTTAATAATTTAAAAATTTTAATATTTAATATTTATATAATATAATTATAATAAAGTTTATAAAAGATTAATTATACTTTATTTAATATATAAATTATTAAAAAGATATTATTTATATAATTATTATAATTATTATATATTAATATTATTTATTTATTATTATATTAGGTTTAAATTTATAATATAAAAACCTTTTTAAACTAATTTAATATAATTTTATTATTAAATTACCCTTTAAATAAAGCTTAAAAGAATTAGTTATTTTATAAGCTTATATTACGATTAGGGGTTTAGGGCATAGCTATATTGATGCTATAAATAAAGATTTTAAGTTAAGAAAGAAAGGAAGGAAAGATGAAACTAAAATATAAGTATACGTGGAAATATATACGTGTTAACAGCTGTTATAAGTTATATGACCTTATTGGTATATATTTTATATTTTATATATCTTTATAGTGTTCTTTTATAGTATATACAATGTTCCAATATAATATATATTTAATATGTTTATTATACTTCCTTTTATTAAAATTAAGATATGGGTGTAAAATGGGTTAAGGAATTACTTATAGCATCTGGTTTTAGTTATAATGCTATTTTATATAGCGATGTTATTATTAGGGTGGTTGGTAGTAAATTTGTTAATTGCTGTAGCTTTTATTTCTTTGTTTAATTGTTTAAGCAGTTTTAATACGTTAGGCTATTTTTTATAGAACTTTTATATTTTAATTAATAAATTCTTAAAATTCTTTACTAGGTATTAAGTATTATTAGGGTTGTAACCTTTTTAAGTAATTTAATATTATAGCGTTTTATTATACTTTATTATTTATAATTTAAGTAATTATTTAACTTTTTATTTTAATCTTCCTTTAATATCTTTAAGTTTTAATAGTGGTTAGGTTTATTAGGGCAGTAGGTCTTTATTTATTTTATGCAGTTGATTTATATAAAAGAGGTTAATTATTTTTATTAACTTTAAGAGGTTTAATATATAGTTATATTCTCTTTTTTTAAGTATTTTAAAGGGTCCGACCTATTAGGAGTTTAATTGGATAGTTAGGCTATTAGTTATAAAGCTTTTCTTCTTTAAGAAGACTTTATTTTTTATATAGAAGTTTATTAAGTATTACTTCCTATTTGTTTATACTTTTTATTTCTTTTATATAGCTTTTATTGCTTTATAAGCTACCTTTTATACTTTATAGGTTTGTTATATTAATTGTTGGGCTAGCCTTTTAAATACTATCTTTTTAATAATATTTAGTAAGGGTAGTAATAAAGGGTTCTTTATATTAATTCTTATTAATTAAAACCTTTAATAATATTATATTAATAGTTAAATATTAAAAGGCGTTATATATAAAATTTAATATAGGTAGGTAAGGGCTTTAATTATTTTAATACTTATTAATGTAAAAGTGTAATTGTTGGTTTAACTTTTAATTTATAAACTTTATAGCTCCTTACATTTAGGGGTAAAGAGCGCTTTTATATTAGTATTTAATATAGGTTAATTTATTAATCTTTATTAAGAAGTGTGAAATAAAGGGTTTTATATTATTTAAAATTTATACCTTTAGTAAACCTAAGAAATAATAAGTATATTTATAATATTAATATATTATATTTTCCGCTATATTGTTTTTTTATTAGGTATTATAATTAATAAGTAGTTAAATTTATTAATAAATGCTTATATATAATTATAGCTATATTTATTTAAGGATATATCCTTTTTATTAATTATAATATAGCGTTAAATAGCTATAGGGATTAATAATAGGTATAATAGTTTAGGTATTTTATTTTAAGGAGTTTTATTCTATTAATAATTATAATAATTATAAATATATATTTGGATATTTTATTTTAATAAAGGTTAATAATAATCCTATTTAATTATTTTAATATACTTATTTTGCTTAAAGTAAGTAGTAATTATTAAATAATAGGCTTCCTTAATTAAAGTTATATAAAAATAAACCTTTAAGTTAAAGGTTTACTTTAAAATAATTAATTAATAGTCTTTATATTTTAAACCTTACTTTTTATTTTTTTATTAAATTAAATCTATTAAATTAAAGCTATATAATATTATTACCTTTTTTTTTACAATAGCTATTAATCCTTTTAGGGTTTTAAATAGGATTAAAGCTATATTACATTCTTTAGCCTTATAAGCTTTAATAGTTAATAAATTAATTATTTTATAAAATAATGTATTTATTATTATATTCTTTTAACTGGGTTAGTATTAAAAGGTAATATTAAAGTTAGATAAAAAGTTTACCTATTTTATTTATTTTATAAAAAGAATTCTTTTAATAATAAAATATAATAAAGCTTAATAGTTAATTATTATAAAGAACTTTATATTTAATAGCTTTAAGCAATTATACTTTATAGTTTAAACTATAATTAATAGTTTTTTATCCTATATAGAATAAATTTACTTAACTAGTAATATAGTTTTTAAAAAGTATTTTATAGGCTTTTAAATAGTATTTTTTTATTACTGCTAAATAGTTTTACTAATAATATTCCGGAAGGTATTGGTTTTAATTTTAATAGGTTAGCTAAGCTAAAAGAAAGCTAATATTAATACTTTATAAGCTAGCTTCTTTATTAATTTAAAGGCTTTTTATTATTTATTACTTATTTTAAATAATATATCCTTTTTAAATAAATAGTTTAAAGGTTTAGCTATATTATTAATATAGTATATAAATATTTAAATAAAGTTATATAATTTAAAAAACAAATAAATAGTTTAAATATTAGTTAGGTTTTTAAATTTTTAACTTATAATAGTATTTATTTTTTTAAGGTTTATTTAAATACCCTATTTAACTTTTAAAATTATACCTAAGTAATTTATAAAGGTTATATTAAAGCGGGATTTTTTTATATCTTTTTAAAGCTTAACGTTATAAAGGTAATATATTACCTTTTTATATTATTCCTAATACTTTTTTTTATTATCTATAAATATTAAAACGTTATTAATATAAGTATTAATAAAAAGATTAAATAGTTTATATAATTAAAAATTAATGAAGTTTTATTATTAAGCAGGCCTAATCTTTAATTTAAAAGGTAGGACCAATTATTAAAATACTTTTTATTAAGTTTAGAATGCTATTAAATATTAAAATTTTAAAGCTATCTTTAATTTATAAAAGGCTTTAATAATATTAAACTTAATATAATATTTAGCCCTCCAGCTATTATATATAGTATTATTTAAATTTAACGTTAAAATGATATAGTTTTTTAAGTATTTATTTCTTTATTAATAATCTATATAAAATTATCTTTTAATTAAATTTAATTTAAAGGTAAAGAGGATAAGGGAAGTATTTACTTTTATATAGGGTTTAATAAAGCTATAAATTAATAATTTATCCATTACTTCTTTTTTTAATAATAAGTATTAAATTGGAGTTTAATATTAAGGGAAGCTATTTGGAGGGTTATTAATAATAATTTTAAGGACTATATTATATCCTAATTATAATAGGGGTAATTTATTAGCTTTTACTTTTAAAAAAAATCCTTTTAAATAGGTTAGTTCTTTAAGAATTAAATAACAGATTAGCTTAATATATTTAAGGTTTTCGTTTTATAAAAAGGGAATACGCTTATTATTAAAGGTCTTTTAAGTTTTTTTTAATATTATTATAGCTACCTTTAAAGCTACTTTAATAAATTTAATAAGTATTAATTTATTTAGGAATACCCTTTTCTTTTATTATTTTTATTTAAGGTTTAACTTAATCTTTTTAATAAGTTATTAAATAATCCTTTTATTTTAAAATTGCTTTATCTTTAAGTTCTTTAATTAGATATTTTTTCGGAAATATATAGCTAGTTGCTTTAGAATAGTATATTTCTTTTTTAAAGCGGTATCCCTTTGGTTAGCATCCTATTAAATAATGGGGTTAACTTATTAATTGTTAGGAAACTTTTATATAATTTTAATTATAGGTAAAAATAAAGTAAAGGGGAATAAATCTTTTAGCTAATATAATATTTAATAGGTATAATTTAAAGTAACCTTATTTTTAGCTAGTTATTTTAAACTAATTATAATATTATATTTAATATTAATAACTTAAAAGGTTTAATCTTTAAACCTTTATCCGTTTATTTTTAAAGTAACGGTAAGGTATTAATTAATTATATTAATAGGTTATTTTTAATAGTTATTTAATCGTTATAATTATTTTAAGGTAATTAATTTAACCTTTAATTAATAGCTAATATAGTAAGCTAATTTATAGCTAATTATTAAATACATTTAAGTTTTAATATTATATAGTATAGTAGTTTTTATTTTAAAATTATTCCTTTATATTTAAATAGGATATATAAATTAAATAGTATTTTAATTATTTTTTATATAAGCTAAAGATAGTTTATAAATTATTAAGGAGTTTTTTAATAATTTAGCTAATTTTTTAATTTAAATTTAATAAAAGAAGAGTTAATAGGCTTTTTTTTACTTTCCTTATTTTATATTTAAGCTACATTTTTACTTTTTTTAAGGTAATCTATAATATAGTATCCTATTTTACTATAATTAAAGTAGGTATTATTTTTTTAATAGGTTTTTTTTTTCCTTTAAGAGTTTTATTCCTTTAAGCTTTATTATAATATTCCCCTTATTTATATTTTTTTTATTATTAAAATTATAATTAACAGAATTAATAGTTTATTTTTTCTTTTAATAATTATAATAGTAATTATAATTATATATTGCTTTTATTACTTTATTATAAAAGCGTTTATATAGCATTAATAAATTAATATTAATTTTAAATACTTTAGTTTTAAGGTTAAAGCTAATATATTTCTATAAAAATTAAGATTATTTAAATTTAAGTAACTTTAATTTTAATGCTAGGTTATTAAATTAAAAAATAAACTAATAAATGTTGGAACCTAATTTAAAGTAGAACTTATTTAAGGCATTTTATGCCTAAATAGTTTAATTTAGGTTATAATAGGCTATTTTTAACGTTTATACTATTTTAATTAAATTACTATATAATTAAATAATAAAATGGAAATAAATTTTAACTATTTTTTTAATATCCTTCTTTAAAAGAGATATAATATAGTATATTTAACTTTTTTTAATATAATATATTATTATATTTTCTTTAAATTTATTAGTTAGCTTTTTTAACTAATTATTAAATAAGTCTTTATTTCCGGAAAAGGTATCTGGATTAATTCTATAAGTTTTAGCCTTTTCTATATATTTTAGGTTTAAGTTAATAGGGTTGCCTATTAGGTTAATTGTTTTAAAAATAGCTTATATAATTATACTAATTAGCTTAAAGTTAACTTTATTAAAAGTACTTTTAATTATACTTTTTTATAATATTAAAGTTAAATTACTTCTTTTTATTTAAGTTTAAAAAACGGTAATTTATTTTTATAGTTATTAGATTAAAATAGCTTAATTAATAGCATTTATTTTATTTATTGGTTAGGGTAGTTCTATTAATCCTTTATTTAAATTAAGGTTTAATAATAAAAGCATTATATCTTTTAATTTAAAGTTTAGGAAGTTTTAAAAGTTATCTTTAGATTTAATATTAATTTCTTCTTTTTCGATAGAAAGGATAGGGTTTTAGGTTAATTATTTATTAACTATAGGAATATTAGGTACAATGTATAATAATAATTATTAAAATTGTTTTAAATTATTTATTTTAATTAAGGTCTTTTTAGTTTTAAGGGGTATAAGGTTTAATTTTATTAATTAGGTTTATTATAAGGTTATATTCATTTATTATTAAATGTAGGATATAATAATAAGGGGGGAAAGGTTTAATTTATAAATTATAAATAATAGCGATTAGATATAGGTAATATATTTATATAACATTTATTAATAAAAAGAAGGAGCTTAAAATAATATTACAATTAAGGGTTTAAGGTATAACTATATTAATACTATAGATAAAGATTTTAAGCTAAGGAAAAAAGGAAGGAAAGATAAAACTAGAATATAAGTATATATAAAGATATACGCATATTAACGGCTGTTATAGGTTACGTAACCTTATCGGTACATATTTTGCATTTCGTATATCTCTACAATATCCCTCCACGGTACGCACAATGTTCCAGCATAGTATATGTTTAATATATTCATTACAGCTTATATTTTATTATAAAAACTATTAATATTAAATATTTTTACCTTTAAAGATTATTATTAATAAAAAGGTATAGTTATTAATAATAATATACTTTAATATTATTATTTATTTACTTTTATTAATATTTTTTTAAATGTTAAATAATTAATTATTTTAATTATAAATAATTTAATAATTATTATTAATGCCTTATTTAACCTTTATTTTATTTATATTATATTAATAGTTTTTTAAAATATTAATAACTTTTAAAGCTTTAAATTAATTAAAAAAAAGGTTAATATTAATTATTATAATATTATTAACTTTTAAATAGTTAATTATATAGGATTTAATAATTTTAATTAATAAATTTTATTAAATAAAGCTTTAATGCTATAATAAAAAAACCTTTTTAACAATATTAATATTATTAAATATAAAATTTATAAAGGTTTAAAACTTAATTAATAATAATATATAATTTAATTTAATTTAATTAACTATTTAATATATTAATTAATATTTTAAATAAGGTAAAAAAAATTAAAAGTTTTAATTTATTTCTTTTTAGGTTAAAATTCTATTAAAATAGCATTATAAAGTAGTCCTAAAAATATCCTACTTTTATATTACTATTTTAACATTTAAACTAAGCTTAACGTTATAAATAGCGCCTTAATAACGCTTTTCTTTAAAAATTGAAGGTATTATAAGATTTAGTATAAAAAGGCAATTCGATTAAATATAAAAAGAAGGTTAAAAGGTAAAAACTGACTGCATTGGGTATAGGGATTTATATATGCGAATTTGCGTAAAAAGCGCGTGGCGGGGTGGCCCGTGACGTGGTGGCCCGGGACCCTTGCGATTTGCTTATTGTCCCGGACGCTAAAGAGGTTTTCTTTGGGTGGGCTCCCTGGGTGACGATACGCGGCGGCTTTTGTGATATTGGAGTTGATATAGATATCTGTTAATGAATATCACTTTGATTAGTCTGTCATTACACAGATAGCGGGCCCTGGTTTCTGAACATGTTACATACCTTGGATTGCTGTTAGAGAGTTGAACATGAGTCGATTTGGTGCCTCTCGGTAGACGCGACCTGTGCGTGACTATCAGTAAAAGCGACAGTAATTGCGCAGATGGAGACTCCGCAGACCGTATTTTAAGAAATTCTTGTATGTGTTCAGATGGTGGCGCCCTTTGATGGCGTGAATGCCGCCATAAGCATAGGTGATCTTGGCAAGAAAGGGGCCGGGATAGCTACTCAGAGGGTGGAAGAATAGCTGATAGATGACGACCGAGATTACCTAGACATTGTCAGTTATCGATTCGCACTTAGCATCAGCCACCAGAATTTGAGGAGGAAATACCCAGGACACGATGAGATACGGCACACATTTCCCGGCGATGAGTATCGAGCTCATGGAAATGATTTTGGAGTCCATGTTGGGCTGGCTGTGAAGCTGTTAGATTGAGGATGAGAGGAATGGGTGTCCGACGCAAAGATTCATCCTTAGAACAATTGCTATTAATGATCGCCATCTGCAGGTCTTATACTTACCCATTACCAAAGGTTGATGAAACAGAATGGTTTAATCGCTGAGTGGTCAGATTGGATGGAGAAGAAGACAAGTCAAGCGTGGTAGAGTTGGCGCAGTCAATACTCTACCCTTTCCTTACCTTAGGTATCTATCTGAGCTATGACCACTCTACCTATAACAGTAACAACAGTAGCTGTTGGTTTTCAACGGTTCTGCACCTCGCATCCAGGCATCATGCTTATAATTGAAACAGCCACCCTTAGCCCCTTCTAACGTAAGTTGGATAGCACGAACCTATAAGGCCTTAAAGTATATTATACAGTTTAAACTATAAACAAATGCACACATTTCCATCTGTACTCCTCCATTGCTCTCGATCGATATCAAAGAGCCTGAGTGGCCTAGAAATTTGCCATAGCTAACCTTTCTGGCGAAGGATTTGCGGGGTAAGTCCTCTGATGTAAAGACCTCGGAGGATAAGTTACTAACAGCAGCGGAGTAGCAATACTCAGTGCTTCCATGGGGAAGAATCCGTATAATCAGAAAATCCGACCTGAAGCTCTCATTTCCTTTGCTTGCTGGGTTAAAAGTCCGCTGAGAACGAACGCGACTCAGCTGGATATTTCCAAAGTAGCTGCCAAAATTGGAAAGTCAATACCGGAATTTTATCCTGATGAACAACTGCAACGTCTCGAACGTCAAAAACGACGCCGTTAGACGTTCGAGCAGTCTGACGGTTATTATATAGCTCCACTACGTTCATCATTCCACAGCGGTCGATCTACTGAAACAGTCTCTGGGTTGGTCAGAAGAAGATCAAAGCATGTTGCAGGCCGTTTGCTTAGAGAATGAATGATCATGGTAGCGTTCTTCAAAGGTATCTAAACTTCTAGATTGATATATCGTAGATCTTTCTGGGAAAGCTTTCTATCACATATAATTAACGAAATTGAAATTAACGAATACATTTGGTCATGTTCTGTATCTGTATTCACACTGCTTTGTGCTGTATGTGAAGATATCGAAAACGCATAAATAAAATTGATAACCCAAAGTTTCCAATAGCAACCACTGACCTATCCAACCTATGTAGTAGCCACTGCTCTACACACTACGCAATATGAAGTCAAGCTCCTCAGTAATTACCCTACACTAGGGTGCCGTGTCTAGGTATCCTCATTCCTGTTGACAGGTAGGGTTCGCCAGAGAAAAGCTGTTTCACGTAGCTAGGTGTCAATCGACAATACATAGCTTAGTATGCCAAGGCATTGATATTGGAGTTGACTATGTACACACCATATCATGGATTGAGACATTAGTAACTTCATTGGAGACATAGATATATGCTTGTTCTGGATCTAGTAATCTCCTGGTACTCTATGGAGCTTCATCTAGACTGGGGTACTTGAATATTGACTGCCTCCTATGGTCGGTCCAATTTAATTGGATATGCGAGATCACCTCCTCAGGTGAAAGCCTCTTAGCAGGCTGATACTGTAAAAGCCCCTCCAATACCCGGAGCAATGAGCTTAAAGCTGCAAAGTCGTAATCTGTATGTTCGTCTCTCTCGTAATCGCTGACCTCGGCGTCTTGACCAACGATTATTGCATTACGTCGAGGTTCAAACGTTTCTGTGATAGGTTCTGGAGCAAAATGATGGTCTATAATAGGCCAATCCGTTAGTAAAGTTGGGAATTTCGAAAAGCAAGAGGTAGAGAATGGAGTGATATTAAATGATGCATATCTAAACAGAGTTCTAGGCAGGCAGTGGGAGACTAATTGGCTGGAAACTAACTATCAGGTATGGGGTCACTTCGCTCCTTTATATCATCCCACTTGTTTTGCCAGGCTTCTGGTAATGGTCCCAATCTACGAACTAGCTTTTGGATATACCATGCGTCATGGCTGGTGAGCGACGTAAAGGGGCGCTCCTGATAGTATAGCGAGTATATCTGTTGACATATGGTTAACACAGCTTAAGGTAGTTTGGAAAACCAGAACAAGACAATTCAAATGACTGTAATTATACTTACCACGCAACCAGCCCTCTAGAGGTCATGCCGGTAGTCGAATGAGCCAATGAAAAAGGTCTCTGGAGATCTTACGTCCCTAGGCTGGTCTATGCTCATAACTGAATCACTGACAGGAAATACGGCCCCTAGGTCAAGTAACCGAAAGTCTTCTTCAGGTGCCTCCCACCAGCCGGGCCAATAAGTGAATAATACTAGGTGTTTAGGCAGCTCGGGGGTCCATGGATCACCGTGGGAATATTCTGCGATAACTGGCTCGCCGATTGCGTATAAGAGATCTTCATCATCCTCTACGAGATTCTTGCAGGTAAAGGCGACATTAGAATTCGACAAGTCTAGACAATATCCACATAATTAGTTAGAATTCGGTCTTGTGATATTAGTAGTTTGAAGTCAGCAACTGGTTATACCTCCGTGAGCGAAGCCTGCTTTATGGATGGAGTCTAGCGCGCTGAGCAACTGACATGATGCTCTCAGTAACGTGTCAGGATGAAATGTCTGCCCCCACCACTGATAGCACTGGAGTATGTGAGAAAGTGAAGGTCCAAGTAACTCCATAACAAGGCAGTTATGGGTGCCATTAGGCCCAGTATGGTGGAAGCAATTCAACAGACGAGCAGCAGGGATCGGCTCACACCCTGACTTGGTGTAATGTTGCTCTAAGTGTTTCATAACCTTAACCTCTGGGTCATCGCCTAAATTCTTAGTCGAGCACGCAGCCGACTTTACCTTAATCGATACCCATCGATTGAGCGACATATGTGCTGTTAGCATAATCTAGTGAAGAGAACAAACAGATAAGCAGGGGCCTGAACAGAATAAAAACATACAGAGTGTCTCGGTCATATGCAAGCCAAACGGTTGAGAACCCTCCGTAGCCGAGTTTGTGACGCACAGTGTATCGGCCATTTTGAAATGTGTCGCCGAGATTGACTGGATGGAAACCGCCTACTCGATAGTTCTCCAGCTCCTCGTGAGGTACAACTTCCTGCGGATCGGAATATAAATCAAACGTCACGTGCCTCCGCCCATCAGGAAATAAACGAGGTGGCGGCACATATACGGGACGTGGTGATGGTTTTGATGAGGGCGGTGGTGGTGGTGGTGGCAGGCTTTGGGGTGGGATAGCCATGGCTTAAGATGGCCGTTAGACTTCTTCAAATCGAAAAATGTGGTCGAAGGGCTTCGAGGCTACAGGACATGCCGCCGCCGTCATTCCAGAGCGAGCAAGGAGAGATATAATACGAGTATCCATACGAGTATCCAAACGATACAGAAGAAGAAAAGGTCTACCTAGGTAGGGATAATCGGTCCGGGTTGGCTTCCAAGTAGCCTGAAGCAGAAATACAGTACTGTTAGCGCTGTCGTACGTCGCTTGCCCCCTCTTTGGCGTACCTACCTAGGTACGAAGGGAGGTACACTCACGTCAATCTCAAACACTACCTACAGCTGACGCCTTTGCCTTAGTCGATGTGCATTATAAGAACGCAATCTAAAGTTAACAGAAGAGCTGGCTTTTCCTTTTCCTCATCGTTGAGAGTAGCTTTCAAAAAGTTGTATTAGGTGTCTCGATATCATATTACCGAAAGTGGTACGCCCATCGTCCGTCAGTGTTTGTCGTGATAGTGATTGCTATTGGTACTACCCGAGACGCAAAATGACCAGGTTGGCTGTAGTACCTGTGATACAGGTCTTCTTGGTTAACCTTAAGACAAATAGCTAGTGATTGCTCCCCGTAACTATAATCAGTGTCAGAGCTGCTGCCATACCGAAGGTGTCTTTTACGGGTAGTTTTGAGCCTTAATGGCACATAAATACAGTTCCTGATGAACTAGATAGCTGCTGGCTTTGGAATACACCTTTTTAATCATAACACTGTTTACTCTTATAGTTAACAGACATCCATAAATGCTGGGTCTTGATGGCCGTGGTGGACATCATTGATGTGACCTAGAGCCGGCGGTTATAATTTTGCCCTTGTTTTGCGTAGCGGCCATCATCTAATATCATCTCAGTCACTGGTGAGTAATAGGACAGCAGATGATATTGTTGGTCTTCTCGGTAAGCTATTGGTTCTCAGTAACTCTTGTGCGTAAGTTAATGGTGACTGTGTTACCTGTTCAGAATCAGTAGGTGATGAGCCATGAAATCCCGAGATCCATAGGCGGGAGAGAGTCAATCAACCCTCAAGTGCTGGCTTGTCGAGCAGTTCACATCCATCGTTCCTGTCGCCCTTTTTATATTGCTTTATAATTTTCGTTAGAATCTCCTAAGCCCCGGGGTACGGCCCCTTCTAAATTATCAAAGCACCTCTTCTTATTCCTTCTCATTTCTCTAAGGACTTGATAGTCCAATGCCTCAGGGTCACAAGGATATTCAGCAACCCCAATGGCAGGAACGTCCTGACGGTTACTGGGAACTAATTCCCGGTGATGGCATCCTATACTACCGTGGAGTCGACGAACGGTTGTATCGGGTCCCGAGGATTATGGACCTAATAGGACAAGCTGGCCCTGATATTCGCGATCAAATTGCTCATTATATCATGAATAATATCTTCTACAATAATCTGGGAGAAATAGTAGAAATCACAGGGGCAACTGTCACGTACGTATACCTGCCTTAGGTGACAACGCTCGATGAGAATCAGCGCCAACTAAATTAGCTTGTAGGGAGCCTGTACATATATCCAACAGCATAGATCCATATTCATCTTATGGCCCTCACTGGACAGTGCAGCTTACGAACTCGACCTTATGGAACAACGGAGGTAGAACCCATTTACTGCACTTTAGGCCGCAAAACATCAATTATTGTTATTTCTTCAACCGTAGTATAATTCGAAAAGGAGTTGAGAAGCTCCAGGGAAGAAGACTATTGAACAGGTATAGAAAGAAGGACGGAAGAGACCCCAAAGGCGGGCCTGGAGGGGGGGCCGGGGCGGCCGGCAGCTCCTCTGAGAAGGACGGAAGCAAGCATGATGGCTCTCATCAGCATTCTCAAAATAGGGGTAGTTCATCGTCCTCAGGCCAGGTGTATTACCAGTCCTACGGCAGTAATAGATGCATCTGGGGGCTGTTCCGTTCTCTAGAAAGATGTCTATTGCAGTCCGTCTGCTTGTTCCACTACTATGGTGCAGTAACTTCCACGATAGCGCTTTTCAGGGTAAAATAGATGTGGTATTTGCGCCGGAAGATATGGCTCTTCCAGCGACATTGTGTTTAAGCAATATACATCCCAATGGTTCTTCTCTTCTCATCCTGAATACAACCTTCTTCTGCTGACCTTGTATGCATCTCCGCCCCTTCTACCAGTAGCGAAGGCTGTGTTTCTTATTGTAAGCATGGCAATCCCAACTGGACCTTCTCTGTCTGTCTCAAGATACCCTTAGCCACGTGAGGACTATCTATCTGCCATCGATATAACCATAGAAAATTCACTGCTGTTTAATATTAAAGTGTTATTCTATTCAACAGTTCTTGTTCAGCAGGTAGCTTTCGAGTGATTCCCCATGAAATTTCCCTATCGGTGTGATACTAGACAATCGCCAACCTGAAGCGCCGTATATAATTCCTCACCAGGTTGGCCGGTCTTCAAATGACGTTGCGGACCTGTGTCGCAGTGGTTAGCGTATTGCTCTTATACTTGCTTCACCTTGTGTAGCTCGTGTGATAGGAAATGCAAAGGTCGTGAGTTCGATCCTCACCTGGTCCAACACCAGATTTGCTCAATCAATTTTTTCTTTTTTTCACACTTCTATATAGTCCATGTATCGATTCTGGAGTGGGTTATGTGACTAAGCATAACTGTATAAGTATAAGTATACCAATACCATGCATGCCACTAGTCTGCAGCCAAGCATGGGACCCCTTCTAGATAACCTCATGCTTTAGTCATTTGTTCGATCTCTGTTGCCTGCCCTTACCCTACCACTATTACTATGTATCGTAAGTAAGAATGGCAATTTTTAGGAGATTGACTAAGTATTAATTTCTTTGCCCTCTGCCTAGGGATTTCGACATGGCATCGATAGATAGGTAGGTAGTTTATAAATGATGTGTCACCCGACGAGACCAGCAACCCAAGTCTGCACATCTCTCACCAACTTCTCCACAAGCTCGACATCCACAACACCATCCTGCCAACAAACAGTGGCATGAATACCATGTGCAGCAACGCCGGCAACATTAATATTTACGGCGGGGCCGGTGGAATTCCCTTGCGTGAATACTGCACGATCAATGAACCACCGCTCTGCTTTTCCTGCACTTTGGTCGTTCCCCGCGTCTTCGGACCCAGAGAACCCCGTATCCACCACAGCAAGACTCCCCAAGTTCGAGAGCTCCCACGTGTCAGCTCTCGCCTTACCGAACTTTTTACGAAAGAACTCGTGCCAATCTCCGATCAAACCAGACAGGCCTATGATGTCGTCGCGCGGTAGCGAGGCGGCCTCTACAAGAAGTCAGATGTTAGATACCACTCACATGGGGACCTATTGTCGGGGAACTTGGAGGGAATATGGGGGGTGACAAGGCCGTGTCAATCAGATGAGTAAACAGAAAAAAGCGAAGAACACTTACTGGCACGCAGACGGGCCGTCATGTCCTGCGCGAAAGCCCAGACTGTCTGATCTTCGCCTACTCGCGTACCGTTCTTGTCCCCGCTTTGGCGCAACTGTCGAACAGTATCGAGATCATGATTGCATTGAAACCCCGTGACGAGGCAGTGTATCGTCTCACCCGGCGTGAATGTCGAGCCGACAACTTTTGGGTCTGCATACCCTGCGAGTGAAATGGGCGTCGAGGAGCGGAATGATCTGTCCTTCACGTGGCATGCAAGTGAGCGTGCGATCAAGGCGTGTAGTAATCCCGTCAAGGTAGTCTTATGGCTACGACATTGCGCCAGGATTCGCGTCAGCTGCGCTTCGTCTTCTATCTTGAACAATGTGCGGACGTGCGTCTTTGGGTTCAGCGCATCGATCGGAGCGCCCGTCCATGGAATCTCGGCCTTATTCGGCTCGAAACCTAGTAGACGTCGAATGAAGAAAGGCATAGGGATCGCGCCCACGATCTCTGTCCAAACCGTACGCAGAATGTAAGCCCATGATAGCGACAGGGGTATGAGATCACTCATGGCAGGTGGAATCGCGGGAGGCGTGAGTAGGTGGAGGATATGGTTCTGAAGCTCTGTGGGACGAGCGCCCTCATTGAGCGCTCGTTGTAAGTCACTATGGAAGATATAACCGCCCCTCCCATCTGAGTACGCATGATGGAAGCAGAAGGATATGTCGAAGGACAAGAGCGCGTCGTCTTTATCATCTTTCACACCCAATTGACGCGGATCGTGGTGCACCACGATCTTCCAGCCTGGCTTACCCGCAAGGTCTTCCCAGACTGGCTCGTGGTATTTCTCAAGGGCGCGAAGCAAGCGGTCCTCGTAGAGTGCTTCCTTTTTCTTCGTTTCTGTGTGAATATCGGATGTGGCACCTGGTGTGATAATCTCCTTCCACTCAATCATGCGTCGCATGTCTATGGTTTTAAGGTGTATAAAAACAGGCTCCTTCGTGTCCTCAGCCGCGATACCGACGCCTAGAATCGCTTGCCTGAGCACCACGTTCGCCAATGCACTCTCAACCGCATCTTGTAAGGAGGCTGATTGCTGGCGTAGATGGGTAGCTGGTATTCTGTAACGACATGTCACAATCACGGCGCGTAGAATACCTAGGCTGTGCCGAGCGGTATTGAATTTGGCTCTGCGAGTCGCATTGCGTTAGCAGTACTGTGATCAGTCAAGCGAGTGAGTGAGAGACTATTTACGTGTTTTCAGTGAGAACTTACTGTGAGCCTACAGGTCGAACTATATTGTCAACCGATGCCATCATGAACTCAGCGACTGCGCAGCTAGCTCCTTAGAATCTAACATGCGTTCGATTAATCTTCACTATGCGGTCTTGTTAAATTATCTTAGGTCTTTTCTTAACCAAATGCACATAATTGCTGCCTAATAGATTTAATGAGCTATCTGCGTAGTGAATTTCGATAGCAACGATACTCTCTACACTTCGCCCCTGGATGATGAAGTACGGTACCTGGGTATCCTGTTAGGGAGAAAACGACAATAGCGGACCCCTCAATCTTACTTTATACATAAGATAGGCAGTCTTCGCAAATAATATGTACGTATTGTGAAAGCTCTGAATTACGTGACAAATTAGGCACACAAGGGTTCGCAGAAGGGTGACCAGGGGGTAAACATCAAGCGGCCCCCGACCCCCCGAGACACGTTGGACCTCGCTTACGAAGTACACCGCTCGGTACCATACTCTCCTACCCCCCTGTTAAAGGTCCCTAGTCAGGTATTATGGGCCCAGGTCAGCCTTAGCACTTCAGACAACTGGGTCATAAAGTGAAGTAAGATACATAGGCAATTCGCATAGAAACTGCACTCTACGCTATATTCAGTAGTCGATTAGCCCAAATGACTGCTTCACAACGCTTTTTCATAGTTAATCTTCTTTAATAGCTTTATATACTTCCGTAACCTACTTATATATATTATATAAAGGCCTTCCAATATAAGATATACGAAGAGCTATTAATATAGCTTAAGCTTAACGATAGTTTTAATCCTAAGGTTTTTAAAAGTTAGTCGTAAGTCACTCGAAGGATAGCAAAAGTATCTCTGCTCGCAGGGGTCTAGAAACTATACTATAATAGGTGTAGCTTCAAGGTCCCTGCTAGCGTAGATACCTGACTAGGTCCCTTTTTCTAGCCTACAACCACGTAGTTTGGAGTTTCGCATCTCAGTTCACATACATATATACTACTACGTAGTATCACTGGCATTCTGTTATAGCCGCAGCGCTTCAGGTATTCGTCACGGCAGGGGCAATTCTAGGAGATATTCTCATGTTTAGACAGACAGCAGAACGAGCAAGCGTACCGAGATCTCTATAGATAAGGAACCTGAATTACTCAAGGGCCTCTAACAGCCATCGTGGATTTCCAAGTCTATATTCGCAAGGAAATGTTTCGCCTATATATCTGTAGAATTCTCGATCTCTGACGCTTTCTAATCGACGCTCGTATTAACAGTGATCGTCAGGTTCTCGACCAGGGCCTGGTTGACCAGGGTGCCTATGAATGCATATTTCAGTGTTTATACCTTCTCGATTGGAAATGGGTTGTTGTGAATACGGCACGATTTATACCTTCTCAATTGGAAACGAATTGTCATGAATACGACACCATACTGGCCAAGTCGGTGCCCAGAGTCCGAAATCTCCAAGGCGTGCCATTTGAGGAGAGTATAAAGGCTGAATCGTCTCCCGCTTCATTCAGCAACAGGTCTCTAAAGTGAGAATAACCATCGTAACCTTCAGCTTTTATATCACGGTAATTTAACTACTGCTTCACAATGAGGTCTCAATTCGGTCATGCTCTGTTGGGTCTTGGCATTACGGCAATCTCTACAGTCACCGCGTACGACATCCTCCAAGATGGCCCATTCGCCCTTCATGTTAAGGGTCAGGCTGAGAATAGCTCAGTTGATGGTAATATTCGCCTTTCACTCTACTTCGTCGGGGCCAGTTCATGTGAAGGAAAGCATATGAATAACACCAATTATAGGCTACCTTCACTTTGTAGACCTACCGGATACCTTCCCCATGGTGCCCCTTCAGTATGAGCCCATGTCAACTCCACCAGTCGGCAACGAAACTTACGAGTTCTACTTGAACTATACCGCGTATATGGTAACGGACGAGCAAGTGAGGGGGTGGTTGGTTACGGACCTGACGCATATCAACCGCGATCCACGCGCCGGCTTTGGCAAGGCGATGTCTCTGCACTTTACTGCCGATTCCAATGTTGGGTTTGGTTTGTTGGGCGCAGGCTTTGCCTCGTTTCTTGGTTTTGACAGTAGCAACAATATTTCTCTCAGTATTGATTTCACGGACGCAGCGTTTGTCCCGAACGTGGAACCTACAATACCCGAAGAACCTATCAACGTCTGTAAGTGACCTGCAATTCCCTCGCTTACACAAGAGCAGTTCCGCAAACCTTAAAAATGTGTTTTCTGTTGGTCATATACTGACGATCGTGCAGATAACTGGGCGGTCTGCTGGCAATACGTCAATAACAGATACATACCAGCGTTATCATGGATCACACATGGGCCATCTCATAATCCGACTTGCGAACGTGTCGATCTTATAAGAGAGGCTTTTTAAATGTCCCGGACAGGCAGCATTACATGCTTGGAGCGTGGTTATAACCCAACTCGAAGCTTACACTGAGTCAGCCTTTGTATGTAGAAGTGGAATGGGCCATGTCATGTACCTTCATAGCCATCGCGCCAGATGATGAATTAATGATGAGAGTCACAACATACCGCTCTCAATGAATTGACTAGCGATCTAGATGAGAGACTTGACCTACCTATCTACCTACCTACACAAGAGCCGAGAAAGACTTGATATTACAATTCAAGTGACAAACTAAGTCAAGCTGCGCTAGTCCTAGTGATTCTTGCTACTGCATGCAGATACGCCACAATAGGTACCTAGCTATAAATGCCACCTACTACCCTTGTTACCTTCCACTGCCGGACTCACTCTAGCGTAGCGTAGTGTCGGTAGGTAGCCGCTGAAACCAACGTCTTCGTCTATGCTTCCCATATCCTACATCATAAATGAAGCAGTTTGTACTTCCCCTTCACTGAGATACCTAGGTATATATATATATATATATATATATATCAGTAAACAGTGTATGAAGAGCCTTTCCATCTTATACGCGAAAGCCGAGTCACAGCACGAAAGGAGCGCGCCAAAACCAAGCACGCGAACCGGAATTAAGTAATGAAGACCGGTGTGTAGAACAAGCTGGATGCCTCAATACTTAAGTGTAGACAAGCATGGAGGCTCATTCAGTATATTAGACTATGTAAACCAGCTGCAAGAATTTCCTCTGCGGCAGGCTTTCGCCATTGCCTATTCCAACATGACAATAATGCAGCATACTGCAGAGTCAGTGCTAATTCTAAAAACCCCACGATGACCGAAGCTCGCACACCGAAAGTCAAAAGGACCCAGATGTATGGTGGCAACTTCCAAACGCCGTCGAGGACCCTGTTGTACAGGTTTGGTGTTTCATTGTTTGCTCAATTTCATTTTCGCTTCCGTGATTACCCATGTATTCTCTGTCATTTAGCCCGCCATTCCACACTGCACTGCACCATTCCGTTGTTTGCGATTACTGCGCCGGGTGGTACGCTGGCTGTGGGGGAGGCATATGCATCCCGGGCTGAACCTGGTAACCTTGTGTGTTGACGCGACCCTTTTCTCGTATCTTGACCTCGTTGTCTTGCTGAATGAGCGCGCAGCACGAGCACCAGAACGATACACAGCAGTCACCACAACCGCTGCCCTGGATACCGTACCGTTCTCGGATCTCACCACGTTTTATCATGGCATAGCTGTGAACTAAGTTAGTCGAAACGTTCGGTATCAAGATTTCACAGAATTAAAGATGGTGATGAGGTTGAGAAGGCTGTGTGTGGGGGGGCGAAATATGAAAACGTACATCCAGCCACAGCCAGTGAAACATGTGACAGCGCCGTGAATGAGACAATCCGAATTCAACGAATCGGCAGTCTCCATTGAAGGGTCTCGAATGCGCTCTGAAGTCCGGCCCAAGAGGATACAGGGCAGACACCAGGCTAACAGACATGAACCGCATGGCCCGCAGCTGCAAATTCCGTTCTGCCACTCGCCCTCGGGCTTCTCTAGATGCACCGGAGCCTGGCGGCTCGTTGCCATTGGTGCTGGCTGTGCGTAGTATTGCTGCTGGCCGTTCGATTCCGGAGGCTGTCCGTACACGCCTTGCTCTTGGCCGTACTTCTCCGGTGCCGTCATCTTGTGAAGAGAGAAAGGACCAACTGGTAACTTAGCCTCGGGTCGTGGTGTTTGGCTTAGGAGAACCTGGTGTATCACTTGGGGGCTAGTGTTGAAGCCGTCCGTACAGAGGAATTAACAAAGGAATGGAAGACAAAGGGATTGATCAGTTGGGTTCGAAGAGTAGTTGTTTTGGGTAGGTTTATGAGAGCAAAAGAGGGGGTGTTGTTTTCGAAAATGAGAGGATGCCCAGGAAGATTCAGATGTCAAAAGTAAAGGGTATATAAGTGAGTCTCAGGTAATTGCGGCGTGATGGGAACCGTTGTGTACGAGTGTTGACGCCATCTTAAATGCTGCAAGGGAATCCTGCCTCACTGCAACCCGGGGATGGAACGGGATTCTATTTCGGTCCCCGATCTGCCTTGGCCTCCGTCGATCCAACAGCTCACCTCAGCCACTTGCTGGATATGTTCAACTTTGGCATGATCTTCCCTGGTGGACACTGGGTCTAGGTCTACCTGGCAGACCTGGTATTCTCGACTATTGTAAGTGCGTCTCTGTACTTACGGACGTACCAAAAGGTGAAACCTGTCTGCAAAATACCTACCTTTCCATTTGACTGGGTGTGGGAGTGAGGGATTACCAACCGCAGATTGCAACTGCGGACTCATTGGACGATAGGACTTTTCTGATGAAACCAATATTGAACTCTCATCAGTCCCGAGTCCCTTGCAGGCACCAAAATACATGGCCTGGCTTGGCTGTGATCCTCAACCCCACCACCACCCCACTACACGGAGCTGTAGCTTGACAGCTCAGCCCTACTTACGGTATGTAATTTTAGGGGTAGGACTGGAAGAACAGGGGGCCGGCCACTGAAGATTGTGATATCCTGGGTAGGTATACTTGGAGTACTTGGAGTCCATGTAGAGACTTGCAACTCAGCTTCTTGCACGCTCTATATATTTCGATTAGATATCTAGGATGAAATGTATCAGCTCCATCCCACAACTAGTACTGCAAGACGGATTTTCCATTGGCTCTCACCTGTGACATCATATTTAAGTAACGTGGCTGTTTGCCATGCTGCTAACATGCATAGTACTAACTAGAGTATGTGGGTATGTGGGCTTCTGAGGGTATCACCTCACCGACTGTGGGATCGGATGTATGGGAGTTGTCTTTGTACTTACAGACTATTATTACTTTGGAGCTCGTAGTAGCAGAAGTCTTTTCGTTCAATACCTGGGCACCGGGCACTACTTTGGCTTACCTTCGTAACTCCTCGTGTCGTATCGCAGGCTTCCAACTGTCAACTATTCTTAGTAATTATTATTGGAGACTTCCCCAGTACTACGGCAAGGTATGTGAGAAGAACGGAGATTAGTTCCGTCTGAGTCTGGGTCAAATGGGGTCACTACCTTTGTCCTTTCTCAATGCAGTTTCCTAGTTCTCATGTAAGCAGACTACTCCCCTGCATCTCGCATTTGCGAACCTCGGACAAGAATTGCATTTACTTATATTTGGGCGCTGCCTAGACCCTAATCGTGAGCATGGTGAGGTGTGGACTCGGGGGTTCATGCACAGCTAAGTTACAAGCGAACCAACGACAAGAGTCGGTATCTACCCTAATCAGAGATCATTTACAGTCCATCAGTATTCAAGCCTTCAATCGCATCAACAAGCCGAAGTCATGCTGAGTTCATCTCGGTCCAGGGTTTACACATGGCCTCATTGCCGGTTTAGATCCAGGATCAACGCAGAACTTGGCCAAACATGTCAATATTAGCACGGTCACTGCAAGTTTCGCAACTTGATGAGATAGAGCAACATGAGCATGAAGAATGCCTATTGATTTCGATAATCTCAGGTATAGATATGTTAGGATAACCTGTCCCTCCAAACCCAGAGATATCTGACTTCGAGACAATCGCCCAACTGATGGACACTCCCGCCCTGCCCGGCGAGCATCCAATTCAATCAACGCCAATACTCTCACGGGGTTGTGGCATTAGCAAGCGGCCAGTTGATGCCCTTGTCCGCAGCACCGGTGTTGCCCAATCCCGCGCAGCTATACAGACCGACCGGATTGTTCTCCGTGGCGCGCATGTACTGGAGGTCAATACATTCCTCTATGGCAAGTCGTCAGCTCTTGTTCGAATATTCTTGTCTATGCGCTAGAACAGCTTCTCGACATGTTCTCGTAGTTACTTACGTGGGCTCGATAGTTGGAGGGCGATTCTTCCGTCCGCCATGACGTTCCACTTCTGCCCGTCCACGGTGTCAGAGCAGTTTGTGATCGAGAGGCTGGCCATGTCCTTCCAGTTCGCTATTGAAATCCCATATTGCGTTAGTCGTCATCCTCTATGTCATCATTAGGACTAGGACAACGATGAGACCACTAACATTTAGCACCGGCATCTACACAGAGAGTGCTGTTCGCCAGTTGGATCTTGGTGTTCTGGCCGCCTTTGATGTACCACTGTTGCTCTGGCTTCGCTGCCGCCGTCTTGCTATGCAAAATTCAAAGTGTCAGAACTCGCCTTTCCCCTTCAAAACTGGCAGTTAACGTTGGGGGGAGACAAACACAACAAGAGTGCTACCGCTAGTACGGGCCTTGGGCACAACAACAAACTTCGTGTTCACCATCGAGGTGATGTATACAGCGCGGTAGCCTTCAGGGGCCTGGGCAAGGCCTGTCGCGGCGAAAGCGCAGAGAAGAAGCGAGCTGACCAGCATTTTTGCGTCGTTTTCTCTCCTCTCCCTGGTGACTATATGATACTGGCGATAACAACTGATTCTTTTCGCCAAGAGCGAGGAAATGAATCAGCTACGAGAGTCATCAATTCGCCATAAGCAGGACGGGCGCAGATTATTCATATGTAAAGTAGACCAGGAGCCTAGGCCGCTTTTCTCCCCGCAAGCTCAATTTACGGCAATGACATTCGAGCCTGATTCCGCCAGCCAATCTTCACGACGCACTAATTTATTTGGACTCACCCGGGGTCCAGGGAGCGCTCACGTCTCGGAGGAAGAGTGTGCCACCGCAATAATCTACTCGTGTTCTGGAGTAGGTGTGCCGGCAGATGCACGGGCACCAATGGGCTTCGCGGCTATTTATAATCGCTTACCTCTTTCTGGGTTTATTATTGCTTTCTTTACGGGTTTTGCACAGGTGCCGGTGATCTTCTCGTTCTTCGGCTAATGTGATTCTGCGACGACCCGTTGCAATGTGATCCAATACTTCTCGATGATAATCCTAAAATCTCTACTCAATAGGTGTTGGATATATTCGCCACATGGGAAAGCACCCTCGTGTAAATATATTCAGGAATAAATGCGCGGCGAAATGAGTTAATGCTCAAGGTTTGAGTATTCAATTCAACAGAAGCTCATTAGGGGAGATCGAAATCAGAGGAACAGAGAAGGTTTTCCAGATCACATAGACTTCCAATAAGACATCCTGCTTATGCATAGTCGGTTTCCATGAACTAGAATCGTGCCATTTCATTACTATCATGCTACTATAAACATTATCAAAATACACTTGCTTTCATATACCCCTATCCCAACATGAATCAAATCATACACTATCAAATGATCATTAAGAGGTAGTCACCCTTTAATGACCACGGTGAAACCGGGCGTGCTCGTTAGTCTCTAAATTGATACCAGACGGGGTACCAGAGGACAAGACATTGTACTGTCCGCCGTGTGAAGAGTCCGAAGACGAGCGGCCGGTATCCTGGACCTTGCTGTGGGCGGTGCTCGAGGGAATGTCGGTGCTGATGGGCGCTACCACACCGCGGCTCTTGCCCTCAGTGTTCGCGATGCTACTGGCGAATGGCTCTCCTCGTGTGACACCTGAGTCGGTTCCGTCTGAAAGCTTGTTGTACTGAGACTGCTGCTCGCGCGTAGCTGACTCGGGTTTCTGGGTGCGGATAGGCAGAGTTGTGGTTTGCTTCGCATCAGACGCGATGCTGGAGTCTGTACCGTCGGACAATTTGTTGTACTGCGAGTGCTGAGTAGATGGAGCGTCCGCCTCAGATTGGCGCGAAATATCGTCGTTGAAGGGCTCGGTGGCAATGCCTGAGTATGTGCCATCCGACAATGTATTGTACTTCGACTGGCTGCCATTAGATGGCACAGATGTCGCAGGCATCTGCGATTGTCGCAAATCATTGTCCTTAGTAGCGATGCCAGAGAGAGTGCCGTCCGACAAGCTATTGTACTGCGGTTGCTTGTCTTCAACTCTCCTGTCCGATGTCATCGCGTATGGTTCATTCCTTGAGCTGTCGCGTACAGCGTGGGACGTAGCTGGTAAACCGAACGCCTCCTTGTCCTCTGGCGCAGCCGCGCGCTCCTGTTCGCGGTCGCGGTTGGCGTATTTGTGCATGCCGTAGGTCCCGGCTCCAGCGGCGGCGACGGCGGCGCCGTAGTATCCGAGGTTCGAATCATCTTTGTTGGTGTTGCTGTCCCTTGTGCCGAGAGGCTGCGATGTCTCTCGCATTGGGTTGGTCTCGGAGTGACGGTTTAATGGGGCCGTACCGTACGTATCGCGGGCAGGACCTCCAGCTGTGTTGACATTGTTGTATGAGCTAAGAGATTGCTGCGGCTCTCGCATGTGACTCCTATCAGATTGCTGTGCTACCGGAGCAGCTGCGCCGTAATATTCGCGGCTTGAATTAGTTGCCTTGCTGTTGTTAAATGTATCAAGAGGCTTCTGTGTCTCTAATCCCCGGTCCTGCTCAAGTGGTTGGTCTCCAGCGCTGTCACGGTTGGCATACTTATGCATGCCGTATGCACCGGCTCCAACACCAGCGGCAGCGGCGCCGTAGTATCCAAGTTTTGAATCATCTGCCTTCTTATCCTGGTTTTCTGTTGCGAGGAGCTGCTGTCTCTGCAGCGTCTGATCCTTGTCGGGTTGAGTGGTCAGTGGAGTAGATTGTTTGTGTTTGTGGTGTCGAGGCTCAACAGCAGCGTATGTTTTGGTCTGATCCTTCTGCTTGGGGATCTCCTCCTTGTACTTCTGATCCGTAGTCTTGGGCTCGCTTGTGCGATCTCTCTTGGAGTACTCGTTGGCTGCATAGCCACCAGCCCAAGCCGCACCTGCACCGGCGAGGGCTTCTTTGTAGTGAGAATCTTTCTTGTTCTCTTCTGTGTCTTTATATTTTGCGTCGGTCTTTGAGTCTACGTTACTAGTGAGGGGCAACGCCCTTTGGTTGCGAGAAGAGTCATCCGTAGAAATATCTTCGCCGAACCGAGATGTACGCGGACTTGTGGACTCGTTGCTCCCATGCCCGACTACGCCGTTGTAGACACCGGTGCTCATTGGTCTGTTACTGCTTGAGTCCTCCAGAGATCGCTCGTGAGTGGTCGCTGGGTTGCTTGTATCATCCAAAGCTCTCTGTTGAGTGGTTGGTGCAATACCATATCCGGTAGCTCCATTGTGGTGCTGGTGCGTCGCTGTTTCATCACTGCCGTGACCGGCGACGCCGTTGTAGACACCAGCGCCGAAGGGGATACTACCCCAATATGGCTCGGTATTGTTAGTGCTAGATTTTCCGCGTAGACTAGCTTGGACTTTGTTGTGGTCTTCAGGTGCATTGGTCGTGGTGTTGATGCCAGAGTTCGTATTGTTGACATCGCCAAGGGGTGTGTTTGCTGGCGGGATAATATTGGTTGGGATGTCAAGTGCTCCAGCAGCCTCGAATTGGTGCAACCCAGTACCGCGTGCCGACGGCTCGCTAGTTTTGCTATTATTACGGTCGTTGATAATGTTGTTGTTAATGTTGTTACCGAACGTGTAGTTGCTGTTTGTTGCGAACGAGCTGTCTTTGGGTTCTACACGGCTGTGTGCACCAGTCATAACACCTGGCTTGGTGCTCTCACCACTTAGAGTTGAATCTTCGGCAGACATGCCAGAGTTCTTGAAGTGGCGGCCACTGGATTGTGGGCCATGGCCTGCGATGCGTGATGTTTCGGTGTAGTTGCGGCCGCTGGGCTGTGCAGTCATAGCATCTCGCTTGGTTGTCTCGCCGTTCAAGGTCGGACCATCGGCATAGATGCCCGAGTTCTTCAAATAGTGACCGCTGGAATGCACATCGTCACCCATGTTGCGTGGTATTTCCTGCGTGTAGTTGCGGCTGCTGGAGAGTGTTTGCTGCATCGGCTCTTCATTTCCGGGTGTGGCGGGATAGGCCCCAGGCGCATCAATGTTAATCGACGACGCCATGATTGCTAATACTCATGGAAACTCAATATAGCTGATAATAATTATAGTCTTGCAGACGTGTCATCCTCGACGACTATGGCACAGGCTCCTCTATGTGTTATATACCTCGACGCACGCCTTTGTCACGAACAGTGTGCTATGTCATAGCGGACATCGGCACTGAGGCCGATTGCCTAGTTGGTAGATCACATAGCATCATAACACGAACATCGCAAAGGCCCGGCCATTCTGCGTCTCATTTGTCTCATCTGCTTGGCTGGGCTAAACAGACACAACGTAATAAGCAGAGGTTGCTGGTCAATTGTGACATCAGCTACTCGCTACGATCGACGTGATGAAAGATGTAGCTTGCTTCTTCGTCCCTAGTTTAGAGCTAAATTAGACCTAGATCTCAGTAGTCTCATCTAACAAGTCCAGAACAGAGCAGAGCAAGACGAATTTCGCTGCCGAATTGGGAAACGTCCAAACCCGCGCTACCGATACGCCATTTCGTCATTACGGGATGCCCCAGCGGCTAGGTCGGCGAGGCGGTGAAAGAAAAAAGTGAGGGACTCTGCACTGAACATAGAGGTGTTGAGTCTCTCACTTTTTTCTTGCACCGCCTCGGTCGGGTCTGGTCATGAGGCTACCCAAAGCACTATGTACTGGTGTCTGGGGACAGAGCTGGGGTGTAAAACAACCAGGACAAGGGATTTGAGTCGTTGACGTCAGCCGTGTGCCCGGCCCCGAAAGATCGGGCTGCTCGGCGTACTGTGGCTTTCAGCTGGTTGTTGTATCTCACCTCAAACTGTAGTATTGAGGCCTGCCGAATACCTTCCTACCCGTGACCGTCTTTAGGGGTATACCCGAAGCGGATGAAACTGGTCAATTGACGGTGATGGTCTGTTACATACCCTTGTTGTAATACCTACCTAGGTGTGTAGTAGCACTGGTCGAGAGAGAGATCATTCTTGGCATCCAATTCATTCAATGTGATTCTAGTTGTCAAAAGCTACTGACTCAAGCCACCAACGCCTTTGCTTGTCCTATCGCTTCCAAAGTCTAACAAAATGTCCTAAACGCCCATCATGGCCTATGATTTCTCCGGCCAAACGTAGAGCAACTCTATATACAAGCAATGGTCATAAGCCGTTGAGCCCATAGGCAACCAAATGCTTGCTTCGCGGAGAAACATATGGTAATATGCAATATGCTCACCGGACTATCTCATCAGCACTCATCGTCTCATCGTCTCCGAGCCCAAGCTCTTGAGCCCACTCGCGCGCCGCCTTGGCAATCTGCCAGTCTGCAAAACGTGCTTGATAGCCCGGCGTTTCCTTCCATTTAGGGACCAACCCATGTTTACGCAAGCGTCGCCTATGTCGTTTACGTTGCCATGCATCCATATAGCGTTCGTCAAATTGGGTGAAATCCGTGTTTGTTACCCAGTCTGAGATTTCCGCCAGTATGTCGCCAACCTCATCGCCTACTTTAAATGCAAGCGCTCGTCCCCTACCGCCAGTGGTCCACTCATCCAACATAAATGGCATTGTGTACGGGAAATATGGCTCATTGCGTGACCAATCACAAGGAATTGTTGGTGTACAAATGTAATCGGGGCCGGCATACAGTGAAGAGAATGTACACTCGAGAACATACCAGGCAATAGCGCAGATTGCGACAACACCGAGAGTAGTGAGTTTGAACTTGGGGTCTTTACGATACAGCTTCGGTACGGTAATAAGGATTGGGGTGGCTCCATCCCCTGATACAGATGGTTGTGGGAGAGGCCCTACATCAGGCACGGCTTTGATATCAGGTTGGTCGGCCGCAGCGGTTTTATGGGTAACTTTGTCCTCCAGACGTTCAATGCCCTTTTTGGCAGAGCGAATGCCGAGTAATCCTGTTTGAAGAGATTTACTCATTCTGTCATATACCTCGAGCTCTCGGTCGCGATCTGACGCCTGTGAAATTTTCACATCAAGGTCATCTTCAGCCTTAAGAGTGCTATCGTTGACCATCTGCTTTAGTTCTAGGTCGTCGATGTCGTGGTCCGCGAGAATTGAATCGAGGTTCTCTAGTGTCGAATCATCAATGTTGTTGGCTCGTAGAATCGCAATGATATCATCCTTGACAGTAGGCGGTTTGGCTGTATTAATCAACGGCCGTCGACGTCTTGACGAAGACCTTGAACGGCGGGAGGCCGTTGGTAGTGAGGACGATCTTGGCCCTGGACGTTGCAAAGCTCTAGCTCGAGTCGCGGCGCCTGTGTTCGGTGCGCCTTTGGGCGGGGATGATCTTGAGATCTGACTCTGCGCCGTGGACTCGGTCCCTATATGCCCTTCCTCTTCTTTCACGCGCACTGTGGCAGGTGTCTCCACGTATGCGCCCACAACCCTAGGGGTCGGCTGCGTCAAAGGGTCTATCTTGGGTGGTCGAGGGGTCTTCTCATCTACAGGCTCGGATGGAACTGGCGAAGGGGCTCTGATAGAGCCCTTTTCCGAGTAGTTATCCAAAGGAGCGAACAAGTTAAGCTCTGCAGCAATACGATCCGTCGGATCAGCTTCCGAGGTGGACGTACTTCTTCGCTTCTCTGCAGCAGAGTCTCCAGAACGTGTCCTTATCAAATCAGCAAATCCAACTGTCGGTCTGTCCCTAGGATTCTTAATCTCCAGGTTCCTAAGTCTCCCTCTTTCTTCCCGAGGGGCAGGTGATCGATTGAGGTTACGTATTTCGGATAGCTGCTTGATCTCTGCCTTTTCCGCCATAGGTGCATCCTTGTCTTTCTCTACTTTCTGTTGATCCTCTCTGGGACTCGAGCTAGTCGCTCTAGCCAGACGACGAAGCAAGTCATGTGAATCATTTCTCGACAGGGGTATGCGTTGGTTGTCGTTCTCTAGGACACTGTGCTCTTCGCCAGAATTACGAATTCTATCAGTCGATTTCTTGAAAATTACAACTGGAGTATCGCGAATCGCTTCGCCTCTCAGCTCCGGATCTATTTCGGGATTGGGCGAACGCTGCCGTCCCATATTGCGCTTTGCTAGTCCTTTCTCCAGTAGTTTCTCATGTGAGTCGTTCTGTAGTTCGGGTGATACGGAACGAGGCTCTGAATTCCTCATTCTGATTTCTTCGAGACGGCTCGCTGCCAAGGCCCGCCTTGACGATGCTTCCATCTCTCGAGCTCTGATTTCTTCCAACTTATGATTCATCTGTCTGACAACCGGTTCCTCCGGGAAAGTCACTTTTGCAGCTTCGATTTCTCTTCGCTGAATTTGGTTTAATCTTTCATTATTCTGACGAGTTACCGGCTCGCTTGTTATATGGCCTGGGTCAACTGTCTGTTTGCCAATCGGAATACGAGGACTTTGCGAGAACTGCAAGTCTCCAGCTGTAAAGTCAGCATCGAGATGCCAGTTCATGCTCTTTTCAGGTGATAAATCAGCTGGGCGGAAGTCGGGAGAGGATCGGTTGTCGCTAGCAGATTCGTACTCAATAGACGGCACCGGTACATCAACACCAACAGGCGGTTCTCGCACCAAAGTCCCATAGTCTTCGGCCTGCCCTTGATTCTCTACGCTAATGGGTTGGACCTCAGTGTTTCGGCGTTCACGATTGCCGCTTAGACTGCTATTGCTAGGTTTTCTGCGCAAGCTGTGCCCCGTTTTCGACGGTGAAGGTCTCGCCCGATTCTTAGCGAACAATCCATCGAGGGGGCTATCTATGCCGGCAAGTTGATGGTTGCGATCAAACCGTTGAAGATGCTGTTTAAGATCATTATTTCTTGTGCCCGTACCATTTCTTGTTGGGATGGCAATTCTTGATTCACGTCGAAAGGATCGTGGCGCCGGACTAGGGGAGCCATCAATACCTCGAATACCGTTAAATTCAGCATTCGCCATGTCAAAAGCATGTTGTAGGTCGATCGTATTATCGGTATCACTGTTTGCTTCTGCGGCGGTCTGCTCCTGTGCGCGCTTAAAGGCGGCTTTTAGGTCCATCGGCTGGCGCATAGGGGAGGAATGGTCGGTGGGGTTATCGGGAGACGTTTCTCGATGCGCTGGGGCGTCTCGACGATGGCTATCGATACTAGAACTCGCCGGGCGGGGGATGCGGGTGCTTCGTGATTGTACTGGGGTGCCAAAGGAGTTCACGCTTCGATCTAGCCTAGTACTTCGGTTAGGGCTTGCGAAACGGTTCTCGGTGAGAGACTCGGTTTGGCGGTGGCCACGAATGCTAGTATATATCGGTTGAGGGATGGCCCGCGCGCCTTTGTCTGTATCGGACGTGGCGTTATTCTCTTTAGACTCAGAGTTTCCGGTGCCCCTCTTTGGTGTGCGGCGGTTACCAGATGGTCGGGTATTATTTTGTTGACCGTTCGATTTTGTAGTAAGAGCATCTCCAGCCTCAGGTGGGTTGCGATCCATCATCGCAGACCGCAAATGGTGCTCGGCTATGGCAGGTACTGCCTAGCACTGCTTGCACAGGGTAGATGAAGTTGTTGTAGATCAGACGGCTGCTTCCTTGGACATGATCTTGTGAAGAAAGAGCCACATGCTGCGCGCGAGAGACAGGCGCAGGTCTAAAAATCGGTGCCACGTTTGTCGACTCGTCTCCCCAAGTGTCTAGTATTCAAGCGTCCTTGCAAGCATGCGTGTCGACAGGTCGATTGTAAACCGGCGGCGATGGCAGATGGTGAAATAAGCAGAAGGTATAATTACGATGTAGAAGCCGTGAATCGAGAGGAAGTAAAGGGTGGCTATTTGTACACTTGCGTTTTATGTGGTTAGGTGAAAGTGCTGAGAAGAGGGTAAGAACACACGCATGTGAAGACCTGTCGCGATGTCGACTTAGCTAGAGCTTCGCGGTCTCGATTGTTTTTATCACTGCAAGACCACAAGTATCTACTTACCTGCCTGGGTTAGTGCATCGACGGGAAACGCGTTTGCGGGCCATTAAGGCCCCCTAGCTACCTAGGTAGGCCAGGTTAGGGAGCGTGGCGTCTTGGTGCGGGGTTGTAAGCCTTGTATGATCTACCTGTACCAGGTAGGTACCTACCACTGACAGACTAGGCCCACTTGCATTTACTGGTAAAATGATGCTGCACCCGCGTGGTGAGCTCTATATAAACCTTGGATAAACCCAGCCAGCTGTCTGCCTGCATAGTGTACCCGTTGGGACTCCACTTTCGTCGCCAATCTTCTGACTTCCAGTAGAAGCGTTGGGGTCTTTAACTTGAAAACGACCAGTCAACTTGATAAAATCCGGCTGTACTTCCAAATTGGTACAATCCCTACCAAAATAGAAGTAGTTCCTGTTTTATACATGTATACGCTACATTTATACTTCTTATTTAAATGCTAAGAATATTACCACCCCCTGTTAAAACTGCTAAGTTAGCCAATTTTTTAAGTTTGTATCTCTTAAGATAAATAGCCTTATACGTATTCCATTAGCAATTCTGCTACACTGTAGATTGAAGATGTTAAAGGTGTTAAAGGCGTCGAAGGCGTTGAAGGTGTTGAAGGTGTAGGAGTTGGTGGGATGGGTGGGCTGGAAGGTGGTTGCCTAATTGAATTTTTAGCTATATGCAAGTTTTTCAATCGGTATGTAAAGTGGAATTGGGTTAAGCAAAGCTACTTATTCTTTGGTGGGGATTGTACGTAAATGGAAGTACCTGTGTTTTATCAAGTTGACTGGTCGTTTTCAAGTTAAAGACCCCAACGCTTCTACTGGAAGTCAGAAGGTTGGCGACGGAAGTGGAGTCCCAACGGGTAGGTAAGTAGCCACCATGTACCCAGGTAGTATCATGAAATATGTGTTCTCGTAACATGGCAATCACAGAGATTGGAGTGGGAAAATATGTTCTATCAGTGAGCCTGAATTCAAGGGTTCTTCTTAATCCTATTCCTCCAAGTAAATTTCTCACCCTGAGGTAATCCGCTATTGAGAAGGATCATCCCACTACATACATCACAATCGTTCCGTCAAGGTTTCGAGGCGATGAACTATAATGCCATGTGCCCCCCCAAGGGTGACCGTCGTTCCACGTCCGCCACGCACCTTCGCCCTGTATGCAGCTCCTACCGGCGTCACATACAAGGCATGTGGCATATGGCATGTTAAGCTGAACAAGGCGTGATTTGGAGAAGGTAAAAGTCGGCGAGGTGGTCTGGGGAAGAAACACTACGGGACTTCACAGTGGCTGTAGGTATCAGTGGTGTGAAGTCCCTAGTAGTGTTTCTCAGATCTCCTCGGTCAGCACGCAAGCTGATGCTACCACGACCATCTGTGAACGTAAAGCTTCCAGTCTTCAGATAGACCATCTTCTGCGTCCAATTATCTCGGAATATTTTCATAACATAAACGTTGTGGGAGACTATAAGTTGACGATACTGCATTATGTGGTCAACACTACCACCGAGGACACTCATGCATAAGCGCAGAATAAGTTGACCAGTTCTTAGGATATTTATTTATAGTCTATAACATACGCCGATGAAAAATGATACAAAGAAATAAAGTGGCGAAGCTTGCACAATATGGGATACAACTACTAGATCCAACAATGAACAGCTTCCCCAGTAGCAGGATTATAAATAGTGACGTCTCTCAAGCTTTCTCTACTTTCCTCTTCCATAGCCCTCATTGGTATTATCTTCCTATCCTCTTCCCGCCTGTCCTCTACTGGCCAAGAATAACAGCAGAGGCCTTCTCCGCAATGAGCATAACGGGGAGAGCGATGAAGGTACCCGGGATCTTGGGGAAGACCGAGGCATCGACGACACGGAGGCTGTCAATACCGCGGACCCGGAAGTCACCGTCAAGGACCGCCATCGGGTCATCGTCAGATCCGATCGGGTTGGAGCAACTACAACACCTCGAGTTAGCATGATTTCTCCTCCGACCAGAAGGATGTCAGTGATCCTGGGATCGACTTACGATGCGTGGTGTCCCCAGGCTTCCTCGGTGATCCACTGCTTGATATCGTCATCGGAGTTGAAGTCCGCAGGAGGCCACCACTGGGTGGGCTTGCCATCGACGTCGGGGGTGTTGGCGTAGAAGCTCTGGGCCATGCGGACACCTTCAAGGAGAGCGCCAACTTCCTTGTCAGCTTCTTCCTTGGGTAGACCTTCGTACATGGAGTGGAAGCTAATCAGAGGAACATCGCGAGGGTTGGCAGACTGCAGTTTGACCTATAGTTATCACGCGTTAGAGCCTGTCTTGCTTCAGAAGAGCTATGGCATGCTTACAGTGCCGGATCGGTTCCTGGTGTGCGCCTTGAGGATGAGCCAAGACCAGTAGTTCTTGTAGGTTGGTGTGGCAGCGCTGGAAGAGTAGCCAGGGAAGAAGCCGTTGAAGGTACCGGGGAAACCACCGATCCAGAGATCTTGCTCTCCGTCCTCAGAGAAGGATGAGGTCCAGAAGGCACCGAAGTAGTTACCGGATGAAGCGTAAGCACCCTTAGCGGCACCCTTGTTGTTCTTGTCGGCGTACCGATCCCAGCAGGGGTCTTCTTCAGTAGCAAGGAAGGTACAGTCGAGAATACGGGTGAAGTTTGTAGGGAACATGCCGTTCACACTGACTTCGAGACGATCTTGGAGGTTGGTACCGACACCAGGTAGATCGAGGACAACAGGAATCTTAAATTTCTCAAGCCTGAGGTATGTAAGCGAGATGTTCACATGGTGGTTCTAAATAGTTGTGGAATGGCAAGGGCCGAAGGGTAGTAGAAAAGAGAACATTGAGACTTACTCTTCTTTAGGGCCGACACCGGACAACTTTAGGATTTGAGGTGAGTTGAAGGCACCACCAGCAACGATAACTTCCTTAGTAGCCCTAACAGATCCAGGCTTACCGCCATTCTCAGTCTTGCTAGCACGAGCGTCGGCTCGGTAGAGGGACTGTCCATGGAGATACTCAATACCGGTGGCCTTAGGCTTCTTGGACTTTCCAGACTTTCCAGACTTGCTCGGGCAGGTAGCCTTGTTATCAAAGGTGATCTTGGTGACGAGCGTGTTCAGCGCAACATCAAGAGGGTACTTCTTCGACCCATCGGCATTCTTTGCGGTTACGGTCTTATACACGTAGTCACGTGGTGATGAACGGCGGTAGTCAACGTTGTCAATAGTCTCAGGCAGACGAGAGAACAGCTTCATAGTGTCACGGTCAGGTGCATCAGTGTTGGCATCATGGAAAAGCACATTGCCCATAGCATCGGTAATAGGCTGTGATATGATTAGTTTTGTTTATTCAACTCAATCGGCTTTTAACATGCAGTTGGCAATCTCCAGAATAGCCTAGACCACAAATGATTAGGGGGCTTTGGTCACTTACCTTGGTGTAATTCAAGGGCACCAATTCCGTGTAGGGGTCAACTCCTGCCTTAGACGCTGTGGCGATAACTTGATCAACAGCGTTGGCAAGGGCGTCGACGGCAGTAGCATCAACACCAAACGCCCTTGCAGCGCCGATGATAGATGACATAAGCTTGACATCTTGTGCGGCAATACCTTCAGGGTTGATGTTCAGGTCGACGTATCCATCGTGCTCATCACTAGAGCAAGGATTGTCAATAATTTCCGGTTTGAGAATGCTAGGGACTATAATGGAGTACTCACGGGTTGAGGTACTGAGCGTTAGATAACTTCTCGTAGTACTTGCGCATGTTCTCGAGCTCCCAAGAAGAATCGCCAGTGAGATTGGCAATGTAGCCCAGATCGTTCTTGGTGGGAAGCAGACCAACCAAAGCATTGTGCTCTGTGCAACCACCCAGACCGGCATATCGCGGGTAAAAGTTTCCAAGAGGCTTGGAGCCCTCGGGAATCTCAGAGTTCTTACCAGCTGTGACAAACGATTAGTCATTGCTTGGAGCAAGCTGTTCAGGTTACTTACTGAACCATTGCCCATCAGGTGTCAAGTAGGCAAGCTTGCGGTCCTTCAAGGCCATTGTCTCATTGGTATAATGGTGGGTGAAGAACGCCCAGCTAGCCTCAACCCTTTCAGAGGCCGGGTTTGCCAGAGCAGGTGAGTCGACCTGTCGGAGGTACCCAAAATCACCACCAGCATCAACCAAAAGCACGCTGTGGCCAGCGCGGGCCAGATTGGCAGCAATAGGCGATCCGCCAGCCCCAGAGCCTATGATAATATATTCATATTCCTTGGCTTGGGGTTCATGTACCGGCAGTGTGGGACCAGTCTGGGGGAACTGGAGCTGCTCCGGTACCCGAGCAACAGTCACATCCGGACCGTTTGGCGCGAGATCCCTTTACGTCTTCGTTAGGTTCTAGATACGGCAGGCCTAAGACTTGGCAACTTACGTAGCTTGAGTATAGGGCGTAATCGCGCTCAGTAGCGCGAGATATGAAAACGACTTCATTTTTTCAAAACGCAGGGGTATTCACAGAAAGCAGAGAGTCTGGAAGAAAAGAGGGAGAAAATAGGACCATGAACAAGGCTGCCAAGAAAATTCTTAACCACCACAAAGAAGAAAAAGAAGAGGCCGTCACCGCCAAGAAGGAAAGAGAAGCAGAAGAGAACGTGGCTGCTGATAGGAATAGTTTGATTTGGAAGAGGGCTAGACAGCAGTTCTTATATGCCATGATGGCTGTGCAAGGGGAACAGTATTTAGGGATCATGGTTGGTAATAGCTGTAAACGCCGAATCATGACCTTTACTATTCTTGGCGATGGCGCATTATACTGATAATTGGAGTGACAAGGAGTAGAGAGGTGTGAACAAGTGCGGTTTTCGGAGTTATCGCGTCTACAGGGGAGATCTGGAGCCTGGCTGCCAAAATAGAGATGCTTACATCTGACGTCTGAGACTGATTAGTTGACTTGACGTAAACTTACTACAGCCTTACTACAGTAGTACCCTTTAGGACTAATACGTTCATGACTGACACAAGGCACAGAGCAACATATTCTTATTTCCGCTCGAAAGTATTCAAACAGACTGCCAATACAGCTTTGCCCTTATCCCATTGTTGCTCGAGAACACCGCGATTTCGCCATGTTTATCCTTCTCAATTTCCTTCGCATAATACCGCAGATTTCCATACTTTTCCCTAATTCTTACTGTACCTATGTGCAGCGCCACACAAGCATTGGTGATCAAGTAAGGACCAATTCGGGTGATCCGGGGAAAGCAAACGAATATAATCTCCGCACGTAATGTGTGGGCTGAAACTAAGGAAATAAGCATAAATCGAGATATACTAAGATTGGTTATTCTTTACACTGCCTTCCCCACATGCAGCTAGGTATTGGAGGCATCCCAGCAAATCCATGTCTACATAGTAGGAGACTTATCAGGCAAGCTTAGCGCGGATCTCGCAGGATTAGGGCCACGTTCAGAACCCAGTTTTAAGGAGGCCACATGAGATGGAGGGCTATGTTTTGCTACAGTGTGTAGGTCAGATCTTCTAGCTCACTGACATTAAGGAGCTAATAATGTCAGTGAGCATGCTGTGCAACACAGCTTCGAGATCTGCCTCTAACGCGGTAGGCACGTTGAACGTGTGGTACCTAGATCTGCTTATGCAGGAACTTCTCATGCATAGATGCACGACTCTTGCGTCAACAACTTCTTCTTCTACGATATTTCGTGTTCACGAGTCTTACATTTATCTTAAAAATCAGTTGTAATATCGTCGTGAACATTCTACTGCTTGGTTCGGGCGGAAATCAATACAGTGTTATGCTAGAAGTCGGCCAATACAGGAAGGGCCGAAATTATGAGCTCTAATCGTGCTTCAGTCAGGCGCGCATGTAATCTCATGGCTCAAATCTCCTTGGGCATCGGACAGTCACAATAATTCGATGGATACCGCGAATTATAGGCACAGCTAATTTAGTGAAGATGTTAACTTGCCTTAGCTCGGGGCAAGAGACTAGATTACCATGCTCGAGAAGAACTCGAGACATCCCTTTTTTTTTTAAGCCGCGGAGACAGAGTGAAGAGTGAGACTTGGTCTACAAGAACCAACCGCAGCGATATGCATTAGAGTATGATTCAGCTGACGGTACTCGAAAATTTTCTGGCCAATACTTCAATAGCTGAACTATATCATTATGCGGCGAAGAGGATCATGCTAAAGGTCATAGACAATCTATTGATTATGCAGTGAGCCGAATGCGATGTTCCGATATTCCGATCCTTTGATTCCCAAGTAGGAACTTCAATCAGATATGACCGTGTATTCGGGTTCATGAATCCGCCTACCTAGAGAATAGTTCGTAAGAGAAGAATTGCAAGATCAGAAATACAGTAATCCACTAGATGATGGCGGGGTCTCGTATACTGTAGAGGCTAACGTCAGAACACTATTGCCATGAAGAAAGCGGATAGATAACACTGCGAAGAGCACAATTCCACGGAGACGCGTGGTTGAATTCCCGCTACAGGGACCCAGGCAATGCCAAGATTCGCCGTCGGCATATGATTGGATTCTGAGGGCTAAGCGAGCACGCAAGCTTCAGACAAGCTTTTTCCAAGCCGGCTGACTCCCGAGATGACGTAGCAGCTAGGTATCTAGTCTAGAAGCACGAAATAGGCAGGAATAGTTAGACAAGTCAACTCCTAAAGGTTGCTGCACACAGATCCCTACTGCTTCAAGAGAAAAAGAGTCAGCCAAGGATCTAATGAGGACCAGATCACTGCATATGGAAGCTAGAGTCTGGCTAGAGCCGTGCTAGAGTTTTGCCAAGTAGTAAGCAAAGACATGCATACATAGTAGCTGGGCCGAATACCTACGGTAGGTAGTTGAGTGTACACCGTTGGCTCCTTGACTTTCTACCCTTGAACTAACAGTTAAGCACGAAACCAAGGGGCTATGTAGAGACTAAGCTCTATATGGTTTATTGTGTCCACCGCACTAACACTGTGATCCTGAGTTGCTATTTTTAAAGCCATTTTGTGTGATGGCTGAACGAGCTGGACTCTGCCACCCACACACCATGTAAGCCGCCTCGGATTCTCGGTAACGACTACTGCACATACCTGCAGTCCACGTATATGTTTCTATGTACCATGTACCATCTGCGCTAGATCCCTCTCATCACCTCCAATACCGGTAGCCTATCTTTTGAGGAATCTTGTGAATCCCATATCTTACCCAAGTATTGGTTACGCCGTAATCGAACATCTGTCCATACTGAATGCGGCCTAGGTCAGGTTTATGGCTTAGAACTCCTCCGGGAATATTTAACGCCTTCTCCGCAAATCCGAGTCAACACCATAAGCTGCAGATAACAGGTGAGAAACTTCTCCAATATATACAGAGTACTTCAGCCAGATTGCACTGTAAAGCGACTACAAAACTGCGCCTCCATGCTTCACGCCCCAACTGCTTAGCGATCGTGTGTAAGCCAAAATGTAGACGTTGCCTGTGTGGCCTCGAGAATTGACTGATCCCCCATCCCGAGGACGCAATAGCACTGCATAGTACCTAGGAGAAAATCCAATCAATACCCCAGTACACGTGTAAAACTGAGCTAATGATGTGAGCAACCCTCCGGCGGACACAACAGCCAAATGTTCTGCCTGTGTGCTTCAGGCTCCTCTGTCTCTACACTATTGTCGCGCAAATGGCGGTTATTCGCCATTGCTGGATAAGCCCTGAGTGCGCTTGGCTTCAGTATTAGTCGTAGCCGAGGATAAGAGGGGTTCAGTTCATGCAGCTTGCTCATGTCATCATTACCTTCGGCAATAATCCGCCGAATAGACGTAAGAGAGGATATACACTAAACTGTTTGGCTTCCAGGGACCTTGCACTTGACATAGATCGCTGTCCCTTTTTGTTGGGCATACTGAATCTTCTGCTAGTCAGGCAGGTTGCCTTGGCAGTCCCTTCTCCTTAAGAACCTTATGCTGTACTTGCAGATCCATTTGGGTAGGGAATTCTACATCCCGCAGAGCTTAACGTGTACCAATTGAGGACCCTGTCCGTTATATATACTGAGCGTCAGGTGTATTATTCCTGGTCATACAGATACTATTCAGCAAGCATAATTTGACAGATCATCTTTCTAATTCTCAGACTTCTACCACAATACTGAAGATCCTTTTACTAGGTCACATTCGTGACTACACCTATGTCGTATTGCGTTTCAGCGTCAATCATTTCAACGTGAAAAGACAACTGCCAACATTGCGGTAGGTGATTAAGCCAAAATCAATGTTTCAACTAGTTTCGCATTATCCTTTTCATCTTGATTAGCTCTTCAATGACTTCAAACTTGGGTTTGTAGGACAATGTCGCAGTGTATACGTGTACCCAGGCAAACAAACTCGCCTTTATCCAACAAGTATCGCTGCCTTGTTGCAACTCGTTTATGACGGAAATAAGTCATAGGATACTAGGCCATGGGTTTTAGCTGCGGAATAACACCTTAAGGAGGCAAATGTTCGATATTCGGGGCACTGTAGTTTCATCTCCTTGATAGTGGTATGACTATAACAAGGGCAGAAATCTGGGCTTGGAACTTGATGCTATTCAGATTGCAATGATCAACTAGGGCTGCATGGGTCCTTGGTGGCTTGACTCGACTCTATATACAACTGGTCTGCCAGCCCTGACCCCCTAGGTCTCAAGGGTCTGTTCCAAGAAGCGAAGTCTGTATAACCTCACTTTCCAATGTTGCCTTCATAGACTTGAATGATCATGAACAGCCTGCCACGGCATTTCGTACGGCCGAAATATAAGGCGAACTGTATATTCAGCTAATACAGCTTATATATATATAATAATAAAGTAGTAAAGTTACTTTCATTTACATCTTTCTATATTTTATAATATTGTTTTATAGTAATAGCTTTTAAAGTTTTTATAATTATATATTTAAGAGTTAGTTATATGTATTAAACTTTTTTCATGATTGAAGATTCCTATCTTGATTGTTTTTGTTTTTATTATGCTGTTAACTGCTAGGGGTGGCCATATGTTAATCAACTATAGATCCTCCCGTAAGGAATTTAGGGTATGTTAGATCATCCGCCACATATAGAGCCCAGCCAATTCAGCACCAAGGTAGGCCATGAGGCTATTTGCATTGAAACTACCTTGCTCCATTTCGAGCACGTGCTCACTCTGAACCTATAAATGCCCGCTACAGTTCTAAATTCCCTAAAATTAACCAGATCCTCTTATAGTGTAGGCAGGAACCTGGTCCACATGGGCACCTCGTGCGGTCTTCTTGCCACCTAATTAAAAAAAAAATCCTGCCCGCTTATCACGGGTAAACAAATATCCTATCAAAAGATAGGAATGCCCCCATCCCGGATCGAACGAGAGACCTTGTCATGGCCTTGTAATGCAATACAAGTGACACGCGCTACCACTACGCCATAGGGGCTATAACGCCTTTAGTTCGAGGACATAAGATGTCGCTCTGTGTCATTGTTGTGGCTATTGACACGTTGGTCATAGAAGGCGAATTGATACCTTTGAGAGGGTCTAGGTCAATAAACTCTATCAACGCAAGCCCCTCTATTGCGATGTTCATGATTACGGCTATATAAATAAGTAAGGTCCGGCTTGCACTTTAAGCTACCTAGGTATTTATTTCATTGCTCACTCTTTCTGACAAGAGACCAACGTCTTAAAATCAGGCTTTCTCTAAAGACATTAACGAGAAGTAGAGCAAACTGATGGAGAACGAGCCGATAGCACACATGTGCTTATAGCTAAGACTTAGCCCGTAGACTTCTAAAGCATTAGAGACTGTCGAGAAACAAGAAGGTATAACGTTTAGGATATGATCCAAGTTCTTAGGTTAGGCAGTTCAGTTTCCAATACTCATCAGCTCTTCAGCTTTGCCTGGCTTCTCTCTTACTTCTCAGCTTGTTCTCATCCAGGGACCTTGGACCTAGCTTAAATCCTTCAAAAGTCTTTAAAGCTGAAATGTACTCAGCGTATGGTGTATCGTTAAATCATGTCCAGGGGCTCAATAGTTTCCTAAAGTTCTTATGATACGCAGTTCCATTAAAAATAATGATGTGGAAATGCTTAATAATAAAGTTATAATATTAGAGTAAATGTTACACGTGCAACCTCTGTGCCAGCTGAATATGCAGTTCGCTTTGCACTTCGGCTGTACGAAGGACCATTGCAGGCTGTTCATGATCTTTCAAGACATGCAGGCAATATTGGGCAATATTGGAAAGTGAGGTTATACAGACTTCGCTTCTTGAAACAGACCCTAGAAGACCCAGGCGGTCTGGGCTGGCAGACCAATTGTATATAGAGTCAAGTCCAGCCACCAACAGCCGAGAAGGAGCTGGTTGGTCAAGGACTACTGCAGCCCTAGTAGATCATTGTAATCTGAATCCCCAGTTCCAAGCCCAGTTTACCTGCCCTTGTTATAGGTGTCCCGAGGTGAATAGAAGGCTAGTCACAGTCAAGTAGGTAAGAAGAAGGGTAATATAGGGCTCAACAGAGTAGTCAACTGATCCCTAGCTTTCCCGAATATATAGGGGGCAACTCTAGAATATATAAACTTTCCAATATAGCAAACCCTAAAGTAGGTTGTGACTATATCCCCTGACAAGAAGTCTTTGCTGTAAAGAAAGTTTTATAGTCTCGGTTTTCATAGAAGTCCATGGATGATCCATATTACAGTACCGAGATCTCCAGTCGAGGTACCTCCTGTACAACGTTGAACGATACTGGCTTCTTAAACTGCCATACTATCTAGGCTTGAATAAGTTTTTATTTCAGCGCGTTCCTGTGTATTGTGCCCAAGTGACATACATGGCTCCCGGGATGTCCCGAAGACCGTGATGACTAACTCTAGTAAGGATTTTAGCTATCACACAAAGTATGGAATTTTCCACTCTCCTTTCTCCGGCGAATGTAGAGTATTCTCCGTACAAGACTAAGTTAGGTCGGCACTCATGCTTCATAGCGGTGCTCCCACTACTCGGAGATTAGCCCATCATAATTCCATAATCGGTCCGCCCCCAGCAATACCCCTCAGGATTTGATATTGCATCAGGTTTCTTCAATTTCAAGATCGTCATACAGCATGCATTATGATTTCGGTTTAACCATTGTTCACTTGGAAAAGGACATAGAGGGCTCAGTTATTTCCGTTGCGCATTGATAAACAACCCGCAAAGACCGTGATGTGTGGGGCGACAGCGCAACATACATTTCTATGTGAAATTTGTGGGAATAGGTGAGGAGCAGTGGCTTTCAAAATTTCGCAGATCGTTCTACGTTATGTAGAGATCTGATTGCTTCTACAAGAAAAGAAAATATCTTGCTCAGTAATAGCTTCATTGACAGATCAGCAACGTAGGCAAAACAACTTGGGCGTTTGCTGACCTTTTTGACTTGGTTACCGTCAAACTCGGAGTTAAGACTTTCTGAATTAAGTATTTGGCATTGATTTACGGAGTAAAATTGTATTCTGTCCCATACAACGGAGCCAATCTATTCCTTAATTGGTAATGTCATGTACGTCCGGCAGACGGACGAAACAGCGGCCGTAGTCTAAGGCATGGACCGCTCGCGGTAACTTTCTGGTTCTTTGCTTGTGTAAGCTGTAGATCAAGATGCGGGATAGCAATTGGCTGCTCATTTAACCATGAAGGAAATGTGATCTGATAGAGAAAGTTCGGCATGTCTAGCGGGGAAAGGACTTAAGCGAACAAGAACTCAACCCGAGCTTGCAAGATTGGATAGGAATGGTCATGAACATAGCTCATAGGAGCTATGGTAAGGTCTTCAATGTAAAGGTCTCCAGATATAAAACTGCCCATCTCGGCCTGTCAGTGTCTTCAATATACTGTTCTGACTTCATGCCTACTTCCCTCCCTACAAGCTCGGCATATATAAAACTTCACCTAGGCAAAATGCACGGCACCACCAAACTCCTCCTCGCCATGACGGCCCTTGCGGGCACTTCGCTGTCTCAAAAATCCGATGCCGAATTCTGCTCTTCGGCCTTGGCTTCCTTGGTCTCCCAGGTCGGAGAATACGCTCCTACGACACCGGCCAATATTCTCTCCTATATCTCAGCGAGCGCCGCACCCACGGTACCTATACCGACCACCATTGATTTTCAATGGCATGCGTCAGAACTCTGCTCGATCGGCAGCGTGCTGCCCACTTCGCTCGTGCCTGAGTTTAAAAGCTTTGCCCAGGGCCTTCTTCAATTCGGAAGAGATCATGAAAGCGAGTTTGTGTTCTACATCACAGACTGTGAGCCGCAAAATGAGGTCGCAAGCATGACCAGCGCGCTTCACTCTTATTTCACGGCAACGGACAACCCTTGCCCAACCACACCTGCCCCTGGCGCTTCATCCAGCGGCAACTATCCGACTACGCCCGCTGCGACGGCCACGAGCTCCCCAAATTTCAACGGCACCTACACCACCTCGTTCGTCACAGCCGCTGCTGCCAGGCCCACAGGCGCTCTGTTAGGAGCCGCAGCCGGTATCCTGGGCGCTGCAGCCATGCTTTAAACGGCTGCGATACCTCGTCCTGATGAAGAAGCTGATCGGTCTCTGCTTGGTATACCGTGGTACATAGAACTCTTGTTCGAATGCGAATTGTATTAGTAATATTTAACCTTCTCACCTTCATCTACGGGTATGGCGTACGGGAGGCGGTGCCAGAGGTACGCTATTTGTGAGGGCGGGTTCCTAATACGAAGCAATACGCTCATTTTAACGCGTTAAGGAACCATGAAACACTGCACCCCGCAAGTGAACGACGAATAATCTGATAGCTTCTAGCCTGAATGAAACCAGATTCTCTGAGAAATGTCGCATGTCAACGTGACTGAAGGTAGGTAGGTATAGTACACAGTACCTAATGCTGACCACACCTCCGTCCTGCAACTTGCCGCTGGAAATTACACGGGCAGCGGGATGGGAGCCCTGTACCTACCTAGATAGGCACCTATCATCTGATACCTAGGCAGCTGTATGACCCCACTAACGGCATTTCCAATGCATCTGCCCGTATATAACTTGGCATACTAGGAAACGCGTACGGCGCAGACCGCGCTCAATGCGTCGATCTTGACGATAGTCAATTATATCGATTTCTGATCTCGTGGAGCTGATGAGATAGACTGCCTGTCTAATGTGCATTGGAACACTACGTCGTGTACAGGTGACACACTTCATACTACACTCCTTTGCTCCTTGAGTTTACTCTCTACCTCGATCATGATATCTGTAGGTAAGCTGACGCGTAATTATGTTACTCAGTCAGCATGATATTCAATACGGTACATCCCCCTAGCACTCAACATTCATCATCTCAAGATTCATACATAAAATTCCGATCGGTAATAGCTGCACAAGGAGGTTGAAGCGGGGAGGCGCGTTCAAACTATCCGTACCCTCGCTTGGCTTACAAATCCGGAGAGTTCTTCTCACCGCCAGCTCTATAACACATGCTGAACAACGTAACAGAAACAATATATATACTTATCTAATTTTAGGGACTACGTTCCTATTGGCCTTCTCCTTTCTCGTGGAGGTACACCTTATTAAGCAGCGGTAGATGTTGTGATTTGTGCTAAAATACATACCGACTATCGATCTGGCGCGGGGACATACCCGGGTAGGAGAAGGCTTATTCGCGGCTCTGTTCAGCCTCGCCTCTTGTTGCCTTAATTAGAGTTCCTCCATATGCCGCGTGATATGGGGTAATAGTCAACCCGCGTCGAGTCTCTAAGCAGCTCCACGAAGACTAAATTCGACACCAATAAAGTAACGTCAACTGAGAACTCCGGTGAGGCGGAAATAAATGTGCAACCATTTCACAGGCCTTAGGAAGTGGTGTCTACCCCCAACAACAAACAGCTGTGATGTGAGTTATATCATGCCGAAAGAAATAGAACGGCTGCTAAATAAAAATAAAAAAAAGGGGAAAGAGGAAAAAAAGAGTTAGAAGCACCTAGAAAAGGCGGAAAGGCGCGATGAAGTTTTTACCGCCTGGAAACCGCTAAACGTTATCTAAGTAAACGCCTAGCCAAATGACTTGGGCGACCCCAACCAATGCACAAAACGGTGAATATGGATCCTGTTTACCTGGAGCCGGGACTGTCCAGGTTCTGCGTACCTTCAATTCCGTGCCGAGAGACCAATAAAAGTAACACACCTGGCCGGACGGCCAAATGTTATTACTACCTCGTACATGGATTTTCGGCCCAGTTTTGGACTTGCGAGCGACGGCTGACAAATTGGTCGGCGCCAGTTTTTTCACAAGCTGTTGACCCATTGACTAGCATTGTAGACGATCTAGCTAGTAAACCATTTAAAAGGCTAGTGCTCCGACCATCGAGTCCTACCCATTTCAATCCACCTCACGCCACTCACAATTGCAACATCTTAACCCCCGCTCACAACATCTCTCGACCCTTGCGTCAAACTCTCCAAGTGAAGCAACTTACCTCTGAAGATCCTGCCATCTCAAGTACATTTCGTCAAGATGGCTCCCTTTGGTAAGATTTACAGTTATCCTACCAACCCTCGGGCCACACGTGTAAGCCGGATTGTGTTCCTTCGACGTCACTGCCAAGAAATCCACTAACAAAACGACCTAGGTTATGATAATAGCCGAGATGAATGGTCTAGAGATAGAGATCCCCCCATTCACCATAGGCGAAACCAACAAGTCCGCTGAATTCCTAGCCAAATTCCCGCTCGGAAAAGTTCCGGCGTTCGAGGGCAACGATGGTTTCCTCTTAACTGAGAGCATTGCCATCGCTAGCTACGTAGCACAGGCAGGTCCCAAAGCGGACCAACTTCTTGGCAGAGGTATGTCGTCTGCTCGGCGGGGTATAGGTACACCGAATTTAGCCTGCGTCAGTGAGACTAATCTCTCTATTTCCCAGATGCCAAGTCACAGGCCTTGATTAAGCAGTGGGCATCCTTCGCTGAGAGCGAGCTGTTCAACAATGCCTTCATGCCCATCGCAATGGCTGCCTGTAAGTGAACATGGCTTTACTTCCAACGTTCTTGCCCGCCCATTGGAGAGCTGTGTGCTGATCAACCTGACTAGTAAAATTATATCCCATGAACGAAGTAGCTTTTGACAGGCACGTTGAAAGCTTACAGAAGGATGTCAAGGCCCTTGAAAAGGCCCTCGAAGGTGGCAAGAAGTACCTCGTTGGAGACGAAGTGACGATGGCAGACTTCATGGTTCTCAGCTGGGTGTACTATGTTATGAAGTACTTTGGCGATGCTGAGATGCGCCAGGCCAACCCGAACCTGGTCGCATACTTCGAGTCGTACGCTGCTGTACCGGAATACAACAAGTATTTCGGCAAGGCCGAGTATTGTGAGAAGGTCTTGACCAAGGACGCATAGAGAATTAGGAAAATATCGTAATGAAGGCGACTCATGCGCAAAGAAAGCCAGTTTTGAACCATGCATAATAACCAATGTGATTTTACTAAATTGATGACTTAGCACTGCTGACTCATCATCGCCGGGAGGGAGGGGTAGCAGAGCAGCAGTGTGCCCGTCCAGAGGGATAAAACGTGTAATCTCAACTATTTGTGCAGTTCCATTATAATATAATGTAAATGATAAAAATGATAAAAACAAAGATAGCAAAAGCAAGAAGCAATTGGATGCTGATGAGTAATAGATGCAAAAAGTAAAAATAATTGGTGTGAACGAGGTTCGAACTCGCGCGGATCTCTCCAACAGAATAGTAAATTGATAATGACAACTTAAGTCTGTCGCCTTAACCACTCGGCCATCACACCGAACTTAGCCAGTTGCTGGTTGATAATGGCTTCTAACAAAACTTATACTTGTTGTCAACATAAGATTTCTGTCAATTCTAAGCGCATCAATGCACTTATATGCAGGTTCGGCCTTGGAAGAATGTAACAAGAAAACGGACGTGACGGCGCCTCCGACTACCCTAGTTTATACTGTATGGTATTACAGTTCGTGGGCTGGAGAAAAAGCAGGCTGCCATCTATGCACTCACCTCCGACTCTTGGCTTCAGATCTCCTTTGCGCTGCCCATTCACGGATTAAGAAGAAAATGCTTCAACGTGTAAACGTGAAATAGCGGCCAAACATGGCAGATAAAGTGTTGAGTTTGTTAATACCAATTTTCTGCGACATGCCCTTTACTCCGTCTACCATGTCCTCTCTCAGTATGGAGAGAATGGAGGCGATAGATGGTTGTAATTGGACGGGCGACTGAGCTTTATAGCGGCTCCCCGCGGTTGCTGCTTGATCCCAAGTCACTTTTGCTATACAGCGAAGAAATACGCCTTGATCCAAATCAGAGGCTTGTTCTATTAGCAACAGTGCATCGAAGTAAAAACCCTAGGGATAATTTTCTAAGCCCAGCTAAGAACCTAGTCTTGTATTTTCGAAAATGGTAGCCGCGCGCCAGTTAGATCCCCGTGATACCGTCTGTGGTAGCAGCGGACCTTTGGAGCAGTGTTAGGAGACTTGTCCGTAGACTCTGTCGTAGATTAATGGAGGTTTAAAGGGCGTCTTCCTTTCTTCAAACATGATTCCCTGGGTTGCAATCGTAAAGTAGGTCTTTCGTGGCAGTGCTGGCGGTTCCTAACGAACTGCGTCATTTGATGATGATTCACTAGTACTGCCTGGTCTCCTAAGAGGAGACATACTCCAACAACACCTTCGAGAGGAGGGAACGGCTCTAGAACAGTTCATTTTGGCGGATATCAGTTAGCGGATGGATTATTTAGTAGTGCCTACACATGATCTGGCATGATCTATCCTTCGATCGATCTCTTCTTGCTGATATTTATTGGATTGAATTCGTCAACGTAGACAGCATCATCCTCTGATGGATCTGGCGAGGCAAAGATATCCTCCCAGGCATGATGACTCCAGTGACGTTCCTCAACGCCAACGCTGTTCCATAGTTTGTCGCGTTCCGTCATATGTACTGTCTCGCAGGTTGACAAGGGTAATTTTTCTTTTACGTCTCCTGCTAAACCCTGCCGAGATGGTGGTCGTGAATGTCCATCACTCCACTTCATCCCTTGCTGTTTCTTTTCTTGCTCGTCAAATTCTTTCTTTGCCGTTTCTAAGGTGTTGAGCATAACATTAACCCGGTCTTTTAGAGCCTTCCTCCGTGCTCGCAGTTCCTCATTGCGATTAGCATTGATCCAATCTGCTTGGAGCAGAATATCGCACATAGCGGCATTACGCAGCCATCGATACTCAGCTGCGCGCTTCTGAGAATCTAAAAACCAGCTTACTAAAAAGTTTAATGAACTTGGCTGTATGGTGTAGTCAAAGTAATCCTCAATCTTAATCAGCTTTGCCATTGACTCCGCCGCGTCATCTATTTCTAATTCAACAGAGCAGCTACTTCTGCTATCCTGATCAGAACCTCCTGATGCTGTAAAATGAATAATTGGGGGAACCCCGGCTGCTGTCGTAGTTGACTTAAGGTTAGAGGATTCTTTCTGAATGCAACAATGTATGCTGGGGCTTTGGTCGTGCCTGCTTGTTCTATGTTGAGTACCAGTCCTACTACCCGAGCGCGGGTTATGGCTGTGGTTCTCGGTGCCCATCATCGATTTAATACCTTCCAGGGTCATAGTTTGGCGTATAGTATGGGAAGCCCTAGGTGTTTCTGAATCTTCATCACATTCTGCGGCGTTATGGCTTAAAGGGGGCCAGGGGGCGACTTTGCTATTCGGGTGCCCTTCCATGCTAAAGGGCCGGATCGTGGATTCTATCCCAGACGGTCGAAATGGGTGAGATATAGTACTCCAGGGTGCTGAGGGTTGAGTGATGAGATATGGGTCACCATTCGGCTTGGTGTAAGACGGACCTAGGACAGGGTGACTGTAATACTAATTATTTACTGACCAAATGTATGCTCTGATAAGATCGTACCCTTGATTTGCTTGACCAATTGTGAAATTATCGTGTATAGTCACCAACCACTCATGATTGAACGCTTGATGGGCATTTAATCTTGACTGTGGTGATGCAAGCATTGCGCTCGAAACGAATGATATTGCAGGCGTGGACACTTCAATCTCATACAAGCGCTGGTCTGGAAAAGAGATTATGCCGTGATAATATCTGCGCAGGTCGTTGTGGGATGGAAATACTGCTTCACCTCGGAGCATTCGGAAAGTCATTTCGCCCAGGCACCAGATGTCGGATTTAAAGGGGTCCGCCATTTTCGGGTCGATGCCCCCGATACCGAGTTGCTCGGGTGCAAAAAATCCTGGCGTGCCCTTGAGACTAGTCGTTCCTGCCCCTACCTCCTCGATGCGTTTACTCAGTCCCATATCGCCAATTTTTACCCACCAGTCATACTCGGGCGGGCGGGACATAATTAGGACGTTCTAGATACAGTATGATTAGCATCACTCGTCATAGGTGGGCCGCCGTGCGTTGCATGCATACTCCTGGTTTTAAATCTCGATGTGTAAATCCTTCATCATGCATGAATTGTAGTCCCTGGGCGACCTGGCTGATTATTTCGCGAGTGTCGCTCTCTGGCAGCTTTGTACACTCTGTCAAAAGCTGTTGAAGGTCACCTAATGGGCAATATTCCATAGCAATGAAGAGAAACCCAGAGCTCTCGTACCATCCGAATGACCGTACAAAGCATCGTTTATATTTCCTAGTCGAAAACTTGGCCAGCGCCTCCAGTTCCGATTTGCAGATCTCCAACACTGGCCTAGACTGGGCTGATGTGATCTGCTTAACGGCTCGGAAATGTATCTGATCCTCCTCTGCCTCCTCTGATCTTGCCGCGAGCCGCTTTTCTAGCCATACCACTCCATTTCCACCGCTGCCGATAAGGCGCTCTTTCTTCCATACCTCTCGTTGTGGCTCGGCGCGCCGCCCCGGTCGTTCGTAGTACACGTGGACTATATTGTCCCCGTTCACGGTAGCCTCGAGTCTCGAGTCGCGGACTAGCTCTGGAAGCTTTATGGCTATTAACGGCTCCATATACCCGACCGTGTCGCATCCAGTTACTTAAGTATCGAATGGTAGACGATATAGGTCTCACGAAAAGTACGACGATGACGCGACACCGAGGGCATAGAGAAACATAGCTATAGTCTGTTTGAGACGAGAAGCTTTCGCTATTGCTCAGCTAACAGCTGAAGCGTAAGGCTGCAGAATATCAGTGAGGCGCAACCCTACATCTGCATTGGGGGCTGATGTTATCTAAGCCACAATTCTGCCCACGCACGCTCCAAGATCTGTTCACCACTAATACATGATACCAAATTAGCATAGCAGACGTGAACGCTATCAGCCTGTTACATCATGGTACGATTTTGGATAATGAATTTCTAAGTCAACTAGTGGTACCGACAGCTCTCGCAAGGACCAGGGCAGGACGTACCGAGTAGGCGACGGCAACTGGGAAAAGATGCTGTATCGCCACATATCCCGTCAGGATGTCGGGCTGGATGAAAGTCTCGGGGGGTCCTGCTGGAGCTAGGGCCAAGCAAGTCGTTTGTTAGTTACGACATGGATGGTATACACCTTATCTTGCCACGAGGCGCAAGAGTCCCAGGCAATAGAACGAGTTCATGGCAACCCGATGCCTTATAAAATCAACTCGTTCGCCTAGCCGCCAATGACTTGCCACGTTATATGAGAAGGCGTTACGCAACGGTGATCAAGACTTGCCTGACCTGTCTAGATCCTGTTAATACCGATTTCGACGACGAGCAGCAGTTTCTGGACAAGGATGGCGTGTTGGGCAGGGCGCGATACATCGAAAAGGTCAGTTTATCCAGGTTACAGTCTATGTTGGTATACATTCCTAATGAGGGTTCTGTCTCAGCTTGACGCCATTTGTGTTCAGTATGAAACATATGTCGAGAAAGGGCAACAAGGCATAAGAGTAAGCAGAATAAGACATGACGAAGAGATGTAGTAATTGTCGTGAGCCTCGAAGTCTCAGAGGATGCCACTACTGGAGAATGGTCTAGTTATTTCGCGATTATAACCCCCATAAGTCGAAACCGCTTGCAATACACGTCCGGATCTTCGTTGGATGTGCTCTCGTGATCGTGAGGACCAGTAACATGGCATAAGCCCCAAACATCAATAGTTCGGTCATGAATGCACACAAGCGAGCTGTTCACCATCAATTGGCAACGTGGCTGAGTGGTTAAAGCGTATGACTAGAAATCATATCCCTTCGGGGTCACAGGTTCGAGTCCTGTCGTTGTCGGTCAACCAAGTTTCGGACAGTTGGATCGAATGGTCTTGCGTTGTTAGGTCTGGTGGTCTAGTGGTATGATTCTCGCTTAGGGTTAACCCTATAGCTTTGTTTGCGAGAGGTCCCGGGTTCAATCCCCGGCCAGACCCTTTTTGCACTTAACAGCTAAGTTTCTCTTTAAACCTTTTCTTTTCTGCTATTCTTTTTTACACAGCAAATGGCAGAGTGTAATCACCACCCGGTCTAGGGTCTATTAAGGCTTCTTCTTTCTAGAATAAGTCTTGTCATTATATACATCTTGACTGGGTTGTTTTAGGACAAGATGAGAGGGACTAAGTGAGACATGAGCCGCCACCATAATTGAAAATGACAGCCTAAAACAATGAGGACATTTGACTAGGTAGTAACATCGAAAACGATGGGCATTTCGGGTAGCGTATACTAGAAGAAACATACCTCATATCACAATAATGCGATTAGCATCCGACCTCTCATGAGTCTGATGGAAAAAGGATCATACAGTATGTGGAGACTTTCGGGCTTAAGACGAATACGCCCTTCCATGACAAGTCCGGTGAAGGCCGATCTTATAATGGCAGCGCGTTCCAGAGATTCTGATTACTCAAACTTGCCGAACATCTCTAAAGGGCCACGGAAGGAAGAGAGTGAAAAGAAAGAGGTTACCCGCCAAGTGTTGCACCACATCCTAAGCACAATACAAGTTCCGGCAATGGCGACGTCGCAAACCCACTGGGTCATTGTCGCGTTGGAGACGTTCTTCTGCCCACTGCCAGATTTCACACTCCCAGCCCCTCATACCTGCGAGTTCCGGAATTATGAGCGGACAAGACCAGATCAGATCGCGGAGAGAATTAAGGATGCCGATATTGTAATCATGACAATCCTTCCACTGACAGCGGAGGTCCTCAGTGCCGAGGTAACCCCGCGTCTGAAGAGTGTGTATCCCCACCACTGTAAAGAAAGGCTTTTGAATGAGACCATCGTCGTAAAATACAGCTACTAACTCACAATCGCGTGCAGTGGTATCTGTAATTGCCTCGGGCACAGATACCGTGGATCTGGCAGCGTGTAGAGCACGTGGCATAGTTGTGGGCAACACGCCACACTGCAATGTCACGACGGTCACGGAGCACGTGCTCGCGCTGTACTTCGCGACGCGCCGGTCCATCATGCTGACGCACAATTTAACACGCGCCGGGGACTGGGCTACCAAGGGCTCGCAACAAAGCACAATGAATGGACCCGACGGGAAGGCGCCGCGGACGTGCCGCGACGAGGTCGTGGGGATCATCGGCTACGGCGCCATCGGGAGGAACATCGATGTGGCGGCTAAGACATTGGGCATGAAAACCCTTATAGCCGGGCGTAAAGGGGCCCTAGCGACAGAAGGCCGCGTTCCATTCGAGACGGTGATCCGCGAGGCCTCGGTTTTGGTAGTGGTTTTGCCGCGGTCGCCAGAGACGCTCAATCTCATCTCGACGACAGAGTTCGATTCGATGAAACCTTACGGCTTGTTGATCAATGTCTCGCGGGGCGGCATTGTGGACGAGAATGCTCTTGTAGCCGCGCTGAGGGAAGGCAAGATCGCGGGTGCCGGCACCGATGTTTACTCCAGGGAGCCGGCAGAACCGGGAAGTAACGTTTTGCTCGCTGCCGACACGGCGGAGCTCAATTTAGTCATGACACCTCATGTGGCGTGGTACTCGGAGGAAACTTTTGATAATTACAGCCGGACGTGTAGGGCGAATATTGCCGGGTTTGTGACGGCTGGACAGCCTGAGCACCGGGTCTGCTAAGGCATCATACAATACGATGCGATTATGATGAGGATTATGGGATCTGTTAGTTATGTATTATCTTGACCTTGGTCAACACTTTGGGAATAGACTAGATGCGATTGGGATGCTAAAGGCTGGTAGTGAGCGACCTCAGCCCTGAAGTCAAATACCTACCTAATACTTTGACAGTGTCGGATAGTAATCTCTATTTTTATGGTTTGTTTGTATGGTACGTAGCTTGAGGTATCATCCTACTCTGTCCTACCTAGAATCATGGTGATTGATTGACTGGAAACAGCGCATACTACGTACACAATCGTAGTCATAAAATGCCGAGATGCTTCGCCTGCAGTGTGGCTTGTTGAACGATCTATTACCTACTTACCTAGGTATTTGCCTGCCAGCACAGCACTTGTTTTCAATCATCAACCTACCTACTCTACACCGCCACAGCATTGCCCGATGGGGTTGCATTTGAGAGGTCTGTGAGAGGAGAGAAGCCTTGAGAGGCTAATCGGTTGGAGATTCTGCCCCGACAGCACTACCCTACCTCGCCTACCTACACACTGCCTACACTACGCTCTGGCTACGCCATACCTACCTCGCCTACATACATCCATGGATGCATTGTATGTGTGGACGAGAAGCTTTGATTTCTCAGACCAGACCGTTCTTACTGCTCGGGCATTAAAACCAAATCTGGGATCGTGTCGTCATTTCAAAGATACCCCTGTACTGGTGGGAACCAATTAAATCGCGATATTCCATAGGCTAAGTCCTAAATCGGCAATGAGTGACCTGAGGGATCAGAGCTGGATGAATGGATTCGATATTCTTGCCACAGTCTGGGGTCGATTTCGATTGTCTGAGGTCTTCTGTAACGTTGTAAACGTGACGGCTCCCCTCTCTGTCCCCTGTCTACTGCCCTGTTGAATTCCAAGGGCAAACCAAGGGGGCATGGTGCGATGATGTAGTTGGGCCAGGGTCTAGTTCATGCCCCTCCAATCGCGAGTTTGTGGAGGGCTAGTTTTGACAACGGTACCCAGTCGAGCAGTGTTCCGCTCAGTGAACAGCAGATGTACAGCTCGATGCTTGAACAAGACGAATAACATCCCTAGTCGGCAAGCAGTTGAGCCGTAATAATAGTTTCTCGACGAGAAATAGCCGACTGTTGATCGTTGCTGGCCCTGGCTACATATGATGTGCATCCCTTGTGAGGAATACAATTATTAAAGTGTCGTACTGTGACCTCATATCTCCCACACCACCCTTTTCCAATCCTTTGCATCACGCGTTGTAGCGTGAAGCCCAGCAAAAACTTGAATAAAGCAATGATCACAGCCACTCGGCTGCCTACATACCCACGCACCTTCTCGTTATGACATCCAACCGAGCTCGACATAGCACTTCAGATCTAGGCGAACATCGTCGGAGATTTGAACGACCCCGTTTCAATTCTCAGATTACTTCCGACAGGTTAGCAGAGGCGACGAGATTTATGGCGTATCCCAGACCCAGTAAGATTAGGAAAGGGAGGAAGTCTGTGTTCCGCGAGATCGGACTAGACGATGACGACGGGATAGCCCGAGTCCTTTCGAACAGCAGTCGACCGAGCTTCGGGGAGGAGAAAGAACCAGATTTGGATCAAACTACGAGGCGGGCGTCGGAGCCAGGGCCTGAATCAGGGCCTGACCGCAAGGATTCCGTTGGAGGGGAGTCAACGCGGGAGAAGTCTCGATGGCTATCCAGATTATTACCCGAGAAAAGACCAAAGATCAGATCAGCTGCAACGGCACCCCCCGCTTCTATATCCGGGATCCAGAGAATTACCTTGATCGCATTACTAATTGCAGTCGTCCTTCCTGCCATTGGCTATAAAAATGGTTGTCATACGGTCGAAGTGAACGGTGCTGACGCGGCTGTGATACGGGAACCGATTGTTAAATCTGCGCTAGAAGAGCGTGCAGATAGCCCAACGAATGTATGCAAGAGGTGGGCTGGACAAAGTAAGTAGTGTCGGACAGCATGTGTTCGTGTCGAGTAGATGCTGATTATCATAGGCGCCATCTTGAATGGTACGTTGTACTATTATGGTGGTCGAGTGACAACGGATCCCGACCAGACTGACAATGAATGGAGTATGCATTTGATTACACCCGGGGTCTAGTCCTACCGCTAACAAGAATAGCCAATGACTTCATTACGATTGACCTAACAAAATCTTGGGACATTGGCTCTCCCTCCATCAACGGGATGGCTCAACCCTCCGGCCCGCCAGCCGTGTCCCTCGGATATCTGTGGAACGACTATGACCATCTATTCTTGTATGGCGGACAGTTCGATTTCCCGTCAGCCGAGCCACTCCCCATATCGACATGGATGTACGACATAAAATCGTCTACCTGGACAGAGTTCAAAAACCCAGAAACGTCAGCCGGCCAATTCTCTGACGCAGGGGGCGCACCCGTTCAGCGCGCTGCCGAAGGAGCTGGCGTGTCAGTCCCCGAACTGGGATTGAGCTGGTATTTCGGCGGCCACCTTGATTGGGCCACAACGCCTGGATGGTCTAACCAGATAGCCCGTGTGTATCTGAAAAGTCTGCTCGAGTTCACGCACCCCGGCTACGGAAATGTGCAAGTCAACTCGCTCAGAAGCGCTGGTGCACCAGAAGGCGGTGCGTACCGCAATATCACGTGGGCTGGAGAGCAGAACCAAGACGGATTCGCAGAACGTGCGGACGGTGTCCTCGTGTACGTTCCTGGTTGGGGTCCAGGGGGAATCTTACTTGGTCTCGGTGGTGGTGTTGTCGGCGATAATGACACCACGGATGCCTTCTCGTCTATGAGTACCATTGACGTTTACGATATTGCGAGCAGTCAATGGTACCATCAGGAGACATCAGGCGCTGAAATCCCCGAGGTGCGGGTGAACCCTTGTGCCGTTGTTTTCTCAGCGCCTGATGCGAGTTCGTTCAACATTTACATGTACGGAGGACAGAACTTGTTACCGGTGGGAGAACAGGTTAGTAGGCTTGAAGCCCTTCCCTCTCTTTTCAGTTTCAATGCGTCTATAGTGAACTATCATGTATGCTGTTCTAGTGCTTCATAAGTCTTGTGCTATAAATCTCTTTTAAAATGAACGGCAATTACTGACTTTTTGCTCCTATAGAAGCAGTATACCGATGTATGGATCTTGACGGTCCCTTCATTTACTTGGATCAAGGTCGATTCACCAGACAATGAACCACCTGCTCGTGCAGGACATGCATGCGCAGCCCGGGACGGACAGATTGTTGTTGTTGGCGGTGTAAGTATATACCCGAGCTGAATCCTGAATCACTTAGATGACGGTCGAACAACCATTACTAACCCTAAGTACTACAGTACATTGGGGATGACCAGAAGTGTGAACAGCCTGGCATATACGCCTTCGATGCCTCGAAACTCTCTTGGCAATCCTCTTTCAACGCCGCCGATCATCCAAATGATGAGAATGCAGACAACACCGTGCTTGCAGGCAGTTATGGATACCAGGTTCCAGAGCCCGTGCAGTCCGTAATTGGCGGGTCATCGGACGGCGGTGCAACAGCTACGCAGCCTGCTTCTGGCCCCGCGACAGACGGTCCATTCAAGACGGGCGTGCCTCCCGTTTTCACTGTGACAGGATCGGGATCCACAGCAACCGTGACGAACCCTAGCGATCCGGACTCACCAGGCAGAAGTAACGCCCCTCGCAGCGGAACAATAGCAGCGGGCGTTATTGCAGGTCTAGCAGGTCTTCTAGCGTTCTACCTGGGCTTCTGCGCCTGGTTGTATCGCCGCCAAGTCCGCGCTTACAAGAAACACATGGCCATCGCCAATAGGTATGGCGAAGACGACTTCGAGTATGGCGGCATAGCAGGCGCTACAGCAGCCGGAAGCGAGAAGCTGCGTAAGAAAGAGAACAATAACGCCCGTCCATCAGGCAGTGGAGGCGGCACCGGCGATGAAGAGAGGGAACACTTCTCGTGGGTCGGACAGTTGCACGAGCCGAAATTCACGAGTAGTGACGAGCCCAGCCCTGGATCTGGATCTGGGCGCGGGAGTCTTGCGCAGTCTCATTCTAACGAGGATAGAAATCCGTGGGGGTTCGGCTACGACAATTACCCCAGCACCGCTAGGGCAAGTGCGGTAGAAGGGGGCGTTAATAGGTCGAAGAGCACTGCGACTTGGAGTACGAGAAGCGGTAACTCGGCAGAGGCACTTCTTGACGGGAGGGAACCTAATTTCTTTAGTGTTGTGCTTGGGCCAAGGCGGGCATTGCGGGTTGTGAATGGAATGGAGGACCCCTGATCCAACGACAGTGACTTCATATTGTACATGTATCAAAACTTATCTCATCTGTAACGATATCACGAAGTATAGCAATTCATGACTGTATACACTCTGTAGAGAGTATGGCGTTGGATGGAAGAAAGATCTGAAAAGTACAAATTACCAGACAATAGCTCGTAAAATAAAGTGAACAAATTTCCGGGCGCCAAGACCATTTACTTGGACGAAAGCACGCGGGTACCCAAATGCTTATATGCAGTACTCGTCGCAGATTAAATATACACTGGAATCGTTAGACCCTCCAAACCTATACGCCAACCCAATGGGGATATCTCAATAACTATGCTATGCCGAAACGCCGAGGAATGATTTCATCTCATAACTGTGCCAAGTCCCTTATGAATTGGGATGGGGGAGCCTAAAGAACCTCCCATCTGAGGATTTAAGAACCCAAGATTTAGTCTTTCATAGATGGCGTTCTTCAGACGCTCCACCCAAGGCGCTTCGCCAGCTTGACCTGTTTGCTTGAGTCGCTCAGCGGCGTCCAATACCAGACAAAGAATTCGTTGCTGATGGCCTGGTTTCATGCTGGATATATCTTCCACGATCTGTTGCCGGAGGCGAAGATACTCAACCGCAGCGGAATAAGTGGGTGTGGTTGGATGATGAAGATCTAGATGTGCAAGATCGAGGGGTAACTTCAGGGGCCTGCCAATATCGAGAAAATTCTCAAAACGAGCCACAGATGGTTTCGGGTGTTCTGCAGCATCGACCGTTGATGCCCATGACAGCTTGGCCCACGAATATCTAACAGCAGCGGTGGCAGCTGGGCTTGTCTCGCGCGGAAGAAGACTGTTAGCATGTTCTAGCGCCGCATAAGAGCCATCTAGGCTAATCGAGGACGGGGACTCTAATTCGGCATTTTCGTTGATTATGGCGTACATCAAAACAGACAAAGTTCGAGCACTAGCTTTGCCCGGGACTGTTTCAAGTTCTATTTCGGTAGCCCGGGAAGCTAGCTGTGCTAGCCAGCTCCATGTAACCTCTTGCAGGCCTTCGGCATACAGGAATGGTACTAGAAGCTTGAGCAAAGCGTAGTCACTCAAAAATCGAAGATCATTCTCTTGCCCCGAAGCACGGAGCCACCGTAATACAGACAGCCCTGCTCCTAGTGCACGCATCCTTTGGCGAATATTATCGGGAGACTCGGCTAGTAGTTGTGACCGTATCGTTGCTAAGATTCCGGCGGCACGGCGCGTAGTCATAAGACCTTTCGACACGGCCGAATGGAAGACGTTCAAATGGGCATTGAGAGGAGCAGCAGTGGTCGTGGTTATCGTGTCAACCGTGGCATTGCGTGGCTGAGCGAAAAGAGGATTGGATAGAATGGCACGCAGATGTCGATCGGTTGGACGGTTGCTAGTCATAGATTGCGATTCAGCCATACCCGTTCCCGGGCCGGCGAAGCGTTTCGTGGGCGTCTCGTTTGTCTCCCATGGGTGTTCTTTGTCGAGGTTCTTGCGGAATGAAGTTGTAATTGATTCGAGGAGTCGCTGTGACTCGCGCTTATTCAGCGGTAGGGGTTGATGAATTTGTGGTAGGAACCCCTTCCTCAATGAGTTGAGGGAAGGTGTTCGGACAACCATCGTTAACACCTGTGCCTGTGATAGAGAGGTTGAGTTCGAGGCTGAGGACTCGGACCAACTATCCATCCATCCATGCACTTGTGCATCATTCGATCATGACCAAGCTGGGATGGGTAGCAAGCGGAGATGTAAGTCACGTGACTCGATACCCCAGCACACACTCTAAGTGGAGTTCCATGACATAGGTACGCAGAACGAATGTATCTAATATCTATCTCCAAAGCTTGGGTATGTGCGCTGGCGCAAACAACGATGCCATTTAAATGAAAGCGAGTGTTTTATTTGATTTTCTAGGGATTATAAAAAGGACTTGAATTATTAAGAAATCTGTTGAAACGGGAGACAAGCTGTGGCTCCAAGCAATGGTTCTTGTAGTGATTTTACAATGTTATTATTGCTATCTATGTAGGTAATGTTTTCATTGTCTGGTTTGCACTGAAGGAATTTATATCCTCTCTACATACCTAGCTACCTACCTGAGTAATTCTCTTACCAGCGTGTCAGCTACTGTAGAGACTACCTACTAAGTACACAGTCATGCACCTAGCTGGTTCATGTTTCATGGGTAGCTTTCAAGTACCTACAGAACAGACTCGAGCCATGCGCGCTTTGACTATTTTCGAGCGCAGGTAGATAGATAGCAGCAACTATACTTCTTATTCTGCCTCCTATGCACGATTGGCGGCATATTGCGATACAATTTTGTGATTGAAGATTGTATCTAGGTATCTCGTAACTATGGATCTTGGAGGCAGTGACATCATAACGATTCGCAACTGGCCATGTACTGTCGGGTATGTGCTGTAGAATAGTACCTACTCCTAGTTAGCACTATAGCATCTGCCTCGCAGCTCTGCACATGCTAAAATTTAGTTTTACAGACTTTCGCAAATCTTAATATCTCTACGCGTTAATTCAAGATTCCCCATAGCAACAAGTTTTTCCCTTGAAGTAGAACGCCTGCATTGGTCTAGTATTACATGCCTAATATTAGGTAAGATGCCGATGCAAAATGGGGCCGGGCAATTCTGAAATCTACCTACCTAAGTATAGGTAATCCATTCACAACTTAAGTAGAAATGGGAAATGGGAAATGAGCAAAAGAAAGAAAAAAGAATGAATCACAGAGGATAGCAAATAGTAGTGAATGCCTGGTCATGTATAAGATTGAAAACTACTATTTTGAGATTGTTTTCATTGAATGCTACCTACAGTAGTACCTATGTACTCAATGTACGGTACCATCCCTTGTCCCAGCTCCAAGGTTGCTTCATCTAGGTACCAAGGTAGGTACTTAGGTACTTGGCACGAAGGGACCCTAACCCGCTCACCTGTCGCAGACTGTTAGCCGGTTAGTGCCAGCCCTTGCCAGCCCCAGATTCTATATTTGTATGTATCTTCCCAGATGCCTGCTTTTAGCGTCCAGCTGCTTTCTTGCCTGCCCCCGAGTGCAACTCCTCTCTCCACCCCCAATTCCCATTGTAAGTACCTAACATACATATGTATGTATGTACCTACTGTATGCTGTATCTAGGTAGTAGCAAGTGAAAGTACATATAGATATGTACCTACTTCGTAGTACCTAGGTAGGTAGTAAATAAAGCCCTCCCTGCCTGGCCTGAGAGTCCCACACAGCCTCAAGCAGCCAGAAGAAACCGCCCCATTCCTCATTGGTACCGCTTGCAGCAAAAGCCTTGACGGGCGCTGCGAAAGGGCCCCCAGCAGAACCCAGCTCTCTCTCCAGATTCTTACTGGTTTGGTGTGTGTGTGCGTGCGTGCGTGTGTGTGTGTAGGTACCGTACGTACCGTACGTACCTTTCCTTCCCTGCCTTCTACCAACACTGCACTATGATTGAACTCGCCACTGTCGTTCCTCCACCTTCACCACAATAGCACAAAACAAGAAGAACAGTTGTTATCGACGTTGCTCGCTGCGTCGCGTCGCCGAGGACTCTGTATCCCATCGAAAGCGTGTGATTGCCGTTGTCACCAGACAATTGGTTGGTCCTACGGTCATAACCTCGTCACGCCACGTCCTCGGAAAAGTCAGTACACATCCAAGCCTGCTGACCTCAAGAAGAGCCTTGCTTTCTTTGCCTTGACTGTTTATGTTTTGCTTCCCTTGGCTCGACTCCTCTCCTCTCCTCCTAATCGCTTCTCAGATCGCTTCCCAGATCGCTTCTCAGATCGCCACTCCCTGGCCTCCTTACTAACAACTGCATCGCGACTTCTAGCCCATTTCTACCATCTCTAACCCTCTTCCTGCCCTCGAGTCAGGCGCCGCTATCGTGTGCATCCCACCCTGATCCACGCGTGTATTGATACCTCCGATTTGATCACCACGATTCATCGTCTCCCTTCTTTACGAAGGGCCTCACCTATACATATTGTCACAACTTCACCATAGAAATGGCTGAAGTACAACCCAGATCTCAAAACTCAACTACCCGGGGTAGAGGCGGTGGTCGAGGTGGCCGGGGAGGCTTTGGCGGCCGGAACACAACTGGACGACGGGCCAATGGTGATAAGACCACCACGGAACACGCTACCTTTGACGACGATAGTGATGTTGCCCAGCTAAGAGAATTACACGGTGGGAAACTTGAGTTGATCAAGGAACTATTTGCAGACTGGTCTGATGCCGATATTCTCTACGCTCTAAAGGAAACTGATGGCGATGTCGAGCTTACAGCTGCCCGAATTGCTGATGGTGCGTCTCCCACTTTTCTTTTATTCCTATCTGCTCTACACTATGCTAGCCTTTATGTCTTCTGTAACCCATTTTTAAATTCCAATACATGCTAACATGAATCCCAATGGCAGGGACAATCTCTCAATGGGGCGAGGTTTCGAAGCCAAAGAAGCCCGCCACACGACCCAAGACCAAATCTGACGCTCCCTCGACTGGTCCCGCTGAATCACCTAATAACAGCAGACCTGCCCGTGGTGGCCGCACGGATGGTGGCCGAGGTGGACGCGCTCGTGGCAATGAGAGAGCCCGTGGTGGCCGTGGTCGCGGCACTGCTCACGCAACTACGAATGGTCACCGTGCCAAGGATACTCAATTGTCGGTTCCGACTGAGGAAGCTTCTGCATGGGCTAATGCTGTCACTGTCGACGACACACAATCGACCGAATGGACCACTCCGGCCCCTGCTGCTACCGATTCTACAAATGATAATGTCCCTGCCCCTGCTTCTACCTCTGAACCTGCTCCTAAACTTGCCACTACTCCAGCTGCTCCAAAAACTTGGGCAAGCATGCTCAGACAGTCGACTGCCCCTAAGCCTGCGCTGAAGCCGAAAGAAGTTTCTGTACCTAAGCCTATCGAAGTCGTCGAACCTCTACCCCCATCTGAACCCTCAATTCCAGAGCCTGAGCCAGAGCCAGAAGTTGAAGAGACACCGCCGCCCACTGAGCCGCCTGTCGAACAGCCAGTACCCATTGAGACAGTCAAGATCGTTGAACCTGAAGTTGCTTTACCACCATCTGAGGATGATCTCACCAAAGTGAATCTCGACTTGCTTCCCGACGAGTCGCATCCCCCAACAACTGCGACCGCAGCCAGCACCGCAGCTGACTCATGGGACGCTCGCCAAGCCGCGCAACCTAACGCCGCTGTAACACCACTCTCTGCATCACAAGCCCAACACCAAGCCAACCGAGCCGGCGCCAGTGGTTACGCGGCCACTGCACTGAAGGCAACGGAGCGCCCTACACCGCGCATGCCTAGCTACCAGCGTCGCCTTCTAGAACAAGAGGAGGCAGTCCGTATGCCTGGGAATCGCGAGGTTGACCGCGCTGCTGTACAATTTGGCGCTTTCAGTCTCAATGGAGCTGAAGATGATATTGATGGCGACCGTGAAGATCCTGAAACCCGAACCCAACCTCCTGCTGAGTCGCCAGTAGCGCCTCGAGCCTCTCTTCCTCCTATCGCGCAGCCCGCCTCAGTCCCCGATTCATTTGCCTCTACACAGAAACCCATAGCGTCTCAACCCCAGGTTCCCGGCGCAGCTGGTAATGTTCCCGTCCCTCTTCTAGGAAATCATAGAACTCACCGTGCATTAGTGACACCTGTAGCGCCACCTACTGGACCTGCTTCAACGGTTTCCCAAAGTATGTTTTCCAACCTGTGCAGTTTTTCACGTAGCACAAGCAGCTAATTGTAGAACAGCACCCCAAGCGCCATCAAGCAACCAGAACTACGGCCGATTCCCACCGGCCAGTAGTCATGAGGCCGCCGGTTTCCCCCAGAAACCCTACGATACCTTTGGCCAACAGCCAACAACTACATCGGCAAGCTTCGACAGCTTCCCAGCCGCCACAACTCAAGCACCAGGATCGCAAACCAGTGCTGCTTTCAGCTCTGGATCCACTGATTATTCTTCTTACTATCCTGCAGATCAACAAACCCGAAATGCTTATGGCGGGTTTTACGGTTACGGTCACCAGCAAGGTGGGCAGAACCATGGCGAACCTAACGCTTCTAGTCGCCCATTTGGTACCTATAATGCCTCTCAAAGCGATAATTTGAGCCAGTACCCCCAGAGCGGAGCTCAACAGTCCCGCTACCCTGGCGGTACAACCACCGATGCGCACAACAGCGGACATAATACTCCTAATCCCGTAGGCCAGAACCAGCAGCAGGCTTCCGGCCAGGGCGCCCAGCCTCAGTCTAACATGCATCAGCAGCAGCCCTACCCTTATCAGCATCCTTACTATACGAGCCCCTATTACGCTCAATACATGGGCCAACCGTACGGCGGGTACGGTCAAGGCGGATATGCTGGCGCCCCCTACGGCAAGGGTGGTATCTATGGTCAGGGTCACCATCAGTATGGCATGTCTCCTCAGGGTCCCTTCGACCATGGGTCCACAGCGAATACAGCGGGTTTTGGTCAGTCTTCTGTTGGTAGCCGCGACAGTGGATTGGCTTCTGGCATCAATGATTTCAGTCGCAGTGGTACGAGTCAGCAGTCAAGTGCTCCGGGTGCACTTGGTACTGGCGGGTTTGGGGGCGTCCACGACTCTTATGGGCGAGGCGCGGGCTTTTCATCACAAGGCGGCCAAGGTTACAACACTACCAATGCACCTACTACGACCCCTGGCAGTGGTAATGACGAGCTGAAGCCCTACGGAGAGTCTAAGGCCGGGGGGCCTAGTCCTTCCCTTGCCTCCGCAGCACGTCCGGGATCGACCAATGCCACCCCCGCTGCGTCTGGTCTGCCGCCTCCTCAGTCCACCCAGCAAGGTATGGGCGGGTACAGCAGCTATCCCGGACACCTAAGTCAGAATCTCCACGGTGGCCAAACGGGCGCCGGCAGTTATGGACTCGGTGGCTCCGGTAGCCAAGGGCACGGAAGCAACCCATACGGTGGCTATGGTAATCAGGGCTTTGGCAACTACTACGGCCGACAGGGTCATCAAAGTGGATGGGGCGGCAATTACCACTAGGTGTCGAAAATGTCGCCGAAACGCGCAGGAAATTTTTATTTCCGGAAACATAGGGGATATTGCAGAGATTTTGCGAGGGTGGCAGGTGCTCCGTTCTAATCATTTTTAGAGCAACACGTGTATGATGCTCCTTGGTCGGTGGGTTTATGCATGGGATGGGCAAAAGTTTTTACTGCTACTCCGGACGGCGAATCAAGTGTACTATTGTTTTCCTTAGGAAATGGTTTACTCGTCAAATCCGGATGGGCACTACCCATAATCAGGAAATAGGGGTAAAGAGCACAGCTATCTTCAACTTGGCTGCGCATGCAGTTTTATACTAGAATTGTAGATTACACCCCGTTTCCAGCTCAGCACTTTACCTAAGAACTAAATACAAAGAACCCGTGCTGTGATACCAGGCTACAGGACAGATTAGTGACCACTAGCCATAAATTAACTTTGGAAGATGATTTTCTTTTGTCACAATTTCATCTTGTTCTCTTTCTCTGCTTCACAAACCAACTTCCCGTCGGGTGATATCTCCACAACGCAGATGATGAATGTATCTTTCAGGGCTCCCAGCCTATATTTATGGTTCACACCCTGATAGTCGTTATCGGCCGCCATTGATGCAAAATGGGTAATGCTTGGATAATGCACAAATGCTATCTCGTCCCAACCCTCCTGCTGTTGCTTCCTAACGTCTCCTTCCTTAGGCTCGACAACCCCTGAACTCGTCACTTTGCCAACAATCTTTACACGCCCGCCATACCGCGCACCAACTCGCGAGCTGAACTCGTGTCCGTACTTGACGTATTGCGCGTGTTTGCCCTCGTTCAAGGAGAGCAGATTGAGCATGCTTACCGGGCGCGTTTTTATGTGCGCCGGCAACGCGGCGATGAAGGAGGCGAGCTCAGGCGTGAGCTCGAGGTTCTGCGAGGACTCGGCCTGCGCGGCTGCCGCAAGGTCCAATGACGCAGGTGGCACGGTTCCTGGCACCGGGTTCAGCAGCTCTGCGTTCAGCGAGGAGTAGCTTGAGAGAAGCTTTGACGATGTCCCTATGCTCGCTGTCCATTCCGCCGCAATTGCGGACGCGCGCAGAGATTCGCTTATGTGGGAACCCTCAGGTAATACGAGCAACATGTCCCAGCGGACGTTGCGGGCTAGCAAGTGACCGGTTGATATTACCTGGGGGAGAATCATCCAGCGGAGTACGAGCGCTTGGACTATGGGCTTGATCCCGGCTTTGTGCAGTGCCGAGAGGAACGTTGGCGGCGTGTGGCCTTCCTTGAGGGCAAAGAGGTGGAAGCTGCACAGAACCATCTTCTTCTCTGCTCTTTTCTTTTCTTCATGCCCTTTTTTATTTGTCTGTTCTGGTGAGCTGGATTGTTCTTAATGTTGTTTATTTGGAGGTGAGTGAGGTCATAAAGTTGGAGTGAGCCGAGGTTGTCCGAATAAGGAACTGAACTCCGCATTTCGTTGTGATAGCTACCGAGATATTCTATATCCCCGGTTTTTGGATTACTTATTACAAAATACACAAAGCTTCACAACACGATGGTTAAAGCTAAAACATCGTTTAAATAGAACCAAAGGGTTTCTGAAGAGCCCACTTCACAGCAGCCTATACACAGATGGTAAAGTAACTTTTTGCCTGTTCCATCTGCAACTTTCGCACAACGTATCAAAATCACAATTCTCGAAAACGGATTAAATCAGGATTAATAGGTTATTGATGACTCGAGTGGAAAGTATTATTAATCTAGCATTACTACAAAGGAGAACTTTAAGAAACCTTCCATCTTATCAGCTTCCGCAACATCAATCGAGCGACTTAGGCTCCAAATAGGTCTTTGTGGGCAGCCTTCAGGAGATCCGCACCCTTCTCGGCAACCATGTATACGGAGTTTTGGATACGGCAGTCAGGAATGATGGGGATAACTGACGCGTCGATGACTCGCAAGTTCTTCACTCCGTGGACCTTGAGTTGGGGGTCAACCACACCTTGACTGATGCTCTTGGAAAGACGTGCAGATCCGCAGGGGTGGAACGCCGTCTGAGACCGGTCAAGGACAGCGTGGCGCATAGCCGCATCGTCGTCGAGAGGCATGTCCCAGGGGTATTCGGCAACCACAATGTCCTTGAAGCCGTCTCCTTTGGTCAGCACGTCGTAGCTGAAGCGGATGCCCTCGCGCATGCCGATGATATCTAGCTCGTCTGCGAAGAAGTTGAGGTTGATGTTAGGCTGCATGAGAGGGTCTGCGCTGTTCAGGGTAACCTCGCCAGGGGGCGAGATAGGTCGCACGAGATCGACGACGACGCTCACGTAGCAGCCTTCCTTGGGAATGGGATAATGCCACTGGAACGCACTGCCGAACATAGAGACAAAATCAAGCTCGAAGTGAGGTTGGCCCTCAGGGCAGAAGGGGTCTTTGCCGCCGTTAGCAGCTTTGCGCTCGCGGTAGAGGGCGTCCTTCTCAAAGTAGTCATCGATGCGAGGGAAGCCCACAAGCTCGAGGAGGGCGGAGCCAACAGGGCCGCGACCTGTCGTCTTGTATGTCTCTATGGCTTGTGTGTTCTCGGGCCCCTTGCGGAGCAGGTAGTTGTCCATGCAAAAGCCGTCCTTCACCCGTAGTACGAATGGAACGCCGGGGTGGTCGATCAGGTTCTGACCGACGTGGGGAGAATCAACGATTGTCTTGATGCCATGCTGGGAAAGGTGGTCCTTAGGTCCGATGCCAGAAAGCATGAGAAGCTTTGGCGATTCAAAGACGCCTTGGGACACAATGACTTCGCGTGTCGCGTAGAAGCTAAGTTCGTTACCTGATTTGTCGATTACAGTGACGCCCTTGGCAGTCATGTCAGTCTCATCAATGATAAGCTTCTTCGAATGGACCTCGGCAAGGATCGTGATATTGGGCTTATTCTTGACGAAGAGGAATGACCCTGATCTCTTTCCGTGGTAGATGGAGTCCACACAGTGGGTCAGCCCGATCATCTCGCCGTCGTAAATATTCTCAGTAAGCGTGTGGCCACGAGACAACCACGCTTGCGTGAGACGCTCTCGGAAAGGGGCAAGCTCATCCAGCAGTTCGGCGTGAGAGATTGGCAGTGGGCCAGAGACGCCCAGCTTTTGTAAGTCTTTAGAATACAACCCCTCGTCATCGTGGTAAGTAGTGGACTTGCGAAGGTAAGGAACCAGAGGATCCCAGGTCCACTCCTCACCGCCAAACTCAGCCCAGTTGTCGAAAGTCGGCTTACAGCCAGGTATCCAGGTGAAGTAGTTCAGCGAGGAGCTACCCCCCAAAACCTTGCCACGGGTGTTGGGCTTTTCGATACGCTCGTAGTCGTCTCGTTTCACAATGGTTGTCTTGTAGGCCCAGTCGTACTGGCTACCTCTCAGCGTCATAGCCGCCGATGGTGTTGTGATTTGGTCGATCAACTCAGGATGCGCGACTCCAGCTTCAAGCACAAGAATGCTCACGTTGGGGTTCTCTGCGAGTCTACCAGCGATCACATTCCCGGCTGTGCCTCCACCGACAACGACGAAGTCGTAACGTGAGCCATTGATGGGTGCCATTGGAGATGAAAGTATGATGGTTTAGAAGTGGAAGTTGAAGATCTGTTGGGGGAATAGTTAATGTTGGTGTTGGTGGATTAGTGTGTCTGAAGTTATCTCAAGATCCTCTGAAGATGTCTGGTGTGTTTAGACTGAGTGGGATACGGGAGAAAGTAGGAAGTTTATATGTTTGTGCAAGCCACTCTCCATTTGCTTCGTGGTGTATCATGGTCCAGCTTCGAGCCTTCGTAACTTTCCTCGAGTCCTGTGATGAGCTCTTCCATCCACACTCCGAGATGCCTTGCGCCGAAGGAGCGAATAGCTCGGCTTCATCCTGCATGGGACCAGTTGGTCCCGCACCCTTGACGACCATACAATTCTGCTCTTTGACTTTAGGCTCCATCGTAGATGGATTATGCCTCACGATGCTATGCGGTTGTGTATACGGTAGCTTGATGCGTCGTCGTCGTCGTTGGTCTTGGCCTTTTCGTTCTCGGTGTTCGGAGAGCACGGTGATGGCGGCTGTCTTCGGATTTTGAGTGGCTTGGTGGTACTTCCCAAACCGGAATGTCATGTCGCTTACTCACAGGTCGCATATTAATGCAACTATTGTCCAAGGGTTGAAACTTGCGCTTGGCCGAATCAGCCACCGCGTTTGCTGATGCTAGATCTTGTAGTGTACCGTTTAACGCTCCAGCTCTCTTTCCCTCGTGTATCTAGAGATATCCCTGATGCATCTGGGTGCACAAAGCACTCGGTCTATCAGCACATTGCTCCCATGTTTGACCCATGACAGGGGTATACCAGATCCAGGTAACATTTCGCAGGGGGTCTACGGGGATGCCGAGGGTTGTGCAAAACTTGTATCTACTTTAACTACATATTATGATTGTAACAAATGGTATTAACTAGCTAACCCATCAATTGCTATATGACCCCCTATTCTCTTGCTTGATTATGGCCACACCTCAGTGCAGAAATGGCTTCGCCAACGCAGACTTAGAAAACGTCACAATGGTATTCATAGTACTTGTACAGATGGCTGAATATATATATTGATTAAAGGAAGTCAGCAATCTATCTAAACTAATATTTGATGCACCTGCATAACGCTTGGTAAAGCTTGACCAGAGGAGGAAGACCATAGAACCAATGAGCAACTCTGGTCAAAGCCATCTCAAAGCGTGACTCGCTCTCAATGCAATAAAGCCGAGCCAATCCACGCGCCGCTTGTGCATCCAAAATGTACGTCATTTCACAGGCTAGGACAGACCTAGGGGCTCTGTTCTACGCAAGAGTGACTCCAACCCGACATACATGGCCGAATAGACGATCTAGAGTCGCATTCCGACGCTGACAGTGCATGTCACAGCTCCGGCTACTAAGTATGTCGGTGCCTATATCGCACCGCATCAGTGGTCTGACATAGTGGCTAGTACGAATAGTCGGAGCCCAAGACCTGGCGATATGCTCCTTAAGACGTTGATGGCAGTAGCGAGACGACCTCTCGCAGAGTCTCCAAGCCAGTGGGCGGTAGCCAAACCTAGAAAACAACGTGGGTACACTGCCAATAGCTTTCTCAAGTCCTATCAGAATACAACGACCATGAGCCGATCTCAGCCCGTCGACACAGGTCTTACCAAATCAGCAACCTTCCTAGTTTTTTCGGTGTTACCAACCGACAACTCAATCCAAGCTGTACGAGGAGTACTGTCAAGCGTCCCCGACACCGTCAAGAACATATCCATTCGCGATGTCGACGCTAGCCTCACATGCGTTGTTGGGATCGGCAGTCGAGTCTGGGATTCCGTAACGGGTCTCCCCCGTCCCGCCGAACTCCATCCCTTCCCGGAGGTTCGCGGCGCTAAGCAGACGGCTGTGTCGACGCCGGGAGACCTCCTATTTCACATCCGAGCTGAGAGACGTGATATGTGCTTCGAGATGGAAAGACAACTGATTGATAAACTGGGAGATGCCGTCCGACTGGAGGATCACACAGTGGGTTTCCGCTACTTCGACGCCCGGGATCTCTTGGGCTTCGTGGACGGTACGGCAAATCCAGTCGGTGGGGACGTCGTAGATGCCGTCATGGTCTCGGAGTCGGACGGTGGCAGCAACGCAACCTCCGTCGGTGGTAGTTACGTCGTCGTTCAGAAATACTTGCATGACCTCAAAGCCTGGAAAACGCTGTCCACGGAGCAACAGGAGGCCATCATCGGCCGGACCAAGATTGACAATATCGAGATCGACGACGCTGAAGACGGCCAGCAACAGGCGCACAAAACTCTCGCTACCATCGAGGACGCAGCCGGCGGGGAGCATGCTGTCTTGCGAGATAATATGCCCTTCGGGTCGCCTAGCGCCGGCGAGTACGGAACGTACTTTATCGCTTACTCGCGACGCCTGTGGGTGGTGGAGAAGATGATGGAACGTATGTTCCTCGGTCATCCGCCGGGCCTGCACGATCGTATATTGGATTTTTCGACGGCGATCACCGGTAGCACTTTCTTTGCGCCGTCACTCAAAAGTCTCGAGGCAATTGGTGATGAGAAGTGAGGACTTCTAGATTTTCGCATTATAATCTCTCTATTATTCTCACGTTACAACACATATACATCCATTCAACCCCTTAATGGCCTTCTATACATGCTAGTAGACTATCTAGAGTGCAATCGTAATCCATAGTAGTTCTCCCGTCTGTCAGAGCTTGGTAGAGTATCTGCAACATGCATTTCTCTACCCCCCGGCGCGATTCGGCGCTCATCGAACTAAGAGTATCCGTCAGATCTAGTGCATAACGTAACCTGCTGGTAGGAGTTTGTGCTGCGATGGTGCCATGGAACAGGCATTCGTATAAATTCTGGATGGACCCCTGCCACTCGCCATAGTTCCGTGCGAGACATTGGTTGAAAGAAGTGATTGAATAACTATGGTAGAAGTCCAGAGGAACTGGATTCCCGGCGTCAGAATGCGAAACACACCCTTGAAGCATAACACATATGTAGAATAAGCAAGCTAATCGAGTGCGCTCCCGCTCATTGATATCATCCTCTGCTAGGAGATCTTCGTCGTGAAGATACAAGTCCGATTTGACTACAAGTAAGGCATCACGTATGGACGTGTAATGAGCTAATCCATGATTATATATCTCAGGGGAGTTTCCCATGAAGGTGCGCATGTCCTGAATGAACGAAAGCAACCAGAGGCAGCGCGTTTTATGCAGGTTTCCCAAATGTCCCAGGACGGGATGAGCACTCATAGGTTGCTGTGAAATTTCTCTTAGTTGATTAGAGCTGTCAAACCATGAAGGCCGAGCCATCAACATTACGCTTCTCAGAACCCTATCAGTAACATAATCGACAAGAGAGATGCACAAGGAGGGGTGAAACTTACAGAAATGTAGTTATTTCAAGTCTCCAATTGCTCTGTAGTGTTGTGATGCCTCCTCGTGCCTCAATGATCTCCAATAGCCCATTACGGTGGATTCGCCATTCAACCTCTGAGCCCCAGTATCTCTAGATGCATCGAATTCCGAATCAGTATTTTTTGCCATCTTCATGGGCCGTATTAAGAATTTTTATCATGATCTTTCTTACTTCAAATGACAAGAGCCTGAGGATAGCTGCAATTGTATCGTCACTCAGCGCAAGGCCGGGATCCCTAGCCCAGCATTGCACGATGCCTACAGCTTCGATTTTGAATTGCACCGCTTCATTGGAAACAGGGAAACCCTGCATACGAGCGAGGTGCGCCGCGGAGTGAGCCATGATAGCATTGAATGATGCAGCATTGGACAGATCCAAGGGAAGCCAGACATCACGCATGGGGTTGAAATCTGACGTATGCATGTTGAACATCATGCCTGCAAATGTGCTGAGCCCTAGAATTGATGAGGTTAAAAATTGCTGCTTCGCCTTTTCACTTACTGACCCCTGACTCTAGGGGCACTTTGGTAACGTACAGTGATGCAGAAGTCTATGATGTCTCGTTGTAAGCTGAACAGGGAAACGATCGAACGGATCCCAACGGCTGGATCCAAGGGCGATATTCATTCTCGATAAAGCTTGTGCCGGTATTCCCTCAAGCGTGCTCGTGAGATGCCCCGAACTCCCGCTAGTTGAGTTTTCTCTGTCTGCCCCAAAGTGCTCGTGTAACGGGGGGTGTGAGTCCGATGTTGGCGGCATTGGTGACATCCTAGAGGACTCCGAGGAATTTCGAGGGCCTGGGAGAATTTGCCTCGGGGGTCTCTGCTCCTGCGCTTCTCGTTCCCTTCGCTGCATTTCAATTCTCTGTCGACGTTGTCTCCAATGCGCTCGTATGGCATGGCTGCGTCCCTCACCGCTGTTGTTCTCGGTGACGAATGTGTACGAGACTGGAGTATCACCCGCTTCTGAGGAAGACATACTGATTTCCCAGATATGGCAATGAGAAGAGTATAAGGAAACCACGCTGGTTGTGTTCTCTCCATGTTGATTGTGTTGTCATCCTCTTACATAAACATATACTGACTGAGTCGCCTGAAGCAATCGCTGGAAGCTGAGACTGAACGTAATTATTTACCGTCGGCGTTCCATGCCTCGATATTCGCGACATACCGAGATACGGTTCATGAAAACTCAGACAACAGGAAGATCTTCGATCTATAATTTGTCACCCGATAGCATTATCGTGAACGAGTAAATGGTTCAAAACTACACGATTGTATGGCACTGGCGAATACTTGCTTCGGACACGGTCGGGAAAGATGCCGAGAGAAGACCAGGGTTCAATCGCATTCGTCATTGGGGAATCGTCTCGCTAGCCAGGCAGCAATAGCCAATCAATCCCTGGTAGCTTACAACACATTCATTGGCTTTGACTCTTGGCTGCTACTCTCATCTTTCAATTGATGGTGATGCAAAGGCCAAAAGCCAGGATTAGGAACATCAGCTTGGCTTCCACAGAAAAGCTTGTCGCGCCAAGACCTTCTATAATAATTCTAAACATTCCAAGCAAATCTAATCATTACTATTCCGTCATCCTAGTCTAATATTACATCCGATACTCGAATTCCCACCTACCTAGAATACATTGATAAAAATAGAAAATTTGTCGATCAAGCGCTCGTTCGCGGCGGCCACTTCACGCGACGTTCCGCTCTCACGTACAAATTGGTCGGCCGTATCAATTGAAACATCGGGTCATAGTCAATGGGACCATCCTTCGCCAAACTAAAGTTGTATCGGTAGACCAGCTTCGGCAAAAACGTCTTCACTTCCATCAGCGCGAAATTAAATCCGATGCAAGACCGCGGCCCCGTTGCAAAGGGGATATAAGAACCGTTGGGCCGGTTCTTCACCTTGTCCGTGTCCCACCTGTCGGGGTCGAATCGCGCCGGATTGTCCCAGAGCGCTGTATTGTTGTGAATATGGTGGATTGCAGGGATCACGATGGCGTCTTTTGGTATTTTGTACCCTCCCGGCAATATCATGTCCACTTTAGCTGTTCGAGCTGGCTGATATGAGGGGTTATGTCGGCGTTGCGTCTCCTTGACGTACTTGTCGAGGAATGTGAGCTTTCCTATCAGGTCGGCGTCCATCTGGGTGTTATCGTCAATGCCATTGTCGATCAGCTCTTGTAACAGCCGCGCCTGCATTCCTGGGTACTGAACAAGGCCATAGATGAGCCATGACAGCAAGCTTGACGTAGTGGTGAAGCCGGCGCCGGTGGCAACGACAAGGGGATTGCGCATCATGTCCTTGGGTAACCTATTCCCCTTGTTGTCGACTGCTCGGCAGGCATAATCGATCATGTTTTCAGCCTTCAATGCAGCCTCCTGGAGATCGAGATCCTCTGAGCCCTTAGCCGCTTTGTTGATGGCATCTGTCATCAACTCCTCAATACGCGCTTGGACGTCTCTCAGCTTCTTCGGATCGCCAAATGGAAGCTTGGCATACCAGGTCCCCATCGACGAGATCTTCTTTGTAAGCTCCAACAGCTCCGCTATCAATCTGACCATCTCGTGTGGTGGTGCATCTACAGAGGTGAAATGCTTGAAGTCCATGCCGAGCACAATTTTCCCTACGGCTTGAGAACCGAGCTTGAGCATGTAAGGATAAACATTCCAGGCTTCTTCTCGCTCGTCGAGCTCATCGAAGACTTTGAAGCTGTCTTCTACCGTCTTCTGTATATTTGGTGCATAGTGACGTACAGCCTTAGGGCCCAGTGCAGGTGGGAGGAATTTATGCGTAATTCTCCATTCCTCGGTGTCCGTATCGCCTAGGAAGATACCTGCTTCGTTTATCTTGATGGGATGCAGTGGGTGGCTATCTATTATACTCTTGGTAAAAAAGTCACTCTCTGAGAAAGCAATATTGGATAGCTTGGGATCGTTGGTGGAATATGTGGTGCTTCCAAGATTTGTTGTCTTTATTAGAGGCCCATAGTTATCAAACAGGCGTTGGTGGTTGCCGAGATGGTCTGGGTAGATCTCCAAGTAGTTACCTATGTAGGGCAGCCCCTTAGGTCCTGGAACCTCGCGAACAGCCTTTCCATCAATGCTAATGGCCACTGGACCTTCTGAGGACAGTATGTCGGCCATAGTTGTGAGGAAGGCATCTTGGAAAACAAATCCAATTCCTTGCAAAAAAAAAAAAAAAAAAAATCAGCCTACTCTTTATCTAGTTGGGGCAGAGTGGGCAATGTGACATACCCTGAGCCTCAACAATGGCGAAGTTTGAAGCAACTAGCTGTTGAAGGCTTTCCTGGTCGATGTTTGTGGGAATCTCGATTTCCTGGGAGCTATCTGGGTTCTCACCCAGAAGATAGAAATCTTTTTTTGACATGGTAAAGTTATGGAATATGGAGTAATGTGTAGACAAACTTAATGCACTATATTTTGTTGGTTAGGCGTCTATGGCGAGAAAAGACTACGAATATATTCATTTTCTCTACGATATTCTCTATCAGTAGCCTAAGGGCAATGAACCAGGGCAATATCCTTTTCGCTATTTCGCTTCCATAATAGATAGCGATAGTTACACTAAACGACATGATGAGAAACTTCGATACCAAAACTGCCGAGGCAAGTTCTATTATTAAATGGGGCGACTTGTTTCAGGCCAAGTCCCGGGTTTTAACGCCTCCGAAATGTCTTGTTATTTCCTTATGTTCATTTATTTTATTTCTTTCAACCCTTCGCTAGTATTTTGGAGCGATTCCTCGGTATACCCCATCAATGCGTCATGCTGCATGCTGCATGAATATGCCTACAGGTCTTTATCAATGCACCCACTTAAAAACTAACGGTGACCCCGAAAGAATATTCATAGTGATAGAGCCGGGAGTTGGGGATTACTAACTCGGCTCTGCAATTTAGCTGACCCGCTTCGGTGTGGCATACCGGACTCGGGCCGCCTAAAGCAGTAGCGAGCCTCGGCTTCTCGACCAGATGGTGGGACGCATAGCAAAACTAAGAGGAGGACTAAAAGGAGACAGAAAAAAAAAATGTGTATCTCAACATAATATACCAAGTACCGCGGAATGGAAAACTTTTCTATTTGTAAGACAATATGGCCGGCCTCGCTGAAGACGCGAGCACGAGGTTGGGTTGCTTAAAAGGCAAGGCCATTTCGTGCGCCCGACTATTAGGTGTCTCACAAAGATAGATGATGCATATTAGATAATTATCTTCTTATAGTTCTAGAAACGAAATGGCTACCGAAGATGTTGAGTACACGGCTAAAGAGGTCGCCGCTCATAACACAACGACTGATGCTTGGATGATCATTCACGGCCAAGGTAAAAGAAAGATAGTCTTTCTTTTTCTGTTACCTCTTAACACATGTTTCCACTCATCTAATGCCGAACCTATCCCGCTTTTTACGCCTGTAGTGTTAACTTCTTGGTATAGTTTACGATGTTACGAGTTACATTAGCGATCATCCTGGTGGCGCCGATGTGCTTATTGATGCTGCCGGGAAAGATGCTTCGGTAGAGTTCGACAATGCTGGTCACTCAGATGATGCATCTGAGATAATGGCCGCGTACCGCGTTGGCAAGTTGCGAGGCGGTAACGCGAAAAAGACAACGTCTACCGTTCGATTGTCGGTTGGAGTCCGACCGCGGAAGCCTGACACAACTAAGAGTTCCTCGAACATAGTCCTGAGCTTCGGCGCAGCGACAGCAGCTGTTTTGAGCACGGCAGGGTTATACCATATGGTCAATCAACGAGTATCGTTTGCTAATTTACTCAACGGTCTGATCATCAGAAGAAATCAGAGACTCGGCTTCCTAGAGGGCTTCCTTATCGCATCGACAGCCTTCTGTATTGCTGGTACTTTACTATCTCGGCGCCTTCTTAACGTCATTCATTCGCACCCTACTTTCTTAAACCATCCTCCCCATATGAAATTGCCCAAACGCATTAAGGCGGATATCCTAAGTCAAACCGGGTGGCTTCATCCAACCACCTTTCAAAGTCTACCCTGTGAGTAATCCCTTGGGTAATAATCAAGTCAGGGTAGCCTCTGAGCTGGTGGAACACAAGCACCCTACTTCACAACAACAGCAGTGACTGATTCTATAAGCTATAGTGGTCAAGAAATATTTGGTCGCGCCAAATACTTATCGTCTAGAATTTGAGCTACCCACACCTAAGTCTGTACTTGGCTTGCCCATCGGCCAGCACGTCGCTATCACAGCCAACGTTGATGGCCGAGCAGTGACCCGATCCTATACCCCAATCTCCAACAACGCGGATTGTGGCACGCTCGACCTGATAGTCAAATGCTATCCCGACGGAAAGCTCACTGGCGGCTATCTCGCAAGCCTCTCAATCGGAGATGAGGTGCAGTTTCGCGGGCCAAAGGGGGCTATGCGTTACAAGCGTGGCTACTGCAAGCGAATCGGCATGCTGGCAGGTGGATCAGGTATAACGCCCATGTACCAGCTGATACGCGCCATATGTGAGGACGAGCAAGACACCACTCAGGTCAGCTTGATCTATGCCAATCGAACGGAGGCAGACATACTACTTCGGAGTGAACTTGAGGCTTTCTCCAGGAAGTACCCCAATAACTTCAAGCTGTATTATATCTTGGACAGCCCTACACCGGATTGGCAAGGAGGTAGGGGATACGTAACGAAAGAGACACTCGCAGAACGCTTCCCGGAACCGGATGCAGAGTCCAGAGCTATGATTTGCGGCCCGCCAGGAATGGTGAATGCAGCGAAGAAGGCGCTCATTGAGTTAGGGTTCGAGAAGCCCGGTGCCATGTCAAAAATGAGTGACCAGGTATTCTGCTTTTGACGCGTTAATATTCGTCCTCACCGAATATATCACAGCAACTGGCGTAATTACTAACGAGCCACAACGAGGCTAGCATGTGTTGGAATGTATACCTAATCATATTTTGGCGTATAGAATGTATAAATACGAGATAAGACTTAGATCTATTGTTATATAGCAGCGTCTAAATAGACACCTAATCCGGGCTCTTCAATGTTGGTTCAATACGAAAAGCCAGAATTCAGCAGTAGTGTCGTTTCCACTGTCATAACTAAGGGTTGACCACTGTTCAATCAATAAATAAGCAGACAATATATGCATAGAGTAGTTGTATCTAAGGAAATCATGACTGTGGTTTAACCAACATAGATTTAGGATGGGTAGAAAATGGGTGAGAAGTACTAAGCTACCATCTAAGACCACGAGTGAGGTGTACACGAGTTGGAGATATGTTGTATTTATGAATTAAATGTCCTGGGAGTGCTGCTTGGAACTTAATCTAGGCCCTGGGTCTGTTTTATTTCCGTTAAGAGTCATTCATCAAGCTCATTAATGCACGCCTGTGCAGTGTATCACCCTTCTTCGTATAGGTTGAATTCGGAACCCTTTGATGTTATTGGCCATCAATTTATGACTTTCTATTTCAACAATGCCGGGAATAGCAAAGACCTCGGTATTACTTCGAGCTAAATGGGAAAGCTCTTCGCTTATGTAGATCGCAGCACATGTTCATAGTCATCTATTCTACTGTACACTGCTCTCTTAAGCACTGGTTATTGGTCCGGTAGTCAAATTACCTGAACTTGGTAATGCGTTATGTTGATCTACCTCCATGCCTATGCCTTTCTCTTGTCAATTAGAACGGACTCTATATAATCAAGAAGAAAATATATTACTGTATAACAATAACACCATTGGTATGACCAAGCAAACACTATGAGTTTGTACTTGCCAGGCATAAGTGAGTCAGTTACATAAATTGAGATTGCAATCAGTGATGGTCATATTTTTCATATACCTAGCCGAAGACTCCCCAAAGCGAGGTTTATGGTGCTATGAAGTGTATTCACATGTCTTCGGTAGTTGCAACACCTAGAAGAAATATAACAATGTCTGTTGAAGGCGTTATTAAGGCATAATGTTCCATTTAAATCGACCTGAATGCTCATATCGTGTCGCAACTCTCAAGCCCTCACTGGCTTGGCCAAGTACGGCACATGGAACAACTATTATATGTTTGACATGCTCACTTCTCCTCAGCAGCGGCGCCATCCTTAGCCACATATAGGGGCCAAGGTACCACAGCCTCACTATCTCCCTTTGCGTCTTTAGCTACATATAGAGGCCACGGTACAGCAACAGCCTCCTCTCTTTTGGAATCCTTGGCTACGTAAAGTGGCCATGGGGCCGCGGCCTCCTCGTTTCTCTTCGCATCTTTGGCAACATAGAGCGGCCACGGGGCAGCAGCTTCGTTGTCCCTCTTGGCATCCTTCGCTACGTATAGTGGCCATGGTGTGTGTGGTTTAACACTTTCACTCTTCTTGACTATACTTAGACATTAGTATCATTCTTCTACTAATTTTGACAAAAGATTTTGCTACCTGGGCTGGCTGGAGCAGCGTAAGCCACAGTGGAAACGAGGAGAGCTGTGACGAAAGAGAATCGCATTGTGTTTGAGTGTAAGTTGGACGATGATTATCAAAAGATTATTGAAGTAGCAGCACTAGATGTTATCGGAGTTATTTAGACGACCTCATAGAAGCTCAAGGCCCCTTCTTATACTACTTCGTGAATTCAGTTCTCACCATCCCGTCGTTGATGGTCATGCTTATCGAGATTTTGAGGCACCACATATCTACGTCAAGGCGTCAGCCTTGGCAGTATTTACGCCGTATTACAAACCAATTGTAGACGTTCAACATCACAAGATTTAAGTTCTAGCTATGGCGATTGGTCACAATAGCCAGATTCGGTGACATTCTTGTCAGATCCTCGCTTCGTGTCGCGTTTCTTCTCCGCAAATTGTGGGCGATGGATTGCGAGTTGCCTGATATCGACAAGTACAACAGCATCATATCTAGATCCACTTCCCCAAACCTCGTGAGTTCTATCATCTTATCTCCCCTCTGTCAAAGAGCACAGGTGCTTGGAAACTCGCATCATACGATGCTGATAGGCGGGTGGTCTGCCCCTCTGCTTATGTGAGGGGCGGTTTCGTGAGCTAAGGATCATAGGTAAGTGGGGTGAATAGAAGTATGACGGGCGGCCCAATTCGGGCCAAGATTGAATTACATACTGGGTAAGCATTGAGACCGGCTGGATGATTTAGACAGAAAATCTGCTGCCGTTGAATCGAGGAATGGGATGGGCATTTCACTTAGAAAACAAATGGTAGACGAAATGGCTACAAAGAATCGTGACTCGCTTTCTAGCGATGATATCCAAGGTCAGAGTGAGGGCCTACTCTCTGAACACCGTCAAATTGTCCTCTCGGATAGAAAAGGAACAGGTTCTCGTCGACTTTATCTGTGGTTGTTTGTGACAGTAGTTCTGATCGGTTCAAATTTCCTGACGGCGACACTCTGTTTTACATATCTCAACCATGATAACCATCTCCTGAGACGGACCAGCTCATATTGTAAGTACTAGACCAAGTCAAGCTCGGTATAGAAACTGAAAGACCAACTGATCTCGCAGCCCCTATATTCGATAAGTTGAATATACCCACAAGTCTAAGGAATCTCCATATCCCCCTCATACCCAATGCCACGAATCCCCGAGACATTTACCGCTTACCACCCTCGCCAGAGGTGGATGAAGCTTGGGATCGAATAACTCGTGTGAATCTAATCAGTATCTCTGAAGATGAGATCCGCAAGCTTGGAAAAGACCCCTCTCTGACCATCCATTCGCCGAGGTCATGGTGGTCTGAACCATGGGGTAGCGGATATATAGGCCAGATCGATGTATTCCACCAGATTCACTGCCTCAACATGCTCAGGCAGGGACTCATAACCAACTACAACTACTATTGGGGCAAGAAATACGGCATGACGCCCCCTGTCCCATTTGGAATGCATCTAGATCACTGTCTGGGGACGATCCTGGAGAACTTAATTTGTCATGCTGATGTCGACATCGTCACGTTCAATTGGAGGGAAAAAGAAGATGAGCCTTTCCCTGACTTTGAGGTCAGGAAGCAGTGTAGAGATTTCGATGCTATCTTGGAATGGCAGGATAAGATGAAGCTCGATGATACTATTGAGCGCTGGAAGGCTCTTCAGAAACCTGTTGACGCGAAGCAGAGGGAACTGCCTCCTGGCCTGGCGGAGATTGACCCCTTAGGCGATGGAGAGATCGATGGGATCCGGGTATCTAGATTGAAAGATGTGCCTGCTGGTTGTCTGTGAGAGGCAGTATTATAAAGAATATATCTTATGTGTACATCTGACAGCAAAAGGAACATAGCTCTGCTGAAATAGTCTTTTAGATCCCTAGCCATGGCCTATCTTGTAGCCAGGGAGTTACTCCATTTGTTGAGACTGTACAGCATCACGAGACATAAAGCTCGGCCTCTCCGTAGTAAGCTTTGATAACTACTTCTTGACAGGTATTTGGCGTGAAATCACTGTCCATCGAATGGGTTATTTCTTAGTTTTCGGTTAAATATTATGTACATATATATTATGACTCATGCTTGAAAACCCCGTAGAATAATAGACCAGTCATACATTTCAACCTTTTATTCAATCCAGATTGAGAAAGGCTGTGAATAACAGCCCCGCTACACCCGGGCTCGTTTGTTTACACTCATCAAGATCACTTCATTTTCAGAGCCATCTTGCTCTTCCGCGAAGTCGTCCAGATCTCTCTTCATGGCGGTCTGAGTAAGTAGAATCTCGACGACTGAGGATCCAATGCTGCTGGGGCTCCACGGTGGAACGTCATCGTTATCCTTGATAGGGGTAGCTGGCGATGAGCAGTTGGATTCCGTTCCATGAATAGATAGGACCTCAATATCCGGTCTTGGCTCTTCTTTGATAACTGGGAGGCGTTGTTGGACTTCCTCGCGGAACGTTTTCGCCAAAGTACGGCTGGCACAGTCCTGTCGGGCAACTACTGCACGACCCCTTCGGCGTTGGTGCTCCGCCGCAGCCTTACGACTTCGAAGGACCTGCAATAGGGGCTCTAATAGTCGATCTCCTTGTATCACTGTTTTGTAATGCATTCGTTTTGTATCACTCGGGGTATACGCCCTAAACTCTTCAAATAGGTGCGGTGGCCAGACGTAAATTGGCCTGCCACTCCTCTTTGAGTCGATATAGTCGACGATATTGATCAGTTCGCCCTTGAGGTTGGCGACGCACCCTTCGATTGTGTCAAGTGGCTCCAACTTCGCTTCCCGACACATGTTCTGGAAGACTAAGAGCTTCCACCTGCGCGCCCTCTCCTCTTCAGAGATGTGTAGGTTATCTTCATCTTCCTCCTTGATGTTATCTTCATCATCAGAGTCGTTGTTTTGAGAATAATGGAACATAAGTTCATCTGTATCGAATAAGAGTGAGTATACTTGAGCTTGGGAGTTCTGTTTCTTAGAATCTATGAATGGAACTCACGGCGAACCGCTTGTGTACGTTTCTGTCGCCACTCATTGGAACCGGGCTCTATATTTTGTGATGAGGCAAAGCGACTGAATTCGTCTTCAAAGTCGGCGTTGTCATCTGGCTTAAAGTGTGGGATTTGAGAAAAGTAGGATTGCGAAGAGTCAAAAGCCTCGGTTTTGATACGCGGCTTGTCTTCCTTCTTGATATCATTTGTGATGGCCCTACTAGTGGTTGGCTGGTCGCACTTCCATCTAGCGAAGAGTGCTCTCCCGTCAGCGTTGTTGCATGTTTGGCCGGTCGCAACATAGAATGCAGCTTCATCGCGAGTATCGAAGCCGCGATAGTCGTTTCTACATTTCTCCACTTGTGCTCTGCAGTCTTCCCAGTTGTCGTACACTCCGGAAACCCGACCTGTACGGACACCATAGAATTTCCTGCGCGCCATTTTGATACCAAGCTTGAGTCTCCCTCTTCAATGTGATAGAGAAGAGGGGTTGGCTTCCTGGCGAACTGAGCCAAGTACGTAGTGTTGTTAGGCGCGTCGATACGCGTGTGGTAGGTACATTGGTCCAATAAATCTCACATGAGCTCATTCACTTGTCTGAGCCGAAAGCAACCCCAGGCCTTAGATTTACAGGGATGGCTCAGACCCAACTTACTAACGATAAAGGAGTTCTGCATCGCTACCCTGATGTCAAGCTAATAATCGCGTAGATACTGTTGGTTGGTGAAATTTTGGTTGCACTGCATTATCAACTTGAGAATAACTTAGTAGGGTAGATGGCGAAGGCGGCGGTGGCCTGAAATCGGGTCTCCTCACATGCAAGGCAAAGAGGCAGCATGAGGACGCGCACAGCAGCCAAATCCATCTTTAGCATATCATCTCAACCCAGTTTCGGCGTGTTGTATTGCGCTCAAATGAAACCACCTGCTTAGTCTACTTAGTTGGCTTTTCATGAAACGGAGAATGTATGATTGTAATACCATTAACCAGCACCAGCACAGCATCACGTGCCTACCTATCGTAAGTCACATAAGAGGTTGCTGCGTTGGCCCTTCAAGCGGTATTGGATCCGGGTGAGCCCTTGTACTTTTCAATTGAAGTTGTCTCTGATTTCCCACCGAGCACTTCCGGGCCAATATCGCATTGTCGTATCACGTTCTGTTTATTTCGAATCGTGGCCTTTATTGTTCACAAAGCGAGATAGGTACGGCGGCTATCTCGGGGAGATGGGGTTATGCTGGTATTAAACATAAAGCATTCAATGAGGTGGCATAAAAGCTGATTACTCAATTAAAAAGCGTGATCAAGTGTCTCTTCAAGCGTATTCTAGTACCAAAATAAGAGCAGGTATCGTGACGGTTTATGGCCGGCAGTGATTCTTTGACAGCTCCGGAACTTTCCAGCGTGGCCCAGATTCTTGGCAGCACCTCCGCAGCTCACTAGATCCCAGATTAGGAAATCGCACCGGCTCAGTCGACTGGAAAGAAAGACTAAAAAGACAAATGGCCTGGGGCTTGGCATCATCTTATTTTTAGGCGGGCATTGCCAACGGCATATCGACCCCGTTTCGGTTCGTGTTCGGCGGCCTTGTCCTCCTTTTCCAATCCAATCCAATCCAATCCAATCTTTTCTTCTTCTTCCCGTGCATTGGGTGGCCAGGTTTTTCCTCAGTTCGTGATTTTTTAAATAATAGTGACTCACATGCGCAGTCACGTTGTCCTTCGTTCTTGCATAATTTACAATCGCTACTACCACCCTCGTTTTATTCTCTCTCCGCCCTCTTAATTTTACCTTGCACCTCTTCTCATTGGTATCTCTGAGGATTAGCACCTGGATCCTTCATTTACCCTCTCGATATTCTTCACGCGCAATAATCAGAACGACTCAATCGCGGCTGACGAGCTGACAAGCGGATTCTTCATATCACGATGACGACTTCCGGCCAGAACTTGCCAACGGCAACAGAGCACCAGGGTGAAGAGCCTGCCACGGCTCGCCAGTCTTCGGCCAGCCCAGTAGAGAGAGCAGATGAGCCAGCACCACCACTACCGCAACGTCCAGCACCTTCAAATGCGCAGCCTCTCCCGCCGTCATTCCAGAATCAGACCCAACCCGCCTATGTCCCGTTCACTGGGCAGCCAACTCAACAACTCCCCTACGCCACTCCTGTTCGACCCCTTCCTCACCAGAGCTCAGCGTACCTAGCCACTAGACTTGGTTTAATAGTCTTTTCCTCGATTTGGGGCATCATAATTATTGCCTTGACCAGTATCCTTCTCAGTGAGGGCACCGCTGCTGCGAGCGTATCGGTCTATGCTTATGCTATCGTTGTCATCTCCATCATTTGGAATACGGCAGAGCTCATCACATACTGCGTGCGCTTACGCAAAGAAGTGCAGAGGGGCATACATCCGGGCGCCCACGTAGGCCTGCACCTGCTCTTCTGGTTAGCCGGCATTTTCGCGACCCTCGTATCGATTCCACTTTACCTCGTTGTGGCATCTGAAGTGGACCGTTGCGCGAATGGCAAGGACGAGCACTACTATTACTATAGCCATTCGTACTGCGACGAGTATCAGCCTTACGATTACTATCAGGGGAATGTCTTACCGACCTTCCGCGCATTCGTCGCCATCTTCGTACTATGGACGATTAACCACTTCGTTCTTTTCGTGTTGGCTTGCATCGAAACTCATAAACGCAATAGCATGAGGCCAGCCGCTTTTATCATGCCAGTACAAGCCCCAACTGCTGCGCCTGTCCAGGGCATGTATTATCCACAAGCTGCTGGCATGCAACCACAGCCAATGCAGTATTACCCATACCCCGTTGTGATGCAACACCCTTCTCAACCGCAGCCAGTGCATCTATCAGGGGCCGAATCACGAACACAAGCAATGAACGAAAAGCAACCGGCACAACCATACCAGAATCTTACGGGCTTCTACGCGCCGGCAGCGGTACAATCGAACAGCTCCAGGGCAGCCTCAGCATGATGCACGAATCAGACTTGATGAAGAACGAATCGCTATTTACTCTCTATCTATGTTATTCACTCAAGCAAATACTTAAACGAGGAATCTTGTTGTTTTTATGTTAGGCGTCTTAGAGGTGTTGAATTTCTGCGATGAGATACACATGTCTGCTATGTTTAGCATGAGTCACTAATACTAATTGAATGATACCCCTTCTTGCTTGTTGCCACTATTGTTACCAAACCACACTGTTTTTATCGTACCAATGCGACGTTATTGAGTTGATTATTCGCAGTGCTGAATCTTGAAAACTATCTGTGATTCATGGCGGTATGCAAATCTCACAATTAGGATGACATTCCTATAAAGGTAGATGGCGTGCATGTATCCATGTTGGTTGGCTCTATGATGTTTAGGTCATCAAGGCAGTCTACCAAAATTTGGTTTGCGATAAACGAATTTTCTCGTTATCCAACGCAGCATGCTACTTTGCGCAGATTTTGATGTCTACGAAGTACTATTGAGTCTTGGGCATTGAAGCTAAGTCATTATTCGTGAATCTGGTACGTCGAATGATACGAGTTGTTCATCATTCCATAATGTCCTAGGTGTCCCCAAGGGCAAGACTCGCCGAGGGGAGGGGTCGGGATATTGAAAGCGCAGGCGCTCTATGCCACACGACAGCGACTTTTGTCAGACTTGGCCGGGAGTCCCTTCGATAGGTTGGTAAGCAGTGGCAGCGCGGTTAACACACTTGGAAAGGACTTTCACTACATAAAACCAATCCTTTACACGTCAATGATGGAGTGAACAGTTGATTAGACAGTGTAAGTTGACTCTAGCTCATCAAAGTAGACTGCAATGACCATTCAGATGTCATCTTATATGGAAGTCCGAACTCTTAAGAGTCAAAGTGACATACAGGTGAGACATCATTCAGACATCTATTGATTCGTGGAGTTTCGGCGTGTCATATCATATCATTGGCAAGGTATATAAGCAGAGACAGGTGAGGGGAAAGCGGGTGTGGTTGAAGGGTAGAATAGGGTAGCGGTAATCTTTGTCAAGAAACAAGAGTGTAACAAGTATAGAAAAGATTGAAACAACTTTTATTTTTATTTTTCTTGTTTTTTTTTTCCCTTTGGAGGCACGGGCCTGATCAAAGGTCTTGGTTCTCAAAGAGTTTCAACCCGAATTGCGCCTTCAGAGGCATCCAGATACACTTTGCAATATCTTAAAGATAGTATCTGTTCTACTCAAGGCATCCCAAGCATAAACTCACCGCTACATTCACTAGTGCCTGGGTCCTTTATGGAAGCAGATTGTGCATCATGCCAGACTTGCAAGGTGCCTTTGTTACCACTCGGCATCGCCGTCTCCGCTATCTCGGGTGAAAATGCCCCTGAATGGTTCTGTCAGGTACATTCTTGCGCCAAATCCAGTATCATATGCAACTAGAAGTGTGGATTGAGCCGGTATTATCGTGAAATATTGCGTTTTTCATCTAGTGATATTTTCTATCAAACCTAGACTCCTATGATCTATCGCATTGACAGCTTTGTACTCTGTATTTTGATTGATGTATTTGGTATTGGGACCCTGTGGAACTGACAAACTGTTATCGCACAGACGGTCCCACTATCTTGCGTGCTGGTAGGAGTACTTCGATGAGGCAAAAGTTACCCTAACGAAGAATGCCTCGTCGACCAAGTTCTATACATGCCCCTGGTTGTTGGGGTTGCATCTGGATCTAAAACTCATATTGGTGGTGGAATTGGATGCCAGGAGGTAGATACTTAGGGACTCATACGTCTTATGTAGACCGAGGCTGAAACATACTTTATCTAACGTTGGGATTAAATTTTGAGGAACATATAAAAGCTGCTAGACAGCACGGGGAAAAAAAACTCATTTCACGAAGAGGGGAAAAAAAAAAACTTAATTCGAGCAGTGTTAGCCTTGGCATTTGAAAAATCCTCCTCTCATAAGTATAGACAATCGCAGACAGTTTTTGACGCCAATCTTGACGTGTATGTATAGTGGTTTTCACCCTGGTAGGAATACCTAGAGCAAATACCATAGGTATGTAGTTACTATAATATTGTTCGCAATAAGTTGTCACCTAGCTCCTCAAGGCTGCCTCACCCAAGTTTTTGTTATTGATGCACGAGCCATCTACCCCTCCTTCAGGTAGCCTATCAAATCTCGGTCAGAGGGGAAGTCTACCTACTGAAGTCTGTTCGAGATCGGGCAGAAGTGGGGGTGGCTACCTGCCAGTACTTACCCGGCTAGGTTAGATCTGGTATCTGTATAGATACCCAGCGGTAGCAGTAAACTCTATGCTAAATGCAAGTACGGTACCACGCACCGTACCCATCTACATGGATCATACCTAGGTAGGTAAGTATTTATATACACGTACAGTATGTCCCAAGGCTGCCCGCTAGGCAAACTGCTGCCACTGCCGTGCTGCTGCCCGCACAACAGAAAAACAACCCCGCCATGAAATACTTAGGTACCTCCACATACCCATGCGTCCCTGGGTACCTATGTACACATCTGCATGTAGTCTTAAGAGAGACTTTCGAGTTGAGTTTGAAGACACCTGGACAGGCCAAGTTAAATAGAGACGTCCGATAACCGCGCAAGGCATTATATAAATGAAAGGATAGAACTAACCTAGAGTCTATATTTTTCGAGATCGCTTTCTCATTACCACTACTGCCTGCCTGCTTCCCTACCTTGAGTCACTTCGGCCTACACAAAGCACGGCGAGGCGGTCGGTCGACAGACATCTCATGGTGGGGGAGGTCGGAGGTAGGTACCTAACCCATAGCAGCCTGTACAGATCGTACTTTGGGCGGTGCCTAGTGGTCTCTGGTGGTAGGCAGTTAGTTGGTGATAGTTGGTAATAGTGGTAATAGTTCTGTTCTGGTGGCAGTGGTACATACAGTATGCGCGGGTGCTCCTACACTGACGACATCCCGACCCGTCTCCCACCTCCATTATCGTCTCCAGTCAACCCACTCACGTCCCACGCCTGGCCGTCTTACTTGCTGCTCAAGTGCCTTAGCCGTGCCTCCACCTGTCTACACCCACCACCGCCGTCCTTGGCTGTTGCACCCACGCCGCTCCCAGCTTCAGCGGCCTAACCACTCATTCTGGCTCCTCTGCCTGGTTCTTGCCTTGGCCCCTTCGCCGGCTACCTCGTTGACTTCCGTTGATTCCTTTGAGGAAACTGCTTTTGTCTCCCGCCCTCTGGCTCCTCTGCCGACTCCCTCCCTAGCCATTACGACTTGTTGTGTTTGTGTTTGTGCGCGCGCTGTCTAGCTACGGCGTGTGGGGCCTTGGAGAGAGTGTGTTGAGGGAGATGTGCAGAAGGCGACAGAGAGACGAAACGAAAAACACGAAACTATCTGCTGTCACTGTTGGGACATCTCCAAGCCACACTCTGTGGTCTTGTCGAACCCGCTTCCCATCCCGATTCCGATTCAGCCGGGCCGAGCTAAGGATACCTACCTAGGTGTCTTGACGACAAAATTCACGAAACCAGAAACCAATATTTGTCTACAGTCCCGCGCGTGACAACGCGTAACCCCCCGCCCATCATGAACAACGAAGAGGATACCATGAAGGTGATCCAGGAGATCCAGAGCAAGATCGACCGCGAAAAGGTCTTCCTCAATAGCGCAAGTGACATGCGACGCCAAACCAACAATGACAGCGTGCGCTCTAGGCTCGATGTTAAGATTGAGGAATCCCAGAAGTTGATCGACTTCTTCGAAGGAAAGCTGCAAGAAATGCTGAGGAAACGCGATGACTATCAGATGAGACGTCTGGGACATGGTGTAGACAGCATGAGTATTAGCTCGGGCTCGACCACTGTCGCACCGGGCGTGGACTTTCGAGGTGATGGTGAGGGACCGCCGCCGCCGCCGCCGAAAGATGCCAGTGGGAGGACTACAGACAGAGGCTCTTATGGTTCTACGCAATATGGAGGAGATATGATGGCGCCTCGATATCCCTATGGATCATCGGGACCTGGTGCATCGGCTCCTCATCCGCGTCCCAACTTCACCAAATTAGGTCCGATTATCTATCATTTTCGCCTTGTCGCAGTCTAGTCACTAACTACAGCCTATAGATCTGATTAAATCCAATACTCCGCACTTGGGTCCACGCATTCAGCTAATGCTTACTCAAGTTCAGTTCAAGTTGAATGTCGAAGAGCAATACCTCAAGGGTGTAGAAAAAATGGTCCAGCTATATGGAATGGAAGGCGATCGAAAAAGCAAGGCAGATGCCGCTGCTAGGCGTGTTGAGAGTAAACAGAAAATCCATCTTCTGAGGCAGGCCCTCAAAAGATATGAGCAGCTTCATATCGACGATTTAGATTTACCCGATTCCCCTGATGGTTCGTTTCCACCATTTTGTCATGCCTTACATGACTCATGCTGATAGACCTCAAATAGATGACAGCATAAATATGCCTAACCTACGGAAACCTTTGTCAGGCCAGCTTTCTATCAGGGTACAGCAAATTCGTGATGTCGACCATGCCTCTACTGGCCGGTTTTCACGTGGCCCTGAGACATTTATCTCTATCAAGGTCGAGGACAATGTAGTGGCAAGAACCCGAGCTTCGAGGACTGACCGTTGGGAAAACGAGTTCCACAGTGTTACAGTTGATAAGGCTAATGAGGTTGAATTGACTGTTTATGATAAACCAGGCGAGCACGCCCTCCCGATTGGAATGCTTTGGGTACGGATTTCCGACATTGTGGAGGATCTTCGGCGGAAGAGGATAGAGGCTGAAGTTAACAGTTCCGGTTGGGTATCCGCTGATAGAATGGGAGGTTCAAATGTACCGCCACCTCAATTTCCTATGAGTCCTCAACAACAGCAGTTTGGCGGCTCAGCAAACATCCCGGGTGGCGCGCAGGCTCAATTCGGTGGCAATGCAGCCATCATAAACCAGCCCATTGATGGCTGGTTCAATTTGGAGCCTACTGGAGCCATACATCTTTCGATCAACTTCGTGAAGCAGAACAAGGACCGCAGGCCGGTTGATCTCGGCCTGGGCCGAAAGGGTGCAATTCGACAAAAGAAGGAGGAAGTGCATGAAAAGTATGGACACAAGTTCGTGCAACATCAATTTTACAACATCATGCGCTGCGCCCTGTGTGGCGATTTTCTCAAGTATTCCGCCGGCATGCAGTGTGAGGACTGCAAATATACTTGTCATACGAAATGCTATCCAAGCGTCGTCACCAAGTGCATTAGTAAAACCAATGCCGAGACAGATCCTGACGAAGAGAAGATTAACCACCGCATTCCCCACCGATTCACTCCGTTCTCGAACGTTACAGCGAACTGGTGCTGCCATTGCGGTTCTATACTGCCTTTTGGAAAGAAGAATTGCCGCAAATGCAACGGTACGTTTATGCGCATGCTTTATCTTAAATGCCTTACTAACAAATCGCAGAGTGTGGCCTTACAGCACACGCACACTGCGTTCACTTGGTCCCCGACTTTTGTGGTATGAGTATGGCTGTGGCCAATCAAATTTTAGAGGGTATCAGGGCGAATAAACAGAGGCAAAGTAAAGGAACCTCCCTAAGTGAAAAGACATTGAGGTCTGGTAAGATGAGCCCTTCGAGTTCGTCCGGACCAACTTCCCCCTACAGTAGCCAGGTGACGCCCTCGTACCAGCCGAGTCTTGCCTCCCAAGAAGCAACTGATGCCGCCAAAGCCATGTATACAAGCCAGACGTCACCAATACGTTCAAGCCAACCCGATCGAACCTCGTCGAGCTCAACAGCTGCGGCCGCTGCTGCTTCAGCTGCCATGGGTGGGACTATGACTTCGCATGGTTCTCGGCCAACTCCTACATCGGATTACTCTGGCCGACCAGGTGGATACGGAGGCTCAATGGATTCCCACGAGGATAGATATGCCAGTAGTCAACAGCAGTATAACATCCCTTCGCAGCCGAAATACAACCCTGCTGCATATGCCTCTGTTGACAGCAACTTCACGCCTCAGCCTCAACTGATGTTACAGACCCAACAGACTCGGCCGATCGCTCAGCAAGGCATATCTTCGCCTCAACAGACTCAGCCTTCCATGTATCCTCAAAGCGTCCCAATTTCAAAACCACAACCTATGCAGGAAACTCCTTCGCTCACGACAGGCTCTGGCTTACCCCCGCCTACTAGGCGACCATTGCCCCTTGCCACCGATCCTGGTACTGGCCAGCGAATTGGATTAGATCATTTTAATTTCCTTGCAGTGCTTGGTAAAGGCAACTTCGGTAAAGTCATGTTAGCAGAAACTAAAAAGTCTCGGCGTTTGTACGCGATCAAGGTTCTCAAGAAGGAGTTCATTATTGAGCATGATGAAGTCGAGAGCATTAAGTCGGAAAAGAGGGTTTTCTTAATTGCAAATCGAGAACGTCACCCGTTCTTGACCAACCTCCATGCCTGTTTCCAAACGGAAACGCGCGTCTACTTTGTCATGGAGTATATAAGCGGAGGTGACTTGATGCTTCACATCCAGCGGGGCCAATTCGGGACGAAACGTGCACAGTAAGGCTAATCACCCACTTCTGGTTCTGTTCCATTTGTACTGACATGTGCCAGGTTCTACGCAGCAGAAGTGTGCTTGGCGCTAAAATATTTCCATGAAAACGGAGTCATCTATCGAGATCTTAAGCTGGACAACATTCTTCTCACATTAGACGGGCATATCAAGATCGCAGACTATGGTTTGTGTAAAGAAGATATGTGGTATGGATCAACAACAAGCACTTTCTGTGGTACGCCAGAGTTCATGGCCCCTGAAGTAAGTACCATTTCGTGTCTTCCCCCATGCGACGTTGCTCTATGCTGACGCAACACAAGATTTTACTCGATAAGAAATACGGCAGAGCTGTAGATTGGTGGGCATTTGGTGTGCTGATATATCAGATGCTTCTCCAACAATCACCATTCCGAGGTGAAGATGAAGACGAAATCTACGACGCCATTTTAGCTGATGAGCCACTATATCCGATCCATATGCCGCGAGATTCAGTGTCAATTCTCCAGAAGCTACTGACCAGAGAAGTTGACCAGCGCCTCGGTAGTGGGCCCACTGATGCCCAAGAAGTCATGAGCCAACCCTTTTTCCGGAATATTGTATGGGACGATATATATCATAAGAGGGTTGCGCCACCGTTCTTACCTACTATCAAGAATGCAACAGATACTAGCAACTTTGATTCTGAGTTTACAAGTGTCACGCCCGTGCTTACACCAGTCAATTCAGGTAAGACTCTCACTAAGTGCTGTCACGATCGGACTAACATATGGTACAGTTCTCTCCCAAGCTATGCAGGAAGAGTTCCGTGGATTCTCTTATACAGCCGACTTTGATTAGGATTGATCTATACCCATGAATAAATCCGGGGCACAATCTCTCAGGTCAAATCTTGTAGATCTAGCAATGGGGCCAGAGATAGGTGTGAACTGGGACATAATCCATATGCGAATGACTTGGATCAAAATACCCGAACCGGGTCACTTTGGTACAGGCCTGTTACCTGTCATAACAACAGGCGCCTGGCAACTGCTTAAAGCCTGCTGGCATACACGTGCTTGAGTTATGCCAGAGAAGTCCTGCTTGCAGATTCGCATTGTGACAGCTACCTCAGGAAGTGATAGGAGATGAATAACCTCCCTTTGTACAGGCTATCAGGACAGGATACCACTCGCTCCTAGCAAATGAACTCGACTTGAGGTTCTGAAGTAGACGTTCTGTACTATGCTTATTTGGTCCATCCCAGTTATGGATATTGCGAAGAGGCTGAGGTAGATAAAGCGAAAAGGGTCTTGGCTTTCGTTCCATTTTCTATCCATACCCAAAAGCCACGTAGTTGGATCCACGAGCAGTTAATGGACTTGTTGTCCCTTCGTTTGTACCTTGACCTGTCATTCTTCTGTGATGCTCCCCGAATGTGTGTACGTAGACCAGAAATAAAGCTCTGCGGAGCTAGTTTCACTAGAGCTCGTCTACACTTGCGGGTCTGTGGCTTCGAACTGATATCCGTTTACATACTCGTAAACCCAGCTTGGTTTACACAGAGATCAATAAACAGGAAGACTAACGGGTTGGAATAGTGAAGGATCTTTCATAGCTCTTTGACCACTGAGCAACAAAACGTAATATGCTTTTGATGACCTCTCGCATATGATGCATTGGAGATTATCTCCTCCTATCTACTTAGGTATTTGGAACATGTTATATATACAGGAGCGATGCTAGTGATGCGGTTATTGGTTTAAATAGAGAATCTCCCGAAATCCTAGCCTCCCAGCCAGCGATATGAAGAACATCTGTTGAAGAGGGTAGGTAGGCACCCATGTATGCGTCGTAGTCTATCATTACATATGGAAGTAGGCAGGTAAGTAGATAGTATGGCTTTGACTGATGCCGGGTTATCAGATCTCTCATTATGGTATTTGTACAGTTAAGCCGAGGCTCGCTTATATGGTGTATAGTACAATGCTGGTGGGCCTTCTATCTTCCGGGCGAACTGTGACGGGGGGCATGGCCTCTCCCGTGTCCTGTTCTAGACATGCGGTTTCCTAATTTTGCCTTGGGTAGCTCGGCCATGAGCACGATAAGTCATTATATGTAGTGTCTGCCTATTTTGATTTTACTGGTTGTCGTCATGTCCATCGGATCAGGAAGAGGGCCACAGTCCCTGCCACGACGATACCCGTTGCCACGCCCTCGACGGCGATGAGCGATATGTCTTTCATCCGAAGCGCAACTTTCCGGTCGCTTACGAGATCATCGGCGAACGAGCGCCAGAAGCCCAGGTCTGCGAATGATTCACGCCACGATATCCTGGGCAAGATATTTTCGGAAAGAGATTCTGGACTTGGGGCTGGCGTTGTTGATGTAGGTGACAGCGGTATTATTTCGGGTTCTGGCACAGCAACGTCGGGAGCTGCTATGACGACAGGCTCTTCGGCCTCCTCAGTCCTAGTCGTCTCCGCCTCGACATCTTCTATCGAGGGAGCAGTCATAGTGGCGACAGGAGCGCCAACCTTACGTTCACCCTCTTCCCTGGCGACCCGCTGCTCAGCAAGCGCCTCGCGTACCTTCTCCTCGAAACCTCGGACAAGCCGCTTCCGCCTCCACGGTTCGGCGCCGAACTGCAGGAGCAGGAACAGGAGAATGTTGACGCCCATGAGGCCCCACGTACCCCACGTGCTCATGCGCCTGATCTTGTCGCTCCAAATCTGCTCCTCGTGGTAGCGGGCGAGGATGCCTGCGCCGAGCTCCCGGTTGAGCCGCTCAGCCTCGCGCTCGGCCTGCTCAAGCTCAGTGGCCCAGGACCCCACTGAGGCCTCGAGTTCGTAGTCCTGCCGGTATAGGGTCGTGAAGCGCTCAAAGTCGGCGGGCGTCCAGGTCTTCTGGCGTGCGAGCAGTGTTGTCACCTCGCGCTGCGTGGCGGCGCGGTCCGAAACGGCACTCTTGTAGGCGCTGCGCGTGGCCGTCAGGTGCGATTGGGCGGCGCGCAGCTGCTCTTCAAGATCTGAGATCTGCGACTTGAGAGTTTCAATTGACGAGTACCCTGTAAGGTCGTTGATGCGCTGCGATGCGACGAATAATGTCGTTTGCGCGCGGTCCATGAAGGAGGTGAGGGATTGATTTAGAGCTGAGCGTCGCGATTGCTGGGCTGAGGGAAGGTCGGGATCCTGCATTGATGGCGGTGGTTGTGACGACGGTCTGTCTTGTTCTTTTTCTATCTTAGGCTGGTCTATCGGGATGTCTTGTGTATTATTATCGCCAGTGGTTGCGGAATAGTGGGGAGGAGGTGCGGAAGACGGGGGGTTTTGTGGCTTCGATTCGCTTTCTCTGTCATGGCTAGGAGGCTGAGGAGAAGACGACGAGAAGCGCAGTTGTTGCCGCCTCGAGGCATAATCGTGCCGACAGCTCCAGCATACTGTTATTGGCGCGCGCGTTGGGGTTGAGGATGAGGCAGCGCGGCAAAAAAGCTTCTTCCACGGCATCCCAGTTGTCGCAGCCGATCTCGGGAGGAATTGGTCGACAATCAGCCTCGAGCTGACCCCCAGAAAGGGCCTAACTGCCCGGGATGCCGACATTGACAGCTCGATAGGCGCGGTATCAAGCTCAAATGGTCGATTGGGTTGCGGCCTTTAAGGTTTTGAGAATTCGACAACCTGACATCGGATGCGAGTCTCGGCTGCGGGTATGGATGGAGGGAATTGAAAGCCGCATCTTGAAGGGAGCTTGGGCCAAGTGGCAGCAAACTGTAACACTGCGTACCTTAGTACATCGCACCACCTAACCACTACCTAAGTAGGTACCTAACAGACCTAACCTCCCACCAGGATCGTAGCCGATCTTCTGGACGGATATCAATCCGGGTAGACGTGGACTTCTGTCTTTTCAGACCATTCAGCAAATGATATCCAGTCTCTTCATGAAACGGTGCATTAGCATGGTTTGGTAGCCAAGCACTCGAATTGATATCCACTTCACAACAATGACGTAGCTCTACCTAGAAGAAGCAGTGGGATGGTTCCAATCCCTCTCTCCAGGAGAAATACCATGGAACCTAAGCAAGAGCTCTCGTATTTCCTCACCCAGCAAGCAAGCCACAAAGGTAGTTATTAGATAACTCCTCAGGCGGGGACTCATGATTCAAAACCTTATAGGTTCCCTATTAAACATACCTAGGAGGCAAGTATATATGACCGTAGCTAGGTAGGTATTCCTCACTTAATAAAACATTATAGTAAGTTCATCAGTTACCCATCCTCTCAAAATAGGTCAGATATCAGTATAGGATAAATCAAGCTTTACAGTTTCAAGCTCTCCGTCATATACATTTCACCCATATATCATACATCTTACAGGCATTATCAGGAGCCGCCTTGATACAATCGATCCTCACCACTCACCGATCGGGAAAACTACGGCAGCGTTGCCCCACTAGCTTTTGCACTGGGTTACTGCAGTGCTTAAGTCTGTCTGGCAAATTCAGCACAGCGAACATTCACAAGCCTCGTAGTGTGGAAAACGTATCTATCCTCGCACCTCAGAATGGCTCGCCCCAAACGTAACCTTCACGCGGCCGCCGAAGAATCTACGACCCCACCTGATGCTTTGACGCCCACTCAGAGCGTTGCGAGGGTCATCAAGGCCGAAGGGAATAGCCTGTACAGCTGCTTATTACCCAATCAGCAGATTGTTCTAGTCGAGCTTGCGGCACGTTTCCGCAATACGATATGGATCAAGCGTGGTGGTTATGTGTTAGTAGACCTGACGCCTCCCGAGGAGAAAAGGGGCAAAGTAGAGGGTGAGATCGCAAACGTTGTCCGTGAGGAAAAGGAATGGCGCAAGCAGAGCTACTGGTAGGTCAATCAATCTGATGAAAGGGTCACACTTCACGTAGGGCTGACATGAAATCCAAGGCCGAAAGAATTCGCTAAAGCAACTTTTGATGATGACGACGAAGACGAAGAGTCTAATGTCGGCAAAATGCCGCCCTCAGACTCTGAAGGAGAAGACTGAAAGTCAAGCTATCATAGATGACTTACGCTACCTTTCTTTCACGAGAGGGGTAACTAGATGATGTGGGTGTCTGCTCTCTCCTAGCTGCCACCAGAGCTACCGTAGCAGCTAAAGAGGCTACTACAACTCCCGAACTGACATTCGTACTAGGAAATACGTTCCATGCCCATTCTTGGAGCGTCCAAATGGCGTATTGGACAAGTGGGTGAGCGCCGCTGCGCCACAGAAGATAGGGGGTGGACCAGGCGAGATACGAGTAGAATTGGTAATGCAAGGAGCGAGCGAAGAGCAGTCCGATGACATTGGCAGAGAGTATCGTGGTCATCACATACTCTGGCGCTATTTGCAGTGATACCAGGCGTTCCTCCTGTGAGCTGAATGGAGAGCTGAATCTCAGAATTGATGACGCAATCGATGACCAAGGTTTTCTTGCTGGCGTTAACCATTTGTTCACGATAAACCACACAAGGACTGAGGCATGCATTGCCAGAAGCCCCAGCGCAAACGGCCGGCTCAGAAAGGTATCTTCACCGATGAAGCGCCAATTCACGGTCCATTTGAAGAAGAATTGACGAGATAGCTCAAACGCCCGAGACAGGTACCCTTGTGCGTTCTCGCGGAGGAAGGGGATGGCTATCACAAATTGGACCTGGGCAATGATGGCAGCCAGCTGAAGACTACCAGTAAAACCCCTACCTAGGAGTAGAATCACGCCAACCGCTGGCAAGACCAGAAGCAATGACATCTTAACGCCTAAGCCCCAAGTGTATATAATAGTGCCAAGTGTCCAAGCTCGCCTTTGAAGCAAATAAATGGTGAGCCAGAGGAAGAAGACAGCAAAGCAGTCGTTGAAGCAGCGCAAAATGAATATGCTGTGAAGGCGCTTCGATAGAATCAGTAATGGGAAGACGTAGGGCGGCACCTGGACCCTCATCAGTCAGTACAGCAAGCGCCCGATCCCACAAATAAGCGTCCTACCTTTGCTCTCCAGTAGCAAGCCATCACCACAGCCAGTGTCGCCATATACAAGACGGCAAAAAGCTGCTGCGCTAGAAAGATATCGCGTCCTTCATCGGTTATGTAGTAGAGGCTGGTATATAAGTAGACGTGAGCTGCCGGGTAAACGAGGGGCCCTGTCCCGCCCTTGATGACAGTGTAGTCGCGTTCGCCTGCGACGAATTGCTCGATCTGTTCCATATACGCTTTCCAATCGATTTCGGTGTCTGCCGTTGCATTCATAGTAAGCAAGATGTTCCAAGGTCCAAGTCATCCAACCACGGGTCTTACATGGGACTTTCCATATCACAACGACGCACAGCAGCACATCTAAGAGAAAGAGACACGGGGGTACGAGCCGCGACAGCGTTCGGTTACGGCCATTGGCAACATCGAAGGCTAGTCGGACCGCTTGTGCGATTATTCCAGGCTCTCGATCAGCCATTGGGACTGTTGAGATTTTGTCGATGAACTTGCGACAAACATGCGACAAACAGAAGGCTTGTAACACGATATTACGTGGAGCTTTGGGAGCTTGGGAAGGTCACCCCAGATGCACTTATCGATAAGGATTCGCTCTATGTTAGGTAATGACCTATAATCACGCACTCAGTACAGAATAACCTCATCCAGAAACTTATGACCTGCCAAAATATAAGATATATATGTAGATAGCGAAGGATGATGGAGCCTTTGTATTCTTGTACTAGTCTGAAGTGTATGAGGCGTGCTTGATCATAGCTTCGGTCTGTTCAACACGTCCCCAACAAGTGCCACTACGTCTTGTGCGCACCCATAGGATCCCTGATATCCCCATCCAGCATGCCCGTAGTTGTGAACCACCCAGGTATCATCAATTTTCTCCTTTTCGATCCTAACGCCGCCGTTTCTGTACGGACGAAGACCAACAGCGTGGCGGACGATGTCGAAGCCTTCCACACCCTTTCCACCCGTAATCTCCGGCATCATCTCAGCGGCACGGCGCATGATGCGCATTGCCTGGTTGGGATCAGGCTGGCTGTCCCATTGACCTTTCGAATATGTGCCTCCAAGAACTGTGCCTCCACCAGCAGCTCTCGTCATAACGTAGCACACCTCATCGTCAGCATCGTCCGTACCGGACTTGGTCAGCATATAGGGGGCCTCGTTTCGGACGACCACAACTTGACCACGTATCGGAATGACGTTCTGGTCCATTACGCCACCAAGTCTTGATGCCATTAGACCAGTGGTGTTGATGACCACGTCAGCTTTACCGCCTGTGTGGCTCAAACGAGATGCTTCAGATATATGTTTCAACACCCCGCGTCGCAAGACAGCCCCGTTCTTGCGACATTGGGCTACCAGCCAAGGCAGATAGAGCATCACATTGATGCATACCGAGCCGAATTCACATCCTGATGCCATACCCTCAGGCAAATCCTCCTTGGACAGCTCTCTGAAGTCATCAAATAAGGACTGGTACCAAGGATTCTCAACGTACAGGCTGTCAAAACTGTAGCCCCCTTTCCTCAGCATGTCCAGGTCTTTCTCGCGTCGATAGACTCGCGATTCTGCACATGTCAACTATGCTTCACTTCTGCCAAATCGCGCATGTGGAATGCTAGCCCTTACTCTGTAGATGAATGCCAGCCTCGGGGACCTCGGCAGCCAACCTCCTTAACTCTTTCCACGTGCGGCGTTCCCAGCTGCTATCCTTCTCCGTAGCCATCCTACTTCCTGTTACTCGCAAGCCTATACACTTGGGGTACGCACCTATCTTACGGCAAAACATTAGCTCCCGCTATCGGTGAAGTATATTCTATATCATAGTCGCCAGGCATGTGTTTCGCTATGATTGTGATGGCATTCTCTTTCTGCTTCGACAATAGGTAGGCACAGGTCAAGCCAGATACACCGGCGCTGTAATTAAGTCAACTCTCACACTCGCATTTCGGGCCGTAGGATGTTATACGCACCCAACAACAACGATATTCGGCATATTGGCTGCTTCCAAGTTATTTGACGATACCAAGGAACTATTCTAATCGACGCAGGGGCGAAGAAATAATGCCTTCAGAACAGTGGGTGGTCACCTTTTATTCGTATAATTCGCTACAGCAATCTGTCTGTAATTAAGTATAATTAAGACATGTCATGTTTGACTGATTTAGCTCCTCAGTGTGCTTGTTCATCGTCGAGCCGATGCTGGCCGATGACAAAATGCGGGACAATCCACTCCGACGCCGGCCTCGGCTTCCCTTTTCCCGATTCTCTATCGCGGACCCGGCTGCTAAACGGCTTTCCAACTTGTATTCAATATCTGGGTTTTCATTGATTCACGCGAGTTTTCGTATATTCTCATCCAATTTCGGATTCTCGTCGTAGTCTAAATCAATAGCACTTGAGGCCTTAGACACAACTGTTGAACATAGAGCAGCGGGGCTCCCAGAGCCACACAAATGCGGCCATGAACTGCATCTCAATATCAACTAATTCACATATTTATGGACAGACGCACTATTTTCCCGATCCCTCACTATCATTGATGAATGCCCTTGCTCTTGTCTTTCGTCGTCTTCTATGCACTATACAGAGATGTAAAGTACGGTTTGCTAGAGCAGTTGTGCTGGTTGGCGGGTATTATAGGAGACCCTCATCCCATCCTAAACTCTCTTTGAACATTAGTCTAATACCTAGGTTGACCAGAAGATACAGTGTGTGGGTGGGAGTTTTCCATGGGGTCCTGAGTAGTGTTACGTGAAGCCCCTGAGCCTCATGATCTAGCATGTAGCGTCATGTTAGAAATGTTCGACAATATGTCTGTCTCTCTTCCATGGTTCATTAGCCAGAATATCTTCTACTGCTCCCTTCCGCCCCTGACGGGACCGAGGGAAAATTATCGTAAGTACTACGCTCTAGAACCCTAGAACATAAGGCCTAAGAATTTAGACTCACGTAATACCGCACAAGCGACAACTATGTCATTGAATTCCTAAACAAAGGAGTGACGTCGTGATACTTGAGTATAAGCCGTATCAAGGCGGCGCGGTCGTGAAAACTTGCTCAGAGCATGGTTGACGCTACTTTAGATGGATGCAGTAAGACGTGCCGTGTCCGTTATGTAGGTATTTCGGCATGTACATCAGCATACAATCCTCCTACGTGCGAAGTAGTCGAGTCCTTAGGCTGGTATGGTATGAGTTGCCGCTATAAGCTGTGATGATACCCAACTTCAACATACATTCAGCCGTCGAGGTAGACACAGAGACACGAGCAGATATCATGCGGCTTACGGGCGTGCTCCCTCCTCTAAATTGGGCTAACATATTCGAGACGCGCGAGCTATCAATGCATATTACAGTTTGGTGAAATGTTTCGCCAGTCCCATGGATGTGCACAGCCCTACTGTAGGCCAGTAACCTATCCCTTGAGTTTAGTCATTGTGAAGGGCAACGGCCAAGATCTACCAGTCGCAAACGCCGTATTTTATCTGCAAGCTGAATCCTTGGTGCTGACGCCACGTATCCCAGACTGAGACCCCTTTCATCCGTCGTTTCCGTTCTCACGGGAGCACTCTATCCAACGTCCTAATGTAAAACGTGAAGGACGACCTTCGTGAAGCGCCCCCGTGGCACAAGCCACAAGATGGCAGGTCGATATTTCGACGGGCCTTTTATCAACTACGCTACTGTACCTACACTCAGTTCTCGGCAGATGCAAAGAGAGCAAGCAAGCCAACTGATTAATTCGTTTTGGAAACATGAAGCATCTGACATGACCTCATATTGCTTGCGAGATGTCGAGTTGATGTACCTAGGCTAGCTGGATAAATTCCTATGACCTTGAGGGGTTTTCTTGAATTCATCTGATCTCACCTCGACCCATCGTCACGCTAAACATATCTACCATACCCGAACGAATGGATCATCCAACCGCTCACGGCCGACCCGCGTCGTCATCGAGCATACACACTAGAATCGGCTGATTGAATCTCGGGTTCTAATAATCTTACTTACGGAGTGCGCCTTACCCCGTCCAGCGCTGAGTGGCTTACTTATGAAGCGCTTTCGTGCGAGGCATGGTTCTTGGTTAGTTCGTGAAACGAGCTACTTTAGCTACTGGCGTCGCCGGAGTTAGCGGGACTCTGGACTGCGAGATGGAAGTTGGCATCCCGTAAGGGGCATAATCTGGAATCTAGTACGCTCATTACCTACTGTATACGAGTCTGCATACCAGGGCGGATTGTACTCTAAGTTATGAAGGAGAGAAACTCTGTTTCTCCACGTTGGCTCACTGTGCAGACTATTGCCGTAGGGCTTCATATGCGCGGCCTCAGCTTTCTCTATTCTACCGCCAAATGACGATCATATACCACGTGTAGTTTAGAGCCGAGCCCAAAATAAGCAAGAAAACTTTGCTACCCCCAGGTTGTCAGACGCGCCGTCCCGTTCATGATGGTCTAGTCAGTATACGGCCTCAAGATGAAAGGACTGCGAGTCAAGTTTGCATTCAAGTAAAGCATATCTACCTACCGGTACCATCATCGGCAAGACACAAAGGCTTTCGGAACAGGGCGAATCAGCGCTGAAAACGCAGTATCATGCTTACATATTATACCTGTTGGCATACACCGGTAAACACTACTCTGCCACAAACAGTCAGCTAGGTTAGGAACTGCCGGTCCGAAATGAAGGATTGCCTCAGGGTCTTTTGTCCTTGCCGTTGGTGTGGCCAGTGACAATTAGCTGTTGGAACTGCAAGGCTACACCATGCCACTATCTTCTGTATTTCGTATTTCTTCTCGGGTGGTTCGCATCTCCCTGTCGCTTGTGCTTGTCATGAGTGGAAGACCGTTCTAACATCTAAACAGCGCACTCTAACTGGTAAGTACTGCAAGTACTATTACACCGTAGTATCAAGTATACAAGCATCAGCTTCTAAACCTACAGTGAACTTATACCTAGAATATACAATAGTTATGATATTGTCCTCTCTAAGGCCTGTTTCACCGAAATACCCTACACCGAGCAACAATTCACGACGAACAAGCCTTGCAAGTATCCCGGAAGGCTAATACCGCCGACCCTGTTGACATCCAAGAAGTGGATCTAGCACCCAGGATAGGCAGTTGGCGAGACGGCTCCAGAATACCAACATAATTTGCAATTTTATCAATTACATGTAAGCATGTCTTGCGATGCCTGCCCCCCCGACATATTAGCTCGCTGGAAAACCGCCGGTGCAGATATCGTGGGCGCTGTTTTGCTTGGTGTCTTGGGCTTCAAGCCTCATATGTTAGCGCCTGAAAAAACCAAGCCTCTATCTGCACTATGGCGCTCTGGCCTAACCACGCAAGGCCAACGGATCTGTGCCCATCACGCGCTACGAAATCGAACGGCCACCTCACATTCTCATGCTCCCTGGTTTCGTCATAGCAAAATCGCACGGGCTAGAGCTAGTGTCGTCCCGTGGCTAGTGGTTTCGCGGCTAGATAATGGACTGACCAGGAACGGGCGGGAATGCCTCTTCTCGTGACGGTGAAAATGACGGAATTCAGCGCATATTTTCCCACTAAGTCGACCACTCCCTGGTCATCAATGAGGGTAAATTATCCTTTCCGCGACACCCTAGACCGTCGGCTATCTCTCCTCGACTGGGTCCCTGTTCTTGTCTTTAAACCCCCGCCCGAGTCGAGGCGAGATTCAAGTCTGACCCGGAGAAAACGTCACGGAACGAACCCAGGGTAGAGCAGGGTGGGGGAGTCGGGACGGAAGACAACAGCAGGGAGCAGGGGATAACAACCCTGGAAGAGGAGAGGAAATAAGATGAGATGAGGTGGAATAAGGTTGAAAGTCGCGATATTGGACTTCCTAACCCCACGAAGAAATGGCGTGGTATCTTACCCAAGGTTAGCTTAACTACCTAGCTCAGCCTAGCTGATAGGTAAGGATTGAAAGCTGCTGTTGGGAGACAGGTAGCACCAGCGATGCGATGATGAGCTGACTTTGTCGGGACCGGAGTCAGCGCAAGCCCGCCCTCGTCGTCCTCTTCAGCTCCCCCCTACTGTATGAATGTAATGTATGTACTCAAGTGTGTGATATCTATGATCAGCAAAGAAGAATTTTTCGCATCTGTTGCCGTATGCGGACTACTGAGAGTCCTTCATGCATCAAATGCCTATCTACCTACCATCCTTTGTATAGCACTTTGCGAATGATAGATGCGTAGCCACGCAACGCTGATCGTCCAGCACCAATTATAGTATACCTGGCTATCTACACGATACGCGCGCGCGACGCTGATGGTGTATAGTATGGACTGTATAGCTGCAGTGTATTTTGTCGGTGATGCGAGGTGAACAACGCCGACTCCCGAAACCCAGGAATGTGGGATATGATACGTGTTGGTGTCAGGGTTAATTAAATACAGTATTAAATACAGTCCTACTTTGATCAGTGGCTCCAGGATTGAAGTCCTTTGCCCGTCTTCGCGGCGATGCTCCGGCGTAAATGAAACAGTGGGAGGTAATCTTTTCGCGACGATGCTGACCAACATCTTCTAATGATGGCTTGATGTCTCGGGCTACACTACATAGTACCTAGGTACATCTGCAGAGAGTGTGAATATCCATATTATGTGTGTAGTATAGTATGAGATGCCTGGGTACCCAAGCATCCAGGTGGCCTAGGCAGGCCTAGGCCATCAAAGCAGACGACAGACTGACACTAAACAAATACACTATCTTCCATCTTCCATGCATGAGATTCTAATATTCCGAATTTGCTATGCCATGGGTTTCTAAAGCCGAGTGCTGTGAGTAAGACGAAGTCTTGCCCTTTTCCTCTTGGACAAGCCTGAGGATGCGGTTGGTTGGTTGGTTCGATTGGTTGTTCGATTGGCTGCCCGTCCCACAATGACAATGGATGTGCATGGATTGGCGACCCGGGGGAATGGTAGTGGCAGATGAACTGAGCAGAAGTGAGGGACGAACGACTCTGACTGCATCATCATCATCATCATCATCATCATCATCATCATCATCAGTCATCTGGTGCCATGCATGCCTAATACAGTAGCAGACAAGTCCTTTACCGATTGGCAATACTCGTATACCTATAGTACATTTGCAGATGATCGATGACCTCAGCTGCCTGCCACGACAATGTTGATTGAATCGCCTATCCTGACTACAGGTACCGTACATACCGGTACTCCTATGTACATGTAATGACTAGGAGGGTGCGTAGGGCTAGACGAACCAGAGAGCCATGTAACCATACATAGTAAGTAAGCAAGAGACAAAAGTCCACGTATACGAAGTAATAATTAAAAAAAAAAAAAAAAAAAAAAAAAAAAAAAACAGCCCGCCTTGGTCAAACAGAACACTGTCGAATATACTTCCTTGGTACCTAGACAGTCTATTCAAGAACATCCGCAATCATGGCAAGTCGTTCCGAATAAACACGTGTTTCTGTTGCTGTTCCGTCTACACTACGAAAGTGGTCCATCCGATTTGACCCAAACCAGGACAAACTGACACGTCACTCAAGGTTCTCGGTGTGAAAATTCTCCAATGCGAAAATATACCTACATAGAAGTCTAAATGGAAGGAAGAAACCTGCATGAATATAGAATCATATTTCGGCCAAACTTGCCTCACTCAAGTTTTGCGCCGTAATGCTGTCAGCGATCAGCACGCGTATAACTAACGGCGTAGTGTACTACCTAGCTGAGAGGCACAAGGAGCGGTGAGAGCGCAACCAACAATGCAAGACATACCTACTACCTATGTACATACTTGGTATTTATCTTGATGGGATAAATACTTCGTATGTAAGTAAGCATGTATGTACTTGTTATGCGGCGTACCAGGAAACCCCCTTGAAGCCAGTGCCGCGCTGTTGGGACCCGGCAGGTCGGTTGTTTTGGAGATTTGCTGCGGGCGTGCGGCACAATGCGCTCTCTGTCTCTTTGTTGCGCGGCCGTGAGCACTAGGCAAGGAGGGAGGAGAGAGCGGATGGCGCCAACATCAAGAACTCATACGATTGGAGAATCAGATTTGTGATCTAGATCTCGTGGCTTCTTCAATCGCATGGGTTGGCTCGCGAGCAGCGTTCGCGACGAGCCTTTGCGTACAGCACCACCACGAACACTACCTCCACCAAGGTTCAAACACTTTGCCCCCCACGAGGTTACCTAGTCTACATACTCTACCACGTACTATGTACTCTACCTACTACGTAGGTACTGGGTAGGGGCTAAATGACAAATTAGAATGCGCCAGCAATCATGGGTTCCAGACTGCTGGGAAGAAGCAAAAGCTGCAATGAAAGTTGTCCACGTTTTTTGGTTCCCTTTCCTCTCTCCTCTTGGGTACTTAAATGGGTCGTGTACGCTACTTAAGTAGGTAGGTATGTGAGCCCGGCCCCAAGTTATCCAACGCGTTGGGATTCGATAGAGCGAAGTTCTATGATAGTAAATCGACCTGTCAGAAATGGGCTGCCTTATTGTGGCTCGGGTTTTCATGCAGCTAACATACTATTGGAATCCACATGTTCTTGACAGGCGAGACAGGTTTCCTGAGGCCCAACACTACTCGTTGTTAGTCCAGTCTCTGTCCAGCCCTAGTCTCAACTTGCCCCCCCTAGTTCTATACGCGCCTAAGCCAGGTCAGACCAGGTCTTCCCAGTTCATCGTACCAGATATCGTACCGACGTGTACCCTATCCCCAGTATTGATTGTCACGTTCAGCTGGATACCACCTGCGCCTGGACCTCAAGCCGCACCAATAGCTTCCCGGCGCCACTGTGGCGAGAAGAGTCACAAGGAGGGTTCGCATGATTTTCTACCTCACTCATCCTAGGTACGGTACTGTCTCATGTCTCTATTACTATGTAGAGAAAAGACATCCAGTGTCTCAGTATTGCACTAGCACGTGTACATAAGTTCACTTGTTAATTTTTTTTTTAAAATGTTATTCCCAAGTCTTCGGAAGCCATGTGTCAGCTTCCCCAGTGTAGTACGAAACTGGTTCCAGGTACTGCATCAACTACTTTGTCATTTCAACAACCCTCCTTTCACCCTAGTTCTTTGCCAAGAACGGGAATGTCGGCATGTTTGAGAGAAGCTCATAGTAAGTGTCCGACCTTGGTAGGGCTGGTTGTGTTGCGATAGGTACGCCGGGAAGATTCTCGATAGCTTCATATGAATTATATGTAACCTACATACCTAGTAGAGATGCTCTATGTGCTAGCGTGGCTATACTACGTGGCCGCCTCGGTATATACTACATTGGAAACTTAATCGATCCTTTCGTTCATCTCCTCAAGAATTCGTTCACCGGATATACCTAGTTCCATATGGGTCACCGTCCACGATTGCGTTACCAGATCAAGAATTTAAGCCGCGACTAATGCCGACTGAGAGTACTATGTAAGAAGAAGTGTGCGATTGCGTTGAAGATCCCAAAATCCCTCACTAGTCACCTCGCTCAATTTGTTAGTAAGCGCGCGATGTCCTGCGCCTGTCGTCTATCGTTGCCATATCGCAAATGTTCCAGAAGACGTTCTAATTCGAAAACGGAAGCTAGGATTCAACCATAGTACTTCGCAGCGCTGGCCATTACGTGTACTTATTGCAGGGGATACTTAGTACAAGACGCCATAGGTAATGCTTCTTCTCAAGTCTGCCCAAGTGGTTTAAATTAGGCCACGAAAAGCGCCGTAGTGTGTATACCTTCATGCACCACCTATATGGAAAGCAGCGTATACTATCTATCTCTCGTCGTCAGGCCATTATCGGTTGGACCTCGCGTACACCTAGTAGGTATTCAACCGGGACACTGAAGTCTGCGAGTCGCAGATATGTGTACGATCTTGAGAGACATCTTTCACTACAGTCCTGTCCTTTGCAGCAAAGCATAGCTGCGCCCCGGTCAAGGGTTTTTGCCAAGGTTCGTGTGCTGATATCTCCATGCTTTGGTTTCTTCCCCATGTTTGCCCGTGCGTGCCTGTGCGGCAGCAGGCAAGAGAGCAACAGGATACTTAAAAGCATCATCAGCAAACCACAAGTCATAGAATGCCGCATTTGGGTATAATGTCAAAGTCCAGACACTACGGGTGGTTGCATATGGTGTAGGTAGGTAGGTAAGAGCAGAGTAAGAGGTGCAGGTAGACAGACAGATGATGACTAAAGGAGTATCTACACTGTCTTTCACTGCTTCTGTTAGCTATTCCTACTCCCGAAACTTGACTCAGTCGTCGTAGAGATCGTACTACCGGTATGTAGAGAGTGTCGAGTGTAGTGTATTGACTTTCCGGCAGTTTGAATCCGGGGATGGGGTCGAAGACTGAAGATTCATAAATAGCAACCATACATAGTATATGCGTACCTAAGGCTACCTACCTACATACCATACTGTATACTCAATACCCTTCTCCACCCATCATCATCATACTTACAGTACGGTAGGTAACTGAGGCACATTACGATATGTACATACTTATTCTACACCCACCAATGGATATAGCCAAAAACTTAGAAGGCTTATTCCCGCTTGGTACCCTCAACTGTTAGTCGGCGTGGGTACGAATCAGCAGACGATTGGCCTCCCAGCTTCCCAGAGGTCTGGGCTTGCAGGATATCGTCACGTCGCGTTGCAGCAGCCTCGGCAGGTTTCTTTGCGTAGTGATTGGTGGCGGCTCGCGGGTAGCGGAGATGTCGCTGGCTGTTTCGGTCAAAAGACAGGACAGAGAACAAGGTCTGTCATGGGTACTATAAATCGGGTTAAATACTAATAGGTGTAGCGAGACGTATGGCCTGATCTATGATCTACAAGTAGCGTAGAAAGCTGTTGCTAATTAAGGATGACTTAAATTAATATTTAGTACCGTACTTCGTAAAGTCGCCGGACAGTGTTGCCCCTGTCTGCGCTGCTTTCTCTGGATGTGCCTAAACCACATAATTATGCCAGCACTATCTCGATACATATTATCTATTATCTACGTGTGTTTCCTCATGTCCCTAATACTGGGTAGTACCTAGTGGCCTAACATAGGTAGTCAATGTCTAAGTACATACTATGATAGAGGATGGGTAAGTCATATATCCCCAACTACCTGTGCAATGCATGTGGCTGTCACTCATTGATGTCTGTGTCTACCTACTGGACTACCGGTACACTACCTCGACTACATATGTAAGTGGTGTAGTAATAGAATATTCAAGAGATAATATACCTAGGTGCTACCATGTACTTAGCTATTGGTTCCCAACGAGTTCCTTCGCTCAATGGTAGTCTCTCTCAGGATACCATTGAGGCGCCAATGAAATATCCTGCTATCAGATATCCCCACAATGGCCGACCACCCTATCCACCTTAACAAACCTGTCTGACTCGACCGAATTAGTTAGACCTATTGGGGGAGCAGCACACTTACAGTAAGTAAATAAGTACTTATTTAGTGATACTTATATACGGAACACATATTGAGTAGAAGAGTAGTTCACAAATCGCACCAATCGTTCCCTGCCCTAATTTGCAGTAGTGTTGGTATTCTCCAGCCCATCGGTCTGACCTTACTGGGATTGACCATGTTGCTCTCGTCTTGCCGCATGAGTTCTGTATGCACTACATGTACTTAGCACTCTACTGTACAGGATCCTGGCCACGTAAGTACCAGTGTACACTACAACCCGGCGCACCGAGATGCCGGGCCCTGCTGGGTCGCTGGTATCTTACCCGCCACCAACAACAGAGTGGTGGTACCATGGCACGGGGTGCTTAGCGTCAGGTATCGAGTACCTACACTTACTTCACTAGGCGCCCAGCATCTGGTGTGCCTTTGTTAGAACCACCATGTGTCGTCGCCTAACCAGCATACTTAAAGTACCTACTTAAGTAGGGGGAGGTAGGTACCTTTGTACATAGTAGGTAAGTAAGATAGCCAGTGTAGATAGGTACGAAGTACTTCATAGGCATTATACTGTCTGTAGTGTAGGTATGGAGCACAGCGCGTCTACACTGGCGTATCCAGGCCAGCCCCCATCCCACCATCCAACCATCCAACAATTGCCCATATCCCTTACCACAGGGGTGTGATGCATGTACAGAGTACATATATGTATAGCGAGCGAGATGTTGGCAAGCAAACACGATCCATACATACAGTAGGCATCTATAGGAAGTACTCTGGTAGGTAGTATGGACCCCACGACCAGAATGTCGGTAGCATGTCCCAGTGTGGCAGAAACTTGGTGAACCAAGCGCATTTCATTTGTTCACTTTTTTCTCCCCTTGCCCTGCCCTGGACCCGAGCGCTTGTACCAACCTATTCCTCCGATTGTCCCACTTTCACTCCTCGTCCTGCCTACATAGTGTAAGTAGGTAGTAAGTACCTAGGTAGAACATGTATAATCCTCCTACTGTACTGTAGGGAGGCGAGAGGCCACCACACTACCTCAATAGTGCATGTACCTACTGTATCTATCTAGGTACATAGTACATGTGCCTGCCTACATACATTTACACTACGCTGCACTACGCTGAGACTACGTTGCGCTAGGTGGCACTAGGGGGCAACCATCCCTCGCCTGCACCCCGTCAGAGCCCCGTCAGTTGTAGGCCGGCCCTGTCGCCTGCATGCCTCGCGCGCTGTCTGGGTAACTTATCTGGGTGACCTCGTGCCGGTACAGACTAAGTAGCAGCAGCACCTTGCCATCTCCCACCCTTCCTCCTGGAATCCCTCGTATATTGTGTACTACACCCGGTGAATTATGGGTTTCCTCCCCCTTCTTTTTTTTTCTCGCCAACAATTCTGAACATAGACTCAGATATCAACCCGTCACGACTCTTCAAACGCCCATTCCCCAATTCTCACAGCTACGTAGGCTGTATTTGGCTCTGCCCTTGACCCAGGAAGCTCCTGCTCCACACACTCGGTAGTATTATTACTGCTATTATCATAAAGAGGGTGGAGTGCCTGGCCTGAGCCGCTGATCACCAAGACTACCAGAACTCTGCCCACAGAGACAGAGAAGCGCCTTCTTTGTCAACCAGCCTCCATTGAAGTCGCCTCAACCCTCCAGTACAGGGAGGACTTTGGGTGCTTTCTTGGAGGTAGCTGTCTATGTGTGGAGGATTACGTACAACGCCAGAAGAAATGGTTGGACAGTTATAACAAGCTTTGGTACCTCGCTCACCTCGCCGACTCATTCTATGGAAACTGCTTGGAACGAAACCTTATGGTCTATCGATAATTGGGGAGAATTAACTGATCTATCACAATCATGAGTTCGTCAACGCCAGCACCTAGAGAGGGCAAGGAGAAGAGAGGCATGGATAAGGTTCTTTATAGGGTCAAAACTGTCTTTCACAGAAAAGGAAGCAGCTCCCGCAAAGGCGCCTCGAGCACACCACCTGCACCTGCAGCAGCTTCTGCACCTCTAAGGTAAGACTGGCTTTACCTTACATGTGAAGCAAAATTAACACTAGGTGAAGCCAACCCGCTCCACCAACCCCGCCGAAGAAATTACCAGAATATGAGGGTGCCACGAGGATACCCAGGATCCAAGTCCACGAGGAACGCGCGAAGAAGCTTGGTGCCCGGTTTGGTTTGGAAATCAAGCCTAGTGAATGGCACAGCTCCGAGGGTGAGGTTCTCCGGGTTGATAAGCCAGTGCGCATGCGAATTCATCGAGAGTGTCACCGATGCAAATCACGTTTTGGCGCCGGCAATGTATGTCCTTCATGTCAGCACACTCGATGCAAACAGTGCACGCGATATCCAGAACATCAGACCGATGCCGAGCGACAGGCCAATCGAGAGAGGAGAGAGGCCCTTCTTCAGAAACACAAAGACATGGCTCCTATACTCCCAAGCTACGACTATTCTCCACAAGCTCAGCAGATTGTGCTCACACGTCCGAGGAAAACTGGGACCCAAGATCTGGTATACAAGGGTCGTCCTCGCATGCGTGTGAGGAGGTACTGTCACGTCTGCGAGAACCTCATCACCTCCCACGCCAAACAAGCCAGAACTTGCGAACGGTGTGATCACAAACGCTGTGCTGACTGTCCCCGGTACCCGTAAGTGTTATACCTAAGGTTGTTATTTTAGTTACTCATGTGTATCAGGGACAACAAGAAGAGCTACCCCTACGGGTATCCCAATGACGAGCCCGGTTCTAAATTTAAAGGCGTATTCGCTTGCCACGAATGCAAAACCAAGTTTGACCCTCAAGCAGAAGATGGAACCCAATGCTCAAAGTGCGCTCATGAAAAATGTTCGGAATGTCCACGTGTCAAGCCGAGAAGAGTCGAACCAGAGCCTGACCCTGAAGTGTTGGAGAGTTTGCGGCTTCGCATGGCCGCGTTACAAACATCGGAAAGCTGAAATTCTTACTCAGCAATCCGAACCCAACGCAACTTCATCAAGAGGAATCCAATTACGTATCGCGAACGACTACCTTTTTCTTCCATACTTCCTCTGTTATTTCTACAGCTTCTCTTTTTTCGCATCTAATATAGCGAACGTTACGACCAGTGATGACGACATCGAAGGAGGAGCCTTACATAGAATGCCTTCACTTCATGGAGTTCATCTCGGCGCATTGGTTATTATTTTGGCATAGCCAGGGCGACGAATATCATTCAATCTTGCGATCAACGACGACAACATGAACCGCATCAAATTCACGTCAGCATACAACATCGCATTTTGCAATTTGGGGGAATATCATGCATGATGTGTTTTTTTACACTCAATAAAACTTCCTCGTTTATAAACACACTCGAGTTCTGGCCATCGAATACAAGAACAGAAAAGAGACTGCCAGCTTGGCAAATAAGATAGATGGTGTTGATTCCTAAGCCTGGGTCACTTACAATCTTCCTATGCACCACCTCACGCCGCAACCTTGCCTTCAGTTGCTTCAACTTAAGTGTATCTACGCCCCCAAGCATGTTTCAACCGGAAATAAAATAGGAGGAAAAAATTAAAGAAACTCAATTTCAGTATGACTTGATTCTCGCTATGATGTGATTTTTGCATCCTTACTCCCCCTGACAGAGTAATGTAACCAGACTGCAGGTGAACATAACTAGCATCGTGATTTGTTGACGTACCCACCATTCTGTCTCGCAGCTCGGCCTCGCCTGTTCCATGGCTGGGGTTAGCAACGCCGCTCAGTTGCAATCAGCAGACAGTATATCCACTTACAGGTCTATTACTTTGCTACAGTCAATGCTTGGTATTATGTGCTGTACGCAATGCTAGCATTATTGACAGCATCATATTCGCTAGTGGGACAGGACTTGCCGAGACTATTTGACATCTCCCTGATCGCCCAGCGTCGCACCACAGGTATACAATCAAGTGACACTCCTGTAGCAGACCACGAACCCTCCAGCATGCCATCATCTTGACGCACGCATCCGCGTGGTTGGGATCTCCTCCCTTACCAACCAGCTGTGCTGGCACTGCATTATACGATCACAAACAAGACATCGTAATAGAGGTATGTAGATGGACTCTATCTTCCTCTTCACTTATGTTTCTCTGAGAACTAGGCACACACATCTATATTAATCATATTCATTTGTCATTGGCACTGCTGCCGTACGACTTGAAATCACGTATGAACATGAACATCGCTGCCGAACACTATAGTCCACATATATAGAATGGGCCAGTAGGGTACCATCTCCAAGGTTGTGTTTAACACCTATCAACCTGGGTGATTGTTGTGGCAACATGGCTCCCACTGTTTCGTCGGCTAGATTAGTCTGTACAAACTGGTTGTAGATCAGCAAGCAACGTACCGGTATTACCAAACATAGATACCAGCCATATGGGATTGGGAGCGCAGAGCATAAGCGTTTGACATGTATGCTGCACCAACGACGTCCTGCTGGGGTTTCCCTTCGTGCTGTGACACGAATCGTCAATCAGGATGCGCAAACCCCGCAAACGTGCCACCAAAGTGCATCGTATCCAACACTGTCATCACCCGCCATTCTGTTCCGTGGCCCTGGATAGCTCGACTTTATTTCATGCCAACGCCTCCTTTCAGAACATTTGGCCCGCTTTACGGTCTAATCAGAGGCAAAAGACGAAAACTAAAAAGGAAGGGAAGGCTTGACAACGTCAAACGACTCCAACGGGACGGTAGTGGTCTTGGCATTGGGGCAATGCTCCGTCGGTAATGATCAAATGCTCATCCAACAAGAGGTTCTGACCCCAAACCATCAAGCCGGGAGAAGCATGGTACTTGCTGCAAGCAGGAGCCAAAAACAATACGTAGGGGCGGGGCAGGAGAGTATGAGGGAAAAAAAAAAAAAAAATCAAAGGGAAGGACTTTGCTTTCTTGACAACCTTCCCTCCGCAAACTCGCATACGTATCTGTATGCAACTCTACTGCTGGATGTATGCAAGTAAGTATGTAATTACACCAGTGACAAGGCGACATTTTGCCAGAAAACCACCGTCCCGTATCCAAGGCTCCCCCTCCTCTTCGCTTTGATGCTACCTTACCCACACGATGGCGAAAGACAACTGTCGTCTGATACCGACTATTGTCGACGACTGGGACAATCCTCCGCACGGGAAAAGCCGCCCATGCAGTCTTATGAGCTAGGTGGTCGTGAGTGGTACGCTCCGCGCTTCTACGAACGTGCCGCGTCGTGGGTAGGACAGACAGACAAAGCATTTTATGATGTAGCGTTATGGTATTGCACCTCTCCGTACATCCATTCCTGTTTCTGCAATCGGTCATTCATTGACACACCTTGCACTACGCAGAGTGTTTGAGGACCGCTTTTCATACTCCATGACCCTAACACACGAGCACACACACATGTCCAACACCTACAAACGCAGCCCAACATGCGGCCCTCAGGGGCCAGCGTCCTTCCGCTCGCCGACGCCCTCCTCCCCCTCCTCGTGTCCTGGGTATCTTCATACCATCTACGCAAAGTTCCCACTGATAGGAACCCAAATACAAAGGGAGGTATCCAAAGAAGGGCAGTGGCAGCGGCAGAGGCAACATCCGAGAGTCGATCACTGTCCATTACACAGCTAGGTATCTAATGCAATGTACGACGACAACCAACTGCATTAAGTCCCGAATCGGACTATCGGATTATCGGATTTAGACGCATGCCCTACAATAGTACCTGCAGAAAGAGACAGAGGAGAGGATGGGGGCCTTTATTCTGTTAAATTGGAATTCAGAATATCCAACAAGCGCCATTGGCTCGGCAATACCGCCACCGCGGCCGCTCGCCAGACCACGACATGACCGGAAACCGGGGTTCTTGTTTTTTTTTTTTTTTTTTGTATCAGTTTTTGCTTTCACTAACTCTCGAGATTTCCTTCGTGGGTGGTGGTCAATATGGAATAGACACCTAGCTTAGTACATTGCCACCATGGACGTGGAAATCGAAATACGTAATATAGATACATACAGTAGGTCAGCAAGCATACAGGTAGACAAGAAGATAAACAGAAACATTACTAAGTGACTACCTACGAAGTATCTGATAGATGCCCACACACTTGCATACGCACTGCTCCGAAATGCAGAAATGGCGGGGGGAGAGGGATAAGCGTGCCTGTCCAGGTGGATATCGTCGACACTGACAAGAAGAATAGGTCTCCGGCGCTGGGAAATGAAATGCGCAAATGGTAAAGCAGGTAGGCAGCTAACTGCACAAAGGGTAGCATGACGCAAGTTGATTCCTACTCGGCATTCGCCTCTGTTTCAATCCTCCAAGACTGCATGCCAACGTCGTTCTGCTACCTATCTCGATGATATACGTACCCACATACTGAACAACTTACTATGTCCCTACTTACCCAGTTGATATGTACAGTCAATACTAATTCCTCACTTACATGCAAGTTAGGTAATTGTTACATATACGTAGTAGAACTACGTATATATATATATGCACTTACTATTGCTGGGTGGGATGAGTTGGCAAGTCACTTCTGCTGGGGCCCTGTTCGTTCGCTGCATGTAATGCACTGTAGGTATAATGCGTCGTGAGGGCATCTGAAGCAAGGATGCCCTAGAAGAACCGAGTAGCGAGACACAAAACAACAACCATGTGTGTTATGACGTTCTCTATAGGTACTGTAGGTAGATGGATGGTTTCAGCGATAAAACTGTCTCGGAACTCAGCCACGGAAGGGAAGGAGCGCAACTTAAGAGAACCAAATTTAGTAGTAATTAATTGTTAACTATTTAAATCCCAGTGGCGATGAGGGAAATCTGCAGAAAGGATATTCACCAGATGGGCCGACTGAGATATAATGGCAGAACAAAAAGATACCTAATTATGCCCGTTTCTACCTTGTATCTACCCTAGCTAGCTGCTCACTAACTACTGTATGTAACGAATTCGAATTCTGCCCCAAGTTTACTACAGGGGTTTACTGTACTTAATGCAGTGGTATACCGGTAGAAGTTCCTTTATGTGAGACCGGCTCGCGATCCGAGGACGTGGTCGCCGGAGGGGCGGCGCTTTCTGAAAGAAAGAAATAAAACCCTTGCAAACTTGCTTCTGAAAATACTTGTTTCGGTTGGCGCGTGAGTAACTACTTATGCCTGCTGTACAGTAGACGATACTGTATTTGCCCCAATTAGAAGTAAAGTCGCGGAGGGCCGGGTTAGTAGAAGACCCCGATGCTTTGTACCCGCGCTGTGCCGCGCAAGTACATCCGGATAACTCAACTCATACCTAGTGCGCCGACGATAACACCGGCTCGCAACCCATGGCCTAGGTATGTACCTATAACAGGTACCTAGCATACTATGTACAGAAGGTATTGCCTTGAGATGATTTATGTATGTTTCTCTTTCCTAATTCACTTAGCTTCCCGGAACTCAAGGATTACTGGTACCTACTGCAATGCGGATCTGCCTTCTTCCCCGGCTCGGCATTCCAATCCTAGCTTACTTGATGCCTCGGTGAAAATTGTGTGTTTTGATAAGTATTATATCTTCTATAGGTTGTTAAATACCTAGTAGTATGTACAGTTGCCCATACCAGTATATATGTTGAGAAAGATGAAGGGCAGCGTGCTTTCAGGGCTCTATATATGTCTCATGATGTAAGACCCTAGGTCGACCTTCGTCAGGTATGATGATAAAGAGTACCCCTAGAAAGCAGTCCAAGAAGACAGAAAATGATACGAGAAGCAGTGCTAGATGAGTTTAGAAGAAACCCCAACTGAAGAATTTCATTACGTTCACGAAGAATATATAATCAAGCCGAACAAATGTTTTTTTTTTTAATTTAATTTACTTGAAGCTGACCGACCCGACAGTTTGGGCCCTAGTCGCTCATTCGCCAAGACATTCTCCGGAACGCTACTTGGATTTGAAACTCGTCACTGATATAGAACTTGGCTTCATGGTCCATCAACTACGATGGTTGCTCATTAAACGGATTGCTTTTTCTGAAACAAACGATTATCCTGTTCTTATACTAGAAAGACGCCTCTCAATCACCCAGTATTACAAGGCGCTGCTACCGCCTCGTTATCACATCGCCCTGCTCACGTTCTCTATCTGATTAATTTACACATGTCTTACCGAGTCTGCCTAAGTCCCTTCTCATGTTATGGCTAACTCTAGGAAACAGTTCACACATTACCCTTTTAACGACATGATGCCCTGGTCCCTAGTGTCAATTCATATAGGCCAGGGAGCGGTGTTGTGCAGGTAACCGGCTCGGCCCCTCCAGCGTGCAGTCCCGATATGCACGTAAAGCTTGTAGGTAAAGCAAAACATAATAATACTTTTCATATCAGTAGTATCAGGGGAGAAGCCAGGGGTAACAAACGACAACCTTCTCAAACTTAAGGTCTCACCCATCTAAGCACTATGATTATGTTAAATTAAAGTATCTTGAAGTACCGGTAATACTTATATATCTGCATGTCTTGTGGCATGACGTAGTAAGATGTCCCCCATTGCTTCTCGTAGATAAGAATGTTACATACCGTGGCCCTATCGTCAGAACCGAATTCGATGTTACCTTTGCGTACCAATCGGCCTTCATGCATGGTTAATATCAACATGGATAAAAACAGCAGCGCGAAACCCCCGCAACCACAACGGCGAATGAGGGGAGTGGCGAATAATAATGGGTGTAATTTTTGTTCAACAAAACTTAATCCTAGTAGAATTTATGTGACACTGGTCTCGCCAGGCAAGATCCCTACTGGCCGTCCTGCAGCGCTCGTCTAGAAACGCAAGTTATATTAGGTAAATTATATACTTACATCACGTAGGTTAGGTTACGTACCTACATAGTAAGTAACTGGGCAAATTTACACGCATACATACACCGGTCAACACAGCAAGCACATACCTAGGTAAGTAACCCGCGTGCATTCCCGAATCCCTTGGGCCGACCTGCGTGATGTAGGTAGTGTATATATGTATGTAGGTCTGTTCTAGCGAATCCCCGACCACGGGACGGGGAAGCAAGGATTTCGTGGCCGTCCCGCTCCCACGGCTGCGTTCTGATGGGTCGCCAGAAACCCTCGTCTCTGCTCGTCGCAATTAAACCGATAGGCCCTCTTTTTTACCCTTGTTTGTTTTCTTCTATTCTTTTTTCTTTTCTGCTTTGTGTCGCCATTTTCTCTTCGGTAAGTTAGTTATATACCGTGCATAATTATTCCTTACCTCGGTAATGGGTACACTACACACACAGAATGAGCGGGGGTAGGTACAAAGGCCAGTAGCCGGTTCCTGTTGCCGGTACCATCCAATTTCCTGTCAATTAACGCGAAACATTCGATGATTTTATACCTATCTCGCTACCGAGTTGCTGGTTTGGCTGGGCCAAGTACCTGCTGTGCCGATGGGGAGTTGCTTTCTTGGGTAGGTACGCACGTAATAATTGCTGGCCACCTCGTATCCAGGTGTACCATATATCTATATATACTCAGAAGCTTTTAAGAAGACCGAAAGCGCTTCATGAAGACTCATACTACGGTAGCTGGTAGCAGATGACAATATAAAATTGGTTCAAAGGTAACTTAGGTATAAGCGTAGGAGTTCCACTAGTCATAACCATACTGCAGCCATATGTCAACCGATGATACGTGAAATTTCTTTTCTGAAGTGAAATGTGAGGAAAAATATAGTTCCCTAGTCATGTCGGTTCTCTAAACCCCATCTTAGCCACATTTTCTATCTTACAATGGTCTATCTAATATACCTCGATTACATCTGGACCTAGCTGGGGAGAGACGCCGGTAGGGACGGCACCAGCAACGGCCTGTGCTCGGTTGAGGACCCTTCCCACATGGGGGCCATTCGAATCAGCACGGTTGTTCAGAAGCGTCTGGATATCACCCACATGCTGCTGTTGAAGCATCTCCTGGAATTTAGCTGGGTTTAGGATAGGTGTGAGTCGGCGCGTCTCGTAAAAGCGACCTCGGATAGCTGACTCGTTAACTGTCATGTTCTGATTCATAGGCACCCATTGAACATGCCAACCACGGTTTTGAAGGATACTGTCTCGAAACTCTTTTTCTCCACGTAGGGCGGCGGGCAGCCCTGCTGGGTTGGGCGTCTGCGGTTGTTGGCCCAAAGCAACATGCTGCAACGTCCAGAGACTTCCCTCGAACATCAGCGCTCCGCCTTCTTTACTCACGAATATCCGCTTAACCACCATGACAATGGGCATCCCTTTCTCTGAAGTTTGCTCTTGCTGCTCTCGCGATAACTTGATTCGGACGGCTTCTCCAACACATATCTTCTCAGCACCGAGAAAGATGCCGCCAAAAACGTCGTAATTTGGCACCGACTCAAGGAGGTTGAAGGTGGAATAGCATTGATCTACGCGAGTCGCCGCTAGTTTTGTTGCCTCGATTGCTAAGGCCTCTCTCCTAGTAGTGTCGGTGTGCGTTCCGAATCGTTCCTGAAGGGCTTGCCAATTGATTTGTGCTAAAGCTTGACCCTTGAACTCCTGTAGGGCGTTGTTGATTTGGGGAATACTAAACGCCAAGAAAGGTCGTATGTCGGCTTCCTCTTTAACAACTTCTTGGGTTTGGTAAAGCGGATGAGCAAATGGTATTATGGAAAGTACAGGGCTGGAGGTCAGTATCATGCCCACACGCCAGGAGTTGTTGTTCTTAAACCATACAACCTCTCCTGCTCTAAACAAGGCATCATGATCGTGAGCAATAGTGTAAGGGTGCTGTGGAATGGCGGAAGTTGCCTCAGGCGCTTGGTAAGGGGTAGTTGTTTGAGCCTCGTGTGGAACGACAGTAGGTTGTTGGGGGGCTGTCGGAGGACGATTCACCGGCCGCTGTTTGACGCTCGGGGTTGTGGTCGTATTTTTGTTCATCGGAGCAGGAGGATTGACAATAGAGCTCGCATTGACATTTTGTGATAGCGAGGAGGGCGGTGCACTGGGAGTCGTGGTCGGTGCTGGTTGCCCAGGGGACACAGTAGGTTTTCCCTTTGCAGATTTACTAGTGATAGGCTTTGACCCAGAGCAAAACTCACAAGCACAGTCTCCCCTATCTTGCGACTCGCCTATTAACCAGAGGAGATGGGGAAGAAACTGATTTGGGGACCGGTAATATTTACGTGCTTTATTAGTGCCGTCTTCAGGATAGCCGAAGAGATAGTAGTGCTTCGCTTGATTCTTTTTCTTCTCCTCCTTAGCTACAAAGAAAGGTCAGCTTATGTGAGGGTGTCTGAGGACGTAGTCATACCTTGATACCACCTAAGATGGTAATGGCTCGGAAAATCTTGGAGAAAATATAACCCAGCTATCAAAAATTAGAAGACCAGCATTTTACTTCAGTACAACGAACCACCTACTCGCTTCGGGCAAGACTTCTGCAGCTAAAGCCTGGCCAAGCTTGTTCTGCCATTCAAATATCGGCTTAGCGCCTTCTTCAACCTTCTCGTATTGACTATACTCGGAAGGCATTTCGGTGCCATCGCTTCGCCAGACCTGAATCGCAGTTGCATTCGTAGACTGGAACTCATTGTCCGCGGCCTTCGAGTCCTTGGCCTTCCGAAGTGCCATGGTTATTCTCGTGGAGGTGAGCCTTATGACCAGGCAGACTTAGATATGCCACAATTGGTCTGAAGGAGGAGGAGTGGCATGTGTAGGAAGTGTTCTCGCCCCCAGTGTTGTTGCCCAAGAGCGTCTAGCCAGTGTTGGGGTTGTAAGGTCACACTTCTTTGTGAAGGTGATTAAGTTCTTACTCCTTGCCGCAGCCGCTGACGATCGAACAAAATTCTCACGCTTCTAGCAAGCGGCTATGTATTGAGCTTGTGAATTGTAGATTGGCCACTGGGGTCCTTACAGCTTTAGACGATTATCTCAAATTCAAACAGAGACAATAATTCCTGGACTCCGATAGTATGCAATCCGTAAAAGTGAGCAGAGCAGTCTAGTGTTCATAAAAATAAAGATAATGATGACCCGAAATAACCGAATTAAGATGAATAAGTCAAGCTCCCGGAGATCATGAAAGATGAGTCAGTAATGTGTCTTTCAGCTACCTGGGCATTCCCGTGATAATTAGTTCAGATATTGTCTTCAAAGTGACATGAGCGCTCTGCACTCACCGATTAAATGCTAGAGGTATGTGACAGGCTCTACAACCTTGGCTTCCAAGGGTTGAAACGCGTAATATGAGATTTCCTATGCCATATGCTTATGATTCCATCCGGTGATCAGTATGAGACCACGAATCGCAAGTCATTGAGAGGACGCTGAGCGCGACTGAGGGGTTTAAGAAATATGATTGGCTACGTAGGCGTCTCAAAGCGTCCATGCTTCTTCCTGTCTTGGATCTAACAGATACCTAGGTACATACCTAGGCGACGATAGGAGGTTCTAAGCCACAGGGATACAGCTGCGCCACATCAAGGACACGGTGATCACGATTCTTACACTGTGCATCGCCTACCTACGAAGTAGTCTTTCTGTTATTACCTACAACAGATCAGCATCGTCACATTCTCGTGTAACGCAAACGAGCTCTTTTGACCAAGAGATTTCTAGAAGTATGAAGCGGCTTAATTGGCTGCAGATACTTTCAATAACCATATCTAGAAATATGCAGTTTACGTAAAGGAGTCATACAGCTAGTAATCTAGGTATATTATCTCGAGCTTTATGGGACTGCGGAGACGGAGAAGGCTGGACTTAACGGAGTTGTGTATTGATCTTTGTCACCACCTCGCAGACGCCTTCGCTAGCAAAGGGGGCAAGGATAAAAGGTCTTGCCAGTAGTACGGAAAGTCGTATTTGACAGATCATCTACATTATGTGATGTGACTATTTCCATTAGATCTTATGCAAGATGAACCGAACCAGTCCCCTCACGGGCTTAAAGAATATACCTCCGACGCTTGCAGCATCGAAGTATCGTGACACTTTGCTTGGATCACAATGAAGGCCCATTCATGCCACCTGGGCTGACAACATATAAAAGGGAATTTTCATTCAAGGCATCACGGAGATGGTTCAATCAACTTCTCAGCTCCCTCGAAAGACTATCTTGCTATACACCAGTGCAAATCCTCAGGGGACAACATTTCATCCAGATACCAGCAACATCAACACAATGAGTGCCTACGATAGAAATACTGAAGGTCTAGAGCTTGTCCATAAGCTCGCCAACAACGTGAAGGATAGGAACTGTGAGTCAAGAATCGTCAGTAAATCAAGTTCCAGGTTACTAACTACGACAAGTTCTTATCACTGGCCCAACACCTGGCGGTCTCGGCGCTGAGACAGCCATCTCCATTGCAGCTGGAAAGCCAGCTATGATTATTCTTGTCGGACGATCACAAGCCAAGGCGCAGCCGACAATCGACGCAATCAAGGCCGTCGACCCAAATAGTAAGGTCAAATTCGTGGTGGCCGAGCTATCATCTCTTAAAAGCGTGCGGACAGCTGCCCAGACTATCCTCAACGACAACGAAATCTCCAAAATTGACGTTGTCATCAACAATGCTGCGGTAATGGCATCTCCTCAGATGAAGACCGAGGATGGATTAGATTACCAGTTCGAAATCAACCACCTTAGCCAGTTCGTTCTCACCAACACCATCATGCCCAAGATCCTCGCAGCTGGCCCGGGAGCTAGGATTGTGAATGTAACTAGCTCGGGCCACCGGTATACTGGAGTCCGGCTGCACGATCCCAATTTCACCGAGCCCGGCTCTTACAGTGAGTTTGCGGGTTACGGCCAAGCTAAGACAGCAAACATCTTGTACTCGGTGGAACTCAATAAGAGGCTCGCATCTCGCGGCATACACGCCTATGCACCGCACCCCGGGAGCATCTCAACCAACCTTCAGGTTTACCTTCAAGCCCTAGGGGGAAACGCAATGCAGGTACTCGATGATGCGTCCTGGAAAGTGAACGGATGTTCTATGGAGGACACACGGAAACGGGACCCCACGAAGACATTACAGCAAGGATGTGCATCACTCATCCGCGCAGCGATCGACTCGGATCTTGTCAATGAAGAGGGTGTCTTTATCAATGATGTTAACTTGACCACGGACCCCAAGGATGTCAAGCCCTGGGCAACGGACCCCGAACTGGCAGAAAAATGCTGGAAGTTGAGTGAGGAGCTAGTTGGAGAGAAGTTTGATATTTAGATGACATATTGTCTGTGATGGTTCATTCTGGGCTGTTAGGTTTTGAGGGAGGATATCGGACTCTCTAGAACACACGAGATCTTAGATAAGTTTGAGTATAGGATTTTCTCACCTATAGTTTAGAAAAGAGATATCTAAAGGACAGAAGGTTCACTTGCATACATACCTCCTTGATGACTACGGGATGTTGAGTACCGAGGTGTCTAAGGCATACCTAGGTACGGTACCCAGGTAGGTATATAAACACCGTGCGGGCGCTACCAGCGGCACGTAGACGTAACTAAGCCACATGTATCTTGGCGCTACTGCAGAGCTGGCACCATCCATCATACAGGCACTAGATAGGTACCCGCACATGCATGTACCTAAGTACCGCTTCTTAACTCCGTCTCAGACATACGCATAAGGGGAGTTCGTTGGTCGAAGCGAGGGAGAGTAAACTCGCCCACACACCCAGACACAATGCTGTCTTTCATATTAATACAAAACCGACAGTGAGTACCGCTCAACCCAATCGATCTCGGACCGGTCGCGACCTTCTCGGGCCCAAAGTATCGTTTCGCTAACAGAAGACCGACCTCCAGAGGCAAGACCCGGCTCGCGAAGTGGTACGTGCCGTATACCGATGACGAGAAGATCAAGTTGAAAGGCGAGGTACGAGACGAACCAACGAGCGCTTCTTTCTTCTTCCATGTCTTACCAACCCCTACAATTCTATTGCACATCGCGATTTCAAGACATAACGACAAACTCCCTAACCCAGTCCAACCAACTAACACCCCCTTTTTCCTTGTCTAGGTGCACCGCCTCGTAGCGCCGCGCGACCAGAAATACCAGTCGAATTTCGTCGAGTTTCGGAACCACAAGGTCGTGTACCGGCGGTACGCGGGGCTCTTCTTCTGCGCGTGCGTCGACACCAACGACAACGAGCTGGCCTACCTCGAGGCGATCCACTTCTTCGTCGAGGTGCTCGACGCCTTCTTCGGCAACGTGTGCGAGCTGGACCTCGTCTTTAACTTCTACAAGGTCTACGCCATCCTCGACGAGGTCTTCCTGGCAGGCGAGATAGAGGAGACGAGCAAGCAGGTCGTGCTCACGCGGCTTGAGCACCTCGATAAGCTTGAATAAAGATATAGTGTATTACCGGGAAAGAAAGAGACCGGAGGGAGGGGGAGAGAGAATGAAGCATGGGCTGATTTGACTATTTTATTTTATAGCGAGATTGCCCGGTACGATGCTGGACGGGAAATCATAGCCATTCCCCCTCCCCTAAAAGGCTGATGGCGCGTAAGAGCGGATTTCATGCTTGGGTGGCGTTCGAGGTGCTGGAGTCTGGAGTTATCATGCATATAGGCACGCAGGCGCCTATGACCACTAGAGACTTTGTTCCCAGAGCAAGTCGGGTACAACGAGGTGTTGACACCACAATGGTATATACTCATGTATAGGTGTTCCAGCAATTACGTGATTCCCTCTGACTAGGTCTCTTAGCAATGCAATTTTTAACTGGGATGAGAAGAGACGGAGTATGGTTTCAACAGATATTCAGCCTACGCTCAGGAAGATTTGGACATGAGAAATTAGAGGTACAAAGAGCTATGTTTATGTCAAGTCTTTGATCTCCGAGCCTAGCAGCACTAAATTTACGATACTCTCGACCACTGCTTCAACGAATGTCTCTAGCCAAGTACCCCATAATCCACATCATCTATTTTCGTTTCCGAGAACCCTACGGCAGCCAGGGTAGCCACGTGAAAATGGTCATCTTTCCTTGAGCTACCGACTAACTGGATATAATGTGTCCTATAACTCCAATTTTAAGTGACGAAAAGCGAAGCGTAAGGCTTGGTGAGATCCTCAGAGCTAGGCACCACGATTAGCTCTCGCAAATACTTTTCATTATTGACACAGAATAGCGGTGATTCCTTATGTAAACACATCCAGTTATGCATATCGAAAGCCAAGCTCTTGCCGTCCGTCTGAAAGAAGCACCAGAAAATCTGCCCCGGTCTTACCTAACTTGAGCGAAATGGAAGTGGGAGAGGGGTCATCCCCTATTGATCTGCTTGCTCGCTCCTATCTGCTCAAAATCCATTGGATTCCTTCATCATTTCACTTGCAGTTTTCCGATTGAGTCTGAAGTTGACGATAGGATTCTCCCGAGCCTTGAAGAGAGACACGATCTCAGGACTAAATGGGGGACAGGTCACTGACAATTTAGATTCAGTGGCAATTTCGAACTCGTGATTGCCATCATTCTCAATCACCCAATGTGGGTTGTAATCGGTCCCCATCTTGGTGTCATGAGTATTCAATACCACTGATTGAGGGATGCCTTGCCCTTCCCCCCCTTTGGACATGATGTCAGCCGCTAGCGCGCTTAAAAATTCTTCAGCTTCTTCTCTGATCTTGTTGGATTCATCCGAAGATACTTTGGATAGTAACAATGTAGCTTCTTTTTTCCCATCTCCGCCAATCAAGATAGTGCATTGTGAAGAGTTGGTTGTGGTTGAATATGATGGTGATGATCTAGCTCCAACATGAACGTCAACCTCATCATCATATGCTAATCTTCCCTCGTCATTTCTTCGCGTCATTTGACCTAAGTCTACGCTCCATTTATGTGCTCTCTCTGGGAAAGGCGAACGAGTACAGCAAGAAGATGAAGGCATATCGTCTCGACGCTCCGAGCGGAAAGAGTTATCCTTTGATCGAGATGGACATTCCCCTTTCTCCCTACTTTCTGGGCTCGCAGGGAACTTTCGGGTTGGACGTACGCGTGCTGTATACGGAGATACATCTGAGCTATCACTGAACCGTGACTCTATTCTCTTATCTTCGTCAAGAGTCTGACGGCTGTTGCAATCAGTTCCCGTGCGACGAGGTCGATAATGGTCGGGACTACGAGACCGATATTCCACTCGATAAGGTTTCTGGGGACTTCGAGATCTATACCGTTCCTGGCAGCGCCCTGTTGAAGCCTCCTTGCATAGATAGCGTCGTCCATCGGTTTTGTTTGGTGTTTGTGGTCCTCGGGTTGTCATAGCGGCTCTTTCACGCTGCTTTGCCAAGGAAGTCTCTGAGGGGTTTTTGGGACATAACGCAGCAATGTGATTACCATGCTGACCACAATGCTTGCATCGATATTCAGAAACAGGCTCCTGGTCGTAACGAGGATCAAGATTTGTTGGACAATACTGAATCAAATGTCCTATCCTAGTGATCAGTCACGAAGCCCGCAGTCTTTACCAGAATATCTTACCTGGCTTATTACAGCGGTCACAGATGTAATCCTTCAGCTGAGAAAAGGTTTCCGGGCTCTCACTACATACTAGTCTTTCTCTGCCTCGAGAGGCAATTGTCGTAGAATTTGGGGAGAATTCTGCGACCGGGAAGCAGTCCATTGGAATTGTGTCTCGGGTGTTGATTGAACCACCTGCTTCGGCACACTGGGAAAATGTAACACTTGACTTTCGAGCAGAAACCACTTTGGTGTGCTTGAAACCTTTAGATTGGCTTACTTCAATCTCAGCTGTCTCAATGCCTGCTAGAGGTGTATATGACTGGGGGGCATTTTCTGACTTATTAACATCTAGATCGTGTAGAAGGTTGTCATACTTCTTGACTCTCGTCTTTTTACCCTTCTTCCTGCTCGAAAGTACGGGTAAATGGTCCTCTTTCGGTTTGGAGTCGGGATCCCATGCATACTGTCTCTCATGAGCAAAAAGGCGATGCACATCCTGCTGTGTGATTAGATACCGGCGGGTGTAGGCTGGGTTATCGATGGCGTCGTGTTCGAGCCATCTCATGAAAACCTCATCCACTTGCTGTAAAGTAAAAGCAGAGAACCTTGCATAGTTACGCATGTGTAGCACTCTAACAAAATGATGTATGATTTCTTCGGTTTGAGTGATGATATCTTGTTTAATTTGTTCGTTGAGCCACGTCATGAGAGCGTCGAAAATTTCGGATCGAGGGACATTGGCGTGAATGCTGTCATGGATTTTGATCTCAAGATCATACACAGACATATTCTGGAGAATCCTAGGATCTAAATCCTTCATACTGCTATTTGACTCCATCTTGAAATCTAGGGTAAGTCTGGGCTACCAAACCAAACCAAGTGTTCGAGAGCAGGGAATCGTTTCCCAACAAGCCCGGCTACTAGGGCCAAATAACCGCAACACGATGCTCGGAATGACGAATTCTTTTTGGGGACAGCTAATTATCTTCAGTTTCTGCTTGCTTGTGGTGCAACCTAGTATACGACTTACGTCCAAACAGACGATTACTTGTCGATAAAGCTGTAATGCATACAGGAACTGGTGGTGTAATTGATTAGACCCTTCTGAGCGAATGTGATATGTTCATCAAAGGAATATGAAACGCCCAAGGGTTGCTAGAGACTCTGCAAGAAGCCTTGAGGAGTACATAGATAGGTTCGGGTCAAGATGATGATCTGAGATAAGATATTGGTCAGCGAGTGGAACAATCACAGCCCGGCTACACAGCCAACGTCATATATGGTTGTTCAATGTGTACAGGTATATTTATAAGAAGACCTGTGGGTGGGAGTGTTTGGTGAAGGGGATTGCGCTGCTGAGAGAGCCAAAAAACCACAAATCTCATCAAAATGTGAACTGGGTATATACTGACTGTGCAAAATATTCATGTGTAGCCCTAACGAAGAGGCTAAGGAACGTGGAGAAATCTCAAAGGGGGTTATTCAAAACCTCCTCCTTTATATGGAAACAAGAGGTAGGTTGCATGTCGTCGATGCACTCAGACCACTTCTTTAGGTAGTACACAGGCTGGCACCCAACCCTCGCGAGGAGCATGCTAGTGATGCTCACTTATACAAACTTCGAAGGTAGGCACTGTTGTTGTGTACCCCCACCTATTTAGGCAAGAGCTCTCTTTTTTGTTTCAGGTTATCTACTGTTGAAGCGTTGTAGCCGTTAAAGCGGAAAAGGACATGAAGGGAAGGAGGGGTGCTCATTATCTTGCACACAAGTAAACTTCTAGGAAAGATACAGATCATCACTGTGCACCCATTCGTTTCCTTGTAGGTATCTTTGATCTCAAATTATCCTAGCACCGACCTGCTTCCCACCTTTCATAGTGGACGTTGTTGAAATGCGCCTGTCTTCAGGTTTGCTTAGGACCTTTCATATAACTATCCTTTATTTAAAATATCGCTAATGGGGTCTGTTCCTTTCTAACCCTTCACCCCCTGTGATTGTACATGCTAAATGCAAGTTGGACTTCCAAGGCTCCGTCTGTTGAATCATCGAAAAGATAGCAGCCTCATAACCAGGCTAGGTGCTTCAGAAAACTCTTTCTGCATTTCATGTAGAAATGGAGAGCCAGATGATTGAAAGCCTCAGGTACATAGGTGTATACTTATCAACGAGGGACTAGTAGCCGATGATATTAAGGAGGCTCTCAGGCTCAACATTATGCCCAAAAGCTCACTGTAGATGGTATACTATTAATCAAATTGGTATCTCCAAAAGGGAATATTAGTCAGTGGCTTGGAATAACAGGGTCGGATTGCAAACGTTTGTTAACCACGGGTTTTATACAGGGAGGTTTGTTATATATCGAAACCAAACCATACTTGATCAATTTATCGCTTCAAGGCAGCAAACCGTGCCGCCAATTCGTTGACGTCAGGTATACCGGTGCCCTTTCCCTCTTCGCGCGGCTTTGTGGGGGTCGTTGTAACTGGCTTCTTGTTCACCTTAAGCTCCATTGAGTTCAATGTCACTTTGGGCCGAGGATTTTCCGTCGAGGGGCTTGAGGGGTTTACATGCAACGGATTGCTCGATCCGAATGTGCGTGGCGGTGTAGCTCGGCTTAGATCTTCCCTTTCTTGTGCTGCTTTACTGTCGGCAGATATGCCTGCGTCGGCATCGGGCCGCGTCTGCTCAGCACCGCCAGAAACATCGCTGTTAACTTCTTCATCTATAAGTTCGGGTGGTTGTCCCAGCTCTTTCGATCCCCTGGGCCAATCAACTCCATAGGCCTTTGCAATTTCTTCAAGATATCCCTGCACTAGCTCTGGCTTTGGAGGAGTTACGCTCAGCTTCTTCACCACCTTCTCAGAGACAGCGCCATCCGAGTTTTCCATGGCAGCCAAGACGAACTCTTTACCAAATCTCTCCCCGAGGAGAGCGCGAACCTGTTGCAGCTCCTTGATTTCCGTTCGGGGTGCAGCGTAGATTATGCTCTTCACGGCTTCTTCGAGACCTGGATCACATGTTGGGCTTTCCAGCAGGGCAGCGCGGGCGAGAAGAAGTTCGCAGTACAGCTCAAGGATCTCGTGGAGTTCGGTGTTGATATCAGATCGGATAATGTTTTCTGTTCTTATTCTTGCGGATTCGATCTTGCCAACTTCCAAGAGCTGGGCCACTGCATCACCAGAATTAGAAATCACTGCCTGTTTTTTCTTGGTTGTAGGATGCACCGCACCGACACTAGCAGCTGCAGGTCGGCGGTAACAACATGATTCTGATTTCAACAGCTACTTACTAGCCCTCCTTTGTGTTTTTCCCATAGCCTCATCACGCTGTTGGACCATACGAAGCCGGGCAATGGATAGCTTGAGTTGAACTTTAAGCTTCGCCTAAGGTAGCTGGCTTAGTGACAGCTTACAGGATAGCTCTTGATGAGGGAGATAACTCACGACTAACGTTACAGAGGGCGGCGGCATTGTGAATACAATACTGGCAGTTGAGTATATCAGGAACGAGACAGAAGCGATGACAATGACTTGGTTAAATGGAATATGCTGATCGTTGCGAATGCGGAATGCGCAATGCGAAGTCGACGCGACAGGCAGCGACCTAAGCCCCGCCCTGTGAGAACTGCCTTGAGACAGGTAACTGTCGTCACAGGTGCCTGGAGAGAAGGTACCTCCGCTACCTACTGACAGACATGCGCTACCATGTACTAGGTACGTACTGCCTATACTTCTTCAGTAAGAGGTAAGCGCATCCCAGGCCTTAACGGAGTGCAGGTGTGGGGTAGGTACCTGACCCCAAGTCGAGGGCAGATTGAGGGGTATCCAATGTGGGGGGTTCTTGCCGAATCGGGCAAGTTCAGGTAACCTCGGGATGATCTCATTTGTCCTCTGCAGCAAGTATAAGTGAGGATCCTCAAACGGGCATATCAATCACATGGTTCAACACCTCATTTTGCACGACGATCAGCAAGACGACTCGGCCCTTCCACGTTAAATAGCGGCTATAAAACAAGCGAGCAGAAGAACGATATCTCGATTGCTAGTACTCAACTAGTACATGATTATTTATCAAGCGGTATCAGAGAGGATTCTCAATTGTCGCGTGTCGGCCCTCAACGGCCATACTCGCTCTCATGGTTGGACTGTCTGTGAAGTTTCTTACTATTCGCCATACTACATTCTATCGCTAGCTAGCCACTGGGTGACCCATCTGCACGACTTCTACGAGCCTGGCCCCCAAATGGACCGTACTTCATGTCATCGATGTGATAAAGAAAGATGCCTGGGCATAAATGGAAATCTGGTCTTCCACAAGTCTGCCAGAAATGGCTCGGAGAGGTGGCGGCAAACCTGCGCAAAAAAAGTGTTTGGCAACCAATGTTAAAGAACATTATTAGCACGATTATTGTGATCATAATCGGAGTGATTCCTGCTGTTGTAAATGTCTATGGAAAATCAACCTTCCTCGGAGCTATTGCCTCAGTCTTCGGCCAACCAGGACAACGCTTTGGGAAAAGTAAGTCACTCTTCGAAAAAAGTTTGATCCAAATGCATTCGAGCTTTTCATTGTTAGCTGTCATTAGGCCCCATTAGCAAGATTTGCTAATTTCGTCTGATTTGCGTATTGCTCTCTGAAATGCTAACAAGTACTATTATAGTGGTAGAAATTATCTCTTTGATAGTACTCGGCACGTTCCTTGGTCTTGGTTGGGGTAACCTTGGCCTATACCTGTCAAGCCTTGCCCATGATAGCAATATCCACGCCGCTTGGACGATACGAGCTGTTTTTTTCGTCTTAGCGGTCATATTCCATGGCGTACTTCGATCAGCAGCGCCGAGATTGTTCCAGCTTGTTTTCTTCTTCATGTTGATTAACCTTGGCCCACTAACTAGTTCTGGATGGTCTGTGACTCTTTCACAATTCGAGGCTGTGGTTTATCCTATACTCACTGCCATTGGTGTCGTGATTTTGGTGAATATTGCCATTTTCCCACAGTTCTCAAGCGGCTTTCTGGGAACCAGCACGATCGAAGCCCTCACAGAAACCATCATTCTATTTCAGGAAGCCGGCGACTGGTTCATGTGCAACGACGGAGACGGAGGTAAAGAAACGTCGCCAAAGACCATGCGCTCAGGACTAGCTGCTCTGAGTAATAAGAAACCGAAGTTGCGAGCTCGTCTTCGTAGTTGCAAAGCAGTCCAGGCGGAATGCAACTTCGAGTTGGGGCTTACGGTTCTTCCACCTCAATCGCTGAAGCCAATCAGCGTTATTATGATGACTCGCCTCGTTCAAATTACAACAAGCCTCATAAACGCTTGTGAAAGCAAGTATGCATTGGTAGCATGCGATAATATGGAAGACAAGACAATCGCATCAGGGGATGAGAAAGCGAATACTAGTCAAATTGAATCAGACACCAGCTCCGATGAAGAATTGGCAGAATACCAGCGCAATATAGATCTCATCAAACCCGTCCGTGAAATAGAGTCAGGGGATATCAATATTTTGGAGCAAATCATGTTGAAGATCTGGCACCCAGCTAAATCAATGCAGGATCAAATCCGAGATGCCGTGCATCTAATCACGTCCACGTTAGCTTATTGTTATGACGTCCCTCAGCTACCTTCTCGATCTCCCAAACCAGACGGCATCCTATTACAAGAAATGGATATTCGGATTGATATTCTCTCCAGAGCTTTAGCGCAATTCGATAGCGACTCAGTTACAGCACTTGAAAGTGCTGCTGTTGTAAGAGATGGAGAAAATTCAATTGTGAGTTCAGTAGATATTCTTAATTAATTATTATAGCGACGTCTCAGTTATCTATAACTACCCGGTATCGTTAAGCAAGTCGTATTTATTTATGGTGGTCGCTTACAAAAATTTCTTGTTTCAGGACGATATGACACCTCGGCTAGAGACTCATCTAGTGTCTTCTTTTGTCATCTGTCTTAGCCAAGCAGCAAGGGAAATTCTTGAAATGCTGAAATATGCTAGAAATTTGGTTGAGAAGAGACAAGCCAGGAATGGGCGGAGGAAGCTTTACTGGCCTAAAATCAGTTGGAAGAAATGGCTCATCTCCGGAGGTGAGCAAGACGGCAACGTGCTACCTGAAAGTGCAAGAAGAGAAGCCCGGTCCGGATATGGTTCTGTAGAGGACGAGGAGAACGCGGATGGAAAAAGTGACTGTAACGCCACCGCAGCGGAGCGTATCTCAGTGACTGGTCACTTGACTGAGTCTGGGCCAGTGCCAAATCAGAACAAGAAGGGGTCTCGCCAAAAGCGCTCCTGCAAATCATACAGTAGCCATATTCTCTGGATACGCGGGCTTGCGGCTGATGTATTTGAATTCCTGCAGAACTCAGATCATTTCATTTTTGCGCTGAAAATGGCCATTGCCGCATTACTTGTTACATGGCCTGCTTTCGTACCATCGCTGAATGCATGGTATGTATCAGTTCGGGGCACATGGGCTACTTTTCAGTTGATTCTTGTATTCGAAGTTTCTATTGGCACAACTTTCCTGGGGTTCCTCCTAAGAGCATTTGGTACCACATTGGGTTGCTCGATTGGTATCATTGCTTGGGAAGCTGGGCAGGGAAATCTCGTGGTCTTAGTGGTTATCCTCGCAATTGGACTCATACCAGCCAGCTATGTTCAACTAGCTACGCCTGTAAGTCATCCTGTTGCTATTGCAAGTAAGGTCATATTCCGGCTTGTGTATTCTCACGGTCTTTGCACGCGCCAGGGAGCTTGGAGATAACATCAAATGCGCCGTTAATAACGTGGGAATCTCAGTACGTGAAAGCCGGAATTATATGCATGATCAGCTTGTCGGTCGTCGGTCTTAGTACGTTGGTCCATGTCCTCATTAGTAGTCAACCGCTAACTTTTCCAAAATTAGCGATTGCAAATCCGGCGAACAATGATGCGCCCTGGCAAATCTATGTCAAGCGTCTCGCTTGCTTTCTTGCTGGCGGCACAGTAGCACTAGTGATTGAGATGACTATATTTCCGGTACGTGCAAGAGATAGACTTGTCGAGCTCTTGGTATCGAGTATTTCCCAGATTTCCGTGATGGAATCTACCGTGGCGACAGAGGTCGACTCGCCCAACTTCCTCAAAATGGAGCCACAAAGCTTCGATGAACAATTCCACAATGCCAAAAAGAAAGCGGAACAAGCACTTGATGCTGCCCGGGCCTTTCTGCCCTTTTGCCTTACCGAGCCGCGAATCAAGGGAAACTTCGAAGGGTACGCATTAGTTTACCGTGAAATGATTCACGTTCTTTTCCAGATAATCGAGCGCATGGATAACATATTGCATACCCGTAAGCTATTTGGGAGAAGCGTTCTCGAAGAGCTACGCGAAGAAATATTACCATATCGGAGGAATGTTGCCGGTTGCGTTAGTCTCACTCTGTTTGTAGTTCAAGAAGCACTGACTACCAGACTCCCTATACCGCAATATCTACCCTCAAGTCGGGTAGCCCAGCTTCGGTCCGTAGCGCGTATTCGCGAACTCCTACTTACGCACAAACATACAGAAGGTCACATCAACGCCGAAATCCCAACAACATCACAAAGAGGCTCTTCTATAGCTATAGACAACGCAGCGTCAAGGTCAGTTACACGATTCGACTTTCTGGCATGGAAAGCCTCATCGGCCGGTATGATGGAGGTTATCGAGTATCTTGAAGAGCTTGTTGATCTTGCTAAGCTCCTTGTTGGAGTCAACGCCTTCCGCGGCGGACTGCTCGAACATCCCGATTTTCATGCGTATCAGGATAAGATGAGCACACTGGAGTCTGAAGCCGACGCCACGAGCGTAAATATTATAAGGAGACGCCGCCTTGAATCCATCGGAGCGCAATCCTCAATTGCCCAGCGCATGCCCTCTCACACGAGCCTCCGTAGGCGCCAGACTGCTGGCGCTACTCCTACTGAATTCGATCATACGAATTTCGAAAATGACGATGACACGGAAGAGAATGATATCTCCTGGTCTCTACAACGTGTTGTGACCAAGAGGATGGAAGAAGCAAGGTCAAAGAGAAGAGGCGCCGAGGACCCAAAGGGAAAATATGCGCTACGAAGTGTCCACACATGGACAGGATAACAAATAAGATGTGGAATTCGAGCATCTCAAGGGCATAGCATTCATTTTATCGGCGTTTGGCATTATTTGCATGAAGATGGCAGGGGACTCTTCCTTTATTTGCTGTTTGATCAGGGTGGCGGCAGTGGCAGAGCGTGGTTGGCCGAGGGTTCTGTAGACCAAAGGGTTTCGTGATGCCCTCAGTGTGCAATGCATAGCTATATAATCTCAATCGGGAGTCAAACCGGACGTGTAAATCAATACGCCGAGATAAAAGTAGGAGTGTAGTTATATGAGATAGAATTAACCCAGAAACTCATCTTATAGAATCAATTGGCACATGAATCGTATTAGGTATATTACTGCTTGGAGTTGAGCAATTAGTAAAGCTATTTGGAGTGGAAATCCCACACGCTACCTATTTTAACATGCCGATTACTCTATACGTTGCGCGACGTTCTTCTTCATATTCCATCTCCGACAAGCCCCTTGTATATTACACATATTTAGCCGTTGACGATAACACCGCCGTTGCAGTGGATGGTTTGTCCACTGATAGACGAGCTGTCCTTGGCCGCGAGGAAGACGACGCACGTGGCGATCTCGCTCGGCTGCGAGGGCCGGCCCATGGGGGATGTGAACGACTCTTGCGCCTCATCGGTCATAGTTGATGGGATAAGAGGTGTCCATACGGGACCGGGGGCTACGGCATTGACGCGAATACCCTTGGACACGAACTGGTTGCTCAGACCGCGCGTGAAGGACACTATAGCACCCTTCGTCGAAGTGTAGTCGAGCAGGTCTGGCCGCCCGATGTAGGCGTTGATGCTGGCGTTGTTGATGATCGTGTCGCCGCGCTTCATTTGGGGGAGAACGTATTTGGCTAGATAGAAATAGGGGTGGATGTTGGTGTTGAAGGTGTGTATCCATTGGTCCCTAGGAAGCTGAGGTTAGATGAATTGCCTCTCGAGCACCGAAGATCAGGCTATCACTTAGTTACTAAGCTTGATAGGTGATACTTACTCGCTTAGATCGTGGATATCGTTGATCATCATTTGGTAAGCCGCGTTGTTGAAGAGGATATTGACTCTGCCCATTGCCTTTACAGCTTCGTCGACGGCCTTCTTGCAATTATCCTTGCTCGTTAAGTCCGTAGCGAATAGATGACATCTCCTGCCGTTAGCCTCGACCAGCTTCTTCGTCTCCTCGGCGTCCTTCTGCTCATCAGGGAGGTACGCTATGAAAGAGTCGGCGCCCTCCATGGCGAACAGAAGGGCTGTGGCACGTCCAATTCCTGAATCTCCACCGGTGATGAGAGCCTTCTTGCCCTCTAGCTTTCCCGCTGCGCGGTACTTCTGGTAGCCACCCTCATCCGTGGGCAGGGTGTCGTATTGAGCCTCCAGTGGCAGCTTGTGTTCCTTGCCAGGAAATTCCTGGTGAGTCACCGGGATTGAGTGACCTAGTTGTGAGATGTGAGCAACAGCACTTATGTAGTCTTTCAGATAGGAACATTCTCACCTTCTTTGAATTGGCCAGACATGATGGGAGATGTATACAATGCCAAGATAATATGTTGCTACTCCGGCTTCCGTTCACTAGTTAGGTTGAATCAAAGTATTGACAATGTGTATAATCAAAAATGGGATTATTACTCGAGTATGAGAATCTCCAAAAAATTGCCAAGATAGAAATGCCTTCTTAGATGTATAGGTATATATATATCCGTGTCGTGAGAACGCAGGTAGGTAAACATCAAGCGGTCATGACATCATCGTTACCGTCACCAAACGTCAACTCAAGACTCGGAACCTCTTTTTTTTCGGACCCAGCAAATATGACGGGTATACTGGAGCAAAGTCTCCGCGCCAGATAGCGGCGGTGGTTGAGGTATTGAATGCATTGCGCTATGTTGACTGCATCTAAACGTGAGGCATCGTCAGGTTATATATGTCTTTGATCCTTATTTTTCGCAATACTGTGAAGCCCTCGAGTTACTGTCTAAAACGTGCCTAGCTAGTGGGGTCTCTTAGCTACCAGGATAGCACCAAAGTACCTACTTGCCAACACCCTGATGTTCCTATCACTGGTGGCTACAGCGGCATCTGATTGAGACTATCACGACATGGCATTCTAGGAGAGGCAAACGCCAGATCATCACTACATTTTAATCGTAGTACTGGTGCATATCCGAAGGGTCCGAGACGCCTTACCATCAGTCTTCGTGGGGGTTTCATCAGAGACCATCCATGCTACCAACAGAAACCCCGCACACCGGCTGGGAGGGGAAGGCCTCTGACCTACAACCGACAGACACCTTAAGGCATCACCTACTAACTTCTCTCAATACTCAAGCCAACGTGACACGACTTTGTGCTCAGCGCAATCGACATGGCGACATCGAGATTCCGACTAGTGTTCCACGTACCACCGTCCGCCGCCGCGGCGTGCAAGTCAGCCATCTTCGCCGCAGGCGCCGGTCAACAGGGCAATTACAGCGAGTGCTGCTTCACGACAGCACTAGGCACTGGGCAATTCCGTCCCACCGCCGGCGCGAATCCCGCCATCGGCAAGGTTGGGGTCTTGGAGGAAGTAGAGGAGCTCTGCGTCGAGACACTTTGCGTCGGGGAAGAAACGACCATGAAAGCCGTCGCCGCTCTCAAAACGTACGTCTCGCGTGTTTTTCCACTTTCACAAGAATAGTCGATGTGTTCTGTGCCGCTTACACTGACACCCTATGAAAAGCGCCCATCCGTACGAGGAACCGTCCTATAGTGTCTATAGACTGGAGGACTTCTGAGACGATGGCTGTGCTCTGCCTTGGAGCTGTCACGCAGCGTTGAGACTGGGGGATGGCCCCGGAGCCGAGGTCAGGTGGCGGTTATCGCTAGAGAAATCCAACTTCGGCGGTGGCGTGCCGAATTTGGTAGGTAGGTCAGCTCATCTTGGGGGAGGGAGCGAACGCACCACGCGGCGGAATGTTTCTATCAATGTTTCAAGCGAGCGGGCGCGGCTCTCAATTGAAACGTTGCTGATCGCTTGTCGAATATTTGGGATACAGTAAGCCAATAGCCGATGATTCCTGCCCTGGCATCACTGCTTTGCGACCTGTTTCCAACCATGCTCTTACCCTTCAGGCACTTGTTCAGCTCATTGAATCATTGCCTACTTGCTGCGTCGTCGAATACTTGGTACGGGTTGGGGTCCCAAGCTTGGCCTTTATTGAATTAAACTTGCATGGTGAGGCCCGGATCTACACTTACATCCAAGCACAGCCCATGCTACCCATGTACTTCGTAGATGGATGACTGCCCTCTGTAGCTGTAGATAAGGCCGATGTAACGCTGATAGTATTTTAAGAGTTGGTGATGATGTCTCCTGCATGATACTTCTTTCAGTTCGCAAGGCACCACGCTGCGACCCACCAATAGGATTTCATGCTGCTACCCAGTCTTTTCCACGAAAATGTGATCTCCTTACATTCTCGTGTCCCGTAACTTGCATGCACGGCGCAAAAGCTGGGTTGCCACGCTACAGATCCAGGGGCGGACCGCAGAGATCTAAAAATTGTTTATCGGTTGCGTAACCGATCCAACCTTGGGAGGTCGTTACTTGCTTCACGTACCGTAGCCACATAGTTAGGTTTGCCGTAACAATCCGAAGAGATTGTTCCGTAAATGACGCCACGCATATTCGAGGGGTTAGTAGGTAGTAGGAAGGACGGTGATGCGACTGCCGCCTGGAGCTTTCTAATAAAGTCTTGGGGCAATAAGGGGTCCATCATGAATTTTGATGGCTACATTGGTGGGCTTGAAACGAGTACGAGCAACGAGACCACCCCCAGACTGTCTTCACTCTAACCGATAAGGCATTCTCGTGCACTGCAGGAAGCGTAGGAGGAGTTGAACATGACCCGAAGTAGCCACAGAACACCTGCAATGGATTCATGTTGCATGCAAGCTTACCGCAGCTACGCCGCAACCCAAGACAACTGTCCAGACACCCAGCTTCCCCTTGGCGGGACGAATCATACAAAGAGGAGCGTCGTAGGCAAGACGTAAAGCTAAAGAGTTGCACCCCAAAGTTCCACAACTGCTGGCAGTATTGCTCTTCATTTTTGATTTCCTCCTCAATCGACTAGAAATCGGCATTCAATTTCAGAGAGAGCCCCCAGAATCTCCGTAATGATACCGAGCTGCGCCGGAATCCGTCCAAGCCTGCAGATCTACGTGGGGGATTATACGTTCAGCGAGCGCCAACAGCTCATTACATAATCCATATTCTATATTAAATAAAGAGGCGCAGAAAAGAAAATCCCCAGAAGACGAAAACAAAAGAAGACTGTTCGCATCGTCATCTGCGAGACATATCACTGTTCACGCGTCATCCACGATGGCAAACGACGCGAATTTGGGCTTCGACGTGAATCCCGCAGGGACGAGTTTGTTCATTTTCCAGGTGATCTTTCTCGCTCTTGCCTGGATGGCGTCGCTTGTACGCGCGTTCGTGAAACTCGTGCTGCTTAAGAAAGTCAGCATAGATGACTATCTTATGCTGTTGGCATTGGTATGAAGCGTGAAGACACGCTGTCTAAGACTCCATAAATGCTAACCTGTCCATCGAGCAGCTCGGCTACACAGTCACCGCATATTTCGTTTTTAGCTCCATTATAGATGGTGGCATGGGCAAGCCCGGCATACTTGGCCCAGAGGATCTTGAGATCACAATGAGAAATTTGCTTGGTAACATGGTGGCCTCCGGCCCTGTGTCAGGGTTAGCCAGGGCTTCTATTGCGTATTTTCTATTACGAATCGCAGTAATAAAATGGCACAGAATTGTCTTGTACGCCATAATAGGCACCACGGCAGCCTTAACTGTCGCGTATTTCTTCATCGTATTGTTTCAATGCTCGCCGCCGTCTTACTTCTGGCAGATGGTAAGAGAAGGTTCATCTGGGTCCTGTCACCATCACAAACTAGTCGAAATCTCAACTCTGGTTTGGGGCTCGCTTTCTGCCGCCATGGATTGGATACTCGGTCTTCTTCCTATTGCAAGTAAGTGAGGCGAAACCCAATTTCTTCTTATTCGACTCATCCTGGGAGTCCGAGGCCCCCGGCCCCATGAATGAGCATATTTAGGGCTCTATACCTTCACATCTCTTCAATACCCACACCTTGGGAAGATCGCTGATTCGTGATATTGAAGTGTTATGGAACGTTCGGATCAACCGACAGTCAAAGTTCGGGATTGCAGCTATACTGAGCTTCGGGATCATGTAAGTCGTCCTTAGTCGCAAAAGTTGACAATGCTGAGACAGCTAGCGGCGGGATTGCTCTTGTCGTCCGCTTAGTATATGTCCAACAGCAGGATGTAACGTCCAATGACTTCGGACCCCAAATGTAAGCCCGTATTCTACCAACTTCCACCAGTTAGTAGTACTAATAGGCCGCGATAGAGCGATTGGGGTTAGTGCAATCATTGAGCTTTCTTTGGGTATAATCGCAGGGTGCATCGCTACGATGGCGCCATTATTCAAACGAATGCAATCCAAACTTGGTTCAGGTTCTAAGCAATCGAGGGACTCAATTCCATGGCAGAGATCTTTGGCAGGCCCGGAGAATATTATAATGATGTCTCCACGACGACTAGAGAGGGCGCAAGGTGCACAGCGCGGGGAGGCTGAGACACGACGTCCGCGGCCAAAGAGTCCATCCGTAAAAAGAGTGCTGTCGTCGTCGAACTGGGATATCGAAGTTGAGGCCGCTGGCTTGGAATATGACGCGCTCACGCCGCCGCCTTCCAGGAGGGAAATTCAAATTCACACATCCATCCAAGTTTCGTCGCACCCATCGGATGGCGATCTCTCTGTTAGCACCATCGACTTTGCAGACAAGCCTCTACCTCCGCCGCCTCCAAGGGCAGCAGCAAGGGATCGATCTATACCGAGATCACGCCGCCTTACTCCCAATCTGTTTATATAGCGGTAAATCAGCATTTTATATGAATAAACTTAATATTAATGTATGCCACCTAGAAGCGACGATGGTAGACGATACATAGATATAATAAGCGTGGTCGCATGTCATTATCAGTGTGACGAGGATGCTATGATTAATTAGGCTACGCTTTCCAAGCCAGGCTTCCTGCTATTCTGGAGATACTGCAGGTGTATGAATGTCTTCACATGGCAATGCTTACCTGCTGCAGATGAAGTCTCGATCATCATCTAATGCCAGTTCTGGTGTTGTTGGCGTAGATGTACTATGTAGTCGGTACATACAAGTTACCTACCGAGAGGTGATTAGCGTCAAGGTCCACTGAGCTGTCTTAGGGGTAATCTGTGGAGAAACGAGACACGCACCAGCCTATCAAGTCTAACCAGCCCCCTGTCTGGGCCTCCTTTGGCCAGTGCTCGGCTTTAGCGCATCTTACAGCAGGTAACTACCAAACCTTAGCTTACCTGCATTCTCGAACTTCACGATACACGATACACGTTTAGTACAGAGGCGACCCAAACCGCGAAGGCACCACTAATAGACGATATCGCCATCGTGCTCTGCTTTTATAACCATATCTGCTAAACAATCATCCAAGAGCCGAACGGTAGCTAGCATCTGCTAGCCACCAACACGTCGCCGCCATGAAGCCTGTTGTTGGGGCGATGCAAGCTTGGTCTTGGTAGGTTCTAGTCGCTTTCTCTTCTTGTCATCCCTCATCCATCCGGGAAACGTTCATGATCTATTACTAACTTTGGTTGTTTAGCGTCGTCATCTCCTTCTTTGCCATTATCATCCTCTCCGTCATCGGTAGTCTCTATCGTAGCAGGCATCACGAGTTTGTAGGCGGCGTGGACGACCCCGACAACACCATCGAAGTCTCAAACACGATATTCACGGCTGTTATTGTATATGCGGTATGTTTCAAGAACATCAATGCTATAGTACTTCGTCTATAGCTGAATGAGCAAGCCAATTCCCATTCTCGTCGATGCGCCTTGTGTTTATGATAAGACCATCGCTAACGTGGATATATCCTTTGCAGGCTTTTATAGTGTGTTGCGGCTTACAGGGTGTCCTGCATATGCGCGAGAGTCGACGTGGCGCCATCGCGCTCTGATAGATTTGGCCATCAAGCCAGCCGGATCGAACGAATGAATAGGGAGATGGCGACTGTGTTTGCATAATTTCGAACATCGGTGTCCCGGCATATTGCAATCGGACAATCAAACATCATGAACATGTCCGAACGGTTCTTCAATTGACGTACCACCTGATATCAGACTGTATAAACTATAGGAGGCTGAACGGCTTCCCCATGAACGACAGCCACTCAGCCGTCGTCCGGAGCCCCGGACCTCCGGACCTATATGGGCTCCGATACGCTGTGGATTGGTTGCTAGAAAAAAAAGGGTTAAAAACAATTGTAAGAAACGAAAAGAAATTTTACATCTGGTTTTGTTGGAAGGTACGGTGGGAGTGGCTATATTACCCCTCACAGTGGATTCCTTCAGTGACTAGAACTTCAACTCTACAACATCAATAATAACCCCTTGGCAATCCCTTCGTCTATCAATTTAGATAATTGCAAAAAGGCAAATGTGGTCGGTATGAGGGTCGAACTCATGACCTTCGCATTACTCAATACAGTGGGATTCTGCTGTATTAGTACCTGTAGCAGGTTAGAAGATATTTTTTTCTGACAGTGGATAGGTAAGAATAACATACGACGCTCTAACCAACTGAGCTAAACGACCGGTTGAGTGTTGAATAGATGTCTGCTTATTGCCATATATAATGTTATGGCGTGGCTGTTGAAGTCTGGGGAAGCCGGAGGTGGCAAAAGCTGGACCTCGTTTCATGTTCTCTAACTCGGCGCGACAAGAGGACAGGAACCTGCGTTTGGACGCCCTCCGACTGCTCATGTTGTGCTCCCTTAGGCCAGCCACTAATCAGACCTTTACCTCTTGCCTAAGTCGTTGGTGGCACCGTATACGAAGTAAGCAATGCCTACGTCAAGGATATTTCGTGTTGTTTGAAGAGTACCACTTGGTTCATTTGCGGGTAAAAGAGATCTGCCATTGTCTATCGATCATTGATGTACATACAGCCTGTATTTAATGTATTCTTCGGCAGCTGCCAGGCCAATCTAATTTGATTGATTGACTGCCCCAGCCAGTTGCGCTGGCACTGTCCCTTTATCCTCGCGACGATGATGATGCAGGCATCCGCTAGCCACGGAGGTTGTATGGCGGGGGAGATAGGTAGACCATTGTTGTTAGCCAACAGGTTCAGTTCTGGGAGCTTCGAAGCGCCCATTACGCCGCGGCCATGGCATGAAGGTCGGGCTCCTCGGGCCCAATAGTAGGGACTGTCCTTGAATCCGTTGGCACAGCTGTGTCATCACTGGGCAGGCGGCGTACCCAACTCGCCGGACAGAGCCCCTCCCATATCCCATGTGAGATGTTGTGTTACACCCGCGTGAGTGAAATCAACATCAATCAATGGCAACCTGTGCATCCGCGCTGTCTTGTCTTTGTGCCTCTTTCCTCATCCCTCCTTAACAATGGCGTTCCGCCGCCCAACACAAAGGGAAGGATGTAGGTACAACCCGGCAGCATGCCGTTTTTGTTTGTACTGCGCCTGCCCCGTGTTGGGTAGCACACAAACGGCCCGGCATCCCTATCTGTGGCACATTCTCGAAAACATATATTGATCACGTCCTCGTCCTAGCGACTATCGCCGCTTCGCAGTCTACCTCTTCTTGTCCTGTGGCACGCATCAAGCTCTTATCGTCTGGACCTGCTGCCCATATATCTAATTGCCTGTTTAATCATTCCAAAGATTAGCACAGCCCTTCATCCGCAAATTTACACCCACCATCGCCGCATAGCATCAGTTGCATACAGCTCCCTATACGATGCGGTTGTCAGATATTCTCTCCCTTGCTATCCTAGGCACTTGTGTCCTTGCGCAGAACGGTACAACAGGTGTACGTATTTTCGCCGATGATGGGCGTATTTGCATTGTTGCATTTGCTTACTCTGAATACATAGCTACTAGGAGATGCAATCGCTGTTACTAATAACCCCATTGGAAAAGGAGCCATTGCGGTGCTCCCCAAAAAGCCATTCTTTGCTTCGGGATCTCTTGATGGCAATGTCAAGGGCGCCGTGAGGGCTACTACGGGCGCCAAGGGTAAGGGTGTCGACTTTGAGGTTACTTTTTCCAATTTGCCCAAAGAGGGTGGGCCATTCAGTAGGTAGTTCTCGTTACTCTGAAGTAAAATGACACATCCGCTGACAATATACCCAGCCTACCATCTCCACGTCAACCCGCTTGATGCTTCAGGCAACTGTACCAACACCCTCGCCCAGTATGTATTGCACGCTCCCGAGAAATCTAATGACGAGTCACATCCCTACCGGAAGCGGTAATTGCTAATTCCTGGATTCTTCTAGTCTCGACCCCTTCATCCGCGGCGAGGATCCGGCTTGTAACTCTACCCATCCGGCAACGTGCCAAGTTGGAGACCTCAGTGGGAAGTATGGCAAAATCACGGCGGATCCATTCAAGGCCAAGTTCCATGACGACTTCACCGCTATGAAGGAAGGCCCAGGATCCTACTTTCTCAACCGCAGCATTGTCGTCCACTTCGCTAACAAGACACGCATCACGTGCGCGAACTTCACGGTGTTACGCTGTGCTGGTGTCAACGCTACTTCTACGACGGATGGGTTATGCCAGGACTCTTCAACGCCAATGCCAACAGACAACAACGTTACTCCCTTTGTCGGGGGCGCTGGCACACTCCCTATCACAGGCTTGGCCCTCCTCCCCCTGGTAGCCGTCTTCCTTGCCTTCTGATAGACACCCACGTTTAGGCTCTACACATTCATCTTAGCAGAGGACATAATGGGAAATGACGGGTCGACATCTGGCACGTTGGGAAGTCGCGGCGCTTAGGTGCTTGAGCTTAAGCGAAAGAAAACCCTGTCTGCAGGAGGAGCTTACTTGGTTTAAGATTTCCGCCCGGTTGACAGAAAATACCGTAACATTATGCGGAACCCACATGCCATTGGCAGGCTACATGTAATAAAAGGGAGACCAATGTTTGCTAGCACATGTAGAAAAGATTGGCGAAAACGAGAATTCTGATATATATTTGCACTCTTAAGGACTCACGTGAGAAACAAAACTGCTCGGCGTGCATATCGGCGTAACCAAGTGTAAAATTGGACCTATATGTCAACCTTCCTATATGCCTATTTATATATGTCTGTTTTGGGAGGTAGGTAGGTAGTATCATAGCACGTATCATGGGCTTAAATAAGGGTAATTTTGTCGGAGTTTACTGATATATTACATACATATGCACACAAATCTAATCATGTATGAAAGCGATCAAACGTTGCTATATGGCCACTCTTGTACCGTTTTGTTTTTTTGCCACACTGGATCGCCAACCCTCGAGGCGGAGATCTGATAAACTAAGGCGTGCTAGGCGTTGGTCCCGGGCGGGACGGGACGAGCACTCGTGTCCCGTCATCGGCAGCACGGAAAGCGATTTTCCACCCCCTACACGCTCCACGGCCATTGACAGATGCTCCGTGCTCCATGCTCCCTGCTATCATCACATGCAGCCAGGTTGACCCCCGATGAAGAAGTGTGGTCAGTGCAGTGTGTACATACTATGTATGTACTCTGCTATGTAGTAGGTAGTGCACGCACAGGTGCCTAAGCGGTCAGGCCCCCAGGCGTCCCACTGCCTGCAGCAGCAGCAGCAGCAGCAGCAGCGGGCAAATGCTGGCAATCCGCAAAATCCCATCAAACTGCCGAGTGATCTCATCACCACCAACAGCACACACTTGCCACCCAGCACCACCAACTGCTGGTAATTTCACCGGCGTAATTGGCTATTGCCAATAATCATATCATCCTCTCCAAGGGCCAAGACCCTCTCCATCTTACGAGCCGTCGATCAATTGCCAGAAAGATACACCGTTTCGACCTGCAGGGGTTCGAGTATGCTCAACATGCTCAACATGCTGTGCAAACTGGCGCCATCATCACGTCTTCCCAGTGTCTGTTTCTGTTCCACGTAGCATCCACCACAGCGTGCCGACTAGTCTCTACCAGCATCTCTCCCTGGCAAGGCCAGAGCACGCCAGAGCAGAACCAGAGATTGGCTTCAGTCGGCGACATGCTCCACCGCCAGACCGCGTGAAGCGAGCGAGCCCTCTCCTTCACGTGCCACTAACCCATCGTGCGCCGTCAATGGGTGGATGAGCGTGAGGCACAGGACAGGGCAAGCCCACCACAGCCAGTCTGCATCTCCGTGTCTCCATTCTGCTCCATGTACCAGTACGCAAGCAGCGGTGCAGATAGACGAAAGCATGTGCGTACATCTGTACTTGCACTACACGCCTCCATGCAGAAAAAAAAAAACTAGGCAGAGCTCGCCCAACCCCAACCTGGAACAGATGCAATGCTTACGGTCTAGCACCGGGCATCCACTTTCCCGAACGGTCCAGATGATGAACTTAGCCCACGCAAGTCAACGAGGACCAAGATAAGACATGATGCAGCGATCTCGCTATGCTCTATCGTCAGCATCGTTTCTTTTGTTCAGTACTATCGAACGATTCTTGCAACATTTGCTCTTTTTGCGTCACTCCCCCACAAGGCCAGGACTCGACATTGTCCGCAACGGGCATGGTTCGTCACTCGACTAGATGGCTTCTATCGATTGGCATCACCCAGCCCAAAACCGCAGGCAGGGCCCAGCGGTGGTAACAGGTGCGGATTCTAGTGTGATTGGCGCTGTATTATTAAATTCTGGTCCTTCACCAGCCGAGCGACTATTTCGCCATTCGGCAGATCGACATCAATCGACCCTACCATCGAGATATTGGATTCACGGATGGCACGCTCTATCGAGTCCCTACCTGGTAGTACGTTACCTAGATGCGCATGGTATATGGTAGCAGATAGTATAGGTACCAACCTATATGCCGTGCCTAGCCCTGTCTAGCGCACGTTACGACCTTCATCGAAGCCAAGGTCGAGGTTGAGCTTAATGTAACACACCATGCATAGCAAATGCGAGGTCTAACTTCCGAGATCCTCTCACGTCGCCGCATGCGTCTCGGTTCACCTGAATCGGCTAGGGACGAGGCCATATTTGGTCTACCAACTTCAACGAGATTAGTCCACGTCAGTCCAATGTCCAATGCATTCGTGCAATGCGGGGACCTGCATTCAATGGAGCTCGCGGCGTCTGCCTATCGTAGCTCTCACGAGTCAGATATTGCCAGACAAGGCAGAGAGGTAGGTAGGGACTGATGAGGATCAGCTTATCAGGGCTAGTGGAAATTCTGCCGATGAAGGACCTAACCCAGCGCAGAACCAAGGGACCCGAAAGTCGAAAGGCGACGGCAACAGGATCTGTTAAGGCCAGGGGTCCTGCATTATACAGCTGTCTAACGGTGCTGGCCCTGATGAATGGGTCCTGTGAGGACTCCGCCTGTCCAATGACAAGCCATGGAGTACATGCGTTGGGGGCCTCACAACTTGGATTTCTGCGACCTTAATTGAGATGCCAGCAATATTGCTGCACCAACCTTGCGAGGATCTGGGGTTAGGGCAGCAATAGGACGCCTCCTATACGGCTACCATTGCCTTGGGATATTGCTGCACAGTCCGTGCCACGTCTTTGAAATTTGCCCATCAAAATTTTATCCCTCAATGCTGCAGTCGTCGTGCTTGCGCCTTACGATCATGTGGATATACCAAACCCTTTCTCCCAAGTGTTGTCTCTGTGCGTTAAACGTGCTTTCCACATCTCATCCTATTCTATGAACGCTTATCCATCTATGGTCTATCCGGAACTTGAAGACACTAGCAATGACGCCAGCTACCTTGGTACCGTATCTCACAGCAATCACGAGGAAGCCGTCAGGTGTCGATTCCATCGAGCCGTAGTCCAGGTATGAAAAAAAAGCCTGATCGCTCAGCCCGATAGAGAAGTAGACCCCAATGATCATTCCTCAAAACGGTAAACGGCATCTTAATCAGGCTTGGTCCTGTCTACTGCCGACATCAAGGTTGTATTTGCGTTGAAGAGGTGCAGCGAGACTGCAGCCAACCCTGGAGCGAACCGCTTAAGGTGATGTCCAGGCTCGTGACACATGCGAGCCAATCGCTAGTCCTGATTGCCAGCGGGCCCTATCGTCATACGGAGTTACATCAGTTACTTGGAGGCTCTCAAATGCGCCTTTAGGCCAGGTCATATCGCCTTAAACGTTGCTAACTGTCTTAGTAGGGAACTTGTCCGGATTACAAGCGCCAGATTGGTACGCAATTCTTTCAACAGTCACCTCAACCCACCAACAAGGGCCTATCCGCCACTTGGCGTGGTGGGCGCAATACAAAGACACCTCTCGATTTGAATTACCTGTCTTGCTAGGCTTCATGGGGTTGTCGGTGGCCTCAGTGGCACGCCTTGATAGTTCAACGGCCCTTAGCCCCGCATCAACTAAGTGTTGTAGCAAGCATAGCTTGTCCAAGAGCTCTAATTGTCATCATTGAGGGGAAGAAGAAAAAGGTTTCTTTCTTGGAACTGTCTCTTTTGGAAATAATAGTCGTCGGCTGATGTCCATACGCTCAGCAATATCCGCAAGACTAGCCCATATCTCGATCCTCACCCAATATTTCCATCGCCGTCAGAGTAAGGATAGACACCTAGTCTCGGTCAACTGGTGTCAACCGGTTAAAGCTACACCCACTCGGAAGAGACCCTGAGATCAAGGTGGTGGCTAATGGAGGTGAAGCCTCTCGTCTGTCCAATAACCTTGGGAACTTCAGACCCTCGGCTCAAGGTAGGGTGGGATGACGATACTCCGCCTTGTCCGCGTCCTGTCAGCTTCACACCTGAAGGAACACCGGGAGCTAATGGGGCTAGTGTCTAGACTGTGTGGATGTCGGTTGCGATCATCTTGCGCCTGGCCCTCTGTGACTCGAACCATGCCTCCTCGTCATACTCCAACGAATCAGATGCTGACGTTAGCTACGAAGTGGTCTGAATAGGACTCATTACACAGCCGATGGATCGTAGAGCGGTTATCACAGTCAACCGTGCATGATAGCCCACCATTACAAAGTGGTATCGAGTGATATCCTTGTACATCGCATCGGACCAACACAGAGTGGTGAAGGGGTTCATCGCTGAGTAATAGGTAGGCCCGAAGAACTACCTGATGTCTCTGCAATAGCCGTGGGGCCATCCACCTATATTTCTCCTTAGCGTTTATTGAATCTAATAAATAGTGTCTGGTGGTCGGCAAGTTCTCTATACAGTTGTCTTTGTGACCCTATTGTCCATCACAAGGCTAGACTGAAAAGGTGTCTGAGCTTAAGGCCATTCCATGTGGTCCTGGAACTCGGCCCAAAACAAGACATTGATTCAAGTCGCACGCTTCTGTTCAAATCCCGTGGCTTTTAATGTTGGCTTTGTTTTCGTCTGAATCACGGAACTGCAATCAGCCTACATAAACGTCACTACCCTTACATCGGCAGGCCATTGATAGCCTTATATGGTCATCATCTCATTCACGCCTTGTTTTTTTTTCAACCCCCCAAAATGACAGCCAAAGAGTACAATTCTAACGTCGAGGCTCTACGACAGGTCAGTATTCTCTGCTCGTCTCAGCTGTTTTTCTTTTGATTTATTTACTCGGCAATTGCATGTCGTTGCCTTTATCCATTCCTACTCTCCTAGGGATAAACATAATTGAAGATGTGTGCTTACCATAACACGGAATAGAAAGAGTATCCTCATATGAGCGATGGTAAATTATAGCCACAATCAAAACCTTTTACAATCCGCCTGCTAATACGAACTAGGCGTTTATCTCGATCATGGCGGTGCAACAATTTATGCAAGGTCTCTTGTAGAAGGGTTTGCATCAAAGATGATAACAAACTTATATGGCAACCCACACTCGGAAAGTTCTCCTGCAAGACTATCCGGCGACGTTGTTGACCACGTTCGTGAAAAGCTTCTCGGCTTTTTTGGCGCCAGTTCCAAAGAATTCGACCTCATATTTGTTGCAAACGCCACGGCGGCGGTGAAGCTTGTAGCTGACTGCTTCAGAGACCTCGGAGAAAAAACCAAAGATGGCAAGTTCTGGTATGGTTACCATAAGGATGCTCATACTAGCATCGTTGGTGTGAGAGAGCTTACATACGGGCAATTTCACTGTTTCGAAAGCGACCAAGAAGTCGAAGATTGGCTACAATACCCAGAGAATGCATTCACCAACCGTCAGAACCCCAACGGTCTCGGCTTGTTTGCCTATCCCGGTCAATCCAACATGACTGGACGGAGATTACCGCTATCGTGGTCATATCGAGCACGTCACTCCGAATCTCTGCAGAGCACATACACACTACTAGATGCCGCTGCACTTGCCATGACGTACCCAATGGAGAACATCTTTCAGGATCCTGACCGAGCCCCCGACTTTACATGTTTCTCTCTATACAAGATATTCGGGTTTCCCGACGTAGGGGCATTAGTTGTGCGAAAGGAGTCAGGTCATATCCTCGCCCTCCGCAAATATTTTGGGGGAGGCACAGTCTCCATGGTCGCCACCTTCGGCGACACTCCATGGCATCGGTCAAAGGGTCTTCAAGCCCCCACGTACAAACTTCACGAAGGTCTCGAAGATGGAACGTTACCGTTCCACAGCATACTTGCCCTCGGTGAGGCGGTTGATGTACATCTGCAATTATACGGATCAATGAGAACCATTTCAGCGCACACATCTTACCTGACCGACCAGTTACATCGTGGCATGGCTGGATTACGCCATGCCAATGGACGCCCTGCGTGTCACGTCTATTCTGAGAACAGAGATTTTGGCAACTCGAGCAAGCAAGGCTCTGCCATCGCCTTCAACATGATTTCTTCAGGCGGAGGCTACCTGTCGTACACAGATGTAGAACGTATAGCGAACAGCGCCGGTTTCTATGTTCGATCTGGAGGTAACGAACTCAACCCTTACCCTGTTAGCCGGTGGTGGCGCAACGCACAAGAGCTTACATCAGCATAGGCGTCTGCAATCCTGGCGGCATCTTTTCCCTCTTGGGCTATGAGCCGTGGATGACTGAGCGCGCTCTCTCAGCTGGCCACCATTGTGGCTCAAACGGGATATCCGTCCTCCACGGACTTCCCACAGGGTAAGTTCTCTTACTACGCTCTCCCTCTTCCCCCCATACTTCGTATTCAGGGAAAGGAGGCTTGCTAACACCTTCTCACCTTGTAGTATTGTCCGCGCCAGCCTCGGGGCAATGTCCACGAGGCAAGACGTCGACTCATTCCTCGATTTCCTGCGTACGACCTTCGTCGACACGGCCGACAAGGAAAGCAGCCCGCTCTCTGCGACCTCAACGCTGCGCTCATTCCCGTCCGACGCGACTCTGGGACGTCGCGCTACCTTTGAACCTGTAATCGACATCGTCCCCGAGACGCGCAAGCTTGAGCGCGAGAAGCCTCGGATACGCCGCATACCGATCCTCTCGCACTTTAGGCGCGTGCCCAGGCCAGGGGTGAGGTCGTCCTCTCTCCCTACGAAAAACATCACGGGTGGTTTGCCTACTATTAGGTGACTACGTGGCTATATTCCATCCTAGCTAGCAAAGAGAATGTTTGCTTTGGATCACGGTCGTGATAGAACAAGACAAGGTGTTCTATAAATACGCATCGGCGTGTATGCATTTATGTATGTAAACTTGTATGTATTATGTTGGGATATAGGTGGCTCGTTGTGTGCCTTAATAATCATAAGGTTAGGGAAGGGCAGGATTTAGTCGTTCGGTCGGACCTTCTGCTTTGCTTGAACAAGTCTCGTTTGTCTTATATATAAGTAATCTCTATTATCAAAGACTCCAACTTCGTCGTGCATCAAAGCAACGTAGTAGTATCTCTGAAGCTTGTGATACTGTTGACACATGACGGACGCCTCGGATGTATAGTGTTAGTTCAGCCCCTCATATCCAGATTTGGCCAACGGAAAGGATTCAAGCGCACAATATTATACGTGAGTGGCCTAGATGAGAAACGAATGAATACAGTCAGATCAATACTGGTGTGTGTGTTGGTGCTCCTTTGTGCTAGGCGAGCCTCCACCCCTTCACTCCATGTCATCATCTAGTGTGTTCATATACAGCTCGTTGTGGCACCCTTTTCCTTGGTCACATGTACCAGGCTGTGGCAGATACGGTGTGGTCGTCTCTACCTGTGTAAGCGACAAACCTAGTGAGCGCTAAGGGTGTGAAATTACGCACGTACCTAAGAAGACCCTTGCTCGTGAACCACCATCATAGGCAATATACTTAGAAAATGTATAGATACCCTCGTCTAGGGACTCGAATATTTTTTTACCGGGAACTTTCCTTTGTGTTGGCCAAGCCTCGTAGCGGGTACTGTTTGTGGCATGTAGAATAGTTCGTGGGTGCATGAGACATCAGCTCCCGGTTTTATGGCCTCGACTCCTTTTCTAATCCCTCTGTTGTCTTACACGCGTCTTTTTAGCCTTCTCGCTTTTCCGATAAATGCGCATCGTTGAGCTCTATATGTCTATCGTAGCTGATTCAGAAGTAAAAGTCGTGAGGGATATCATCATTTCCAGAGCTTGACTTCCCAATTGTGGTGGCTAAATACTTAATGACATATGTACTTTCTTTGTCTACATCCTGTAATAGTCAACATGGTAAATACTTCATCGAGGCTTCCTCATACTCCACTTCAAGAGTTCTGGCCAAAAGGGGTACTTACCACAAATATCACACCATGCGCCTTTGGTGATGAAATAAATGTGGAATATCTCCTAGGCTGAAGACCGGAATTATTCAAAGTACATACCCGGGTTTATAGCGTCGGCGGAGATAATCTCTTTATTACATATTTAGTTTCAAAATACTTCTTACAGCGGGCCCCGGTGCTTTATTGTGTTATGCTGGTAAAGGGCTGCTGTCGAATCCAATATAGGTACTGGAATGTTTCAGAGGCATTTGGAATTTACAATATGTGTTTCCACTGACCGGAAGTCCTACAATCGCCGGCTTCATGTACAGATCCGTTCAAAATATTTCATAGGATAATTATTCTGAAAGTCTTTAGGATCCTCTTTTCGTCGCTTCTACAGATGTCCATATGGAACCTAATATTATTGGTTAAATCACGGTAAAGTCTGAATCTGCTGTAAGTTTCTTATGGTTATTGCTACCTCGGCAGAACCTTTGATCAAACGTGGCGGTTAAAGACGGCGGTAGTATGCCCCTGAATATGTTCGTGTATCAGATGCGCGGCTACAAGTCTTGGGAAAGCAGGAAAGCCTCGGCCGCAATAAAGCCGGGTTATTTGAACCAGGAATATGGTTATCTATATGCGTAAACACATAGTATGTGGGATATATCGCTTCATACTTGCGGCACGTCTATACCGGGCTAACACCACTATACGAAGCGAATTCAATCGGTTATTATGTTGTCGCAGATGGCGGGATTGGCGCCGAAACATAAGGAGGCATTCTGTAAAGGGCACATGAATGAAGAAAAGTGTTGGATTCTTATTCAGCAGATATGAAGTGAGTATAACTAAGTATATCTTCTAATGTGTTCGTGGATCGCCTTTTGGGCCTGAATGCGAAGGCCACGCTATCTACAGCGCACAAGGCGTAGTCGACACACATGTAAGAGGTAGGTGTGTCTAGTAATACAATATAATGAACATGTCACGGAACGACATAAGGAATGCAGTACCTATGCCATTGCGCTACCAAAAGGTAACGACGAGTTATCAAGTCGAGGGCTTGACGTCTCTGCACTCACTATATAGTACTGTACTGTAACAGAACACTACTCGATGAATGAGAGAACGTATGACCCCCGGGCGAGGGAAAGCACATGATGTCTTTGAGCTATAGTTTATGTGATAGCTGCCGAGTCAACGTCTATTGAGCTGTCTTTGGCCAAGGTCTTTCTGGCATATACTAGTACAAATAGTTCCACTTGGTATTAGCAATATAGCGTGATTCACATCGTGATACGGGTAATTGTAGTTTCAGATTCGGGCGATTCGGGAGCAGCAATGGCTTGGGGCCAATTAGAAAGGAACTCGAACTAGCATCAAAGAACACAAAGCTTTAGGACTATTTACAGTACATCGGCCACGTGCTCAATGTCTTTCGCCGTAGCCAGACATGCTTACTATTAGGGGCATAAGGCTATTCTCTAAAACGTGCCAGCACGTTACATGCCTTATTCACGCCATGGCTTCTGGACGTTCTAGTTTTGGTGGCTATTTGAAACATAGACACTGATTTCTTTTGGCAAATCTTATCTTGCATAGCTCTATTGGCCCGATCTGAATTAGGTGCTGATACAACCTACTTATTCGAACTTAGAACCGAGATCTTCTATTATGACGCCACACCGTCACCCGCAGATCTACGGAATGACCATACTTAGCTGACTTAGATCTCGCAGAACACTAGTTCACAAAAAGCAAACTGTGACCACGCCAGGTTTCAAACTCATACAGGAGTCTTTAGATATGTATCAGAAGTTGATATCCGAAGGCAGACTGCTTGCGGTTTGCGGCATGTGTCTAATAAGGTCGTATTGATCGGCATTGCCTCTTTAACGCTGTAGTAGTAGAGTCTGGAGCTAGCGTGGAGAGGCTGTTCCTGGACGAAGTGTACACCAGCCTTCCAAACTTCAGCTCTTATCTACACATTCACTAGGATGCATCTAGACCCAGCTTTCACGCCGACCGATTCAAGCTCAAGACTAGGCAAGTGAGAATCATCATGAGTCATACGGTAGCCTCATTCAGCCGCTGGAGCAGCGACTCGGATTGCTGCTAGAAGACAAGGATTGTTGTCTCAGTCTACAGATCGGCCCTATGCCGTCTGATTATACTGGGTTCGAGAAGCAATCAAAATCTTATTCACCTCTACAAGTAAATCTCAATCCTCTTACCTTTTTCAATCAAACGGAAATTTGGGATTGTGCACTTAATATTCAATTAATAGCAGGACGTTGGCTTGTTGAGGCTATGACGAGGTGGCTCCTATAAGACATGTAGATGTTCTCGAGCGGCTAGTAATCGTAGATGATGGTCCGGGAAGCCGAACAGGGGAAGGGTACCCATGCCGAAAATAAATTATTTCAGCGCCGTTGATGTGTGGCCCAGGCCCGGGCACCCGACCGACTTTCCAGGATGTTGGTTCACCATCCTAGTCTATTCATTCCATAACGGGACCAACCGCTTCTCCCAATGGAATTCTGGCTAAAAGAGGATCACACAACAAAAGCCAGATATGCCCCAAACGAGGCTCTATGCAGATATAGTTCATTCATGTCTCGGCCTCCGCTACTATCCGTGGCATTCAATCCTCTGGATGCTCTACATTCTCGTTGTTTACTATGTAAATACAGGTAGTAGTCCGGTCCTATGCGCTTCCGGGGTTACGTTACCGAAGACGAGCTGGTAGCAAAATAGCTGAGAATTTCTCTCCTTTGTGGGTTCGGTACTGTAGCTGAATACTGATCAGATCTTGGCTGATGACTTACGCCCCTGTTCATTTAGTCGAATGACCCATTGAATTTCAATGCATTCTGTTACGCGTCGTCGGTGCCAAGACAAAATTACCCCGCGCCTCCATTCGAAAATCGAGGACCTCCCAAGAAATGACGTTACGAATAGACATTTTCCATTTGTGGGCAAACAAGGCTGTTGATGTGTGTAAGCGCGGAACACCTAGAGCCGAGGCGAGATACGCAGAGTCGATCTTAAATTACCAACTTCAGCATCTGTCCGCATGAAAATACGAGTTGGATGGATGTCATCATCGGACCATGAAAGAAGCTGACCATCACATAAGGACGCCAGCTTCGACACCATCAGCAACGTGAGGATTCAAGTTTGATCGCCTAACACAAAATGCATCGCACTAACACTTGGTGGATGCGATTCCAATTTATTGCATTTTGGAGCTTGTCGCGTGTTGGTGGAGTTATTCGTCAGCAAAGAAAGGCACTCCCCCGTAAGGCGTAACGTCATTCTGATCGGCGCTGGGGTTCTTGGGTTACAAGCTGTGATTAAGCAATGGCAGGCCTAGCCTGACGTTGCATGACATTGAATAGATCTCGTTCATCCTATGTCATCCCGGATGGATAAGGCAGCGGCTTCAGGTAACATCGCGTCTCCAGCGGGCACCGTAAATCATACCAGCACCAAGTAACCATCAACAAGCGCAATCCATACCTATTCACGCATGTGTGGTGTAGTGTACTCTGGAGAGCGGGCGGCATGCCACTGTGGGCGACCACATCTGCGCGGCGCACGATGCAGGTCAAAGTGACTGTACCTCACAGCCGTCTGCATGTCGAAATTTCTCGCAGGTACCGACTTGGCGGATCCTGTGGTGTCCTTTCGACTTGCCGAGACCACTACTACGGTTTCATAAGGGAAGCGAAAACACAATCGCTATTCCTTCACGTCCTAGCAAAGCTATATGGCGATAATACGGCTAGAGCATGAGTAAACACGAGCACAATGTGGTTGAAAGCTGCAATTTATTCCACCCTTCGTTATGTAGGGTCTAGATATTAAGGGGAAAATAATTGAAGGCCAGAGCCGCCAAGTGTCCCCTTATTAACTACCAAGTAACCACGCTGGTTGTGTCGCCCAACAGGACTGGATATGAAGGAGAACGGCCCGATCGAGCTCTCAGAAGAGGGCAATACGAGAGATTATAGCTTGTCAAACATTTCTTCTACTATCCGGTTCAGCCTATTCTGGCTTATAGTTTTCCTGGCTTTTTGGCAGTGCATTGGTAAAAGGTACCCCCCAGCCATTTGAAGCCATTACATTGGTCCCTTTTGTAACCAGGACTTTTGGCTTTTTTGCTGATGTATATGCTGTGGCGCGACCTGGAGCCGGGATCGACAGGCCGGGTGCAGGGATTTGAGCTGGCATCGATCAAGATACTCCGCACCTGCAGCGACAGATACGACAGTACACTCTAGGTGTAGAGTGCCGGACATAAAGTGACTCTGGAAAAATGTGAAGAGCCAAATGAGCGAGCTGCTTCGCGAGGTCTGGAAGAGCTAGTTCATTCTATCGCAACCTTGAGTCTCTGACTGTATCTCTCGCCAAGTTCCGAAGGGATGGTCAAAGGATCCACTGCAATGATCGCACCCATGAATGCTTGTCGTCTGAACCACTCGCCTTTCTTATGCAAGATCCCGGGCGCATCGTGAGGCTTTCGGATGAGGATCAAGCGGCATAGGAAGCGCAAACTCCCGAGCAGACGTACGAGAACGTCATAGGAGCTCTAGATCGCCGTGCATGATTTCGGACTTAACCTCGATAATTAGTACCTCCTCTCGCTTTTGGTGGCCCGCCGTTGAGCATGCGATGAGTCTGCAAAGCGACTGATCGGGCACATCTAAGCACCAACGATTTCAACAATGAAATTGTGGGACGTCTCTCAAGATCGCCAAAGGGTGTAGCCGCGTAACTTGTTACTCTATCACTTCTCCTGAATGGAGTTGGGTCAAGCTGGGCTCGAGCCAGGGCTTGCTATCGAACCAGGTAGCAGATTGAGGCCCGGTTCATAGTAGACCCTATGTGTCTCAAGTAATTGATATTGAGGCAAAATAATCCGGGGCTCCAGGTTTCATATTGGATAGATTTATTTTTTGCCAGAATGCCATAGTCATAGACGAGTGTTCCTGCTGGGCCTGGTTGAGGCTGGCAGTGTGAGCTCCCGGCCATTCTTACCCGTTAGTGCTCTATTTATTGAAATCTCGTCGCTTTCGATATTATGTTCATTATAAAGATTAAAGTGAACCAAGGCTAGAGGTTTTAATTGATTCGCTACGGTTTAGGAATATACAGCTCCAAGGCCTCGATTCGGTCCGCGTGTCTTCAGCATCGAGTAGTGTGTGTATATCTCCTGTACCATCGCCTCACGGGTTATAAAACCCAACTGATTACCACAGCTACTATACATTTTGGCTTACTCTTACTTCGTTCTGGCTATTATTTGTCTGCTAACACGTTCATTAAGCGACCACCCTTTCAACGGGAGATCTTCATGTTATTAGACTTCGACAAAGCGCCGCCTGATAGTCTTCGCTAATATTCGAAACCCTGAGACCCTGAATCCACCGGATTGTCAATGGTGGTGTTAAGGTACTATAGTTCTTGAATATCGGAACTGGTCGACAGCTCGGTCAAGCGAGGTTTGGCCGGTAACGCCCCTGCGGGTGACAACGGCGAGCGCCCCTAAGTTAGTCCCTCCTCGAGTCTGATATAGTGCTGTCTTATTCAACTATGACTCTCCGTCCACAGTTTCAGGCCCGATATCCCCACTGCCATGACCATCGATCGGACCAGAGACTTACACTTGCTAGGTTTGGGAAGGATCCTTCGATCTGTATCATCCGCGGTTCACCATCTTGGTGATAACCCTAGAATAAGAGGCCATTAAGGTGTGGATAGCATACACGCCGATTCCTTAGGATTCTGTGACCAACAACCCTGGCCACTGCATATCTTGGACGATACCTCGGGCAGCTATTTGATAACGACACAGCTCCAGTCCTGGGGCATCGGTGTCATCTACAAAATCCATTGGCCCACATTGATACCTCTCCACCACCCTGTTCTGTAGCATTATAGCAGTCTTATAATCTCGTTCGTTAGAGCCGGCGCTTGCAGAGCGAGGAATGAAGGTTTGGGAAAGACTCACCTATCAATCGGAGACGTCAGTGGTGGAATAATCGAGCATCGTTTCGCGCTCATCGACATAATCCGGTGCCTTTGCCAAATATTTATATAGACCGGGACTGAAGCCAGTTGAGATCAGACTGTCAGCGTGGCAATTTATTTCGGGTTATCGCAGATCGAGCCAACATTGCCGGTGGATTCTTCCGCATCTTATCTTGGAACCCAACGGTTTGTTGCATGCAGTCTACAATGTCTTTCCACTATTCATCATCACCCCATAATAGCGCCACGATGGACATGTCACACTCGACCTACATGTCTAGCTATCTGCCATCGACAAGCTCCATCATGGAGGTAAGACATCTCCAGCAACCATCAGTCCCTTCAGCACCACCTTTTCCAGCACAACATCCAGCTCCTCCTCACCCACTATCAGCGTACCCATCCCCGGCCACTCACAGCCCCCTTGCCAAACGACGAGAGTCCATGTCAAAAGCCTTCAAACTAAGAAGAACCTACTCGACCCCTAACGTGAGACCACAGGGGATGAACGAACCCGACACAGAGCCCCTTGGTCTCTCTGGAGAAAAGAAGAGGAACAGACTCGGATACGCAAGGACGAACATGGCTTGCGGTATGTAGTGTCGGTGTATGGAATTCAAGGAGCTCTTGGATGATGCTGAACAACTTGTTAGGGAACTGTCGAAAACGGAAGATCAGGTGTCAACCCGTGAAAGATGACGGACGCTGTAGTCAGTGCATCAGACTCAAGAAAGACTGTCAGTTCTATGCCGTAGATCAGCAACCGCCTTCCTCCACGGTAAAGGCTGGGTCGAAACCACTTCCCAAGGCGATGATAGGGTCTGCGGCTTCGCCGCCACCGATCGCACCGAACCATCCTGGTAACATACAAACCCATCAGTCTTATCATGGAAGTGCCGTGCCGGCGAGTCATGATATGAGACCGCCAGCAATGAGGCCAGATTCATACCTCGAAGACTCCAAGCGTAGGTTCTACCCTAGCTTATTGCTGGCTATAGCCCGCAACTAAATGTTTTTCAGTCAGACCGGGAGCACACGGGACCAGATCATTCAGCTACGACCAAGGCATGGATAACTGGGCATCGACGACGATGAGTCCTGTACCGAAGCAGGGAGACATCAACACGCCGTGGAGAAGTTATCCACCCGAATCACCCGTAGCCCCAGGCTATGCTCCTTATCCAGTGCCGGCGTCACAGGCGTCTACAACGTGGGCAACATCCCCTCTAGAAGCAACTATCAGCTCGGAGGGTACATCTCGATCTGAAGACGCGTGGCCCCCGTACCAGCAACCAACAAGGTCGATGTCCTTTAGCGGAGAGCATCCGGTGCAATACGCGATGACGCCGAGCCGAACATACGAGAGGAAAGCCTCGGTCGCCTCAGAGGTATACCAGCCAACGAGCATTGAGACAACCCCAGCGACCTCTTATACGACATGGCAGCAGCCCTATCAGCCTTGGTACGCGGAAGGAGGACAGCACGTGCCGCCGACAGGCCAAACCCATTCCCAGATGGACGGAACTTATTACGGGAGATGATTGTGTTGCCCCGCCTTGCCAGCCTTTGGACCGGAAACTTTCGTTTTCCCTGGCCTGTCCACCGAGAACTTCTATCAGTAGAACTCGCGGCGCGTTCGAACCTGGTGATAACCGGAAGCGAGCCGAGTGCCTCAGATGCGTTGGTTCGGCTACAAAGACAGAGGAGCCAAGAAGCAAACAAATTAACCCAAAAAAAAAAAAAAAAAAAAAAAAAAAGAAGAGAAATTTAATAACAAAAGAGAAGAACGAAAAGTGTGTGATCCAGAGCCCAACACCTGATCGAGCGCTCGCACAAAATAAGAAATGTCATTTACGAAAGCTTCTCAAGAAGTATTGAACGAACGACTGACATCAAGAGGTGGCCCCCTATACATAAGTACTCATGCACTGTGGTCGTCGACTCACGCGACCCGACGGCTCAGTCGCTATTGCTAGGGTCTCCTGCGACGTCTGAAAAAAAGATGGCAGGCAGGCAGACTGGCTGACAGACAGCTATACCGACCTAAAGCAGTCCCGTGTGGGCGTTTCTGACCATCCCGTGCCGTTTCGTTTCGTCCCGTTCCGCTTGTCCAATTCCCGCTGCCGTGCTGTGTGCTGCACTAATACGCAAGCAAGGACCAACTACACACACTATCTAAGCCCATGGTTATGGGTATGGACATGGTTGGTGACGATGGTAGTGTAGTGGTGGTCAGTGTCACCGTAGCGCGTGACGTGACGTGTTACCAACTATGTAAACATTCTTATCATTTCATTTCCAGCCCCATCGCTACTTTGAACCGAGTCCGCATTGTCATCCCAGTTCGTCCTGCACTTTATTTGATTTCTAAGTTATTTTACTTCTGACCAGTTAGCGTGCGCTTTGATGTTTGGGGGAGGAAAAGCAGGGGTAAGGGGGTTATAAAAGTTTTGCTGTTTCATGAATTTTTCTTTATCAAGCAGGAGTGTCATATTTCAATGCGGGTGGAAAGCTACCGAGGCGGTACAAGTTCTTGGTTTTTATTTTCGTATGTCACTACCTAACCTAGTGTTTTCAGTGCATGTAACTAAATTGAATGGGTATATAGCATTTCTTCTCCAATTCATTTATCTTCTATTTCTGACGTATGGATAACGTGCCGAGAAATGCTGGCATTCGCTGGCAAAATTGAGCTTGGGAGGGCTGTCTTATGCTTTATCCTATGATAGGATGATATTACGTCAACCTCGGTGTACTCCCCCATCGAGAGCTTCGCCGCTGTCTCCGAGTTTACCTATCTCCACAACCGCATCTAGTATTTAGTCGCCATCCGATGGCCTAGCGTTTGAAATGTCTCAAAACCTTTAGCTGATCATCGTGGCCTGCTATCACCTGAGTATCTCTAAGACGCAGGGAGAGTTGTCTTCATACCGCATGAATTTTCGTCTACTTCATATCTAGCAGCAAAGCCTTTAAGCCGCCAGGTTCCAGGTCAGAATAATCAGGCCGATATATGCGCCGAGGCTCAGCGTTGTAAGTAGCAGGACGCTATTATTACAAGTGCGAAACTTGCTCATAACTTTCCCTTCGTTGTCTGTGATGCTGAAGAACTGCCTGTTGCCTTCGTACCGACGCAACAAGGCGCATAACATCACTGTTGCCCCATAGACGGCGAATAACGCACCGATTGCGTAGAACTCGGAAGTGAAGATCTTGAGGATGATTAGGGCAAAGCTGAACTGTGATAGGGCAGTCCGCATGTAAGCACCCTCGAAAGTCCTCTGCGCTGCCCGAATCTCCACTAGTCTATAGAAGAGATGTAAGCGTTACGTTCTTCTAGAACCAGTACGGCGCCGCACATAGCAGATGGCTTACTCTTGTGCCGTCAATACCACCGGCTGAGTACGATGCAATCGTAGGTGGAGGCGGTCTTCTGGATGATGTGGCTGTGAGATAGCATAGCGGTCAGCTTTGATGCCAGTGAAGACTTGTACGGACAGCGTGTGCGCAGGTCAGCTTGGTGATTCAAGGGGTCAGAATTATGCCTATAGAGCAAGTCCTGCTGAGACACCCATAGATAGGTAGTGAGAAGCTGATGCGTGCTCTACATGTTCCGCCCACTCCAATCACACTCCGTCTCCATTGCACCCTTGGCTATCCCCTCTTCTGGAGTCTTGGGGCATCAGACGATCCTTGCTGTGGTCCTATCTCTGAGAAGCAAGGAAGAACAGACCTGAACCATTTTATCTGATATGAAATAATACGTGTCACCGGTGGGCTTTACTCCTTCGATGGTTGCTGCTAAAGGCGGATGACGTCTGTTGTAATTGAATGAAATGGTTATGGGGGAGACTCCGTCGCGGCCCTGCTCTAAGCGCTTACCATGCTGTACCTAGGTAGTGGGTAGGTACTCTATGTACCTGCCTAGCACTACATATAGGTACTGTAACCTTAAGGAAGCTCTGGGGAAGTCCTGACCAATCATAAATCTAAGATCAACAGTCTCGCAACGCCAAAGGAGGCCGTTAAGGGTACCTATCCAAGTACACCTACCTTATGAGGTACTTACATAAGTAGGCATCTACTGCAAATATTGACCACTTGCTGGTGCGCTGGCTATAGTACCTAGGATTAGGATATATAAACCTACGTAGCATGTAGATACCAACCGCCTGTCTACTACTTTGATCGAACAACTCCATTCTAATTTGGTGCTTTTTGGATGATGATGATGATGATGATGATGAGAATTGACGCTTCCAAGTTGCGGAAATCCATAGCGCTATTGTGAGGCACTACTACTACCTGTACTGTAGCCCTGACAGCCATCCAACCACTGACTGGTCTAATGGGCTAGGTAGCGCTTAGAAGGTGAAGTACCTAGGTACTTACAAGCTTGCATTCAGGAAGTACCGTACATTACTTTTAATACCTACCTATGTGCCTACGCATGATCAAAGTCCATGCTATCGATTTGAACAAATGAACCTCGGATTTTGCATTGAACATGAAAGGGATTCATATGTACATAGCATTGCAAAAGAAGTCGTAGCATACATTTGTAAAGACTTGGAATCTGACAGTTACCCTACCTACCTACCTAAGTATATAGATTATTCCCATATGCTCATAGGTATGTATTTAAGACCGCCGGATTTGGCTGGTGTGGGCCGCCACTTTTAACAGTAAAACCTACCACGTGGAGCCTAGGTTACCTAAGTAGAGGTATACCGTATTACCTGAGATTATAGAAACAACGCGCCGTTGGTGTGTAACATAGTCTATGCTTGATTAGGTACAATTTTCCACTCTTTTCAGCCCTCGTACCGAACAAAAGACGATTTCCCCAGCAAATTTTGTGGAAAAGTGTCCTGAATTAGGTAAAGGCTATGTTACACACCAACGGCGCGTTGTTTCTATAATCTCAGGTAATACGGTAGGTACTGCACATTTCCCCCTAAGCAATTGCCCACTATTTAAATGCCGCCTACAGCCCCGTTCAGCGCTACTAGTAGGTAGTAGGTAGCACGCTTGGTTCCGGCAGCCGCGGTACAACGCGGAGCTGTTATCTAGTCCCGTCCAAGCCCGGGCTTTGTCGGAGGCCGTTCTTCGATATCTCGAATTAAATTCTCACATTCCAGCTCGGTAGTAGTGGTATATACAACTCCTGAGTAAGTAAGGGCATCGGTGTGGCGTTGTCGAAGTGAATACCTTTTGCGAACTAACGACTTAACATAAAACTTCAAGCGGTAATATTTAAGACTAGGTAGAGATACCAATTGACCAATCAGCACAAAAGTAATGGACAGCCAACCAATCATCGCTTATATGTCACGTGATGTAAACCAACTATATAGCCGGATTCCTTATCGGAGCTCCGTAATTAGATAAGGAGTACTAAGGAATTTCTGCCGTGACACACCGCTCAGGCTTTTCTGCCACGCTGCGCCGAGTGCGCCACCACATTCCCCATGTCCGGCGATCGGAGCAGTGACTCCCAACTATAGACATAAAATGTGATTCAGGTAACCACTATTCAGGGGCTTGAGCTCGCATGAACAGCGCGGGGAGAACCAGTGAGTAGATTGACGTATGTTTTGAAGTCGATGATCTGTCTAGAAAATGGGTAGAACCAAAGCCTAGATTACGGGCACTTGGATGTAGGGGGAAAAAGGGCATTGTGATGCCTTATTATTCCTGATTTCAATCTGCTGCTGTGGAGTTACTGAAGAACTTTGTTCCCGCCTACCACAGAACCCCCGCCATCGGGCCGGAGACGCTAGCGATGACTCTCCAAAAAAATTAATATTTCTGCAAGTGCAGACCCCTCCATTATCTACCCCAGAACATCAAACAGTCGGACTAATTCTCTCTATCTCATCGAAACGAGTCTTCAATCCAGCCTCTTATTTACTGCTTGCGCGAGAGACATAGTGATTTTGTAACGAAGCCGCTCATCCTACTTTACAGCTCTCCTATCGTCGTTTGGACGGCCCAACTCCCAACATGTCCATCACCGGCAACTCTATGTCGAACCCTTACTCGAGCGTTAGTGACCTCTTGAGTAATGTCCGCAACTTCAAGATCATAGAATGCAAGTACTTCCCGTGCTATTAAATTCCTCTTTTAGCAGCTTCCAAGAGTGATTCGCTGCTACCCAACAAGGGTGTTGGAGTATAGGCCTTCCTAAAATATGTCTTTTGGCTCTACAAACAGGCTCAATACAACAGTAACTAACTGTTTCTAGCTAGTAAGAAATTATCTTCGCTATGACACGGAGGATGAGTCCAAAAGTATCCATCACTCAATATAAAATGGGTACAGTATGAGGCGATGGATACTTTTGGACTCATCCTCCGTACAGCTTTGAACAAAGTGGTTAATGCATGTTTTAGCTTTGAGGGAGGGCGAACAATTTGCAAATGCGTACTTCTCAACTGAGACGAAAATTAAAATGGATGTTCAAGGCGGACTCAAGCCCTATGTTATACTTACTGACATTACCTTGTCTATAGTGCGACGATGCTTTCTGAATTTGGTTGTGACTATATTGAACTTACGAATCCAGCTGCTAGCCCGGTGAGTCTTTTCCAGTATGTCTTGGTTAGATCTCAGCGCTAATCAACTGTAGCAATCTCGCGACGACTGCGAAGCCATCTGCAAGCTCGGCCTTAAGGTGCACATTCAATAACCAATACTTGAAAGAGATTAAATGTCTACTAACGACACAGTAGGCCAAGATTCTAACCCGTTCGTTGTCTCCTCTTGGCCCTAGTTATGCTAAGTCTTCTAACCAACATATCAGACACAAGATGCACTCTAGAGGTGAGTAGCCGTCATGGCTAGCGATTTTGGATGCCTTTATTTTACCTCGGTCGATCTGCCAGTGCACCCATGCTCGTATGTGGCTAACACATGCTCCAGGACGCCAAGCTTGCGGTATGAGTCCTTCGAATTGAGAATGAATTGCAAATGACTGAACTCTCTAAGTGCGACTGCGGAGTTGACGGTGTAGATGTTGTGATCGGGACGAGCCGTGAGCACAGACCCACTATATAATCTCGTTTATGGACTGACTTGCAGCAACAAGAATTCCTACGAGAGCATTCCCTTGGCGGCAAGGACATGGTAGCTATTACCAAGCAGGCTATCGAGGTTATCGAGTATATCAAGAGGTATGTGCACCACCAATCTGGTTCCAATTAGAAGCTAAACAATGGCTCAGCCGAGGCTGCGAGGTCCGCTTCTCGAGTGAAGACTCTTTCCGGTAAGTGCCGTCTTTACGTTTCTCTGAGCCGATCCTTTCGCCGACCGATCAATCTCTGTTGCCTGCGGAGACTGGGGCCTTTGAGAGTTATGACGAGCAAGACCTAGAGGGAAAAGCAGGGTCTTGTATGCAGATTCTCGTTGCTCGTTACGACATAGCACCATCATTTTTGCGACGCTCTCTTAAAATGCGCCTATGACCTATAAGGCTTCTACATTACCCATTTCAGCAAAGCAAAGCAACGCTATTCGACGTGCTCTTCTCCATCCAAGGCTTGACTCCTCTGGCTCGGCGGGGTTTCTGAGGGGTCGGCTACTCTAAGGTCAGCTATCTCGCTAATGTATGCAAAGGTCGGATCTAGTCGATTTGCTCTCCATTTACCGCGCTGTGTAAGTACTTGCCGTGCTATTGGTGTCCCTTTGGCGTTCCCCAAGAGCGGTTCGCTGTCCCAATAAAGAGTTTCCAGCATGGGTGCTCCTGAAATATGTTCTTTAGCGCTAGAAATACGCTTCGTACGGCAACAACTAACCGAGGATTTCTCAAAAGTAATAATGTTGGTGTCGGAAGGGTGGGCGTTGCCGACACCGTGGGCTGTGCTTCTCCGAGACAAGTTTATGTAAGTGATGGGCCATCCTCTTTTTTGGCCGTATGCTAACCATCCGCAGGACCTTGTTAGAACCCTTCGAGGCTGTGTCTCGACCGATATCGAGGTTCACGTATATGCCCCTGTAAACCATATTTCGCATGACACTTGGCTAATCGAATCAAGTTCCACGATGATACAGGCTGTGCTGTGGCGGTCCGTTACATGCTCCCAAACCTGGAGATGAGAAGCTGACCATTCCTAGAACTCCTTCACTGCCCTCGAGGCTGGTGCTACACGTAAGCCCACCGGATTCTCTCTTCATAACTACTAAGGAGATATGGACCTTGGAGATGGACTCCGGGTCCACCGACGTTGTCTACGGGGGTGGGCATAGGCTGACTTTCTACGGCACAGACGTCGACACATCTGTGCTTGGAATTGGGGAAAGAAATGGCATCTGCCCACTTGGGGCCCTCGTATGTCTAAATCATACTCTTTAGGAATCCAACTGTGGTCTGACTTTACGAAACGCAAGATGGCTAGAATGATGCCGACCAGCAGGGATTACATTCTCTCCAAGTATAAGCTTCACCAGCTCAAGGCTATTGAAGATTTTGTCGCAGAAGCTGTTGAAGTAAGCCCACACTTTATCTGGCTTTATCATATGCTTTCTTGCAAGCTAACAGCGTCTCTAGATCAACGTGCCATTTAACAACCCAATTACTGGTATGTTATCTTCTATATATATAGCCACTGTCGTGTTGCTTACGAAAACCACAGGGTTTTGCGCCTTCACACACAAGGTATCTATATACCACATGTGAACCCGTCCATTAATAAACAGACTAACACGGTATCAGGCTGGTATCCACGCTAAGGCAATCCTTAACTCCCCGTCCACCTATGAGATCCTCAAGCCCGAGGACTTCGGTCTATCAAGGTAAGTTGTACTATTTGTCTCGCGCATATTCAGAACTAACACAGCTGTACAGATAGTAAGCTATAACCTAGGTAATACTATGAAGCCTGGAAACTGATCCAATTTCTTAGTGTCCATTTCACATCTCGACTTACTGGGTGGAATGCTATTAAGAGTCGAGTTGACCAGTTGGGCCTCGATGCAAATTCCTGGCCAGAGGACAAAATTCGCGAGGTGTAAGTGTTGGCTACCTATCCTAACATCTAGATCACTAACAATCCAACCCCAAAATTCTAGTACGGCCAAGATCAAGCAGATAGCAGACCTCAAGGTAATGACCCTTGATGAGACTGATGCCCTAATTCGATCCTTCCACCTTGACCTACAGAAGGGTCACGGTTAAAATGGACAGAACGACGAGAGTGTGGAAAAGGCTACATAAAAATTCGAGTCTGTTCTTGTGGTATTTCCAGAGATAAAATGTTAAGAAAATGCTTTAGAGACATGGCTCGCTCCTAAACATCATGTATGCGATGATGGCGCGGCATAAAAGTTATAAAAATTGATTGGCACCACAACTAGTGTGTAGCTTAGTACAATCAACTGGATTTCAACTGTGAAAGCGTTAAATCTTGTGCTGGCTTATCCTGGGGTATTTTATCTCCCCGTTGACGAGGTTTTTATCCGGCCCTGGCAAGAAGAACGGAGGGGGTACAGTTTTCAAGTCATTTTCAGTGAATTTGGAGATAGTGACTCTGGGCCCTAGGCTAGTAGCCTCCCATAGCTGAACAGCTAGCTTTAATACATCTACCTTCCATAAAATTCTGTGTGTGCTCACTAGCATAACCATTCCTTTTGTTGTAGTTGGATAAATTATCTTGTACACTATGAATACTGAATAAAAAGATAGGGAGTAACAATAAACACGCTTAACTGCTAAGTTAGCTATTAATATATATATAGATGAAAGTGCTTACCTCCCAACTATTTCTGCCAATACCTAGACAACGCCTCATTCAACTATTGGGAGAAGGCACTAGCCTAGGCTGCCGACGAGAAACCTACGCTCGTCTTACTTCCTGGCGACAGCAGCTAAATGCCTCACCTACAGCAAGCGTTGCACAAAGTTGATAGATTTAAAGGAAGGGCAAAGCTATATTGGATTTAGCTAGATAATTGGGGTATCCTATCGAAGGGGCTAGTAAAGGTTATCTAAATCCCAAGTATTACTCGATGTCGAGTTATTTTCGGTAAGAAAAGGTAGGTAGACCAGATTCGAATCAGTAGCAGATAACACAGTTAGCTAAACCTCCTAACGCCAAAGAAACAGTAATATGTGATTATTGCGACGTTCCAATGTAGTCACATGATATCTATCAGGCTCCCCTTTTAATACGATGGCTAAGAGACCCCTTATCTTTAACATGCTCGCAAGTAGATCTTCTCACCAGGTAGTCTAGAAAGACACAATTTCTGCAGCTGGATAAAGCTTCCGTTATCGCAAAAGATGGACCATCCGCATCCATCTTGCCATGGGACTAGGAGAACCTTGAAGAATGTGAAATGACAAGCAGAAACTGACACAGACTTTGCTGAATAAAACGGTTTCCGAGCATCCATCCCAACAGCGTGACTGGTGACCATATATGCCCATGATTGGTCTGCTGACTCATCCAAACAATAGGGCCGATCGCGGCAATGGCAAAGGTTGAGAAGAGCAAATTAACCTCGCACCCTTAACAATTAACCGGTTGGTTAGCTCAGTTGGTTAGAGCGTCGTATGTTCTTCCTCATCTTTGGCATTCAATGATCATTGCTGACCCAGCCTAGGTACTAATACAGTATTCCATTGTATTAAGTAATGCGAAGGTCATGAGTTCGACCCTCATACTGACCACAAACTCTTTTTTTCAAAAATTTACCTCTTTTTCTCAGAGTTTATTTTTCTTTATATTTTTTTTCCTGCTCTACTTTGACCTCTACATAATGATAAACATGAAGTTGATGTCATTATATGTAGTTGATGCTTCTTTTTTAAATTCTACATCCTTTATTTATGATGCTTTTGATTAACTATAGCAAGCTAGGAGATAGAAATAGTGTCTACTCTGTACTGGCACTTTTAACCGAAATTCGTGAGCCTCCTTTTCCATTTTCATCTATTTGTTTGTGTAAATACTAGTTAGTTATTTGTGTTCTTTCAACATACCTATGCTTCATTTACCGCCGTGATTTGTCTACGTGCTTTCAAGGTGGCGACCTCTTCTTGTTGTCAGATCCTTCGATTGAATAGGTATCGAACCAGTTGCCGTACCTTCAAGGTATTTATATCCGATCTTAAAAACACTGTTCTCATTCCCAGTTCGAGTCCAACTAATAGATCAGTCTTCTACGCGTTCACAAGTCCCGTAGCAGTGACCCATTCCGTCCGAGTCTCACGCAAGCTTGTCTCGAGCTCTTGGTACCGTATCTGAATGCCGAGTCGCCGGGCGGGGTCACCAAACAGAGCATCCGTGGCAAAATAGTTCGTGTGCTGACTTCCGTCCTGAACCAGGTGACACTGAAGGAAAACCGCAAGCAGGTCAGCTGCCGCAGGTATTTTCACATCCAACTTGAATGGCAGGTGGATACGCATTCGATCTCGTCGTGCGCCGCTAATCTGAAATGTTTCACCCTGGAGCAGCGTTTCGCGCCAGTCTTGCAGCTTACGCCTTGCTCGAGGGACTACGTTCCCACGCGTCGTCGAATTGCCGTCACTGAGAGGGCTTGAATGATGGCTCGCGTAGACAGTTTGGAGAGTCGTGGGGTTCATCAATTTCGCTGGGTCTGTCGATGCAGTTGCATGTTTGCGGCGTCTTGGTTTGATCACCACCCCGTATTTCTTGCGAACACTATGGAGCTTGACCCGGAGAGCGTTCTCCATGTTTGATAACTTTTTATCCCGCTCGTTTTCATCAAGAGCCTCGTTAATATTTTGAAGTCGTAGGGTGAAAAGTGCTTCTGCAACGGCCATCTCACGTTCCATCGACAACAGTTGATGGGGGGACAATTGTGCAAAGGGAGTGCTCCAATCTGCATACTCCTTCCCCTTTTCAATCGTTTGCGTCAGCCATTGAAGTGTTGCAATTATCCTCTATCTGCCATGTCTTGACGGATTGGGCTGCTTTTTCGAAGGGTCTTGGTAGTACTTTTTGTGGCTGGTTTTGTTGATGTATAGGAATAGAGAAGTCGATGCGGATATTGGGTAGTCAATTAGATAAATGTAAATAGAGCAAGATGAGCTTATCGCTGAACTAAGTTGTTTCTTCGAGCTTATCGAGCATATTAACGTTGAAACGGAACTGTGTATTTTTGACTCAAAGTCCGCCTTCGGGCGCTGAGGACGTCGATTTGTTTCGCAAGGAGACAACATCTTGAGAGATGTCAAATGCGGGCTTCAGGGACTTAGGGGGTGCCGCGTCGCTTTTCAAGGCTTCCTGGAACGCCTTTGGATTTGTTTTGCCTTCCTTTAGGAGCGACTTTATTTGTTTGTCGAGGAGTTGAAGAATATTTATTTTGTCTGTATCGTGCTTGAAATTGGAGATAATTTGTTTAATTGCAGTATCCTTGGTCTTTGCTAAAGCCTTAGCGGAAATAATTAGTAGTTTTATTTCGAAGAATGTTACACTATATACTATATGTCTTTGATAAGGACTCTCAACCGAGTGCCTTTACTAGCGTATCTTATTTTTGACCTCTCGCTTGTATGACACTTAGTCTTTTGCGAAGCGCTTTACGTTTGCTTTTTTTCTTCAGCATCGGTCGGTAGTGGCCCGATAATCCTTTGAGAGACTTGTTTGCGTCCCTTTTCACTAGACTGCGGACAAATTAGAGAAACCTGCTCACTGTGCCACGCGTAAAACCCGATGGAAGTCAAGGCATAATATATCGAGCCTTTTTGACGCTTAGCATCGTTTGATCCAACTAAAGACATCCATTTTGAGCCACTCGAATACTGGGTTGGGCTCTGGTGTGCTTTGTGTAAACAGGTAAAGAGACTCTGAAATGTTTCATCCATATCTGCAGGGAATCGAAAAGGGTCAATCTCTTCTAAGCTAGAGTCCACGAAAGCAGTAATAGATTGTGTTACTATTAGCGTAGCCCGATCGTCTGAGGATGCGTCTTCCGTTGTTTCCTTTAAGTAGACGGGGCTTTGCCGAGAAACGATTGTTTTTAGAGGAGTTCTCACTAGTTTTGGCGACTGCGGCTTGGACCCGGACGGCTTCTCTGTAACTTCACCGGGGGACGAACCTCTGGATGACGTGACTCGGTAGCTATCTTCAGGGGTCTCCACAACAACATCTTCGGGGTCGCATCTGGGACTCGGTAGCTGGAGTTTGGAAGGGTCAATGCAATCTTGCTCGTTCATATTGATATGCCTCAGTTTTCCGTAGGCCGTCTCCATGCAAGTCTGTGCATCGGCGTCGTCAGAATGCAGTGAAACATCGTCATTGTCGTACCCATACTGGCCTCCAGGCTGGTCACACGTGGTGTTGTCTTGCACACCGGGTAAATGATCATGGCCTTGAATTTCCTCAGGTGACGGGCTTTCATCACTGTCGTTACTGTTATCATCTTGCTCGTAAGGAGGGGTTGTAGTAGTTGGATTTGGCTCCGCGGTGTTCGAACACATATCCTCACAGCAACGAGAGAGCTGTTTGAGCGAGTCTAGAAGCTGATGCAGACGAGAGGATGGAGTCCCCGATAAGAAACGACGCAGCTGTCTTGTGTGTATTATGTCTCTTGGAACTTCAAGGAGCTTCTCAAGAGCAGTGAAAAGAGTGGCGGTATAGTCATCACCGTGCTCAGGTTCATCGTTCGGTGATGCATTGATGGCTGTAGGCGTGGATGCTGGATCCATGATTTGAAATGGAATGAAGGCTAAGTGGGTTTTGGAGTATGTCTGTGATCTTGAAGTCAAGGGCATAGACGGAATGTCAACTGGCTTTATTCACGACGAGGAAAACCAAGCTGGGCGAAAAGAGACCGCTTATATAATACCGTTCTGCTGACTTACAACCATGTACTATTTAGCTATCAGCTTCCTTCCGATTTCCCTCACAGCCAGTTCTGTTGTGGGTATTGCTCGCGCAAACGCTGTGTGGGACATGCTCTCAATGGCCGACCGAGTGTGCCTACATTGGTTACCTTCTTGGCCATCGTCTGAGCCAAATATTTGCTGTCAACCTATAAAGGCTTATGATAAACGACTTCCTGGGAAGTCATCCGCCATACGCTTCGATATGATGCCAAACAGCCTCCTTAGCCACCTCCTCAAGGCCAGGTCGGGTGCTAGAAGCCCAAAGCTCGCTTATTAGGCGTTGAAGATAAACGACTTCTTAAGAAGTCATCCGTCATACGCCTCGATCGGGTGCATAATACCCTCTCGGGCCAGCTTCCTCGAGACCAAGTCAAATACTAAAAGCCCATCGCCTTCCTATCATAGGTAAAACGACTTCTCAGGAAGTCGTCCGTTATATGTACCCTTCTAGCTCAGCTTCCTTGCGGCCATGTCAAATGCTGAAAGCTGGATGGTTGCAACCAACAGAAGAGAGACCTCCCCTTTCTATCATCATCGCCATCAAAATCTTCTTCGAGAATAAATACTCGAAAGCTCCCTATCTGATAATATCCTGGATTTCCTACCCAAGCACCGCTTCTAGATGATCCACCCCTGAAGCTTCCAACTTCACCACCTATCCGCAACCATGCTTCAGACTGTCTGCCACACTACTGCCGAGTCTCATGATACTTTGGAGGAGTTGGCTAAGGTGATAGCAAGGTCGAATCGAGCTATCGCTATCATAGGTGCTGGTATTAGTACTAGTGCCGGCATCCCAGTAAGAATAAAGACCCCTTGAGTTTCGGTGATGCTCACAGGACTGGGATTTCGAATCATTGAACTTAAATCGACCCGGTGTCAAGACTCGAGATCTCTTTCAGCAAACGGTTCTTTCCCATCCATCAGACGGGCCTGCACTGATCAAACTCTGCCTTGAACTATTTGAGCATGCAGAGACTAGTCAGCCAAGCCTACCGCATCGATTCCTTATGGATCTATTGAAAAGTGGCCAACTCGTCAGAACATATACGCAGAATATCGATTGCCTCGAAGAGCAAGCAGGTCTTTGCATAGACGTAAGCAAAGGGCCAGGTGTTTTCATTTCCGACCCTACCTCCGACACAACAGCGCCACTTCAACCATCTCTGCCTCGAGGCGTTGATTGCTCACAAGAATGATGGCCTTGTGTTGTATATCAACCAGAAAGGGCCGCCTAGAAAGCACTGGGATGGGGTGGTTGACTACTGGGTTGAGTGGAAATGCGATGCGTGGGTTAATGATTTGACAACCTGAGACCGCTGGCTGTCAACTGCGGGATGTTTGAAGTCAGCGACTATTGATGATGAAGTCCTGCGCTCAGAGCGTAAACGTCTTGCTGCTGAACCTGAATATTGCCAGACACGTTAGAGGGCGTTGCAAGTCTGCAGGGGACGGGCGGCGAAGGAAAGCGTTGTGAAAATGATAAGTGTCATGAAGTTGCTTCAGGTCGCTCACTACTCCAGTCGCCAAGAAGTAAGAAATGCTCCGTTTGGATACGCAGACACGGCAGACCACCGTAATCCTCCGTTATCTTATGATCAGCTTTAGGTATGCATACTTAGGTGGGGTTTCGCTCAGGACGGGCAGAGACGGGCTCAGTGCAGCCTCCGGCTGAAAGTGGCGTCACTCAGGTAAAGTGAGGATCTCGTATTGGCCTGATCGGACAGGAAGCACCTGGGCAATGCTGGTTCACATTCTCTCAAGCCACTTGGCCACAGCCACATGCCACATGCAGTACCTACCTGGGGCCCGAATTCATCCCATCTTCTCATACACCACACATCCGTGATTGATTGTGAGCCTACCGGGAAATCCTGCTTGTTTGAGACGGCGGTGACATCAATCTCGAGTATATATAGCTACGGAAAGAGTTAGATAGTCTTTGTGTGCCATGTACCTCACACAAATAGCGACACCCAAAGCATGAAGACGAAGCAAGCAGAGCACCGTACATTGTAGTACGGTAGCGACGGTAGCGACGGTGATTCTGGGTGATGTGATGCTACCTAGGTAGGTAGGTGGGTGGGGCCTCAGGTGTCGGGGCTGAGCGCAAAGCACGAACAGAGCACGAAGAACGCCTAGGCTAACGACGGACCCCCGGCTGATGTGTGCTGTGTCGGCAAAGCCTTACTTAGTGAGGATGGTGTGTCATGACAGACAGGCTGGGCGATCACAACGATTGGCGATGCCAACAGGCCAATCGACGTTGGGTCTAGGGGGGTGCCTTATCCCAAGCAGACCCAAGGGCCGTCGTGGTGCGCGAACCAGAATCCCTACTACCTACAGCATCCCTACACCATCCCATGCCCGAGACCATTGCTCATTGCATTGCCAAGTGACCTGTCCGCCTAGTGTAGCCTCTGCTCTGCCTCTGCTCTGCCTCTGCCTCTGGTTCTGCTTGTGTCTGCCTCTCGGAACACCTCGTCAAGCCTCCTCATCTCTGCTCTGCCACAATCTGTGCGTGCCTGTCATCTAGCATCCCGCACTCACACCTGCAAAAACCTCCCCCCGAAACATCTTGCACGGCCTCTTCAATACCATGCGGAGATCGATCGGGCTCCTTGTGATCTAGAGACTGGCACGTTAGTTTCTTGTCAGTAGGTATTTCCACATCCAGCCCGTGAACCGAGCAAGTCACTCCACTCAAGCATTAAGCGCCGCGGCCTTGATCCAAGTCGAGCGCAACCCCTCCCATTTTCGAAATTGGTCATCTCGGCTTCATCAATCGATCAACAACTTTTGACAACAATCGATTGAGGAGGTTAAACCTACATTTCCAAATTCAACAAGCACAGCACAACAAGCATTCCCGTCTTCTCATGACACGACCGTCTTTCTCTAGACTCGCTCTCTCGAACCGCGCGCGATAGCTTTGTCTCACGGCTCGCATTACTTGTGTCAATCCGAGCCTTGGACGGACTATGATCTTCCCTTGACGGCGCGCAGAGGACCTGGGCGACTGTAGTGCCATCCAACTCATATATCTGGTAGTTATTCACCCCACCAAGAGCCTCCGTCATGTCTTCCATGTATACTATATCCCCCGCGTCGCTTCACGACCTAAGTGATCATTCTGGCAACTACATCCAACCACCTCGCCATCTCGACGGCCAATCTAAGCTCCCGCACAACGGTCCCAACACCCCGGAGTCTAACTTGTTGTCGCCTTACTCTTCACATGCTCGCAGCAACTCAGCCTCGCCGACGCTAAACTCAAGCACCCCGGCCGATACTCTGTCGACTGCCGAATGTTATCAATCTAGCGACATCTTTCCTAATAGCGAGTACGCCGAGGACCCATTCCTTGGCGCAAACTTTGACGACGTCCCTGAAGATTGGTTCGTTGCCATTCAGGCACCAGAGAATGGTAGCCGACAAACAGTCTACCCTATAAGCCCTCATCCCACGCCATCTATCCCAACTCATCAAACTTTCCAGCAACCCAAAGAGCCCACTGTTATTAGACAAGACTCGGACTTGAGCAAGGATTACTCCGTGAACCAGGAAACCTCAATTGACTCAATTGAGTCCAGTCAATCAGATCCTCAACTAACACCGGATACAAACCGGGGTAGCTGGTCGAGCAACGAGAGTCCCTCACAGGTCGCCTTGGCAATGGCGACTCAGAGCCCTCGAGTAACAGTCTCGATATGGGGTAAAGAAGATGATACCCCCATCCAAGGCGTAGAGAGGTCATTCACCGCTGGTGGGGAGAGTCCTCGCACGGTGCGGCCTTCTCATAGTATTGCCGGCGACTTAGCTTATGATCAGCCTTGGGAAAATTTAGGTCATGTATCTCGTGGTATCCATGGCGATTGGAAGCCGAATGTAGGCACCGGACATCGTGGCCTTGCTCCTGGAGAACGACCATCAGAAGAAGTGCCTAGCCCTAACCAGCAAGCGGCACGGCGCGAACGAGATGAGAAAAATCGGGAGGTTGATGCCTGGATATCCCAATCGACTGGAAACCTGGGTGAAGACCCAAAATTCGCATCTGCCCATGGCGATGATAATGACAATATTCCAACCAGTGAGATCCCACTCGGGGACACAACAGAAAATAAACATATCGAAGGACAGACTTACTTCATTGTCGACGGCCCAGGTGGGCCTATCAATGAAACAGACTTTGACCTCATGCGACATCTGCGTACTTGGGGTGATGCGCCAGCTATTCATGCCATTCAATCTGATGAGCGTAAGCGCTATCAACCAGAAACCTCACAAGCTGCCATTGACAGGTTTTATCGCCAATGCCAAGATAACGCTTCTATAGTTTCCAAGGCGGCAACGTGGGGAACGCGGCGACGGAGCTTGCCTAGCGTGATGGATGTGGAAGGCATAACCTCTGGGAATTTTCTCAAGAAGCTCTCTATCAGCGGCCACTCGCGTAGGCCGAGCATCCTCCAAAGAGTTACTAGCATGAGCCGAAAAGCGAGTGTTGGTGGGATCCGTAAGCGCAAAGGGAGTAGCGCGAGTGACCTGCCACCGGAAGAGTTTGGCGATCCAGCCGATCGACGAGAATCTAAAGATACCCTTGCACCACCATCTCGGACATCGAGTTGGGGCCTTGGAGGCATCAATAAGAAGCCCACTCCCAGTATAAACACCGCCCTGATGGGGATGGCTACGAGCGTGGCTGTGATTGGTACCCAGCATGCACGCAGCGGCTCAATCAGTGCAACGCCTATCGCTTCGCCGAAGAGTCCATTTGGGTCTCTGAGTGTGCCCGCTTTAAGGAGACCGCGAAGCAAGACAGAGCTTCCTAAGACTTCTAGCGCTGAGCTCTCGCATCCTAACCTAGTAGGGATGCTGAGGAAACAAGGTGGCCCGCCGGTAGCACAGCTGGCTCGAGGACAACCTCAGGTAGATCCGGAGGAAGACGAGGATGATGATGACGATGGCATGGATGAAATCGATTTGAAGGTTCCACACAGGACGACGAAGACGATTGAACCGACACTCAATGGTTTTAGAGCCCATATTTTGGATATCAACCCTAGCCTTGCAACTACTGCTGGCATCGACAACCCCAATGGTTTTCTAGTGGAGCGCATTGCATTTCAAATGAACACTCGGTATAAACAGCTTTTAACAGCAAAGCAAAAACATATGAACCAAGTAAATCAACAAGATTGCCCTTCTGGGACTTTCTGTCGGTCCCTTGGCGGTACCATAAAGTATTGGGATGGTCGTGGTGGTGATCGTGGGATCGATCCAATATCGGCCAGAGGCATATCGTCGGACGAAGAAGCAACACCGCTTGAAGGAGGTATCAACGCAGAGAGTTTCCCACAGGGAATCACCCCACCCCCAGCGACATCCCTTCCAGCCGAATTCGAATGTCCACTATGCTTCACCAAGAGAAAATTCCAGAAACCTTCTGATTGGACGAAGCATGTGCACGAAGATGTACAACCGTTTACCTGCACCTGGGATAGATGTCGTGATCCGAAGATGTTCAAACGAAAGGCCGATTGGGTCCGCCACGAGAACGAAGGCCACCGCCATCTGGAGTGGTGGACGTGTGACGTCGACGACTGTCGTCATATTTGCTACAGAAGGGACAATTTCTTACAGCATCTAGTTCGCGAGCACAAGTTTACTGAGCCCAAGGTCAAGACTAAAGCCGCTATAAAGAAAGCCGGCGGAGCTGACCATACATGGCAAAAAGTTGAGCAGTGCCATGAGGAGACGACTAAAAAGCCAACTGAAGAACCGTGCCGATTCTGTGGGAAAACTTTCCCTACTTGGAAGAAACTAACAGTTCATCTTGCCAAACACATGGAACATATTAGCCTTCCCGTAGTTGAGCTTGTTATGAAGAAGGAACTTGAACCCGACACCATCATCAGTCCCATCCAGGATCCACCACCACGTCACTTTGGCATTCCTCCGCCCTCAACACCTTCGATCAAACCTGACCCTCACAGCATCAGCCCGCAAATCCCCCAGACAAATGCGAATATGGTCACCTATAGCACCGCGAACACAATAGGGTTTACGCCCATACCCCGGCCACCCATGGGTAACACATACTATCCCCAACAGCAGGCAGCGCAGCCATACCATGATTTACCCCCTCAAGCGAGTCCTATGATGATGCAACCGCAGTATAGCGCCCAGCCCCAATATCATGGACTACCAGTAACTACGACGTTTGCACAACCCGGCAGTACCTACGCTATGAACATGGCGGCTCCTGAGACAGAACCATTTCCAGCTTTTGAAGGTCTTGGTATTCAAGACCCAACAGGAGCCATGGCTTATCAAAACTTGGGGAACCCTGTTCTCCATGGCGTAGAGCAATACGGTAGCAATCATGGATCAGTCTCACCTTACTCTCATTCTCCCCACCCAGGCCATAACGGCCAATTCTACAACAGTTAGGCGCGACAAATTCAATTTTACCGTCTGGCATTGCTTATATATACGGAAGTTACGCCAGCACCCCTAACGCGTATACATGTGAGATCTCCATGGTAGCCGTGACAGTTAAGGCTAGTGAGACTCTGCACTTCAAGCAGCTATACACGTATGTAGCTAGGCCAACCGAGGCTGACAGCTATGATAATGTTATAACACGTACAAATTTCCTTGGTGATGGTGGGCAAACGACTTGAATGTCTTGTATCTCCTTAGTTCTCATCGAGGTGTGGACCTTACCTGACGGCAACATGATCTACGGATATACCCCATGCATCAAGTTGGGAAGATCTCACAATATCTCTTCTTTGCCTCGTTGCATACTGCTCGAGGGATCAGCTGGCCATGCTATACGTTAAAGGAGTTTCATGATCGGGAGGGAGAATTTTGGATAATGATACCTCACGTAATGGCTCATGAGTTCTTTCACTTTTTTTCTTATCCTTTCATTAAATTTTTTTTTTTTTTTTTTGCTCTCTCTTACCTTTTCTTGGGAATATGATTTACCAGCCAGCCAGCTGAGTGGTATGTGGTTTTGATCACTGGAGCACATGCGAGCCGCGATATGGCTTAAAAGACAAGGCCCTCAGAAATGGAAAGGATGGGGAATGGATTATTCACAACGGGCTTCGGGAGTTCAATTTGTCTTCTTCCACCTTCTATGAGCGCTTGCTTCCCTTGAATAGAGGTTGTATTGCTACATGATTGACTATGTGCACTCAAACCCATCGTATCGCACTGTGATACCCATCATGGCGAGCACATTATGTTCTCCGGATGATTTTGCTCTGGCCCGAGAGGTCTTGACTCAGCCCCCTGTGGCTCAGGGTAAACGCGAGCCGCACGTAACCCACCTGTTTCATGTGATGGGGTGTGCGGATGACCAGTCCTTGCCAGTCTTTACACACTGCGCCACCTTAACCGTCTGTGGGGAATGGCTTCGCCCTTGAACGATTAGCTGGCTGCATCATTGTTGTGGAAGACTGGTCTGCTCTACAAGCCAACTACACAATCATGAGGACACGGAGATGCAAGACTGTGCAGTACATATGAAAAATGTCTCTGGATAGGTGGTGGACTCTATCTACTATACACGTACTGACAGGGGTGCATTTTATCTGCGAGTGATATGGATGGTAATGCTTTGATTCTGGCACTATATAACAAACCAAATCATGGAAGGTTACCTTCCTACGAGAATCGATCAGTGAAGAGCACCATCTGAAATCGCGTCTGTTGACTCTCACATCTCCAACGTCATCTTACCTAACTTTATTCAAACTTTTGAACGACCACAACCTAATAGTAACTGTACATAAAAAAATGTAGGAGCATTCAGCGTCTGTGGGATAAGTGAACTTGCTTTGCTGCCGTGTGATATCAACTACATTGTTACCTTGCCGGAGGTGAGCCGGCCTACTCCGTGTTTCAAGTAGATATTGCTTTCTCAGGGCCAGCACATCTGGACGTTTCAGCCGACCTTGAGTCTCCTTTGGCATTTAAGTATTATAGCTATAAGTTGATTATGCTATAGACACCATCGGGAGGCCAAAGCCTAGAAGGGGAATTTGTTCGGCATATTCCCGTTGTGTTGGTAGAGGGGGCGGCTTGATGATAAGCTGCTCCCTTTGCTCTCTACAACAAGTTTTAAGAGTGGTAGGTGTCTGCAAGGGGCATCACGAAAAGTGCCTGGTACGACGCCGTTTTCTACAAAGACTTGGGACACAATGATCCTCCAAAGGGTAGCATTGTTAGGTTGACCTCATAAAGCATGGTCTGCCGACGGTCGCTATCGGCGCTTGAACCAATTAGCCGCAAAACTGCGAGACCGCAACCGACGAGACCTATATCTATCATAAGAACAAAAGGGGGCAGAAAGAACAAGTAAAGACATTTATCTAGCCGATAATGCAAGTATTCGGGCTTTGCATCCCGACCATTTGGGAAGGATTCTCGTCAAGATGCACATGTCTTGAGCCGAGTCTTTCGCATGTGTAAGCGTGGCGCAGGTTCAGCGAGATCGTGGTGGAGAGCAGCGAACGAACATGCTGATGTAACCCTCTTAACACAAGACTGTGCAATAGAGTAAGGCTCTAGACTCTGCGCGGAAATGGCGAAGCGTATTCATTCGGTTGAGAAAGTTCACTAAGTAAGCGCCTACATAATTGTTTAAGTGCCTAGATGGCTCACATAGGCTATTAGGAGGTGGGATGCTCGATTTTTGTTGCAAATGGGAGCATGATGCTCTGTACCTAGGTACCTTGGATAAGAGACAGGTAGTGAAACATGGGAGGGGTGACGTACCTTTGAGGGTACCAGTACGTAGTACTTAAGTACCTAGGTAATCTATTACATACCTATTACTTACCTACGGTGTGAGATTTTGTTTCTTGATCTTCATGTCGTTAGACAAAACGATAAGCATCGGTATACAAGAAAACTCGTATCAACCTTGATAGACATTCAGACATTCATTCATCTATCTTAATAATCTGAAGTCTGTGGCCTTGATTAGGTACTCACGCAGCTAACTTCCGCTTGCATACTTACAGTAGTGCGGTAGGTAGAAAGATACTTAGAGAGGTACCCATCTGTTTCAGAATTTCGCTACCGCTAGCTCCACTGAATTCAGTCAGTTCGTAGGCGGTTGGGGCCGCCACATTAGCACTACAGGCTCGCTGAAAGCCAATCATTTCCCATGGGCCTGGTGCTGGCGGGTTTCGTCTCAGACCAGCTCTACTTCTTCAGGGCTTGACATTGGCTCTCCAACCTCAACAGCACAATTCTTGACGCCCGCCTCTCCCAGCCATGGCCACAAAAAAGATGAAGCACAGGGGGCTAGGGAAGGGAAGGGGGTTGACACCTCGGTACACTACCAAGCCCCAACTCAAACAGTGACCAGCATGGATGATCGACGACAAGGCCTGTTGGCGAGTGGGTGAGTGTCAGGGGTCTCATCTGATACGACGAACCACTGGATGTGCAAAATGGCAACTTTGCCTCCCCTCCAACCGTTTAGGTGTATCTGGCTGGCTGGCATTCCGCTTTCAACCTCCAACGAGATCGCCTGGCGTGCGGTCATTCATTCTTTTCTCTCGGCCGGCCTAGCCCTCTTATGTGATTTTGCTGTTATCCTGGGGGCTATACCCTCGTTCGACGTAGACTTGTTCTGTCCACTCGTTTCACTTTACGCGCTGACGTCCCCTCCAACCATAGACTTCCGCTTGTCTGGACCTAACGGCATCGTCGACTTTCTCGTCCTCCTTGACATCAGCTCGTGATTGCAGAACCATATGTAGCTGCTTGGTCATAACAGTCACGTTGGAATCTTGTATTTGTTGTCTCTGCCCCTCGTTTTGTCCCTTGTTGTCCCTTGTTTCTTTCACACGGCAACTGCCTGTTGCCTTTTTTCGTTCTTTCCAGGTTGATCCTCGGCCCTTTTGCTCTTCAGTTCTCAATACCGAAGCCGCCCTTTGACGAAATAGCTTTCTTTATGCCTTTTAGACTTTGCTCATTGTGGCTGTCTACAAAATAGCGAGCGAGTCCCTTTTCATTTACCTACGACATAGTTCCCTTCGACACTCCGCTGGACGACCAGAAATTTTACATTCTTATGGATTAGAGGCGTGTTTTTTTCTTCTTATCACCATTGCTCAATTTCTTCTATATTTTCGATTCGAGCCACTGTTACATATCCTGGTTGATTTGTACAGTGAATTTCAACGGCTGTGAGACAATCATTCACACATTTTCTCAACAAACCAGCTCTCAGACGTCAAGTAAAGCGGCATCACTTTCGGCATAGGAAGGGAGAAAGAGTGTCGAAGGGTAGAGAGAAAAAATGATAGGATCGGGCTATTGGTCGATACGGAAGGCTGCGATATTGGCGACTGCGTTCGTAGCGACAGGGGTGCTTGGTGACGATATCTTGGTCACAAGTGGATTCACCAATTGCAACAACAATAGTGATATCACTGTTGATAAAGTCGATATAAGGTATAACAATGCCGATAAAACAGTTACATTCAACGTTGCTGGCACAAGCGCCAAAGAACAGAATGTTACGGCGAAGTTGACGGTAAAGGCATTCGGTCAGGATGTGTATTCCAATGAGTTCAACCCTTGTGCCGCAGACACCTTCGTCCAGCAACTCTGTCCTGGTATGTATTTCTCCTAAAATGTTCATCGGCAGATTAGTAGAGCTATTTCTAATGAGATGTAGTACCTCCGGGCCACTTCGGTGCCAATGGGACACAAGCTATTCCGCCGGAATTTGCTGACAAGATTCCCTCGATTGCATTCCAAATTCCCGATATTGCAGCCCAAGCCAAGCTTGAACTTACATCACTTGATGACAACTCTACAATCGGTTGTGTTCAATCTGAAGTGACAAATGGCAAGACGGTTGACATTCCGGCTGTGTCGTATGTTGCGGCCGGAATCGCTGCCGGTGCTCTAGTGATAGGAGGCGCCTCAGCTATCAGTGCCGCAGTTTCGGGAGCTGCAGCTGGCGCAGGATCAAGTGTAGGGGGTGTCGGAACGATAAGTCCAACTTTTGGAGAAGTATTCGGTGTGTTCCACGGCTTTGCTCTGAACGGAATGATGTCAGCACCGCTGCCCCAAATCTACCGGAGCTTCTCGAAGAACTTCGCTTTCTCAACAGGCCTTATCCCCTGGGAGGCTATGCAAATTGGCATCGACAACTTCCGCGCTAAGACCGGTGGCGATCTCTCGAAGGATCGCGTAGAGCTTCTTAAGAACACGACCCTGGTTTTCCCAGACGGCTCGACGATGAACACTAACAACACCTTATTCAAACGCGCCTTTAATGATTTTGTAGTACTGGCTCGGGATATTGACACCCAAATTAACTCAACAATCCCGGCTGGTGATGATGCCAACCCAAGCGAATCGTCGATCCGTGCCGCAGTTTCTGGAATCCAGGCGTTTGTCAATACACTCGCGGTGCCCGAATCCAATACATTTATGACTGTTCTCGAAATCGTCGCAATAGTTATTGGTGTCATTATCGTTAGCATCCTCTTGGTCAAAGTCATTCTAGAGGCTTGGGCTCTCTTCGGACGATTTCCCAAATCTCTAGCTGATTTTCGAAAGCATTACTGGGGATCTATTGCACGAGCTGTCACGTCTCTGATTCTTCTGCTCTATGGTATTTGGGTTCTTTACTGCGTTTTTCAATTCACAAATGGAGACTCGTGGGCTGCGCAATTGCTCGCTGCTGTCACTCTTGCTCTCTTTACCGGTATCCTTGCCTTTTTCTCGTGGAAGATTTGGAGTACAGCAAAAAAACTGAAAGAGATCGAAGGAGACACCTCGAGCTTATACGAGGACAAGCTATACTGGCGTAAATATTCCCTCTTTTACGAATCCTACAAGAAGGGGTATTGGTGGGTATTCATGCCATTCATCCTCTACCTGTTTGCAAAGGGGACTGTGATAGCGGCTACGGATGGACACGGGATGATTCAGAGTATCGCGTCGTTGATCGTTGAGGGACTCTTCTTGATCTTGCTATTATGGAGCCGTCCCTATGAACGCAAGTCAGGCAACATCATCAACATCGCTATTCAAGTTGTTCGTGTACTTTCTGTGGTGTTGATCCTTGTCTTTGTCGAGGAGTTCGGCATCGCGCAAACAACCAAGACTGTTGCGGGAATTGCTCTTATCGCAGTGCAATCCGCTCTTGCTGTCATACTTGCCATCTTGATTCTTTGGAACACGATTATCTCCCTCTGCAAACAAAATCCTCATCAGAAGAAACGAAAAGAAATGGGTCAGTTACTCAAATGCACACCTTCTCGGCAGCATAATGAAAGCCAATACTAACCAGATATCCATTACAGAGAGAATGCAGCGGGACACGTTGACATCACTTGATGCCCGTAACACGTTGTTAATGGAACGGAATATGTCTCATCAGGCTGATTCTCTGCCATTTGCCAAACGAAGTACAGTCGGTAGTGTATCGGTTGGTGAGCCGGGGTCTCGCGGCTCATCAGGCGGCATATCTGTAAACTCGGGCTACTTGAAAGCACCGAGTCAGAGCAGGCCGCTCACACCTTCGACTCCATTCGTCGCTAACCAAAGCCGCGAGAATCTCATGGCCCCGCTAGATCGGGAGCCGACAATACCGAGTTTAGGGGATTTTGGAACGCGCCAACCATATCAAGGGAGCTATGGACCTGGGATCTATTCATCGTATCAAGGCCCCGGCAGATATTAGTCGTGCCTCGGTACATTGAAATAATTATAAGAGAAAGGCCCTAATTAGAGATATAGACGAACTTGAGTGCCCTGCTATAGCACAGAACCTACTTTTAGATTTATTATTGCGTGTCGAACACACTCCTGTAAATAGAACAATTGTATAAACAAATTACCGCCGTTCCAATAAAGAGACAACAGAAACAGGTGATACCTCATATTGGTCGACTCTCAATATGCATCTATCCAGTCAACATAAATGTCGTCCGTCTATGCATTTAACAGGCTTAAAAGACTGGCTTACGTGCTTAAGTAATCATGCAGCTGAGGGTACGCAGATACCTGCTTCTACTGGAGCTGCAGCTCTCCACCAAGTTGTTACGCAAGGTAGGTAGGTACCTACCCAGCCAGCACTGACGCGTGAGACCAGCTGCCTGCCTTGACTTGGTACCAACGTTAGATACCAGCATCAGCCATCTCAGCAACCTACGATCGTTTTCACCACCAAGTGGCAGAAATCGAACAGAATCCCGATACTTCCTCGTACCTAACCTTGAGGATATTCAAACAGCCAATACTGTGTCTCTTTCTACCCTTCGTTTCTCCCACTTCCGTTCGGTTCTGTTCGTTCGACATGGATAGTCTCGTTGCCAAATACAGCCGTCCCGCGGCTTTCCAGAACGAAACTCTTGGAGAGGACCAACATGACGACTTCCAAAATGACATGAGCTCGAGCTTGTCCCTGAAGTTTGCTATGCCCCCAGTCTCACAGGTGAGTTGAACTAAGCATGGCTTGGTTGGCCCCACCAGCCTCGCAGCAGTCTCATGAATCATCCTTCATATCTTGCCGCTCAATTCGCTAATCATGGCTTATTTTATGCATCAGCCCTCTGCCTGGCTCCGAGCTGCCACGGACGACCGGTCGAACCCCAACTGCCCAATCAAGATCGCCCACGGTACTACAACACTAGCATTCCGGTTCCAAGGAGGCATTATCGTGGCAACGGACTCGCGTGCAACGGCGGGCAACTGGATTGCCTCACAGACGGTGAAGAAGGTGATCGAGATCAACAGCTGTCTGCTGGGCACCATGGCCGGCGGTGCCGCCGACTGCCAGTACTGGCTGGGATGGCTGGGGATGCAGTGTCGCCTACACGAGCTACGACACAAGCGACGCATCAGCGTAGCCGCGGCTTCTAAGATACTGGCCAACCTCGTCTACAACTACAAAGGAATGGGGCTGTCTATGGGGACCATGTGCGCCGGCGTGACGCCTGAGGAGGGCCCCGCGCTCTACTACATCGACTCGGACGGCACTCGGCTTGCGGGCAACCTGTTTTGCGTCGGATCCGGTCAGACCTTTGCCTACGGTGTCCTCGACGCCGAGTACCGGTACGATCTGTCTGATGAGGACGCTCTAGAGCTCGGGCGCCGGTCCATCCTCGCCGCTACTCACCGCGATGCTTTCTCCGGTGGTTTCATCAACTTGTACCATGTGAAGGAGGAAGGTTGGGTCAAGCACGGCTTCAACGACACAAACCCTATCTTCTGGAAGACGAAGCTCGAGAAGGGCGAGTTCACAAATGTTACTAGCGAGCTAGATTAGAGTCTAGGTTTCTCCGTTATGTTAAGGCCGGCAACTACCGTATAATATGAAGCTCAACCAAATCACAGGGTCATAGGACCATTCCAACTTTTAGATGTGAGCCTTAGACGACAGGTCCCAGAGGTAGACGGATGCTACAGCCTGGCCGGGGTGATGAACCGGCATGGTGAACTGTATGTTTAACGAATTGCTTCGCATGTTTACAACCATTCAAGAAGGACTCACCAAGAGCTTCTATTGCTGAAAACTCCATGACTCGGTGATGTCTAGTTCCACTAATGACGTATTCCAAATGTGACTCTAGTCTTGGGTATCATAACGTTACCATATCAGTACAAATATAAGTACATATATCTACATCCATTCCTGCAGGTTCGGGTAACTATTTCTTTGGCACAGATACCTGATACCAACCACTGGCGCCTAGTATACCCCCACCTTCGGCCGTGGGATCCAGCGGCCACTTGCGCAAAGTGAGGATGTCGAGATCGCTACGCCAGCCATTCTCGTACATCTCCATTCCAGTCCAGGCGATCATAGCGGCGTTATCGGTGCAAAGAGATACCGGCGGCGCTATCACCTCTATATCGGCGAGTCCACGGGCATCGAGCATCTTACGAACGACGTGCCGTAGAAACTTATTGCTCGCCACGCCGCCGGACAGAACAACGGTCCTGATCCTATCTTGTCCACGTGTTCTCTTTCTTGATTGGTCATTGTTAGCTAGCAGGGCATATACGAGACGAGTTGTCAGGTGTTCAAAGACGAGAGTCATGGTTGCTCGTGCTAACACCCTACGCGATTCGATGTCCATATCCGGATAAATAATCATAAGCTTTTGGGCTTGTCCACCCAAGCCCGCAAACTCGAATTGAGACGCCGCTTCTTCGCCCATGCCCTTGAGGTGGAGGGGCGGCGTCAAACTCCACCCGCGTCCCGAGTCAAATGTCTTTATCTCGGCCGCGCGAGTTGCCGGGGGCGTGTAATTATAGTCATAGCTTACCGACTCTCTTGACCCCGGGAATGCGAATTCTTCGAATATGGGCCCGTACGCGCCGGAATCGGAGCCTTCTGCTGAGAGAGTTTCCGAAGGAACAATCAAGCGCGCGCATTTGTCGATCATATCGCCCACGGCGATATTCATAGACTCGGCGAGGATGGCGTGGTCGTTGAGGGACTTTGAGTGCACTAGCATAGTATGCCCGCCCGAAACGAGGAGAGAGAGAAAGGGGAATTGAGGGCTGATGGACTTTTGACTACTTGCGTCCTCTTCATCTTTCGATTTACAAGCTAACTTTTGCACCTCAAGTGCACTGACGAGCCGTGGTGTGAGCGCATGCGCTTGCATGTGATTTACGGCAACCAGCGGCACATCCCACGCAACCGCCAGTCCTTTCGCGTGGTTCAGCCCCGTTGCGAGATTCGACGCCATCCCCGGCCCACGCGTCACCGATATAAAGTCGGGCCTCAGCCGCGGGCGTCCGTCAACGAAGATTGCTTGGCCATGGCTGTTCACATCCTGTGACGGGCGGACATCGGCTGGAGAGGGCAGCGACCGCAGAGCTTTTTGGATCAGCGGCGCGAGATTCTCGGTGTGCGAGACAACGGCCGCGAGCGGATGGACGCCTCGGAAGGTGCGGTTGTCCGAGGTGATCTTCTCATTGAAGTGCAAACGGATAAAGCTCGAATCCCTCTTCTCTAGGATGGCTACGCAGGTGTCGTCGCAGGAGGTCTCGATGGCCAACGTCAAGAGCGCTCGTCGCGGGGTACATGGCTGTAGGCATGCTGAAGACGGTCGCGGTAGTCGGTATGGGAGACATGCTCGTTGCGGAAACAGGCTACCTCCGGAGAGGCATCGCCGCGACGTATTCCATAGTGTTCTCATTCAATGTGGTCTCTATCCGCTGGGCACTGTTGTAATGAGACATGGATGGGTATAGGTACGGTGTACCGCAAAAGATGCTGTTGGTGGGTAGTGCAGCAATTGGAAAAAAAAAGTGCTGGACCCTTGAAGATCCGCTTTGCCTATTCGGGACTAGCCCCTCATGACCAGGTCCGCTTAATACATGAATTTACAGCTGTCAGTTCTCTGACGTAGGTACTTGCTTCAAAATGACAAAGCTCCCCCCGTCTTTATTTATTCAGCAGCGCTTTCTCATTGAAGCGCCCAGTATCCATCTAGTACACTGAGGCTACGGGGAAAATAGAGGCACGATAAAATGCCATAAATTTCAATGAGTATTATTATGTTCATGCGTTCCTACACATACAACTGACTGTGTAATGTAGGTACAGTCGGTAGTAGTTTCATTGATGTGCCGCTAATGATGGGAAGCGGCAAGACCCCTGCGGCGCCAATGCGCTGGTTGGTAAGGCGGTGTGCCGATATGGAACTTCTTCGCAGCAGCTTTATTTGTTTGGTGTCGAAGTACCATGCAGTGCCTGAGGATACGTAGCTACGTGTCTCTTCAGTGGACGCAACGAGGTCATCTCGAAACATATACAAAATACATACCTACACTACATTACACCTAACAAATGTCCTTGTACCAGATATCAGTACCTACATATATATGTACCTACACGTAAGGTACTGTAGATACAAAGAGAAGTGCCCACGGCCCCTCCACAGCCTCCACCACCCCCACAACACCCACAGCACCCACCGCATCAATCTGAGATTCCCCTGTATTCAACCAATCATGATCAGCATCAATGCTAGCCCCTGACCCAGAGCCCCCCATCCTTCCCCTCCACAGACCCTCTACAGCTGTGTACATATGCTGTGTACCTATCACCCCTCACATCTGCGCATTAAGTACTTAGCTGCACCGCCAGTTGTCTACCTAGGTACTGTACCTAGTGTAATAGGTAGAGTAGCATAGAGGCAGGTACGGTCAATAGCATTGGAAACCTCCATCAACCAAAGCCTGCACCACACACACACTCTCTCTCTCTCTCTACTGTACCTACCTAGCTCGGGTTGGTAGAGCTTCGTTAGCACGCACACTAGAGGCGCTGGCGCATCTCTTTGGCCGTCTCCTTGGCCATCTACAGCACACCCCTTCTCCGATCTCAACCTCCTCCCTCTACTTTTCCTATTCTCCTACTTACACCAAACTTCCACTTCTTGCCATTGGGGCACACGACATTCACAATGAAGGGCGAGGTGAGTATCCAAGCCAGATTCTCAATCATAGCTTCATCCGGGTTGTCGTAGGCCCCAGGTTCTTCCCAGGTTCTGCCACCAGGAATAAGTGGTACCGTTATGCGCGGCGAGCCGTCCAGAGAACACCGGTACCCTTAATCCTTAATTCAAGCCGTTGCCACAGAGGGCATGTTTCCTGCCCGCGTCAATGTTGCGGATCTAACAATTGTCTCGCTATAGATCCTCCATCTTCACCTGGGCCAGGCTGGTACCCAGCTCGGTAACAGCGCTTGGGAGCTGTAAGTGTTACACCGCCTTACCCATATATTCCCGTGAAAGAGCTATACAGCTAACAGCTACCCCCCGTTCCTTAGGTATCTTCTCGAGCATGGTCTCGGACCTGATGGTCGCCCTGACCCCAATGCGAAGGATGTCCTTGACGGCGGCTCCTACGAGACCTTCTTTACCGAGACCAGCGGTGGCAAATACGTCCCCCGCTCTCTCTTCGTCGACTTGGACCCTTCACCCATTGACGAGATCCGAACCGGCGGCTATCGTCAGCTCTTCCACCCTGAGCTATTGATTAGCGGCAAGGAGGATGCCGCCAACAACTATGCCCGTGGTCATTACACCATTGGCAAGGAGATGGTTGATAGCACCTTGGACCGAATCCGTCGCGTTGTTGGTAAGAACACGATACACGCCCCGGAAGACCTAATCCATCTCTCAATAATCCCTCTGACGTTATGAAACAGACAACTGCAACTCCCTCCAGGGTTTCTTGATCTTCCACTCTTTCGGCGGGGGTACTGGTTCCGGATTCGGTGCTCTCCTGCTTGAGCGTCTCTCGACCGAGTACGGCAAGAAGTGCAAGCTCGAGTTTGCTGTGTATCCTGCTCCTCGTGTCTCAACTGCTGTTGTAGAGCCCTACAACGCTGTTCTGTCAACTCACAGCACTATCGAGAACTCTGACTGTACCTTCCTAGTAGATAACGAAGCTGTCTACGACATCTGCCGACGTAACCTGGACATCCCGCGTCCCAGCTACGAGCATCTGAACCGTCTGATTGCTCAGGTTGTCAGCTCCATCACCTCATCTCTACGTTTCGATGGTGCTCTGAACGTCGATCTCAACGAGTTCCAGACCAACTTGGTCCCCTACCCGCGTATCCACTACCCTCTCATCAGTTACGCTCCTGTGGTCTCCGCCGCCAAGAGTGCACATGAGAGCTTTAAGGTCCACGATCTTACTTTCCAATGTGAGACCTTATTCAGGCCTTAAAACTACCTGATATTTTGCTAACCTGATTTGCAGGCTTTGAGCCCAACAACCAGATGGTGGTCTGTGACCCAAGAAACGGGAAGTATATGGCTGTTGCCCTTCTGTACCGTGGTGATGTCGTTCCTCGTGACTGCAATGCCGCTATTGCCGCTCTGAAGGCCAAGTCTTCCTTCAACCTAGTCGAGTGGTGCCCAACTGGTTTCAAGCTGGGTATCAACTACCAGAAGCCTATGGCTGTTCCAACAGCCCCTGGCTCCGATGGTGGTCTTGCTTCAGTTGACCGCTCCGTTTCTATGTTGTCCAACACGACGGCCATCGCTGAGGCTTGGTCTCGCTTGGACTACAAGTTCGACCTCATGTACAGCAAGCGAGCTTTCGTCCACTGGTACGTGGGTGAAGGAATGGAGGAGGGCGAGTTCTCCGAGGCCCGTGAGGATCTCGCTGCTCTTGAGAAGGATTATGAGGAGGTTGCGGCCGACAGTTTCGAGCCTGATGAGATTGAGGATGAATACTAAGCTTCTTTTCTCGACGTATATACCCGCCTAGTATTGCCTGCGCAATGCCTAGCAAGTCCAGTTCTGGTTTCTTGTTCTTATGGTTACCTTAAGATCCCATTGTCTTTAGGAGTCGAGTGATTTACAAAATCGGCCGGGGCGTATTATGATCCGCTTGCTTGATATGAGTTGCTTGGACAAGGTCGACCTCGATATGTTGAGCCACTTTAAAAAGGAATGACGGATCTTTTGACGGGAGAGGATATCACTCCATCCGAATAGAACCATACGGTTAACGGAGATATGGAAAACTATCTGTTCCTAGTATTCTCACTATAGCCTTTGCGTGGGAAACAATCGCACTGGTGTGCAAATGATAACCTCAATTATCCTTCGTCCAGCCATATTGGCTATATACTCTTTGTCTTGTTCGAAATACTGGTCATGACATGGTCCTATCGCTGTGCAAATGCAGGCAAATGTTAATGTGCTCAACTTGATAATGACTTTGATTTAAATGCTGTCTTCACCATCTAAGTGATGTCAACTCTATAAGGCAAGGCATATTCTTACCTACAGAGGTCTTCTTTAACCTGCTTCATAAAGTGTGGAGATGTGCTAGCAGTGACTGGGTCATGTTTATTCTGCTTTAGAGGATCATCTATATAGTTGACTCGCTGGGGCTATAGAATCGCGACGGCCTCATTAGTTGGTTGAGCGCTTATATCATGGATTCCATGGCTTCGGGTGCGGTCCGTTGTCGTTTGGGGGTATGTATATATATGATGATGGGTATAGATTTGCTAGCGGAAAAGCATTTCAGGTATGGGTGAGCGCGTTGGCTGTGCGAGACTCTGGAGAACATTTCCTGTGTCAAATGCTGCAAATGCTAGATGGCGGTCAATGCTGTTTTCAAGGGGTAGTATTGCTTTCTGGGATGCCTGGGCTGAGTCGGAATTCATGAGCGGATTTCGCGGGTGGTCGTTGGAATTCCGTGCTTGCATAGGTACTTATAAAAAAGCTTACGCAAGCATGCTAGTGATAGCCTTATTGTAACCTGATTCGAACGCTGATAGGAAAGAATGAGAAGTCTTCCTAGTGAGAGGCCCGTCTCCCAGTGTTTTCACATTGCTCGATTGAAATTGATTTGATCCTGAGGCGACGGTTTAGTTTACGTGCTACTTGAGATGAAGTCGTATCATACTCTGTATAAAGGTTAATGCTTGTCTACATTCTTGTTGGTCTCTGACATGAGCATTCTGTTAGTAGCTAGCTATGTATGGAGTATTCTTTCTGAGTATGAATGCTTACGGCTCTATGAATGCGATTGCGAACCCTATCTTCATATTTCATGTAGAACTGCAAATGCACTCAGCATATCACCAAACCCTGACTTGACCTTAATCTGTCCTGGAACTATCTTTGCATCGGCGCCAAATTACATAATTAGACGAGCTCGTATCCTCCGTATTCGACCGTTAACTACTTGCTGGGGATCGTTCATTTCGGCAGTGGCCCAAGCTCGACGGAATACACCGTATAGCAGTCATCCACAACGACCCAATGCAACGCACTTTTCCGTACTGGGCCAGGTCCATGTGGATGTCGTTATAGAGGCGTCGCTTACAATGTATACGGGCACCGCGTTCTTCTCGACGTTGCACAACAGCAGATCTAGGTTTTCAGTCTTATATCGTACGTTCATAGCTCTTGAAGCGTAAAATTAGGGATCACGAGACAGCGATGGCTATGGTACCCCAAACCCCAGAGGGTGTCGAAACTTCGCATCTGTATGCAAATTTCGCAGCTTGAGTGATGATACTATCCGAGTAACAGCCGTGATCTTGGCTGGGAGTTTCGCGAAGATCCTGTGCTTTGGGACTTCACATATACAAAAAGGACGTTGTTAGTAACAGCGGTTCTATAGATGTCGTCAATTGCGGCTAGTTATTGCAGAGCTGTTGAAGTTCAAGACTTGTACACGTTCAGCCTCTGTCACCTGCCCAATATGGTTTTCTCAGTTGCTGGGCTTCTGATGTCACAGTGTAGACGTACGTTACATTTGACTCTTATCGAGTTCCTAGCCCACACGCCGCATAAGTGAAGTCCGGCCAGCGCTCTAGTTCTGGCATGTCCGTATGTCATTCGAGCCCTTGAAATGCTAGCCGTCGTATAGGTCTTAGTTCTCTCTGCCTTCTTCGTAAGATACGGAAGCGAAGCCTAAATGATGTATCGACTGCTGGTTCGTGGGCAAGGTGACCATTGGCGTAACCCAGCTTCGAAAGACGTAACCGAAGACGCATGGGGGTCTATTTTTTCTGCTAGTCTGTCGCTATCGTGGACTCGTCTGTTAGCGCAAAGAATATTGAAACGACATCTTGATTCTCGCACATAGCCGGACAAGCCAAAGCACTTAAGTACATAGGTTCGGGTCGCAAATATACATCAGGCTTGGCATGATAGGCCAATAGTAAGGGTGATGGACATTTACAACCTCAACCTCCGTAGGTTGTTACCGAGATGAAGATATGGACTTGGCCGCAATCAAATCTTGGCATGAGCCTGTTAACGTCTAGTTTACATAATCCATGTGATACCAACCCTTTATTTACAAGCGCCAACAGCAATTAGACTTAGTGGCAGTGGGCAAAATGCTATGCTCGTATGGAGTAAGATTATAGAACGCTGTCACTTTCGTCTGGGGATTCCTATTAGCAGTGAATGCAACAAGAACCGAACTATCACGGTTGCTTCACTATGTAATTTGAATATGGTGCGGTTGCAGCGCTTCAGTGTAGCTTTAGAGTTGCTTCATTTCGCACAACCACGTCTCTGGTGCCTTATCATGGCATGACGCAGGGTCGAGAGGCTGCCAAGATGTGTATTCACCCATAATGGGCTCACTCTAGAACCAAGGTGCGGGCTCGAGTGCGGTTCAAAAGGTAACATTGGCATCTTCTATTCCCTGCATTCTGGAGCTTGTTTGCTAACAGTCGCGAAAAAAAGAAAAGAAAAAAAATCCTTTCATTTCCCGGGTATTTCAATGCCATAAAAAGAGCTTGCAACTTCAATCATCTAGACTGCCAATACCACAAGCCTCACTCAGCCCACGCCAGTTTCGGTACAGGGGAAGAACCGTTCCCTTGGCTCTGCTTTGCTATGCCCAACACATGGCCTTATGTAAACGATGCAAGCGAGAACTTAGAGATCTTTCCCTATTCAACACAGAATCAGCAAAGATGAAGCCAAATAGTAATAGCCCTACTTGCTGACAGACGCGGCTTAATCAAACAAGTCGAGCGCTGGGTATAGACACTGTAGATCGTGGGTGTAGCGCTGTTAGAGGTTTTAAACATGGGATTGTGTCGAAGAAAAGTAGCATCAACCTGATGATCAATAACCAAACCGACACATGCAGCACTCAAAGTCCGAAATAGTTACGCAGTCGTTCTCGACTCTTCCGCACCATATGAGATAGTTTTGATCCCAACTACAGGTCGATAGGCATTTTTGTTAGAAGCAAAGACAGCTGTGATGGAGTATGCGGATCATGCCCGCATCGCTAGAGAAGCAGAAGGAATTGCACTTTTGCCTTACGACATACGAAAACAACATGTACCTACAATAAACACCTTTCCCCAAAAAAGCCTGGATTGAAATCCAGTTATCCCTATGTACTTTCTTCCATCTACTACCTACGGTACTATGGAAGTGCGTGCGGTGAGGCCGAGATCGCACGGAAACCCAGTGGAATGCGATAAACTAAATTTAGGCGCTGGTCGATTTTAAAACCAATGCTAAGGTTCCTGAATCGATTCCACTACTCCATATCCTCATACTGATTCTACCTACTGTAATTGCTGAAATAACTCCCGAAATTGTTCCGCTCGGCCCAGCAGCCTCCGATTCGCCGGTTCGTAGTTGTTCGGCATGTGAGATTCTCCCAACGAGTATCTTCAACCTAGTATGGAGGTGTTCCATCCTCATTGTGTGGGCCAAGGCGACACGCAACCGGTATTGCATCGATAGCTTAATGCCCTAAATGTCAAAAACCTGGCGACGAGCGTGTCGTATGCATGAACATTGGCGGACTTCGGGGTGAGGGTCTTACCGAGCACTGCAGTGCCTCGTCTAGATAGATAAGATGGCATGTTACACGCTGCGCCGACTGATGAGCCCGATCGCCTGACCATTTCCTACACAAGATGAAGTGAAGTATGCATTTGCTTTATCTATCTATTGTGCCCGCATATGTACACAATCTCTTGACGAGACATGCCGTGCTCCCGTGACAAAGGTAGAGCAAAGTACGGGCGGCCGCTGTTGAAGAGATGCTACAACGAATCATTGGTAGTATTTGTATCTCTGAATTTCCCAAATCAGACATTTTTACACTGGGAGATCACCGTAGACTGGGGTTTCCCCTTGTAGCCACATGGGGAACCTAGCATCTTGGCATCATTAGACAGGACCCAGGTAACTCTCTTCATGACTTGGTCAAACGGTGCCATGTTCTACATAACATTGAATTTGCAGTCCCGCCATCGATAGTGGCTCGATTTTCGAGCGGTGCCACTCGTGACAAATCCAAGAAGACCGGTCCGCCTTGATACGAAATGCCTGGGTCGTGGATGGATACACGACCTCTACAATTCCCATACCGGCTAATTGGCCATGTGCACAGTCCCGGTAACTTGACAGCAGACCACAACCTGCTGGATGTGGAGACTGAGAGTGTTTGGGGGCTACCGAGAACTTTTGGTCCAGCCAGGCGACGATAGACGAAGCTTGAGCAGGGCTGGAGATGTTTACTTAAGAGAACTCATTCCCTCATCCCGTCTTCACGATGTTCAGGGAATACTCGCCCGTAGCCTTCTGCCTTCGCCTATCTATTGTCCCAATTTGAATCTCGTACCCCAGCTACCTGCGTCAAGATGAGGCTGCTCAGTCTCCTCCTGGCCACGCCTCTGGTCCTAGGGGCCCCTGTGCTTGAGACGAAAGGAAGAGCAGTCCCAGGGAAATGGATTGTGGTAATGAAGGAAGACTACGACATGGATGCCGTCTCTCGTAGAAAGAGAGGCGTCAACGCCGAGCTCGAAGTCGAATCACTAGCTATGCCTCAGCATACCTATAGCATGGGCAGTTTTAAGGCTTATGCTCTTGACGCTTCAGATAACCTGATAAATCAGGTTGCCAAGCTACAAGATGTGAGTTCCAGTCTGCCCAATGGTGCACAAAAAGCTCGGGAGTGAAGGGGGGCTGACTCTTCAAGGTTGCTTACATCGAACCTGATACAATGGTGGAGACTGCGGCGACAGAATTTGAGAGAAATTCTCCTTGGGGCCTTGCCAGAATCTCGAGTAGAACACCGAATGCGACCACCTATGTATACGACGATAGCGCGGGTGAAGGGACATATACATACATCATCGACTCGGGGATTTTCACCGACCACCCGGAGTTTGAGGGACGGGCCAGTTGGGGACCTAGTTTTGTATCGGGTGATGAGAATCCAACAGTCGACGAAAATGGCCACGGGACCCATGTTGCCGGCATTGCGGGATCCAAGACGTACGGTGTTGCTAAGAAAACTAACCTCATCGCCGTCAAGGTCCTGAACGCCGGGGGTTCAGGTCCCATCAGTCAAGTCATTGCAGGCATACAATGGGTAGTTGACGACGCCAAGTCCAAGAACCGTACGTGAAACTAGCACATTCCTAGAACAGAAAAGGGCATACTTCTAATATCAATCTCAGGCATCAATAAATCTGTCGCAAACATCTCCCTCGGCGTCATAGCCATCGGCAACTCAACTGTGAGTCTGGCAGCCGGTGCCGCCGTAGAAGAAGGTCTGTTCATCGCCGCCGCTGCCGGCAACTCCCAAACACCTGTGGAGTTTTATGCGCCAGCTCAGTACCCTACGCTGTGTTCCATAGGCGCGTCCGCGCCAGATGACGCGAAGGCGACCTTCTCCAACTACGGGAACGGGATCGATCTGTTTGCCCCGGGCGTCGACGTCATTTCAACCTACAACGATGGCTCTACCCACGTGCTTTCGGGCACGTCGATGTCCGCGCCGCACATCGCCGGTCTTGGCGCTTATCTCCTGACCCTCGAAGGGGATCGTGATCCCATTGCTCTGTGCCAGCGGATCCAGGAGCTTGCTACGAAAGACGTCGTCACTAACGCCATGTCACCGAACAACATGGTGGCCTTTAATGGTGTCGATCAGGCATCTCTCTACAGCCGATCCAAGCCCGTCTCACTGAGAGGCTAGGCTTTGACGAGTAAGGCACGGAGTCGAGGTTGATGATATTTTGCGTGAAAATTTCAGGTAATAGCGGATATTTGATCTCTCTGAGGTTTAAATATATAGACAGGTTAATAGTTACATCAAGCGTTACGACATCTCTAGAATATAGCGTTTTTCCCAGGCAAGTGAAGGATTCCAAATTTCAACGTTAGATATTAAAGGATCCAATGTAGTGAAGTCTTGGTATTGCTATATCAAGATGAAGATTGGTGTTCACCTTCCGGTACTAGCATCCCGTGCATACCGCGATATGGCGACTTCTCAGCAGGCTTCCACCCGTTCTTTTGTAGCAGATCTACGTCTTGAAGGCGGAAGACTTCAACCTTTAGGGGGCGGCAGCATTTTATCATCTCTTTCTCGCTAGCAGCACCAAAGCCCCATAGCGACAGATCACCACCTGGGCATGTACCTATGTAAAAGCGAGCTGGTCAGAATATCTTGCGTTGGTCGTGGGGATAAAATGGAGATAACTGGAGGGACGAAATAAACATACTCAGCGCCATGAGCACGTCTTGCTCGGCTAAGAACTCGATATAATCCCCCGAGCGGGCAGGGCATGGGTTCATGAAATACCGCCCCTCCTCATCAAGACCAGTGACTTGAAAAATGTTGATGACATCGTGGACGTCGTGTTCAGCTAACCCGAAGGGTAGCACGGCGCGCGTGAGGTTCGACCTGCAGTGGAAGTCATAAAACTTGTTCTGCTCTCCGCTGGCTTCGCCACTGGTAAGCACAGCATTGATATAAGGATCGCACCCTGTCCCAAGGAGATCGTGCACGCGTCCGCCGTGCTCGTCGACTCCGTACCACGATAGCGTATCTTCCAGTATGGTCACAAGCGGCCGCATGTACGGAGCGATGGACCACAGACGATCTCCTACCGATACATGGGATGAATGGAGTTGCTTAGTACGTGATGCCCAAAAGCGCTCTCGTGGGTTATGCGCGTTCCAAATGTTTAGGTCGCCTTATTGGTGTCTCTCATGTTAGAAATGGCGCTTAAGCATGTTTCGACTATCAATAGGAGTAGGGCCGAGGATAATGGCACTCTTCCACATATCCTGATAATCACGTAGATCGCAACTTTGATTGTCTCGCTGCATTAAATATTGGGGGGTAGTGAGTAGCGAATCTAACATACCGACTTGCGGTCCCTCAGGAGTACTAATACGGATAATACACCCGGCCTCCGCTTTCCACGCTCGTCCAGATCGGATAGGTATAACGAACTCCTCGGTCTTCGAGCGCGGAGCATCCCGAATCTGTGCATATAGCTTGTCGTCAACGCTCAGTGGTGATCCTGCCGTTGGGAGGTAAGCAGGTTTCGGCTTGGGGATCGCCTTCCGAGCCTGTCGGCGGGCATCTGCTTCTTCTTGACTCAGAGGCATTGGCGGCGAGTACTTGGATATATGGAACTCTAAACTTAGTATTATTCGTTCGTCTGCAATAGGGAGAACCCTCTAGTAATCGTTAGTGCTACGAGTACGCCACCAAGGACAACGCACGCACTGTTTGTTCAACTCCTCAGCCGTCCTCTTCTGAGTCTATACCTGTGCTTTTTCTGCTAATGCAGATATACTTATACTCCTGGACTCACTCTAGAAAAAGGGGCGCAATGAATGCTAAGAATATTGGTTACGTAAAATGGGTGACGAAAACCCAGTTAGAATTCAGAAGGGAGATGGCCTTATCCTCGCTTTACAGAAAACACTACGTAGTCATGATACCCACAATGTTTATCGCACGATTATACAATAATAATGTCGGAGACAAATGTCTAGTATCTCTGCTTCTTTATAAATGGGCGCTAGAACAGACTAACGAGTCGCCGATAACGGCACTTCCCACTCTGCTCCACGTGGCACGCAACGTCTGAGGCCCTGAGATCTTTGTATCCGGGTTTAAGCGGCATAGAGCTCTGAGATCACTGGCAGATTTCTGTATCAGAGCTGCTTGTATAACAAGGGCAGATGGCTGGGCTTGGAAATTGAGCAATTCAGATTATAATGAACAACTAGGGCTGCATGAGTCCTTGACCAACCAACTCCTTCTCGGCTGTTGGTGGCTTGACTCGACTCTATATGTTGTAGCTGGTCTGCCAGCCCAGACCGCCTGGGTCTCTAGGGTCTGTTTCAAGAAGCAAAGTCTGTATAACCTCACTTTCCAATATTGCCTGCATGTCTCAGAGATCATGAACAGCCTGCAATGGCCTTTCGTACAGCCGAAGTGCAAGGTGAAGTGCATGTTCAGCTAGTACAGCTTGTGCAGCTTGTACGCGTGCATATTAAATCAGATGCCATTCTCAGTCACCTCAATGACACGTTTTCATGGCTTGTTCTCTACTCACATGGTTATTGATGAGACTCGTGGCACATAACTAGCTTGACTTGCATGTATGTCTATTGATGTATAATATAAACTCTAAAATCTATTATGCTATTGGCGTAAGCAGAACTCATCAAAGTCCAAGTGAAGGACCCTCCGCTCCGGGTCCAGCCCAAACCAAGCAACGCCAGCCCTCAATATGTACGAAAAATATTCAACGTCAGACATTCCGCTTTCAATACCAGTGCCATCTTATAGCTGTTTCGTTCAACACTCATCAATCAATTATAAAACAACTTCAATCGCTCCGCTCTCTGTAATGTGTTGAGCCACCCCATATCGCTGAGCTTGTAAACTATCGAAGCCTCAAGTGTTAGCAACTATAATCAATTGCAAGCGGGAGAGAAAAAAAAAAGATGCTTTGTCAGCCTTACCTCCACTCAAGATTCCCAGTGTTGACTGTTCGCATCAAGTCTATGATCTGACGTATCGCGTCCAGCTCCTCAGCGTTGAAGCTATCGCTCGAGGAGAGGACCTCAGTAGCCGTGCGGTCGAAGAGATCTACTAGTTGTCTGGTGTGGTCTAGTGACATCTGTACAGCGATATCGAGGTCGTTGTACTGGTGGAAGAGGATAGCGACGGAATTAACAACGCTCTGTGCCTTCTGCAACGAAGGTGTCCATTAGCTCATGTTCTCGACTGTATAATTCTTGATGTAAAATAAGGGGCCAGGTTGTAGAGAGTGTGTGTTTGAGTTCCTCACCATCTCTTTCTTCAAAGATATAAGATCGTTTATAATTGAGTTGATCACGACCGTGGTGACCCATAGTGTGCCATAGGCCTCCGACTGCACGAAGCTAGGTGGAAGCTGTACTTGCAGCGAGTATCTGGTAAGGACAAAATTAGCACCATAATCACGTTTTATTCGTCGCCGTATGTGGAATACAGGATTGGGACGTACTCGGAGAGACCAAGCAAAGTCCCCATTCCGCTGGTCAGAATTCTTACTTCCCAGTACTCTTTCAGATCCGGGATTTCGCTGCTTAGCTCAGCCTCGGCTTCCAGCCTTGTGGCATCAATATACCGGCAGAAATGCCCGATAAGAATCTTAAGCTGGTCTATTCACACATTGACATTAATGATTTGGCTCTGTAGATAATCTGGGGGTTCCAGCACGGACCTTCGTTATAGAATGTACGAGCTTCATCCGCGATGGGCTGGAAGCTCTGTATCAAGGGGTTTGATGTTACAATAGTGCTGCTACCCTCAGTAGGGCTCAATGCATTGCGGATGAACTTCTTAGTTGAGACCCGGAGACTTTCGGCGGCAGTGGTGTCGGTCAATCTCTCGATCACGTCATCCCACAAACCGAACCAAATCACCAAGTCTGTCATGACACTGTATGATCTTATTGATGTAGTGGGCCACCATCTATGACATGTTAGTACGAGATATCTTTAAGATACCCACCCCAGAGGTAAATGAGCGAGAAAACTTATTATAGACGGTCATACCTGGCAGCCAGAAGAGCGGGATCAGCATCAGAAAGAGCCTTTTGATGTTTTTCATTTGCGAAGCTAGGCTAATGTCAGTCTATTGTATAGTTCTTGACCTTCTTTACAGTAACGTACATGGCTAACCGCTTTTCAACTGCACCTTTAACGACCTTGTAGTCATCATGTTGTCCGCAGGGCCAATGTGACATGATGGGCCGCATATCAGGGACAACAAGTTTCTGACCTGACAGCCTTTGGGCCAATAAGTTCTTCTGGTTGAGTGTATGCATCTTGAGACGTAGCGTGAGTGCTTCAAGATAATTGAAGCAAAAAAATTGCAGGAAAGAAAGACTCTTAGATGATATGAAAGTGATAACCCCAAGATTGAACTACTCGTGAAGGCAGGAAGCTGATGAGCAAGACAATTTCCTGAACACCAACTTCATATCGAGTTTATATAACTTTCCATCTCTCATCCGGCATACAATGGAGAAGGCCGCTCTCTTGCCTGCCGAGGTCATATCATGCCATAATGTGTATAGGATTCTTCAATGCCAGCATCACTAGCATAGCGCAACCTGCGCCCCACCATGAAAGAGCGAGCCAGACCATAGTAGCAACGACATATTCGTCTTGTTAGTGGCGTTGCTATCGTCATTGTCTCATATCCCTTCTGCTCTGGAACATAAGCGGAGTCGGCCAGACCGGTGGCTCGGGTCTTTAGCACCGGCATGAATTCTCTGCCTATAACGACTTTGGTAGAATCTCAGGGATGTGTTGAGCTGAGCTTGATGTATCACAACGTTTGCTCTACCGTAATACGTTCGCCTAACAAAGCAGACTTATACAGAAGACCTTGGCCCGAATGGTCGGTAGCGAGTCGAGTAAGGAGAGAAGCTGTGATTTTCCATCAGCATAGATTGGCTGCTCATAGAGTATTCATGCTGTTAGCTTGCGCGCGTGATGGCTGCCATCGCAACGGCCGCTAAAGATGTAATGAAAATCATATGGCAGCGCTATCTACCTACACTTGCCGAGGCTTAGGCGTTGGTGGCCGAACACGATGTGCACCATCCATTGGGCATGTCTGTTATCTTCAGCTCTTTTCGGTCGCACCGCTGTCTGAAAGAGGGCAAGCCGTTAACTGCACATGTCCCTGGCTGAGCTGAGCTATGCAGCCCTAGCCCGCGTCCCGCTCTTGGGAACACCCACAAAGGGCTGGCTGGGCTATAGAGCTGACCTTCAACAGTTCAAACATGCGTACCTAGTCTAGTAGCGGTCATCTCGCCCTATAGGTCCATACTGGCCCGAACGCACTGATATAACAAACGCGGCATCGGTGACTTATCGCAGGCTCCCTGCTAAGAGACTGCCAAATCATCACTCGGAGTCTTCCGCAGACGCCATTGCCTCAGTTTGGCTGCGCCACATGTCTACGGCAGGCTTCTAAATCGGAACTGTCTTTCTTTAGATATAGGCCATGCATTGATGAATTATTAGTATTATGTATCTAGCACTAGATTCGATCATATATCAGAGCATTTCTTCCTGTAGCAAGCATCACGAGGCCATCAGTAGCGAGGCCTCTTTTATGTTGCTTCAAGAGCGATAGATCAAGTTTTCTCTCCGACACATCGTGGGACTCGCTAGAGAATAGTTCATTTCCTGACTTCCTCTTAACGTAAATCGCTTTGTAGTGCATTACAAACCTCGCTAAGTGAGAAGAGCTAAACGTCCTCCACAGCAGCATGTTCGTTGTTGTGCAAGCAAAAATAGCATGCCTGGTTTGTTATTCGGCGATGTGAGATCTTCCATGACATTTCCACACCTAGAACACCGTCTCCAAGGAACGTGTGCTCGCTTACTGATCTCGACACGTCTGAACATGTCGACGTTCATACCTCTCTTTTTCCGATCTGCCAAAGCGTCGGGTGTATCAATGATCTCGAGAAGACGATAGTCTGCAAAGTATAGTTTCGCAAGATCGACATTTGTGCGGAAAGCCATGAGATCTTGCCTGAAGAGTTTTGTGATTACAGCTAAGAAGGATGGTGGTGGTGGACGCACTAAGAGCATGTTGAGCTCGCACAGCTGGCGGGCTTCTTTAACCCGATCTGATTTGGGAGCATTGGGATTTTGGTTTGGCGTTGGTGGATTTTTTGCTGCTTTCTGGGCCTCTTTTTCTGCCAGTGGGCCAAGTGATGTTCCGTATGCTGATCGTATGTCTCCTGCTAAGGTTCCAAGAAATTTGTCGAATTCGTCAGCTTTGACGAGTGCCGCGGAAGTATATCGGTGAACTTTTCGGTAGGCGGCATGTAGCGCGACATGACGTGAACTGCTTGACTCAGGCAACTCCCCTCGGCCAGAATACCAGGCAAGAGCGCGGCTTGCGCAACTATCAAGAAGCCCCACACGGCGGCACGCCGCAGAGATGAGATTACGGGTAGAGGAGCAAAGTATAAGATGTAACGCGATCTCATTCTTCGTGTGGAGGTACTGAGTAAGATTGAGGAGTTGCTGAGGCTGGTTGGTCTGAGTCAGAAAACTCATAAACTTGATGTCATCCAGCAAGCAGAATAACGAATCGCATAGCCAACTTAGGAAGTCGCATGACCATTTGGCACAGCCAGCTAGAGAATTCACCACCTCTGCGAGAACGGTGTTAGATATCACGACCGATCAAAAGCTTGATGAATAGGTTGCATAAGGCTTACCAGGTTCGTCGAGAGGCATCGACGCTGCCCTGACCGCACTTGGAGCACTGCTCGCTAGGCTCACGAGGATCACGGTGTTACGAAGACTGAGTGCCAGTGTAGACAGCCTACTCCGGAAGTGGCGTGCACTGAATTCCCCGTTCCAGCCGAGATGGTTGAATATGCTAAAACAAAACTGTAGATGCTGGTTTCTGATGAGGTGATCATGGGGGATATCATCGGAATAGTCGACCGTTATTCGCATAATCTGCACCAAATCCATAACCCATTTAACGGCGAACTCTACCGCTCAAGTATATTAGTATCAGTAACAAACAATAATGCAAACAACGTATTCATGGCTAACTCACGATCTCTGTGGGGGAACTTTCTCGCTACGGCAAAAATGTCGTCAATATTAGTGTTGTTGTTTGTGGCGGTTGCGGTCGACATAGCACAGGCCGCAATGACAGCATTTAGGTGGGCTAAAATTGGTTAGACATAGTTTGACATGAAAATAATGTTGGAGGACACCGACCATCTGAAATTTTTGTAGGATCTTCTAAGGTGTATTCGAGATTATGCCACTTAATCTGTCCATCCTCGTACATTTGTACGAGAGAGAAATTCACAGGGGAAAAAGCCATTTGCAAGCCTAGATAATCAATGTTAGTTGAGCTGAAGACTGCCATAACTCTCATACTCACATGAAGGCTCACCACTATGGGTAAAGCCTGCTTCTAAGATCGAGTACATTCGGTCGAGATTCGCCTCTCGGTGTACCTCCTGCATAGTAAATCGGTCACGGTATTCAACGGTCCCATCATTGTAGTAGAAACATAAGGTCTTTCCAAATGAGACCACGTTGACGCCCATAACAATTTTGTTCACGATGATCGATTCAAGCTTTTTTAACCTTGCGGTAGCCTTTTATACAGAAGATAAGCATAGGGCCCAATAGGTCTTGTTGATAGGTACATACTGGAGGTGTCGACCCAACACTGTTTCTTCTAGGGCCAAGTCGCTCGAAAGCGGGGTGAACTGTCTGCTTCTGATCCGTAAGAAGCTCCCATCTATCAATGATACTTTGCACCTCGTGGTTGTAGGGCGAGTTCGACTCTGGGATGAATGACCGCACCGTGATAACGACGATAGGTGACCATTGCTTGGTTTGAATTTCGAAATGGGCTGGAAGCATTTCTATATGAGAAATCTTTGACATGGATGCGTCTAAAGGGGACTCGCATATCCCCGTCTGGAACCAGCTGGTTACTGCAACATGTCTTTTTCCTAGAGACGGGCTTAAGACCAACCCCCCTGGGGGTATGTTCTGCTGATTTTCGGGCTTGGGTGAGTTAAAAGAGATGGCGACCTGAACAACTCTGAGTTGCTTTGAGGTTGTAGCCATGGCAATGTAAATAGATTTAGCTGTCCAAATCTTAGCGGTAGTTGCTATATTAAGGAAATGATAAGAAGGTTTCTAACTTTTATCAGAACATGCAGCAGCATGTGTTATGAGGTCGTCAGCAGACGTGGCGCTCTCTAATTCTAGAGTGGTTTCTTCGGGCTTGTTGTTATGTTGGCTCCAGAACATTTTGAGGAGGCCATTGGTTGTAACACATATAAATGCCGACTTGGTCGGGTTGGGATGGCTGGGTCCCATGTTGGGAACGGCTCCAGTCTCGAATGTATAGTCCGTTCCCTTGGCATTCTTGACAGCGGGGCAGTATATAGGATAAAACTAAGCACTTCGTTAGAGCAGAGAGTATAGCAGGCCGAGCAGGGGGGCCGAACCCTCGAATTTGCCGGGAGCTGATTGAGCCAATAAGTCCCGACGATTGTGTGCAAATCATCAATGGTATCCCCATCCCAGCGCCGAGACACCAGAGGGCGATTCAAGTCGGAGTTGAAGTTGAGGAGGAAAACTCTGCCAACAGCGTCGATGACAGCAAGCTCAGAGCTTGCGGGGCCCCATGATAGGTGAACAATAGGGCCGCCATTGAGGTTCTGCCAGGGGGTAACGACCTTAGGCTCACTTAATTCCCAATTAGCATCTTTGGGGTTGGCTCGTAGGTATCTGAGCTCTATGGATTGGCCGCCTTGTGCGATAGAAGCAATAGTGCCCCCTTTAGACCAGGCAATTCCCCTAATACGTGATTAGACAGTGGCCGGCAAGGATGAAGCGGCCAAGATGCTGGCAGAGAAGGGGGAGAAACTTACTGACAGCAACCCCGACAGCGTAACTCATCCAGTCTCCGTCGAAGGCGTCTACTTGGTGGGCGCGAAGGAAGAGAAAGGGGGTCGGTGTCTCCAAAAAGATCGTCGACGCCGTTCAAGTCGACTTGCATGGCAGGTTGGTCCATTCCTGACATAGCGCTGTCTAGGAGGAGCGGCATGTTGGTGCCGGTGTCCGTCATCTGTACGGATGGCAAAGGGAGAAAAGCCGACGGCAGTTATAGATCTAGTCTTTCTGCCCCGGGCTAGTCAGACAAAGGACGGTTCAGTAGGGCCATGGTACGGGAGAGTTAGACAGGAGGCCAAGTGAAGGAATCTGGCGTAGAACAAGATGACAAGTTGATAGACAACTTCAGACTGTTTGTTGTGTACTCGGAGCAACGGTGTAACCTCGTGCAGCTCTTTTTATGAAAACAAAACGACAATTCTGGTGGAAAGAGTTGGTTGAAGTGGATGAGAGGAAATGAGAGTATTATTAGAGAAGAAGATTGATCATGTTGATGCTTGAGCGAAAATTACTTGCTCACGGCCTACTCACAGCTTACCAAATAGAGGCAGCTCAACCTGTGCTTTTCTGTATGTACGTACAGTTCCAAGGTAGAGCAAGGATGTGGCTTAGAGAAGTGTGGCTTGTACCTATAGTTGTATCTAGATACCTAGGTACGTAGCTGCACGCAAAACATTAATATAGACTAGACCATACCGAGAATAGCTTGTGATCTATCAGAGATGGCATTCTACGTTGAACTAACCCGATCGATCCATCTGCTGCCACAGATGAACATTGGCCAAGGCTCCCTGTCCATGTCTTGCGCTAATTCGAGCCGCCCTATGCAACGACCAAGCAACAGGATCTTTACTTTTTCGTATGGTAGATACATACATAGTATTCATCAAATATTGGGTTGGTAAAAAACGCGTCGACGGCAAGAAAATCACATGCTAGGTGTCACGACCTTTGTTAGATTATGGAGTAGTAGGTAATCTCAATCAATCTAACCAGCGCATAAGCTTACAAGATATCTTTTCTTGCCAACTTTTGCGATGGATGAGGCATTATACATAGAGATGCAACATGAATGATATCATAGTGTATCCCGGTACCTGAAGATGGCTCATTCTACATAGGTATACAGACATTGACATGCATACCACAAAGACTGCCATCATGAAGTTCTGATAACAAATCCCTTTCCCTCCCTTCAACCTACTTAAGTACCTAGGTAGGTACTGTGTAGGTATGTGACCTCCCAAGTGAAATCGAAACATATTCACATACCTAGGTAGGTACTGCCTCTGAATATCACACTACGGTACATACATATGTATGTAGGTAAGTACATAAGTACATGGGTAGGTAGTAGGTACCTGACGGTGAGTTAACTACCTACCCACCTAGGTAGTAAGGGCATGCCAGTGCGGTTTGTTTAGGGCGGATGGCCAGTGTCTGCCAGCTCACCAGTGTATTGTAAGTAGGTATCTAGCCCCATCCTAGTCAATCCCCTTTGATGTACCTATCCATAGGTTTCTTGAGTATGTACTTAGTAGCTGGCAAAAACAATAGCAAAAACAATGCGGTTGCGGGACTCCATTGAACATCCCCTCCCCCAAAAGTCTGTGTTTTTCATTGTCACTGATATGCGTGCTTATGTTTACACATGCATACTTACATACCTCACTTTATTTACCATGTGAGGTACAGCCTGAACCACATGACTGACACATGACTAGACAACTACCTACACAAGTACGAAGTAGTACAACCAAATTTAGCAAATTTAGCCAGGCGTATGTAATGTAAACTCAATGTATCATACCGCACACATCAATGTCAACCTCCCTCCCTCTCCTCCCTTCCAGGTCTCGCTAGCCATTCAGAAACAAACCCGTCATTTTCTTAACCATTTTCTTTGCCGTTTTCTTTGCGCCATTGTTACTTTGTTGCTGCTCTTTCTTTCTCTTGCGCCACCAATATACCTACTCAAGTCACCACCCGAATAGCCGCTGCCGAATTTCGTCGCCCATCATCCAAGGCCAAGTTACTTACCTCTTACCTCATACTACTAGTACACACACATACTACCATCACTACCATCGCCCACTTACCGCTTACCCACCGATGTATTACGATTCATAAACTCGCCGCCTTTCTCCTGTCCGACTCTCCCTTTCCGCTGCCTGCCAGCCAACTACAAGCCAACTACATCGTGTAGCCTTTGGCATAAGTTTGCATACTCACGCCCTACAATGGACGCATCGTCGGCAGACCCGCCGTCTACCAATCCTCCTTCCTCCCCCTTGTCCGTACTCACAAGGTCGCCGACCATTTCGCCGCGCGCCTCCATGTCCTACCGGTCAAGTCGCCTTCCCTCACCCCCTCCTTCAACCGTGCACTCCGGCAGCGCATCGCCCATGAAATCCTCCGACCCCGCTGAACTCGAGATTCTTGTCAACCCCGATGGCGCCCCTCCGCCCAAGCGCCGTCGGGTTGAGCGCAAGCCGAGAACCACCGAATACTTGGACCTGAGCGCTGCCGCTTCTGAACAGAGTCAAAAGGACGAGGAATTACTGGAACAGCTGACACAGGCTTTGCGAAAAAAAAAGAAGATTGTCGTCATCGCAGGCGCTGGCATCTCGGTTTCGGCAGGGAGTATGTACATTCCCTTTTATCTTGCCTGCATCCTACTCCAGACACAGAAGCTAACGTATACTAGTCCCCGACTTCAGATCTTCCTCAGGTCTCTTTGCGACTTTACCCAAAGAACACGGCCTGAAGGGCTCAGGCAAGCATCTCTTCGATGCTTCTGTCTACAAACACGATTCGACCACCTCGTACTTCCACACCATGGTCCGTGACCTGTCCCAGCTTGTCAAGAATGCGAAACCCACTCCGTTCCACAATTTTCTCGCCTCTCTATCTAAAGAAGGCCGTCTCCTACGACTCTACACCCAGAATGTCGACGGGCTGGATACGTCCATGGAACCTCTCAGCACTGTCGTTCCTCTGCCGCCTAAAGGCCCTTGGCCCAGAACCATACAGCTCCATGGCGGCTTAGAGAAGATGGTTTGTTCAAAGTGCAACGAGATTAGCCAATTCGACGCTTCGCTTTTTGAGGGACCCCAAGCCCCTCTATGTAAGGGATGTGAAGAGACAGACAATGTACGCACCTCCCATGCAGGCAAGCGCAGTCACGGCATCGGGAGACTTCGACCCAGGATGGTGCTATATAATGAGTACAACCCTGACGAAGAAGCTATTGCCAACATTTTCCGCGCAGATTTACGGGCTCGTCCCGATGCTGTGATTGTTGTTGGCACGAGCATGAAGATCCCAGGTGTACGGAATATGGTGAAGGACATGTGCAAAGTGACGAGAGACCGCCGAGATGGCATTACCGCTTGGATTAATCTTGACCCTGAACCGAGTGGCACAGATCTGAAGAATTGTTGGGATTTGGTCGTTCGCGGCAAATGTGATGATGTCGCTTCTCTTGTCCACTTACCTCACTTCGACGAACATATTGAGCAAGGACCAGATACTGTTGTGGATGAGGCCAAGTACGAGAATGATGTTCGCCACATTAAGTTAGAGGTAGAGATCCGGAGGAGTCACTCTCAAGAATCGGCTACGATAAAGGAGGCGACGCCTGATACCTGCTCTCCTATTGAGGCTAAGCCGCCATCATTAGGACGCATCCAGGGCATCCCGACTCCTTCTGCTAGTCCCAAGATTCGGACCGCTCTCCCTACTAAGCCTGTTCCGAAATCCAGCCAGACTAAACTTGCTTTCCCCTCACGCATCAGCAAAGCCTCTACATCAATACCCAAGGAATCAAAGAAGCCAGCTCAACGGAAACCGAAGCAGACTAAGAAGAAGCCTGAGCCGAAGCCGAAAGCAACCATCAACGCGACTTTCAAGGCTACTAAATCAAATGCAGTGGCCCCCTCAAAGGTTCCCGCGAAGCGTGAGCTTGAAAGTGAACCTAACACTCTGGATAAAGCTAGGAGTGTACTCTTGGCCGACTTCTCTCTTAGGCCTAGAGGAAACAAGCGTGCTGTCGATGCTGAGCCTTCTGGATTGGAGAAGGGTTCCCGATCCCAAATACAACCACCAGTAATCGGTCAAGCGCGTCCAAGTACCCCTGAACATCAGACGCTGCGCCGCCAGTCACAGGAGACTGTCACGCCTCCTTCCAAACCTCGAGGCTTTGGGACCTTAATCGATTGATCTACCAGACCTGGTAACCTTAGGTATCTATTGTATTCTATTGTTGCGGGATGTCACGCCACGATTCCTGTTGGCTGGTTTCGGTGCCTCTTCGAAGGACTCACAATCGTCACCTCAACACTACAGACTCAGTCACTTGTATAAATACTCAGTACTGTACAACACCAAACATCGCTATATGGCGCCTTAGAACCCCCTATGTCATATTATATTGCATTTAGCTGGATTTTTGATAGGATGATACAACATTTCATCTACAGCTTCTCGGGAGGAACTATTCTTTTATGAAAAGGAGAGACGTCTGGTCTTGCCTGGACAACAGGCTTGGATGATTCTTTTTCTTGGTAGTTAGCCCTTAGCCCATTCGTTCGTCCATTCTGCAGAACGAAATGAAGTAAGAAGGGGGCATCGTAATGGTTAAATATGTACATAGCATGTTGGGAAAGGGATACCAATATGGCATGGACTCCTCTACGCCCTAGTTCGTGTATCAGGCGGACAAGGAGTCGTTTCTTGATGATACCATTGCCATCTTTTTGCGCATCCGCTAATAAATATAGACTTAGAGGAAGCGAAACCCATATCCATGTTCCCGTCGCGCGATATGGAAGCTCACTGGAAAGAAAAACCGTGTTATGTGCAAAAGTTGGACTATTAGTGTCTTTGAGAGCACTACTGTGCAAGCTGGAATATAATATGATGGGATTTCATAATGTTATCTGTTGCCTTGTTATCGTCTAAGAGTTGACGAGATACATCCATGATACATAATGAGATTATAGTCTTATAACTATGCCAATTATCCATCGTGTCATATGTTAGTGGCCTAGGTAGGTTGATGCTTATTCACGCTGTCACTCAATTGATCTCCTGGATCTAACGCTCAACTCACGTGCCCGATGATGATCACGTGCTACTCAGATAGCTTCCCTATCTATGCAGTCATACACAAGCACACGAGGACGAAGAGCAAGATAATGACTTTATTATTGTTTCTTTTTCATTGACAGCTACCGAGGTAGATTAGACGAATGCGATTTTCAACTAGTAGCGTCAGTCATGCCTCATTTGGGCCAAACAAAGCTACTATAATTTTGCGAAGTACTGTCAGGCCCAAAACCTAGTCCCCAAATATGATGATAGCAGTGAAGCAACTGCGGGGTATTACCGACACTTGGTCAATATCTGGCTTCGTCGTCCTGTGCTATGAGAAACCACAAGGTGTGTCCCTTGCACGACCGTTGTACAAGACCTTGTGCTAGAGGGGGTAGTATCTACATGTATAGAACGAATCGCTGGTGAATCAAGTTCGCTTTGCGTGCCTGTATATAACCCCACGGTCTACTCGACAACTGGGCCGTACCGGTTGCGATACACAAGACCGAAATGCTCAAGGTGCCCGACCATATTAACCGAATGAACTCCATTAGCCTATAACGTAGAATGCTTTTGCTGGGTATGATTCATGATCCGGGACTATCGAGACGTCTCGGAGTCTATCATGCTAGACCGTAACGCCATCCTATGCAATATAAAAGATTATGTGTGCGAAAAATCAAAGGTAGTGCCTATTCGCTCCTTGTAGAGCATGTACAGGAAGGCCATCAAACAGCGGATTTTGATGACTGCCCATGGGTAACACCACCATTAGGAACAGCGGAGCTGGTACTCTTGATCTTGGAGGTGTCTCCGTTTTTACTTTCCTCAGCTTGTTGTTTTAGTTGTTGATACAAAGCAGCCAGCCGCGGGCCGGTCATACCGCCAGATGATGCAGGCTTCTCTGGAGGGGATTTACGTAAGGGCGATTTCTCACTCCCTTTTTCTGGTTTGTTAGAGGATTGCTTCTCAGAGTGAGGTATTCTCTTAGAAATAAACTTCCTGAATACGACGTTAGCTCGGCGCATGAAGACTAGGTATTCAATTTAAGCTTACCATAACTTTGGCTTGAGCTCCTCCCACTGCTTCGCAGGCAAGCCAGAAGTTCTCTTTAGGCCTTCAATGAAGTCGCCGATAGCCGTGATCTCCGATTTCAGCACTTTGGCCCGTGTTTTGGCAACAGGAATTTTCGCTTTCGTACAGGCTTCAACCCTTTCTATGTGACTCCAAACCGGCTGCATCAGGGTCCTAATGACGGGTGCGTTCCGCTTCTCTTCGTCGTCATCCTCTTCACCGTCCTCATATCGACTGGCATCGCTCCGTCGATGTTCATTAATGTCATTGCGTCGGTGTTCCTCTACACGTCGATGCTTGAAATGGCGGCGCTCATCAACCTCCCCACTATGCTTTCTCTTCGCATCTGGTCGTAAAGAGCTTTCGCCCAAGCTACTTCGTGAGCGGTGATGATCACGAGAATAAGGCGATTCATGATCCCGCTCTCGTTCTCGCTCTCGGTGTGATAGCTTCTTAGAGCCTTGAGGCGCTGGGGAAGCCGAAACGGAGCTACCCTTTTCTGGGCGGCGATGACCATTCATGCCATGAGCAGATTTCTTGTTATTGCGATGATGATTTTCGACGGTCTTCTGGGCATTGACATCATCCGAGTGAACCGACATAAGAACAGAGAGTAGATACTCAGCACGGCGGACTAGGTGAACAGCTCCGGGGGCTTTAGCACCCTTAGTCTCAGTATGTTCTCGTTCTTGTTTCTTCTCGATGCGGTGTTCCTCCAAAAAGAACTTATCCTGCATGCCCAATTCTCGGTCCTCGCGAATTTGAGTCCAAGCACCAAACCCATATCTATCAATGCCAACGAGAAGCATTCCATCTTCAAGCGAGGTCCATTCACAGCTATAGTGTGCCGTCTTCGTAGCTTCGGGTAGCTGAAAAGTCCTGAAGTCACCGTGTTCCTTGATGACTTTCCGAAGTAGTCGTAACTGTGGAGCGCGCTCCAGGATAGTTTCAGCATTAATCTTTTTGACGTCCCCAAAATCAAACATGACAGCTTTGATATCTTTCTTTGTCATCTTCTTGTTGGATTGACGTTCTTGTGCACGAATTTCATCATTATTTTTGTCCATTGCATCACGAGCCGTTCCGATGAGTTCATCAAGTACACTGTTGACAAAATCCCTATCTCGATCACTCAAACGTGCATCACGCAATAATTCGTCGGGACGGTCTTCCATGAAGCCATACCGCATGAAAGCTCTGATAAGATTGCGCTTTTCTTTTTCGTTAAGAGGTCTCCGTGGATCAGATAGTAAGGCTCTTTGTTCTTCGAGACGTTCCTGCTTCAGCTGCTCGCGTTCTCGCTTCTTTGCAATTCGCTCAGCTCTCTCAGAGTCGCCATTGGTCCTCAAGTTCTTGAGTGCAGCACGGCGAGGCGCGCTGGCCTCCAGCTCCCGCGCAAGATAGTCATCCGCTTTCTTCTTCTCCTCGTCAGATTTGATGGCGGCAAGCTGTTCTGCAGGTATAATTTGATCCCAGTCCAATGTTAGATCATCAACCTTGACATCAGTATACTGCATGAAGTTGTCCCAATCGATACCGCCAGTGCTTAAGTTCATCTTGTCATCGACCTTGGTTTTGGTAACCTCCGCATTTTCCAGGATAGAATCGATATCTAGCTGTTCCAGACGTTCTTGGTTCCCTGACTGCTCAAACATCTTCTGAGACCGCATCTTCAACACCCATTGAATGTCATCTGCAGATTTCGCTTCGTCTAACCTGAGACCTTTCTGTCTGAATTCTTCTTTGAAAGCCTTGCCATCATCCGTTACACCAGCCTGAATTGCCAGGTACTCGAGGAGTAGCTTATTGCGAGCACGTTCCAAGACTTCCTCTTCGATTGTTTCTTTTGAAACGAGACGATACACGGTGACTGGCTTCTTTTGTCCGATTCTGTGAGCTCGCGCCATCGCTTGCAAATCAGCTTGTGGGTTCCAGTCGGAATCGAATATGATGACTGTGTCAGCGGTCATCAAGTTGATTCCCAATCCTCCAGCTCGAGTTGAAAGAAGAAAACAAAAATCCTGGCTGTCTTCAGCGTTGAAATGATTGATGGCAAGGCGTCGAGGACCAGCTCCGATAGTTCCGTCAAGTCGTTGAAACTGATACCCCCGAAGACGCAGATAGTCGCCTAGAATATCTAGCACCTTCACCATCTGGCTGAAAATCAAAACACGATGGTTATCTCGCTTCAATTTAGCCAGGAGCTGGTCAAGAAGCATCATCTTACCACTACTCGCAATAAGACCTTTGATCTGATCTTCGCGTCGTGTGCTTCCTGCTAAAACCTTCTCCTCCGCACCAGGGAACATGTATGGATGATTACTAACTTTCTTAAGCTCCATGACAATATTCAGTAGTGATGATTTCTGACCCGTGTTGTGTTCGTTCAATGCTGCATAGTTTCTAGTGAGGATGTTCTTGTAGTATTCCAGCTGCACATCAGAGAGCTCGACCCGGATGATCTTCTCTGTCTTTGGTGGGATGTCAGATTCTACCGTTTCTTTCGTCCGTCGGAGGATGAATGGGGCAATTGCTGCATGAAGATCTTGAAGCTTTGCCTGGGCATCTGCAGCAGCCAAGGTGTCCAAATCCTCATCAATGCGCACCTTGCCGGGATTGAGAAAATCAAGAAGCGAAGACAGCTCAGCGAGGTTATTCTGTATCGGTGTACCGGTAATCAGAACACGGGCAGGTGCGCCGAAGCTCATCAGCTCTGCATATAGCTTAGCCTCTTTGTTTTTGAGCCTGTGGGCCTCATCAACAGCAAGAGCCTGCCATTTAATAGTCCTCAAGAACTCTGCGTCCATCAGGATGTACTCATACGAAGTGACTAGGACATTGAATTTGTGTTTCTTGGGGTTTTTATTGAACATGAGTTCATGTTCCCGAATTGTACTACGGGCCTCAGCGTTGCCCAAATAGACAACATAATTGAGATCCGGAGACCACAAGTTGAATGTATCGCACCAGGCGGGTATAACACTCAAGGGTGCGACCACAAGGAATGGGCCTTCTTGTTTACGCTCGTTGCGTAGCCAACTAAGAAAAGAGACAGTCTGAACTGTCTTACCCAAACCCATCTCATCGGCCAAAATGACGTTGTTAGCTCGGCACCAATTCAGAGACAAGAAGTTCAAGCCTGTAAGCTGGAAGTTCCGAAGTTCACCACCCTTGATGTAATGAGGTTGCTTCTCAAGCTTGAGAAACTTGGACCGAGTGACGGGATTCGATTCGCTCTTCTCCGAGGTCCATGACCGCGACTGCCGGTCAAGGAATTGGTCGATCTTGTCTTGTGCAAGAGAGCGTATGGTCGAGGCGAGTTCCCATGTGCAGCATTCATAGGTCAAGCCTTTCCATTTGATAAAATATTCTCGACCCTCATCACCAGTTCGTTGCGCAACGACACGTTCAACTTTCGTGTAGTCCTCTAAAGCATCTTGATCGCGTTCCTTATCAAGCATATATTGCTCGCGAGTCTCGGGGGGTATTTCATCTCCCGCAAATTTCAGATCTATCTCATACTCCACAGTCCTTTTATAGTAGTTTTCCAGCTTGCGAACGCCACGATATCCACGCAGCACTTCGAGAGTGTCCCAAGTGTTGTGGAGATATGACTTGCCCTGCCACTTGATATGATATTCGAAGTCGTCTCTATTAGAATCAATCATCAATTCGCCGCCGTCTTTAAGCCGGTGACCGACAACTTTTTCAATATAGTCTGTGTCTTCAGGGAAGTCACCACCAGCCCAGTAGTTGGGGGTAAGTTCTGACTCGTCCTCGTCTTCTATATCGCTTTCTTCGTAGGTCTGAACAGTTTGGGCGGCTCGACGATTCGACCAGCGCTTTTCCGCATATAGGTGTGTGGACTGCGGTTGACTTTGCAGGCGGCGAGCTTTTTTAATTAAGGATCGGGCTTTAGCACCACCGTATGTGTCAGAGTCGGAGTCTCCAGCAGGAGTTTGACGCGCAGGTGTGCCTCGTTTAGATGCTGAAACAAGTTTGGTTAGCTCAGGAACGAATATCTTCAAACTACAAGCTTAGCCTACGTACACTGCTGTGAGATGTGTTCCGTTCGTAACTTCTTAGTTCGCCGACTTGTCGGGACAATATCTGAATCGGATTCATCGTCTTCATCTGACTCAATCTATTGGGAAAGGTTAGGACTACGTCGGTATTTGGGGTACACCAGCGACAGTAACTTACAATTCTGGGTTGTTTAGTTGGGCGAGACTATGCGAAGGCATTAGCAAAAAAATTTTCACGGCTCAGTGAGCAAGCATACACTTCTCCTCAACCCATATAGCTCCGGGTTTTCTCGGATATATTCGTCTTCCTCTGCGACCACCTTGCGTTTCGGAGCGCGTCGCGATTCGCGAGACGTTGAGCGGTCGTCACGGTTCTCGTCACTCTGCGAAGCGGCTGCGCTTTCCTCCATGTCGTAATCGGCATCATCAGAAGCGTGGGCTTCATCCGCACTCGATTCGCCACGGTCGTTTATATCGAGTTCTGCTTCCGCGTCTTCGGAGGATTCGTGACCAGATGGAGAGGGTGATGAAGATGGGGAATTACGAGTAGGTAGAGCTATGGTTTCGTTGACCTCTGATAGATCACTCTCACTCCCACGATCATTGAGTGCCACATCAGCACCTGTTGGAGGTGCCGACGAGGACTCCGGGCCGGCAGAGGCGGACTCGGGAGAGCTCGACATATTGAGACTCGATACAACAACAGCCTAGGACAAGTCAGCCAGGAACCAGCACGCGAATGGCTACGTGAGTCATATAGACGAGGAGAGCAGGAATCAGCGATCCAGATACACGCAATAACAAACAAAAATCACGAAGCTCGAGTGCGAGAACGCATCTGGCGCATGGGGGAGGATGATCTGATGAAGGCAAGGCTGATGATTGATGAACAAGCATTGGCACCGGAGGTTGAGATATGAGACGTGTTGCGGGATTTCAACGCGTCAGGAGCATCGAAAACAAGCACTTCCATCTATAATTCGGGAACCGAAGGCGCTAGATACAGGAGAACAAGAGATAGCAAGGTCACATGTGAGCATCAAGTGGATGGATTCTATATCCAGCAAGCAGCAGTAACAGGCAGCCCAGCCTCGTGTAAACAACGCAACCAAGGGGCTCTGGAGACCAACAGAAGCACTTACCAGTCATCAACTATGCCGGGCAAACAGTCGAGGGTACAAGAAAAGAAACGTCCAGCCCAGGGGCGATGAGATTGCGGGTGATGAACCCCGGTGGTGCGTAGATGGGGTGTCGTAGTTTGGGTGGTGCAGGTTGAGAATGCTGTGTGGAATAATTGAGGGAGTGGAAGTGCGGAAGGGACAGGCTTGGGAGTGGTCCTGCCAGAAACCGCACACAGAATAGGCTTAGTGGCAGCGGACACGCCAAACCACCAGGCCAATCCGCCAATCCGCCCATTGACCACGGGCCTTGCTCCTGCAACTAACGCCGACTTATCGCCTTATCGGTTTATCGCTATGCCAAAGCAGGCACCTCCCTACCTCTTATCTGTACCTAGGTAGGTACCTATCTCAGTACAGTACGCTACCTACCTACCAGGCCACAGTAGGTGGTAGGTACCTTGTTGTACATGCCAACTGCCCTAGAAATGCAACGGTTAGGTTGTGCTGATGCCTACCTGGATTCCTTGCCATAATTAGGTAGCTAGGTAGCTCCATTGAAGTCCGTCCAATATGCCACGTCACGATACATTCATCTGTTTGTCGAACGTCAGTCATGTAGGTATTTGCGAGATGATACAGACGATAATCCTAGAAATCTTGAATAGAGTCAGTCCAGATTGAAGATGAAGAACGAACATTGGCGGGGAGACCTTCTCTCAAGAGAGCCCCCACAGTATCATTCAGATACCACTCGACACCTACCATTTATCTACTAGTATTCCATGTACCTAGGTACGGGTAGGCTTAGAAGCTCTAGCCCATCAAGTGACAGGTTGGTAACATTCAATGGCACCTTGAACTTTTCACATCTTGGATCCATTCATCTGAACCTAGTAGGTGCATACTTAAGTACCTGTGTATTGGAATCCAGGTATTTGAGGATACTCTCAGCTACGTAGTAGTGTTCGATGCATTCGATGCCTAGCTATGATCTATGTACCAGTCGTTGTCAGACCATTTTAAATTACACCTAAGCCTTTTCCATATTGATGGCGCAGTTGTTGTCTATATATGAAAGCATCAAGCTTGCAGTTGTAGCATTTCTCTCTTCATGATTCATTACGTACACATAAACACAGATATATCTCCGCAATGTTGTCCCAGTTTCTTGAGAAATCATCACGACAAGGGCTATTCATTTTCGAACCCCATTCTTTTCGTATTTAGTTCACGGGCCTAGGCTTAAGGAAAAGGGATCGTCGAAGACAACTCTTTGTCCCTAGGTAGATAAGAGCAGGGGAGCACGAAAGCTACAGCGGTTACTTATGAAGCTCAGGAGATATTGGATACCTGTTTGGATAAGGTTCTGAGCTCTGCACCTAGGTACGTAGTTTTATATAGCTAGAATGCTCCACATCATCCCCATCGTAATGTATTATTGAGAGTGGGGCTATTTCAACAGAATATCATAATCGAGAGTAATCATCTCGAGTTCTGAAAACAGTCTCTAGACTCGGTGGTGATATTAACTGTGGAAGCTTCCCATAAATCCCTCCAGGCCTACTACAACATTAACTTTATCATCGTCGAGCATATACGGTATAACCATTAAGTAGAATCGTAGCCTTAGTACTATTACTCTTTAGCGGAGGAGACATCGTTTACGAATGAGCTTGATATCATCCTTAACGACTACCCTGAGGTTAGGTAACGGCTGCTTATTACCTCGGTACGAAATGGTCCAATCACCAATCAATAAATGGTTGGTACACTATCATTCAATTTCCCTTCTCCATTACCGCACAACATCGGACTTCAATGCCCCTCCATAGAGGATGAGGGTCACGGCTTAAATACATATTCGCCTACCCCTCACTCAATAAACAGCCATCATGCTTGTTTGATCTACCTGGTAGAGTTCTGGAGCACTGAGAGATATCTATGTATATATGTTAAGAGCGAGGTTATTACTGCAGTCGTTTCTCGTTAAATCTGCAGTTATCGGTCTGCAACCACTTGCCGGTCATCTGCCAACATATTTGCTTCTCTAAATGTCAGAAGATTATAAAGCATTGTTAGTGCAATATGCAGTTTTGGTGCGGAACCGTACCTAAACTATACAATCAGTTGATATACACTTATAGCAGACCGACAACCGCAGATTTAACGAAAAACGAGTATAGGAACAACCTCCCTCTTACATTACGTAAGGGTAACAGAATTGCCAGTTCCATATAACCATAGTGACAGATTTGCTTCAACATAGTTAGTCTTTCAAATATATTAATTCTACCCCTTATTGTTGAGAAAATACCCCACCACAAAAGACTTTGTTGTCGATATGCCCTCTTAGTCGGCATCTCCCGCCGCCCCCCCTGGACGAAGCATTGATACATTTAGATTTGATTGTCTTCTAAATCACCATTTTATCCGTAGACACCCAGATACTATTAGCTTATGGAAGTCGATAAAGGAGACGTGGATATGCTATGAAGGGGCAAGCTCGCAAGTCTATCTAAACGTCTCTCTCTTTTTTCTAATTTCCCCCCAGTCCAAGCAATTATCAGCTATCTCCGTAGGAACTCATGCGTACTCTATGACAGCTTGCTATTACACGGTGTCGATTTGTTTGATATTCTAGGCGGTGAACTCTTAGCCTCTCCCTCAACTGTTCTTATTTCCATAAAGAATACCTAGCTCCAAGAAAAATATTCCTACTTTCATAATGCTTGAAGGTAGACAGGAACATCACGTAGATTAAACCTTATACACGTAGCCCCTGGATTGAGTAATGCAAGGTAATGGGGAACCTATCACCTATTAGGGCGGTTAACTTCAGGTTCCGGACCTGTAGTTTTATAAGCTACAATATGTGATGTTATCATTCTTTTAATCCTGTTACAGTATAGTACTATATAGTGAGTGCAGAGACGTCAAGCCTTCGACTTGATAACTCGTCGTTACCTTTTGGTGGCGTAGTGGCATAGTACTGCACTCCTTATGTCATTCCGTGACAAATCCAAAGGGTACTTCATGCTTACCAAGCTTCAACCATCCATGTTACTGTACGGGGTAGATGGCGGGAAAGTAGGCAGCTTTCATACAGGATCACAATCTCCCCACGGCTAGTATGGCACTCTACCAATTATAACGGAAACTTTTACGTCGACGAACTTTGTGTGGTTCTAGCCAGTGGACCGCGTTGTTTATTTCGTCGGCAAGCAGTCATGCATGCGCCTCTATATCATCACTTGCGAGCTACAACAGAGTTTTCAATAACTTGGGTATTACCTAACCCCCAAAGCCCGACGAGGCAAGTAGTTTCTTCCGTATACTTGGCAAATAATTGCGCCGCCAACAATTAATATGATAGCTCTACTCCAAGGAAGAAAGCTCGTGCAAATACAATCTCTAGACGCCCAAATGGTACAGCTCGCTGCAAACAAATACCGCCAAAGATTTCCCAAATATATGTCTTCAAGTGAAGCAATAAACGCCAGATTGATGCCGAAGTTCGTTAAATTCTGGTGCAGAGGATGATAACGGTACGAGGAAACTGATAGCTGACGCGGCAAGTCCATCACTGGTGGGCCTAGCCTCGACAATATCTAAACACCAGGTTTATTAAGGTATAGCAAGGGTAGGCGACTGGGCTTGGAATTGAAACTCTTCAGATTACAGTGATCAATTAGGGCTGCAGGAGTCCTTGACCGACCAATTCCTTCTTGGCTGTTGGTCGCTTGACTCGACTCTATATACAACTGGTCTACCGGCACCGACCGCCTAGGTCTCGTTGGCTTGATTCATAAAGAAAAGTCTATATAACCTCACTTTCCAATATTACTTACATATATTTAAGGATCATAAACAGCCTACAATGACCTTTCGTACGGCCGAAGCGCAAAGCGAACTGCATGTTCAGCTTGTACGCGTGTAACATACGGCCCTTCTTCATGTGATGGAACCTCTGTTTAACTACGCAGGCCAAGAAAGCCATCTATAGACAGTAATCAGGACTCTGGTTTTGAAAGCTGGCCAATCCCTACCTGTTGAAGGGTAGATGTGTCAAGTGGATGACTATCGTCAAATACCCGTAAGATGATTTAGATCCCCATTTCATGAACGTAGGCAAATTAACCAAGTACTGGAAGGTGTACGGTTGTAGTCCTGGAAACATGTACAATAATAGGATGATCAAACCCGCTGATGTTCAACTTTCTTATGTACAACAGACTGAAGCTGTAAAATTTACCGTATATACAGATCTGATAAGAACCATCAATGTGCAACGGAATCCTTAAGAGAGCCATTTGAGTGCAGAGCTGCATTTGTTATCGAAGCGCAGATATTAGTCATACTTCGTTGGACAAGATACGCACCTTTACAAGCCATCTAAGATTCAGCAGCACTGGTTCACTCTAATCGTACATGCAATTCACCATGCATTTAAAAAGAAAGCAGCGGTCATCATCAGAAGACAAGGCAGCGAGAACGAAACTTATAGATTATATAGATGACGAGATACGGGTGGCATATGCCATTGAACAGAATAACTAGTCTTCACAAAGGTGAAGGAAACGAGGAGTGAGGGTTGATACACACCATTGTTAATGATTCCCGGAAAGCTTCTCGGCTGTAACGAACTCGTCTGACAGTAGTTCTCGTTTAAATAGTATAAAAAAGGAAATCGAGAGGCTACCAGGGTTTCCTGCAGAAGAGTGAGATAGGCTCATTCTTATGAAGGTGAGTAGTGTAACGTTCTGGACGTACGGGAAAAGGTCCATTAGGCAGTGAATAAAGTATTCGCAAGTGCTACAGACGAGGCGTGTCTGGTCCGCGGGAAAGATAAGATGCCAAACTGCTTTGAGGAAAACCAAGTCATCTAATCCCCAAATGCCAGGAGCGCTGTGGATTTCACACACATACTTGCAATGAGACGTTGACCCCGTAGGCCAACAAGGAGTAAAAACCGCTAGCACAATCGTATTCGAATGATCGCTAAGAGGCGTTATCCCGGGAATGTCGACGCAGTTCGAGTGCTCTCGATTGTAACCCAATATCCACATCTCTAACGGAGACTTGATATCATGCATGGCTAGACGTACAAATCCACTTGTTACCGACTGGAAAACTAGTCTTCCTCGATTTCACCTTCTTCGCTACCGGAGTGCACACCTGGGTCTTCTTTCGACGGTAGCCGTGGTGCAGGTGGAGTTTTGGTCTTGTGACGAACTTCACGGTGGGGTGAGCGCTCGCGCGGGGTCTTCTCTCTCCTCAATCTCTGTCACCCATATTAGTTAAAATCACCCTTAACAAGATGAGTTGTTGGTCTAACCTTAGAGTCTCTCGAATCTCGACGGTCGTTATCATCCTCTTCGTCTGCTCTTCGGCGTCTTGAGGAGGTGGGCCGTTCATCGCCATAGGGTAACTCGTCGACTGGGCCTCTTTCGACACGCCGACGGTACATCCTCTCACGTTCTTCCTCGCGGTCCCGTCTCTCCCGATCATAATAACTAGGAGGATCATCACGCCTTGCTCGAGGTGCATACTCCCTATCACGTTCCCTGTCCCGGTCTCGATCGCGTTCCCGATCACGGTCACGGTCACGGTCTCTCTCGCGGTCTCGGTCGTGGTCGCGATCCCGATCCCGATCCCGATCACGCTCACGCTCACGCTCACGAATATCTCGGTCTCGGTGCAAATCCATTGTGCGACGGTCAGATAGCAAGCTTTCAGCCATGCTTGACTTACGATAATTTTTTTCACGCTCCGCAATAGCCTTACGACGATCCGCTTCATACGCATCTGGCTCGGGGCTGCGACTATGCCGAGAGGTCCGTGCACGATCACTACGGTGAGATCGGTCTCCTTTATCTCTATCGCGATACGTACCACGTTCAACCGATCGGTCTCGGCGTTTATGGCGTTCACGATCTTCCTCCTCCCTATCTTTAACTCGGCGAAGGACTTTTTCAAAGGCCCCTCTGCGAGCGTCTTCCGATGTCACTGCCTGAAATTCAGCAGCGCGAGCGAGACGAGGCCGGACCTTTTCCCAGGTATCATCTGCGGAAAGAGGGGGCTCAAGGTGCTTGATGTAAGAGCGAAGGTCGTCGATAGCTCTCCGTTGCTGGCGTTCGGAATGCTTATCCTCATCGGACCGTTTTGATTTCTTTTCTTGGAGCTATGTCACTGTTCAGCATAACATGTATATTTTGTTCGGGGTATCAATTTATTTACCCGTTCAAAAATCAGCATCAGTATGTCATGATCAATGTTAGCACTACGTTTATCACTCTTCAAGACTGCGGTAAAGTCTTCAAAGGTAGTTTTAGGGGTAAAATCAAAACGGTTATCCTTCAATTATGTTAGTCAGGATATCAGGCGTATCTGCATTGGTAGACTTACATCCATGACATCCAAGATATCGTTCCTTGTGCCACGTAGAGCGCGTTCCTCTTCTTCGACCACATCCCAGAACAAATCAAGTGGGGTTGATCCAGGCTGTCCGCAAACCGCTCGGAATCGTTCGTCGTTCTCGATTAAAGGTAATATTTGACTCCATTTTGTACCAGCCTTGATCTTATTGGCTTTGCGAAGCTCTTGGAGTAATTCCACAAAAGCATCACGGTTTTTTCGCTCGATGCGAAACTTTTTATTTTTCTGTGCCTGTCGAGTTTCATTGAAAGTCCGTTCCAATGATTTGATGTGATTTTGAAAAACAGTCAGGATTTCAGAGTCAGATAGAGTCTTATACTTCTCATCATTTTGGAAAGGGGCAGTTGACTTCAGGAGACCCTGGGCTTCGGACCAACGAGTGTAAGGCTCGAGGTTGAGTTTCGGGAGCAAATCAATTAGCCCATCCATAGCACTTTTGCGAAGACTAGCTTGGTTTTCGAGATGTGCTTTCTTCAAATCGGTAATATAGTCCTCAAAAAGTCGACGCCGTTCATCTTCTTCATTAGTAGAGCGGAATATAGTCTCACCCTCGATAATAGGACGAGCGGTCTTCCAGCGTGTGTAGTACTTTATTTCAGGATGACTCTTCAGCATCGTCGCAAAGTCTGCTCGCAGCTTCGCCAGCCTATCTTTCGCACGCTCCTTGTCCTGAACAATCATGTCATAGCAGTAGTTCTCGAAGGCAGCTTTCCGATCCTTGGGGTCTTTGATGGCGCGAAAATGGGGGTCCTTTATCATTGCTCGCATCGCTTGTTCCCAGGTCCAGTCAGGCTGTACTCCGCTCCGACGGAGCAGTTTAGTGAATGCAGCTTCGGCCTCTTCAGCTGAGGCATATTCAGGCTCGTTGCTTGCTGGTGTGAAGGCTTGTATACGGGGATCGTTGCCAAATGTTAGTTGACGCGACTCGGGGAATGTATCACGGTGATCACGGTGGTCGCGAGGATTGTCGTATCCTGCAGTCGAAAAGGAGCCCGTAGAACCGTTGAAGGGCGTGGGAGGACTAACAAGTCAGTTCATGCTTCATGCTTCTGAGCCCGATGGAATCGTGCAGTGGTTTACTCACGCGGGTGCCGATGGTGTGGCATCGTATCCTAATGCTGCGCGGTAGACTTCAGGCATTTCCCAAGAGCTCTGCTTAGTTTCTGTATTGTACCAGTACTTGCGACCGCCTTCAGCAGTATATTCCTTCCATGGCTGATTGGCAAGCGCGCGCTGGGGAGAAAGATTAGTAGAGGCCAACACACAGCCAGCACACAGCCAGCACAGAGAGCACATACCTCAGCCGGCGTCATCATTTCCTCTGGCTTCGTCCATTGCGTAACTTTTGTAATGGGATTGTAGTAGTAGACGCGTCCATCGGCACTTTTGAACTCCTGCCATGGATTTGGCTGGCCATAGTGGCCGTTGATCCCATTCATGGTGATAAAATGCTGATGGGACCAAGTCGCGCTGTTCTCACAAGACAATTGTCTGGCGCAGAGAAGACGATCTTAACACTATATGGGCAGACACAGTGATAGGTATGCTTCTTGGGCCTCGTTAGACTACTTTGTAGCAATGCGACCACATTCCGATGCGATTTTTTAGTAGGGACCTAACCAACTAAACCAGCACAGCCACAATACAGGAGCCAGGCATGCATCTACTGAAGGAGATGAATGTGGCTGAAGCAAATACGCTTTATTCAATAGAATAACTCGACCAGCGTCGCTGGTCCAGCGACCTCGCGAGCCTCGTGCTGTAGGTAAGTTCAGTAGGTAGCCAGGGCCCTAACCACCTGCAGTAGGTACGCTATCCTTTTATACCCTTGTAGCAGTTTGCACCCCTGTACATGTGTGGCTCTGTGTGGCGTGAGCTTAGGACCATACCTCCTACGACTGACTGCACAGCGTTGTAATAGGTATCTATAGGTATATGTGTACCTCCGCATCTTGAGATATCATCCGCCTCAACAACCTCAGGTTCTGTATGCGTCTTTCTCATTACACTACGGTGGTTCTTCAAATGTAGGCCGGGAGTCTCTATACAATACCAAGGAAGCTTCAATTTGCCGGGCGGCCCTTGCCCACAATGGGCGATCAGTCTTCCCGCACAACACCTCAGCCTGCTCTAGACCTGGTCGAGAACTCGACTCTGCGATATTTCATCCCTCGCGATACCGATTTCGCACCTGGCGAATTCTTCAAAGATGGCATCTCTTCCTTCGTTCAGGGTCTCGCTTCGATAGAGCAACGAGACTCGTTGTTTTTCGGTAAGTTAGTTCCAGGCCCCTGTGTCGTCGTCTTCTCACCGTGCTCATATACAGATGCTAGATGAATCCGTCGATATGGTGTTCGTGCTTAGCATCCCATATACCGACGATGATAACCTTCAAGCGACGCTCAAGAGCCTTACTATATCCCTAGAAACCCAAATCGTCAACGGGAGTAGCTCCGACCGCGATGGCTCCCCCGCCGCCGAAGTCATCTATGCTGATACCATAGTTGGCTCTCAGGATCTTCCCATAATAACTTTTCACTCGGTCGTGGATAGTACAGGTGATGGTGTTGATTCTACAAGCTGTACTTATTTGGTATGGACTAAACCTGTGTTCCTCAATCGTCCTAGGATTCGGCTGCAAAGCCCATCAGCTGTTTTTGTTGCAACAGCGAGCGTGAGACCTCCTCTCAACCCCTTTTCCGACAAATTCCAAGATGATTATATGTTAAGTGGCACGGCTTCCAGTCTCAATCTTCTAGAGTCCTTCAGAAATGATCTGGCTCTAGGTGGGATCAAGCCACGGCTTTCTGCTTTAAGAGTTTCGCGTGTGGCCCCTCTTACACAACAAGCCAACGACCTAATACGTTCCATCAAGCCATTGTCAAGCCTTTCGCTACGTATATACCCAACGGTACATTCACGCATAAGGTTTACTCATCCAAATACTACGCCCGCCACAGCAGCTGTGATTGCTATGCTCGAAGTTGATTTCACTCCATTTTTTGATTGCGAGATCAGTCTTGACAAGATTACGCTTGCGATTCCAGACGCTACAGTTGAGGATCTCACAGCTGAGGCCGGTCTCTGCTTACCGCTGTCTTGTGTTTCACATGATCATATCACGTTCATATACCGCATAAACCCGAGAGCAAGCGATGTCGCTTCACATAACCTAATGCGAGACTTGGATATTACAATCTCAGCAACCGCCCTGGTGAGCCCCTCCACTAAACCTCAGCTCAAGCTGGTATGGACAGCAGCGGTAGATTTTACAGTTCCTGTAAATCCTGGCTATGGGTCTACGATGCAGCCGATACAACGTACGCACCGCCCAAGTCAGTTATCTCTTGGTGGGGAGAGCACTACTTCGTTAACAGCCCCTTCTATCGCGAGACCAGATGCTCTACCCTCTCTTGAAGCATCAACCTCGCAAACAGAGACATCGATACAAGAATTAGGGATCACGGTAACATTTACTGCGCCTTCACTGTCTCGAAAGATTTTTGTTGGTGATGAATTTTCATGGCATGTTCTTGTCGTCAATCAGTCACGGAATCAGGCAGCCGCGGCTAGGAAACTCACAATGGTGGCTATCCCTCGACGTAGACGCAACGAGTCACGCGTAACTAGACCACCCTCTGTTTCTCGGGCACTAGACGGCTTACAAAAGCAAACCGAATTTATCTGTGATAAGAATGTGGCAGAAGCTATCTTGGATGACAACATAGTTCATGCTATTCAAAGCAGCAGTGTTGTTGATAATGCTGAAGTGGTATGCCTTAGCCCAGATGTCAGAATCGGACCCCTCGCACCTGGAACATGCCATGCGGCTGAACTCAAGTTCCTCGCATTAAAGGAAGGAATCGTGGGTATAGATGCAGTTCGAATTATTGATCTTGGTAATAACGAACACGTGGATATACGGCATCTTCCATGTATCACAGTGGAGAACGCGATGGAAATATCATGAGCAGCGAGTTCGCCGATCTTCCAATTCACCTTAACATCAACATCAATATTTAAGCCTAGTCGCATTTCGTCAAAGTACATCTTTGACATTGCCACCCGCTCCATTCGCGGTAAGACTAGATGTATTGTGAGCAGAGTGGAATTTTAGGAGTCGAGGGGTAAACATTCAGATGTCCAGCTAGATTCCCAACTAGATTTGTTCGTTTGCACATTTTGTTGAGATCTGCAGAGTTGTTTTTCATGCTCCTCAGCCACCTACTGTTGTGATAGCCAATAATCAAGCTGGGCTAGAGCTTTCATCAAATTAATAATATGAACTTATGTACCTATACGAGAAGAGCACGTTAATTTGTTTCGATTTCACACTGGCTTTTATCACTCATCAATCAAAAGCTCACCATGAGTCGTTAATTTGACGCAGTCGCTTGAGCTTTCTCTTATTGCAAAGCTATGGGCTATAATGCGCGACCCACGAGCTGAACGCTATACTGGGCGTTTTAGATTCAACACTCTACGAAGTTGACTGGACGGTAGGTATTCAGTAATTCATTTAAACTAACCCTAGGTCGTGCCAATCCACCTAAAACCGACGCGACATTTGGCGACAGAAAATTTTGTAAACTAACAACAGGTACTGGAATGAATGAGGTAGATTGAGCGCCTACCTATATCAAATCTATGAACTAACCTCGATAATGTAGCCACTATCTGAACACTCATATCTAGTCAACCCCTGACTAGCAAGTGATCTACGTACGCTACCGATATATTGTAGTGTTCGGTGGATTTCTAAGGCAATGGCTAGTGTACCGTAGATTCGTATACTAGGGGTATGGATATCCTTGCAACACCTACGCTACTGCACTACTGTAAGTATGTGCCATTCTCCGCATAATCACTCGCCTCACGATATTCCCTTCCACCAATAACTACCCATGCAGGTCGGCAGAGCACAGGGCAGCAAGATACAACGTAGTATCTCAGATGCTGGCTCGAGCGCGGGTGGCGTGCTATTCCGCACTCCCGAGGTCCAGCGCAATGGTGTATATACCTCGACCCGACGCTATTTTCAACGCGGGAATAAGTACCTAAGAGTCGTTATTTCAACGTTATGCAGCTTCTGGGGTACGACCGCTTAAAGACAACACCGGTTTTTGCAACATAAGTGTAGGGGAATATCTGCCCCAATAATGCAAGGAACAGGCCACCGGTGCTCTGACCGGTGCTCGACGGTATGTCATTGACGATGCGGAGATAGTGGACGCTTTGACCGACGTACATGCTGAGACCAGGTTCGGTTACGATGTCCCGATTTCGCGATGCTACGACAAGAGTGACATGCGAGACATAAGGCAGGGTCTGGATGACCTTTACTTACTTAATACCGCAGTGATCTAGTCTCCACGTTTCAGTACTGCACGCATGCGTACGTCTCGTGATAAAAGCCTAGACGAACATACAGGGAGTGTGATATGCTGAACTAGCACCCTCATTGGTTCTCCGCATCACCATTTTCATATGCCAGGGGAAGATGCAAGCGAGGTGCGCTACGTGTCCCAAATCTAGCAGGCATCCTGTACACTACGAATTATGCAGTACTTACTCTACTTACAGTGAGGCTATGAGCAGAGCGATATTATGTCGGCATACCTTTCAGATCACCAGAAGAGCTACGTATGCTATTATCTGCAGGTAGGTTAGGTATATCCTTCGAGAATCCAGATCTTGGTGCTCCAGTTGCCGCAATTCCCCTCTTCTGCGACACGCAATTCGTTGCTTGTCAGGTGGCAAGCAAGAAAGAGATCTACTAGTGGGAAAGCCAAGCTGCCACCGAAACTTCATACACATACATGTACAGTGTAGGCCGTACCAATATTCTACACGCACTTGTGACGAGCTGACAATGTTCGATCTTGGTGTCTCCGGACGCCTCTGTTTAGCATTACTTAGACGCTCCCCTTGCGCCCATTATGCTTTAACGTCACCATGTACATACATAGCATGAGGTATTCAGTGGTTAGGGAGTCTTGGAGTTCTGGAAAAGCCTCAGATTGAGCGGGGAAAAGCTCTTGGTGTAGCAGGGACTGATCCTACTCTTTACATGTAAGTAAGCTTCTCCAGGGCTGTTCGTCTATCTACTTAGTATGTAATTAGTATATGTTATCGTACGGTAGACTACTGTAATGCACACTACGGAGCTGGAACCTGAGACGATATATGTACGATGATTCGTGATGGAAACTTTCGGTTAAGGAATGAGTGCCGAGCCTATATGACTTAGTAACTGGAAATCTACAAACTAGGGCAAAAGAGGATCTGGTGATTCTCGATGCTAGAGGAGCCGTACGGTCCCCTTCTAAATTGTGTTCGATGCATAGAATTTTCGCCGCAGACGAACTTATACCGGTACCTGTATTCGCAGGCTAGATCCTTCCCGGGACATTTTAGTGCTGGGCGGCGACGGCACAATTCCCCGGCGGCCCAACAGCGGCGGTATATTTACTAAATCTGCATTGACAGGAATTATGGAAGCTGGCGTCCGGCAAATTCAGTACTGGGATGATTGGCAACCGGGGCCTTGTCGTCAGGTGGGTTGGCTCGGGTTGGCTCGTCTCCTCTCACGATCCCTGTCCCTAGACCACGGAGTCCCGTTTCAGTAGAGGAAAGGCCCGTGTCAATCTTACCCGTCCGGGGAAGTCGATTTAAAAAACGGTCGGTTGGTCCGTTCAGTTAACCTCTACCAACACCGCTAGGCAAAGCCGTCTCTCCACTTAGTTTGATTGCCATCCTCCCCTTGTAGTGCGTACTTGGGATAGTTGCGAACTCGTACATACCGTACGTAAGTAAGTACGGTAGCGTAAGTATACCTCAAGAAGGCTCACTTGTGACACAGAAGATGTGTTATGGGCCACAGCACCATTGGTCTAAACTACCTTGCAATGCCTAGTGAATATATATGGTATTATTATTGTATATGCAACCATATAGGCATGCATTTAGAGTTATTTACACTACCCAAGTACACTAGTTACACATTTGATACAGTTACGGTAGCTATGCACTGATATGCCAGTAGAGTGTCGACTACACAAGATCAGATTGTTTGAAGCTTCAACCTAGCATACGTGTTAGGGTCCAGCGCCCGTCCGCTTTAATATATGCGCATAGAGCATACTGTAAGGAGCTGAAGATGGATATTCGTACCGAGAATACTAGTATGTGTGGAAGCGTCGCTTAAATAGAGGCTTGACTAAGTGTATGCAAGTAGATGGGAATCAACATACTTAGATCAATTAAGCCAAGATAGATACAGGAGAGCGATCAGACTGTGTGGGGGCTCAGGTTGCGTACAGATGCTGCACGGCCTTTGGCATCATCGGCTTCAACAACCCCTGGCTCGCCTGGGTTCATGAAGAATCCTTGCAACCAGAACTTTACACTAGCGCCCATAGTTATGCGTATGTGTAGGTATACTTAGTAAGTAACATACGCTATACTACAATTGTCAACTATACTCTACACTACTATACTTCGTGGTGGGTTCGAGGAAGCAGATCCCAGCCAGCAAAGGTTAAGAACCCCCAGTGTGTATTTGCTCTTCACTTTAGCGTCTTGGTTGAGTGCATAACGGGGATTTGGCATAAAGCCTTGGGACGGAAAGACCACAATATATTTCTTGGTCCCTCCCTCCCCTGTGGAGGACTGGGTCCTGATCTGTTGCGGGTTCTACTCTTTTAATGTCCAAGATCTCGCTGTTCGTGGCAGAAATCGTTCTAACGCAGGAGCCACATCGATGACCTGTTCACCCCAGCAAGGATATCCAACGAGGACGACCGACTAGCAACAATGGGATCATATTTCGGAGTCGTGCTGAATGCCGCCAATTGGTCGTTGACAGCCCTGGCGGCTGTATTCTTGAGTTTGAGACTATACTGCAAGCTCAGCCGAAGTCGAGGTCTTTGGTGGGATGACTATATCTTGATAGGATCATTTGTAGGTTGACGGCGAACCTTGTACTCAGTGGCACGTTCATCGCGGCTAATCGTGTCACTCTTACCACACCAGGTCACTCTGCTCATTGGTGTCGCCTTCATCACAAGCAGTATTATGCTCGGATTTGCCAACCCGGACGTAACCCCTTCGCCAGCAGCTGCAAGGCAATTGCAAATTCACGGAGGCGTTCAAAACGTCCTGTTCTCTCTGGCGAGCGATTTCAGCAAAACTTCGTTTGGGTTTACACTTATTCGAGTGACTGAAGGACGTATGAAACAGCTCGTCATACTTTTGATCATCCTCTTGAACATCGTCTATTTCTTCACAATTATCTTTACATTCTTCAAATGTTCGCCAGCCATATATTCGTGGCTTCCAAAGGAAACCTGTTGGGATATCTGGAAATATGTCAAATTTGCGATCTTCGGCGGTTGTATGTGTATCAGGATGAGAATTAGATTTTTCAACATCGCTGACCCCTACATACAGCCTTCTCCGCCGCAGTCGATTTCGCCTTCGCCCTTGTTCCATGGTTCCTTGTCAGGAATTTGAATATGAAAAAGACTGAGAAGCTTGGCGTGGCCATCGCTATGAGTTTTGGTACCATGTAAGAGTTTCTTTGCTCACTACTATTGTAATCGCATCCTTGCAGGAGTTGCTAATCACAATGCAGAGCTGGCATTACCGCCCTGATCAGAACTATATTCCTACCCTCCCTAGCGTCTAGCACCTTTTCGAGTAAGTCGGCTAAAGCATGCCTCTTGTGTGTCTGGATGGCCAATTTGCTGACTGCCCCTAAGCCAAAGCAACAACCCTTGTTATCTGGTATGTGGCTGAGCCCGCTACGACGATTATCGCCGCTTCAATTCCTGTCTTGCGTGCTCTTATCAAAGAACTCCACACGTCGGGGGCCAAGTACTTCAGCGGAGAGAAATATGGTTCGGGACGCCCAGATGCGTCCGGGGCGAAGGCTTCCAAGGGAGCATCAAAGCGAGGAGAGTCAGCGCTTCACACCAGCAGGGTGATGACAACAGTTACCGGTCGTGGCACAAAATATCCCTACGACCCACACGGAGATACGGGCAGCGACAAGAGCATTCTCGAGGCTACGACAGAGCCAGGCAAGATCATGCAAACTCAAGAGATCCGCTTAAGTTACCACGACAGAAGCGACAATGACAGCATGGGCTACGAAATGGACGTTATGGGTCGACGATCAACTTAAGACATGCATGCTACTTGACGAGAAAGATGATTAAAAGAATCCAAAAAATTCGAGCGGATTAGGCGCAACCGACTTCATAAAGAACGATCTCGTGCCCACGAAACATGGCAACGGGCATATGACGACGTTAAAATTAATTTTTAGAATACCATCTTGTATATATAGATATTTACGGCCGGCGCTATGTGTATGGAAGGGAACATTGGTTTACCACCATGGCCCAGTTCATGTTGACTATCCCAAATTAGATACCCGGAATCGATAATTTTGCCAACAACCTCCTAATCCTCCCATCGCGCTCGATAGTTCCAGTACTTCTACATCGCTAAATCTATCATGACTTTCTTACATATCTTGGATTGCATCATGGGATAGCAGCCTCACCGGATATATTATCCATTCTTGGGCGATGATACAGCTAATACAGTATTATTGGGTAGATGTTGGGGATAACCTGACAGCGGAATGTCAAAGCGTCGATAGGTTTCAGCCATTTACAGGTGGAAGGTTAGTGCCATGTATGACTTCAAGCCTCGGTCAACCCTTACACTATGAAACTCGGAACCAACCGACAATACCATGTAGACACACAGACTATAACGCACAGGACTACGGTGGATACTCTTATTCAAAGTAGGATATCTGGGTGTCGAGTAATTTCCATTTCTACAGTCTTTCTCTCATGTTCATTGCTTAATCTCGCAAGGTACGCAAAGCGAGCATAGTGAAGATCTTCGTGATGGCTACCTATTCTAGCAAATGATGCTATGGCCTAACATATTTCTAGACTAGTATAATAGACCTAGTTCCCGAATGAATGGAAAAGAATTCTCTCTTCTGCGTGTTGCCTCCCCAAACGTGCATTAGAGCAGGGGCGATGTCGTGTAGAAAATGCCCCGGCTGGGTGGCCAACAAAACCCCCTTTCTCAAACTGTAATACTCCCAGACCGTCACTGATATCTATCATCCTTGTGATATGAATTTTCCAAGAGTGTGTACGGATATTTTGACACAAAATCCGCGACTAGTCTCGTTGAAAGCGACTTCTGAACAAGGTTTCTGGTGACCCTCTACACTACAATTAGCGACTTGCCTAGCTACCCGAGCCGACTGAGTACCGAAAGAGGGGATTTCCCGTAGTCGCTGCTGCTGCTCGCTTGGCTTACTACCTAGTAGTAGCTCTCATTTCTCCGAGTTGATGGGGCATACCAAGTGTCTAGGGGATTTCTCGGTCGATATCCCGCTGGTCCCCGTTTAGCCCAGGACATCCTATCTTAGTATTAGTAAATGAGCTAGACTGCCCGACGTTGCGTAGCAGATGTGTAGGTTTTATGGTTTTCTACTCGGGACCGGTGTTGACACCGCCTCACCCTAGTGTAGACGGTCTCGTCGATTCCGAAGTTAGTTGGTTGCCTACCTCGCCTACGTCCTGGCAGGACCCGGCTCGCCTGGCTCGTCTGGGTAGCTACTCGGCACTAACATCCCACAGATGCGCTGCAATGCACTTTATCTACCTAGTGCTGTCGATCCAGAGATGATATGAGCTGAGCAGAAACTGAGTTCGCGTCTAGTGCATCTAGCGTCAGCGCTACAATAGCTTACCGTAACTCCGCCCTTGTCCACTTGCCTGGTTTGGTCATTGTTGATTGGGATCACACTGAACTGCACTATGACTGGTTGACTGCACAGACCTGGTTAGAGCGGGCCCTGTGGGAAAAAGAAACAGAAAATTCACGCCCGGATGCCACAAGACTCGGGTTTGCGTATTGAAGCCAGAATACTAGCAGCCTGTTTTTGCGCGAAGTCTGTTAAAAAATTCCGTGTGGCAGATCTAAATATCATATTCAAGTCTCACTGTTACGGATTACGAAATAAAAACCCTAAACGTTCAATATCTACTCTGCACTAAGCATTAGACATGAGATGACAGATACCCTCATCGGCAAAGAACTTGTCCGCTTCCTGCTTCTCAGCCAGGTACCTAGTGTACTTTTTCTCTCTCTAAGACGTATAGAATTATATACACTAAGATTGGCAATATGATACGCCGGGCGCCCTTTAATCAACACCTTCTGACCCATTCCATGAGAAAGTGACAACCTGACTATCTGATACATGCCTCACATATGGAGTCTCACTTGGGCAAGCTCCGTCGTACTTGATCAAAAACTCAAGTGCTGGACAGATGTTGTTTTGTTAGTATAGGGGAAAAAAATTCAAGATAGTTAGGTAGAGGTTGTGGTGGAACCCGAATTGCTTTACGTTAGTCCAGCTCATATTCCCTGGCGTCTTCTTGGTGCAGTAGCTGAAGTAACTCTTACTACGTAGTGCAGTCATGAAAGGAGGTAGTGGAGGTTTAAGGGTATCATCGATTTCACATCAGTTACTAGACAGATTAGGAAGCTGTGCCAAACAATCCATGATATCATCTGCGTATCAAGCAAAAGAAAGTCTCTAGACATGTAACTCTGAATGCTTGCCACGTGTGATGCCTATTGCATACCCAGCCTACCAGAGACTTACTCCTATGGTTCTTTCTGGGGCACGAGGCGTCTCTGATGAAGGTTAGGGTAATATTGAAACAAAGCCACTCTTCGTTGTCATAGAATAACGGCTTCGGATACACATGCCGTAGTACTAGTGTATATCTAGTAGGTGAGAATACATATAGACTACGCGCAGGATTGTTACAACATCTACAGAGTACATGTATATATATAGTAGCCTTACTAGATACGTTTTGGCAAGGACACTGAGGATATTTTTTTCAATTGAAGCTAATGGCAGTAATTAAGAGACTGTCGTAGAGTTTAGTAAGTATGTAATGTGTTTTATGCATAATACAGAGGCTAAAGAATACTCAGTATATATGTGGGGGAAAGAAGGCAGGATTCCGTAGCTCAAACTATCACACTCTCGGGGATGAACTATGTGGTTCTACTAAGTAGGATTAAGCCAAAGCATCAGGTCTAGTCCCGAATCGTTGCGCTGAGCTTGATACTCTGGAATTGGTAATATAGTACTGGAGAAAGTGCTTTGAGGTATTGCGCCTTAGTAAAGACATTGGAAACATCTCGTGTTCACGAATTAGTCGTTTTAGAAGTAGCTACAAGCTTATATAAAAGAGTAAAAAAGGCCATATTACCATATACATAGGGCGTTACCAGCCACAAACTGCGGAAACGCCTGCGAGCGCCATGTACTAGCTGTAGTGTACACCTCGGCGTAGTTCACATAATGGCATAAACTGACAGCTTGTGTAACGGGGCATCTCAAACCAAAAGGTGTTGCGGCTGCTTGGGTAGCAAACCCCGAGAATTAAAGAATATGCGGCTCGGTGTACAAAATGTAAGCCATGGATGAAGTACGGTCTCGCTTATCAATTCTCGGTGTCTCCCTCCAATTGAAACGCGGAAACCGTCTCGCTAAAGCAACTGTTCTGTATATAGACCGGTATTACTATCATATTGACAGGGAGAATCAAACAGGCCAAGACCACTCACGGACCTTTGTTATCATCAAAAAACTAGTATACTGCTAGTTCGGCTATCCTTCCCCGGACTTGTATCAGATTCCTTGTTATACTCCCCGTTATTAAATGCGTTTCCTCTGTAAAATCCTGGTCAATTCACTGTTCCAAGTGACACTTTTGACACTGCTCGCTGCATATTTCTACTTAGGTAGATATAGTTCGTGACTAAGGCGCTAATGACGTGAATGGTATGTTACTTACTATGAAGTGTGCTTGTTTCAGGCGTTGTTACTAAGGTGTATCGTCCCATTACTTGAACATACTAACCACATTAATCACTTTCGGTGTGGCAGGACCTCCTTCACCAACCTGAGCCCTTGACACGTTACATAGAGTCCCCAGCTCGCCAGTTACCTGGGCTTGCCCGGTAATGACTCTTCTATCAAGTATAATCTGTCCTAGCTGATGTCATGTGACTTCAAGTACCTCCCCTCTACAGTGATTGTAGTGGTAGCTTGACATGTGTATTCTATGTTTATGTGTATCTAAACAAGCTACACCTGAGAATGAAGGGTTCAGGTATGCAGACCTGGAACCAAGTGTAAGCAAATCAACACTCCGCTACGACAAGGAGCGTCAGATTCTCAAATCTTAGTCTTTGTATGAAGAGTACTTAGAGTCAGACTTGGTGATAGAGAAGCGTTTTTCATGACGCCTACTAGTTAAGGGGAATCTGTCTGAGCCATGCAAAGGGATCAACAATTGATTGTCTGATCTCGGTTGCCTGCCTAACCTTTTCTTCAGCGAATAATGTATTTTATTGAACTTAGACATACTAGTAAAGAAGTTCTCAGCTAACAACCTCTAAAAGAACCTAAGCGAGTTCTCACTAGGATTTCATGCACTGTAATAAAAATATCAAGACCACGGCTTTTTGTTCTGGTAGGAGAGACGGTTACAGAGATATACTATCAAGAAGCCCAAGAACGTTGAGGATATGTCCATACGATAGAGGGTCAATCTCTTAAGTTTGTTAATTAATGCTATGAGTCATAGATGAGGTAGCGTCAAATATGGGTGCAATATTTACCACCCAAGCCCTCTTGTTCAGTTACTTTATTATTATTCGACCTACACAATAGAACAAAGTAAGTGCATGACCCTAACCAGTTCTTTTCGCCCATACCACTACATTGCGGCTCGTCTCATCCCGGCTGCAACGTGTTTTCACCGGATAACCTTTCCCACGTCCAGGCTACCGTGATGCGACGTGATAGCTATAGTGGCTTGCGTGAGGGACTGGTCTGAGCATGGGCTGGCTTTCTTGGGCCCTCAACGACGAAATCGATGGTTATATCTCTGTCTATACTCTTAGCTATGATCTCGTAGTTTCAGAAGTCTTGTAAATCGCCTTGAATATTTCATAGCACAGGCCTGTATTTCCAGTTGGTTCTATCAGAGAACTGCAACAAGGATATGCAACTCTCGCGCCGGCCACTCACAACCAGTGATGAAGACGATTTAATTGCTTATGCTGTTGTTATTGTCCTTGCCTATGAACGAACCAACGTGTGCATAAAAGAGCTGCTCAACCTACATCGATGCTAATTCTACTCTACGTATCGATCCATGGCACTTGAGCATATACGCATTTTCTAGGTAATTTGCTTAGAAGGAGACTCGTTAGTCTGGCCTGAGCACACGAGTCGCACCGAACAGAGTATCAAAGCCCGGCTGCGGCGGTCTACGTCGCCTTTCACCAGGTATGGTTCAAACGGACCATGAAGCTTAGATGTGTAATGCCGAGGATCGCACTCAGATAGGCAGTTCATGACCCAAATGCGCCCTCTTCCGAGGCTGTATGAAATATAATACCCGTGGTCAGTAGGCAGAGATATGGCAATATCAGCCAGCCCAGTACGTGGGGGGTGAGGCAGGACTCACTCGCTTTCACGCAGTGCAACCATTATCACGGTGGTGTTTCTACGTGCCAGCCCCTCATTTCCGCTTTGCAGAATGCAGTGTATCCTGACACATGAAGTAGATAAGCATGGCAATGACCACACCACGCAACCACTGAAGCAAATCAATTCAGCCTCGACGATAATATGGAATATTCTATGGCTACGTCTTTGTGGTGCGTACTTAGCCCGAGTACCGGCATTCCACTGATAACGCCACCTGCTGAGATCGCCTATCAGTTTCACTCACCTAACTGGTCGGAATGGGACGTGTACGCCACTAGATGGTCAACCTACGCTGCTCCCAGCTTTGACTACGTGTTTCTACCCGAGACTGAGAGAGACCTGTCTATAGGGGTAGGTGTATGCTTTGTCAAGAGTGTTATGCAAAGAGTCAGCGGGAGTGAAAAGCGTCAAAGCTTACAAGTGATGTAGCTCGAATATCTATCGGCCAACTGCATACCGTTGCTCGTCCAAGGCGGTGGGCACGGGTATTCGCCCTCTCTAGGAACCAAAAGGGATGTTGTCCAAGTAAACCTGGATCGCTTTGATAATATCGAGATTCACTCGGATGGGACCGTCAGCGTTGGAGGGAGCGTGAGGTTTGAAGACCTGGTCACAAGTCTATACAAAGCAGGCAGAGTAATGAGTGAGCTGAACCCCAACGCTGAATGGCCGCCGGTTAGATCGCAGTTGACTGACCGCCTGCGCAACCTAGCTGTCGGCTCTTGTCCATGTGTTGGATCTACTGGCGCGATGCTGGGCGGCGGCGTTGGACGCCTGCAGGGAAAGTATGGCCTGACCAGCGACGTAGTGCAGAAGTTCAGAATCTTACTCTGGAACGGGACTGTAGTCGAGGCTTCGGACTCCGTCAACTCGAATCTTTTCTGGGGAATGCAGGGCGCTGGGCACAACTTTGGCATCGTGACCGAAACAATATACAGAACCTGGCTACAGGAAAATAGCGGAACACATTATAGTGCCGACCAGTACTTCACGGACGACTCGTTGCATGGTGTTTTACAGAGACTCAACACCATCATTGCCAACCAGGACCCGGGACTAGGTATGATACTAGCATTTTATACGGATGCTTCCACCTTACAGGCAAGTCCGACCCCCTATCTAGCCTAACATAAAAAAGAAACATAGTATAGTTTCCTAACACTCAGGGATCAAGACTGGCTTTAGTCTTAGCATAGTATACCAAGGCGGAACCGAATCTGGGCGCCTTTATGCCGATATATTTGCCTCCACTCCAGCCAACGCCAGTCACCATCCAATGAACCGGGTCTTCATCAATGAGACCGTCGTGCCCTGGAGTCAGCTCGACTTCGTCGCCTCGAACGGAACCATTGCCACGGCTTGCAACAAAGGCTTGAAGCAGAACGCCTACAGCGCAAGCCTCCGAGCCTTTGACCCATCCACCTTTGTGGAGCTATACGCCGCGTACCGCTCGTTCATCGCCGCAAACCCGACAGCTTCCTTATCCTATATGGTGTTCGAAGTCTTCGGGCAACAGGCCGTGAATAGTCGAGTATCAGAGTTAGCAGCATTCCCCCACCGCGGCAAGATCAATGTGCTCGCATTACTCGTGATGGTCTACCAAGATGATGCGGTGGCGGAAGTGAGCGACAAATTTGGCAGGACCTGGCGTGACGTGCTCCTTCAACCAGAGATCTCGGGCTATGGGCGGCCAGTCGTGTACCAAAACTACGCGCACGGTGACGAGCCGTTGGCCGCCGTTTACGGGTACGAGGTGTGGCGGCAGGAGAAGCTTACCGCGCTGAAGAGGAAGTTTGACCCGCATGAGGTGTTCAGTGGGTATCATGGCATTCCGGTGGAACTGAGCGGTTGGGCGTAACTATATCGTTAAAAAATCCTTTTTCAATCACTAGGGTTGATGCTTTCAGGTTTGAACAGTTCTCTCGGCCAGTCGTACTAGTAGGTCTTTCATTCACTGCCATTTTCATCTTTTCCACCATCGAGAAATTCGTATCACTGAGAAAATGCCATGGCCCCCATGACATCAAAGGCGAAGTTTTGGATCCAGTCGCCAAGATCACACGTAGCTCTCACATCTGTCATCAAGCTGCTTTTTCAACTAAGGCAAGATGTCGTCTACCATTGGTTCATACTTTGCGATGCTAGACTGCGAGAATAGGGGTACAATGGGGTTCTTGATGCTTTTCAACGTGTCTTCGTCTTGCGTGTTGAAGACAAGTTTAACTGCATCCCCTTTGTGCGAGTAGGCTCGTAATGCTGTATAGAAGTTGCACTGTGGGAAGTCAGTGGTATGTAGAAACTTTTAAGTCAATAGCACTGTAATTATCCATTGGACAGACCTTTGGAATGCCCGCTCTCATGCGGTAAATCATTGGGATTGCCCTTGGGCTGTTGACAGACACCATATTCGGGCCCAAAGGAACAACATCACTGTATTTTTTATGCATTCGCTGGAAGATTAGACGAGCGTGGCCTGATTTCACCCATACCACTCGCTGGAAGTTCGATCTCAGATCGAGGCGGTCAGCATCCTCGCGCACGCCAAGGAGGACAAGTACAGGACGCCAAAATTTTTGGTGCACCTATATAAAGACAATTTGATTCCATGGCAACAAGCGCAGCGGACTCACGACGTGCTCCGAGAGGCCGGCGTCGATTGTGAGCTGCGGCTGATTGAGGATGTTGGGCACTTGTTTGATCTGCGACGCGCCTACTAGAGGCACCAAGCAGCGAGAGACGGTGTCAGAGATGGCTATGAATTCCTTCGCAGGTATATTTAACCCTTTGAGAGACTTAATGATCAAATATCTGGTACCCCATCCAGGCCTGAATAGAATGGTCAGTTCATCTTAGTAATATAGCGTGTTAGCTCAATGGTCTGTGCACACGCATCCTACTTGAAGTCTCCTCGATATCTGGAGGGCATCAACAGGCAGAGCAATCAACGAACCTACATGATATTGCGGGGTCGATGGCACGAGGGGTAGAAGCTGGTCTATACCTGGGGCCGATCATATATGACGATACATTAAGAAAGGAATGCCATGAATGGTAGTGGATAGTTACCATGAGGTTCGATGCATATCATCAGTACACTTAGAACTATGCCGTGTAGCGTGGAACATGGTCAATATATGATATCAGCTGAATGGTTGATCGTCGGAAGTAAGCCGTGATGGTTGGGCACATATGACATGAAGGGTCGAGATATGAGCAACGGAAACCAGTTTCAACTGCTTACGTAAAGTCGGGCGCTAGTCCTCCATACAGCGATACCGGTAGACCAATACTCGAGTCGACATGGGTAGCTTTCCATGCTACCGACTTACTTACAATAGTTGGCGTGGTATGGTGTCTTGTGGTGTGGTGTGATGCGATGTGGTGAGAAGGTTGAAAGGTCCATGACGTGAAGTGTTGCACTGCGTCCTGGCTGCGTCATAAACCTTCAGCCGCAACAGTGGACGATCCTCAGCGAACGCACCCTAAAAGATCGTCACGGTCAAGGTCCATAGCAATCGCACAGCGCCATCAAATGCAGAGTGATTGGCGTCTTTATATCACGATTTACGGTGCTGCCAAAACGACGGCTCCAACGATAACGCGATCAGTAGTGATAAGCAAATAACATCATCTGGTGATCGATCTTTGGCTAATGGCTAATGGCTGAAGGACCGGTCCCCATCATCGCACAGCTATTTCTTGCTTGCGATAGGCACATATAAGTAAGTAATCGTCAGGTGGGGGAGGAGGAGGTAGGTATAGTGCATACAGTAGTCACCGATCTTAAGTAAGCTTCAATGATGTGTGTGGTGTGAGCGGGAATGCATGCAACTGCGCGGTGGTGTGTTGTAACAGAATCTATCCTACCTACATGTACCTAGATACCTAGATAAGTAGAAGAAGGATACTCATTGAACTCGTCGATCATCCTGTGGCCGTCTCAAATTTTCCGAATCAATTTCTATTGCAATGACAAAAATAGACGACAGGAAGTGAGGCCACAATGGTTGGCCGACTGGCAGGGCAGAACTGGCGGTAAAGACGCTGAGGGGAATATCTCGCCGCGCTAACTAAGCGCCATTCACATACATTACAGAGGTTACTGTATTTCGTTGTAGAGCCCCGAGAGCCCTTGATAGCATCTGGTAGTATCCCTACCTGGGACTGCTAGGGAGTTCCGCAATTCGACGGCAACAAGTCAATCATTGGCTACGAAAGCCACTTACGCCATCCATCCCATCCATCTCCCAACTGTATACTACTATGTAAGTAAGTAGCACGCAACGGACACAACAAGCTTGAACCCAGTGGGCCCCAAGACCCTTTTGGCAGGGAGGGTTTCGTCATGCTGCCGTGCGAGCGAATCGTTTCTAGACCCTCCTCGATCTTTTGATCTTTTCGGCGAGCCTCAAACCCCCATGCCGACTTTCCGAGGGTGCCGCGCGCAAACGGTCCTCTGGCTTAGCGCCCACACATCATGACATGGCTTACGATGCCACAGTTCTCGTCGCGCCTACGCCAATCGACCGAGTTCGCCGCGGGTCTGACGGGTGTCAAGTGCCCTCGCACAAACCCACCACACCCTACGCCGCTGAATTCCAAAACCCGACGCGAGGCGTACGGATAGCCCGGATGACGTACCGCCATGGGTGGGCAAGGCCCTTCAGTCCGTCGGGCTCGACCCTATATAGTTTCCTAAGGACGCAGCGCCAGTCTGTGCAATGGATGGGCCAGTGGGTTGTTCTTGAATCAGTCGTGTTTGGAATTTTCTACGTGAGCCGGCTCTCGCTCTTTCTTTTGCGTCTCGAAACTTCAATGAAACAGTAGCCCGTCTGAGGAGCCTCACTCTCTTCGCCAGCCTTGTCGTGTCGTGGTGTCCGTGGGCAGCAATAGCAGTACCCAACCAGCGACTTGAAAGAGTGAAAATTCTCGAATAATAGTGCTCGCTGCCAAAAACCTACGACACATTGTGTCCATTCATATTCGCTCTCCTGCCGCCCACTCTTCTAGTATACCACCAATACTATACACCATTATACATATCACCCGCGTCAAACCCGCATAACCGACAATGGGTGGCTTCGAGACTACCCTTATTACCGCAATTGTTGCGAGTGTGGTTTCTGTCCTCGCATTCCTCGGTCTCACTCTCGTCTTGGCCCTATACTGGTCAAATATTGCGCGCCGTATAGCACCCAACCACTTCGCTGAGCCCATGAGCGAGAAGGCATGGCCTTCGTCGAAGAGCTTCGACACTGGCTCGTCCGTCATTTCTTCACCGCTGCGGTCTACACCGTCGCCCCCATCTTCACCTAGGGCATCCAGGACAAGCAACGCTGAGGCCGTGATGCCGAAAGCCATCCTAAAGAATTAACTCTTCTTACGGGAGAACTTCATACTTATGTGGTTGTCTACCATGGATTTTAATATGATCGACCCACATAAGCCGATCAATTACAAGACGGCATATCGTGTACCACACTTAAGATACGACTTATGACCCGAGGTCTTTTTGCATGCTTGGTGTTCGGGGTTTCATCTTTTTTTGCATATTCAGCATTCAATTTTTGGGTCAACCATGTACAGGCGTTGGGGATATAGCATGGCTTGCATATACATGGTTTATAGATGCCCACGAGGGCCCGCATCTTCACGATAGAGAGGATAAGTTATGAGAGTATATTTGCAGGCGTGATCGTTGTCACGGTTCTGAAGCTCTCCAAAGATACCCAGGTCATTCCTTAGATGCGAGTGTGGATTAGACAGGCATCCTCAAGATAGGGATGCCCCAAGGCTTGACGGCCAGTGTTCACAATATGAAATCATAACACACGACTTTTATATTTCGCTTTCTTCGTGATCTCATCGTGAACCAGTTCAAAAACACCGCTAAGTTGATCATCTGGAATCCGATGCAGGGGTTTTCAATTCAGCATCGGGTGGTACATGCGAAATGGGGCAGGTTGCTCACTAACAACAAACGTTCACCAAAAAAAAAAAAAAAGATGAATTCTATATACTGAATCGCTTTGAAATGTACAATATTCTTCAAATACTGTTCTAGCGAGTATATAGCTTTTCCAGGAGAAAAGCCGTAAAGCGAACACGCCTCTAGTCTATGCCCACCCAATTGCAGCGCCTACCTATATAACTAATAACTAGGTAGGTAAGTTTACCCGGACAACATCTGTCGACAGCGTCTACGCGCCGAAGCCATGTTGTTCGCCTTACATTAACGACAAGAGTTCTTTATAATCGCATAAATGTGAGTGAAAGCGTGCGTAGGAGAGTTAATAACGCCCGGGCCAAAATATAGATAGGGCTAGAAGAGTCATCGAGGATCACGGCATGACGACTATTAATGCTGTTCGCAAACCGATCTGTTTGTGTCATCGTTCATTTGAGTCGACTTAATTTTAGTAAATGTTGAAGACCAACTTCTAGCGCACCTTTATATAGTTACTATTATGCGGCATGATTCAGGTCATCAAAATCTACCCCAAACCGTGGCACGTATGATCACTGCACGTAGGTATGTTACAACACATCACATAAAGAATTTCACTGAGTAATCAGCCGAGTAAAAGTGATTACTAATGCGCAGTAACGATGCCATGTTCCCATAAGATTATGATATTCTTCATTGCTAAGACACCTTAATTCAACTTAAGTATTCTGCAATTTCTCGTCATGATTCTCATCGCTTGTCCTTTCACAAAGGTTATCCTAACAATGACAGCCATCCCCAAAACATAATGACCCGTGCCTTCCAAACTATACATTATAATACACGAATAGACTGGTCAAATCGCAGTCTTTATTCATACCATCCCATGAGAGGCCGGTGACTAGCTAGCTAGCTAGCTAGCTTACAATAATATCGCCGCACCGAGAACTCCAGCAGCAGCGGCCGCAGCGCCTCCCAGGGCAGCAGTCGGGACGGCCGCGGCACCAGTGGGCACAGGCACAGTAGAAGTCTGGCCATCATCGCCGGTAGTAGTGACAACACCGCCACCACCACCCTCCGACGCAGTAGGCGTAGGCGAAGCAGTAGTGTCAGTACCAGTGCCAGTGCTGCTGTCGGTGCCCGTGCTCGAGCCCGAGGTAGCCGTGCAGAGCGGGCCGGTGTGCGTCGCGATCGAGTTCACGAAAGACGTGTAGCTGTCGCCTTCGGAGCCCGTCGCCACGCACGAGGTGATGACTTCGTCGATGGCGGAGGATGACACGCTGACATAGCTTATGAGGCTCGTGGCGTAGTCGTCGAACTGGCTCTGCAGTGACGAGGGGAGCTGCTGCGAGAAGTCGCACGCCTGCGACAGCAGCTGGTTCGGGTCGCCCGCCAGGCCGCCAATGCCGCCTGAGGGCGTGGCGGTCGCGGCAGTCACGCTGCTCGCGGCGCTGCTGGCGTAGCTTGTGATGGCTTGGGCGAGATCACTGCCGGGCGTCGGGGCGTCGGCGAGCAGGCGGGCGTAGGACACCGTGCACTCGGCGCCGGCACTGCCTGTGGAGGTAGAGTCGCTAGTTCCCGTGGATGAAGAAGAATCATCTTGGGCGAATGATGTGCCCGCCAGGGCAGCCACGGAAAGTAAGAATCTCTTGTCGTACAGCATTTTGATAGTTATAAGTTGCAATATTAAGTTTATGTTGGCTAATAGCTGCAATATTGGTGAGTGAACTAGTTTGTCATGTCAGTGAGGGAGATAATCCGGGGCGAAAGATCTATGTATATATAGAGAGGAGAAACATTTTGCTACTAGGATCTCTAACGTCGGTAAATACCCCATAGGACCTTGATGATTCAAAGAAGGCAAACACTGATAATCCTCATGGTAACGTCTCGTTGGTTAGCGAGTTGGCTCAGCCCCGATCCCATCCATCATCGTCGTCGTCAGTACAGTATGCCTTGAACTGTGCCGAGCAAAGCACTCCCCGATCCTTGGTTGGCGGGCCTCTGATTCGTCCTCATTGCCCGTTTAACGTGAAACTAGCGAGGCTTGACGGGTAGTCGTACGAAATTCTGACGTTGAAAGGTACTTGACTTCTGGTTGAGACTACACCACATTCGCTGACTGGTTGCGGCAATTGAGACTCCCCTGGGACAAAAGGGCCAGAGAAAAATCTTCGTTCGTTTATTGATATCTATTCTCCTGGAACGTCACCACTTCTCTACCTCTCAGAAGCTTACGAGTGAAAGTGAGATAACCTAGTTGTGATCGCTCGACAGAAGCCAAAGTGCCTGCGTAGGTGGATAGTCCATAGGCGCCCTTCCCAAAAGATGCTTTCCACCACGAGGCAAAGCTCAATTAGTCGCAACATGCGACCAAATAAGGCAACTCAACGCCTTTGACATCGCATCTCATCGCATTATGATAGTCGGATAGTCGGCAAATCAGACAGAGTAGTTTGCTTGTACGTTCCTCAGCCTGCTTGGCAGGCACTGTGAGCGTCTCAAGGTCGAAGCTAAGCCAGCCGCCACCTCTGTCTGACTGGCGGGACACAATGACGTCAACCATTCTGTCTGCCCCAGCGCAAAACACAGCATAACGAACCATCAACCATCCACCATTCCCTTAAATCGATATATCAATCGATGGGATCATCATACCGACTGCCTTACACAGCCCGTAGCTGACGACTTCCCCATACATATTAGGTAACGAGAAATACCTGACTGTGTAAATCTAGTCTACAGCCCGGATAACAACCCGGGCAGCTCTGCCTCGCCCAGGCACTGCCCAGGACAGATGTGTTCTATCTAGTGCCGAATTGCCGTTGCTCGTCTGGGGAAGCTTCAACAACTTGACGTATTTTCTGGGGAGCGTACGTGTCTAGCGTTCTGTTTTCACTCCTGAGGACCTACAGTGGGTATGGCAGGGAGGTATCTCACAGGCTGCCGCTTATGTGGCACGGCATCATCGCGTCATTCAGGAAGCTATCAATAGCACCAACACTCGAGTGTGTGGATCTTCAAGTGGCACCTCAGCAAGTCTAGCGGCACAAGATGGCTGCGTACAAGATTTCTGACGGTGCTGAGAGCAGTACTCAGCTGTGTGGTAGGGGAAATAGGAAGTCTTTGTCCAAACTCGGCTCTCTTGGTATCTTGAATGTCGCCAATGCAAATACATGTGGTTTCTGATAGCCTAGAGGGTAGTGGTAAGTAATTGTGTGAACTCCAATCTAACAGCAGAATATGCATATAAAATATTAACCATGTCACAAACCTTCAGACTAGAGTAGCCATATATCACGCAGTCGCAAATAGTTCATGATAATAATAAGTATACACACCCCTTGTATTCAGCCAGCCTATTACAATGCTGTAGGTTGATTTCATCCATCACCTACCAACCCAAACCTATTGACCTATGTGCGCTTTTCGCGTAATCCCTCTTTTGTGTTCATCCTGCTTCACCATTCTCCAATATAGGTACATATAAATAAAGTACTAAGTACTAAGTGTAAAACATTAGGCACATAAAAGTTTTCCCCATGCCGTGATAAAAGACAATATACAAGTATGGCGATAGAGTACGATTGGGCATGCTGGTATGCCAAGGCCGGGTATTATTCCAGAGACAGTGCTTATCATCGTGAGCCAAGAGAAAACGATGCCGCTGTCCAACGCTGGTAAATGCTCAATCAAACATATAAGTAATGCGCCGTCCATGATGATTTAGGTTCTTCGTGAATTTATTATGACTGAAGACTCTTGAATCGTTCTTCGAAGGATTTAATTTTCTCCGTCTTCAGCTCCCTCTCCAATTTTCGTGTCTGGTTTATAGCAGCTTCACGCTCCTCCTGTAACTGGAGGACCTCGATTTGCGCTGTGTTCATGCGTCCGACCACTTGCTGCATCTCCACGTCGGCATCCATGAGCGCATTCTCTAGCTCTGCCACACGTGCTTTGAGGTTGTCGATCTGAGTTTCTTCGGAGACATTCATGGCTGGCCCAGAACGCGTAATGCTGAGACGAGGCGATAATGCACCCGGAGCCGAGAATAAAGGTGATAGTGGAGATTTATCGGGAAAAATGCGCGGTGAGCGTAGACCATCACGAAGCCTCGTAAGCTGTACGTTATGGCTTTCTTTGAGGTTTGATATCTCTTCCTCATGATGGGCAACTCGATCTTCCGATGCCGCTTGTGCTGCTTCTAGTTTCTCTTCCAGAGACCGCAAATGCGCTTGCATAGTCGTGATCCGCTCCGCGTTAGCCTTCTGATCAGCGTCACCTCTTGCTATAGTATCAGCAATCCGTGAGCGTAGTTGCTGGTTGGTCGAAAGTTGCTGTTGAACTTGGATAGCTAGCTCTTCTACACGACGCGCTGATTCCTGGAGCTCATTCGCCAGAGCTTTCTCCGAAGTGAGATGGGCAAGCTCTTCGGCTTTGAGCGAGGCAAGCCGTTCCTTGTACGATGTTACTTCATGCTGAGCAAGGTCACGCTCTGAAACAGCTACTGACAAAGCTTTCTCTAGCTTTTGCATGGCCGCCAAAGTCTTCTCATCGCCCATAGCACCCATTTCTAGGCTTTTGACCCGCTCAAGTGACTCCGCATGGGTCTTCTGGAGATCATGATATGCGGCCAGGAGAGATTCCGAAGTGACTGGTGTGGCAAACTGATCGCTACCGCTACTCAAACGCGCAAATGTTGGAGGGATAAGGATATCCTTCTCTTCGAGAAGTTTACGGAGGTAGGCTACCTCTTGTTCTGCCTTATCAAGATCCATTTTTAGACCAGCTAGACCTTTCTCGACTTGCCATTTCTGATCCAAAGCCTCTTCGGCTCTTCGGCGCAACACAGTGATCTCAGCTCGGAGTTTACCAATGTCTCTCTGAAATCCAGCTTTCTGTGGCGAGGAAGTCAGAAGTCTATCGCGCTCCATCTCAAGAACCCGAATCTTCTTCTGGTTCTCACGGTTTTGGTGTTCCTGTCTCTCAAGTAGATTCTTGAGTGCTCGGTGTAGTGCGTCACGTTGTTCTTCAACATCCTTCAAGCGTTCTGAAAGCTGATCACGAGACTCTGTAGATTTAACTGTCTTGGATCTAAAGATACCAGAGGGTGGTCGTTGGAGCTTGAAGGATGCACGTGAGCCACCGACAGAATTAGAACGAGAAAGTGGCGCACTTGTAGTTCCACCTTCTTCGGATATGCTTTCCATTTGCACCTGTTTCAAATTTGAGTTTTCGCTTCTCAGGTTATTAAGCTCCTGTTGCATCTTAGTAGATTCATAAGTCATTTTCTCGAGCTCAGAAGCCTGGCTCTCGAGACCCTCGACACGGGCTCGAAGCTGTGGAACAATCTCGTCCCGCAAATTATCTCGCTCGTCAGCAGCATCCCGAAGCTCTCCCTTAAGTGCCGAAAACATGTCCTCGATGTTATCTTTGGCTTGCCGTTCTTCAGAAAGCTTTCGTCGCAGATTTTCACAGGTCGCCTCCAGCTCCTTGACGCGATCACCAGCGTCTGTACCGTTCACCGCATCCAGGTCAATTTGTGATGCCTTACTTGACAAGTCCCTGATTTGTTCGTCCATTTTCTGTCGTTTTAGCCTCTCATCTTGCAATTTAGTCGTCAGCTCTAGTCTGAGCTGCGCCTTTTCTTGCTCTGACCTCCGCTGTATCTTCTCAATCTCCTCTCTCGATTGGTCATATTCGCTAAACTTAGCCGAACTGTAGCCTGAGTCAGAGAAGTAGTCACTAGTCCTCTTATTTCCAGTCACTGTCGGATTATCCTTTTCTGCTTGTAACCTGTCTACCAGGTCTTCCAAATCTATCTCGCGCCGAATGGATGCCGCCAACTCGGCCGAGATGGCCTTCAACTCGTCTTCCATTTCGTCGATTTGTGTGGAATCCGGTGATACAGCTGAAGGGGTAACCAGGTACGATTCGCAATACTCCCGTGAATCAGGGGAATCGGCTTGAACCTTGCTGGCGTCAAATGATGAATGTGGACCAAGTGTGGTGATTGGTGATGCATCTGGCTGGCTACCCGATCTTGAGAAGTTGAAGGGTGAAGGAAGCGGTGAGTAGGCTTTCTCTGAGGCTTCTGTAGTGGGTGATGATGCCCAGCCAAAGAAGGTGACGAGTCTGGAGTTGGGAGACTTGGGCAACGGTTTGTCCGTATTAGGAGTTTTGAGTTCGTTACTATTCGTTCGAATTAAGGACGCCTCGTCTGATTTGAGCGTCAACTGTTGTGGTATGGGCTTCCGTGATATGTGTAAAGACATATTATGATTAGGAGTAGTATTAGTAGTACGGGACGAATCAGAATTATAGCCGTCCAAGATGTTATCGCTGAGGGGGTCTTCGTCTTCGTCAGCCAATAGATCGTCGTACAGCGTCTGATCCTCCGTGTGTGACGGCGCTGTTTGAAGGGCTGCAGCGTGGCTGTCAGCGGATCCTTGGCGTTTGGCTCCAGCCGCGATAGCAGCCGAGTCGGTGTTCCCAGAAGTAGAAACAGAAGGGAGCTGATTTTCGGGAGATTTCCTGGTTAAAATCGCATAGATTAGCATGGCGCCATGATCCGGCTCCCAGGTCCGAGCCGCGCTGGATTGTGGATTAATGAAACATTGACTTACTCTGTGGCGATTTCGAGCAACGCAATATCCCTCGCACCTGATGTTAGTTTCGTTGTAGATTCCCAGCGAGGGGACCGCGACATAGGCTGGACTTGGGCGTGTGGGAACTCGTAGACGGTAGGGCTGTCCACGGAGAAGGAGCGGTCGTATCTCTGCTCGGGTCGTGGCAGGCTCTTCACAACGCTGGCCAGATGCTCGCCCGAGGAATACCGCGTGGCAATGGGCGAGGCGGTTGCCGACAGCGGCTTCCGTCGAATTGATTGGACTGGAGAGGCGGGAATGCGACCGTTGTTGAGGACAAGGCCCTTTGTGTTCCTGGATCCCGAAACAGAAGACGCCGGAGGGGTGCTCAGGGGTGGCGGCTGATCAGCGTAGAAAGGGAACGCGGAGTAGGAAACATGAGTTGAGGCAGACGAGGTCTCGGAAAGGGCTGACAACGAGGGATGGTGCTGATGATGGGTTGTGGCAGCCATGAAGGGCGGCTCTTGTTGGGAAGGCGAAGTGGCGGTAGACATCCCGAGTCTTGTGACCGGTCCTAACAAGCAAGGCTCTCTCGCTCTCTCCCTTGTCCGTTGGCCTATGTTCGCATACCTAATTACACAGCTACCTGACAGGCGGCCTTTCTCTGGTGGAATGCGAATAGTGCCAACGCCGTTCCGGTAGCTATGCCCCGTAGTATATTGCCTACTTGGGGTATCACACCCTGCTGCAGCAGCTGACTATCTGTTGACCCCCAATTTGAGCCAAGGGATTTGCACGAGACTGACGGGACCAAGGGACTTAGAACCAGGAAGAGCAAGGGCTCGAAACTCGAAATGAGATGAGACAGTCAACTCGATTGGATTCCAGACTCTGATGAGCAGCGACAAGGACGGTCGACAATTCTTTGAAAGGGGGAGAAATACGCTACAAATCCACGATTCAACCATGGCTGCATGCGATCGCAGAGGGAAAAGGGGGGGCCAGTAGCGGGTCCGCAGCGTACCTTACACTAGCACTGCTACCCACCAGAATACGCTACCCAGCCAGCGTCCACTAGACCGTATCTGACCGTAAGTGCGATGGACAGTAGGGCCACAGCGTTACAGTCGGCCAATTAGCAGAGATTAAGAACCAACCAACAATCTCATCTCTCATCTGCCTCTGCTGGTGGTTGGTTTGGACGAGTCTGGAGGAGCTAGCGAAAATGGCAGTCAAGCCGCCCCCAGTTTTCATACCCTGGTTGGTGTTTATTCGGCTATTGTGAGTGGTTGCGGGTGGAGAAAAAGTGCCTTTAGTATGGGGCGCTAGTCAACTACTGGTAAGTGCCCTGTAAGTGGTAGTGGCTGCATGGCCCTAATTGGGAAGTATCCCGGCTCCTGCCCTATCCATGCCCACCTTCGTCAACTCGTAATTTTACTCTTATCGCCGGCTCCCTGGCTCGCCTGGTTCTGCTTAAGCCCCTATCTACCAACCACATCGCTCTACTACTGCTCAGATACCTATTGCTCTAGTCTTCATCCTTCATTATTGCTCGGTACTATCGGATCTCCAAGTAAGTACCTACTCAGACTCTTCCCCTGCAGTATGCAGGTACATCGACGTGTGTTAATCGATGGAATGGATTCTCGATCTGAACAACCCCTACAGCTCATAGGTAGGTTCTGGTAGTATATTGAGGGATTACAGTTGGAAGAGCACAGACACGCGTCTTTTCTTTGAAGGATCAATTCGCTCAATGCAAGATCGTCAATGTCAATGCGAGATCGCCAACACCAACCAAACGACTCTAGTCCCGTCTAGTGTACAGTATGATAGAGTACATGAATTATTACTGTAAGCCATCTCAGGATTTGGCATGGTTGAGCGATGCTAACTACATACTTAGATATGACGTTCAACCCTCTAAGTAAAACGACGATATGCACCCTATAACCAGTGATCCTGTGTGAAAATGGGGGGTTGGCATGGACAATACAACCCTACTCAATAACTCCCGGTACCCGAAGAGACATCGCTACAGAACAGGTACTCCAGTATTACCCAGATTTGATCAGCATTTCAATTGTGAAGAGACATGTTCATCAGCCTCCCTTTGTCCAACAAATTCTCTGGAAGCGTACAACTTCTTGAGTACTATGTAGCGCGCGGCTAGCTAGCTACATACATATGTACTTACCTAGGTAGCTTAACCAGGTACCTAGGTACACAGACTTCATACATGTAGCGATTCATATCGGTTAAGCATATAATATGATGTGCAGCGCATCTAGATGCGCTTCTGCCTCTTTTGCTTTGACTTGAGATGCCCGTACAGGCAATTGAACTGCAGAGCCAATGAGCATCCCTTGTTGTCGGGGTCTTACAAAGTAAGTAAGCGCCCCTTGAAGTTCGCGCGCGTGCTACCTTGGCGTACTAGGTATTTAGACTAATACTGAGCCGCGCGATGTTTTAGCGTCCACTCGGTTCACCAACCACCAGCATCAGTGGCCCCGCCTCATCCCGCCCTCCCTGAAACATCTTCCCTTGCGCGCATCCAGGAAAAGCGAAGCCAAGCACGTACAACCACCCATTTCGTCTGAAACGAAGCGAGTCGCTATGACAGATGCAACCCTCACACGAGCATACTGTACTCTATGTAGGCAAGCGATATACTATGTAGTAAGTATGGGATGGGGTAGGTCCCCTTTCCTGGCCTACTCAGTATGGAGACGTCGGGTTTGGACCCCGGCGAAGACTGTTATAGAAATCGCCGCCTCCCCCAATACACCACGTCGTATAAATGGAGTCCTCCCAACCTCAATAGGCCGAGTTCTGAGATCAATTATTAGTAGCTATTGAGTGTCAGCTAGATGAGGCATGCAGCCGATGTTGAGATCCGGGAATAGAAACCTGTTCTACTCCCTGGAAACTACATTTTGTTCATTTGTAGCCCTTGTCCTGGATCTATCGGAATTTTCCGTCGTATCAAACCAACTTCGCAGAGCGAATGTTTCAGATATGTACATATTGCTTTTTTTGTGGCCTTTTACCTACCGATAACTTGTGGCGGACCTAAACGGGATACCGCCGATGGGTATGATCCTGCAGAGCATCTCGGGCGAGAGCTTCAAAGGGCTGGCGACATTATGCCCCGGATCACAGCAGCATGTGAGAACTAGAGATTTTCGGAATAATGTCACAAAGTACTACCAATGTGAAATGGATCAGGAGAGAACATTCCCATTCGAATTCCATTTTTCCATGGCTCATATGATAATTGACAGACAGAGAAGCGATATATGTGGCAATAAAATGCTTTGGGGGAGGGTAGACTCCTAGCACGACAATGGTCTTGCATCTAGTTTTGTCCCAATTCCAGAAGGGATTTACATGAATGCACCTGCTGAACGGAGCTTGAAGATAGTATAATTATCTTTTGAGGGCATCATTTGGAAAGAGCGATCGCGATTTCGCTTCTATATCAAGTCAGCAAGACGGGGCAGGAGCAAGAAGAGCTTCGATTTTCCAAATATCTCGACTAATAGAAAGGTTAGTAGAGTAACTTATCGCCCACATGCTGCCTCATTCTGTACAATTCAAAGAAAAGCCAGGGTTGCAGCAAGCTACCCCAGTACAGCTTAAAACTCGCGAGCAAAGCGTTGAAGACATTTGACCGAGTAAATTGCTAGCTAGGATGATTATCGCTTTCACAGAAGAGGCACTTGCTACAGAAACAAAGACCTGACGACCACTCAAGTCCTTTCTCGGCAAGTTAACATGTTTAAATTGCGTCAATGTTGAGTTCTTCTAGTCAACCGCTTCGACGGACAAAACAATACAGTTCCACCAACGGAAGCAAAAGTTGAAAAAGTGTACGAACAAGCCCTATTTATGAGTTCCAATACATCTTGGGCTCGATCTTTTTATCTAACTGAGCAAGAACTCAGTGGTATCAAGAAAGGGGGCTAGGCTGGAGATGTAATGAGAGGTTAGAGTAGGACTGTTCACTCTATGGATTACTCCCGAAGCACCCGGGAAATGGCGCAGCCAACGGAGTCAATAAAGGGGCTAATACCAAGGTTATCAAGTTCATGTCATGGAAGAAGAGGGTAATCGTCTCATAAATATACCCATCGTACCCCGTAACTGACATCGTGCTCTTCACGTAGCAATATAATAATGATGCATCTATCCTGTCATGCTAGCCTATGCTTCAACTAGTGTTTGAAACTCGTTGGTCAGTTCACTTAGACTCTTTCGTACATAGCAACTGTCTTAATTCCTCCTTCCCTTCGCTGTCGTCGAGAACACGATATGAGTGTCCGCAGCACAGCAAGTACTACACGATAATCCCCAGGACTATATAGCTTCGGGCTTCGTGTAAGCGAGCAAGAAATCACCTAAGTGATCCGATTTTTAATTTGATACGAATGGGGAGACCAAATACACAAGAAGTTGGCGGATACCCAAGGTGACGAAGGGCATGTTTCAGTATCTTGTATTTTTTTCAGCCTGTTTAGTCTAAGGCTTGATTACTTCTTTAGACATGTGAGGTATTGAGGGCGCTTCCCGTATCTTCGAGAGATCAAGGGTCCGATGGACATGCCTACTCAAATAAAGGCCTGACAATGCAAGTATGTGTTCCAGTCAAACCTCATCTAATTGTCCGCTCGAGTCTTGAGCAGCTCGGAACGTGCGGTCATGGACTGGTAATCTTTACAACATGGAGAGGCCCGGTGAGCTAATGTTCATTAATCACACCTAGTATTCAAGCATGTTTCATTGCGTGTCTTATTCTCTTGGGGAGGCGAATTCCTCTTAGATAAAAGTAGATGTTGATTGTAGTAGATAACAGTACATGATTATATAATTGACGGGTGAAGGGGGAACCCGACCTATCTTGCGATTATAAAATCTAATTTTAGAATTATTAGGGTCGAACGTCTCTTGGTCACGCAGTATCACCACACTTAGTGGCCGAGTCTCTCGACTTCAAGCGAGGCGAGAATATATGCAGCAGAGCCAAGAACGCTGTTGTAAAGGATAGGCTGGTGAGTGTAGTACTATATCAAAATGGTCAGAGAAACAACTACAAGGCATGACGCTTGGGATTAGTTGGGGGGGGGGAGACTCACATCGTAGGATGCAGTCGAGTTCAGACTGCATACAGCCACGGTTCCGTTGTAACCAACAGTTCCATCGGCCTCCTCAACCACGAAGTGCTTGGTAAGGTATTTCTGGGCCCGGATTGCTACTTTCTTAGCTGCTGGGGTGAATTTGTGTGGCAGGTACCCCAATCGGGAACCCTTCAGCAGAGAGTAGGCGAACATCGCGGTGCCGCTCGACTCGATGTAGTTGCCCTCGCGTCGAGGCTGGTCTACGACCTGCCACCATCCGCCAGTGCACTTATCGACGGCCTTGACAACAGCAGGCATCAGCGTCTGGAATTTCTCCAGAAATGCCTTTCTATACTTGTGGGGAGCATTTTCCCTTTCCAGAATTTCGAGAGTGTCAACCAGGGCCATAGTGTACCAGCCAAGACTTCTACCCCATACGTAAGGGCTAGCTCCCGTCTCCGGGTCAGCCCAGACGGCTGTTTTCGTGAAATCGTAGCCATGAGTGAGCAGACCAGTTGAGTGATGGTGGCAATGCTCCCAGAGAGTCTCAAACTGATAAAGCAGGTCATCTAGGGCCTTTACTCTGCTGTTGCTGCTAATTTGCGTCGTCGCGAACGTGTAGAGAGAGTAAAATGGTCCCAGAGAGTACATGCCATCCAGGTAGCTCCAGTACGGGTACACGAAGTACCACAAGCCGCCCTCCGCGTTTCGGCGGTTCAGGTCGATGCTTTCTCGCAGAGCCTCCGCTGTGGCGCGGTAACTCTCGTGACCTTTGCCATGCGAAAAAGCCAAAACAGCATTGCCGTTGGATAGCCGGTCCATGGGATAAGAGAGCGCATTGTTGCTCGCGTTTGCCAGGAATTGAGTGGCGGATGTAGTGCTCTCACGAACATACTGTGCGTAAGGCTCACCCGACTTGTGGTAGTACTCGGAAAGCGCAGTAAAGGCCTTCTGGACAAAGCCAGCCTGCAGGGCTTCGGATGACCCTCCCAAGCCCGTCATGATGCCCTGGCCGCGGGCGATGATGCTCGACGCCATGCGCTGAGAATCAGGCTTGCTGTGGCCATGGTGGCCATGGTGTCCATAACCGGTGGCCGTCACTGGCGCACCAAAAAGAGCAGCGGCGAAGGTCGCCGCGTAAATGGGACCGCGCATCGTCGCTAACAGGTAGATGGGAGAGGGTAAGGAACGGATGACGCCAAAGTGGCAAGTCGAGAGCGAGTGAAGCGAAAGGAATGAGGGGAAAGCAGTTTTGCTTCACCTACTAACAGCACTCTCTGATCGTCGGCGACGCATCGCCTTGTATACCTCGCGCTCGCTCGGTCGAGGCTGGGGTGCTGGGTTGGTCGGCTGTTTAGTGCAAACACTAGACAGCCTAGAGACTATTTAGCCCAGGTAAAGCCGTGAAAATGCAATACTACTTAGTAGCTAACAGATAACTGGGCTCCCTCGGCTTCCACTACTCGCGATATTCCACTATCATCAGGCCATGGAAGCTAGTGCACCCGTCGGATAGTAAGTGCTTAATACATAGTAGCTCTATTGCCTCGGAGATGGAGGACTTGGGGTTGTGAAAACTAAGGAAGCTGGGCAGCTCGAGGGCCCCTGTGTATAGATTGTTTGCTACTTATTTTGTGGTGCACACTGCGGAAACAAGACCTCAATCTTGTTATTACCGCATTATCGCACTACGGATAAGACGTTATTTTATTTTATTTTATTTTATTTCTTCGGCTACGGCAACGGTGCACAAATGGAGGTATCGTCCCGGTTTTCCTCTCAGCTGCCAGGGAGCTAGTATCGAAAAGCAGGTCGAAGATGTTACGCCCACTTCCCGCCCAACCAAAACCAAGTGTTTTGCCAGCTCAAGCTATGATTCGTAAGCATACTTAGTATAAGTAAAGCTCCATATCGATTCATATACTACAATGACACTATCCTAGACTTTACCGGGTCAATGAGTCTTTTAAACCTCTCGCTACGGGATTCGATGCTGGGCATTGGAGCGGGCCGGCCGCCAAGGTGGGACCCGTGCCGAGCCCGTTCGATCCCTCTTCCGCACTCGCTTGATTACATACCTAGTAGATAACGGCATTATATGTTTCTATCAGGGTTGCGTTTCTTTTGGTTAGCTGAGTTACCGAGATCTGTGGCCAATCCAGCTGGAACGTGCAAGAAAGAGGGATTAAGCTTGGTGGAAATGATATACTTATAAGAAGCAATATGTACGGTCCTTTCTAGAATCATAGAACTTAGTAGAGCTATCTCAAATGCTAAGCTACATTGAGACCCAAGCTCACACTTGCGGTTATGAATCTGGGGACTGTCATTATATTTGGTATACGCATAATTATACAGAATCCTTAGTGAGGGCGCGAAAGAATAGCTCCATATCAAAGCTGGAGCATCCGCCCTGCCGCCGAGTAGTGCCGAGCGACGAAGATTGGTGTCGACTTTTACTTGTGTGTACTAAGTTATGTAGAACGATCCTTCAGCGGAGAACAATCTCAATATGCCTGTTCATTTTGTGTATTTGTGTACTACTTATTCGAGCTATTGCAAGTGCGTCTAGTAGATGCATACTAAGAGAACCCACATCGCCTTCGTATGTTCACATCAATTTGCTTTTACGGTGTAGCTGCTTGTCGTTTATCCAAGTGCCATGCTGAGCGTAGTAAATTCCGCGTAGATCTACTGCTTAGGCTGTTTCCCCCTGAGCTAATCGAGTGTACTCATCCGCACTCAATCCACAGGAGGTAGGGTCATAAGTAAGTACTCAACGGTGTATTCTGGAAGAGCGTGATCCTGTATTGTCTACATATAGGTATTCCCCACGATGGCAACGTGGTGTATGCAAAACATCGATGATGCCACTCGCGAAGACCGTGCACTGTTTCCACCACAGATCCATTGCCTCCATTCAGCTTGATTGAGTGGTATGATGTGCGGGGTATGTGGTCGAAAAACTTTGAGAAAAAAGGAATGGTACATGTACAAGAAGCAGCGCGGAATTTGCACCTGCGAAGCCAAGCCGGGCTGGCAGTTCTAGCGAATGAAAGAGAGGCGAGGCGCTCGAACAAGGCGAACTTTGACGACCAGTACGAAGTAGGTAACCGACTTGGCGCAGACAGCATGCATCATCCAACTAGGTATTGCGCTCGTTGTGCCGTCGCCTCTCTCCACCAAACCTAGCTCAACCTAACCCGTAGAACGCAAAGAAGAATATCGCTCAGCGATCCTACACTAGTGTCAGATAGATCCAGCTTTCACCGTAAAGTTGCTTGTCCAACTTAGGTAGGTGTTCGTTATGCTCATGTTGTATTGTCCTTCACTTGAACAGCATAGAATACTAGACATAATTCCATGCTAAGGCAGCGTTACATCCAGGCGATCAGCATACTTGCATACGGTGCTGCCGAGCAAGACCCCTGCTTTCGCCTAACTCCTTGTCACAGCTTCTTGAGCTACAGATGGAATTCCTACCGCGGGCACCGGGAGGATAGCGCCACTCTCGCCCATATCTGTGTTGAATCCAACGTTAGCGATACTACAGTAATAGGTTATCAAATGTTTTTGTGGAAGAGATAGAAAGGCTCCCGTTGAAAATGGTGTAGCTCGAACACGATGACCTAGAAGGCAACCACTAGGCTTTCCATCTAGAAGAAAAAGGAAAGACACAAAACAAGGGCCACCTGCAGTGTTACGTTTGGCGTTCCCGATACCAAGTTTAAGCCACTCCAGGTTTGTGGCAAGCCTACATATCCAGGGCCCTCGTCCGTCGGATTCTCTAGACGGCCCCTGTTGACCTCAACGAATCTCCTCCCCGCTATATCAACGCTTTTACGCCTCGAAAGTTTTGGTTTCCCGCCGCAACAGGCATGTAAAGTAGGGTGGAAGCTGGCTGTTTGTAGTTAACGGCTTGTCGTTCGTTTGAAATATATACGAAGATCTTCTTCCGACAAAATGGGCAGCCATCACGACAGTCTTTTCGCTGCAGCGGTCCTCTTCCTGGTACTGAACACGGTTGTCGTGTTCTCCCGAGTTTATGTTCGGACAGTGGTGATTCCTGGTGGTTATGGTTGGGACGATTTTGTATTATGTTTAACATATGTGAGCCAGTCCTCTGTTACAGCATTTTTGTCCGAATATGATCTAATCAAATGCCGAACAGATCGGTTTCGTCATCTCCATAGGACTTGGTTTCGCTGCTATGCAGTACGTATACAATCTATTATACACAGACCTAGCAATGCCTCGTTATTTTGCATCACATGCGTTCATACATGCGCTCTGAAAGCGCGCGGAAAATACTTTAACTCAACTAGATACCGTCGGTTCTAACACTTTCTTCTTCATAGTTATGGGTATGCTGCAGACGATGTTCAGCCTTGGTACGATGTGGCTACAGCAAAAATGGTATGTTTCTAATCATTGATCGGCCAGTAACGCTCTTATACCACTAGATAATTAGCTGACCAACTCCTTCGCTTCTTTTAAGTTCACCTACGGAAACCAGACAACCCTCTACATTTCAGCAGGTTTGGTAAAGCTTGCTGTAGCGCTAGTTCTTCTTCGCATATCGATCTCCAAAGGGCTACGCGTTATCCTCATCATATCCATGGTTGTCGTTGGTATCTGGACTGTCATCACGGTCGTTTTCGCCTCTGGTATTTGCGCTACGGGTGGTTCAAGCAACTGGGCTGGAAGCCAACGTTGTACTGACGTCGGTTATTTTCGTACAATCTCCAACATTTTCATCGATTACTTCTATGCCCTGCTGCCGATCTATATCCTTCGAGGTTCCCAGTTGCAAACAAAGCTCAAATACATAGCCATATTCCTACTTGGCTTGGGTATCTTGTAAGACACCCCAACCTATTTTACCATTTCATTGGAGTATCAAGAAGCTGACACATGTAACTCTATCGTAGTGCAAGCACCGCAACGATTGTCAAACTCGTCATCATCGTGCGTCTTCCATATGCGAAAGGCGAAGTGGCAGACGGACTCCACTACGACCTCCTATTGTGGGCCGATATCGAGCTCGGCCTCGCCATTCTTGCGGCGTCTGCGGCTGCGCTCCGGCCACTACTCAGACATGTACCAGCCCTGTTTGACGGAACCACTAAGAATGGTACTCGTGGTACGGAAGAAATCGGACCATACCATGAACTTGCGGTGCAAAGTGACAGAAGAAAGAGCAAGACAGCTAACGAGACAACGGTATCAAAGTCAAAGACGAATTCTGATGACGATTTATTTCGGATGGCATAATCTGCTTGGATACCACCAATTGCGCTTTACATTTCAATCACCTAATCGCGGATACCCAAAAACTATTCAATGTTTGACGTCGTGACGTTGTCGGCATAGACCCAATCCCTACATATTAACAGCCTAAAAACGCGTTTCTAATATGGCTTTCATGATACCCAATCTGTTGTTTTGCCAGGTGTCGTCTAAGACGAAGAAAGTCACGGACGTTCTCGCATAAGGAGCCGTTACTATCCGTATATTTACCGATAGTAGACACAGGTGGCTTTAGAAGCAGTCAGAGCAGCGTTTATATGAATCATGAAAGAGGGGCTCTTTCAAAAAGCCTTCGAGGCACCATTGAATGCCCGCCGAAAGATTAGGCCTTCATCGAACCATCAGCATCACTTTGGCAAGAGGTATGCGATATGCCCTTGAGATTACGCTTAATGTTTAAAACAAAGATAGAATATGAATGAATAATGACGATTTTACGTGTGCTGCCGTATTATCCCTCAATTGTGCAAGGATGTTGATCTCTTCCAGCCAAGTACCAAAATCAAACAGGTGTGCTTCTCAAAGTCTCCCCTGCATATGAAACTAGTTATGGCGATCTGCTATGGATATTTTGTGGCCGTGTGACACGAGCTGCATGAAACATATTATTAGAAATGTAGATCAGGGGGTTTTCTAGGTTGTAGATATTCACACCTCTAACAGTCTGGGCTGACTAACCGCCAGTGGCTGCCTTCTTTCCTTTATTGTTTCTTATTGAGGGACAGAACATATGATTTTAGTTATATTGGCTTGGCCTCTCGAGAAGTATCGTCGTCGATTTCTCACTGCGGAGCTATTAGTCATCCTAACCTAGGCTGCAACTAGGTGAGGAATCATGTGTTGGCTCAAAGGACATAATATCCTATACAACGACTATTGCCCGTGTGATAGACTAAGACTCTCAAAAGATTGCCATACCATTCCGACCCCTTCAAATCTTATTCGAAAGAATCGATTTCGATGCAGCTCACGTGTGAGGGTAGTGAACCCGAAAACGGACCGAATGTAGTAATTCTTAATAATCAAATCGATCTCGGACGTCAGCTGGTCGATTAACGAGGTAGCACATGGGTTTGTGTTGCCAGCTCCTTCATGGATGGTCGATAAACAGTATTCTCGCCGAAGAATAGACGAACCTGACAGATCAAGCGACTAGGTCGCGGGTGCAAGTATGCAAAATTGTGCTAGGATTCTCCGGATTGCTTTATTGAATTTTGCTGTCAAACGCCTTAAATGTCTAAGGATTTTTCCAGTAGGATGATCTCGCCTACACCAGTTCTTCTGCAACATTGGTGTGTCATCGTACAAATGAGCATGATTATATGGCAGCCTGTGCGTAGCTTGCTAATAAGTATATAGAAGAGTCGAATGAAGGCATAGGTGTTTAGTAAAGATTCAAAGCCATGAACGACGTTGTGTAGTGGCTATGATTTAAGCGAAAGAACAAGATCTGCCTGAGACAGCAGCTTTGTGGCACATCACGAGAACACACTAGAACATAGTACCATCGGCGCCGGCAACGGGATTCAACCGATGATGGGTTGCATATGTCTTAAGGACCAGCTACATCGCCCTCGCCTTAGAGCCAACAAAATATGTTCATCCTTCTTGAATCCAAACGATACCAAGAATACGTACTCACTTATCGAGTGCGAAAGACCTTAATGTGTGACGGGTATGGAAAATTAGGAGGAACACGCGTGCGTGGCTCTGAACTCGATCTGTCAGACGCTGGATTGCACCTGCCATTCTCATACACGTAAGCTCGGTGTTCGCTAATTGATTCCGTCGTCATTTACGAGAGTTTAGTCTCATAGCCAGATATTACCCTCAGTATATCCGCCACGTAATGTGTTGATATTGCCAGGGCGACGAGATCAGCCCTTCATCTCAGAGGGGTATACCTGTCGTGGTCATATAAGTTTGAAACCATTAGCTGTTTATTGAATAGTCATTGGGTATTAAGATCTACGTCGCACGGAAGTCTTGATAGGAATATGTTGGTAGACCCTGAGGCCAACACAGATCGAAGTACCCGGATATGTGGATTTCTGTGACACGGCTCGGGAGCGTCCGTACATCACGATCAAAGTCTTCATGGGCCCATTCTGTCCATAGACGAACAGGCAATCATTGCACTTCTAGAAGCGAAACCTACAGGTCTTACGAGATACCGTCGTACATCGTCGCTTTGTAGATTTGCACTGTGAACAATTGCCGCGTGTATTAGGTGATTTATTCACGCTGTCCAAACAACAGGGTTTTCCGAATCGCCCCATGGTCCCTCTCATGTCCGTATCGTGAAGATTCCAATCGCTTCATATAATCCGCTCTCCCCTGCGTCTTCCGTCTATCCGGCATAGCATTTCGAGTGATGTAAGCGGACTATGCGAATATCATATATAACTTCTTCTTCTGCAATCATATGTACACACAGACGCTTAGGAAAGAATGTTATTGAAGACGACGGCGCTGACGACGCTGCTTCTGGTAGCGAAAAAGGGTATGTCTAGTCCGGCGCACACGCCGAACAGTTTGTCAAGCATACCGGATGAGACAGACCTTGGCTGGACAGGGCGGATAGAAGAAGACGGCGAACTCAAGTCATTCACAGGATCAGTACGTCATCCCCATTTCCTACATTCCATCTAGCAAAGTCATCGGTTCGATGTGTCACAAACGTTCCCAGTCATCACCAACAAGGGAGGCACGAGGGAGGACCAATCACTGACGCCTCATCCTTAGAGTTTACAACATATCGAAGCGCAAATCCTCGAGATTCAGCCAGATTTCACCTGGTCGCGCGACATCGAGCCAGCAAATTCGCGAGTGGAAGGCGATATCATTTGCGACATATCGTGGAAACCATCCTTTGCCTCCGTCTTCCATATCCGCCAGGGGATTTCATATCTCCACAAGATCCACGGCGATTGCGTCAACGGTCCGGGGCCGGGCAACTGTTCTCGCGTCTCGTGCTCGTATAATTCCGGCATCTGGTTCTGCAACGATAATCCGCAGCCGATGTCCGTGCCCTGCAGCACGTTCGGGGACCGCGCTGTGAGTCAATACTCCAGAATATTTGTTTTTCGGTTCTCTTGTTGTTAGGCCCGTGGTCTATAACGGCCTGTCTCAGGGGTAGTCGCATCGTGAGTGAGAACGGCGCCTGCCCCCCTAACATAACCACGATTTCAAGTGGTGATAGGATATGGCTGATTATTCCGCGGACTAAAGTGGGACATCATCGAAAAGTGCTACGCATATGGAGGTAAGCGTTACCTAGACTGCTCGTTTCGTCCCCTTTTTTGTTTCTACTGCCATCTTATCGGTCTACGCATGAAAGTCGATTCTGTCATGGCGTAGATAGCATATTGATTCTGGCTCAATCGCAGACTTCCCTAACGATTCCGTGCACGGACAAGTTTTTGACAAAGATGGATGGAACGTGATCGTTGCCGGTGCGGATTGCTAAAACTAAGATCAAGGGGTGGAATATATCCAGATCACCTGGTCCTCTGGTGTTTGGTAGGATGGTGTTTAGACCTTTGGGGCGAAGAGCTGAACTAGAGCGTTCGTGCAGATTCGATCTACGACACATATTTGGAGATGATAAGTCAAGGCGGCATCTTATCACCATCTGGTTCAACTTGACGCTTACTCAACTGTTATCTACATAGACTTGGTGGTATCTGCATTAGTCTGCAAGCAAGACATGTAGCTTGGCTTCCTGATATGGATGCTTACATCACAACGTTATAAGGCTACGGCAATTAACGACATTCGTTGCAACGCTCACGTAAACTCCCAGTGTCGTAATGAGTCATGTTACATGCCATGAGTATCCTCAGTAGCACATCAAACCTGACTGCGCATGTGCGGGGGAGACCCTCTTCTTTACCTTATCTCTTGACGACACCCAATGGTTATATTACTTAAAACCAAATGCGGAGATGCGTACCAAGCAACTGGCTAAGAACTCCTTTGTACGTCGTCTATTCCACGACTACCAGCTATCTACCGGCTATCGGACTTTTGACACAACTATGTCATACTTTGTTGTTGTCTAGGCCTTTTATGCACGTACTCATCCATGTTATTTCCTCCCACTCCCTCGTAATACCCTATCCCCAAGTTTATGAGCTAATGTTAGAGCTGATACCCGGTCAAACGGCGAGTGGAGTACTGATACGACAGTAGCTAAGTCTTAATCTTGAGGCTGGCATGTGTACCCGACATATATATTTTACGGAATAGTGGAGTTGTGAATCCGGCGTGGGACGGTTCGAAAGCCGAGAACGGGCAAATAGGAAGATAAAAGGAGCGAGTATCCTGATCACCGCTGCCCCCCATGATATGCCTACTCTTTATTTGTCTTCTAATGAGATCTGCCTTGCATCGAACTGGCATTAGATCGTTGACTGTTTTGAGGATCTAAATGAAAGGCATCTTAAATACGTGAGTTTTTGCGTTCGATTTCCATGGAAAAGATACTCGCGAAAGGACTCAGCCGGGTCCAAGACATAGCTGATGCAGTCAAGGCCGCCAGCTACCATTACGCGGTCAGGACGAAGACATCTTGGAATTCTCTGTCATTAAATGAAGATGTCCACAAACCTATTGCGGCGCTGCTCATTGCACTCCTAGCTTTGGCGACGGCGGTGACAATTGTTATTCGTAAGCGAGTGCATAAAGGTTCTCCCACGAGGCCAATATCTCCTACAACACCTCGCCTTGAGAAAGGGGAGCTCCGAAAATTTGGGAAATGGATACCCTCAGACTTCCGCATGCCTAAGCCAGAGGCATATCCGGATTGGTCGGTCGAGAACACAAAGCCCCTTCCATATAGGCCATTTCGCTACGGGCCGAAATACAACGTAACAATGGGGCTTCGGACATTGAAACATGAAGACTGGATTGAGCTCGACAATCACTTCCCGCGCTTTCATGCCGACAAAGCTAGAAGAATTGCAGAGCGTGGAGCTAAGTTATGTATGACTGCACCAGAGGCATATCCAGCAGCAGTCGAGCTCCTGGAAGAACTCACGGAGTACTTACCGGCACGATATCCTTCGCTGTATAAGCGTACAGGAGTAGGCTTGGACAATCTGTGGTCTGGCGAGAGCTTCAATATCGTTACGCGACCACTTCCCGAGGATCCTATGCAAATGTGTGCGCGTCTCATACAAGACGACCTTGCCATAATGGTCGAAAAGCCCGATGGGCAATACTACCTACTTGCAGGCTGCATAGTACTGCCTGGATTCTGGCGTCTCAGCGATAAATTCGGTATGCCTCTGTCGGAGATTCACACGTCGGGTGCCGTTCCGCAGTATAAGGAGAAGCTAGAGAAAGGTATGATGAACCTATTTCGGCGCCTTAAGCCAGAGGAGATGGTAGGGCGCCACAACTACTTCTTCCAGGTGGATGACGACCTTGGTTGGTCCTGGAGCGTCGGCCCCGAGGACGGGGACGTCAATGGAAAAGTGGGTTGGAATACAGCTGAGAAGGGCCGGGTTATTGACCACCACTACTTCCGGTCAGAGAGACAGACGCTTCGGCGCTTGCCGAAAAGCGGCGGCGTAGTGTTCACGATTCGAACATATTTCCACAAGATCACAGAGGTTGCGGAGGAAGACTATGTCCCAGGAAGACTGGCCAGTGCTGTGAGGAGCTGGGGAGATGATGTGAGTCGTTATAAAGGCAAGGAAAAGTACGGCGACGTCCTATTAGAGTTTCTTGATAAGAAACATGAGGAGCAAGTTGCGAGAGGCTTGGACCTCAGTCGTGAAAATGAAGTCAGAGCCTACCCGTATTGAAGAGAGCCGTAGTGAGAGCCTTCAAAGGTAGAGAAGATGATACACCTAGGTATCTGTATAGTTGCAGGTGTATTCAAGTGTATGCATGTAATTACGTAATAATGTCTCTTAGCTAAATGAATTGAGCTAGTTATGCAAGTATCCCGACTATTCACTATTCTAAGCAACCTGTGGGCCGCCAATGGACAGCTCGCCAGCTCAAGCTCTAAGGCCTTTGGTAGCGTGACGCAGTAGGTGGTCTGTAGTAGGCACCCGAATTATCACAGCTTTCTCGTCGCAGACGCAAGGGCACTTGCACGAACCACGACAACGACGTCGACGACAAATACCATTCCCGATGGAACAGCCACAGTCACAACCAACCGCCGGCTCTCTGAGCTGGCGTCTTAGCTCTCATCCGATAACGCTGCTCACCTTCCTCGCCTTCCGCGTCTGTAAGAATTCACCAGTCCCCATCCATCATCTAAGTCAAGATGACAGCCGTCTCCGGCGCGCTCTCATCGGAGGAAGAAAAGGAAGCAAAAGATGAAGAAGAGCAAGCTGATCATGTCTTTCGCGCAAATCTAGCCTCCCTTCTCGTATACCTCTTCGGCGTTATCTTCACGGACAACATGGTGCTCATCTTCATCATCACGATCCTGCTGCTGGCCGCCGACTTCTACTACCTGAAGAACATCGCCGGCCGTCGCCTCGTCGGTCTGAGGTGGTGGAACGAGGTTGACCCTTCGACGGGCGATAGCCAATGGGTGTTTGAGAGCAGCGAGCCCGGAACCAAGATTATCAACCCTACCGATTCCCGCTTCTTCTGGCTTGCTCTGTACTCGCAGCCTATACTTTGGGTTGCCCTTGCTATTCTCGCCATCATCCGATTGAAGTTCATCTGGCTACCTCTTGTGGGTGAGTACTCAACTCTCCTTATCGCGCTGGATGCTTCTTGAACCCATCCCTAGGTTGCAGCTCTTAGGACAGCTTGTTGCGGGAATCGCACCGTGTTAGATATGCTGAGAATTACTCGCTAACGTCTTTACCTAAACTGTAGCCATTGCCCTCGCTCTCACCATCACGAATACCCTTGCCTTCTCCCGCTGCGACAAATTCAGCCAAGCATCCAACATTGCGGGCAGCGCATTATACTCAGGCAATCTTGCCGGAAACATTGCGAGTAACCTGGCCGGGCGCCTCTTTACTTTTGGCCGCTAGACTTGAACAAACAAAATCTGCATTGTCTTATAAAGGCCGGATAAGGGACTGGGGTATGATAGGGCAACCTCAGCAATTTGCGAGTAGGGCTAGAGCTCACTGGGCAAAATGTATTACTGTAGGTAGGCTAAGGGAGGGTTAATCGTCATTATCTGTATCAACATGAAATTTCAAAGTTATTATGATCCTGGGGTTTACTTGTTATCAAATTCCGTTCCCACCAATTGCGGTAACCTAAAACCAACTTTCAGCAACTTACATGCACATCGATATTTTTCCGTAGAGGTTCCATATTCTACGGCTTAATCCGAGGACCCCAGCTCCATTTCGTTTCGGAGAGACGGTGTCAAACAGTGGAACCAGCTTAGAAGGCTCGTGAGCCATCATGGTACCAAAGATGATTGGTTGTCTTCACGAAAAGTAATATATAAACATAACGAAGCTAGGGTTCTTTCGAAACCACCACCAACATCATCAAATCTAAAGATAAGAGCAATCATCACCTCCTAGACACTGGCCTGCGGAAAACCTAATGTATTGGTGAGTAGGTAGGTAGGTAGGGAGATAACGGATACAAGTTAATTACTAAAACCACAAACGAATGCTCAAAGGGGGGAATGGCTTTCGCAAGCCTCATGTGCCCGTCTCCCTTGATGGATATAACCTTGAAAACGCCCCGTATGATTCCTGGATTTTTTAACCTCCGGTGAATATGTAACGAGAAGAAAAGACAGGAAAAAACAGTAAACAGAGAAACGCCTTCCTAACGATGAAGCCTTGGAACTGAAGAATTGAAGGGAATCGAGATTATATTTCTGTCACACAAGCGGACTCACAAAAATATTGTACTTCTTTCCCCCGGGTCAATCCTTCTCCTCTCCTGACTTTCATGTGGAATTGTTGTTATGTCCCCTTCTCCCGGCATTCTCTATCGCCGCGTCCAGCTGCCTCTCTTCCTCCTCAAGCCGTCTGATCTCATCCTCCGTCATACCCTCCTCAACAAGATGCGCATACCGCGACGCAATTATAGACGTTGGTGTCGGCGCGCCGCGTCCCCAGCTAATATCCGTCTCGCTCGCACCAGCAGGCGACACAGGTATCGCCGCCGCCGCCGCAGCACTCGTGACGTTACTGCTCGTGGTCCTGTGATGTTGTTGTTGATGATGCTGAGGAGGTTGCGGTACAGGCGACGTGGTAGAGCGATCTGAGTACGGCGCGTAGACGTCGCCGCTCGGCCGGCTGTCGTACACGGACTGCGGCGAGTTCGACTCGCGGACCACCGGCATTTCTTTGTCGGTGATCATGGCCTGGCCGCCTACGTCGGAACTATAGCTCTGCATCATGTGGTGCGTCTTGCTGTTCTTTTGGTTGCGACGGCGCCGGAACCAGAAGAGCCATGCTAGGACGCCGGCTATGATGAGGCCTGCTACAGAGACGCCCACAGCGACGCCGATGGTGGCGCCTTTGCTCAGGCCATTCTGCGTTGATGTGCCGACCACTGGGCTAATGGTTCCTGCGGGGTGAGTAGCATTGGGAGTAGAAGTTGACGTATTCGGGGTTGTTGTCGAAGGGGGTTGGTTTGGAATCGCCTTTGTAAACTCATCCCTTGCAGCCGGAGCCTTGCCACCAATTGCTTCGCCTTTACCTGTCCTCTGCACATTCGTCGCTGCCTCTGATGATTGCGATACATCGTCGACGGCAGAAAATACTTGAGAAGTACTATTGCCCGTGTCTGTTGAACTCGTCCATTCACACTTGACATAAAGTGGCTGTTTAAGCCAGTCCGGTGATTTGACATCGCTCCATTGAATGGAAATAGTATGGTTATTGACTAGGTCGAATGAGTTAGCTCGTCTACCTATATTCTCCATTTCAGATAGGGAATAATCTCACGAATCAAAGTGGCATTATTATTGCTTGAAGTGGGTTGATCGGCTGCGCGGAGGTTGAAAGCTTTAGTAGTTGCTGTTGTTGGAGGTCCTGTCGCCGATCCTAGTGAACTATCTACATGTATGGCGATGAGCTCATCATTGTTTCCATGCACATCTCCCGACTCAATAAATCGTTGCAACTTAATTGCGTTTATGGTCACATCTTCCTTCGTATTGAAGTGGAATGTTGGTGGTGGATCAGCAAACCGTAGGAATACTGTATATCCTCTTCCCAAGGCGTCGAACGTAATCACTGGCTCTACCGGTTCGGTATTATGCTGGTCGACCGCAGAGACACCCATTAAAGAAGCGAAAAGCGTGAATTTGGCGACATTGTGCCGCATTGTCGTCAAGTGCAGCACTGGCCGGTGTGTCAACTCGGCCAACCTGCATGCGTGCTCTATGACCCGATTCGTACCAAGTCCTCCCACCACTCTCTGGGGTTGCTACTCCAGCAATCTGCTTCGCTCGCTCGAGAACAAAATCTACCGTCCGTGGCTCTCGGATTGACCTTATCAATGGAAATTTATGACGTACGTAGAGTTCGGAGGAGCACCAGGCTTGTGAGAAAAGAGAATACAGTCAGAGATAAAAAGTGCGGGCGTGAGAAAAGCAAACAGCAGGATGGTCAGACCCGAGTCGGACTACGGTCTTGGGAGAGCGAGCGCTAGATTTCGGATTTCAGCACATCCAACGTTCCACCGTATCTAAGTGGCCAGTTCAGCTAGCTGTACACTAGCGTAGCTGAGTTCAACGTGACCGAAAAGAGGACTGGGCTTGGGGTCCAGGTCCAACTGTCGCAGCTATGTGCCAGCCGCAAAAATAAAGGGTGTAAGATGGCGGGCTGTGTTCCTATTAGACCAGTGGAGAAATGATAGGCGTTGTCAGCAAGTGCTTTTCTCGGGCAAATATACCCCAGCACGCGATTATTCGAAGGGATGGCCGCTCAACGCTAATGTTCAGGTAATTGCTTCTCCCGAGAAAGAGCTTAAAGAATACCGTACCTATAGCACGTATATGGTTTGTTCATCTGATGAATGCTGAACGGTAGATACGATTGATTCTCCAGACTAGATAACAAAGCCCCCTCCCTTCCCCCCGGGTTTCATCAGATCAGACGAGGATACTTACTTGGTAGTTTCAAAGCCTGATCCTCTCTAACAAGGCCAGGACAATCTTAGTAATAAGACCACCTTTCCGAATACGCCAGCGTATACCTACATAACCGTATGTAGATTCTTTTTTCTGAGGAATGGACTATTACTTACTAGCTACCTGCAATGTCACCCACATAGCCGAACAAACAGTGTTGCACGATATGGCGCAGTCATCCATCCGCCAGCTAGCCTGCTTGTCTGCTGAGCGACCAGACATGACGATAAGAAGTGACATGCTCAGATGTCGGTCCCAAAGACAGACAGACAGACAGACAGACAAACAAACAAACAGTGACGAGGAAGACTCTGCTCGTAAGTAAGTACATAGTAGTTGATGCCAAGTTAGCTGGGTTACTTAAGTACAATCACCACATTGGTGGGCTGAGGCAGGTTTCGCAAGGGGGCCTAGATCCTCCTTGCCAAATATAGCCACGTACCAAGCCTAATATAGCATGGAGCACCGCACTAATTCGAAGCCAACGGCGGAACCGTCAGCCCTGCTGCATTGCAACCAACTCATGGGTTGCTCGGTTGGTAGCGTGGGCAAACGAAGGGGGGGTGGTGTCCGTCTCGGATATATAGTGGGCATGACGTCTAAATCACTCGAGAAAAAGACAAAATTGGTGTTGGGGCTCGGGGCTTAAAGTTCTAGAGAAAGGTAGGTTGCTTCATCACAGAACTGTAAGCACGGGGAGGTACAGGTGAGATGTTGAGGGCTGGGGTCGGATTTGCCCAGTTCTTTCACAATATATTGGACACACTATGCCATGCTCAGTATGGTGCAATGTAGGACAAAGGGTGGCTGAGGCGCTGCAGGATCGTGAGTGGTAGGTAGCTATGTTATGCGCTCAAAGCCTGTAGGTGAGCGGCACTTTTGCATGCCGGATCAAGCGGATTCGATGTACATATGCCACGGGTAATACCAACTTCATCATCTCTACGAAGTAGGAATCGTACACGAAAGGGACGGGTATTGGTAATGATTCCTACATAAGTGCATACCTGAGTAGGTACGTAAGGCTTGCAACCCACTGATACCAAAAACATCCTTCAGGCACACGCTGTGCCTCCCGAGATGCAAGAGATATCTTTCCGAGCGTGCGATAAAACCCAATTGAACGCACTCCTTAATGCAGAGTGTTATCTATACTATGTAAGTGCTATTATTGTTTTGCCTTGTCCCATCACATATTTGGGATCTCCGCATCTGCCTCGGTTCGTGTACTTATGCTAGAATAGTATATTGACTGAGGCAATGCACTCGACGACCCAAGTGCGGATTCTTTGAGAGCTGTACAACCATATCTCATCTAGCTACGCTAACATCCAGACTCTTGCCGCATGAATGGCCACGGGAGGAAAACTACGTGCAGCTCCTTCATGCACCTTCCCATTTTGTCAATATCTGTTTTGTTTCTGATGATGCTAGAGTTATTATGGCCTCGTTCTAAGTGATTTATCATCGTACAAAGTCCGCCACTTCAGTATGCCCAGGCTTCCCAGCCATTATAGATTATAAATATACAACCAGCCGCCACTCTGAAGGCGGGTGAAATAATGTAAATCAGTATCCTTACTCGACCAATCCGTTTACCTCGTGCACCTGTTCGTAATTCATATGGGGTAAAAAGACGAATGAGAATAGATAACAAGGCGCGCCAATGTGAACCTCGAAGCTTCTGTCCGACCGACCTATATAATATACCTATTCAAGCCAAGACGGGACGATTTAGTAGGGTCGAAGAGTTCATCATGCAAATGTCAATGAAACCTCTTTCTCCTTGCCGAAGTCTTCATCTGCCCATGGGTCTTCTAGGGCCAAGTTAGGTGTTGTGTGTGATGTCTTCATCTCTGGGCGTGTCGGACTGGGGATATTATGGTGGTCTTTCGTAGGAGGTGGTGGGTTTCTATATTCCGTATCAAACGTTAACTGAACACCATCTTGCTCATGCTGAAATGAGGTCTCATGGTAGTCCCTTGACTGTAATGTAGGTGCTCTGTCGAGGCTTTTAGTTTCGTGCAGCGTATCTCGTGGGCTTGACTGTACAGACGATGAAGGGTCAAGCTTCATCGGTGGTAATGTGGATGCCAGTTCTTTGACTTGTAATTCCTCATCACGAGCCAATTCGGCGCGCATTGCGTCAACATCAAACAACACGCCGCTGTTATCATTGGGCATGTTTTCAGTTTTGGATGCGCCTGCCCGTTTGCTGTCTTCATATATTTCCCAGTCCTGACGTTCAGCTTTCTTCTTCCGGCCAAATATACCCCAGCCACCTTTCCCTTTCTTCGATTGGCCCTCCTTCTCCAATTCCTTTCGAGCTTCTTCAATCTCGTTGATAAGTTCGATTTGCCGTTCTCGGTGACGGTCTGGATCGGGATCCTCGATTTCTCCGAATTCGTCACTTTCGACGGACCAGCCACATTCTCTTAGGAGACGAGGCATAGCGGTTCGGTATTGCATATGGCCGTTAACAAAACTTGTGCAATCGAAATTCTCAACTTCCGGTACCCCGTCTATGGTGGCCAGGCCAGCAACTCGTCGAATGCCCCCATTTGTCAAGCGAAAGAGGTAACCTAGAATCCAGTCGTTCCGGTTATACCCATTGACAAAACGACCAGCCACAACAGACCTGGCTTTAAGGAATTCTTCTTTTTTCACGACAATGGGTGCTCCAAAAAGGTAGACATTTTGGACGAGTCCATGCGCGCCCTTCCTAGCAAGCTCTAGGAGGCAGGAGAAGATGACACGTGAGCCAAGGGAATACCCTACAAGAGTAATGGGACGCGCGCCTAGGTTTCTGTCTATCAAAGAATCCGCAAGGATGAGGCCGGCAGCCCACGCTCGGTCCAGTGATACTGCCCAAGGGTTATCAATCAAGTAGGCGAGTTTTGATAAGACTACCGGTAGTTGGAGAGCAGCCATGAGACTGATTAGAATCGTACTACCTAGTACTTGTTGAAGACCTTGGGTGAGAGCCTAGTAGAATGATGAGCTGGATATTTTCTTTCTCTATTTCAGCTGAGTTACTTACCTCTGTTGCTAGAATGTTGATGGTGTCACCCATACTCGTCAGTAACTCTGGCTCCCACAAGATGGAATACAAATCACCCATGATCGGATCTACTGTACTGAATGGCAAACGAACATCGTCGACTTTGCTTGTCAGCCACCCGGAAATCGTTATAATGAGGTTGACCCGCTTGTTGTTGTTAAGTGGCCGATACTCGAAGGTCTTTACGGCGCCTGTACGGCGATCAGCGGCCTTGCCACCCATGAAGCTTCCGGAAGCGGCAGCACCAGACGTGATGATGGCCGCTCCACCAGCTCCTGCGAGAAAAGAGCTCGTCCCGCCAATACCGATCGTCGTAAACCCAGCTGCCAGGCCAGCACCGATCAGAGGCGCCAATAGCCCCGCTGAAAGGCCAATCACGAGGCCACCGCCGACCGTCGCCAGCCCCATCATTACATAGCGCTTCTTAAGAGCCAGCTTCCTTCGGTTTTCGAGATGCTCTTCCTCGTTCCAATTTTCCTGCTCGGCCTGTTGTTGCATTTCCAGAGCGTCTGTTACGCGCTTCTCAAACCTGCATATATCTATCCAAGGAACCTCTAAATCTTTGCCTACTCGCTCTAGAAGCACCCTCGATCGCGCATCATATATCCCATCAGCTATCAGGACCAAAAAGAGGTCGCAAAGCACAGTCCATCGCAGATCAATATCAATCTTATCCGTACTAGGTAGTTGAGAGGGCGTCTTAACTTCTGGCATCTCCTCGCCCTCGTGGTTCTCATACGGTGGTGGTGGTTCTGCTGATTCTTCCTGACTAGAATCACTGCTGGAGAGGGATAGTCGGGGAGTACTCTTGCCCGACCTTTTGGGTGTTGAGACCGGGGTAGTTTCTGCCATGGGGTTCTTTACCCTTGCGTTTTGCATAAGAGTGGGAGTCAGATCGGCAGGCTGAACACCATGCTCGGATAACTGTTCTATCATAATCTGCTCTGGGGAACTGATGTCCATATGTGCGTATAGCCGAACCATGATTTTCTGTGACCACATTTTCATAGCTTCGACAGCTAAATGTAGATTCTTTTTCACGCTCTTGTGGTGTTGCAATTGTCCCACTTCCTTCACCATGTTAGCCATCTCCAAACGGGCAATACCAACGTAAGCTATCCTCTGTCCTTCAGTCAAGAGGTCCTTGGTTGCCTGTAACTGGGAGACGGCATCACGCTGTTCTTCGTCCATTTCCGTCATACTCGTGGATTTAACATTATTGAAGAGGTAGCGTGTATTATCATCCATACTTGTCTCGGACTCCGCATCTTCATCATCTATAACCCGAGTATATCCTTTACCCGCGCCGCCGAGACCGGCATATCCGTAAGCTTCATCCTCATCTGGATTGTGTTCCTTTGCTACCAGCTTGTTGTCATCGTCGTAAATATCATAAGGTGCATAGGCTGGCATGGTCTGCCATTCGCCATCACTATCATTATCTTCTTCCTTTGGAGCCGTAAGCTGTTGATGCGAAAACTCGGATGCTCCATGATTGCTTGCCGCGCTGACGTCCCGGGTATGGTTCGAAAGGGAGGCTTTCCCGGCTTCCGCTTCCGCTTCTAATGCCTGCTTACTGGCTTGTATCTCTTTTAAAGACGGTCCTGATATGGCCTTGGCATCCTTGCTAAGAGTGCTCCTGCGCTTCGTAGCACTTGAAAAGTCTACTTCCACACTATGAGCCGAGTTGGCTTCAGCGACTGGGTCTTCAGCTTTGGGTGCTTGTTTCAAGACAACCCAGTTACCGCCCTGGGTTATAGCAACGGGTGTTTGGGTTGAAGCAGGAGGTGCATTCTGGAGGATTTCCTGTTCACTTTTTTGATCGCTTTTCGGGAGGGTCGGTTCGCTGGGTGTAGTGGCGGTATCCGCCGACGCTGATGTCGATTTCTCCTCTACCGGCTCCCTATCGGCGCCGTTCTTGGGTGTCTCTAGGCTTTCCGTCTGCACCGACTCCTTGTGAGTTACATCAGGCCCTTCGGAGGGGGTGTTGCTCTCGACGGGCTGAGACATAACTCCCGTAGACTCGTGTTCGCCTTTGTCATCTTTGTCGACGGGGCTCACGTATTTTCTAATGGGCAACCCAAAGTCGTCAACATCAGGGGCGCCGGCAGCTGCCATTGGGTGCTTTTTATCTCGTGCGCATGTGAGTAATGCGAGCTGATCGACCCTACTGAAGTGAGGGAAGGGTACCGGGTATTTCAGGTTTAAAAGGGGGTTCGAGATAATTGTTCGGTCATACGCATGGAACAAAATGTGAGGTTCCGGGGGTCGTTTGGCATTCCCCACCCTGCTGTCAGTTATAGGCTTAGGTGGCTTGGTAAGGTACCTAGCGCAGGACCCTAAGATACTCGGCCGGGTGCGGCGGTGTGCGGTGTGGGCCTGCAAACAGTGACGTGCCTCTACGTACACCGCATGTACCTCCAGCAGAGACGCGCAAACTGATGGGGAACTTTGCTGCGGTTGGGATCGAGGTGAAACAGAACCAAAACCACCCAATACCTATTCTACGACAAAATGCATTTGTCTTGAATAAGAAATGCGGCAGAGTAGTAGTGCCCCAACCTATCTAATTATTCGCCGTTACACTACAGCCTGGAGGAGAAGAAGAAGGGTGCTTTGCCAAGGTCCAAAAGCTCAATGCCTATTCCGCACCCCCACGCTAGCAGTTTGCATAGCCTGTAGCTAACCAGGGGCTTAAGTACTGTACTATGTAGAAATAAGAGAACTCCATACCTAGGTGTAGTGTTTATCGACTCTAAGTCAAAGCATGTTGCTCCCCTGATCATATCCTCAATCCGCCAGTATGGGCAAGGCAGCTTTCCGAACCATAGTCGGCGGTCTATTAAGCAGGACCAGGTTTTTCTCTCATGGTGGAAACAATCATGTCCTCATTGACGTGACCGATCAAGCCTTCCCGTCATCATCTGCATCACTAGTATATTTGCGATTTTGAGTCTGTCTTCGCTTATCCTTTCCAGCTCATTCAGGTCTTCGCAGAGTAAGATGTCCGTTTCACACTTGGCGTCAATCACACGTAATTTCGTCTTGTCTTCAAGGCCGTGACAGATGTGCAAGATCAAGCTATAGTCAGGCGTCAAATTGCTACCTCCAAATACCAGAGATACTCCCTTAAAGTGCCTGTCCTTACCGACAATCTTGAAATCGTCGTTTCTAGCGGATACGAAAAAGCCACTAGGACCACGAATCTCGATTTCCTCGCCAAAAGGCAAGGAAGACAAGATGTTGTATAAGACCCCTGCAAGTTTTTACCGTAAACCCGAAATTTTCCATTTTCATCGTAAAGATCATTGGCTTTCCTACCGTCACCTTTGCGGCCGGCTTTCCTAAGGAATACCGGTTTGATAAGAGCTAAGGCCGTATAAATATCTTGTCTCTAAGATAAAGACCGAACTGAACGTATTGGCAAGTATCAAGACCTCAAGGTATCCCTTCTTCTTGGGAAGCTCGAACTTGTAAACCATACTGGCATCAGAGTTCCCTACTGACACCCATCAATTCTCTCGAACTTCTGTAATGAAAAATGAGAGAAAACCGCCAGACAATTACTTGCCATTTTACTTGTCTCCCATCCTCGTAGCTAGAGATAGTCACTTTCATGGGGCAACCAAGATCTGATGGTAATGAAACATCGTTCATCTCATAAGCCAATATTATATTGTTTGACTCGTTCGTTGCATGCTCGAATGGTATACCGTTTGATAGTGCTCTTCCCCAGAATTAACCCTTTTACGTGACTGGATCCAATATCTTTTAGTCCCTTCATTTGGAATGTGTTTTGGCACCCACCCTCCCTGCTATCAATGCTACATCCCGAAGGTGAGGTCCTTGCCAATATCCCCAGCCACGGGAACTGAACTCCAATTGAGTTCCTTTGTACGTCTGAGCGTGTTCAATTCTTTAAGTACTCGTACGTGATACATCATCCTTCGATTCGTAACATAGCCCACTAACTAATCACTCGGAGTCGCCTTCATCTCCCTCCATGGTATCCTGAATCCACGAAGTAGGTCTCAAGACAAAAGAAGCAACTCCGACCTCGTCATTATAGATAATCTAAGCTACGACAGACTAAGAGCGATCCCCAAGTCTGAGTTTACATCACAAACAGCTCAAAAGAAGTGGTGACCTGTAACAAAACACATCATCAACACCTTGCTTGACAGATTCGTTGAGCAGGCCAGGAGCGACAGCCCATTGACCTTGCTACCTCTTTTTCAACGCAGGCCGGGAAACCCTCATAATTAACATAGGTAAAATATTTCTACCTTGCACGGTTGCCTATGTATTTTGAATGATTATCACACATCTTCGTGTATTAAGTCTGTAGATATATGGACTGGATTTAGTACATCGACGATGATAACGGCATCATGCTTAACATATAATTCCTATTCCATACCCGTCCTTATCATTTCGAGCTGAAAGACAGGCTTTCCAGTAAGAATATCATGTCTTTATGTCATCTTACAAGATTCCGCAACACGCGGTTCGTAGATAATGGCATTTCGCAACGATATCTTGGTTATACATGACCAGTTACAGCCCCATAAATACATCGTTTGTATTATTCAATTTCTGCGATCGGCTACACTATTCATCAACGACTTAGTCAAGAGGTCAATAGTCATTCTATCTAGCTAGTCATATGAATAGCGTAGCGGCCATGACGATTTGACGGGCACCGGGTGAACTCTATTACTCGTGACGACTTGGAACAATGGTGTCATAACCCTCAAAATGCTAGGTATCTTGTAAGGCTGGCGCATCTTAATAAGAATCTCAGGCCTATTCTTCTCTAATATGTCAAAGCGTGGCGACTTATTGCTTTAGAGCAACTGCATCTCATCTCATCTCACCCTCGATCCCTTGTATTCAATATATGGAAATCGTCATCTTTCTGTCTAATTCAGCTCATAATCTTCGCTAAATTCATATAAATTTCAGAAAATGAACGGTCATGCACCGATCCGGAATAATGGACCACCGATGAAATCGGAGTTCGAGGACACGGAGGCCGACGTTGGTCTTCGGGGGCGCATCGTGGACTTCACCTGGGCAAACTTCACATGTACGCAGTCGACGGGCGTGGTGGCCATCATGCTCTCCGAAACACCACACCAGTTCCACGGGCTCCAGACGATCGGCGCCATAATCTTCATATTTAACATCGTGCTATTCCTGTGCTTCTGCGCGGTGATGCTCACTCGCTTCATAATGCACCCTCACATGCTCAAGAAGTCGGTCACGACGCCGCCCGAGTGTTTCTTCATCGGCTCCTTCTGGCTCTCCATGGCCACTGTAATAATGTGCATGCAGCGCTTCGGCGTCCCACACACCGGGACTTGGCTGGTGGTTGCGATTCGTGTGCTGTTCTGGATGTATGCTGCCATCACCTTGATCTACGCCACGGCAATGTTCGCCACGCTATACTTAAAGCCGATCCTCACGCCGAGCCAAATCCAGCCCGCTGTGTTCATTTCTGTGTACAACACGATGTTGACGGGGATCATCGCGGCCTCCATAGCGAGCAGTCAACCGCCCGCGGCACGTTTACCGATCATCGTGGCTGGCGTGGCCTATCAAGGACTTGGCTGGATTCTAAGCCTCGTATTAATGCCTTGGTTCGTTGGAAACACCATCGGCAACGGACCTGGCGGCCCGAGTAATCGCCCAAATTTGTTCTTGGCCGTCGGTTCGTCGGGTTACACTATCGTCAGCTTGGTCGGCTGTGCGAAATCCTTACCTACTTCTTACGACTACTTCGCGCGTCATCCTAACGGGGTCGAAATCCTACAGGTAATGGCTGATTGGATTGGCGTATTTCTCTGGCTATTTACGTTCTGGCTCTTTGCCACTGCCCTCCTAGTCAACCTGCCGACAGTATTCCCGAGGATTGGGGCCGGTTTTCGCCCCAGCCCACGCATGAGCTTTGAATTGGGGTGGTGGAGCATGATCTTCCCAAATGTCGGCTTCACTCTGGCGACGGGTTACATCGGCCGGCAGTTTCAGTCAAATGCTATCCAATGGATTGCAACTATTATGACAGTGATTTTGTTTGTGTTCTGGCTGATGAACTTAGCATTACATGCTAAGGCTGCTGCATTAGCTGTAATGACGCTGAATAAGGCGAGGTAGCTAGAATGTAAAGAATAGATGATTAGGAAGGAAAACAGACAAGAATCATATCCATGGAACTCGGTTCACCTTTCAAATGTTAAAATAAATAGGTCTCTATGTTTTGATAGATTTGACCCCGGGTTTGCAGTTCATGTAATCTGTTATCTGTAATCCTCCTATGTGTGAGACGCCGGAACTCTTCTGTTTAAGTCTCCATGCATATTGTTGACTAACGTGAGGTATATATGGTGTTGATTTGGCTCTTCTTCATGCATGCTTGTGACCTCACACTGAAATCTTGTGCTTGGACCTTGATAATTTGCGTGATCGACTATTGTCGTCGCAAATAGAGGTTAGTCTAAGTCGTGTATGCTAAGAGACCCAGGAGGTAACAATCCAACAGCTGCACGACCCGTCTATTCAAATCTCTTGTCACATGGCACTGAACGTGTAACTCGTGGCGCCTGGTGGGATGGTTCACATTGATGGTATCATTGACTTCTCAAGTCTAAAAATTTAGAACTTTTGTCTTTCCTGGAAACGCCTCGCAAATGCTTTCTCATAAGTTCAATGCTGAAAATACCGAGCACGCAGACCATCATTCTTCGCCTACCGATGCCTCTACCTGATTATCACTTGCTTTGCTGTCATGAATAGCATTTTTCGACTTGTGTTTGCGCCGTCGCTTTCGTCCTGAACCTCCTCCAGCAGTATCTGGCTGTGCACCATTATCCGGCTTCACTTCCTTGCCTTCAGCTGTTTCGTCTGGTTTCGTCGGGGCTTTCTGCGCCTGGTGTGTTTTCTGCTCCCTTTTCTTCTTTACCGACAAGGGATTTGGCTCTTTGCGACCATATGTCTTTTTCGTCTTCTTCTTTTCAGGTTTGCTCTGATCGGCGCCTTCCTTTGTTTTATCAACATCGTCGTCCGAATCTTCCGGCTGCCGTTTCCTCTTTCCCCCTGGTGTTTTGAGTTCCGCGGTAAACTTTGCCTTCTCATCTCGTGAACGTGCTTTTACAGTAGTCGAAGATGCTGGTTCCATGATGAGGACGGACCGTCGAATATACAATAATGGCACAACCTGAATACCGTTCCGCAGGGAGGACCGAACTTCGTCATCGTTTATCGCACAAACGTAACGGTGCTTATTGACGCCATTCTTACTGGGGTCGATCACGGAGTGGAGACACTCTCGCTCGTCTATTTAAAGACAATTAGCAGATTAATAGTAGAGAAGGATAGTAATTTAACGTGGGTTTCAGGGGCATGTAAGAACAATGAGATCGAAAGACAACCGAGTTCCAGAGAAGAAAGCGTTGCTAAGACATACCGAGAGGTTCAGGGTAATCAGAGGGATGGTGTCCACATCGTCGTCGTTCCACTCTCTCCTTTGCGAAGTCGATAACAGCTCCTATGCCAGGTTCGTTTTTCCTGGCGTACAACCATCTCATCGAACATTGAGTTATTACTGGGCGACTAGATCAGCTTGGTATCTCTGAATTCAGAAGACAGTATGAACGCACGAAGTTTCGTGTTGCCGTGTAGAGTCGCCTTTAGTATGTGATCAATGTCCATCTTACTACGGATAGCCGCCTCGAGGAATTGGCTGTCGCAGAGGACTTGGTAAGGCTCACGAAAACCAAAATTTATCTCTGCATGGATAAAAAGTCAGAAAGATGTTCAAAATCTGGAATACGTACGTGATGGTCTACTCACCATATTGGTTCATGAGCCTCTTATACTGCTTGGATCTTTTCGCGCGCGGCATCTTGGTGTGGTTGTCAGTTGACGACAGGCGCTTTTATGGTGAAATAGTTTGTCATTGACATCGAATCAAGCAAGGCGTATTCCTTTTGGCGCCCAAGGGGGCTTCCTGAGTGGTGGTCTTTCAAGAAAATAATCATTGAAGATTTAAGATCGAAGCTCCCCATTAAGAGCTTTTTCGCGTTAGTAGTTGTACTTTGATGTATTAGCACTCTTAACTTCTTTATCGATATCGGATATCCTACGTGTGTGGGTATTTACTTGCATATACCCCACTATCTTATATAGGTACCTATGCACTTCGGTAGGTTAGGTACCCGTAGGTAGGTAGGTACCTCTACAGTACCTATGTAGCTATGTACCTAATAAGTATTTTAAGTAGGTGTTTCCTAACCTCCCTTAGGTTTGACCCGTAAGAACTTCACTACGTATTGTACTCTCTCGCCCTTCATATTCGAAACGATGATATTTTCTTATTGCAAGATATGATGTAGCAGATTGACTCTGTGACTCTGCCAATGCGCTGATGCATGCCGAAACGCCCTATTAAAGCCGGCCCCACCCAACATCGTCCATGTAACTAACATTCTATATAGTAGTAAGGTTGGAAGTCCGAACGCCTATGTCCGTCCAACTTCGTACCCTTAATATGATATCTAAAACTTCAAAACGGCCTAATGAACAGAGTGCCTCCAGACCTACACGCATACCCTTAATCCTACGCAGAGGCACGTCGGCATAACCCGGCTACAACGCTGATATCGTCAAGTTTCCCTGAACCAAAGTCCGTTAGCCCTGATTAACTTATAAAGTTATGAAGCGATTTAACTCACCACCTGAGCTAGCTAGTCCTTCTTCAATGGCGTGTTCCATATATGGAGACTCCGCAAAGGGGTCAGTTGCAATAGCTTTGGCCGCCTTCATGAGTTCCTGAGCCACAAATACCATGCCGCCGTTTGCGCCATGAGTGCGATCACCATGGGCAGGGCCGCCTTCTCCAGCTTCCCAGCGCTCTACGCTTTTCAACACGTTGTCGACAATCTCATGTTCCCAGAGGTTATCGGTGACTCCGTCAGACATGGCAAGACATAAATCTCCTTCGGCAAGCTCTACGGTGTCGACTGTAGCATTCTGATCTGGCGTGTCTAGACTGTTGGTGCCGAGTTGTCTCGGGCAATCAAACCAATGCCACTGCTCTTTTGTTTGGTATAATATTTCCCGAGTTTTCACGCGGATGACCATCACTCGTGAATCGCCTAGATTCGTTACATATAGAAGTGGCACAATATTTGATTGCGGGTTGCTCAAGTCTCCTTTGTAGAAGAGTTGCGCACCAGTAGCCGTCGTTGTTCCTAGACAGTTGATTGGCCCAGTTGTAGCCTCAACTGTTCTTTCGTACGCCCTCTGCAGATATCGTCTTGGGTCAGGTTGATAGGTGGAGCTTGGCCACTGAGATTTAGCCATATCTTCTTCCATAGCTTCCACCCAGAAATGCAAGATCAATCGAGACCACAGACTTGAAGAAATGTCAGTAGTGAGCGTTTCTTAACGACAGCAGGTGCATTACCCAGCGTGACCTCTCGGCCGAGATGACCACGCACCAACCCCATCGTTGGCACATATGAAGTGGTCACTAGCATAGACAGCATCATCGCCATTAGTGTAACCCCGAATAAGCTCTCCATGAACGAAGACGCGCCTGTCACGACTCTGATGATGGGTGCTCAGGGGGTCTGAGAAGGAGCCGGAGGGCGGTGACAAGAAAGGAGGGGGAAAGGGCCGAGGTGTGCGCTTCGCAAAAAGTGCAACGCCTGTCTCGAGATGAAAAGGAAGCCTCAGTTGAGAGTCCGGAGGAGGTGAGGCGGCATCGCCGATACCGCGTGCTGCGCTAGTCGACGATATGAAGCTAAGTTGCTTGAATGAGGAAGTCCAAAACACAGAGTAAACATCACGACAGTAGAGTGGCCATCGCGCCCGGCCCGGAAGAGAGGCCAGCACGGGGAGAGGTGACCTCCTCATCCCCACGATGCACGCACAGACAAGCCAGCGAGATAGACACTAGCTGGGCACGGGACAGGCGCGAGACGGGAGTATCAACATGGTGGAATGAAACGAATGTCCGATACTAGGAGGTCGGCTTATCGATAAAAGAATATACTGTTGGCGTACAGCGTTGGGTTGTCGAGTTTACAATTCCAGTTACTGAAGCGGCAACTGAGCAGAAGATAATGCATGTGAGGGCTAGCAGGTACCTACCCAGGCGAGCTAGTAGGTATCCAGCTACCTAGGTACATGTAGATATTTTGATGTGGGGCGGGTTGGGAAAGGCGCTGGGTCTGGAGCTGGCTCTTGTCATGGTTTTGGCGACGATGAAATCATCTTCCTTGGTCGATTTTTGAAAGCTGATCTACACTGATCGCCGTGAGCATCTGCAGTTCATATCTTGATATTACCTCATTCTACCTATGTAGTACGCTTATTTGATATTGTAGGTACTCAGGAGAAACACTTTTCCAGCGCACCAACCACGTGTAAGTATGTTAGTTGGGCATAATGACAACCAAGTCTCGCTGTTTGAACATGACGCCATCTCGGTACAACTAGGTGGGCGCACATGATTTACCTAGTACTCCGTCCAATGGTATGGTACTAGTGTACGGTGAGAACGAAATGCCTATCTCGTACCGAGTGGGGCAGCAGTACTTAGGTAGGTAATATCAAATGTAAGCCTCTGAATACCTTAAGAAGTAGATAAGCAACAAAGGATTTGTGGTGACTGACCGTTTCCGCATCATCAAAGCTGATGATCAGGTAAATTACTATGTGTGAGTAAAACCGATGCACCGGGTACTCAAATACCTAGTAGTACTGCTATATATGCCAACACTATGTACAATTTTAGATAAACATGACGAAGTCTGCAAGGGACCATCGGTGCTCTGAATCATATCATGGCCAGCAAACACTGAGTTGTCAAGCAGCTAGTCTAAAACAACGCTTGTTTTACCCTCAGCGAACTCTGCGGATGGCCTTACCTATCTGTTTAGTCACACTGGACACATGACTTAGTAGGTACTCGATGATAGCACGCGCCAAAGTACATGGAACTGATCGTTCGTGAAGCTATTGACATTTACCTTGCGTTAGGGTGTTCTCCATATCGGTGAGATCGGCTAAAGGATTTATCGATACAACACTTATCAGCCCCCATGGCTTCTTGCATCGTATTCGCAAACATCAACTTATTGTGCAGCCTAGTAACTGCCCAGGACACCTGCCCGGGAGGCAGCCAAGAGTAGTATATATAGCACTCGCATATTTCGGAATCAACAATACGAAACACAAGAGGCCAGAAGTAGAGCGCTCAAGATTAAGTAAGCTGATAGTGCGATGCTAGGGTCTATCAGATGTACTTAAGGTAGGACGACAAAGCCAAGCCCGACCAAGTCATACCTGGGGAATCGTGTTGAGTACCACGTACATCTGGGAATCTGCAGCATTTCGGTATTTATTATATGCACAATTTATATGTACGAAGTAAGCGAAACGTATTCCATGCAAGTTACATACTTAGGCAGACTTAGGCTACACGACAGTCGCTTCACTGCAAAAGGAATATCTAGCCAAGCCCTTGTCCCAACCATGCTCAGCCGCTAACTGACGTAATGCAGCCAGGGAAAAACGTAGCTAATCATCGATGCTGCCATACTTAGCATGCTTCTTCAATAAAACGGTGCCGTACCATCCGGTTACTTCCGGCTATCTGTACCTACACAGTAGCTTAGTGTTCCTGCTGTAACGAGACTGAATGAGCGCCAGCCTCCAGGGGGTAATCTGCATGGTTTTGCTGGCAGGGTTTAGGAGGAGAAATCAAGAATTGGTTGTTCGCGAGCGACAAGAACTTTCTCGCTGCCACATGCTTGTAAGTACTTAAGTACTTAAGTATATATGTAAGTAGATATGATTTGTATCAGCCTCAGCTAAGGAGAGGCAGTGCTCTCTCTCTACAGTACCGAGTAAGTAGGTATGTATCTTCTAAACCTTGTTTTGTCTCTCTCGTTTTCATTTTGCTTTCAGCTGGGACTAGGTACGCACAACCAATGCATTTCTTTATTCCCTGCCCGCCGCGTCTTGGATCCCCTTGGCCAGTTCTTTTCTATATCTAGTGTAATAAATGTACATACCTATCTTACTTACTAAGGACTGGCAAACCCAGTGGCCGACCCTTCCGTGATCAGTAGACACCCGAAAGGAGCATGATTCGTACTACAGTTTACGTAGTACTGTCTACTACCTAATATAGTATACACATAGTCGTACCTAGCGGCTACGTATACGTCACTTCTAGCTCCAACCCTACCTACCACCATTATTTCTGATTCAGGCTTAAACAGAGTTGAATCAGCAGCGCTAGCAATATCGTGTACTTGGAGAGGTACGAGTGAAGTAGCGAGAAGTAGGCATAGCATCGAGGTAGCCTATTGTCTGTCTTCCTTTCATACAGTTGCGGTTCGATCGTTGACGGTGCCAAGAAGCGCGGTGAATACAGGCGTCCAATCTCTCGTGTTGAATCGAGCAAAGGGATCGGAGAGGGCCCGACAGAACCAAGAGGGCCGTCAAAGCAGGCCAGACCAGGCGGATAGGCGGCCAGTCGTTGTGGCAGATGGTCGACTCGAATCGCAAGCCCCATCGCCTTGAGACCTTCCCCTTTTCTGTCGTGGATGGCATTCCATTTATTCGTATTTGCGTGTCCATGTGGGTATCTTGCATGCGGTGCCACCCGACTCCCGTGAAGCTACAAAACTCACTCGTGCCCACATTCTCCTGATACAGTCACACTACATCGCATGTGCTGACTGACCGTCGGTACTTTTTGGGCCGGCCGCAAAATCCGGTGGTTGGTTATACAAATCTTCAACACCCTCACTTTTCCTATATTGTTGTGTTTCTATTGCGATTGTTGTTTCCCTTCTTCTTTGTGTGCCCTTTTGTCTATAGGCACTTTCAATAGGCGACGCGATCAGACAACTGGACGACCGACGGCGCCCGCTCATTGAGGGTCACCTCACATCCTAGTCAGTTGCCATTAGACCGGCATTGACTCGAAGCAGATCAAAACTCAAAAAGTTGCAGAGAGCGGCTTCAGCTCGCTGGGGTTCTTCAGGCGTCAGTCTGAGTGCAAGTCGAAATCTACAAGATGGTCCGGAAACGTGGTAAGTATATGTTGCTTCCCATATTCTTGTTTAGATCCTACTTCGTCTCCCGAACTCCCAGACGCCTGGCTCAAGGGTTGCTGTAATTGTCGCACATGTCCGCCTGAGTCCACAGTCTGTACCCCAGCGAATGGTTCTGGCCCTGCAGAAATGAAGATCACGGATGGAAGGGCTTGTGCATTGCAGAGCAAAGGGCAGCCGTGGCAGGTCTGAACACCACGATCCTCTGTGTGCTTCGATATCATGAAAATATCCCTGGCCTTTGCGGCGCTCGCGGCGACAATACCTACCAACGGCACCAACAGGGCCGATCTCAAGGTGGTTTTGCCTAAGATGTTTATTGGGGGTATGAGTGCCTTGCGTAGGGAGAAGTCTTCTTGCGGTATCCTGAGGCTGTATAATGCAATCCATTTACGGATATAAAACACCCAGCTCTACACTGCGCACGAAGCGGTTGCAACATGGGCATCACCATGCATTCGTTCATTTCCCTCAACTGGGCATCGAACAAGGGGTTCCACAACGCCTGCACTATGGTGGGTGCTGATTCACACAGAAATCGGACAATGGTGCCAGGGCTCGCCAGGCTCTGCCGAATACCCTGAGATCGCCTAAACAAGTACTGCAACCAGCACACGCTACACTTTCCTAGCGGTCCACTGCACCCTCATCACCTCCACCGTCCAGACACCGTCCTGCCCGTCCTCGTCCTACCTTGGTGCTCACCGACGATGCACAGTAATGTAAAGTCGAAGCAAGCACCACGCTCTGCATCAGTCCTGCACCATCGTGCCTGAGCACTGCGCAGTCGTCAACCTTAGCACGCTGGGTCGGCTTAGATGTCCCCAGCCAGGCCCAGTTCCTCTCCGCCCCGAGCCAATCCCTGCCTCCCGCCCCTTAAACTAGCTGCCAATCCCTCTCCATTATTTGTCGTTCCTTTGATGCCAATTCCGTCATTCGTCACACCAGAGGCCCTCACTGTATGAGTGTTGTGACAATCCCTTCACCTGATAATCTGTCAACCTGGCCGCATGCCCGCCCTCTGCCCGCTGCTACCCTACGTTGCGCTAACCAAATATCGTCATCAAAAGTGCTCTCGTTTATGTCCCACTTCTCTAGCTCGCACTCTCCTGCCAACAGCGATCCGAAATCCATCTACAACGAATCTACCTCGACGCCTCATACGCCCCCGAACGGCATAAGCGGACTTGGAGACCGCCAACCATCCTATCCTGGCAAGAATCCGAGCGCCGCCAAAAGTGATTTTTTCCATCGCCGCGGCCACGCTCGGGCTGTGTCATCCACTGTCCCGGCCTCGCCGCTTTGGGTCGACCATGACAGTTCGCCGCTAAATAGTTCACCGATTACCGTTGCCGACCATAACCGTTCCCGAAGTCGCAGCTCCTCTCGCCCATTGTCTATGGTTCAGGCCTACCAACCGCCCCGCATGGATATCAACGAGGATACGATCCCGGAGCTGCAGCCCATATTCACTTTCCTAAACAGCCATGCCAATAAGTTGTATCAAGAGGGATACTTCCTCAAGTTAGATGACCAGAATACACGTATGTGAAATTGGAATGAAATGCGGGAAGTACTTCATGCCGGACTTCCACTAACTTGATGTAGAGGGCAAGCCGAACCCTGATCGCACATGGACGGAATGCTTTGCGCAGCTTGTCGGGACGGTTCTGTCTCTGTGGGACGCTGCGGAGCTAGATGCCGCTGGCGAAGATGGTGAAGTTTTACCCAAGTTCATCAACTTGACTGATGCGTCAATCAAGATGGTATAGTGTCGAACTGCCCTACAGTACTTCAGAGCATTAAGCTAACGACATATCAGATCGAATCACTACCTACCAGATCAAACGAGGAACAGCCTTTACAAAATATCCTCAGTATCTCAACTGCGGGAAGAAATAGATACCTTTTACATTTCAATTCTCGGCAATCACTAATCCAGTGGACGTCTGGTATCCGGCTCGCCATGTTCGAGCATTCCACGCTTCAGGAGGCATACACAGGGGCACTGATTGCAGGCAAGGGCAAGCATTTAAATAATATAGGTGTCATCATGGAGAGATCGCGAGTCGACATGGGCCAATGGGTACGAGTGCGATTTGGAGCCGGTGTTCCTTGGAGACGATGTTGGTGTGCTATCTCGCCACCAGACGAGAAGGAATATCAGAAAGCCATGAAGGAGCATAAAAAGAAAAACCCGTATGATCGCTCACACCCCCCAATTCTTAAAGGCGACATCAAATTCTACGACCAAAGGAAGGAGGGCAAGAAACAGAAGAAAGTACAGCCTATAGCTACGATCAACGACGCGTATTCCGCCTATGCGTTATACCCACAATCTAAGTCTTTGATCGATGCGTCCACATTGATCAAGATCGAGGGCGATATTACCATACATGCTGATCCTCCTTCATCTACAGAGGGCTTCGTTTTCATTATGCCAGAAGTAAACCCGGCTGTCAGTGGGTTTGAAATGATGCTACGATTTTTGTTCCCTACATGGGACACCTTCGGACTGTACGGTCGACCAGGACGATTGGTCGCTAGTGTGTTGGACTCCAGGTCTCTGATGTTCGCGATGCCGAAGCACAAGCGTTATGGATATCTTGAATTGCTTGATGTGTCGAGCTTGATATTGACGGATGGAAATGCGACCAGGAGCGAAAGGGAATGGAGGAAGAAGTTGAAGGAACTGACTGGCACTCGAATGAATACCACAACGGACGAAAGTGAGAGTAGCGGTACTAGCCGAACGAACAGCCGTACGAAACGGCTCAGTTCTGGCCCTGCGCCAGCTGGGAACGCAAAACCTCGAGTTGGGTTTGCTGACGATTCATCACCACCTCCAGTAAGATCATCGCGATCCATGTCTCTAAATTCTGGTCAGGATGCTGTGAGCGGCATGCCGACCTCATCTAACGTACACCCACCCGGAGAGATTCCCCCACCGGTTCCTCGTCATAACGAGAATCCATATACCGTAGTTCCGGGTCCTGTAGCTGGACCCGACCCTGCACGTTCCTTTATACCTGATTTCGCGGCCGCCCCAGGAACCGCGAGCTCAGAGGAAGAGCGGATGGATACACCTATTCAAGATTTTGATGGCATGCGACGGATGCAAACTCCAGAGCCAGTTTCCCAACCGCCTAGGTTTTCCCATGCGCCAGGAGACAAGCCCAATAACCGACCATATCATTCACCAGAAATGCGCCGTGCGAACAGCCGATTGTCAATAAACACGCTGAATCAACTTACTACCGCGGGTAATGTTTCTGCTAGCCCAGACGTATGGAGCCCTGAGAGCGAGAGAAACAACGAGGCGCAGCATGCAACATCTCGCCAAGACTCCGACCAACCTGGTCTGCCTCCGGTACATTTGCATGTCAACAACACGAGGATACCTGCTAACTTTGGATCCCATGAAGTTATAATGAATAATCCCCCGCGCTCCCCGGGCTTCCCGTCTGACATGGACTCATCGTCGCAACGATCAAGATCGCCGTTCAATAACCATACTCAACCTGACTCACGCGGTCCAACTCCTACACCTCGGCCAAAGACGCCAACCTCGAGGCCAGGGACTGCCTCTGGAAATCGACCACCTGGACCGCCTAATTTTGGCCATCAAGGTAACCACCCAGCGTACCGTGGACCGCCACCCCCTGGACCACCCCCTGGACCACCTGGCATGCCCCCGCCCGGTAGGGGCCGTGGCTATCCACCACCAAATATGGCTGGTCCTGGTCGTGGTTATCCTAACGGACCTCAAAACATGTACACGGGATCTGCCGGACCTGGTGGTAGAGGTGGACCCCGGTCTCCTCCGCCCAACCGTGGGGAACAATTACCGCCATTGGATACCTCACCTATCCACAGAAAACCCTTGCCGGTTCGTTCTGATAGTCTCCAGCAACGTTCAAATACGGGTGGTGTAACCCCAGCGACGGAGTCTGCAAGCAGTGCAAGCTTTACCGGCCATCGGATAGATACTGAGGGGTTCGGGCAAATCCGTGCTCAGAATGTAAGCGGTCCTGGGCCTCAGCCAAGCGCTATGCGCTACGACACAATGATTAGTCAGGCCAGCAGCCGCTATGATGATGGGGCGTCCACTTCGAGCCCTGACTATGCCAGCTCGCGGCCGTCAACTGGAACTTCTGCGTCGGTGGTTGAACGACCTAGGGCTGGCGTATTGAAAACAGTAGGGGCTCCCGAAGAACACTCATCTCGGTCTGGGGGCTCTAGTTTCGAGATTCCAGGCATCGACTTCGGTCCTACTCTCAATTATGCTGCAGCACCACGAAATCTGCCATCATCAGGCGGCATTGGAATTGCACAAACTTCTAATCCATCTGGTCCCAGGGCGCAGTCACCAAATGCAGCTTTTCCTCAACGGCCAGTCATCCCCGGAGCTTCTCATAGTCGACAGGGCTCGGAAGAGAACGTGCGAAAGAGCGTGGTGTGGCAGCCAGCCGGCACAAGCCCTGGTTCGGGTGGCCCTAGTCTTTCTGCCGAAGAATTTGTTCAGCAAAGGGCGGCAACTGCGACACCTTTATACGCCCACCAGCGACATTCCTCTGGCAACACTCTCGCTAGTTATCGTGCCGGCACGCCAACCCCCCCACTCGGCCGCGGTCAAGATAAAGACTACATAGGTACGGCACATTCACGCAATAGTTCTCACGATCTCTTGCAACGTCCCAGCTCTCGAGGGGCTGGTGAATTTCTCCAACGACGCAAATCTGGGGAGTTGTTACAGAGGCCCGGATCCCGAGGTGCAGGTGCCGTCTTAGGTGGCCAGCAATCACAAGGGGAGTCACATTTGTCAGCCCGGGAACAAGAACATGTTGCACGGATTACTGGCTCGCCTCTTATCAATATGGCGGGGAACAAAAATGCTCCCCAGACTGGTGGGGGGCTTATAGGCGCAATCGAAGATCGTGAACGTGGACGTGAGCAAATGAAACAAGGTTGGGCCAGCCAAGCTGCGCAGAATGCCATTCAGCGACAGCAACAGCAACAGCCGCCGCAGCCAGGCTACGCACATTACCAGCGGTCAATGTCGCCTTCGCCCATGCTTCCACCGCCGGCAGGTATGTACTCGAATATGGGTCGAGGCATGGTTCCACCGTCGCCCAGGCAACATGGATTTGGAATGGGTCGCGGCTATGGCGGTCCTGAACAAGAAGGCAACTGGGCACCTGGCTCTGGCGGTTTCCGGTCGCCACCTCCTGGTAACATGGATCCACGGTTCATGTCACCTCAAGGCCAATATTCTTCATCACCACCATATTCGCCGGGCCCAAGAGGCGGTGCTGGCGGGGCTCGTGGCCAAAACCCTTACCACGGGCAAGCCTTCTAGGAGCAGGGGAACAATAATAACGACGACGACAACAACAGCAGCAACAAGAAGAACAACAACAGGTAGAAATGATTGTACATAGGTGCATAAGTTACGCTCTAGTGTATTTTATGACTATTCTTGACAATAGGAGGCTTGGATGAGTGGATTGTAAGTTGCCAGTATAGCATTGCATGAGGAATAGGTAATGGCGGGTTTGCATGGTTGGGGGGCATGGCATCATCATCATATATTGGATTGGGCTATACATTGTTCATCGGTTTGCAAAGCATTGGGCGCTGCTTTGACTACAGTAAAGCTAGTTAATTCCTTTTGTTTCAGGACGAATACCAATGCTTTTATTCTCCCATCCCTTCACTTCCCTCCCTTGGTACTGCGTCGTGGTGGCAGTAGGCCATATCCCTTACTTCATACCTGGCACGATATGGCATTCAAGGAAGTCTGTGACAGGTGGTACGAGCGAGTACGAATACTAGTTGGTATATTATCTAGTACCTACAGTAGGTATCTAGTAGGTATGTACTCTGTAGGTAGGTACTTAGGTAGGTAGTATTTGTGCTACCCCAACGTTTACGTCTTATTAGCTAGTAGCACTGCACTGCCCTGACCAACAAGTGCGTGCAAACAGCCATTGAGAGACATTGTCCCTTTTTATTTCTTAATCGTGATATCAACCTAACCCTAACCCATCAGTTTCTATTTTTCTGTTTCTCGATATCAGTCGGACAGGTCAGTAACTGCCATTGCTACGTACAGCTCCTTCATCATCACATCACTGCCACGTTCGCTCTGTCGCCATCGCTAGCAACTGCAGCACCTACGTAATAAATTCCATGCTGCATTAGTTCGATACCCTGGGGATTACCTGCAGGCAAGCTCTCCATCCATCCCCACACGACATTGCATACGCTTTCTGTATCGAACAGGAGCATCTAGTCTAATGGTAAGTATATCTTGGAAGGCCTAGACTAGCAGATCGCTTTGGTGAGAAGCTGGCTTCTACTGGAAGGACAGGTGACACCATACAGCTCCTTCTGATTGCATCGTCTACCGACAGTGGACAGTGGACAGTGGACAAGCTGCATGCATATATAGCTTCTGCAGGTCAGACGCGTGGTCCACCAACAAGCGCTGCGGCTCTCCTTGTGGATCTATCCCGTCCGTCGCCTTGCCTTGCCCTCCTCGTCTGCCTAAATACCTTACCTCCATACCTACCTACATACCTAGGTAGGTAGCCAAGGTAGCCTAAATGAGCACGCCTTTGCACAGCATCTGGGCGTGGATGAAGAAATCGCTGAACAACGTGTCGTCGCCGTCCAAGTTTTACAGGAACATGACGAAGCCTCCACTCCGCATCCTGTGCTTCGGCAACTCTCTCACCCGCGGCTACCCCGTAGAGCACCCCTATGCTCGCAAGCTGGCCAGCAAGATCGAGCAGGCCTTCCCCGGACGCAAGGTCGAGTACGTCGTCGACGGCCTGCCTGGCGATCTCGTCACTATCGGGAATTATATTCCTCGGATGCAGAGCAATTGTAAGGCCCCCCCGCTCCGTTCATTCACGCTGCTAGGGGAGTGAGGTGGGGTTTCCGATGTCAATTCGATAACTCGAATTACCTAACCCAACTTTTGAACAATGGCATGTAAACCCTCAGCTAACATGTATTTTGTCTTCTAGGGGCCGAAGGGAAAAAACCGTTCGACTGGACAATTGTTCTTGGCGGAACTAAGTATGCATTCATTCACTCACTTCCCTTACAATCTCCAACTTCAGGCTTTCACACCTAGTCAGTTTATACATAGCTCACGGATGTAAACCAACCGGGAATCAACCCATACCTAAATCTCGCTCATTATTCGTTACTAACTGATACCTTGATCTAGTGACCTCGGATGGGGCCGAGAAGCAGATAAAATCATTGAGGGTCTAGAGAAGTCCTGGGATATCCCACTGTCGAAAGGAGGGAAAGTCATGGCGCTCACGATACCGGAAACTAAGGGGATTTTCCCCGACATCACGGAGAAACGCACTATAATAAATGATGCCATCAGAATTTATGACAGGGAGAACTAGTAAGTGGCATTCATTCTTTCCGACTCCATGATCCAATTCGGACGCGCAAGGGCTGTGTCTATCTTGACCAGCTACTTGGGGGTTTGATCGCATTATGGTCCCTCCACCTCCTCCCTCCCTTGCAAGTGTCTCTAACGTCTATAAAAAAACCTCTAGCTTCCACTTTGATCTGCACAAAGAACTCCCCTATCACTCTCTGTCTCCTGAGGACCGCGCCAAATACTGGAATCCAGACGGCGTGCACCTCAAGGCTGCGGGCTACGATCGCATGGGCGAGATGATCGGCGACGCCCTGGTCCAAATCCTTCGGCTCGCCGAGGCCCAAGAAGACGAGATCAGCAGTGTCGTCTCGGACGCGCGACAGCGCAAGGCGATCGAGGAACTGGTGTTCGAGGAGGAGATGGGCGATCCGCGGCTTCTGAGCCAGGGCTACATCGTAGTTCGCAAGAAGGATCTCAACTGAGAAAACCCCCAGCAAATAGATACGATAGAAGTGATAGAATTTTAGCGATGTTTTCTAATCACTCAGTGCCCTGCATCCCATTATTCCTACTCAGACGATGGGGGCGGACGAGTAAATTTCTATCCTGCCTCCTATTCAGTGAAAGAAACCCCCCATCCTCCGAGCCTTTCTGTGCTCTGTTTAATCTAACCCCTCAACGCCATACTGTGCAAATTATGACCAAGTTCTGTTATTACCAATCCGAAACGTAGTATGGTCTTTTTTCCCTCTATAGTTGGTCAGACCAGTCGCGAGCCTAGTCTATGCCTGACCATGCCCAGCAAGAAAAACGCCACTTTGGGTTCATATCCGTCATGCCATTTACCATTCATCGTTATGCCATTCGCGACTAAAAATTTTCTTTTCCATTTCTTTCATTCATTTTCATCTTCCTGTTCTGGCTGGTTTATGTCACCAACGTAGCAGCGACGAACTCGGGGAACTCTCGTTGGAGGGCATTCGTGACGTTCTCGACTTCCTCGGCCAGGCCCTGCACGTTGGCGTCCCAGTGCCGCATCTCCTTGCCCACGGTGACTTCGGCGCGGCCGCTGCCTTTCTCTCCCGACGCCTCGCCGCGCTCGAACCAGATGATCTGCTCGATCTGGTCGATGCGGCCTACTAGACGGCCCTGCTCGATCATCTTGGCCGTGGTGTCTTCGGCTCGGGACGCGTCGAGACCCAAGAGCACACCTAGCTCCTCGAAGCCGATGTTGCTGTAAAGCCGCGAGGCACCGAGGAGGTTGTGCTCTACCACGGCTTTGGCGAGAACTGTCGATCCGTCGGACGTCGTGGCCAGTTGGTGCGGGGCGAGACCCTGGGCGAACTTCTCAACTTCGGCGGGCGCCAGAAGGCGGTCTAGAAACATCTTCTCGAGCATCCCGAACTCGTCGAGGTTGACGGCGCGCTCATCCTTATACAAGCGGGCGAGGGCACGGCTGCGCAAGGGGCCGGCGGGAGCGAGGATGGCACAGCGCGCGGCCATGGCAAGGGTGTGCAGACGCTCGTCCTCGGAGACGGAAGGGAATAGGCTGATGTCGTGGTACGCGGAGCTGGCGCTCAGAAACTCTCTCTTGGCATCGTTGATGCGGGCCTGGGAGAGGCGGAAGTGCAAGTTGAGTGCTGGATCCGAGACGACGAAGATGATGATCTTGAGCTTGTTCAGGTACGTCTCGGCCGAGGTCGTGTCGTCGACCTCGAGGTAGTTGCGCACGATGCGCACCCAGATGGCAGCGCGCTCCTCGTCCGTCACCTTGCGCTGCGCGGCGTCGAGCGGGATCTCCGAGAGCGTCTTGGCCGCCTCGAGGAAGTCCTCGTTGCTCTCGTGTGCGTCTGCCATCAGAGCGCGGAGCGACGCCACTTGGTCTAGGAATGTAGCTGATGGCTGCGCCGCGATGATGTCGAGCGTGTGCTGACCTACGGAGACCGACAGGTCGGCGTTGTTGAAGGCCCCGAGCACGGCGATGAAGCGCTCCAGCACGCTCCGCAGGGCCACGACGCGCAGGTCGTTGGTGAAAATGGAGCTTGCGATGGCCTTCATGTCAGCTTCGACGGTGGTGGGCGTCGAGTGAGACTTGAGGTTCTCGAGCAGCGAGTCGTAGGCGGCAGCTTGGTCGTCGGCCGCCTTGGCGGCGGCAAGGAGCTCGTTGATCTTGGGGCTCGCCATGGTCGATGTTCGGTGCTCGCCAGGCTTCAGAGCATAAGTTGTCAATGTCTGATCGAAGACTTGAGATAGAACCCTATAAGTTACGCGTGCCCCAATTCGGATATGCGTTAATAAATGGTTCAAGCAGAGAGGTCGAGAAGGGCTGGGGGCGTTTATTGATAGTTAGTTTTGGATGGATGGGAACGTTATATCTGAATGAAGCTCCGGGATGGAGGTTACGAAGTAGACATAAGGTGGGGGAGAATTAGGTACTAGAGGTGGGGCTGGAGAGCTGCCCCAGCTCGGCCTGTCTCCCGGTTTAGCCTCACCCCACGAACAAGGAGCACCATAGCAGCAGCTTGCCAGGAAGTCATAAATAGAACACTACGGATTATCTCACAACTAGGTATGAACAAGTATGGCCCTAGGTATAATTAGTGTACGATATTGAATGTCTGCTCTGGTTTAGGATGGATATCCTGACATGTTATTGGATATCTAAATCCCGCAAGCTGAATTTAATAGATGTCTGAGCTCAGACGACAACCGCTTCATTGTTAATTCATCCGATTTGAACCGTAGCCATAAGCTGAGTCCAGTTGTATCATTATCGTACATACATACACAGTACTCGTCTTTCTACTCTAGAAGGTATCAGGACACGCCAAATCACATAGCCGTAATACTATGGTATCCATCTTGGTCTTGGAGATCTAGCCCGGATATGTAAGCGAGTAAGCAGTAAGGGAGAATACAATACAGCGAGCACGCCAGCAAGTTTGTATATATTGCATGACGAGGGTGAATTGTAGGGTGGATTGAGCTAACCCAACAGCTGCCCTCACTCTGTGAAGTACGTAGGCTTCATAGGCGGGTAGCGAGAGATCTCACACTTCATTCCCTCCAAACTAGCTAATGCTCAAGAACAACCGGCTTTCCCCTTTCCCAATTATCGATGCTCTCGCGAATATTCGTCCAATACCTCAACCTAACGACCTCCTCCCTCGCGCCCTCGAGATCATCTTTCGCAAGCATATCTCCCAGCCTCCCCACACTCTCCTCGATCCGCTCTTCATTCTCCGCCCTCAAGCCCTCCAAGTCACCCTCGTTCTCCGCCTCTTCAATGGTCTCCCTCGTCTCGAGCACGAGCATGAGCAGTTCCGGATCTTCCACCTTCGCCGTCTCGTCCCCCGCGACATCCCACCCGCGAAGAGATAAGACGTATTGCGCGCGCAAGAGAGGGTGCGACAGCGTCTTGAAGGCCTCGTTGATCCGCGCTGATGTCGCCTGTGCGCGCGCCTTCATGTGTGCTGGGTGCAGGTCGGGGTGCGCGCCCGCCTGCAGCGAGAGGAACTCGCGCCGGAGCGCGCGGACGTCGATGTCGAAGGGCCCGTTGGGCGGTGGTCCCGCGGGGAGTGTGGTGGGGAAGAATTCGTAGTGGGTTTGGGGCACTTTTGGTGTCTTGCTCGCGTCTCCTTCTACCTTTGCCTCTGGCTCCGCCTGCTGGCTAGCATCTCGAGCCGTAGCACTTGCGGAGAACCATCGCTGTTGTGTCGTAGGTATTAATATATGGCTCGGGCGATGGCTTTTGTGTCGCGCGACACCAGCTAGCGACGATCCAGGTATTATCCTGTCTTGTCTCATGGCCGACGTGTGCAGACTGCGGGTTGTCGTGGTCTGCTGCTGCTGTTGTCGCTGCTGTTGTTGCTGCCTGCAGAAGGCGCAGACACGACGAATCTGTCTCGCGGGAAATATAGACGGCCGCATACTTATCGTTGATGATTCTCAATATCTTATACTTTAGTCTGCGCTGAGTCTCAAAATATTGAATTTGACAGAAGAGTTACTGTAGAGCGGCGTGTTGCGAGCGGAATGTAAATGTCTATTTGCCATTTCGAAGAGAGAAAAAAAGATAGCATTTGTGTTGGCTCAGCCTACACTATGACGTCGGAACTAGTACCGAGCTTCGTTCCTTAGACTACCTAGACCCGCTAATACCCGAAATTCGCTTCTCATGCCGATGGACTCGGCCGTACAGACCAAAGTTATCAGATAAGATCATACAATACCGGTATATAAAAAGACGCTGGGCCTTGGCCAGTTCTACTCTGTCTGTTCCAAACCACAGTTATCATCTCTTGTCATTAGCTTTACATCTATTTCGTGGTATTATGAAGAAAGTGTTATTATTATATACGATATTATATACGAAACCCCCCAAACTATTGAGGCCTATACTGAATGGCCGGGGGTATTCCTATAGCTATATCCTAACGACATGATAAGACGTCATAATGTCTTTCGTTCCTTTGCTAATCATCCTTTCCCATGCCGGCCGAGTTCCGATGCGAGTCCGATGGGTCGTAACTGAGCGTACCAGATTAGTTCGCTAATGTCGTCTGACCACCATCTTAACTCCCCGACGCCGGATCTTCATTATGCCCGAACATCACTATTAAACAATTATTAGTTACCACCCTAGGTCGTTTATTCTTCGTGTATATATCCGTTTCACAGCTCAATAGATCTCCATCGACCGCGCTCAGTATGCCACCAACGTTCGCGGTCCTTTTTATCAATCACCACACCGCTGTATGTGTTCCAGCGCCCGGTGCACCCTTCGCGATTACCATCTTTCAGGTTCTCTCCACAGTCACCCAAGAAATCGGAAATTTCTAGGAGGCCGCCGTTCTCATCTACCGCGCCAGGATCGGGCGTGAGACAATAATTGATGGGTGAGCCGATTTCGCCGATGAAACCAGCCAACTTTGTGGTTTGCAGAACTCTACCGTCCTCGTCCACCAGGTTGAAAGTGAAACGGGGTTCATCACGCGCCGTCTCAAGTCGACGCTGGGCGTCAAGGCGAGCCTGCGCAAGATTGCTTGAAACCTTGGAAGGGAAAAGCTGGTCGTCCATAGGAAAGTTCAGGCCAAACGGCGATTTTGAATTGCTACTACCGGGAGTCTGAGGAGTCCTCGGCGTTGTTGGAGTATCCGGCGGGCTTTTCGGCCGTGAGCCGGCTTTAGCTATGAGCCCGCGATACCTGTCGCTGGCCGTGTCAGCCTTGTCAACGGGTTTGCAGAGAGCCTGGAAAAGACCCTCAGGATCGGCAGGTGTCCGCAGCGTCCGTAAGGCTGGAAAGCCATTTGCAGATATACTCTTCGCAAGAATCGAATCCGCGAAATTAGCAGTCGACGCAAAACTTGGTATGTCCCAGTGCAGCTTTTTGATCGTCTCAGAAGCGAGATATGGAAAAAGCCAAATCATCTCGCCTTCGGGGAGGATGGGCGTCTGCGCTTGCACAAGCGCGAAGGATTCCAAAGATCTCAGATTTGAAAGGATTTGGCCGACGGTGGGGAGAGATTCAACGTCAAGGTGATGCAGAGTTAGCTTGCGGATCGACTGGCTTGAGGGGCGCCTTGCAAATTGGGAAAGACCTATGCTGGACACACCCGGGAGATGCGATAGGGTGAGTGTTTGCAGGGAGGGCAGTGACAACAAATTTGCATCATTGAACGCCGTGAAAGGAAGATGAGATAGGTGTAAGTGTTGAAGAGACGGTAGGTCGGCTAGGATGTCCGGTAGCAGTGATACTGGGGTAAGTGTTGCCCCTGGCAGGCAGTGGATCGAGAGTGTTGTGAGATTCGCCCAGTTCATATGAAGCTCACGAAACTCTTCACTCTGCTCTAGCTGTAAGTCGCCTGGGGCTTCCTGAAAATTCGGATTTCCTGTGTTTAACATGGGCGCTGCATTGGACATGCGACGTTTCCTCTGCTTCTTTGATGCCTCCAAGGTCCAGTGAATGCTCGTCAACTGCTCCCGTGTTGATAACGCGTGGAACAAACGGCCGAAGGAGAAGTCATAGTTTTGATGCGGACCAACTAATTTTTCGAAGTTCGGGCAGGCCATAATGACAGAGGCAATGAGGTTCTGATATGACTCGACCGGGATTCCCTGAGGAACGGCGGGTGCCTTTAGAGTGCGTACCAGGACCGCGACGCCAGGGTTAGCTCTCAACGTGCGTCGGAGAAGAACCAGACGAGACCCAAAGGTCATCTTCAGACGTTTTTTCTGTGTTTGAGAATCCGCTCCAACGATTTGAATGTCTTCGTACCTGAAAGAACCGCCAAATTAGCTTTGCACCCTGTGTGAAACTCCGAAGTAAACTTACAATGCTAAGCGCGCAATCTTTAACAATCTCTTAGCCGACACCGCGACAGAGCATAGATCCCTCATCATACAAGTCGCGCAGCTAGAACTCCCGGGTTTCAGATGCGATTCTTTCAGCCTTTGCAATATAAGACTTAGTACTTCATCTGGGAGAGCGGCAAAAAGCTCGCCTTCCGCTCTCTTCCGTCTATATTGCTTGATTGGCGAGGGTCGCTGCCATCCATGCTCCTGTTTTCGGGACGTTGATTGCCATGATTCGAAACTTGTCCTGCTACTAGTAGGAGATGCTAGAATTGCGTCGAAAGTAGTACTGGATCCAATAGAGCTTGCCATGCTCGAGCTGCTCGGAGGTCGCCGTTGGTATATGGTAGATTGGGGGTCAATCTGCGCATAGTTCGCCATCATGCCCGACGGCATTTTCGGCCGCTGGGTGTGCTGGGGTACCGGACCAGTTCCCTCGTAAGCTGTGCGATTCATCCCTCTGGCGCTGGAATAGCTGTACCCAGAGTCGAGGTCGGGGCGATATCTCGGATTCGAGGGGCCATATAAGGGATGTCTTGTGTGACTAGCAAGCGAGCCGCGCAGTGATGAAGGCTTCAACAGGTTATCTTCGTATCTGGGCCGATAAACTATAGCATTTGCGGAGAAGGACCTCTTATGTTGCGCAAGTCTGAAAAGCGCGATTTAGAAAAGGAGGTTAGCGAAACGGTTGACTCGGACAACCAGAAAGATAAACAGTGAGGATCAGCACAACGATCAGTCTAATAGTAAAAGTGAAAAGACCGGTGAGCGCTTGTTGCAGCGTAGCAGTGTAGTAGTGTCGTCTTCCTACACTAATGTAGGTAGCACCCGGTCTCCGAGGTCTGTACGAGCACCTTGGGGACCATTCTAGGTATAAAGTATAAGTGCAGATATAGGCAGCGAATGTATATGTAAAGAAGAACGTGCAAGGTGGTAGAATTGGTGTGAGCGTGAGTATGGGACGGACTTATGGAACGATGGGACGATGCACTCGGACCCCAACTCAAGCGTTCTCGACTTTCCAAACCGACACCCACGCAAGGATCTTGTCGCGCGCCAAACAAAGACAGCGACTAGGAAGCAATTTCAAGGCTCTTGAAGGAAATCCTATTACACCCCCTCTCGCTATGTGAAGACGGACAAAACGAAAATTCAACCACACAAGAACATCAGAATCTGATCACAAAGGCTGATGGCATTCGGGCTCATGGTTTTCAAGCGGCTTCTAGCGCGAGGCTGCTCGCGTAGCGCTGCAGCGTGGAAATTAAACCCCTGGGCAGACCAGACTAGCGCCTTTGCTTAGTGTCCATTTACAGGGGTGAAATGGGGTTGTGGTGTAGAGTGACAATGAAGCTGGGCCAAATGGGTGCAAGCGGATCGTATCGGTACCACGGCCGTATACGATATCGTGCGTGAAATGTCATGCTACCGTAGGTAATCTGCTAGGGTGCACAAAGGTACGAAAGGAACTCTGGTGCGAAGCGTATATATAGTAATGAAGGAGAGCTTGGTATCGTGGAATTGGAATTCGGGGAGGGCCGGGGGGGGGGGGGGGGGGGGGGGAAAAATTAGGTCGATTATGTGGAAAAAGAATAAAAAAGGGGTTTCACAACCAACCCCAAAAAAAGAAAAATGGAAAA